TAAAAAAAAGTTACTTTTTTTCTAGTTATTTAATTTATTTTAGGGCTATTTATATATATATTTATATATTTTATATTTTTTTAGTATATAATATATATAAATATATATAAATAAATTAGTAATTTTTTTATTTTATTTAAATTACTATTTAGTAACTAGTAATTACTAATTGTTACTATTTAGTAATTACTAAATAGTAATTACTATTTTTTTTTAGTAATTACTAATTAGTAATTTACTAATTTTAGTATTTAGTAATTACTAAATAGTAATTACTAAGTAAGAACTATTTAGTAAATTAGCCCTACCCTGGTGAAGCCTCGTTTCTGCGGTCTAGGGTGCTCCGGCCCAAGTCTCATTTCCCTCGAGCGTGGAGCGGCTTGATTAGCAGGCCAATCAGGGCTGGGTCCTGGAGCGCTAGTTCACGTCTCATTTCCACTTTTTAAGCATCGCCCTGCATTGCGCTCGCCCCTGATGGTGGTTCCGTCTCCAGGGCAGCAGCAGCGGCAGACGGGAGAGATGCATGACTTGCAGCCTCGTCGCATGAGGGTGTGGTGGTGTTGCGCTCCTATCCATCTGCAGAATGAACTCCATGACTGATGTATGCAGTGAGCCTGGCGGTGTTTCGCGGTATGCTTGCTACAGTTTCGTCATGTCAATGCCGTACATGGATGCCAACAGTGGCTGTCACTGACAAGTGAGTTTGCACATCGCAATTTAGTCGTCGGTCATCCGGCTGTTGCTGGTTGCCCAGATGCTAGCTCTACCACATATCTTCTGCTCATTTTCCGCTACTCGAATCGCGCACGTCCGCGTGCTCAATCTCTACGCGAAATGTACTCTAAGATGTGCCCGCCCACTTGGTGTTCCTAGTAGTTAAGCGTGGCTCATATTGGCATGTCGTCATATTAAGACGAATTTCGAGCTGAACTTCAGTAACGAGTGGTGTATACTGGCCTAGTAGGCGCGCATATGGACCTCTAGACTAGACGCCCACACCCAATGCCAAAGGTGAAGAAAAGCATCTTTAACGGTTTGAGAATATTGAAGAGCCTAATGTAAAACATAGCCGTGGAGAACATGAAATTTGAAGCACGCGCATTTCTAAATAATAGCTCATATCATATAGACAGTATGTACACTACCACCAAGCCATCTCTAGAAGACCGAAGTCCAGTACAGGCTAGGCGTTTAGCGTTTATTTCCTTCAATCCTACAATCTTCCCAATCATCTCGTCTAACATCGTACCATCACGTTTCAATCTCTCAAATCTGCCTCGGGGACTCAAGCCAGGTGCACGTAAAGATGGCAGATAGCACGGACAAAGTCTGTATTCGCCCAAGTTGTTGAATTCTACTGTCTTGCAGTTCAAGCAAAGGTACGAGCAACACAGCACGCAAAGACAGAATGTTATCGTAGCAATAATATCAATATTCACATCGCTTTCCTATATACTCTATCGTACCAATGCATCTAACTAATCTACAAGCATATTACCATTAAAAGTCATAATCGTATAAGTCCTCCGTGTATCGACCGTGTGACGAGAGTCGTAATCGAGTCGTAGTCGTAAAAATGGACGTAATGTGATCATGACGCTCAGCGAAGGGCGGTTAGGTATCATCTCTAAATAAATAAGCACAGCCGTGTCGTCGTATCGTAAATAGCAGTCGAAATCGGTCCGCCCCCTCCCAAACAACAACATGAAAAGTCAAGCAAGTCGTAAATGCAAAACAAATAGGCGTCCCTCCTAGATTTTTGGTTCCCCCTTCTTCTTCTTCCTCTTTTACAACTGATCGATCTAATCCTCCTCTTCGTCTAGTCGTGTAGTTGTACTCTTGGGTGTACGTTAAAAATACGAGTCGATTACATCGTGGCCGCCTCGGACGGCCCATTCGACAATCTCCATGCCGCTGAGCCCGCTGGCCCAGTATGTCTTCTTCCGGCCCTGGAGGCGAGTGAGCTTCTCATACGCACCTTCGCGGAGCGCATCGCTCTCGAAGTGCGGGAAGTAGTCCCACTTCTTAAAGGCCTTGACGTCGGCATCGCAGAATGGCTGAGGCGGCGCGGTGGCGTTTCGTGGGTCCTTGTTAATTGCGGACATGCTCTTGACAAGCAGTTTTCGTGCCGCTTCCTCCGTCTGGAACTCGTAGGGGCCCCATGACCACGCGACAGAGACATTCGAGTTCTCGGTGAGGCGCAGCACTGCAACAGGTTCACCGTCATTTGGTGGCGGAACCATGGGCGACGTGGTGTTGGCGATGTAGGACACGCCAAAGGGGAGCGCAAACTCGACAGCGGAAGAGTAGTACTGGTGCGTCGTCACGTTGTGAAAGGTGTTGTACTCGAGCTCCGTCATGTCCAAGCCTACTCGTTCTAGGTTCTCGAGATTCGGCGGGAACGCGAAGATGACGGATGAGCATTCCTGCTTCTTCCATTTAACGTATTTCCCCTTTGGTTCGGTGTATGTAACTACTGGGTTATCTCCCGATCGATCGACGCAGCGCACCTCGGAAGAGGTATGGATTGGTGTTTTGCACAGTTGATTCTTGGTATACTCGACAAACATCTTGTGGAAGTCCATGTAGTAGACTCCATGCAGTCCGACAAAAGCGGTTAGAATATCTGGGGTGAAGTACTGCAGGATGTACAACTAGTCACGTGTTAGTAGCTGCATGCACGATCCCTGCAAGGCCATGTGGAGAAGGGTGGTGACGTACCGCTGGGACAATGTTAATGTCTCCATATCCGTAGAGTGCGACTGGGTTCACTAGAAGAATCGGAAGAGCTGTGAAATTGTTTTGTCGGAACCACTCTGCGCCTGACACTGTGAACTCGTCTGGTACTCCTAGCTGTTCCTGCATTAGCGGGCCGTTTTTCTGTGCGACATTGCCCAGCAGGCGTACCTTGTAGTTTGTGACACTGATAGGCCTAAAGCGTTGATTCCACAGGGCAATATATCGCGGGATCTCAGCCGACACCCTGGCGAGGAATTGAGGTGCCAAGGCAGGGTTCTCTTCGATGATGCCGGACGTGTAGTTGTAGCGAAACATGTCGCGTGCGCCGGCGAGGGCGAAGGGTTGGATGGAGACATTGGTCTGGTTGAGAATCTTGATGGTCTCGGGATAGGTTGCGTTGGAGAAGAAGGCTGCGCCAAGCGGGTGGAAGACGCCTCTGAATGGGTGGTCAGACCGCGTCTAATGCGCTTGCGATGAATGCTGTTGTGGAACACATACTGGTCATCATACCAGGCCTGGCATTTGCCGCCAACCTCTTTTTGTTTATCGAAGATGACGGCCTTTGTGCCTTTGGCCTCGAGTCTGCCTGCTGCTGACAAGCCGGCGGGGCCTGCACCTATAATGCAGACGGGCGGCTTCTGGTGTTCATGGCGGGGGTGAGGTAGCGCTGATACTGATGCAGAGAGTAAGAATAGGGCAAGTAACGGCAGCACAAACGACCACATTGTTGGGCACATCATCATGTTTGTGGATCAATTGGGAGCAGGACGAAAGCGACGGAGTACCTGCAGCTTATAATAATAATAGCGCGCCATGTTCCCTAGCCAGCTCTCTGTTGGTAAGTGTAGGTGTAGGCCTCGGGCTGCACGGTGCGTTGGCAGCGATTCGAGAAATAGCAAGGCTTGCACCGGGATGTGTTGCCGCCTCAACGCCAACTCGCGGTTTGCAGCCTCAATCTAGCGAGGAGAGGCCGGCATGAAGACTGAAGCGGAAAACTGGGGCGAGGCGCGGTCGTGCGTCGAGGGTTTGTGCTTCGACAGTGACGTTTTCGAGGGCCATCTGGCTGGGGAGGCGCTGGATTTAATTTTCCCAAAAATGCCCCTGGACATTATTGGTAGCCCAGGTAACCGCTGGCTGGGGACTATCTATGGTTACAGCGTTTGCACGACTTGCTGGTGTGCTTGCTTCCGGCTCACCCCGCAATTGCGTACGCAAGGGAAGTATAAGTGGTGATGATGTACGGGTTATCGATAAAGTCGGCGGTGAACAAGCTGTCTGCAGATGTCATGGTGCAGCAAGTGTGCATATGCAGTGGAGCGCGCATACGCCGGACATTTTGGTGCCGAGGCCTGACTTTCTCAGCCCTAAGAAGCCTCTCTACGCCACGTTTGAGCTTCAGCCGCCCACGGCGTCGGGTTGGTTCCTGACTCTTCACTCTTCAAACGCTTCGTATGCCCAACTGGCTACTGGTTTGCAAACACCAGGGCCGTCTCTAGCATGACGCGCTCCCTGCTCGACCCTACCGTCCAGACCTGCGCCTAACATCCGAACACCACGGCGTGCGCGTCATGCTGAGCTGGAGATATCGCTGCGCTGGCCATCCAGCGAGCCCTGACAACTCACCATGTCGCCGAGGTGGCCATGACCTCTGCCAGCCTTGCAACGACCGGACATGCGACCACAGAAGGACCGTCTTGCCTGACTGACTGGAGGTGAATGAGATGGGTCGAGTGACATCATGTATAGAGCACAGACCGGACGCGAATAGAACATTGGGAAACAAAGGGCCACGGTAAAAGAAATGAAAAGACAGCTGTTGCACCATGCTCGAGGCACGGCTACCCATGCTATCCGACCCTCCCAGCGATCTTCCTTCGAGTACGCGGCAGCACGGGGCGATACGACTTGAGATGACATCAGGGTCGATATCAATGCCCGCTATCTCATGGTCACTATCGTCGAGAGGACAAGGCGCTGTAGGTGACATGGAGTCGATTATGCCTCGAGATGCGTTGCTCGAGCGCGCCTTCCCATTTGCCGCTGGGGGAAGTCGCAGGCGTGTCGCAGATCCTGTAGAGAGGAAGTTGCGACCCAACCTAGCGCCCGCCATGCTTCGCGCGTCAACTCAACATCAACCTGAGGCAGGCAGAAAGCGAATACACCAAGGACACGACCAAGTGAGTCGACGAGATGGTATTACCAGCTACCGTGCTTGAACCCTCTGCTGACCCTTGAGAGAGGAGATTTCGCATATTGAGGCTCATTTAGCCGCCGAAAAACAAGACGAAGTCGCTAAACCAGAGAGATGCGCCCACCGGTGGTATACCCAGAGTATTGGCAATAGAAAAAGAGACGAGACGAGACGAGACGAGACGAAACGAATGAAACGAATCGACGTGTGGAGTAGAAGTGACCCGAAAGAATCTACTAGCTACAAGGCGCTTGAACGCAGCACAATGCACGCTGAACGTATGCGCATATTAATAGAAGAAGAAAGGTGAGCAGTACTGGAAAATCATCAGTACATGTAAGCTTTTTGCTGCTCTATATCCATGTCGAACCGACTCTTCTCCGTGTCTCCGCTCATCGGTCGTTGCGACGCAGATCGCTGATGCACAGGAGCTGATGTCCCTGGACGCGACTCATCGTTATCCGTCAGCTTGCGCGTGTCCATCTCGACCTGCTCAACCACCGGCGTAATCTTCTCTTTCCTTCTGCTATTCTGCGAGCCGTTGGCGTACTTTGAGCCTTGGTGTCTTGCTCGTGATGGGAAGAGCAATGGCTTGAGAGCTGGGATGCAGCCACAGATCACTCCAACGTTTGTTTCGACGGCAGTCCAGACCCAGATCTGGTAGCCTTCCCACGTCGCATCGTACGTCTTGAAGAGTGTATAGTGGATCCAGTATGCCCGAAAGCTGCTAGCGACAACAATGACACCACCAACCGAGAAAAGGACAACGAGACCGATCCGTTGGCTCCACGGAAGCCGAAGCGAGAAGAGCGTAGGGATGGGCAAAGCGTAGATCATAAAGTCCGTCACCACGTTGAGGGTGCTTTGTACTACCAGCGGCGGGCCTTCCGGGATGCAGTCACGGTGGTCGGACTTCAGCTTCCAATAACTGGAAATGGGGCTACCGATGTCAGCACCTGAAGAACAAATCCACAAAGGGTGTACAAACATGCATTGCACCCACAGTGCGACCAAGAAGACAACGAACGCAGCAACCACGAGAGCAAAGGTTGCCCAGACGAGCTTCCGGAAGAGCGACTTCTCTGGTGCAATGCGAAAATACGACGCGAGAATCGACATTTTCACGGTGCTTGACGCAAGGACAAAGAGTGTCTGACCAGCCATGGAAGCCTGGAAGACGGTTAGTCGCAGCCCGGGGTTACACGCGTTGTACTAGGTTGCACAGAGGGAACTTGTGGTTCTGGAGTGAGTAATACGCAATCAGGGGAGATCTTACCTTTCTGCCGTTCTGGAGCTGAGCGACGGTCAAGTCATAGACGTGCTTGTCCCATCCGTACAGTTCTGCGGCCATTATGACCAGAATTGTAGTGCCAATGGAGAAGATCTGAGTTGGTTAGCATCGCCATTGTCGATTTCGAAAACAGGCAGTACTCACCATGGCAGCACACATGAGGTAGTCGTCTATTCCGCTCTTGTGAAGCCACCTAGTTCGTATCCACATCCTCAGGACAACGACAATGATGGCCAGTGGTAGTAGAGTTAGCTCAACGATCATGAGCGCGGGCCCCCGGGTGACTGGGTTGACATGGTTCGGTTTTGGCCAGTTCTTGACAACCTCTGGCGGTGCTGACCTCATGGTGGGTGACTGGTGGGTGATTGGATGGATGGATGGATTCGAGATACAGTAGGAGTAGTTAATCGAATCCTGAATGCGAGTGAGTGAGGAGGAGCATCACTACTCCTCAAAGCACGGGACTGGCGAGACAGATATATCCGTTGATCGGGGTCAAGCACTTGTACTCTCCCCGTATCCAGCTGCGCCGTGTACAAGGGCCCGACTCCACCTGGATTCGCCATTGCTGAGCGGCTTTGTACGCGAGTGCGCTGAAAGCCCGTCTTCGAGACACGACTGGCGCAGTCGCATAGTATCCATGGAGCGCTCCGTCGCGCGTACTGGACTCTGCTCTACAGGGGTCTAGGTATATCCACTCTCGCCGTCAGCCACCTTGCGCCGTGACTTGCCAGTACACATATTCCCCTGACCTGTACTATGCGGGTTTCGGTGGGTCCACTGAGAGCCTAGGGACAGGCAGCCTGTTGCTGGGGGCTCCGGTTGGATAGACTAGCAAAGCTCAATGGTGATGTATGGACGAATCGCATACGGGATGCTAGGGTGGCCAAGTAGCACGGCGGGTCGCTGCGTCTAGACGCTTCCGAGCTCAACGTGATTTGGACCCTTCGAAAATGAGCCGATATATTTGGGATAACGCGAAGGCGTAACCCAAATTACCTACGCTGTTCAATCGACAAAGCGGTACCAATTCTCAGCGCAACGCGATCATCGCGTGGCTGTACAGGGCCCCGCGAGTACAAATTTTTCCAGTGTTTGCCTGATGTGGCGAAGCGCCTCGGGGAGTCCTAACCAATGCCTCACCCCAGATGGCTAGCATCCTCCAACCGGCATCGAATAACCTTGCAGTATCCCTCTACAATGTGATACTCGGCCAATTCCAGTGGCGCGGTGCGGAAGCGGGATATGGAGAGAGGCGCCTTTCGCCAGTCCCCGCTGCCAGTCCTCCTCCACCCACCTATTCGTCCTCGACGTCGCTTCATCCGTAATCACGTCCCGTCTTCGGTCGGCTTCCCACCATTCTGTCGTCAGCATGCTGTGTCTAACAGGACACAATAAGCGAACACAACCCAAATACGGCTGAAATTCAGGTACCACTGTTTGTGCCTGAATGCTGCACACGCGACGACCTAGCTCGACATGACCCGTTATGTCCCCGTAGCAAGCCTATGAATTGCATCGGCCGTCTTCCTAATTACGCCACGCGCTCTGTGTCAGCTAGAAAGAGGGAATAATAACTCGACTGAAGTCATGGACTAATAATAAGAGGTGGTCCAAATCTCGTCAACCTGTCACACCCTTGCTTCTTGAGGTTAGCTCGCCTACGCAACTTCCCCCAGCTCCTTGGGACTGCACGTACGGTTGCACTGTAATGCTCCATCTCGTCGGAGAATTTCTCGTCTTCCAACGGCCTGCATAGGGTTACACGATATGCACGCGACACGTTCGCAGAAACGGGTGCCGAAGTCGCTTGTTGGGAACTGGTTCGCTCCTTCAGGTCTTCCACAACACTGTGCTACCGAATGACGAATCGAATCTTCCACAAGGGGTCTTCTCTTATCGACCATCACTGCGGCGTGGATCCAGACGAGTGGGGTATGCTCTGGCGGATCCGGCCCACTAATCCCAGCGGCAAGGTGACAGAAACTCTCCTTGCCGTGCAGTCTCTGCTTACACCATCTCATTGGACGTACCCTACCCTCCTAAAAAAGCGATCCTTACGTTTTCGACCTCAACCAAAACGATCAAGCCCTCGGAGGTGGAAGCCGACTGAAGCGTGCCGGGAGTTGTTGAGACGGCCACGTAAAGCTTCATGTCTTTGGATCGACGGTCGACGGGTCACCTTCCAGTTGATCGGCGCTGGAGCCATCACACCGTTTGAAGTCATGTCTCTAGATGAAGCAAGCTGTATTCGTCAGCGGTTTTACTCGTTTAGAATGTGTGTTACCAACACCCAAGACTTCCTCTGACTTCTAGTTCCACCTCTGAAAGCACAACTTCAGCATTCTACACACTATTTCGAACATGAGCTCATCGCAGACCAACACCAACTCCAACTCCAACAAATCCTCCCTAATAGAACGGCACAGCCTATCGGCTCGACATGCTAGCTAGGTAACCTACTGGACGGGAAACGTAATCAGGCCAGCACTTGCATCCGACCGTTACTTATCCACAAGTTCGCAGCCATTCTTTAGTCCCGGCGAATGAGGACACAGTATGATGTGACCAACTTCCCCAACATCACACTTTCGCTTCTCCCTGGTAGTTCGAGGCACCGTCTCATACGAAGCCACATGCGTCAGCATGTTCTCACGGGCCTCAACCGGCACTTGAAGACTGCTGGGTCGAGCACTGCATCTAGCCTAGGTTCGAGACTGGTGTAGATCTCTTCGGTCCATTGCGTGGATCATACCACCCCTATGCAAAGCTCAAATAAGTAGATTGCAGCGATGAAGATGGGTGTGTGGCGTGCTTATCGCTGCAATTGAGTCAGAAGGGAAGCAGGCTGCCAGATGACACAGAGACCAAAGCTTGCCGTTCACGATTGTGCAACTTAATGCACTACCATCTGATCTGATTACCTCCATCAAGTACTACCGTCGACATGCCCACATAGGATGACCACGGCCTACTAGTAACATGGTGTCATAGCCACAGTCCTGGCTGCTCCTTCACTCAACAGTGGACTGCTAGGTCTCAGTACAACACAGGGAAGTTGTGTAGTCCCTACGAAAGACAACAATGTCGAAGTTATGCAGATCTCATTGTCACATCTTTTGACGCATATACCACTTCATCCAAGCCGCCCCCATGTGCTAAGCTCTCCACCCCAGCTTCTCCGCATCAGCAGTGTCTACTACTCCGCGCCATTGGCCGAGTTCACGACTAGGGTCCAATTCTCTGCTCCGTTCGACGTCGCCGACTTGGACTCAGCGCGCCCCAGAAAGCTGCCCATCACCTTGACCAACCGACCAACCTCATCTCCACTCTCCTGTGCCCTCCACGCAACAAAGTAATCCGGCCGCACAAGCACACAGCCATCTTCCTCGACACCTCGCTTCTCCTCCCAGTCACGATAGATGTCAGCCCACTCCAGTCCAATGCCGATACTCACTACTTTGACCCTCACGCCAAGTTTGCTCTGCACGGCCGAAGCAGCATCCTTCCACTTCTCGCCCCCAATGCCGGTAAACAGCGTGAATTGTCCTTTGCCAGCAATGTCCAGCGTCGACGTCTGTGGGCCGGGGAAACGGGACCCAGGCCCGAGTAGGACGTGTGGGAGGCGGCGGCCAGGGTACGTACATGGGTCGTAGTACTCGAACGGGTTCTGAGCTTCGCGCGGCCCTGGTTGGAAAGGTGCAATTTCATCGTCGCTGGCCACGGCTGGGGACTTGTACAATTGCCCATAGGCGGTGCCCAGGGCATGATGTTCACGGTGCAAGCTCTTCAAAGCCTTGCTCAGTGCCTCCCGCTTCTCACGACCTTCTTTGGTGCTGGAGGCCATGATCTGCTTTGCCTTTACGCGGTCTTCTTCATTCGTTCCGTACGGATGCATGCCCAGGGCTGCAAAGAGACCCATGTCCAAGCGCAAGATGTTGTTTGACTCTGTGACGAGGTGCGCTGCCACAGGCTGGCGCTCAGTGTTATAGGTGTCTAGCAGGGCGGCGCTTGCGCGGCCTTGATGCACCAGAGCTATCTTCCACGCAAGATTGAAGGCGTCCTGTATGCAAGTGTTGGAACCCAAACCCAATGTAGGGGGGTGCCTGTGTATGGCGTCGCCGAGGCAAAACCTATCCATGAAGATCAGTCTGCAGTCTCTACATCTTCCTCTACCCAATATTGGAACCATTCCGGCTTGGTCCGCTCGAACGTGGAGGAAATAAAAGAGAGGAGTCTACTCACACATTCCCCTTGGAGATTACATCCGCGCTCGTCTCATTAACTGCCCAACCAGAGACATCTAGTACCTTGACGTTGATGCTCGCGTCGCCAATCACGTCACGTGCAATCTCGACCCACTCTTCATGGCTCTTGGGGATCGGCACTTCAGGTCCCTTGGGCATGAATATAAACATCCACTCTGTCCACGGCTTGACCATCCTCGCTACACTTATAAAGGGAGTGTCCTTGTCGAGGCCTAGGCAGATGTGCAAGTTGCCTTGGCAGTGCTGCATCAGGTCTGTAAGATCAGCGCGAAGGAAGACGTTGTATGCGAAGCCGCCGCCTGGAATCGAGGTGAATGGCAACTCGAGCTGTTTAGCCACAGTGCTGCGGCCACCATCTGCGCCGAAGAGGTACCGCGTGCGTATATCGTAAGAAAGGCCAGTGACTTGGTCCTCGACAGTAGCCACTATCTTCTTCGCAGTCCCATTGACTCCCTCGTCCTCAACAGGCTGCTCTGTAAACGTCGTCAAAGTCGTGCTAAACCTCACCACCCAGCCATTCCCTGTCGCATGCTTGAGCAACACCGGCTCCAACAAGCTCTGCGGCAAATCCATATACACGCACGGACTCACTGCGTCATAGTCCGTCTTTCGCCCATTGCCCCACGCGAGGTTCCGCGCATATTCTTCCCCAACCATGGACTCGCACCACCGATAATGTGCCATGGAGCTGCCTACGTTGCCGAGCCGGAGACACTCATCGTACATGGAGGGATCCAGGTCGCGAAGACATTCCAGCGCGGCGCTGTTTGTCAAATGCGCGCGGGGAGTAAAGGCTGTCCCAGACGCAGACGATATGAGTATTCCGTTCAAGTTGTATCGGGCGAGGAAGCAGGCGAGCGATGCTCCTGCGGGGCCGGCACCGACGATTAGGAAGTCGGTTTCGATTGTGGTGTTTGCCATGGTTTTCAAGTGTGAGAACCTTGGTGTTTTGGAGATATGGAGCCTGCTTTTGCAAGAAGAAGCGAGCCGAGTGAAGAATGTTGGAGCTGCATAGAAGTTAGAAGTGTCAATTAGGAGGTAGGAGCGAGTCAGGAGCTATGCTTGGTACATGCGAAGGTAAAGAGGAAGGAACGTTCCTTCTGCGCGCTCTGCATATGTGTGCCTCGCTGCCTAACCCCCGCGGGAATAGTAATCTATACATGCCAACACATTGGAACTGACGAGGCAGGAAAGCGTGGCGTTCAGAATCTCCGCTTATAGCCCAGTTTTAGCTCACCCCTGTTAACGTATATAAGCTTACGCCCCGTTTTAGCGACAAGCGCGGAATAAGCGTATCAACGAGGAATCAGAAGTAAGAGAATTGCGATTCATTGCAGTCCGGTGAAGCCAAACATACTAAGCAGTGGCTCTAGGTACTTTAGACTATGCGAGTCGCACCACATTCTCGTATCATTCCAGCACTATGCGTTTCGTAAGCGTAATAGCTGCAGATCGCCCCCAAATCCATCAACGGCCTTGTCAGAACGACCGCCGAGAACCAGTGATTGGTGCATTACTCCATGTTCGATGCACGCGTCACTCCATCGACGGCCACATGGTGCTGTCCACCGACGCGCGAACCGCATTCTGGGCAACGGGCAAGTTCCATAGGCATGCCACACTCCCCAACGGCGAACTGTAAATGTTAGCGGGGAAAAATAACTGCTATGAGTGGGAACCTTACCGGATGTCCATTGACACAGTTGTACCAATGCCCCGAGTGTGTAGCGATACCTCGTGACCCGCTCACCATAGCTTTCTTGATGGCTTTGATCTCCTCGTCCGACACTTTCTCGTACCACTCCTTACCTAGCAGCCGAGCAGCTTGTTCGACAGCCTTTTCCAGTACATCTGCACCCTGGAAAGGCTGCTCGCAAAGCTTTGCTGCCTTTTCTAGGAGTACGTGGGCTGCTTCGCGATGATTTCCTCCTTTGTCGCGATCTTCAACACTCAAAGAAGTGCAGAGCCCAGCGATGCGAGCATAGTACAGCGTTGCTTCAACAGCAATTTTGGGGAAGTTGTTATCATTGCAACCATCGATCAGCTTTATGCACTCAGGCAGAAAGTCCTCAGCTTGCTTGATAAGTGGGCCGCCCGGGAAGCTAAGCGTAATGGCGTTGTTGGGCGCCTTGGATTGGGCGGCACGAGAAATCTCAAACTTGTCTTCCAGAACCAGACATCGGGTTTTGATCTCAAGCAGATAGCTACCGAAGGTAATGCGCTGGCCATGGCCGCGATTTGCAGATGTCGCAGAAGATTCGAGGTTGAGTGCTGCGAGTGCCGCATCGAGCGAATGGTTTCGAGTGATGACATGCACAGTTGCTTGGTGAAGTTTATGTGCGGGCTGGTGCTGAATATTCATCCTGCGCTGGAAGTTCTTGAGCGCATTTGTCAGGAAGATTGCTTCTCCGTAGCGACTGCTGATCTTCCCGTTGATATTCTTCCCAGAGCGCGCTTCTACTTTCGACTCGCCGACCGTCGATGGCACAAGGGACTTGCGTGACTTCTCGAGACCGGATTCAAGAGTTTTGAGCTTGTTTTCTAGCTCTTGTAACTCCTGCTGTCCGCTGACGATGAAGCGCTTCGACATCTCGTCAATGACGGCTCGGTTGATGAGCCTGTTATAGCGTTGTGTAACAAATTGCTGAATGGGGCAGCGGCATGTTGGACATTTAGGAACTGCTGCAGCTAATTGAGCATTTTCTTTCAAGGCAGCGAATAGACCGGTCTTTGTGTCAATGTCATAGACTTCCTTCAAGCCAATCATGCCATCTAGTGTTTCGACGGTGAAGAAGTGACGGCATCCAAGGACAACTATGGGCGACTCATCGAGGTTGATGTCACTGTAGCGTGTCTCTAGGATCAAATCCGGTACTTCGTCTAGCTTCATGTCACACTCCTGGCAATAGTCGACGGGGCAATCTTCGCCACAGATGCTGGGGCATTGATCGCCACATGGCAGGAGCTTAGTACACCGCTCGTCGCATGGCAACCTGTTGCATGGAGCTGAGCAGGGCATGGTGCAGTCGCCATGATGCTCGCAGGACCAAGTACACTTTTCCACACAGGGTGTACAGGGCTCATGGCATCTCTGCATGCATTGAGAGTGCTTGCAGCGTACCTATATCTGTTAGTGAGTTGACTACATTAATGGAAAGGGTGAATACCTCGCAAAAACTCTGACAAAGGCCACAGTCCGTTCCGTCATGGCATTCGCGGCGACAGGTGTGGTTGCAAGTGCCAAACTTTCTGCCACACACTACCGTGCATGAGAGGTGCTTCAGTATGGGCTGACCGTCTCTGATCTTCTTGTTGCACTGACCGCAAGTTCCGGGGCAAGGATGACCACAAGGTAGGATGGCCGGGCAAGGCGAAGGACATTTGAAGCCTGCCTTAGTCACGTCACTTGAGCACATGACCTCCACATTGTGCTGACAACCAGGTACTCGCTTCGAAACGTTGATGACGCACACAATACTCTCAAGATCCAGCGTCTTGTAGCACGAGACGTTGTTCTTGTTGTGGCCACAGGGGAGTTGTACAGTACTGATATTGACCATGCACACGTCGCAGTCCTCACCACACGTCGGCTTCTGACACGGATGATCGCAAGGCTGATGTCGGCGTTGACATGGCTTTTTGCATTTGAACACGTCGTGCATGGCCGATGAATGACACTTAGCCTGACATTGATGACTACAATCCGTAAGTCGTTCGGTACAAGCTTCCTGGCAGCCACCTTTAGGACTAAGTTGATAAAAGTCATCAGGCTCTTGGACTTGGATGATTTTTTTGGGGTGTTTTGGGCAGCACAGCCCGAGAGTCTCCCTAACGGAGTCTGAGGTCCGAAGCATGGCAATAACTTTTTGCCACATAGCGACACTCGCGTAAGTCTCGGTGTTTCTGATGAGATACATGCTGTGTTGAGCGCGGCTGAGTAACACATTAATACGATTTGACGTTTTTAGAAACCCGACTTTCTCTTTGTTGTTGCTGCGAACGAGTGAGACGATGATGATCTTAGCTTCTTCTCCCTGAAAGTTGTTGACGGTGGCGACTCGGAGCAGGTCACTGAACGCCTTTCTTTCTAATGGTTTGCGCCGATTATGCTGCTGCTTTGTTGGCTCTCCTATCTTGAATGAGGGGGCTGCAACGCCGAAGCCATCCTTTTCGAGCGCATCTTGGTCGCGTTCGCTAAGCACAATCTCAAAATCATTGCGCATGGCGGTGCGTATCTTCTGAAGTTGTCCTGTATATGGTGTCAAGACCGCGATTTCCTTGCTGTTGTAGACACCTTGACGGACAATGTGACGAACCAATGCGTGGACAATGTCCACCTCCCAAGGGTTGGATTTCGACTTGCTGTGATGGATGTCGCTGTCCTTGCCGTCCTCAAGGTTGCGATGGTCCAGCCAAAATAAATTCTTGCGCATGCCAACCACGTCTGGCAACTTGGCGGTGGATGGGTGGTCGATTAGCCGTGGATAGATTGTCTCACGTATCAGCCTTGAGAAGTCCGGGCGCATGCGACGTTGAACTTCTAGCTGCGCAACAGGCATCAGCGGCCTCCCTCTCTCTCCAATCGAAAGACGTTCGAATTGACTTCTGTCAAGCTTATGCAGAGCTCCTTGCGTGCTTTCGAGGGAGAGCTCTTTGAAATTATTGACAGAAGGACGCAGTTGCTCGTGATCGCCAATCTGAATGCAATGCTCAACAGTAGGGAGCAAAGCCGATAGCATATGGGGCTCCATGACTTCTCCAGCTTCCTCACAGATGATGACTTTGCACCTGACGTGTTGAAGGACTGATATCCTCTTAGCCAAACCGGAGGTCGTAACACCGATGACCTTTGCACCTTCAAGTACTCTTCTATCCGTTTCATCGTGGATGTTGTTTAGTTTCGCTTGGGTGTCGGCTGCCTCACTGGCCGTTGTAGATAACTGTGTGACATCCTCGAACCGCACTTCGTCAACCCAAAGACGGACTAACGCACATCGCTCAACGTAAGTGAGAGAATGCACATTGCCAGTCGCCTGCTTTAGGAGGCGACCCACATCTTGACTGGCAATAGAAGCATGGTTTCCGTCCGCTCCTTTTCTCAGCATCCAGATATCAAAGGGATGTCGACCAACCGTAGTGAACCCCTCATCGTCTTCCCTCTCAAACTGTTTGTAGATGCGGGGGTATTTCTCCTGGATATGATTGCCTAGCTGCTCCCACTCTGCTTGCTTCGAGTGATGTAGACGACCAAGTGTCGCTCTAGCTTGCCGCGCAAGATCTTGGAGAGTCTGGTAGGCCATCGCAGACTGCCATGCTTCCGACTTTGTTTTGACTTCTGTCCGGGTGACATCTCGAAGATTGTAACCTTGCAGTAGTTCAGACTTGCTTTGCCCGCCGACTCTTATAATCTTTCTGACCCCAGCCTCGAGTAGATGCTCTAAAAATTGGTCTAAAGCGTGGTTGGTATAGCACCTATGCACAATTCAGCATTAAACAAGTTGACTAAAAGATCAAGGGGACGCATTAAACTTACACGACGATGATGGGACCCAATTTGGCTTTGTCTCTAATGTCCAACAGAATCTTCATGACCTGTAAACCAAGATAGGATTTCCCGGTTCCAGGTGGACCTTGAATGAAGGCAAACTCGCGAGTCAAGGCAGCGATCAGCGCTCTGCACTGTCCCCGGTCAAGCTCAGTCTTGGCCATTATTTCTTCGATGAGGACAGCGTCATCACACGAAGATGTATGTTCGATGGCCAGAGTATCAGACTTCGTCTTCATGATGGCTCTGAGAGGAAAGGTGAACCCAGGTCGTCGAGCATATAAGGGGGCTGGTATTTCGTGATAAACCTTGAGCCCTGGTGATCCATTGTGCTGGTCTGGGAGGATCCATTGGTGGAAAGGCAGTCGGCTCAATCGCTGCATGCTCTGCAGACTCTCCAGTATCGGTACGAATGTTGCCGGGATGACACTGGGAAACTCGAGAAGGACACCCTGTGACTTTTGAAAGCTTGACTGTAGCAACGCCTGAATCGTTTGGGAATTTTGTGTCGAGAGCTTGGTAGTGATCGTTGCCATTGTGTCATGCTGTGTCAAGCCATATTCCTCGTCGACACCGGTACTCCTTTTACTCACAGTGAGAAAGAGGTGTTCAACAATGGAGTCTTGTATCCAAATGAATGAGAGAAGAGAGCCCTGGTCTAGTCTCCTAGAGTCTTCCCACCATGCGCGCCTCTCGGCAGCTGACCTTCCGCGGACTTGCGGTGGCTGAAGGAAGGATATCTGTACTTCCAGTCCGCGGCGATGATCGAAAGCGATATAGCTAACACGTGCATTGGTGTAGTTGTAGACGCGCACATCGCCAAGGTTGATTCTCGGGTTGCTGAGCCTGTCTGGGTCCTCCGTAGCGGCGTGCATCAAACCCGCAAGAGCCTTCTTCAGGTCGCCAAAGATGTCATGACGAAAGAGACGAAAGTTAGTGTCAATGTGCCTCCCCACTTGGTTGGCAATAAAGTGCGGCTGATCAGGATCCGTTGAAGGCAGGCACTCCTTTGCATCACTCATGATCTCCTCTCGTGTTGGGAAGATGACGATCTCGGTAATGTCAACGTTGTCATTATCCTGCCGACCTTGTGGGATAACCAAGTCTCGAGGGTACAGAGTGGTGGTTATGCGGGTAGTTGTTGGTGCATCGTCCTGTGGGTTATCTTCAGCCACCAAGCCTTTTGCTCGTGCAATCATGGCTCGCATGACTATCAAGTCCTTGTTCACAATAGTCGAGGTGATAGAGGGCAGCGCGCTAGGGATAATTTCGCTCGCGCTTTTCAGCGACTGTATCAGGGCTTCGAGTCGCTCGTTGAGTCTTGCTCGTTGGTCGCGCCTAAGGACTTCGTAGAGTGCTGTTGACAGTCCGATGAGTGTCTGTTCTAGCGTCTTCTGCTCGGCCGACGAAGCATCCTCGGTTTTGACAGTGACTAGGGTTTCGCAGAGATGCTGAAAGAATGAGATCGCCCTATCACCATTCACACCGCTTATGAAGTTGTAGACACCTCCGACGTATGTGTCTACTGCCAAACAATCCAGAAGGGACGGATGAGTGATGACCTTGAGAAAATCTTTCGCTATCTCGACGAAGGTCTCAGACTCGCTAGCCGTCGTTCGTTGATCGAGTATTGCCTTGATATGAGCTCGACCGTTGCATGTCGCGGTGCTATCGTCTAGATCTCTAGGCAATTGCTGCTTCCAATCGCGATCGTCCTCTTGTAGGATGGCTACAGCGCCTTTCCATAGACGTTTCATGTTGTAGGTATCGCCCGGTGCGTAATTTGTACCGATGAGTTTCTTCCAGTTGTTGTAGCTAGCCCTCGCTTGTTTCTGCTCTTCAGTCTCATGTGTCCTCATCGTTGCTGCGGCACGACGTCCTGTTTGCTGTGCGCCAGCAGTGGAACTAAGGTTGTGTGAGAAACGACAGTTGGCGCGATCACACTCTCCCGTATCTCGAAATGTGAAGCAGATTGTTCTATTTTGGCTTTGGTTGCCTTCGCCTCTGCCGCCACGGCCATGATCACCGCGCTGACTGCGTCCACTTCCGCCACTGCGCCCGACCATGCTGGACAATAGCAGCAATATTGATCAAGCGTTCGTATCGTCTGCAGTGTAAATGGTAAATTTCCAGCTTCGGGATGATGTAGGTGATATGTTGGTGTGAGGGTGTGGAGCAGGTGTTGCGAGCGTGTGAGGTTTCCAGCTCAGGTGACGCAGGCCGCCTCAAATGGTGAAGGTGAAGGTGAGGACGGTATTTGTAACAACGGTGACTGCAGATCGTGCAAATGAGGAGCTCATGGAAAATGTTTGCTTGTGGTAGCAATCAATGCACTGCACACAACGAAAGTAAACACATACGCTAGAGAAAGACATCAGCCATATCGACGGCAGCGAAGCCATCAGTATCAGCTGTAAATGAAGAGAAACTAGGAAGCATTTACTATGAATAGAAGGAAAACGAGATGTCGAAAGTGGCTTTTCCTAGGTAAATTAGCTTGATCATACCTAATAAGTGGGATTGAGAGCTGGTACCTTGGATGCTAGGAACCTTGCTCCTAGAATGCAACTTGTGAGCACATTCGCTTCAACCCTCCATCCATATACTCAAGTATGATCGAACGTGAGAGTATTCTGATTCAATATACCCTACTCCCTCCCACCCCATGATTACTTTTGAAGCCGCCGTTGATCTAAACCCCTCTTCATATTATCAACCTGCATCCACTACAGTGTATCCTACTCCTGCTTTTTATGTATCCTGGGCAAACACAGCCAAAGCGCCGTAATGAATGCTAGCAAACCCAGTATAATCGGCTGGAGGACCTTCACACCCTTCACTTGAGCAATGGCGCCCACGGCAAAGGGGAAGATGGCAGCGCCAGAACCCCCAATCGCAGCTGCGAAGCCAATCGCACTGACATGCAGGTGGCGCGGCAGGAGCTTCGTAGCAACAACCACAGCAGCGGGAAAGAGGGGGCCGAGGAAAAATCCTTGCAGACTGACAGCCACGGCTGAGACGTAGAATTGCGGGACGAGCCAGAAGATGAGCTCTAGGGCCATGGTGAGGGAGAGGTAGATCTGTTAGTTCGTGTCAGTCTTCAAGTTCTTGGACCGAGTGAACCATGATGGTATGGACAGGAAGATGAATCATAGAAGCAAGGTAAACTGGACTTACAGTGATGGCTAATTTCTCCCCTAGCCTCGGCGTGACAAAGCCTAATACTATTCGGCCAAATGTGATACCCATCCAGAAGCCTGTCGCTGTCATGCCGCTCGCAAACTGACCTCCTTTTCTTACCTCCAGCATAAACTTGACAATCCAGCCGCCTAGTGCGACCTCAGCGCCCACATAGCCAAGCAAGAACAGAGCGCATAGCCAGGTTACGCGGGCATGAGGGAGGCGAATCAGGGCTTCTTTCATGCGGTTGTCTTTGGTGTCGCTGGTGCGGGGATTGGCGGCGCGGAAGACAGCGGCTGTGGCGCCCCAGAAGGCAGTTGTGGAGGTTACGAGTTCGATGAAGGCCATGGCTATCTACTCTACGTCAGGCATGTATATCTCAATGTATACCGTGGGCAGCAGGCAGGTATCTGAGAAGACGTACCATAACATAGTAGAAGGTATACCAAGGCAACCTATCGCCTTTCGTGATCATGGTCGTCGCAATCAGTGGTGCTAACACAGCTCCAACGCCGTAAAAGGCATGTAAGAACCCCAGGATTTCGTTTGGATTCGCCATGTTGCCGATCCAAGCGTTCCACGCAGCATCAGCGAGTCCGTTGCCAAAGCCTGCGAACACTGTACCAAGTTAGTATCAATATCCATCTCACATGCGTTTCATTACCTACTGAAGATGATGACTAGCACCGGATACGGGGGGTGCACGGCAATAACAATATACGCGATAAGATGAGACGTCGCGGTGATGATAGCAACACCCCTTTGCCCAAATTTGAGATGGACGGTGTTGTTCAGCAGCGCGGACGCTGAGTACCCGACTAGCGGCGACAAGAAGACCAACGAGATGACTAAGAAGGTGAGGTGGTAGTACTCTTGTAACTGTCAATCTGTTAACTTTCATCATAGAGTCATCATCTGAGTATGTTGGACGCACATATGGAATCAGCGCTCCGTACGCCGCATCGTTACTCCCCATGACGACAAAACTCCAAAACGCTGCCAGCGTCCTGCACAAGTTAGTTCTTGGAGCATTCCATCGCTCGAGCTTGGCGGCGGCTTGTGTTGTTGGAGACGGGAGACTCTCGACTGGATCATCGTTCTCGTTGATTCCTTTGGTGTCTGAGAGGCGAAGGCCGGAGTGGGAATTTGCGACTTTGGCATCTTGCGGCTTGGCGATACAACTGGATACATCTTGGAGTTGGACGGGTTGCTCGACTACGCATGTTGACGAGCTGCCGTTTTGATGGACGGCCATTGTGGGGGTAGGTGGTGGTAGGTGGGGTGGGAGAGAGGGTATGCCATCCGTAGACCCTACACGTCGCTTTCACAAATCCTGGAGAGAGGGCGAGAGGGAGAGTTCGAGGTGTCGATAGGGTTGAAAAGGTGAGATAAGAAGTAGGCGGGGAGGGAGAAAGCTTAGAGGTGCGCGCTTCCAATTCGACAAGTGTAGTAGTTATGACGAAATGCTAGATCCTCCTCTTTGGTCAAAGGGAAGAACGACCTGGCCCCGCGACTTATACGTGAGCACTCAACCAAGCTCAATTGACTCTGAGCAAGCTACTCTCAGATTGTGCAGAAAGTGCGAGGAATACTGCGACCACATGGCGTAGACGTCGTTCTTTTTTAAGTGTCGTTACGCATCGTGGAGATCCCCACATCAAGTGGACCCTGACCCAATCTGGGGTTCGGGAAAGGAAGTGAGCGGTTGATCCTCGGTAATAGCGCCTCTTTGCTCTCTTGTCGGTCCGACATCCGCTGGTGGCAGCTGAGTGGATATACTAAGAGGATTTGCAAAGTGCCTATACCCTAATTGAGCTATCGTTGATTTTGTGGGGGGTGGACATGCTAAGAATAGTGTAGGATTGCACTATAAAATGTAGATGCTGTGACTCTTGAATGTTGCCACGAATTGTACTCATCGGTCTCGTTGCACGAAAGTGGCGCTTTGATGCCTGCACGCGAGCGAGCCTTACCCGATGCATCGAAATACTGCGAGGAGGGTTCTCACATGGTGCTGAAACGCCTCTCGTTCGAAAAGGCAAATGACAGTCCATGTTAATCAGCCTAGAGGCAAATGCTTTACCCGCCACTTGTCTGAAGTCACGGTTTGGAATGCGCGGCGTCTTTTTTTGAAATCATTAGAGTTTTTCATTTCATGCTATACCTTTCTCTGAAGAATTACCTGGCACTTCTGTAACCATGCTCGGGGGGTATCTCTGTGTCTCTCCTACGCATTTCAACAAACAGGCTACTAATAAAAAATAACAATGAAAAGATTTCTTGAGATCAACGCTTGTATTCGACGACTGTAGAAGAAGGCTGAAATGTTTGTGTACACCTACTTGCTACTCTCTTGCCCGCTACGGCCTCGGAACGGCCTCCTCTAGATTATACCCTGTCTTCGAAAACTTCTCCAAAGAAAGGAATGACACACGTGATGCTGTGCACTCTGGTGTCATGCTAGACGGGACGTCTACGAGGGCTGGATGACGGAGGGGCCGGCAAGGACTTGGTCGTCGACGACCGACTTGGTCTTGGTGAGCATCATGTAGACCTCTCCCTGAAGACCTTGGGGAACGATGCAATTGCCATCCGTAATGGGCATGAACTGGTTGCCACCACTATATTGCGTTAGCTCGCATGCAACTTGACATTGAGGAGGTAAAATGACTTACGGAGCAACAAAGGCGCAGAATTGAGCACCTTCTGGCTTGGTAGGATCCGCCAACTTGAGGGCCTGGCCAACGGCCACTTGCTCGGGGTTCTGGAGCGCAATGGCGGGGAAAGCTTGGATGTTGAGGTTGGAACCTTCGGGGCAGGACTTGATGAACTGAGCCGCCAGAGTGAAGACGGCGCGGGGTCCAAGGGCAGTGTCGAAAGCGGCAGGAACGGGCTCAGCCCCGGAAGCCATGCGGATGAAAGCCTGGTGACGGGCTTCGACGGTAACAATGGAACCAGCGGCTGCGAGGACGTCGGACGAGTTGACAAGGGGAGCGGCTCCGAGGTAAGCGGAAACACCAACAGCCTCGAGGACACGCGCAGTCTTGACCATGGAATCGGCGCTTGTCAGGGCGGCGTCGAAGTTGTACGTGCAGGGCTCGACGGGCTTTGCGCCTGCTCCAGCGATGGCGGAAATGAGCGTTGTGACGTGAGTAGCCTCAGTCTGACCAACTCCCATCAAAGACTTGACCTGGCCCTCGGTCAGACCGAGAGCCATGAAGTCCTGCATGGAGAACTTTGCGAAACCCTGCTTGTAGTATGTCGACTCGAGATGCTCAGCAGTCAGCGCACTAGGATTGTTAGCTTCCGCTCAAATAGTCTACGCGTAGGTTCTCCACTCACAAGTTGAGGATGTCGACATCGCTCAATGTTGCAGCAGCTGCTGCTGGTGCCGCTGCGGTGGCAGAGGTAGCGGCTTTACTTGTCCCAGCGGCAGCAGACGCAGATGACGCAGAGCTGGCCTCCTGGCGGGCATAGTTTGCGGGAGCGGCAGCCACAAGGGGGGCCAGGACGAAGATGCCCTTCAGAATTGTTGATACGCTAGGCATGTTGATGAATTAAGTCGTTGATAACTGTCGATAAGAGTGATTCGTAAAGATGGACTGCCAGCAAAGACTTGCTTTGAATTCGGATATTAAAATATGTCAAGGTCCAACCAGGGACAGAGGGGAAAAGTGAACTGTAAGGAATGGAGTTCAGTATTAGGTACAGAAGAAGGTAGAAGAGGAGGCTCTCTGCTTGGTGATGGTCCAACGAAAGTGTCGATGGAAACATAGGGTGGGCAACCAATCGACCTTATAGAGGGTACTGCGACTCCAGGGCCGCATCTGAGACGCCGTAGTAAGATCCGAAGGACGGATGCAGAGCTCGCGACAGGACGGGCGGACTGAGTGATCCCGCCCACCCACTGGTTCCCTTACCGGATCCGTGACCAGTCAAGCTTTGCGGCTTGGCTCTTCGACCCATTGATTATCCAGGAACTGCCTGCTAGCATTGTCACAACCGCTGAGCGAGTCCGGGACGCAGCAGTGGGGGTTGGTGTTGGGAGCGTGCCATGTAGCAGGTCGGGGTATCTGCGACGCGAGATGGTCGCGCTGAAACCCTCCGAGTACCAACATCACCACATGGCTGCACGGAGAAGACGAAGCCGCCCGTCAGGGATTCTGGATTCACGCGATAGCGCATGGCATTTAATGGCGGTACCTAGGCGATCCGTACGGATGCGTCGCATGGCTTAGTAGAGGCGTGAAGCAGTGGGCTTCGCACATCAATGGTGCGGTGCGTTTCTAGCGACGAGTGGTTGAAACGTTTCAACACCAAGCTTTCGACACTTGCGCAGCAAACTCACAAACTCGCACCATTTGACGTGGAGAATAGAGAGAAAGCGCTTGCATTGTTCAGCCTAGTTAGCCAGAGGTCGGTTGAGAGGGGAGGGGTGACAGACTGGGAGACGGCCGAGGCTTTCCAAACACTCCTAGGTCGCCAAACCTTATCTAGAACCACTGCTATTTCGGCCTGCATGCCTAGAGGCCTAAGGCTCAATATTCGTCGGAGAAACAGCTGCAGGTACAACGTTCGAGCAGGGATTGTACTTCCTGGAAGTCGCAGATCCGAGGAAAAAGAGTCAGACAGCATCAAAGGCGCGCACCCTCGACCAAGCGGGTAAACAATCACCGGAACCTAAACATCTTTTGACATGTTTACATGATCATAGCCAATCCATTGCTGTTGTCATCTTCCTGGCCAAATTAAGTGGCATCCAGCCGCCATCGCAGACATTCATCCACGGGGTAAACGAGATTTATGGATCCGGACATGGTGGACATGCAATGCACTGAGGCTTGGCTATCGAGATGATCAAGAGCATAATTCGCCTATCTAACCACGCTTTCGCAGCCGCAATGAACAACACACATCAATATACTACGGGTTATTTCTGTTATTAAGAGCTACCGCGATTTCGCCGCATGAACATGAACAATACACATACTCAATCCTTCTCCTTCCCTAGCTAGGCCGGGCTAGTATATATCCACGCTATGCAATTTTTGTTGAACAAGATCAGCGGTAACCGCAAGGCTGCCCAATACCATACACACTTTCGTCGTCATAAGCCTCTCAGGCCGCACCGTGTAGCTGAATGCACTTAAAGAGCATAAGGGTTGAGAGATCGGATGGTCAAGCAACTGCGATCATGTTAGTAGGATACAAACTAGAAAGAGGATGTTCACTTACGGAGGGCTCTTCGTCAGATCCGTCTTAAGGATAACTGGGATGCGCGACATCTCCCGGACATCCTGGATGTAATTGCCATTCTCCTCTCGCAGAGAGAACCAGGTGAGGTACTTCTCCTTGTTCGACTGCTTGGCCTCGGGGGCCTCGCTGGCGCTCTGGGTAAGCTTCGAGTCAGAGTTGACGCGATGTGGAGCTCCACGCAGCTCGCCACGGGTAGGCGACGGAGGCATGCTCTGTGTTGGTCGATCAGGGTTTAGGGAAACACCTGCCATGGTCGAGTTGAGGTCGCTGGAGGAGTCATCGTCGTCATCGTCATCGAACAAAGCGTCGACTTCGTTGGTCGAGATGGTTCCAGTATCCATTTGCCTGCGCTGGGCCTCTTCCTGTTCCTTTGCGCGCTGCTTAGCCGCCTCGGCGTCGCGCGCCGCAGCTGCAGCATTAGCAGCTCGGACTGAGCCATGCTTTGGCCTCTCATCTTCGGGAACGTAGGCAGAGGACGGGACGCCCTTCTCCCAGAAAAGTTCTAGAAGGCGCTTGTTCTTGTCGAACTCGGCTTTCTTGAGAGGAAGCTGATCGCAATGGACACGCTTCTCGAAACCCCACTCAGGAATGAGAACATCGAATGCGGACTCGTAAACACAGAGAACGATGCCTTCCGCGATCAAGTCACCGCCCCTCTCTTGCCTCACCTTATCCATCTTGCGGCATGCTTCAATATGCACACTCTGCTCCTGAGCGGCATGAGCTGAATCTTTCTTGGTGTTGCACATCTCCGCAGTCTTCGCCAAAGCTTCGACATCTTCGGTAAACTCAATAGCACCGGTGGACAGCACTGCCTCCAGTTGGCGATGCACGACAATATCGGCGTAGCGTCGCGACGGGTTCGTGAAATGGGTGTAGACAGGGAGGTTCAAGGCGTAGTGAGGATATTGATCCTCAGGCAATTTGCCAGCAACAAAGTATTTCGCACGGGGCATAGACTTGATGACTAGCGTCTCCATGCCCTTTCGAATGTCGTCATCCTCGACCTGGAAGAGACTGTTCTGTAGAGATCCGCTGCTTTCAGTATCAATGTCATAGCCGATGGCACCCATGCGCTCAGCGATAGTAGTCAAACGACGGGGGTTAGGCGAGGGTTGGCGGCGCAAGAATGCCTTCTCTGGTAGGCCGGCAGCAAGCTTCTTCGCAATAAAGGTGTTTGTGAGGTGGCTGAGCTCCTCGATACACTCGTGGGCCGGGGAGGAGTCGAAGATGTTCTGCTCGACAGGAACGTTCTCATCGTCAAGCTGATACATGAGTCGCAGAGCCGGCACATCCGTAGTACGATCACCGAAGCGTGCCTGGCGGAACTTCTGCGTGATGTCATGGAGCGTCTTAATGTCCTTTGTACGAGCAGCCGTGACTTCGCCATCGCTACCGTTGATAACAGTATCGACCTCGTCATAAGTCAACTTGCCAGAGCTCTTGATCACGGCCTTGCCAACCCAAGTCTCATCTTCGAAGACCCGGCCAGACTTCGGATCGACTTTGAAGACGACGCTGACAGTGTAGCGGTCTTCTCCGGGGTTAAGGCAGCAGATGTCGTTCGAAATTCGGGGCGGAAGCATGTTGACTGTGCGGTTCATCAGATACACAGCAGTTCCGCGCTTCTTGGCTTCACGATCAACGAGTGAGTTGGCCTTGATGAAGTGAGCAACGTCAGCGACGTGGATGCCGATCTCGACGTGACCGTCATCGAGATACTTGAAGTGAATCGCATCGTCGAGCTCCTTGCTACCGTTCGGGTCGATTGTGAATGTCTCTTCGCTTCGGAAATCCCGACGACTCTCAAGGGCATCTTCCCCATCATTGGCAACAGACCAGTCTTCGAAGCCGATGTTCTTGATGACAGCATCGGAGAAGTCATCCGGACCGAAGTTGTTGTCGCGCAGGAGGGCATCGGTCTCCACCTTAAGGTCACCCATGACTCCAAGCTGCTCGACAAGGGTTCCAAAGGGATGCAGCGATGTGATGGGCCATCGCTTGATGCATGCTACGAAGATGCGGTCGGCGTAATCTTGATGTTTCTCAACAAAGTCCCTCGGAGCTTGCTCGGTGGGGATGGCAATCAATGGCACGCGCTTGTCAGTTGGTTTAAACCATACAATCTTCGGCTTGTCCTGGCGTTCTGGCTGGGGTCGGCCGGAGTGGCCTTCACGGGCCTGTCGTTCAGCCTCTTGTTTCTCTTTAGTGGCTTGGCTGCTAGGGCGCAGGAGTCCAAGAGATCTGTGAAGTGATTAGTGCTACATTATGGGCAACTGGGTTGTTTCTCACTTACCCAGAGAACATCTGTCCAGCGACACGCTCGATGACAGCAACGATGTGGCCTGCATACAAAGGCTTTAGCTCATCGTTGATCTCCTCCTCCTCCATGAGGAGCAAGCTCTGCCCTTCCACTTCAACGTCATCATTCTTCTTCTGTGTAGGCCGCTGGCGCAGACTGCCACGGCGGCGGATGCCACCTTCAGAACCAGTCTCAGGTTGAGTGGTGGCGTCGTTCACCGCGATACTACCGCCGCGAGGATCTGCGTTGTCCTTCCTCTTCTTCTTCTCTTCTTTCTCACGCTTCTGGCCCCACACTTCATCGACATCAAGGAGTTCGACAGCGACCAAGTCGCCTTCGAGAGCTCGATTTCTGTCTTTGCTACCACAAATGAAGATATCGGCATCCAAGTCGGTAGTTGTAACGTAAGCATCGCTCCTGTTCTTCTTGTTGACGCGGAGAATACCGGCAACAAGTTGGCCGTCGCCAAGAAGGGCAGGCAAAGTCGCCTGGGGAAGGTAAGGAGTGAACAAGGTCTTGCGCTGCTGCTGCTGCTGTTGTTGTTGCATGCCCATCTGAGGGGCGTGCTGGCTGACATTAATACCACCGGTTATCTGGGCGGCCTGTAGAGCCTGCAAATGAGCGATCTGCATCGGGTTGAGTGGCTGACCAAACATCTGCTGCTGCAGCAAGAGCTGTGCTTGGGGACTCTGCATCAGCTGAGGCTGGCCGGCATACTGGAAGTTGCCAAGAGAGCCAACGGACTGGTTGACAGAGCCGCGAGAGCGGTGTCCCGGCTGGAAAGGAGCGGCATTGGCGGTCTGGTTCATATTGAAGTTACCCATGTTTTGGGCTTGAGTTTGGTTGTCTTGAGCAGACGGTTGCTGGTTGTTGTTATTGTTGTTGTTCTGGGGCTGTCTCCAGTTGCCCTCGAAGTTGCGAGAGGCAGTCCTACCATGGCCCTGGCTGCCATGGCCTTGGCTACCACGGCGTTGGAAGTCAGACTGACCAGTCTGGTTGGTATTGGTGGTGGATTCGCTGGCCGCTGGGAAGGAAAAGGCAGGTCCACCACGGCCGGCGCTTCCGCCGCCGCGTCCAACAGCCATGCTTTGGCTGCGACCGTGACCAGCTCGTCCACCACGAGCAGAAGGAGTGTCGTTGGAAGCGCTGTTTCCGCTGGGGCTCGCATCACGATTCGAGCTGCCGCCAGCCGAGGGAAGGGGGAACTGGAAGCCAGAAGTCTTTCTCTTCTGCTCTGCCTGTTCAGCCGCCTTCTTCGCGTCGGCAAGGGCCAAAGAGTGTCGTCGAGTGTGTCCGGAGCCTGCGCCTCCTCCACCTCGGCCACGAGGGTTGACGTTCTCCCTACCTTGAGTGCCCTGTTGTGCTCCAAATTCGCCGAAGCCAGACGCGCCGGAGGAAGGTGCTGGGGGTGGGCCCATACCGACAGTAGGGAGGGCGGACTGGTTGCGGCGATGAGCGGAGGGCTGGGCAGGAGCATTCATCGGAACACCAAGGTGCTGCTGCTGTTGTTGCTGTTGCTGCTGTTGTTGTTGCTGCTGGGGCATCTGCTGTTGGGTGAACTGGAAGTTGTTGACGTGGGGCGAGACATTGGGTATCTGGCCCTGCATCTGGAAGTTGCCAAGCTGCTGCTGTGGCTGGATCATGCCCATGTTCACATACTGCTGGTGTGTAGCGGCGATCTGCTGCTGCTGTTGCTGTAACACCTCGATCTGCTGTGCGATGGCAAGTTGCTCCACTGTACGAGCTGCGTCAGCAATGCTTGGGGTCGGGGTAAAAGAACAGGTATACGTACTCATCAGCGGAGTCAGCTCAGACGGGCTGCGGCGATGCGCAATGTGAAGACGACGACCGGCCGGCCCCATGGGGCCCTGTTGGCCTTGCTGCTGATCCATTGTGGATAGTGTGGTGTTGCGAGTTCCAGGCCCGCCTGCAGTGGATATGTACTGTTCGCAGAAGCGACGGTCGAACTAGTTATACAATGCACGAATTGGTCGTGAAGGGGTATTCGGGGTAATCTGGATTTCGTCAGGAGGCTGCTTCTCTAGAAGGTAAGAGAGTATGGGCTTATGCGCGGAAGCGGTGGGTAGCGCACAGAGCGGGGGACGGGTATGTCTAGGAGCTGGTGGTGGGGGAGGGGGGAGGAGGACTGACGTTGTTGTAAAGCGAGCTTATTAGGCAGCGCGTACAGTGGAAGACAATGTTCGCTGGAATCGATGCTGAGATTGTCAGAAGCAGCTGGGTCGTGGTGATATAGACGGTCGTCTGGTTGGAGGTGATAAGGATCGGTGATGCAGGGGGCAGGCGTGGAGGAGCAGATCAAGGAGCGCGGGTTCCCTGGAGCGGGTGAGCAGTGGGCGTAACCGACAAAAAGCGGATGGAGAGAGTGCGGCGAAGGAGGGAGCGATGGAGCACAGGAAGAAGGAGGGTTTTGGAGAGAGAGAGAGAGAGAGAGAGAGTGGACGAGTGAAGTCAGAGTGCGTTGGAGAGGTGTTGAGGGACGTGGGCCTAGCTTTCGTTTTGGTAGCGATCGGCTCTGAGCCTGCGAAACGAGGTCTGACCACACACGGTACGTCACCTGCGCAAGCCAGATATAGCGCCAGCGCCGAGCTATAGTGGGTGGAGGTGATGGAAAAGAGGGAGCTTGCAGGACGACTGACGGACTGACTGACTGAGGCGTTGCGCGCTATTCATACATACAGGGAGACGGATTAGGGTTGCGCTCGTCTCAGCGACCGCAACATGAAGCATTGCGTTTAGGTTTCGACGTTTCACACCACGACGGCCTTGCTCGCACTCACACTCACTCTTGAGCGCCATCATCAAGCCGCCGTCACACCTGCACACTCTCTCACACACGAGCTCCCGGAAGCTATGGCGCTGCCGTGCTCGAGCCAGGCCCGCTAACGCCTCGTAGTGAGATGAAAGCTGTCTATAGCGTTGGGCTGCCGCAGCAACCTTGTTTGCCCTAGCCGTGTCCGGTCTATCGAATAATAATAACCTGTTGCTTTATTGAGGCCTCTAATGGTCCTTTGCAAGCAACTGTCTATCGTTGATGCAAGTGCAGTGAATGTCCAGTCGTCATGTTCTGTCCAGAGCACTCTTGTCAGGGGCAGATGGCGAGTTGGCCCACCACCCTGCGATTGAATAGGCCATGTAGTAACTTGATGAAGCTCCGAGGCATCTCGTGTCTGTTTGTTCCGCGACTCAGGTACCCGAGTCTCTCGATGCAAACAAATAGTCTCATCCTGGGAAGGGAGGTCGGCCGCCATCTGCAGCAAGCCACACTGCGTGATGCGCAGGCACAGTCGACGACCGACGGCCTCTTGTCCGAGCACGCTAATCAATCGACGACCATGGACAGATCAAGTCCGGGCGGAAGTGAGTTCGCAGGCTTATCCACAAGGTTGCCCACTGAACGGTGACGCACTGGAGGAGCCCAAGGAAGGACAGCTTTCGGTCCAACGATTCATTCGGCACGAGCCGCGTCGCTCGAGACCAAAGCGAGACCAATGCGAAGACACGTGACGAGACCAGCTCCACGCTTGGGCCACTCTTAGAGACGCGCTCTCTCCAACCACCTTTTCCACAATCACGTTGCACTCCCTCACGCACGCTTCTGGCGCCAGAATGCCCGCCAGATCGGGCACCTCGTCCTCAAGTATGCATACCGCCGCGTCCTTCAGCTCGAGTTTCATGGACGGCTCCCCGTCACGCCAGTCGCCCAATCGCAATGGCGTCGCCCGACCCCATCGAGAGTCGCTTGTCCGCGATCCCTATGAGAGCCCGTCCCGACAAATGGCCCTAGAATTCAACTTGCGGCTCAGCATGTCTGACAGGGACTTCAATGAGAAACTGGACCAAGCTGCAGCAGAGCGCGCCAAACTGCACGCCGAGCAACTTGCGAGAGCCACCGAGGAACACGAGAGGGTGCGCAGGGGTGCAGAGCTGGAGATACAGCGGATACTGCTAGAAGAGGAACAAGCAAAAGCGCGGAGAGAGGAAGCCCAGAAACGAGAAATCGAGCGGCTACGACACGAGAAGGCACGGGAAGAAGCAGAGGCACACCGAAGAGCACTGGAAGCTAGGCGACGCGAAGAGGAGGCTGCTCGACAGACGGCAGAACATCACAAGAAGCTACAGGAGGCCGAAGCACGCCTCAGGGCCCAGAAGGACCAAGAGGCCGCAGCAGAGAGGCAAAAGAAAGACCAGGTGGACGCGGATCGCAAAGCTGCAGAGGCCGCAGCCGCCGCACAGAAAGCTCGAGCACAGCTGGCTCCCCAACAACCAGCACCCCAGACTACACCTGCGCCTGCAGCCGCACCCACAACAGCGACACCTCTAAAGCCATCGGCCAACGCACAATCACCGACAGCCAATGTCGACCAAATCCACGCCAAATACCTCGAACTGCACCTACGAATGAAACAGTTCCGAATTGCCTTCTGGAATGAGCACAAGAAACCACAGTCGCCCCTCAAGCAGCCGGTTGGCGATGCTCGGCGCGCTCTCCGCACCAGGCTCGGCCAGATCAACGTGGAGCGAAAGGATAGCGTTGCTGCCATCAAGCGACTACGAGAGGAATGCTTCGACATGGCGCTAAATTCCCAGGGTCCAATGATTGACATTCGACCCTATATCGTCGCGCACGAAATACCACCATTGGCGAATGAAGCTGAGGCTGCTTATCCTGCCTTCCTGCTTTATGTGTGGATCTGTTTCGAGAAGTTCCTGCTCAAGCAGTTTGAGAAAGAAGCTGCGAACGAGGACGGGCGCATCATTCAGGAGATTGGTCTGATTGCTGCAAGTCTACTCGGCGATCAGAAGTACATGTGGAAAGGCATCCCTCTTACCGACATTGTGCTAGCTAAACTGCACCGCGCCTGTCCGCCCCTTTTCGGCGTCCGAGGCACCATGAATACCGCCGAGGGCCGCATTCGACTAGGCTGGATGCCCGACTCAACCCTCGACGCGTACAATCAGCGCCTGCGCGGCGTAGGCGCTGGTTATGCCGCAATGTCTCTACGCACATTTGCCTCGAAAGCGCCCGCCCTACCAATATCCGAGTATTGGCGGGCTATTGTGTTACTCTGCAACACGCCTCCTGAGCATCTTTGGCCGGGACATTTTGCCATTCTCAACGGCTTGATTCGAGATTACTATAAGAAGTTCTTGAGCTTCTACGGAGTACCCGCTCGAGGCGTACTACGTCGTGCGACTATCGATTTGCCGGCTCGCGCACCGGAGCGCTGCAAGGATGCCGCCGGCACAGTCAGCGTATTGCCCGAAGGTTGGAAGAAAGAGAAGTTCTTTTTAGATTGAGGGAACTGTACCATGATGTATGGTGGGCAGAGCTCAGGGGATAGTGTGCGGTCATTTCAAAATGCGCATCTTGGGGGTTCTTTCCGGTTCAAATGTGCATAGGCTTGGCGTTTACAGCATTAGCATGGCCAATGGCCATCGCTACCTCTTTTCTCTTTTGTCAAAGGGCGGATGTCAGATTGTATGCATATCGGCGCTGTCGCAATAGAATAATTACGCGTCTGTCCACTACACTGGCCTCGTCTACGTACTCCCTTGCACTTGGCATCTCTAACAGTATGAATCAACAAATCCTTCTACATCGCTACCGTACACTCACAGCACGTATAGTTCGACCGTGATCACTATCAACGAATTTGACTTGTGAGACGTCTCTGGTGGTCGTACGTATCATAGCATGATCGGGGCATTGTGTACATACCAGACAAAGAATGCAGCTAGGCTATGATTGGGCAAACCCCCCATTCAATGTTTACACCGGCCCTTTCAACCAACCATGTACCCACAATTGCGTCCTTTGTAACCGTTTTCAAAATCGGGTCTAGTGTTGGGCACGTGCTCGAGGTCAAAGAAGGGTATTGAATTCTCCGGGCCGACTCCGGCACGACAGGAGAACGACCTAGGGGCCCTAGAGAAGGAGTCGTAGTCCAACACGAAGACTCCTCTCCTCGTTCTGCACATCTTTCACAAATCGGTCATGTCATAGGAGACAGAATTGCAATGGCACAGTTGCGGCCACGCACGAAATTGGAATGGGCGTTCTTGGGTTCAACGGCAACGCAGGCCATCGTAATCACATTCATTCAGGTGTAGGTACCCTTTACCCTTTTTCCTCGTATTCGGATAATTGCTGATTGTATCTTGCACTAGTATTGTGCTTATTTCCTACTTGCGATGGGTGAATCCACCTGTCTACCAGGTACCACTCTCGTACATCACGCCACTTTCGCTAGTAGTCACCATGTTGGGCTGTATCTTCCAAGTCGTGCTTACCCTGGATGCCCTCCGGATCAAAAACAACATCCAAGTCGTTGCACAATGCGTATGCAATCTCTTCATATCCGTTGCAGTCGTCATGCAATACTACCAGATCAAAGGGGCAAATGACCACATTCTCCAAGGCCACGACATGTACTGGAATCCTTTCGCCAAGAATGATCGCCATTTCTGGTACCATACTGCTGCCAGCTTGATCGTTTGCATAGTCACTTCGTGCGCATGCAGTGTGGTCATGTGTGTTTTGGCGTATAGCCTGCATCGAGAGTTCGCCTGGGCTCTCTACCAAGACGTCAGTTCCGAGCAGAAGATGCGAAATCGATACCTAGCGTACCAGGTCCGTCCCCCTTTCAAACCCGCCCTTGGAAGTCAGTGCTAAATTTTCATACAGGTGTACCTTGTTCTAATGAAATTCACCGTTCTGTTTCTCACTTGTTTTATTATTATTTACGACTTCATTAATGTTCATTACATGGAGCCGGAGTTTTCCTTGACTATATCCATCATACCTGCTGCATTGTTACACGCTGTACTTGCAGCCTACTGCGTAAGAGTCGAGACAGCAATAGGAATGGCGCTAATTATGGTAACTACTACTCTCCCCTCTCCACCAACCGTTCAGAATGTCCCTAACTTATCACCCATCAGCTCATCCACATGGCCGAGATCGTCTACCTCACCAGCAGACTCATCGTCCTCTGCGGCAGCGGATTTCTTTCTCGAACAGCTTTGAAAGACCAGATGCTACTGTTTGCCTCTGTCGGATTGAGTTTTGCTATATTTACCTTCATCACGGGCGCTATTTGCATATCGAATTTCAATAAAGGGCTGAAGCCCATCTTGCGCGGCCAGGTGCAACGCAAGGTCCCGGCGAACCAGCAGGCCGACATGTATTATTTTCAACGGCTGAACCACCAGGTTCCTCCTGTTCCGGATTGGGCGTTGCGGCGGTTTGATTTGGATTGATACGGGTGGGTTTGGAGAGACATTGTACGATTACGACATATTTTACACTAATCAAACACGCGTGGGAGACGGTCAATTGCTGTTCAAATTTATCATCAATCATGGTAGTCAAACACGCGGGGCAAACGTTCAATTACCGTTCAATCTATCATCATTCATGGTGGTCATCACTTGTATGGGTATGTTGTTGTGGAGTTCACGGAAAGGAGTAGTCATGAGGAGAGTGTTATCATGTTGAAATTTGTGCTGATACTGCTATCAAGTTCCCGAGGCGTCGGATCGCCGTGATATGCTATTAAGCAACCGCATCATATGCAGAGCGGCTCACTTTAATGCTCCGCAGAGCTAATGGATACCGCTACATCTTATTCCTAGATTATACATCTAACTCTATGAGAAAATGAGAAAGCTGCAAGGGAAGTCGCATGATGCAAGAGTGCATGCCTACTTCTTCTTACCCTTACCCTTCTTCATGGAATCCTTGGTATCCTCAGGGTCGACCTTGTTGGAGACCTTGGGAGGCGTGACCTTGTAGCCAGTGACAGTGGCTTTGAGAGCCTCCTTGATCTGAGCAGGAGTCCAGGGCTCATCCATGGGAGCGAGGCAGAAAGCCACCGTCCATGGTTTCAGCTTAGCCATGGTAGTATTGGGGCAACCGTTGTTGACTTGGACTTGAAGGTTGAACTGCTGCGGCTCATCGCTCGTGAGACCCTGGACGTCTAGACGGCAGTATCGGTCGGTGTAGAGTGGCCGACCCACGACATAGGCGCCGTCAAGCTTATCGTCGCGGACCTCGTCGATCCAGTCCTGAATCTGGACTTTGACGCTCTTACCCATAGTGTTCGTGTACGGTCCGTGAAGAGAAGCTTTAGGTAGGTTGAAAGATCTGGTCAGATGATCTCGTCGAAATATCTGGTTGAGGCTCTCCGGAGGGTGTGGATGTTGATACTGCTTTGTGATGAGGAAGAGAGTGCGCCCGAAGGCCTTTTTACTGAGCAGGAGGCAGCCATAGTGAATAGCCAATACAGTCTGTAGGCTTGAAGCCCTGGTGACGTTGTGTCGTTACCGTGATGGTATGCCCGGGCGACAATCTTTCCCTTGAAGGATTAAAGGATTTCAGAGCTTAGAGTGCAGCGCGGGTGCTTTCACTGCATTTTCAGGTTGCCAGTTGGTATAGCACCGCATAGTATGGCATCCGCAGCTCGAGCAATACCATAGCAACGCACAGTCTCTGCATAGCCTAGAGAGTACGGAGATTGTGTAAGAAAGAACACCGCGGTGCGTGCAGCGGGCATTATTAAAGCACTAAATGTGACTTATTTACTAGTTACATTATAAGAGGAATTTCAAAGCGCCTGTACCCTAGCTAAGACTACAAAAATACTTATACTTATATTAATTCTTCTACAATAGGCTATTTTTAAGATAGTTATTAATTATTGTACTAACTATTAACTTTTCAATACGTCTAACAAAATCTATATTTATACTTATCAGTGTAAGTATAACTATTTAAAGGATTTTCCTACTCTTAAAGTATACATGTAGCTGCTTCATAGTCTTTATCTTGAATTTAGTATAATATATAATAGAATAATAGAATCCCCTTCTCCTTACTACCCACCTAGATACTAACCTATTAGGCTTCCCTTAGCTAAATCATGGCGGGCCCTCGAACAATGGTGTCCGTATAAGCAGGATCCTACAGCTTAGCCATTTGCATTGTAGCATGAGGAGCGCCTACGCCCTAGCTGAGCTATCACTGGTCCTGTGAAAGTACTTTGAGTGCGGAGGTGTTCGTGGTTACATTGAACCTGCATTGTAGCTTGACAATTGGTTGCGCTTCACTTCTTAACCGTTCTTCCCCACCTAGATATATAATCCTCAACACAACACTGCAATCCCACTACAACCACAACCGAATGACAACTACATTGTCGACTCCTAAGATTATACGACAAGTAAGCATCGAAGCAATGAGTGCCACCATAGATCCTCGAGCCGGACTTGCATGGGCGTACGAAGACGGCCCCTTGGGAGAGCTAGGAGAGCTACTTCCAACATGGACTGTCGAGCCCGACATCGAAGTCATCACCGATATCGTCCGCCGCAAATTGAATATTCCAGAGGTTTTCCCATGCGTGGTCGAACTTCTAGCGCAAGGTGCCTTCAACAAGGTCTACACCGTACAGTGTGGCGGCAACAGCAATGTCATTGTGCGTGTCACCCTGCCAGTTCAACCACACCTCAAAACCTTGAGCGAGCGAGCGACCATCGAGTATGTTCGACATCATACGGATATCCCGATTCCGCAAGTACTCGAATATAACGCCATTCGCGACGACGAGCTAGGCTTCGAATGGATGATCATGGATAGAGTTGAAGGTACCAAAGTCACCGAACAGTGGAAACACATGAGCTGGCTTAAGAAAGAACTACTGGTACGCAAGGTCATCACTTACCTGGCGCAATTGTTCCGCAAACGCTTCCACCGACTGGGTAACCTCTACGCGACCGAGGACATTCAGCAAATGTCCACCAAAGATATGCCAGATGCCGTGTTTCTAGGTGCTGAGCACTCGAGCCACACGGTTCGATTCGGTCTGGGGGAGGTTGTCTCCATCCCATTCTTTTATAACGATCACGGGGGTATTGATGTGCCGCGAGGTCCATACAAACATAGTCGTGATTGGCTCGCAACATGCCTCCGGCTTTATTTGCATGATGCAGACAACATGTCAGATATAGACGAAGAGGAAGAGAGCTCAGAGGAAAACGACTCCGACAGCGACAGCGACATCGATAGCAACAACGACAGCGGCAGCAACGCTTCCAATAAAACTGTTGACCCTAACTCAGTCGAAGCCATCAAGTCTCGGATCCAGCGTATGCTCAACTTTCTACCCCAGATTTTCCCAGCAGATGAGCGCGAAGAATATACCCTCATTCACCAGGATCTGAGTGACAACAACATGATGGTGGACGAAAACCACGATCTCTCCGGGTTCATTGACTGGGAATGCGTCTATACGGTGCCCCTTTGGCTCGCATGCCAACTTCCTCGGTTCCTACGCGGCCAAAATTGCCAACATCCACCCTTATATGCCACCGAGTTCGAGAACGAGTACTACGAGTCAGCTTACTATGAGGACCTCGAACTGTACGAGAAGACGCAATTGCGAGAATTCTTCTTTGAGGAGATGGAGCGCATTTGTCCAGAATGGATGCGAGTCCATGAAGCTAGCAGTATCAAAGCAGACTTCGAGTTCGCGGTAAACGTCTGCACCATGCGTGGTTACTTGCAGGATATCGATGAGTGGTTGGATTCTGTCGAAAATGGCGATGAGGTCGAGTCCCTGCGTGAGCGTTTGGGTCAATGCTAAGGGTAGGTAGTCGCGACAAGTGGTATTCGTTGAGTCGTTTAGGTCTCAAATTCGGCTTGGGGATGAAAAAGATAAAATTGTATAGTCCATCTACGTCGAATTACTTTACGGCTTGAGCGGTTTTGACATTCAATGCACAAGTAGTCTGTGTAATGAAGCATCACATCGCTCTCTGTAACCAATCAATGAATCATCCCATAGACTTTTCACTTGCCTGCAGCTCTTTCAAGTTCCGGCGTTCCTGCTTCGCATCTTAAAGCCGAACTATCGTGAGACAGGTAAATAGAAGATATTACGAGCGGTTACACATTAACATAAGCAGAGCTTAATGGTCCGTATAATCGGTAGGTGTGCTATACCCTACAACTCGCGTTTGTGCCTTGCTAGTGATGTGATTGAAGCGAAACCCGCAACTGGGCTAAAAATAGCAACAGCTAAGCGAAGAAAATGGCGATCACGAACCGCAAACACGGTAAAGGGGCACAGGGCTAACATCGTCCCGCTGTTAGGTCCTCACTCCTCAACACCACGCCTGTTGGCTCACAATCTCCTGCTCATGAGTTGTTGCGCGCATATGCACGCCGCAGCCTCCGTACTACCATCGCAGAGCCGCCGGATAACTATCACATTGCATGATGTACCCCTCGAAAGGTGAAAGCTCTGACGCCCCGCTACGGGAGCTTGTATTCCTTCCTCACCTCGCAACATCCTCTGATTCACCAGAACGAATATGGCTAGTTGTAGTCCACATTCTGCAGAGACCTCACCGTCTAGGCCTTCCCGGGCTTGGTTTAGGCAGACTCGCAAAACAACTCCAAGGCGCTCAGCCCCGTGATCGAATCATGCCGGCTTCCGCTCATCTCATTTTACTTAGCGCACGTGGCTGAGCGTCTTGAATTTGAAGCTTGGATCCTCTAGCACATATCATACACGCAGACGCGGAGTCGAACCGGTCACTCAATGTCGACACTCGCCGAAGCAAAGTTCGAAAAAGCAGCCAATTCGATCTTTGCCTAGTTGCATGAGCTGAACAAATCAGTTCAGCTGCACGTGTGGATTGGTCATAAGGCCCGTCGACGTGGCTCGCACGCGTCAGACAACACATCTTTACTGGCCCGAGTGTTGACTGGGCTGTATTTTGACATGCGAGATGCAGGTCTTGATCTCTCCTTCATGGACTGTGCCACCGCCCGCTCTTACACAGCATTTCATCATTTCTTTTCCTATATCACGTTAGTCAAAGCTTTCAACCGCGTAATTCTTGCTTCTCATTTGTTGGTAGCCGATCGCTCCACGAAGGCGTTCAATGATACGCAGGGGCGGATTGGCGTTTCCCTAAATCGAAGGCCCAGTTCCCCACAACGGGCGGAGGCTGAGCCTTTCTCATAACCGAGAAAAGCATGGCTTGGACGCCTATTCAAAGCTCTAGCACCACGGGTGGGATTCAAATGGGTCTATGCGCAGCTGGTTTCATTTCACAGGCAGGTATATCTGCTGCCTGAACGCCCGGTTACTAAGTTTCTGTTTCAAGGATTTCTTGATTAAGTCAACAACAGCCTGGTTATGAACAACGTATTTCAGCTTCATATGGCGTAGTATTCCATTCGTATTTCATAAACGGCCCGTCAGCCTCGATCCACTCACGAAATCCGTACACTTACATGACCCCAATACAAACTTAAAGCTTCCACAGCCGAACCTCGTTGTCAATACGTTCAATCTCTCTCCAACACTACTCGTCATGGCTCCCACTCCGACTAACGGAGACCTTGCCGCCGACCCCACATCCTCACCAAAACCAGAGTCGGGCTACTGGACAAAAGCAAACATCGCCGTGACCACCGTCTTCGCTCTCCTCGCTCTGGGAGTCTTCCTTGCCTTGATCCTATTCTACCTTCACCGAAGAGCCCAGAAGAAGAAGCTTGCCAAACCACACGCAGACAAAGCTGGCTTGCTCGAGAATGAAGACAAGACGAGCATGTTCAGCCGGCACCGAGCTAGCAGCGTAACAGTATATGTCGACTCGGAAGTCGACGAGCAAAGCAAGAGAGCTAGCCAAGAGACTCCAAGCAGGATCCCGATTCAAATCACACCGGTGGAAGAAAGCAGGGATCCGATAAACAACAAAAGGGGAAGCACGGGTAGCGGCGTCAGTGCCATGAGCAGGAACACCTTGAGCACCATACTGCTGAGCCCAATATCACCGCATATTGAAGACGGTGATTTGATGCAGCCAACGGGCAGGCCACGAAGCACGAGTTCATCGAGCCAAAAGGCGCGATACTATCAGACAACACCCACAAACATCGAGATGCCACAGATTCCGAAAATTATTCGAACACCCTCCGATGATGAAACGAGACGATGAGAAGGCCGGGATGAAAAGGGTATCGTGCATATGATCTATTGTCAGGAAGATCACTTAGGTGACTGGGGAGCGGGGGTAGGACTTTTGTATATTTCTTGTCAGGCGTTGCAGTTGCAGCCTTATGTTTTTCATGTCTTTCACTTTTCAGCATGATCCCGTTTAGCATTTACGATTACCCTCCTAGACTCCTGCATACATCACAACAAGCAGTCGAGTCAAAACCCTCGAAAAACAATACACATTTCAATAACAAGCTTGCGCCCATTTTCAGCCTTTCTCCTCCCAATGTTTCAGGATGTTGCAGCGCATGCCGCATATGACGAGATTTGGCCCCCAAACACGTCCCACCCAAAGAGATCATCACACTAGCAGTGAAATTTCAACGCCTCTCGGGTGATTCGGAGTAAGCAACCCTTTTCCTAGCGACTTTGCAGCCCCTTTGTTGCCGCGCATTCGCATCCGCGCCTCTTTGTCCAGTAGCAACACAGTCAACCGGGGCTACAGATACATTTTGACAAGTTTAGAAGATGCTGTTACTGGAATTTTCGGTTCATCTCTCCCGAAGGTGGTGGCACAGCAACAGAGCACCTGATCGTAACCCAGCCGTAGAACTAAGCTTTGCCTAACCTGCGGCTGTGCCACGAGCAAGATCACAGATCCGGGTATAGCACCACGAGCTGTCGTGATAGGTGATCGTGCGTTGGGATGCAGCATGCATAGCCACGCTTCCTGATGATGTCCCACAACCTCGTGTAAGTGGAGCATGGGAGGACACGATCCTGTATCAACCCAGCTGAAGTAAGGCATATTTCAAGCGGGTATTTAGACAGCTTGAATAATGTACACAGTATTGCTGAGCCTCCCAAGGGCCGTAAAATATCGCTCGATCGCCAACGAATTTCTCTACTCTTGTAGGAAGTACCTCCAGGCTTTGAAGTAGGCCTACATTACAGCTTTGACTCTGTCTTCTTCTCTTTAGGCACCATCAAGCGGTTCAGTTCCTCCACAAATCTCCCATCTAGCACGCTCCTCTCCCGCCCTGTCTTTCCTTCCCACTCCTTCTGCGTTTTTACCTCCCAATCCCAGTACCTCGCCATCTCCTTCTCTACCCACTTGGCAATATGCTCAGCACTCTCCTCCACTTTCTCCATCGGGATCAAATGACCCGCGTCTTGCACCATAACATTCGCTACCCGGCCTCCAGCCCGGCCGCCGCTGCCGCCAACGCCAGACCCTGTCCTGGACATTTTGTCTTCGATGATGGCAGGATTTGTGAGGGAGGACAGACTGCCGAAGATGTAGAATACAGAAGGGCGAACGTGAGGAAGTTGGTTGAAAACAATTGTTGATTCGCCGCGGTAGAAAGGTGTTTGCGGGTCAGCGTAAGGAGTGAGATCTGGGTGAGTGCGCCGATTGAGCGTCGAATTGCTAAGAGTGAAGTCTGCGGATGAGATCTCTGTGTCGCCTGGGCGAGCGGCAAAGTTGGATCGAAGGAAGGTCATGACCTCGTGATGTTTCGTTGTTGTCAACGTAACCTCGGGTGCCTTCGCTTCCGGAAACAGCTTGGTTGGAACATCGCGCAGCCCGTGCTCTACCCAGCGCTCGAGAACCCGTGGATCCCAACTCTGGTAGAATTTACTTTTCTGGAAGCTTTTAGCTGCTTCTTCCCGCGAGGGCCATCGCTCGCGGCGCTTGGCGGATGCGTAGGCTGGCCCGACATTAGCATTGAGATGGACTCTTTCTGCGATGACAGGGTCGATGAGAACCAGGGTTTCAAAGAGGCGCGGGTGCAGGAGAGCAAGATTGGTGAGTTGGCAACCGCCCATACTGTGCCCTACGCCAATTAGGGGGCGCGGCATTCGGGCGCGGAAGTGGTTAACCATGTTAAGGAGATCGCGACTGTGGTCGAGCCAGGCAGCTGTTGCAAGTAAGTATGCAGCCACTTCATAGGATGTCGATATACGTACGGTCGTTTCCTAGCTTATCCTCATTCAACACACTACTCCATCCTTGATGTACGACATCTGCTATCCAAATGCCACGGATACCGAAGCCGTGCTGTCGACATATCTTCAGGAGTTCATCCCATAAGGGCTCATACAGCTCTTTCGGAAAGCCATTGGCATGCGCCCCAATGATAGTAATGTCCCCTGGTCTTGGGCAAGGATTGTTGAGCGGGGTATACTGCTTGACGGCTATGTGCAGGACCTCTTCTTGGTTTGTTGCTGTCACTCTAGGGAAACCACGGATATGGGAAGCTTCTATTGTATGCTCGTCTATCCGGAAGAGGTCTGAAGACATGACGGACCCAACCCGAGCGATTTGCTCCTGGTGTCGTAGAGTCGGCACCGGGAAGGGTTTATTTCCTGAATGAGCAAGAAACGAAGTCTAATTAATGGAAAGATATTCGAGTCGATGATGTGAAGAAGCCCAAAATGCTTGAAGGTGCAAGACGTCGACTTGTACCGATGTGTCGTGACGAATTGCCGGCACCCAATCTGGGGACGAATGCCGAGGTCCACGGGTCAATCTCCACACCCACAGTCCAAAAGCTGGAGAACATTCCGAATTGCAGATGACGTCTTACCATGGATAGTAAGACGTGAGCCTTAGCCCCAAAATTACACTGCAAGTAGGGAGCCGTGCCAGTATGCGTCTGGGCAACATGTCGAAGACCAACTACAACAGGTGTTGGGTGGGGCGCGCAGAGATCACGTGAACACACGCGACTTGGGGAAAGCGCGACCTTGTCAAGTATACGCGCATCGCGCTTTTGTCCTAACAGAGCGTCACGCGCGCACTCACGCAATACACGGCACTTTACCCCCCACGGCAGCCATGGAGGATGTAACCATGGTAGAGGACTCACCGGGTCTCTTCGAAGAGCTCAGCTTTACGATTATCCCCAATGGTCTATCCGAAGAGCGCCTGAAGAAGGTATTGCGACGCGTCTGCATGATATAGAAGTACAGCTAACGCGTCATACAGATTGAGACCGACATAGCAGCTTCGAATGGCACCATCATACCCTTCGACGCTCCCAAAGGCCGTATCGACCGGCTCAAAGAAGTTGCCTACATCGTTTCAGAGACGTCAGACTTCCCCGACTACTACCGCGCCCTCGACTTGTTGATACACGTGGTGAAGCCAGCATGGGTTGAAGCGTCCTTGCAGGCCATGAAGGTCAAGAACCCTCGGACATATAGCCCAGATCCCGCCCTTTTCATGAACGAGGTAGTCATATGCTGCGGAAACATACCAACGGGGGACAAAGAGGCAATTGAAGGCGGAGTACTGGCTATGGGCGGCCAGATTGCTCCCGCGCTTTCGAAGCAGGTTACACATCTCATCGCACTGGATCTGGACGACCCACGGTGTCAGCTTGCTGTTAGCAAGAGGCTACAGGCTATGATGGTTCTGCCACACTGGTATGACACAAATTCAAAGCGCCAGGCGACCTAAAGGCTAATGCTTCTAGGTTCGATGACTGCCTCAAAGTCGGGCGCCGCATCTCCGAGCGACCTTACACACTGCCCGACCCTGAAATTCTTATCGTCGAAGCTGGCGCTATTCCTTCTACCCGAACAAGCCCACAGATCCGAGATGCGACAACGCCAGATCCAATACATGACTCTATACCGTTAATGCATACTATTCATTCGGAAGCGCCGCGTGCGATCAAAGCGTTTGCGGACAAGCGCCTCATGTTCGGTGACGATCTGAACCTTAGCAGCAAGCTCCTGAACATTTTCACGGGTATGATCGAGGCTGGCGGTGGTAGCGTGACGAATAAAGTTACCAAGGCAGACATCTACATCTGCAACTATCGAGAAGGTCCAGACTACATCAAGGCATCACAGGATGGAAAAGATGTGGGCAATCTGGGCTGGCTATACTATCTAATCACACATGGTGTTTGGACGAACCCGATGCGACGGATGTTGCACTACCCGCGACCACGCCGTGGCATTCCTGGCTTCGAAAAGTACAAGGTTAGTATATCTAGCTACACCGGCGAAGCGCGGGTCTACTTGGAGAACATGGTGAAGGCCTCGGGAGCCGAGTTCACAAAGACGTTCAAGCAGGACAACACACATCTCATCACCGCCCACAAGAACAGCGAGAAATGCGAGGCTGCAGCCGAGTGGGGCGTCGACGTTGTCAACCACCTCTGGTTAGAAGATAGCTACGCCAAGTGCAGGGAGATGCCGCTCACAGACAACCGGTACACGTACTTTCCCCCACGGACAAACCTTGGAGAAATACTGGGCCAGACCGAGATCGATCGAGATGCTATGGACAAACTCTTCTTCCCGGAATCTCGTAGGCCTGCGAAAGCCGTGAAAGCCGCAGTTAATGTAAACGTGGTGCCAGCATCGAGCCTGCCAGTAAGGAAGGAAGCACATGAGACGGTCGATCATAGCTCACCTGTGACTGATAAGACTAAGCGCACAAAGTCAACTGGGAACATGCAGACACCGCTACCACCTCGGCATTTAGATGGTAAGGAGAACCTAACACCAGGCAGTCGAGGAGCCAAGGACCGGGCATTATCGAAGCTCCATGATGCAGCGCCTGATATTGCGCAGTTTGAGAAGGAGATGAAGCGTAAGGGCGGCGTGATACATGGCGGGCGGCGGAGAGTAGAAGATGAAAATGAAGACCGATCCAAGAAGGGGAAGGATCGAGACTCTGTTGCAAGCAAACGCTCGATCGATGAAGTTGACGAGGACGGCGAGGATGAAGTGACCGAAGACGAAGTTACAGAGGCTCCCTCGAGGTATAAGAAGGCTAAGAAGAGCAAACTCACACCCATCAAATTCCGTATGCTAGTCACAAAAATCGAGCGGTGGATCGATAACAGTGAGAAGGAGTCCAAGGACAAAGCACGTCTCCGGGAACTCGGCCTCTTTATCACAGACGACTTCAAAAAGGTGGACCTCGTTTGCGCACCACAACCCGTACGGACCAAGAAGTTCATCGCAGCGTTAGCTTGCGCTCCTACCCTCGTCTCAACATCGTACCTGGACTATGCGCTCAAACACGATAAGCTTCCGCCGGCGCAGAAGCACCTCCTCGAAGCTAGGGACTTTGAAGAGGCGAATAGCATCCGGTTAACGGAAGCAGTCGAACGCGCGAAGCAGAATAAACATCGCCTGCTGAAGGACTGGACTATCTTTTGCACGGAGAATGTTGGTGGTGGATTTGACACATACAAGGACATTATTGAAGTGAACGGCGGCAAGTGCTCTTTGTGGAAGGGTCGAACGACGACCGTTACAGCATCAAAACGACCACTCAACACATCGGACACGGAGGTCAGCCAGAATCAGGAAGAAGACGAAGGTGATATTCTTTACCTCATTTCCGACCCGGACAAGAAGGAATTTGCCAATTGGGCCAAGTTCCGCGAGCTTGCGAAGAAGCATGACATGAATCCGCGCATTGTAAAGACGGAGTGGATGCTATTTGTGGCTATGGCGCAGTATGTGCATTGGGATCCGGAGTGGGAGTTGAGCGAAGATGTTGTTAAGGCTGCGAAGTAACTATCTCTGACTTTTAGAACATGACGCTGACGACAACGGGTAGAGCGACAGGCGTTCAGGCACAGGAATCGGGTTTCGAGCTGCATATCGGCGGTTCTTTGAAACATCATCATGTTCTTGATATTTCAGAGCACATAGGAATAGCGAAATCATTGCGTTGGTAGCAGTTATATGGACCCTCACAGCTATCAGGTCTGGCATTAGCTCACTCAGGAACTAAGCCTTTCTTCCCGCTCTCTCATGTATATTGACAATGCGTACCTGCCGAACTTAATGCATATACATGGCCACAGTCCCATCACGACCAACCAGATCTTCACCTTCGAGTCATCAAATTACTCGACTTCTCCAACGCGTGTCTCTACTCCTTCTTCCCCTCCCCCCGCTCCGGATAATACCCTCCTGCAAATTCCAAACTAGCGCCCTCAAACTTGTCCGTCTTGATCCTTTTCCAGCCACTCCACGGCATCCACCCGTTCTTCTCAAAGATCTCCACCTCAACCGTCGCAATAAAGCTCTCAATACAAGTATTCTTCCTGTGGCCATCTGGAAACGGACTCGCAAGACCAAACCAGCCCGGCTCCTTGGGTGCATGGGCTTTCAACTCGAGCTTGTGGAAGTAGTTAGACACGGATAACGAGAAGGTGCGGGACTCCCAATCGTTCGTTGTGCTCATGAACGGGCTCAGAATGTTGAGGTAGCTGACGGAGAAAGGCGGTACAAAATCCAGGTTCAGCGCTGGCGAGCGGTAGCCCAGCATGTAAGCTGTATTATATAGGATCTTGCCGCCGGCGAGGCAGATGCCGCGGTTTTCAGACGCATCCCAGGCTTGTACCCACATATGCGCTTCGGGGAAACTGTTTGCCCAGTTTTTTTCCTGGTGGATGGTTGCTCTTCCCTTGCGGTCTGCTGTGGGAAACGTGTCGCCGAGAGAGGGTATGGATAGCGTATACGTGCACGGCGAGCAGAGCGAATGTACATGCCAGTGTAGCGGTAGCGGGAGGTTGATGATCCATCCTTCGGGCGTGGATTTGTCGGCTCCCCATGCTGTGTAGCTATCACCCTGTGCTTTTAGACTCCAGCTCCCATCGTCAGCTTGCAGGTCGTAACTGGTCGTGCCATCCCCCTCGGCCCTCATGACTCCCATGCCTGCGATCCTCAATTCGAACGCCTTGGTCTTCTCGTTGGTAGTCACGCGCTCTATGTTGTCGATGAAAAGCTCGCGTTGGAATATTGGCTTTCCGGAAGCTGGGTAATATGTGAAGGATACCATGTGAGGGCGTGATGAGGCATTGGGGACAGAACATATGATGAGCGCGATGTGGGAGCCGCTGGCGAAGTCGAATTTGGAGTAGAAGCCTTCGAAATTGGCGCTGTGGTGGGGGGCGTAGTGCTCCATCACAATTCAAGGCTCTAGGTAGGTGGTGGTGAGTTTGTTCTAGATGTTCGCGGTCTTAGTGTTGTTCGCCTCGTGTGTCTGTCATGACGTAGACGGATACACTACTTGGCACGCTGAACCGAATGTCATCATTGCATACCATAAGAGGATTTTCGAGCCACGTGAGCAGAGATAGTTTGCAAGTTTCTCCAGTCGCCCACTAGGAACACTTCGAGGTGCGTCAAAAAATCCTCATTGTGTCCTTTGTGTGGCCAAAGTGAACCGTTCATTATACTTCCAAACGTACAAACGTAAGCAAAAGCTAAAAGATAACTCATTGCCCGCACATATCTCGAGCCTTCCGAAACAATCTGCCACAACCTCGATTGTTTCAATAGTCATCAAACTTCGTACTCTCCGGTGTTTGCCCGTCTCACGACGGCTGTCAAGCAAAGTCCTGGTGATCACTCAGATTAGCATTTTCAAGCATTTCAGGAAGCACGTGGACGCATGGGATGAACCGACCCGCTCTTCATTTGCGTACATCGATTTGCTACTGTGAGGTTTCGCAGCTCAAAGCGGCGCAGAGTTCGTCTGTAGCGAGTACAAAGCCGTGATAATAGAGTTGTTAAGACCGTCTCTGAGGTCTAAAAACGGACGAAGAGTCTAAGATTAGAGACTTCAACCTTTGTCCTTAGTAAAACAGCTTGTCTTAGACACATTTGGCCACAATTGTTGTTTCCTGGTAAGGTAGCTACTGCGCGTTGTGTGTCATTTGATTGTTGCTGCTATAAGTTTGTATTCTGACCCCCCTTTTCTTCTCATCTACGAAGCTCCCTCCCCTACAAAGATCTCTCTCTCTCTATTACAACGGCTCACCCGATACAGCTTAAACCTTCCAATTACACCTACCACAGAACGACCACGAAGATGGCGACCAGCGGCGATGGCAGTTCTTCACGCCCAGACTGGCACCTAGTCTACACTGAAAAGCACGTTGATGGCACGCACAGACTTGCTATCCAGATTGATGGCAGTATCCTAAAAACACTTTTTCGACATTCATTCTTCCTCGAACAGCAATCTGGGACTGTGCAGCACCGCTTGTCCAGGTATTCCAGACACCAAGTCGTGAAGGAGCACGGCTGGTTCAAGGATATCGATACCTTCACCCACGTCTGTCTCAACCAAAACATACCTGCACAGGCAACACCGGAAAATCTAGAAGAGGAAATCGAGATATTTGATCTCTGGAGATCCGCCGTTTTGGTGACACTCGCAACTAGCCACCAAACTCTCTGGGCTCCCAATGATGGCAATACGATCTAATCATTCCTCTTGTTCGTGTTCGACATACTACACACAAACACTACACATAAACTATTGGACAGGATCGAAAAATACATAGATAGTTCTCTACATAGCCGAATAACCAGCATGCCTTTCCAACTGCCTGAATAGTTCTCTTTGCTCAGAGTATGGATCTTCGAAGCTCTGTGCGACATCTTCCACAAATTGACAACGTATCTCCCAGTTTACCTCGTCACCGTGACACATATTGATGCATCCATCGATAGTTACAGCTTGCATCCAAGCAGGATACCATCCAGACTCAGCCCAGTCGATCAAGGTAACCTCCCAGTCTTCAGCATCCTGTTCTGAAGTCTGAAGCTGTCGGACAATGATATTTTGCATTGAAGGGTCCATGTGAGTGAAGGTAGGCTGGATTCCTTTGCATTTTGTCAAAGTGCTTTCCAATCTAGACAAGTGAAGTTCTGCATCTGGAGAGAAATCTTTAGAGTTGCCAGACATTACCGCTGTTATTTGAGCAGAAGTGTACGCGGCCGAGATGAAATCTTCGTAGGTTTTGTACGGGCCACACATCTCTTTTCCATTGCTGCGAAGGGGTAAGGAATTCGGATTCCAGCCTTGGTTGTGCACTCTCCCGTAGTATCCCTCCGAAGGAATTGAGCGGAGGAGGCGTAGTTGCTCGCACAATTTTGAACAGATCTTTGTACGTGCCTTGTCACTAAGACTTAGCCATTTTTTAGAGGTTAACATCTCGCCTTCGATAAACTCTGTTACCATGTAGTAGGCTGGAGAGGGCTTTGTTTCCCGGGCGAAGACTGCGTATACCGTAGGCGTACGGACCTGGGAGTTTGCTTGGAGGAAGAGTAGGTCTTCTGCTTCCTATTCATGGTTAGTCATTGTAGTGGAATATTCAAGACTGCTTACCTGGAGTATAATCGGATTATAACTCATCTTTACAACACACGTCCCAACCTTGCAGACGTCTGAAGAAGCACCTCCTTTGAGTCTGTCTTCTTTCATGGCTCTATCAATCTCGTCAAACGAGGGTATGCGTGGGTGGCTCGACGCTTCGTACGGAAGTTGCAATTTCGTCCAGGAAGACAAGGGCATAGGAAATGACGCCAACTCTTTCAGATAGGTTGGGAAAGCCTCATTGAAAGTCTGCACATTGAAGTGCTCTTGGAGAATTTCTGTTTTGGAACGCATTGCAAAGTGTCGAAGTGCGTATATATGCACACCAACAGAGATGGGAACGTGGGTTTTATATTAGATCCTGGAGAATGCCCTTTATCAGCATAAGGCGCTCGTTGTGATCGAACGCTGCATGTCGATTCTTTGTTTTAGCACATCGTTCCTTAACTTGGCTGAACGTGCCATTGAGGATTGCTTTGTTCTCTGAGCTTTCTTTGTGCCGAGTCTAAATCGAGGTTGAGGCGTGTTGTGTTCTCCAAGATTTCTTATGTCCCGAGTGCGGTCTGAGGTTGTAGTATCGTGGTAGCATCACACAGAGCACCGCTGATAAAGAAAAATAGGTTCACAGGAGCACGGCAGCAAATATAGCACAGACATATCAACTATTAGAGAGCCCAAAGGTACTAATTGCAGGATTCTCTGCTCTCTTCGAAATCTACTTCTTTTGGAAACTCCTTCACACTGATGAAGGCAAGTTTACTCAGCTCCTGGATCTCGCAGTCAAGCCTGGCATTGATGAGAAGGCAGTGCTGTAGCTTCTGGGGAATTTAGTTATTGTAAGTGACGGATTCTAGGGGACATCTACTTGCACTCTTTACTATAGCGAGAATATGAAAAAGCAATTTAATAACTGTTTGCATCCAAGTCAACTTGTACGTTCTAATATTACGCTACCACCGACGCTAACTTAATTCCCATCGTAAATAGCATCTGGTCAGAATGTCACCTACTACCCCCAAAATTAGCAAGATCTCCCTTGCTTCATGTCCAACTAGTAAGGTGGAAGGTTCTTGAGTAATTGTAGTTGGGACCAGCACAAGTTCAGTCTCGACTTTGTTTCCATTAGCGTACTTTTTTCTTTGTGAGGCTGCACATAACTTTCAAGCTGGAAGCTTCCAATGAGTACAAAGAGATCTGCTCAAAATAGATACTCTTATCCACCGTCGGCACCCGACACCACCCTTGTTCATTTCATATTGAACTCTACGCGGAGACGTGATATCGTGCTTGACTTCCGTGTTTACTTCTACATAGGCACGCCGCTCGTGGACCTTGAATATTCCGCGACGGGAATCAGGCACTGTATTCGTCTTCATATTATTCAAGTGTATCGAACCTCCCAGAACGAATAGGTAGACCACCCCATGATTTGGCTGGCAGCAACAGGCCGCCACCAGGCATCAATGTTCACATGGTATGTGCAAAAAATCGAAAGGTCGAGATGGCGTCGTTGATCTGATCAGGTGTGAATATTGACGACATTAGATCAGCGGGAACAAGCGCTCTGAAACAAGGTAAGATGTCTACATCCTTGAGAGAGGAATGGAGCTTTAGCAACGAGTCTTCAGAAGCGCAACAACGAGCATGAACAAGGAACCGTCGACTTTCCCTATCGGGTTTACATGCCCTTGTGTCTGTACATGTACTATTATTGTTGGAAATGGAACGGGCTGAGCCTGGCTATGAGCGTTTTCGAATGTCTTCTTGGATGTCGCTGTATGCGATTGTTGGCAGGATCCCCCGAGACTGCTGCCTAGAGTGGGACGTGCCTCTGCTTTGACTTTTGTGATTTCGTCCCATCCTTGGCGCTCAGACCCGCACGAAGGATGCACAAAATGTAGGCCTCTCAATGCGATTTCAGGTGGCAAATCGCAATGAGGCCCTTCTTGACGACTGCCCCCGTGCCTCAATGTAAGAGAAAGCTGCAGCTCAACAGTTGCACCACTTGAGCTCAACAATTTAGCTTAGCCAATGATCGAAATCCTATGCTGTCTGTTGAGCCACCATTGAACACGTAGCAGTCCGTGGTTGGCTTCACAATCATCGCGCAGAGCGATCCTCGGGACAAGAGATAAACCGATAAAGCATGTAAGATGCGCGTTCTGTACAAATAGAACGGTTTTGAAACTTAGCTAAAAATGTACGCCACCACTGAGCGCTTCGGGCCACATCCTCAAAAATCGTCCGAGGACGGCCGACGGAAAAACTTCTTCCTCGAGCTACTGGCAACAGAGGCCTGAAAACTCGATGAAAAAGTCGCGTACATCGGAGGTAGTGCAAGACCGACGACACTGTGCCAACGAGTATGAGCAAGCCCAGTGACCCATTGACTAGTTTCAAAAATAAGAATAATCTTAAAATGTTTCCGTAGAAACGTTTCAGAGATTAAACTGGGCCTGTTAGCATGCTGGTGATGTGGAGATGGGGGGGAATGCCTACCTGAAAAGAACAGATACTACACTTGATCTAAGCCAAAAGGCAAAGAGAGCTAAGGAAGAGAAGAGGAGGGCGAGGGAGGGCGGGTTTATATAGCGACGGGTCGCTGGCTCGTGCGGGCTCGCTTAATTTGCACGTGAGCCCGCTGCCTGCGGTAGAATGTCGGCGAGTCTCTTGGAATGCCCGTGCAGTACTGACTGTGGGATGCATGTGCTGCCTTCACCTCGACGTCCCGTGTTGGTAGCCTGGAGGTGGTCGGAGTAAGTGAGGTAAGTGGTGAAATCCCGAGAGGTCGGATCTGGCATACGATGCAGTTAATCTACGCGCCTCTGGCTGCATATTGGCCAACTTCGCGCTGCTCGTGCGTGCGATATCGTTACTGTCGATGCACGTTCATGAAGGGCTGCTAAAGCAAGAGCAGGGTTCCCTCGCCATCCCAGGGACGCCAAAATCGTCTCAGACATGGCACAATCCTTCTGGCGCCTTTCTTGTGACTGGCGAAGCTCCTGGCCTGTCCGAATGCTCCCGTTGTTCGTTGTGGCGTCTCATTCTCAACGCACACGTGACGCTGTTGTTCATCTAAGCTTCAGACCCCGGTCCCGAAAGAGTTGGTGGAGCTACATGGATTGCCTTGTGTGGCTGTGGCATCGGGGCGCTTCGCCGCAGGTCGCAAACTAGGCCTCTAGCGACCGCAAACCTGGGCCGAGCCTCGCAAGGCGTGCGTGGAAGCGGACATCGAAGCCCTGATGCTAGCGAATTTAAAACTAACTTCCTACTCGATGTCACAAGGCAATAGCCTGTGCGAACGAAGACATTTGGTAGAGCCGAATTCAACACTACAAGCCTGATCATACGAGAGCTTCTATATTTCCGTCGCTGTAATGATGAGTGCTCTGACAAGTTCTTCACGGCAGATGGATTCTCGGCATTCCCAATGCCATGAACGCACAGATCAAACCATCCCCATTCTGCGCCTGTTCCGGCATTTGTTCTCGCACTAGACCCTCCTATAGCTGCGGATTCTTTATTAATTGGAGATGAAGTGATTTGAAGACCGAATCTGAAACAGAAGAAGAGCCATGTTGCAACACCGCTTTTACGATTTGCAGAGAGCTTCCGAGCTTTACAACTTATTCTTCTCTCTCATGTCAATACGCATGGATATCTGAACCACCCTGATAACAACGAAGCTCGACCGATGTCGTACACCACGAACAACTTACAGTCAGCTGTACTTGCCATCCTCTTGGCCGAATATGCGTACATCCCAACCACGCGTGACCAACAGATGGCAAGCCGAACCCTGAATCATCCTCACCCGGCGCCTGATCCGGCATGCGTTCTAGCATTAGACCCTTCTATTTTTATAGAGTTTTATATGGACAACAAGATGGGGTATCACAAAATAGACACAAATAATACCAACCGATAAATCCCCTCTACCAGTAAGGAAAAAACACGAAAAGCGAGATAAAATATAGGTATACACAGAAACGCCGGTCTCGTTTGTTGCGGGTGGTCGATACTCGACCTCGGCAAGCACAACGGCCCGCCCCCCTAATAGACTATGAACGATAATACATCTAAGATTCTAGCTTAGATCAAAAGACACCGTTCAGCCGCTACTCATCCGATGCATAACGTAGATCCAATCGTTCGGTAACCTTGCGGGTAGTGTCGCAAACGACGAAACTGGAAGTAGGTGCAAAACCCGTGATGCCACGCTCTCCACTTCCAGAAACGGTCACTTGGGGGCAAAGGGCTCCATCAATAGAGAAAAAGGGCAGAAGGGCTGAGCCACGCTTTGTTACCCAACGCCCGTTTCAACGCTCGCATTGCTCCGCAGATAAGGGCGCTAGGCATTCTTTGTAAGGCTGGGCTTTTGATTGGATGTTGGTTACGCAGAACAAGCGAATGTCTATTAAAAAGGCTACTAAGGTAGATCAGCTAATAAACTATTTCAGCCAATAAACTACTTTAATAAAAGTTACCTATTTGTAAAAATAAGGCTATAAAACTACTAATAAAAATTATTATTATAAAATTTTTTAAAGTATTAATAAATAAACGCTTAACGTACTTCTATAACAAGTAGTTAGTTAGGACAAGTAGTTAGTCTTTACTAAGCCCCTACTAAAACCTACTATTACTTATAATATATTATAATAGATTAACATAACAACGCGTTACTAGCTTAGAAAAAATATTAAATATAAAATATAATTTAAGCTATTAAATAAAATGCAAATTTTTTAATTTATTGCGCTGCAAAATACTATAATATATTTAAATTAATACTTAAAAGATAACTTGCTAGAACTACCTTTTAACGCAACTATATACTTAATTTAATAAAGCTTACTATAGTAAAAAAAAAAGTAATTATTAATTATATACTTAATTTTGCTGTAAGAAAATACTTGCCTAAGCTTACTAAAATTAAAAATATAGCTAATTTTTTACTTATTAAGCGTTACTAAAACTTAATTAGCCTAAAATAAGCTAATACATTTATTAAACACTAGCTTAAGCTTAAAATAAAATTTAATTAAAAATATAATTATAAAAAAACTTTTTATAAAAATTCTAATACTATATAAAACTAGTTCTAGCTAGTACAGAATATAAAAGTAAAATATAGTATTATAAATAAAAATATTTATAACTTTAATAAGACGGGCTTTATAATAAGTATAATATTAATTAAAACTATTATTATAAGCTTTAACTATTAAGGACAGGCAATAATAGTATAGTAAAGTAATTAAAAGTAAATAATAGTAATTTAAAATATTAGCGCAGCTAGTTAAGCAATTTTACTTTTTATTATTTTTATAAGTAAGCACTACCTTTTTACCTAGTATAAAAAAAATAGCCTACTTTAAAATTAAGCTATTACTATTTTTATAAATAACTAAATAACTAATAAGTATAGCTTTAAGTAAATAAAGCACTTTAATAAATATATAAAAAAGCGTATTATTAGTACGCATTATTTCTTAATTATAAATAGCTATAAAAGCTATAATTTAATTAAGTTCTACTAGTACTATAAAAAAAATAGTATTATTACTTTTTATATACTTCTACATTTGTTGCACTTACTATAGCTATTTAATATAAATTATTTTGCCTTTTTAAAAAAGGCATATAGGCGCTAAGCTAAAATCCTAATACATAATTATATTAATTATATTATTAAAATTAAATTTTTACTATACTTTAAAGCTGCTTTTAATACTGCTATTATAAAAAGTAATATTTTAAAAGGCTTTTAAAGTACTAGCTTAGTACTACTTAATTTAAAAGCTATAATATTAAAGCTTAATATTTAGTTATATACTTTATTATTACTTACTATTAAAAATAGTACTTAAAAGTTAAAAATACTTAGTAATACTTTAAAATTTAAGTTACAATTAACGCTCTTAAAAGAAAAAATTTAGAAGCACTTAAATAATTTTTTTATTTTAATAGTAAATACTTTTGCAAAGTTTACTAAAAGTATAAAAATAATAGTATATTTAATAGTATTAATATAAAAATAAAACTTTAAGCTTTAAGCTACTAATAAGGCTGCTATATAATATAAATTGCATAAAAAAAAGTAAATATAAAAAAAAAAAACTTTTATAGTAAAAAATAGTTTTTAACTAATAATTCTAAAAAAGTTTAGGGCGCGTAGTAATAAAAAAAAAGTAAAAAAAAAAGTATGCGCTAAAGTAAGTAAGCTTTTTTAAAAGTACTATAAATATTATAATAAAATAAAGCATAACGCGCGCATATATAAAAATAATATAAAAAATACTATAAATTAATACTATATACTATTAACTATAGTATAATATACTATAGTTGCAATATATTATAGGCAATAGTAGGTTTTAGTAAGAACTTAGTAAAAACTAACTACTTGTCCTAACTAACTACTTATTATAGAAGTACGTTATAATTAATTTATATTATTTAAATTCTTATAAAAAATTAATTTAATAGCTGCGCGCGGTAGTTTTAGGCAAAAGCAATAATAATTATAATATATTTAAATTACTACTTTTAGTATTTATAATATAATAATGTTTTGCTATATTTAAATTTATAAAATATAAAATTATTTATTTATATTTATTTACTTTATTTTAAAATTTTTATAAAATTATAGTTTTTTTTTATTATTATTTTTATACGCGTATAATAGCTTATTTTTAAATTATTATTATATACTTTTTTGCAGCGCACTTTTTAGCAAGCAACTATATTACTTTTACTTTTTTTATAATTTTTTTTTATATAATATTACTACTGCTTTTAGCTTTTTTATTTTTTTTTTTTAAAATTATTTAGCTTTATTTTTATATTATTTTACTATATTATATGCGCAAGCTTTTTAAATAGTTTTTAAATTTTAAAATACTATAGTATTATAAAACTTTTTATACTATTAAAAATTTAAAAATTTACTTTTACTTTTATGCCTTTTTTTAATTAAAAGTGCATTATAGAAACTTTTATTTTTATAATAAAAAAACTTATTTTGCACTTAAAAAAAATATAGTATAAAGCCTAATTATTTAGCTTTAACTTTTACTTTATTTTTTATAATAATTTTAAATAAATTACGGAATTAGTTCTAAATATTTTTATTATTATTTTTTTTATTTATTAATTTTTAATTTTTTTATTATAGTTATATTTTAAATTTTATATAATATAATATTAGTATTAAGTAGTTTAACGCTTATAGCTTTAAACACTTTTTGTATATTTATAAAAATAAATATAATATTATAAATAATTTAAAATAATAAAAAAAAGTTGCCTTTATTTATAAAGATAAAACTTTAATTATAATAAAAATAGTATAAAAGCTTAGTTAAATAGGCAGTTAAAAAAGGCAAAAAAAGCACTATATTTAAAAGTTATAAACTATAAGTTAAATAAAAAAAAATATTATTAAAAAAAGATTTATTAGTATTGCAAAAATTTATAAAATTAGTAGTAAAATAGCTACTATAGCTATTAAAAATAAAATTTTTATAACTTGCTTATACTTTATTTTTTATACGCTAATTAAAAACCTATTTAAATTAAACTAAACTAATATTATTATTAAATTATTTAAAAAAACTTATTATAAAAAAAAATTAGTATTTTTTTACTTTTATATTGCGTAATTAAGCGTTGCAAATTTTTTTTTTTTTTTTTAAAATTATACTTAAATTTACTACACTTTTATTTATATAAATATATACTAAAATTATTATTTACTTTTAATTATTATTTTATAAAGCTATTATAATTTATTTTTACTTTTAAAATTACTTTAAAAAAAACCTATTTAAAGCGTAAAGTAATACTAATAAAAAAAAAAATATTTATATTATAAATATAGCATACGTTAATTTTATACTTTTAAATTTTTAAATAAAAAAAATTAAAGTATAATTTATAGCTATATTTAGTATTAGCTAAGTACTATTTATAATTAATTTTAGTAATATATTTAAAAATAAAAATATTATAATATTTTTTTAAAAATCGCGTAATTTATATATTAAAAAAAAATTATTTTAATACTTTAAAAATAATTTTTTTTATTATAGCTTTTATAAATGCAAGCTTATATTTAAATAAACTTTATATATATTATATAAGTTCTAATTTTTATTATAATTTAAAATATATTTGTTATTAAGCTTTTTTTATATTAAATTGTATTTTTTTTTAGTATTAGCGCAGTAAAGTAATTTAGTTAATACTAAATATTTTTGCAGCTGCATAGTATAAAAATTATTTTTTAAAATTTTATAAATTAATTACTGTAATTGTATCTAAAATTAAATTATTAGTAATAAATATATTATAATTTAAAAATAACGTATTAAGTCTATTTTAATATTAGAGTAGTTTATTAGCTGAAACGGTTTATTAGCTGATCTACCTCGGTACCAGCGACGATGGGACAGGATCGCCACACCACCTCGGGAGCGATGTCAGCCTTGCGCGCAACTATCCAGTGTACTGTGGAGATACCAATCGCACTGCGATATATAACAAGATGCCCTATGATTCATTGTGCTGGACGAGCTATGTATAAAGGTCGACTGTAGTCGCCCATATCAGCGAATAGATCAATAACATCATTGGCACAAATACAACTACGGTGCACGTATAGCAATCAACGATGGGTCAGAAACTGTCGTCCTTTTGGGACCAATCTTTCTTTATCGCCCCTCCGGCGTTCACTGACGAACATTTGCCGGACCAAACGGGCAGAGTGAGTTTCTTCAAACTTTGCATGCCCCGAAGGCTTCGGCTATGCCAACACACATCTCTCCGCAAAAGTCTTACAGTATACAGGTACACTTCATCACCGGCGGGTACGCAGGCATTGGATATCACCTTGCACGCCTCCTCTACGCCAAAAACGCTACTCTCTACCTCGCCGGACGTTCAGAGTCCAAAGCCAACGCCAGCATTGCTCAGCTGAGATCTGACTTCCCCCTCTCGAAAGGCCGTCTCATCTTCCTATATCTTGACCTAGCCGATCTGACTACTATCAAGCCCGCCGTTGAGGAGTTCCTCAACAAGGAGGACAAACTCGACGTGCTGGTGAACAATGCCGCCAGTAAGTACGGTTGGTATATTGATTGCATGTGAGACATATACTGACTTCATACCGCAACGTTTAGTCATGGTGCCGCCAACGGGGAGCAAAAGCGTCCAAGGCTACGATTTGCAAACTGCGACGAACGTGTATGGACCCTTTTTGTTAACCATACTGCTGCGCGAAGCAATTGTAAAAGCAGCGAAGAAGGCAGACACGGGAAGTGTCAGGGTTGTTTGGGCGGCTTCTCACGCTGCGGATTTGTTCGGCCCGTCGGGTGGTGTTCACTTCGTCCCCGATCCCGCGCAGGAAGGCAATGCGGGCGAGAATTTGAAGATCAAAGAAGACTTTGCAGGTGGCCCTTCCTACGCGCAGACAAAAGCTGCAGACATTATGCTTGGCGTTGAATGCGCGAGGCGGTGGGGAAACGAGGGCATCATAAGCAACAGCCTCAATCCCGGCAACCTTCGCAGCGAACTTGTGAGGTACCGGTCATGGTTTGAGAAGTTTGTGGCCGAGTGGATTATCAACCATCCGGTGGAGATGGGTGCCTGGACTGAGCTATTCGCAGGTTGGTCCCCAGAGGTAACGCCCCAGCTGAATGGATGCTATATCATTCCATGGGGCAGAATTGGCAGTTACAACGAAGGCTTGAAGCAGGCAATTTCGGAAGGCAAGGCAAAGATGCTCTGGGAGGTCTGTGAGAGTATTGTTCAGAAGTATATGTGACTAGCATCAGGTTTGATATGCACAGTCAACCAAATGAGTCTTCACTCTAGAATTCTATTTCTATTTCATCTTAATTAGTTGCGATGTGCTGATAGGGTCATTATCTGCCAGAATTATTAGTAATGTACGATTCTAGTGATTAAAGAATCCGACGCGCGACTCTGTGTAACAGCCGTACAGGCACTAAGAGCTCTACGTTATGGTAGTTTACGACTCCAAAACACTATAAAATAGGCAATATTTATATCCAGTATAATGCCACGCGATATGCTTTATTGCTAGAAGTATGTTGATTAGCAGCGCCTCGGAAATGTTAGGAACTTTTCTTGTACCTCTGTGTTTATTGAGAGGTGACTCGTCGACTGACTGCGATCCCTCTTGCTCACTTTCATCTTCAGTGCGCCTTCGTTTTCTCATGTTTTCTTGCTTTCGTGGAGATTTGTTAATCACTATCTACTATTAGCTTTTATAGGCCGTCTGTATTTCAAAAGACTGACCTTGAGAAAATCTTGGAACTTAGGAGAATCATGCAAAGATACCTCATCTTGCTGGAGGAGGTGCAACGTTTTTTTATTGTGGTAGGCTATATCATGACTTCTTTGGGCTCGATATCATCAGGCAAGCATCTGAACACATCCAATGCCATTTTACCTCCAGCCCAAACAGTAGGCACGAAAGCGATTGCCCATGAGACCACCCCATCAGCGCTTAAACCTCGGATTTGCTCGCATCTGTTGTGGGTTGATTCATTTCTCAGCTTCTGATCTGGGGTATCCAAAATTGAGTCCTTTGGACCCCCCGAATATCAAGATGATGTTGTTTCTGAAAGCGCTTGCTCGTGTCAATTCACCATTTGCTAGGAGTTCACCTCTCCCAGCATGTGCCTTTGTCCGAAGTTCCTCGCTTTCTTTCCATGCTCTTTCTGACCGGGTCTCTTTGAGCGTTCGAATCTTGTACTCAAGCTTCTTCGCCGCTCTTGAAAAATTCGCGTTCAACTCGCTCAAAGTGAACCATTGATCATCGCTTGGTTGACGATTACACAACTTTGGCGTTAGATTATTAGTCTTGCCGAGAAGACTCGTCAGCTGGGAGGTTATCGAAGATGCTGACAGTGTCAGTGCCTGCACCAAAGAATTTTGGGGCACTGGATGCAGGATCTAGCTATAGCGAGCGAACCATCCGGAGGAAAAAGATTTATTTAAGCAGTTCGGCACGATCGGCGAACCGTAAAACGCAGTTGCCCCGTAAACTATTTTAAAATTGGGCGGCTGCACTGTTTATGCAGGTTTGCATATGTTTTGAAGCCAGTGCTGACGCTCAGCTGTACTCCGCTCCAGCCCAGCTAGGGTTAGTTCCTACATCCTATGTGGTGCGACCAACCTCTTATGTAGATCAGCCTTTGTCAGTTTCACACTACTTACGCGAATAGTGTTGGACGATATTTGGGCTGTAGATGATGGTGTAATGGGTAAGAGAACCATCGGCAGTACGACAATGTTATTGGTGTTGATGGCCCATCTGATGAGAAAGAGCACGACGAGTATCCAAGCCGTGGATGAGTGCCCTACGGAGATTGACACCGCGCTACGCCTAAAGTGCACTGTCGTACTCTACACCCTGTGCCATGACATTGGCAGCGCCGTTGCCGAGCAACAGCTTCACCATCTCTAAAGTCCAGTTCTTCGCGGCCGGTGGCACAGCAGTTTGACGGCGGCCCCGCGATCCGAGCACTGACTCTTTGTTAGCAACACTAGAGTAGTCTCTTCTCTGCTTTTGTAACGGTTTACGATAATGCCGAGCCGTTATAGTACCGTACGTTATAACGGTGGATGGTGAAGGTGGCGGTTAGTTTACACAGGAGCGTTAATGACGTTTTGTGAACCCAGTAACAACCTGTTCAGTTAACCGAGCAGCGGCATCTTTGGCGCACGGTGAGAGTACCATCGCCGACGAGGCCTATGGGTGATAGCTGGCCGTAGAGAGCTAGACGGCGGAGGGGGAGTTGCGAACGCGGTAGCTTGACGCTTGAGGTGCCACTTGAAGGGTTGCGGGGCAGCTGCACAGTTAATCTTCGCGATTCCTGTTGTTGATTCACTAACAGTTATCGCGGGTGAAATTACAACGGGGAATTAACTTGTAAGGGAGCTCGGCGAACATTGTTTGAGGTTGCGTCCCTCCAAAGGCGACGCCACGTGAGCTTCAAGTGTCACGTGAAGGGTGCGGGGCTGAGGATAATAGGGCACAAATTTTATCAAACCTGCCGCAGCCGTGCCCAAGAACCACGCAGTCCTTTGTGATCAGGCTCCAACGACATGTCTACTCTCAACCACTTCACAGTCGACTGCAACGGTTCCACGCACAGTACAGGCTAAATATTCAAGGTAAGAAAAAGCAAAGACATTATGTTTTCTGTTTAGAGCAGGCTAATAAGTTCTTGTGTAAAATCTAGGCTTCTACCTTAACGCACCTGTGGCGTTCGTTACGCGTTCGCATCAGTTTATTAGTTATGGCAGTCAGTTAATCCGAACATCGATTACCCCCCTTTCTACTCTTTCTCTGATTGGCGATGTGTAGCGAGGTGACGATGCTCTTGCGGGCCGAGAAGAACCGATCCCAGGCCATATTTTCCCCCCAGATGCAGCCAAAGACAGGATAATATACTTTAAAGGAGTCTATCTCTCGATTGTTGATAAGGCCACGAACAAAGTGGGAACACATATCGATAACGAAGTCCCTACAACTGAGTATGACCCGTACAAGGTACCAGCTGGATATACTTGTTACGTCAGAGGTGCTAGCGTGTATTTTCAACTCGGTACATGAACCTCAATCAGCAGGAGAATCAGTCACTGGGTACGTTGGGCTCTGAAAAGAAATTTATGTAGGGCAGCTTTCGGTATTATGAGTGAACAAATTACACGGTTCTCGTAGAAGTCAAAGTCATTGACTTGAGATCCCATCCTATCCCTCGGTATGACGTTGTACGTGGTAGCTGTTGTTGACTCATGTTCATAACGATTGAAAAGTAGTGCAAAGTAAGTTAGATAGTTGGGTGATTGTTTGACTGTAGAGGAGAAGGACGAGATAGTCACTTTTTTACTGCTGCCCGAAGCGGGAATCGCCGTTTAACAGTTGCAGCGGTCGCTGTTATGCGCGAGCCCCAGCCATTCACATGTATACAGAATGAGTCTCAGCAAGGATGTCTACCAAGATCATGCGAATCGATGAACAACCATTCGATGAAAGCTCGGAAACTAGTCCAGAAGCCAACGGCAGGGGTGCAAACAGGGGAATCAGCGGACGCACACGACAGGTCCAGAGATTGTCCAACTGAGTTTCTGAATTCGGCAAGGGCAGGAGCCCGCATATACAATACGCGTTGCGCAGTCTAAAAAGCGACAACGATAGAGTGCCGTGTCACATCCAGCGTCACTTCAATAATGCTATCCACCCTCCCCGTTACCACTGAGTGAACCGTTCCCCGATCGGCTGCACTAGCGCCACTGTTGCAAGGAAGCACATCACCATGCGGCCATCCGAAAGGACGTTACAGAGTTGGTAGTGATTTGAAGCTTGGGCCGGCATTTCATGGATGAAGCCGAAACTGAACAGAGTGAGCCCATCGAAGGCTGTGTTACATGGGAGCAGGTCGAAAGTCAAGCCGTTGGCATGTTGCGTCATGCAAGCCACGGGCCATCGCCCACCTTAACAAGGAATAAGAAAACCTAATTTTAGCAAGAGGAACCGTGATAAGGGATATCGACCACTTAGAAATAAGCTGACCTGGCGATGGGCCAATTAAGGAAGCTACACGAAGCTTGCATACAGCTCTAGGCCATTTTTTGTCTTTTATACGAGACGCGCAAGTGAGCACTAATACATTTCAGCCAACTCATTTAGATACGTGAATTCATATCAATTTTTCCCAACACACCCCAAATCCTGCGCAGGAGTGTCTCTATGATCGCACACTTATCCTTCTATGTAGACGCTTAAACTCAAGAAGACAACGTCCATATAACCAGTTTCAAGGGTATGAAGGGGAGATCAATAGATGTCCAGAACAAGATACGGAGGAAAACAAATAACGGCAATCATAGTTATATGCAAAATACCATCCCTTTGTATGATACTCGGGTCTCGACACACTATGTTGCAATCCAGTCAAGATGCAATCGTGTGGCGTTTACCATCCTAATCTTAGTTACCCTACCGAATAACTTACTTAGCTGGCGAACGTATAAATTGCGAGCTCTTCGCAGCACAAAACTTTCCACTTTGATGTTCAATTTTTCATTTGATCTTCCGCCATCACCCACGAAAAAGTGTCGAGATACCACGATTAGCATGGAGGCACTTACTCTTCCTATTTTAGGCAGTGTCTTTGTTTTTGTCTTGATGATACCATGGTTATTTGACTGCTTTAAAGCTATGACCTGGTTACATGGTCCGGATAGAGACAATGCAAAGATGACGAAGAAGATGGACGGCATAAAAGCCCTACCCGAGCAACATGAAGTGGTATCCATACTCGAGGAGTTGATTCACAAAGACGGCGCGGGATCTTGGCCACCACGGGCGAACCACACCGACTCCACCTGGCCTGTTGCCCTTCGATCATACAAAGAAATCTACCAGGAACTTGTGTTACTCCTTCCAACAGCAACACCTTCCCTCAATGATCAAGTCAACACGACACGCATTGCCAACTTTCGCTTACGATTTCGAGATCTTCTCTACAAACGAGTCAATCTGGCCCAAGTGAAGCAGGTAAGCAACCAAAACCGGAGGCTTCTGCCATATACCAGGAGCCAATAGCCGCTATCTAGCCTTTAAGTCATGACTTCACTTCCTCAATAAATTCCCGAGGCTCTGATAGAATCCCCTTGCCCCCTCCCTCCGAATGAAAATCAGCTGACCCATGCTTGCATAACAGCTTCTCGAGGCTGCTGATGCCGATCGCTGGGATGTCTTCCCGCGTGATGTGTACAACGCTTTCTACTGCTGTATTGCCTCGAGCCGGCATGCGTATCGATGGGCAACCATTCCCGTTGTTCAGGTCGCCCAGCTTGAGAAAGAGGTTGACTTGCCGATTGAGCTGACAGAACCATGGAAGTATCTCCAGCGTCATTTTGGCTGTACATCAGAAAGCGGAAACAATAGTGCGTAATTATATCGCTCCCAATACAATCTTGCCAGAGCAGTACTAACTTGGGGTAATTCAGTGAGTAACTTAGTGCTTAATTTTGACACGGAAGGCAGATATATGTACAAAATCAACACAGGCATGTATGATCTGGTGACGTCTAGCGAGGAGACCTTTGCACGCATATTTTACAATGTTGAGATGCTGGGAGTCCCGGTGTACCACGACATGGTCCTGGCCATTGTCACCTTTGCCCGCGGAGAAAAGGCTGCATGCGCGAGACACGTTGCCAACATCACTGCCCAGCTGCGACTCGTTCTCGGTAGCTACTTCGACCACATGCACGACCAGAAGATCGCTCGCTCAGTTTGGTTATCCCACATACAGGGTTTCTTCGCCTGGGGGATTGGCAGTTATGACGATGCAAGTGGCGAATGCATCAAGTTCGACGGGCTCAGCGGGAACCAAGCCCTGTTATTCCAGGCTCTGGATGCGTTTCTCGGAATAGAGCAGTACCTGTCACCCAGGGACCAGGAGCGGAATGTGCCCGCTCGCCAGAGAGCTCTATGCAGAGCGCTTGCAAAGTATTCGTTCCGACAGATGCTAAGTGAGACGTCAAACGATAAGAATGAAGCCCAAATCGTCCACGATTTTGGCGAGATTGTGAAGCGACTGAGAGTTAGTATTGCCATCTATCATGCCAATATAAATAGATCCTAATGTTGCAGGTGTTCCGAGCCGCACACAGGACGAGAGCTAGGGTGTATCTATCACAGCATGCACCCGAGAGATTACCTATGACAGCCGGAAAGTCGCTTCTCGAACCCAACATCGACCAGAGTTTGCAATTTCTTGATGAGTTTATGGTTCGACGACTGTCTCAGACTGTATAACCCTGCACCGGTGTTGCACTCTTTTTAAGTTTTATATAGACAACGAGATGGGGTATCACAAGATAGACACACGATAATACAAACCGGTAAATCACCTCCGCCAGTTAAAAAAACGAAAAGCAAGACATTTGTATTATATGGATGGAGTTTTTTCTTAAAATGGTAACGTGCATGGCTGCCTCACGGAAGACTGGAGCCTTGATTGCCGGAAGCAATTCGACTAGCTGATCATAGCTCGTCTTTGGTATCTTGCTTTGTCGCTACTATCTTCGCTTGTTCAATGAGACCCTTACGCACTATGCTTGTCAATACTTCGTATGCAACCTGCGCGGCGGCGAGGGCAGTCGTCTCTGCAGAGCCATCGTAGGCTGGGCTAACCTCAACGATGTCAGCTCCAATGACATTCATGCCCTCGATACCTCTCAGAATCCTAATAAGTTCTCTGGTGGTCCAACCACCCGGTTCTGGTGTTCCTGTACCTGGTGCAAGTCCTGGATCGATTACGTCGATGTCAATGCTGAGGTAGACTGGCGTCTCGGTGCCTACACGGTTCATGATCGACTTGATAATGCCCTTCGCTCCGATATCATCAATATCGTCAGTTGCAATGCGAATCCAACCTTGCTGTGAGTCATCTGTGTAGTCTTCCGGCTCGTCGCCCGATAGTCTGGTCCTCAATCCAGCGTGTACGCTCGAACTGTTCGCAATAAGACCCTCGGTTGCCGCGATCCAGAACATGCTGCCGTGATTGAAGAAGGATTGCGTTGACGGGTCCTCTGGGTCAATCCAAGCAGATGGATACTTTGCAGGGTGCCAAGTGTCCAGATGTGCGTCGAAATGAACGACTGCGATCGGCTGTCCATATACATTCTTCAATGCCCTCAATGTTGGGAGCGCAATGCTATGGTCTCCACCCAGCGTGATCAGCTTGGGCATCTTGAGGTATTGAACCCCACTTCCTGCACTCTTCTCTGTAGGCTTTCTCTTCCCCAGTTCTAGGAAAGCCTCGCTCATCTGCCGTAGAGCTAGGGCATTGTCAAATGGTGTGATTGGTATATCCCCACAGTCCACGATTGTAGCCCATGATGTGTACGGGTTGAGATTCGCTCGAGGATTGAAGCCGCGGAAAGAGGTCTGGCGGGATGAGCCGGCGCGTATAGCTCGCGGACCGAACCGAGCACCAGGGCGGTAGGAGACGGCCGTGTCAAAGGGTGCGCCTAGTATAGCGATGTCGTATGTTGTGTCGGGATGGGTCAAGCAGCGCGTATGAGGCAGATGAGCAAACGTCGAGATGCCACTGAAGCCCCACTGAGCTCTCATCAGTTTGTGTTTGCATAATAGCGTGAAGGACTTACATCAGTACCCCACTTCCTTTCCAATTCATCGAGACGCTCCTGTGACAGTGGTTCTTCGCTATCATGGTGGGTTGCGTGTGACGACACGCAAGCCGTAATGGCAAATATAGCTCCCCAATACCACAGCATATTGAATATGCTGGTCGTTGAAAGAAGCATGCGGAAGAGGCGGAGACACTCAGGTTGTGCGGTGTGCCGTCGTAGGCGCATTATGTAACTCTTATCGAGCTACCATGTCATTCCGTCAACGGCGCTGTGGGGCAGCCCAGGAAGGAAAGTCCATCCTAGTGGGTAGAGACAACATTTGGTACAATCTCAAGTCGATGCTGGACGACGCAGAGGGGCATATAAGTAAGAGTTGAGTGATGAAGGTTACGCTGGAAATGACTAATGACGTTATGCGGGCACGTCCCGTGAGGACGCGACACCGCGTTTCGAAGCTATGACCCTACTTCTTCCTCAGCTGAACCTCACGTCGAAACTCCACGGCATTTTCCAATATCGAATCGCGACCATCGTGAAGCTTCGTTGCTCTGCGCTTAAAGCCATACCTTGCACGAGACGATATTATCCGCATCGTTAAAGCACCATGCCTGAGGTTAGTCGCGCTCGGGATTTGACGCGACGATGGCCATGACTAATTGCCATTAGATCGCTGAAGTAGCACGCATCGTGCACTATCTCAAAAAGCATGCTGTGGGCAAGACGGTGGAAGCCGTGAAGACGCAAGAGGATGATGTGCGATAAATCGCTTCACTAGTGCACGCCCTGTAGAGACGCTGACATCTCAAGTAGATCATCTACGGCAAAGTCGGCACGTCAGCATCCGCGTTCCAGAAAGCCATCACCGGAAAGAAGATTGTTGATGCCCGCCAACAAGGCAAATACTTCTGGCTTGTCATGGACTCCCCTCCGCACCCTTTGATTCATCTTGGTATGTCAGGATGGTTGAATTTTAGCAACGATCCAGCAGCACACTATCGCCCAGCTAAGCCCCAGGAAGAGGTATGGCCGCCAAAGTTCTGGAAATTCGTGCTACAGTTGAAAGAGGATCCGAAGAGTGAAGTCGCATTCGTCGACGCCAGGAGATTGGGTAGAATCAGGCTGGTAGACGCAGCAGCTGAAGACATGCGGAAGACCTCACCACTCAAGGAGAATGGCCCAGATCCGGTGATAGACAAGGACATCTTGACCGTCGACTGGCTGAGTAAGAAATTAAGAAGTAAGAAGGTGCCTGTAAAAGCGCTGTTACTTGATCAGGTTTGAAAACTCATTGACACGTGCAATGACCCGAGACTAAACATGCTCAGGGCAATATATCAGGCATAGGAAATTGGGTTGGGTAAGTAAAACCCTGAAATACCTCAACCAACTCTAACCAAAGCAGTGATGAGGTCATGTACCAAGCCCGGCTGCACCCCGAGCAGTACAGCAACACATTCAGCGACGAGCAGATCAAGCGACTTCATAACGCTATCATGTACGTTTGCGACACTGCCGTTGGAGTCAATGCAGAGGCCGACCGCTTTCCCAAAGACTGGCTTATGAAGCACCGTTGGAGCAAGGGCAAGAAGGACGGTAGTCAGCTGCCAAACGGCGACAAAATCACCTTTTTGAAAGTTGGTGGACGAACATCAGCTATTGTACCGAGCGTACAGAAGAAGACGGCAGCTGTTGCTGGTGATGTCTCTGAGAGTGCTGAGGATGAGAAGCCCGAAGAAAAGGTGACCAAGCCGAAGACGAGCAGTAAAAGGAAGGCCAAGGCCGTCAAGGAGGAAGAGGAGGAAGAAGAAGATATTGAGGCACCGGCGAAGCCAAAGAGAAGCCGTAAGAAGGCAGAGGAGGACGTTAAGGTTGAAGTCAAGGATGAGACTATAACAGAGAAAGCCCCCGCCCCCAAGAAGCAAAAGACGGCAGCCAAGGAACCGCCGAAGAAGGACAGGAAGCTACAGACGGAGGTTAAAGCCGAGGACACAAGTGGAAGACGTAGGTCTGGTCGCCTTTCCAAGTGAATATTACGGAAAGGCTGAGCGGTTTTGTCATGAGCGGAAATGCGGATGAGGGCGGAGATGATTACCACTGGCCTTGTATAATTGATGTTGAACCAAGTACTTGGATCTGCTGAGGCGTGCTGGTTTGACAGAAACCGCGTCTCAGAATATTTGACGCAAGACTTGGTAATGTTGGCCGAAATTGCATGAGCTCGAAGCGAACATTGTTTCAGCAAGAGGTGTCTGCCTGTTCATACTAGAGTAATGCAGATGGTGGGACTCAGCTGGTGGTTATAGTGCACGTGCCTTTTGAGGATTCGAGTGCGGGACGCTAGCGGTCATGATGTTCCGATATTGAATTTGAGAGCTCCCCACACTGCAACGTCGCGCAGCGCTCAAACATCACCAGCCACCCGTCGGCTCCATGTTACAATAATATTCTGACCTCTTTATTTTCCCTCCTCCCGTCTCAATCATCGCCATCCCAGCCTCATAGCGACCTTCCCAACATCTGATTCCGACCGGAAGTTGTACGTGGGAACCGTCACCATGCCGCAGCCATTGCCTAGCAAAGAGCAGACACTCTTCCGCTCTCTTGTCAAACACTATGAGGGCAAGCAATACAAAAAGGGTGCGTCTCAAAATAATAGCGTTTACTACCATGTCTAACCCCGTAAGGCCTCAAGGCAGCGGAACAGATTCTGCGCAAACACCCCAACCATGGCGACACGCAAGCCATGAAAGCCCTCATCCTCAACTCGCAGAACCAGGGAGACGAAGCCTTCACTCTCTGCAAGCTCGCACTCAAAAACGACATGAAGTCGCACATTTGCTGGCACGTCTACGGGTTGCTCTGGCGCTCCGTCAAGAATTACGAGGAGGCTATCAAGGCATACAAGTTCGCTCTACGGATAGAACCCAACTCGCTGAACATCCTTCGCGACCTCGCTCTACTCCAATGCCAGATCCGGGACTACGAGGGGTACATTGAGAGCAGACGGAAGATGATGCAGGAGCGGCCACAATTGCGGCAAAATTGGACCGCTCTGGCAGTGGCATATCATCTCGCAGGAAACTTCGCCGAGGCAGAGAACATTCTCAAGACGTACGAAGAAACACTGAAGCAGACCCCACCCAAGACCGACCTCGAGCATTCCGAAGCCACCCTCTACAAGAACACGATAATAGCCGAGTCTGGGGATACAGAGCGTGCGCTAAAGCATCTAGACGAAGTCGTGAGGAACAGCTTGGATCGTACCGCGGCGTTGGAGCTGAGAGCCAAATACCTGTTGAAACTTGGGAGGAGTCAAGAGGCTGAGAAAGCGTACCGAACGCTTCTGGACAGGAATAGCGAGTACCGCGCCTATTTCGACGAGCTAGAGAAGACGCTTGGCTTGAGTCGGTCCAATGCCGCAGATATCGAGAAGCTGAAGGAGCTATACGAGTCGTATGCGAACAAGAACGAACGCAACGATGCCGCCAGACGGATACCTTTGGACTTCCTGAAAGGTGATGCTTTCAAGACCGCAGTGGACCAGTACCTGCGACGGAAGCTGAACAAGGGCGTCCCCTCGACCTTCCCGAATATCAAGTCGCTGTATCGCGACCCTGAGAAAAAGGCGGTCATCGAAGAGCTCGTACTCGGATATGCCTCAGACAAGCAGACGAACGGCTCTGCGCAAGGCGAAGTAAATGGTGACACCTCAGACCGTTTCGAGCAATCCGTGCTGTACTTCCTAGCGCAACACTACAACTACGTACGAAGTCGCGATCTCAAGAAGGCCAACGAGTACATCGACCGGCTACTTGAGAAGGATCCAAAGTCGGTCGACTATAACCAGACCAAGGCAAGGATATACAAGCATGCTGGTGACGTCCAAAAGGCTTCTGAAACGATTAACCACGCGCGAGAGCTCGATGAGAGGGATCGTTACATCAACACCAAGTGCGCCAAGTATCAGCTCCGCAATAACGAGAATGAGAATGCGTTGAACACGATGAGCAAATTCACCCGTAACGAGACAGTAGGTGGGCCTCTTGGCGACCTGCATGACATGCAATGCATGTGGTACTTGATTGAGGATGGCGAGGCCTATGTGCGACAACAGAAGTGGGGCCTTGCTCTCAAGCGGTTCACCGCGATCGCCGATATTTTCGACGTATGGCATGAGGATCAATTCGACTTCCACAGCTTTTCATTACGAAAAGGTCAGATCCGTGCATACATCGACATGGTTCGGTGGGAAGACCACCTCCGCGACCACCCATTCTTCACGCGGGCAGCGGTTCAGGCAGTGAAGATTTACTTGAAGCTAGCGGACAATCCGCGATTATCAAACGCAGATCAGACTGATCTGGATAAGCTGGATCCTGTCGAACGGAAGAAGGCAGAAAAGAAGGCGAAGAAGGAGAGAGAAAAGGCTGAAAAAGCTGAGGCTGAGAAGAAAGCGGCCGCTGCAGCGAAAGCTACCGCAAAGGGTGATGATGGAGAGACTAAGAAAGAAGACACCGATCCGAGCGGCGAGAAGCTGTTGCAGACTAAGGAGCCTTTAGAAGCTGCACTGAGGTTCTTACGGCCCATGCTAGAGCTGAGTCCACTCAATCTTGAGGCTCAGATTGTGGGCTTCGAGGTCCATCTCAAGAGAGGTAAGTCTTGATCATTTGCGTTGTCTGGTTATCATGCGACACTTTCGCTAACACGCATGTTCAGAGAAGTACCTACTCGCTTTGAAGTGCCTCCAATCCGCACAAGAGATTGAACCTGAGAATCCGAAGCTGCACGAGCAGAGTGTGCGCTTCCGTCAAGCTAGTACGTGATTCAAGATTTTAAGGATATTGAATACTAAACAATGCATAGTTAGCAAACTCTCCGAACCCCTTCCCTCTCAAGTCTCCCAAGTCATCAAAGAGTCGTTCACTACACCGTCCACAGACGCCGACCTCGAAGCCTTCAACAACGACTTCCTTGAGAAACACTCCCAGAGTGCATCACATCTTCAATCCGCATATAATGTGCGGTACCTTCTCGATAACAGCTCGAAGAGCCAGAACGAAGAGGACCTGAAGAAGATACTAGATCTATCGGATGTCACAATTGAGCAGGCGGAAGCCGGGTTGGCACTTTTGAGTGAGTGGAAGAGTGATGAGGAGGTTAAAGACGATTATCGGGCGAAGGCCGCAAGCCGGTGGAGTGGGGCGACTGTGTTTAAGAAGTGAGAAGTTCGATACGCACACCCAGTCAATGATGTCAAGAGACCCTTTATAGATGGGTTTCGATAGGAAATACTACAGCACAGGTGGTGTACGTGATGAAGAAATCTAACTTTGGTAGATAGGCATGGCATATCGCAGGGATTATCTGTCGCGCATTAATAGGCCATAACAACATCTAGTATAAAATTACTTCGACAACAACATTCTCTCTACTCCTTGATTGATGGGGTCACCAACTTATTGCGTACATATCTATACATCTCATCGATTAGAAAGGTAGTGTTGCATCAGTAATCTAAGTCTTGTGGCTAACTGGAAAAGACTACGTTGTAAGAATGCTCTTTTTCCTCATCCTACAGCTAGATTGATAACTCCTTATCCCGCCCAAATATAGACGTCAATGATCGAGCGACTTGTAGAAAGAGCAGGCGAGCGAAGGATGCCGGTGGTTCAGAGGCATGAAGTTACGTCCAGGGGGAGTTATAATAGGGCAAGAGTGAAAATGGAAAGTTTAGGCGCAGATGAACTGGAAATAAGACGTTGGAAACGCTCTTCTCGCATCTTGCATGTCATTAAATACCAACGTAAGGCACTGCGATACTTGCTACCCAACTTAGTGGGTATGGAGATACTCTGTATCTATCTACAGCTATTGGGAGGTCCTGTGATTTGGTACAGCAGAGGGATGATACGTCCCAAGGTGTTTGGAGAGAAGTGTTAGTCCACACCTCTCCGGGTATCTTGCAGTGTGGGATCCAAGTAGAACGAGAAGAGATTCAAGGCTTCCAGCCACGTACCAACACCTCGCAGCGGCCGCGCAGTAGCGAGTTTTCGCAAGCTGTGCAAGGCCAAGAGCGGGCAGAGCAATGCCTCGTAGCATAAATGTGTTGTTGGAACTGGCACTGAGCGGCCTTACGCCCCGTCCTGCACCAACACATAAAAAGTCAAGAACTGGAGTTTCACTGCGCCGTCCAGCTTAGGCGCGCAACGTCAAGGCCGACCCGAAGAGTACTAAGTCAGCCTTTCATGCGACTTATTGGAGCATTTTCCCTTTCCATTTTACTTGCTTACGTACCTTACACCGACCCCACGATAACCGTAGGGGGCATTGGAGTGAGATTCTAGAACAATAGCTAGTCAGTTTGTAGGTCTGATGGGCCACCAAGCCGTCCACTCGTCCACGTCTCTCCAGTCTACATGAGCTAATTAGGTAGCTAGTTATGCTGTGCCGTGTTGAATGTCTGTAAATGAGCTTCATTCACGGATATAGCAATGTTAGGCCACCCCAATATGCCCACCCCGCGGGAGGGTTCGTCTCGCTTCGCACCGCCCTGCATGTCACACTGTGTCTAGGCGCCGGGGCGTAAAAGAAACAAATTTGCGAAATATCGAGCTAATTAGTTGTCGATCGGGATTGGGTTCTTGGGGCGCGGGGAGGAAGGGTTGGTCCGGGGGCCGAATACGGTTCACGGATTAGTTCGGGATAGAGAAAAGTGGTGGGTGGTCTGTGGAAATGGCATTCACGTTCCACCTTTTACCGCCAAGGTTGTGCGTTTTGGGGACCTTTCTGTACCAGCTACGGGGTTCTCGGGATGCGAATACGGTCCCTGAGTCTGCAATGTAAACGTGGCCATCGTACATAGTAACGAGATGAAACACGAGGAAACGTGGATGGCGATATGCGGGTGTTGTTTCTCGGCAAAGGCGTTGGGGGCGTATTGCTGTGCAAATTAACCCGCTTGGCCAGAAAACAAGAACGAGTCGTTGCTCATTTTAATTTTACATGTCGCGAGTATTTCCCGTCATGCCTCTAGTGTGCAATCATTGTGTTATACGAGTGCGAGCATCCTGGGGGGCATTTATAATAGCTTGAAGAGGAATTTCTTGGAGAAGGATTCAGCGAGGTCCCGGAAGGATCGAAACAAGTGGGAACAAGTGGATTCAGAGAGGCTATGGAGTTTCGCGTGTTACGCAATGACGACAAGCACAAAACGTAGCTTGCAAAGGTGCTTCATTTTGCTTGAGAAAGGGTGTGATGGCATACTAACTCGACGTGTGTCTAATGAGGCGTAGGGTGGTGAGGAGTAAACAGGCCAGACCTATCGCAGTAGTAGTAGCACACATACACGCAAACACCATGGCCGGACACCGAACAACCCCATTACGAGTCGCCCATCTCTTCGCCAACGGCAAATGTCTCCAATGTCTCCAATTGGTCCAGGTTGCGTTGTGTATTCTGGCCCCCAACAACAGACGACGCAGTCGCACAGCTCAGCCCTATCAATCACGACGTCCATTCGCTCCAGCAAGTCGGGCACCAAGGTAGGGTTAAAGTTGCCAGGCAGCAGGCCGTGGCCGGTCAAAGGGCCACTTTTGTGTGAATGGCATGCAGTTGATCGAATGATTTCGTGTGCCGGTTCGAGTCGGCGCGCCGACTGTGCGTGTGTCGGGTCTTCGGACTTATCGATCCACCCGGCTCCGATCGGAATTAAGTCACAATCGCAATCACAATCCTTGGAATACAGCCATTCTGTACATAGTACAAGGTTTTGAATTTCGTTTAGTGGAAATGGCTAGACCGATCAGAGAAGGGGTTGCGCAGGGGTAGGCGAGGTCGTTGATAGTGCCGGGCCATCCTCGAGGGTCACCAGCTCTGTGCTCAAGTCCTCTGTTAACATGTTGGAGCGAATATACATATACTGTACTCGGAAGGATGTAAACTGCTCACCCCGCGTGGAGGTACCTTCAGCCCTAAGACGAGCCTCTTCGTATCAGTAAGCCCTTGTGCAAAGGGCCGCTTGTGGAGTTTCCACGTCAGATGCTTGGCGAAGTTGAGTGCTGACAGGGAGAATCTGGGGTAGAAGAGGCTTGCTTACGAAGGTGACGTTGTCGTGCACTCTCCTGGCCATCACATACATCATTGAATTCTGCCTGCGACACGACGACTTTAATCCTTGGCCATGATAGCGAGATTGCGAACCGAAAAGATCGATACCCAGCTCCGGTATGTCCGATTACTTAATTAGGAAGGCGCTGCGAGTTGTTCCTGTTGGCCAGCTTGTATGTTGTTCCCATGTACTGGTCGTGCGCGATCCACTTTGAATTAGAGTCTACGCAAGGCTGACTCTGTCAACCCCGCGCGAACTATGGCTACGGTTGACTTGCAATTAATGACCCCTAGGCTCGAGCGCTCTATGATTATGTTTGATATGACTTTGTCAGTTCACATGTTGCTAAAATGCGGCATTCGGAAATTAACCGAGCAGCTGCGGTAGGCAGCGAACAACGAACAGTGGGAGAGTAACGTATTTAGCGGCGCAAATAGTTGCCGGTGCTAGACTTGTCGCCAAAGCTTTAGTTTTATTAGAGTGGTTTTGTCGTTCTAGCCCACTAATTACCCAAGATGGTATCCATGTGGACTTTGAAAGGAGTGATTGCGAATTGAAATGCGACGAGAGCTTTCATGTTTCGGAGTGCGGCTGGCGTGGTCAAGCTAGGCTTGCGAGTGCATTCGACGCCTGCGAGGCGTCCATCGGGGGCCTGATTATTCATCCCAAGAATAGATTGTATTCACACAAGGGCTGCGGGGGCAAGAACGAGCTACGGTTAGCTCGTGGGAGGATGCCTGAGCCACTATGCATCCTATCACCAGCCTCTTGCCGCGCGCCGGGCGGAACTCCGCTGCTCCCTCCAGCTGCACGTGATCAATGCGAGGCCACCAGTTCTCGCATGAAGCTATACCATTTTAGTACGAAGATTCCAAATGACGCCTGTTCGTGCGGGTAACCGTATCGTGATATTCGCAAAACTAAGATAGGTGGATGAACAGTCGCGGGTGGCCGCTGAATTCTTTCCAAACCTCGGAGCTTCAAGTGTGAATGTCCAACCTCGCGACATAATGCCAGATTAGTAATGCTATAATGATGAATGCTTATATGGCATGATTGTATGTTCCCCGCTTTTGCTGCGACCTGTGAATATGACTTGTACATCGACATGCAAAGGAAAGATATGTAATTGGCCCTGTTTCGATAATGATATGTTGTTGTTACATTGCATTGGAGGCCTGGCGCCCTACTAGCAAAGTCGAGCTAAAGGTAACATGCCGAGGCTATCCTTGGTGGGAAGAGACAAGTTATCTGGTGTCATTTTGCACAGGTTAGAAATCGTGGTCCTGTTCGAAGGTGACAGCCACCGGGGATCCGAGTCTTTGGTCCATATCGGCCCATCCGGAGACGCGGGGTATGTGGGTGGTGGTTACTCAGCGATCGACATGTTTAGTATTCAACCACGATTCTGCATACAAGTACAGAACGGGTTGATTAGAAATCGACAGGAGAATTGGCCTGGTTAGGTGGGTGATTGTTTGGTAGATAGGACCCTGTTGCTTTCAAATCTACATCGGGTCCTCAAGACGGACGAACGAACGGGAGCAAGAGGACATGGAGACTGGAACCTCTCCAATAGGTGGGATAGCAAGTTCACATATCGGAGAGTACGGAACAAGAAGTGTACTTGCACGTCCTAAAGCCAGACGCCAGTGGCCCTTAAGCTTGTAGTGCATCGAGAGGTAATATGTAGATGCGTTTCGAGGTAAGAGCTAACTTCGAGACAACATCCTTAGAGGCAACCCAGGAGTTGAACGGAGCAGCTGAACGGTGTAGCCAAAGTATGACTGCTGCAAAGACTGCCTTGTCACAACTTCACAGGTCCATCTGCACAGCAGCCTCGTTCAGCAACCTGCCCTTCTCAGCCCTACGACCCATCGATCCACTCACGACTTGCAGAAAGACAACGGAAGCAGCGCCGCGAGATTATCGCCTGAGACGAAAACGTGTGCTGAATAATTCGCTCAAACACGTAGGGCTGCAGCAAAAGGGCTGAACGGTGGCGTTTCCGTTATCTCCATTAACGGAGCACCTTCCCTATCAGGTTGCTTTTCGTCCGTTTGTGTTTTGCGTTGCTTGGAGTTCCCCCGGACTGCATCTGCGAGCTGATTTCATGGGGATGGAGGGGCGCATGGTTGGTCCGACGCCCGACTCAAGATCGAGGATGTGAGGCACTTTGATGCAAATCGGGAAGGGTGCTGGAGATGGGTTGTGCCGGCTCTCTGGTATCGGTAGTATGGTGGATGAGTGGGGAGCCATCAGCAATAGAGAGGCTTTTTCTTCAAGGCTGCTGTATGTTGGCATTCAACGGTGAAGCCGTAGCGAGGCGGTTGAGAAGCGGGGCTTGAGATGTTGAAGGGTGGGGTATACCTGCTATGGCTGTTACTACTAGCTGCAAGAGTGTCAAGTCGTCAAAGTAGCTTACTTGAAAAAGACGGCTTACCGACGCAAGCTATCGGCATCTATTGATGTTAGTAGTCGGCATCGCCAGGCCGTCTCCGCTTTTTTTTTTAAAAAAAAATGCGCCCTCAAGAGGGCTAGTTCTGCAAAGGGCGCAGCGACCCCCTCCACTCAGCTGTCGATTCCGAATGTCAAAACTCAGACATGAAGATTCCAAACTCATTTAGCAAGGTATATTGTGCTATAGCTAGCAAATTTGGGTTATTTTCGAAGGGGTCGGCGCGAATCATGCGCACCGTGGCTCAGCTTTACGCCCCGGCGCTTCGACGACGGCTGGCGTAAAGAGGGGCTTGAAAGGATTCGACGAGGATCCAACCGTTCCCGCTAAAATAGCCTCAGAAAGTCGTTAAGGGGAAAGTCTCCTTCTTGGCAACTAACGCCATTGAAGGCGCAACGGCCGCTTACCGACTCATGTCCCAGTTTGGGGACTCGTGGCTCGACTTCGGGCGATTTCGCGCACGCAGCTCATATTTGAGGGGTGAGATCGCGAGTTGCTTGCTGTATAGGGTATGTAGGGCGTAGTCGCAACTGCAGCTCCTCATTGATTGAGAGTGTCTCGAACAGTTGTACAGTCCTGAAACGGCGCATTGCGGCTGATCACGACCCTTCAAACGCCAGAAAGGACCATGGGAAAGTCTGCCTTGCGCTGCACGATGACGAAAAACCAGCGCTCGCTCCGATGGTTACACGATACCGCGGAAGGCCGAGACCTGCCAGAGCTGCCACGAGGCCTGACACGCCCATGCATGTGCTGTGCATTATGTCTGTGTGCAAGGCGGCCAGCGGGCTCATCGGTGAACGCTGGGCTGGATAATTACATGGGCGCTTAGATATATAGCAACAACAGTCGAAGCGAGCATGGCTCGAGAGTGCACGACGCGCGACTAACGCGGGGTTATCGGTTGAAAGTCTGTTTTTGAAATAATTCTCTCTCGAAATCAAGTTCAACAAGAAACATGAATGGTACACGGCGCTCCCAGCGCTCTGGTCAAGCCCCTGCGACCGGTTATGCCCCCAGTTGGTCGGTGAGCACTGTGCAACGGTTTTGTTTGGAGACAAGGGACACATGATTGATACAGAGACACCCTCCAGCAAAGAACCGGTGTACTCGGTGAACGGCAGTTCTCGTTGGACCTTGTTTGGGTACTACAAGACACGCCATCAGGATCATCTCGAGGTACACAAAGAGGGGTTCACGCGTCGCATGCCTGCTGGTGGTCTACGAGCAGGCCAATGATGGTGATGAATGGCTGGGTGGTGTGCGTCGTAGGGCTGTAGGGCTGTGAAGAGGGGTGGGGGATGCTGTTGTCAGGCTCGTGGCCCTACTTGGCGCGTGGCCGCTAAAAATAGGCAGCGCCCCTTCCCATGTTGACATGGCCACTCTCGACGGCCTTCTCTAGCTTGTGAATGATGGCGATAAATTTGGAAGAGGCAGCGTTTCAGCAATTGCACGGCGGCTATATTTCGACTTTCATTTCTCGAAGATGGATAGGCAGACTTGGGGACTAGACAACATGAGTAGGACCGATCAGGATATTTTGGTGTTTGTTGTAAAGAATGCACTCAGGTAGGCGTTTTTGCACCCCCTCACTAGAGTACCGCGCTCCTGCTCTTTTGGGAAGTAAACACGGCCGAGAGGGTCCCCACCAAGCAAGGTATCGCAATAAATGCACCCGATGCTGCGGAGCACATATGAAGTCACATGATGCTTTGCCAGACCCTCACCCTCAAGTATGTATTGCAAGCAGCGGCGGTGAGGTCTGCGCGGGACGCCCGACGGCATGGTCGCTTAGCACTCCTAAACAGGAAACTGATTCGTCCTGGCCTCGTTCCGCCGCTCGTGATTGGCCATAGGAACTCGGTAACAGGGATCTCAGATGCCTCTAACCAGTTGTGGGCGATACATGGGTGCTCCCGCCTTGCAGACTCACCGTGTCGGAGCAACTTGTGCCGCCTACACTCGCCTTCGGCATCCCTATGTGGAGAATGCGTTTCAGGCGTCCATGGACGATCGTATGCTTGGGCCGTGCGTCGTGTAAATTGCATTGTTGCTACTAGTTTTCCATCATAGCATGGGGTCTCGAACCGATGTGCAATGTTAGACCTTGTACGCTTTAATGTTAGCTGATCAAGGTATGGGGCCCGTGGTCAGTGCTCGCTTGGTATCCATAGACCAAGTCTTACTGAAGAAGTGTATTGCCGAACAGCGATCGGTGAACAATTTCAACAGAGGATGATGGCAGTGATGACTCTACATGGTGTCCCAGTGTGACTGGAGATGTGAGTTGAAAAAAAAAAGCCATGCACGTGGTCTACATGGCTTCTGAGTCAATTCGAGAATTTCGCGAGCCAAACAACGATTCGTGCTCATCTTACTCCGCCCAGGGGCGCAATTCAGCCATGCTGTGCTGGGTGGAGTTGCGACGAAAAGTTTCACGGCGCATGTAAGCTATTGCGACTCCAACCCCAATACCCCTTTTGGCTTCAAGTCTAAAAGAAACCAATTTAGACCATGCTTATTAGAACATGGCAAGTTGTTGAATTGCTGATGCAAATGTCCACTACTGCAATGGGAAGGAATGGTGCTCCTGGTACCATGTTCGCGGAAACCTACTGCTTGCTAAGAAGATAGGCGTGGAAACGATCGCGGTCCTTGACCCCGTTAGCCTGTCTCCTGGGTTCAAGATGCTGACGCGGAGACGGGGTAACAGGCACCGGTTGCTTGTATCCCTCCCACGTCTCCAGTACAGCCGAAATTGTTCCGTGTTGGGTCTATGAGACAACTCCAATGAGAAGGCGTAGTGGGCAGGTTCCGCTGTCTCATGAGCTGCGTTGTACAGTTACAGATGTCGTGCCATTGTCTAGAATCAGATAGATTAAGGCTTTGTTGGACAGCTGATAGCGAAGTGGAGCATGTCTCTCAGACGCGGGGGAATGGAGCTTGAGGGTTTGAGGCGAACTTCTCCACTGACAGCTGGACAGCTGAGCGCCGACATGATCAGCCCTATGAGAAGCTGAGTTACGACCATGGTGTATAGCCGAGATTTGTGGACTCGAGACACGGGGTCTTTTTGAGATGCGCATTTCCCTTGTTTGTCTCCACTTGCAAGAATACAAACTGCCAGTCTCAACTCGATTGGCTTCTTCTATTCCCGTGAAATAGCCCCCGCGATCACCATGCGCTACGCAGTGGGAACAGCACTTGACAAGTCCTCTTCGACTAGAGGATCAACGGGACGGCCAGTCCTTGGCGAGGACACCTATTCTTGGGCGACAAAGAGATGAGACAGCTGAGCCGTGGATAGCCCACTGTTTTCGCCCTACGGGCCAACAGCCTGAAGTCGCAATGGAGTCGCCAAGTGTGAATGGTGCGCAGAGGCCATGCAGCGGTTGAGCTCCTGGGAGGAGCCATAGATAGCAGATGAGTTTAGAACAAGCATATACCCCTAGCAGCGGCAGATGGTGGTCAGTGAGAGCCTAGCAATAGCATGAACACACTCCAATACCTTTAGCGATGACGGGTTCGAGTGGGCCATGATCGACTGGAGAGTATAATCTCCAAAAAGGTTCCGGGTTCGTGGTGTTTGTCCATTGCGGTATCCTTCCTCGCTCCCCACCCGTGGCTTGGTGTTGGCGCAGCCCGGAGACTACTCGTCCGACGAGCCTCCACCGCCAGGGCGTAGGGCGCGCCGTTGAGAGATTGCAACGCTGCTCCCGCAATGTAAAACGCTACAGCAGATGAACCAACGGCAGACAGGCAGGCAGACCAAGTAGGGGTGCTCGAGATGAATCAACTGCATCGGTAATTGGTTGTTCTCGCGTGGTTGGTGAAGGGCAGGCGTGGACAAGCTTTGGGCTGACTGCCACCATGCACCATATGGGCGGTGCCCTCACCGACTCTGCAGTAAGGTGCTGATGCGGCTGCGGAAGAGCGTAGGAACAGTGCGTAGGGCTGCTGGCAGTGTGAGAGGCTTGTTTGACGAAGCTCGCTAGGGCTCAGCGAGGGGCGTGCACGGGCATCGGAAATAACGGCTGGCTGGTTCCAGAGGAGAAGAATAATAATAAGGCGTCCACATACTTTACTTAGGTACCCGCCTGACCAAGCAGACTAAAAGCATCGGCGGCCGGGTTGCTGCTGGGGAGGCTAAGCCGGATGCAGGATATGGTGTTCTGCCCGTCTCCCAACCCGTAGTCTTGCTGTTCTTGGGGGGAGGGTTGGTGGAGACGAGGATGCCGTCTCTGCGCGCAGCTGGCAACTGTCGTCGTCGCCAACCGTGTCCCACGCTAGGGATTTGGATTCCACCGCGTCATCCACGCTCCGACGAGTCGCGGTGTGCAAGGCCTCTGTGAAGTTGCGCATGCACGACGACGCGGCGGGGAACAGCCAATGGCCGCGAGGGCTGGACGACGGCGACGATCTCGTGCGAGCCGGGCCACTGTTGTTGCTCCAGCAGAGAGTCGCGAGGTTTCGCCCACCACCACCAACACCGACCGCCCAGGGCGACGGCGTGTGGGGCGCGGCCGCTCGCTGGCAGGCCCAATTTACCCAGCAGCAGAGCAAGAGAGAGAGAGAGAGAGAGCACTCGCACGCAGCCTTTTGGCCCCCAAGGCGAGCCAGGCATGCGGCGTGGTGGGGAGGGACGCAGGACGACAAGTCGCTCTCTCGCTCTCTCGTCCGCCCGGCCCAGCGAGCTTCGCACGGGAGCAACGCGTGATGGTATGGCGGATGAGCAAGCAGGTCCGCATCGCAGGCACGGACATAGGGACTGAGCCGGGTCCGACAGGACAAGCCAAGAGTCATAGGGCTGTCTGCAATCATGGAGGTGCAGGGCAGGGGGGAAGTCACCGCTCGTTAATAGAGTACTTTCACCCCGGGCGATACAATACACACCCATGCGTACGGCGTCCCGACTCTCCCGTGCACTGAGCAGGCCGCTGAGCCTTGACGCGCCCAACGCTCAGTGGCCCGCTGCGAGCCTTGTGCTAGCGCCCATCCTAAATTTACGAGGCCGCAGTCGGTGAAGGGCAGGGTTCCATCGTACCAAATTGAGAAATGCTCCAGCCTGCTGCTGCGTAGGTAGACCAGGGTGCATGCGAGGGCCTGAAGCTGGGGACCTCCACTAGGCACAAGTCTGTGCTCCACTTGAACGACTGACTGCGGACGCTGAAGAGGGCGAGATAAATATACTGCCATCCCCGAGTGCTGGAGAGCCTCTTCATCCCACTGCTAGCCAGATATCCCACTCTATATCCATCCCTTCCCTTCCTTCGTGGCTGCTTCCAAACAGTCACTGACCCAGCTTCACACTTCCTCTTGCAACATGCATAGACACGCGGGCTACCAGCAGTATGCCACTGCGGCACCCACCACCACCAGATACTCGGGCACTTCGTCAGCCTTCTCAGCATCTGCCAACCCCAATGAAGACTGGACCAAGATCTCAGACCTCGCAGAGCGCCGACGGATACAAAACCGCATTGCTCAGCGCAACTACCGCAAGAAGCTCAAGAAGAGGCTCGAAGACTTGGTGAGTTTCTCCCGTGGTACCCGTGGCTTCGTATAGCTCGCAACGCGATACTAATTGGGTCCTAGGAGCGTCGTGCTGCCTCCAGCTCAGCTTCACCTGAACAAAAGCCCGCCGAGCTGCAGCCGCCACAAAGATCGCCGCGCCAGGAATTCCCCTCTCCGTCGTCTTCGGAATCCTCGTACACCACCCCGCCGGCTGAGGATCGCATGGATCGCATGTTCTCGCACCAGTACACGCGACAGCTCTCCACCAGCCCACCTCCCTTCTCCGTAGCCTCGTATTCCACAGCCTATCCCGCTCCAGACGCGGTAGCCTACTCAATGCCCTACTCGAACTCGCCCTACCATACAATACCGACTACCCTCACCCCAGAGATGCCGAGCTACGCCTATCTTCCACCGCTCTCCTCGACCTACCCCACTACTCTGCCGAGCCTCGTGCCCAGCATGAAGAGTGAGTACTACGCCGATGAGGACATCAGCCCCTTTGGCGTTGGCTACGCAGCAATCGGCGGAATCGATATCCCCCCACCACATGCCTACGCAGACTCAGGCGCACATGTAAGGCTCCCCGCTCGCCAGCCCTACTACGCCTAAGCGTCCTCCTCTTGCACCCGCTGCTGCTTCTTCGACGAGCAACCGCTGACAAACCTCCGGTAGACGCCACCACTCGAACACTCCGACATGTGCTACCCAACCACTCCCAACTCCATGCCACGAACACCTCCTCTTCATCCCATCCACTTGATGTGAAGGAGCTGCTGTCGTGAGCCAACTATCATTCTCTTCTCTCAGAGGCACCGTCTCTACCTTTTTGTATTTATCTTTTTTGTGTACACTGCATTTCAGCGATGGCTTGTTTGGATAAAGGTCCCTCGCTTGGCCATGCCTTGGAGAATGGGTGTTTTGGGCGTCTCTTTCATGTTTCCCTTGGGAGGCCGGTTGGTTAAGACTGGGTATAGAACCCAGTAGGAGCCTGGCAGGCCATGAGCCTGCCTCGATACATAACCTCAGTGCCAGTGCGAGCCTGAGGTATGAATCATGTAGCAATGAACATCCTCACGAACTTTATTAGCCTTTGTCTTACTCCGCTCTGTGCATGTAGACACCCTTGTGGATGACCGTTTGATACAATGCGCCCCAAGTGAGAGTTGTGGCAGGTGGTCGAGGTGGGAGGAGCCTACTAAAAAGCCCCTGCCCGAGTGCGAGCGGTGAGCTCATAGCACTTTCCGCGCCTGTAACGCCAAGCCCATCGCGACGCGTCGTACCTTCTCTCACCACTTCATGCCCAACGTTACTTCTCCATTTAGTTACACCCATACCACTACCACCATGTCATGGCTCCCGTGAAGCGCTCACGCGTAGAAAAGGCGCGCCAGTTTCTCACAGGCGGCGCTGTCTTCCGCGAAGACTCCGACGACGAGCTCGGCTACGAGGATATCCCGTGGGAATGGATCTACGATAACACAAACACAAGCGCAGACGATGCGCAGCCCGAGACGAATGCGACGCCGAGAAAGCGAAAGGCGGCAGCCATGTCGCTGGGGAAGAAGCGCATAGTTGGCGCACGAATGGGCAATTTCAGATGCCAAGTGGGAGACACAGTGTTGCTCAAAGCAGAGGGCAACCATGCATGGGTGGGCATCATCTGCGACTTTTACGAAGACGTCGTCGAAGAGGAGAAGATGGCCAAGTTCTTGTGGTTCTCTTCTGAGAAGGAGATTCGCAACCAGAACAAGAAGCGCACCGACTTTCTGCCCGTGAGACAATGGCCTTCCAGCTTTACAGCTTCGAGCATCTACTAACGTCGACTAGAACGAGCTGTATCTCTCGACCGCTTTTGACGAAAACCCCCTCGAATCCATCAACGGGACCGCCAAGATACTATCGCTCGAACAATTTCAAAGGCTGTACCCGGCAGGAGTCAAGAAGTCCTCCAAGGACAATGGCAAGGTCTTCGTTTGCAGGAGAGGCTGCAACACCCGCACCACCACCTACACCCCCGAATTCATATGGGAGGACATCTACAATGGTGCCGACGATATCCAGTCGTTGGTTGACCTCGTGGAGAGCCAGACCAAGGCAACAAGAAGAGGCGTCGGTCGCCCGAAAAAGCACCTACAACAAGACTTGGACGAGTTTGTAGAACCGGATTCTGACGATAACGGCGCGCCCAAGACCCCACGGAAGCGTCGGAAATTGAACGACGCGACCACTCCTACCTCCACCCGGAAGAGCCCGGCGTCTCGCAAATTCCTTACTCCGACACACAAGAGGATCGTGATCAAGAAACAGCTAGAGTTCACGCCCCTTGGGACACGCGTACTGTCCCCTTCGGCACTCAACTCACCGTTCCAGATCGCACGAAGTCAGCTCCATGTTTCATCTGTCCCGGCGGCGCTCCCCTGTCGCGAGGAGGAGTTCTCGACTGTCTACAGCCACTTAGAAGCAGCTATCACGGATGGATCAGGTTCCTGTATTTACATCTCGGGTACGCCAGGCACGGGCAAGACAGCTACGGTACGAGAGGTTGTGGCACAGCTCCACGCCTCGGTCCAGGCTGAAGAGTTAGATGACTTCATATTTGTTGAGATCAACGGCATGAAGGTCACGGACCCTCACCAATCCTACTCGCTACTATGGCAGGCACTTCGCGGAGACAGGGTGAGCCCTTCTCATGCGCTTGAGCTGTTGGAGCGGGAGTTTTCAACTCCCAGCCCACGTCGGGTGCCTTGCGTTGTTCTGATGGACGAGCTCGATCAACTCGTTACGAAGAACCAATCCGTCATGTACAATTTCTTCAATTGGCCCGGACTGCGGCACAGCAGATTAATTGTTCTGGCTGTTGCAAACACTATGGATCTGCCCGAACGAACATTGAGTAATAAGATCAGTAGCCGTCTTGGTACGTACGCATTCTAATCTTTCGACTACGCCCCATCAATATGTCCCAAGCCTAATGGAAGCATGAATGCTTCCTAACGACCTGGTGCTCCAGATTGCGCTGCAGTTACGAAACCCAGACTACCGGGGATCTCGGATAAGTATTTGGCAAGGCTAACACGCGCTCCCCTCAGGGCTCACACGTATTACTTTCCCGGGTTATACGCACGATCAGTTAATGCAAATTATCCAGTCACGACTCGAAGGGGTACCGGGCAATATAGTCCACTCGGACGCCGTTCAATTTGCGGCGCGCAAAGTCGCAGCTGTTAGCGGAGATGCCCGACGTGTGTTAGACATCTGCAGACGAGCCGTGGAAATCGCAGAAACGGAAAAGACATCACAAGACCACGACGATGAGGCGCAGCCAGCTACCCCGAGTAGAACCGGCCGGGGTAACAAAGGGAAACCACTCCAAACCTCCCGCTCAATTAACAGTGCCGCAGAAACGCATGTTTCGTCAAGTAAACCTGTGAAACCAAGTGCTGGGCGAAAGGGCATCGTTACTATCGCGACGATCAAACAAGCAATCAACGAAGCCACGAGCAGCCCCCTGCAGCAGGCACTAAGGGCCCTGCCGTCGGCGTCTAAGGTGTTTCTCGCGGCACTCTTGGCACGGATCCGACGGACGGGTATAGGTGAAGCCGTGCTCGGCGACGTCGTAGATGAAATCAAAAGACTAGGGTTCATGAGCCAGTTGCAGCCTGTTCACGAATACCTGCTTGCCCCTGAGAAGGACGAGAGGGTGGAAGGAATCAACGGCACGACTACACAGCCATCTACACCCTCGAAGCATCGAGACATGGTTGGCATTGGCTCGAAGCAGTCGGACGCCAAGGCAGCCCGAGCCCGAGGTCTCGCACTTGCAGCTACTGAACTCGCCGAAGCGGGTATTATAGGTGTCGAGGCCCGACATGGCGAGCGTGTCGGTCGCGTTCGGCTAGGAGTAGGTGAAGACGAGGTGCGGCTTGCACTGGGGGACGATGAATCAGTACAAGGACTAGGTTTTGGTGCATGATGCCATCCTATCACTATCACGACGACCGTTTTCAGACCACTGCCTACCAAAGAAGGGAATTCCAGAACGGTGGGTAAACACAGCTCGTCTAATCTTACCACAACGAGCGGACTATATCCCAGCATGATGATCCTTATCCAACAGTTAATATACCATCAGAATCACGCTTGGTCCTCGATACTGCCTTTCCCATTCAGTATGCACCTCGTATGTCGTAGCCAATCACGGCTTGTTTACCTACGCGGTCCAATTAGCGAAGCAATAAATTTACCGGTGAACGTTTGAGTTTGAGCCCCTACCCGCTTCCCAGGATCAGGACGAACCACCGTCGCTTTCTGCATATTAACCGCCCCTAACACTACCGCTCAACGTACAGTATACGGGTGGCCGGCTCTGCAGTGGGGCTTGAAGGTGTGCCGTTTCGTTTCATGGCAAAGCACATACACACTTCCTGCGTAGAGTCAATGCTTCGATACGATTATAGCGCTCAAGCCTCGGTACGGAACCCACCCCATCAGTCCCCTGCGCATGAAGAAGACGATCCGTTCTAGAATGTGGATTGTTGCATACTTGTGGCGTACACTGCGTTTCACACGTCCATGCAGAGGCTCCATACTCCACGTTGGGAGGGGGATCCCGCATCAATAGCGTGGGGACGCGGGACAAGCTTGATACGCACACACCTCCCCGCGTTATTTGTGCGGTTGAGCGGGTGAGGGAAAAGTACGCCGAGCGGAGCATTTGGGTGAGCCCGAACGATGTCTACAATTTGAACGGGCCCCCGCGATCGAGCTAGCTAACCAGCTAGCGAGTGTGTGTGTTTGTGTAAGGGTGGGCAAGGGCACGGGCTTCCCAACTGCAGCGACTACAGCTGAAACTGATGCGAAGACAAGCATGGGGCAATAGAGAGTAAGTGTATGGAAATGTACCTTGAGCTCTGCATGGTGGTTGCTGTTGGCGTGCTTCCTTCTTGTGCCTGTATCAGCTCGGAAGCAAACTGGCGTGAGCATGGCAAGCTGCTCACGTGCTTTTCGCGAGACTTGCGTGGTTGCACAATATGGTCATTGGACACTGGTCTTCCACTGATTATAACATCACCAGGATCTATATACGTACACGAATGAGGATGACTACTTCATTGACCTGCCCTCGAGCCGAGGTAAGCACATTTCCAGTTTCGTAAGGCGAAGGACTTAATGAGAGCGTTTGGGGAGTCTTTGATTTGTAGATACCTCGTTACGACATCTGCTTATATGACTTCCATATTCAACTCCCCCGGCATACCCTCCAAACTATCTTTCCGCGTTCCAAACGCGTTCTCCAAATCCACACCCAGCACACTCGCGGGCCATTCAATGAGGGCCCAATTCTCCCTTCCCAGCGCCATGGCAATCGCCGTCACAATGTCTGCACCCAACCCTTCCAGCCACCACACGTTGCGCACTCGTCCGGGCAAAACAGCATAGTGTGCGAGAATGACCAACGCATAGCGGTCCCGTTGCTCAATCATCTGTATGAACTCGCGGCTGATGCGCGCAGACCAGACGAAGATTGCGCCGCGGTCCGTCAGCGTGCCAACCGTCTTGTCGTCGACTGCGTAGGGCACTGCCGTCATGGGCGGATACACTTCCGGCAGCGTCAACTGACTGACCAGCGCAAACGTTTCTCGTAGATACAGCAACGCTTCGTTGAGCTGGGATCTTTGCGATGCACTGCTGCTAACCCCATCATCGCGGCCCATCCACATTGCTCCTAGCTGTGCTAGTCGTTCGTCTTCTTCGGTCGCTCGAGGCGTCGCCGGCACACACGCTGTAGGCCACCATTTTCGCGCGGCTACTGGGTTCATTTTCCCGTTCATGACCCAGTCCCAGCCTGAGAGGAGGACGGTCAGGGGCCCGCGCAGGCCCCAGATCGTCCTCAGCGCACACGACAGCATCTTGTCGACTATATCCGGGGGTGGAACAATAGTATCTGGAGGGATGGAAGCGCGGAGATCCTCAATGTCGATGGCAGAGGTACGAAAGAGATAGACAGCGGTAAGAGTTGAGCCGGCGAAGAGGGCAGCGGCATTTTCTTTTGTGATGTTTTCGAGCTCTGGTCGGTATTTTGTGAGGGCTTTGTTCATGCGCGCTGCTGCTACGGCGTTCATGCGTCTCTTGTCTTCTTTGCCCTCGTGTAGACGGCCGAGGTGCAGCGACGCTACTGATAGCACGCAGTTGAGTAGAAAGTCATGGCTCTGCGCCAACTCGGGTACGCAAGCTTGCCAGGCTGCTTTTGCTGGATCATTTGTGGCCAGCGAGAGAGACGTCGTGTACTCGTAGTGGTACAAGACGTCTTGGAGTGATGGTGGGAGCACTTCGCGGACGTCTTTCCATACATCGTCAAAGCGGAGATATGGCGGGATTGTGAGGTCAGGGGTGTAGAATTGGTGCATGGGTGAGGTAACCATTGCGGCCGTAAAGTCTACGATTGGTTCTTCAAAGGGTGTTTCCGTTGGACGTGGTATTGTCGATGCAAGTGCTACTTCGTTGCCGAAAGCTATGAGATTGGTTGGTGATGGTGTGTGGGTGATTGCAAATTTCAGAATTGGCGATGTTGATGATGTTGAGAGGTGGGATGATACTGATGATGGCGATAGTAATGGGACTTGTGAAGATCCAGGCGATGTCGAGGCGATTGACAGACGTGATGAGGGTGCGAACATGAGAAAACTGCAACTCTCGCCCTTCTTGTCGCAGTTTGCGCATATTGGTTGCTTGCCGTCACACTGTTCGCTCTGTTAGCTATGATCTACAGCTTTGATATTTTCTTACAACTAAAAGCGTTCAAAAAAGAACCCTTAAGAGCGATGGCGTGTGGTACAGCTGCCGAGTCCGCGTCATACCGGAAGCGTCACGCTTAACAGACATTATTACCTGATTGGAAATAACGTATATGCAATAAGCAGCCGGTTCAAGTAGCCTAAGCACCTTCGCTACGCAGCGGCGCAGTTCGGATGCATGATATGTAGTCATGCCACGTGCCGTGTAGGTCTTCGTGCGACCCGACAAAAGCTCATAGAGTATAAAGGAACAACGATGGGAGTCGTACCTTGATTCGTCTTCTCTTGCACTGATGGCATCCCAGCCTCGATTTGTTGTGTGCCCGTCTCGTCGCCATTGTACCCTTGGCTTGGGTATTGGTCGCTATACGCGTATACAGAGCTCGGTGGAAAGAACAAGGATCCACAACAGAAATTGACAGTACAGGGCTCAAATTGCGCGAGATTCGGAGTGCAGCACCAGTCTCAGAGCCGTGTTCGAGAGAAAGCACAAATTGAAGGTCAAGCTATACGCTGTTGAGGATTACAAGCTATCTCAGACTTTGAGTTCGGAGGTTCCTGCATATTCCCGGGGCCCCGTCTAGCACTAAAGAGGGACCTCCTAACCAGAACGGGCAGTGTTTCGTACTGCGAGACCGCTGATTCGTCTGGTTCTGTCAGTCTTCGCAAGTTCTTGACCTGTGATGACATCGTTGCTTGATCTTTTTCCTCCATCTCTCTCTTCTTGATCTCGATGCTAGCTGCTACAATAACAGTTCCTGAAACGGTCGGCCTTGTTGTCTTGGCCACTCACATCACATCAGTTATGCGCACTGGAACCCGAATTAGAGGCTTGCTTGACGATCATGACATATGCGTGCTGCGCAGCTGCACTCTTCACATTCCATCTCAACTGATCAAAGCCAAACAAACACTTTCATTCCATCATCTCCATCTTAGGTTCTTTTCATACTTCTACATATCCTTGTCCCAATCCTCTTACTCCTAACAATCTCTCTTCCACCTCACCCAAACGTAGCAGAGCATTTCCTTTTAGATCCACAACCCCGCACGATAAAGTTTCTCAGCCGAAACATGACAAAGTACTGCATCAAAGAATTCAAGCACACAGCTACCGCCGCAACATCAGCACAAGACTGTACAAATACTCCCTCAAGAAATTTCGCGATTATCCTCAAGACTAGTCTAACACAACACAAAACATGCAAAAACACGACAGACATGTAGATCCCCCAGCGCCAAAACAGCCACCACAAAATCTCATACCGCTCTTTTGACAACGCTACCACTAGGCATCTGCATCATCACACACACAAGCACACAAGCACACACCGGTCCTAGTCCTCCATTTGTAATTCGTACCACAGCTATCACGCGCTCAGACCCACAAGACACACCAGGCTGTTGCACAGCATAAAGCCACCACGACGAAGACCCGCATTCCCTCTGTAACACACACAAGACACGCACGCTGTGTCATCATCATCGGCATCTCCGATAGCTGGCTTGTGATGGCAACTTGGCTCGTTTAGCTCGTTTAGCTTTGCTGAGCTGGGCTAGGCAAGAGGTCATGTGCGGGTTAGTAATGTAGTACGGTACAGTACGGCACGGGTACGCGTGCCGGAGGAGGGAGACTCGGACCCGAGGAAAGAGAGGTTGGTGGATATCGCGGGGTATTGTTTCAAATGAGGAAGAATCACAGCACGTAGTGATAGGTTTCATCTTGAGACTGAGTCATATATCAATAAATTATCAGTCTTGTAAATCAAGTCCATGCAAATCTAACTATGCGCCAGAATGGGGTATAATACCTATGCTAAACGGGAAAGAAAATACATGCAATGTGACTTCACAATTCGTCTCGGAACACCCTCCCCTCGCAAACTTCACCTCCTTGTCACGGGATTCCACACCGCTACGCCCCTCCTCCCACGATAATCTTCTTTTTCTGCGCCCTCATGGCCTTTACAGTACCTTCCTTTCCCAGTTCCCGTCCAACCTCTACAACAATCATCCTCACAAAATCCCTACTCAACCAATAACTACTATGCGCGCCCAGCATGGTGAGATACTGGATCTCCAACGGCCCACCTCCATACTTCATATAGTAGTCAATCTGGCCATTATCATTCAGCAGATACGCCCGTTTCTCTGCAATCTCCTCTCTTGTAAAGTTGTGGGTTTCGAGCTCTACGTTGGAAGGGAGTCGAAGTGTAGATGGCTTGTCTGGGTGGTTGGAGGAGTCGGCGCGACGGAATGGGTTGGCAAAGGAGAAGTACGACGATGATGCGGAAGGGATGGTGGTGGGCTTGAGCATAGAAGCGTAGACGACGTCGACGGTGGGATTGATGCGGCATGCGACGGGATCGTATGGGTTGATGATATTGTAGATGTTGTCGACAGCCAGGCAGCCGTAAGTCCCCTGCTCTCCGGCCACGCCGGGTGCGGCGTATGAATCTGCGCCGGGTTTCTCTTTGTCGCGGCGAGGAAGGAGATTTGCGTTCCTCATAAGAAGGAAGAGGCCGACTGGGCTGCCGCACACAAACAAATCTGTGGTATTGAATATAAACTGATCCTTAGGGAGGTCCTCTTCCTGTAGAGAAGGTTCGCTGAACCGCGGGTCGATGTATGTTGGTTGCTGGCTCAAAATGTCAATGGCCATGACTGAACCGAGCGAGTGTGCGATCAAATGCACTCGTCCATATTCTGCAAACCCGGGATTGTTGGCACACCATAAGCGGTATATACGGTTCGCTTCTTGTATACATGCAGACGTCATCTTAGGATTATGCATCGGCGAAAGATAGTAAGGGATGTCGAGCATCACGTCACTAACAATGCCACGAACAGAAGGTAGGGTGTCCGGGGTGATGTCTTTGAGCGTGTATTTATTAGTTGCAGGATCTTCAACCTCTGGGTTCTCAGTGGCATCCACCTCGAGGGAGACACGGTGTCGCCAGTTCACCTAGACAGTATTAGCGTCTGATCGAGAGTTGTAGAGGTAGGTATTGGCTTACTGGCAACACCATAATGCCTCCCATATCCTTTCGCAAGTGGCGCTTGACATCTGGCGTTCCCAGCTCGACGTTGACCTCTCGCCGGTAAGCATTCATGGCATGCGTGAAGTGGAAAGTCTCCATGCGCTCTGACAGCTTCTGTCCAATACCATGTATGACAAGCACCAAGTCCGTGACCTTGGGTCGTTCAGACTGCGCAAGATCAGGATCCGACTTCTGCCGTCGGTACTGTGGGGCGCCTGCTTGGGATGACGATACACCTTCGCGCGCTGCTTGTGCCTGAGGTGTGTTCTTGCTGGGGTGCAACCTGTCCCATATCGCTTGATCGAATCCTCGCACAACACACACGCCGATAGACCTGCCTTTGCGGATGTAGTTCGCAAGTGGACGTCTGCCATAGTACTCTGATGGCTGGAGTGTCGGCTTCAGAATATACGCTTCATCGTCTTTTGCGTAAATGACACCAGCCTTGAGATATAGGCGCTTTCGTCCGTCCGCGCCGTACTCGAGATCTCCAGCTGCCTTGTGATCTGAACCATTGGGGCCTGTTGAGATGTCTATTAGATCACAGGCGTTCTCTACAATCTCACGTCGCTCCTTCACTGGATCGTCCTCGCCTCCTGGTAGCGTGCTCTGCACTAGGCCTGTCGTCTGCATCTGCTGCGAAGTTGAGGGACGGCTTTCGGGCTTCTTTGGTTTGTCAGGCCAGAGATTGTGTAGAATCTTCATTTCGCCGAACGCGCCCACTTCCACCGCGCTGTTCAACTCATCCTTCCACGTCTGTGTCCAAGGTTGCATTTCCAGATAGCCCGCCTCAAGCATGTTCGCGACCTCAACCTCCACTGGCATCATGGAATCCTTGTAGAACCACGTCCCTCGGACTATCTGCGCGACATCGCTGAGTGGCGACCAGTAGATTGGCTCCATTCGTATCGAGTCGGCGTCCATGACCACATGGTGTAGTCTTGACACACCGACAGGGACTTGTGCGGAAGGCCCTGCTTTCGGCTTCGACGGTCTTTTTGCTGGCCCTTTGTCCTTCAGTCCTGGCAGAGCAGGCTCCATGTCGTCGTCCCACTTGTAGCTGTCCTGCTCGTGTATGGTTGGCCGGTAGCCTCCTTCCATCGGTGCAGGCTTCCATGCCTTTGATATATTCCCGCGCGAAGGTGCTCGGATAAACGGCGTTCCGGTCGTTGTAGGCTCGGATGGTGATATTTGGCCCGGATCGAGTGCCTTGAGCGACCCAAACATGGTCGGGCCCTGGCTTCCGCCGCTGGAGCCTGGTCTCCTTCGCTCCACCAGCTCGGCAGACCTCGAGTACCGCCCTCTACTAGTGGACCTTGTACCTGGTATGTCTCTTCCTTGTGTTGAGCCTTCGTCACTAGATGTGCTCCCTCCTCTCTTCCTCGTCAACCGCGCAACGGCCGAATTGGTCGGTGTGCCCCGTCCCGTACCTTCTTTCTCCCCGAGTTCCTCATTACGCTTTAGTATCTTCTTCCTTAGGTCCAACCAGGACTCTTGAATAGCGTCGTTGTCGTATTCCGAAAACGGTCGCGGTGGCAGCCTCTTTCCGCTCGTGGAGCCTGTTGGCGGAGGCGGAAGAGGAGAAAGCGGGTCGTCGATAGCGAGCGGTGAGGTGTAGAAGTAGCGAACGGGTATCGTAGGCGGTGCCTCGGTAGAGTGGAGGACCTCGCGGATGTACTGGTTTGCGTGCGAGGACGCATTTGACTCATTACTTGCCATGGCGGTCGTCATGGGCCCTGCGGGTGTCCAAGGGCGATAGGCGGCGTTGGGACGCTTCGATCATATCATGTTGCTAGGAAGACGCCTAAGCCGTGCCCTCACAGTGCGCGAGCTGAGCATGACACGGTGTCATGAAGAATGTTGCAGCCTTAGGAGGACACTATTCCTCATGGCTGTTTTCATATGCTCACCTGAAGCTCTGACGCAACCGCCTCGCTAAACTAGGGTCTGCGCATGTGATGCCCATGTCAACATAGTGTAACCCCCCGTCACTGATTTTAGCGGCGGTGGAGAAAGCACACGATAGCAGTCTTGAATTGAGCGTTGGTGATGACGGAAGACCCAAATGAACCACCTCTACATGAAGCGAATGTGACGATGGAAGGACAAACCCCAGATGCCTTGGAGCTGGGTCCATAATGGTTAAGGTATGGATCGTTAGCCCAGTCTGGGAGACGAACACCAGCCTGTACGGCTGCCCAACGTTCTTTAGGCAGAGTAACAGCAAACTTGATCATCTGCGAAGTCTGTGTCTCGGAGAGCTTGACGTTGTATTGCTGGTTCTCGTTGATCTCGAGGACATATAGTAGCAAACTTGGCCATCTGCAAAGCATGTGTGTTGGCGAGCTTGTCGTTGTATCGCTGATTATCCTTGATCTTGAGAAAATCCAGTGGCCAACACGCCTTCGCGCCACGAACCTTCTTGGTCATCCGAACGACAGGAAGTCCTATTTAGAGTTGATTTATCCCGATTGGGACTATGTCAGAGGAATGACCTGGCTTGCAAGTGATGTTGTACTTCTTCTTGAAGTATTGCGCCAGTGAGATTTGCCGTGAACGCTCAGATGGGTCGTCAGGGTCTGGGTATAGATTAAGTTGCCTCGCACGCCATCTCTCAATTTGCAGATCGCAAAGAGGCAAGGCTCGTTCCAAAGACAGATGTATTGGTTCGAAAATAGCTCCAACCAATCACGCTCTACTTTTGCCATTGTGAAATTCAATTGCCAGATTCCATCCCAATCGCTAAGCAAATGGCGAATGCGTGGACTTGGTAAGCATCACGCTTCGAGTCATTCTCACATAGCAGCAGCACACTGCCGCAAAGCTATATGAAGAAAATGGTGAACTATGCTTTGATTACAGGCGTACATATTACTAATGAATTTGATCTCTACTGTCAGATTTTCCTCTGCGCCAGGGCGAATGCTGGTTTAGAAGTAACGCCTAGCGTTCAGGTCATACTTCCGCATGTGGCTATTAGTCCGTACACATAATCAACACGAAGGGCAAGGGAACTAATGGGAACGTACATGTATTTGTTCTGGGAAAGTACGAAAAGCTGGTAGGCTTAACCTTGGTGTTCTTGAAATGAATGTGACCCTTGTTGACTACAGAATTCTCTGTCATAACAAGGTCTAATTTACAGCCTTCTATAGCTTTTGCCGCAGTCGCTATCACAGCACTGTCTGTACATCCCAACAGAAGTCGCAAGGCTGACGCGCACGCAAACCGCCGTTATATTCAATTTATTGTCGCACTTCGCGTCAACCTCGCCACCATTCCACTTGTGGAGTTTAGCAAGAATGTTGAATTGGCGTTTAAGGCTGTCGTGCACGTCAAGAACAAAGTCAGTGCCTTCAGCCAACTTTCAAAAGAGCTCCTGCTGTGCTTTGGAGGGCTTCACTTCGGCTGCTATATTGTCTGTAAGATTGCGTTTTCTTGACAAATGGCACAGGATGTTAAATTCGCTTTCCCTTAAGAACAACAACGATGTCATTCACACTCAGGCTGACGAGCAGATCTATGTGCAAAATCACAACGTACGGTCGGGGCTGTGTTGAGCCATTGAACGATGGTATAGATAGATGCCTGGCTGCACTTGCTGGTGGCGATCTTTATCACTGCTCGTACCCAGAAGATGAGGAGGTAATCTGTCCTTGGTGTGATGGCATTTGCGATCATCTAGGTACGTTCAGCCCTAATAGGATGCGAGAGGCTCACAGGCCTAATAGTCTTCGTCCTCGCGTTGGCAATATAGCGAACGATGAATTTGGCTGAAGCTGGGTAGGCAGAGATATCAGGGGACTCATAGTCGATATACACCTTCTCCTCTCGCCGGATCGCATTGCTAGATGGCATCATTGTCTCTCCTTCCATCAAACATATGTCAACCAGTTCATCGCCAGTGAGCCTTGGGGTATTCGGGGGGATGATAATGGTCGGTGGCAGGTTCGCTAAGTTGCATACTGCTCTGATGAGGAGGTTCTCAGTGCCATTGTGTGTACCGCAAAAGTTCTTGCCAATTCCTACGACCTGCCCAAAGTGACATCGACTAGTAGTGTGTCAGGTACATGATGGCTTAGTACAACGGTAGTATATGAAATCAGATGGAAAAATTGGGCGTTCATCATTATACCGAGGAAATTCACCAGACGTTGTCCGGATAGATGAGAACCATGCCTAGGAGTCGTAAAGTTCAGCTGTGTCGTTCACGAATCGCGCCATACCACGATGGCACCGGGATTCAAAATCACTAGAGCTCGCCAGCACTGTGAACAAGGACTTGGGATCGAAGAATTCGAGTTTGTGTTTCAGCGAAGCCCCAGTTGGCAACTTTGAGGCGTCTAGATTGATCTCCTTCTCTCTTATTGGTATCAAAGGAAGGGCTCGCCGCCTCCCGTCGTGAAGCGCATCCAATGTAGCAGGAAGTTTGGCGATATCGTCGACTGTATTAAGCTGCTGCAGGATCTTTTTTAGAGTCACATACGCCGTTCGTGAGACCCCTTCGTCATGACACCAAGTACTGAGCTGAAATGCGAATTTGGTTACGTCGAGAGGCCTGGCATGATGTTTGCGCACGTCTGAGGTATCTCCTGGAGCATTCTGATAACCTGGAAGAGTCGGCAATGTCGTCGCAGAATGTTGAGAAGGAACTGGTGAGGGTGTGCGATGAAATTATTTGAAAAGAGAGTTGATTGTTTCAAAGCACGATAGAACAGATCGCGTGGGAGAAGTTAGGAATCGAAGCTGTGGTGGTGAAATGTACCCGCAGCTGTCTGTGTGAAGCTCGGAGCGCACAGACAGCCCACCCCTAGACTAGCGCACGTCTGAAGTTGTGGGGGACGTGCGACGGCAATTTTGTTTAGTGCAAACTCTTGTGCACGGACCTCGGCTCGCTTATTTGGCTTTGCAGTCTAGAGATCTCGACACCACTTAAACACAATCGTGAATCAAACGCATAACCAATCAAATATCCAATTAAGATTCAATCACGGCCCAAGATGCCATCTCCATTCTCCATTGATCGTCGTGCACTTTGCCAACACGCCGACTATCGAGTAGGCTGCTTGTCTTGCAGCGCTGATGACATGCGCAGCGAGCTCAAAGAGGTAGCGTGATACCATCGCTTTTTTCATTTGCTAGACTGACAACTATCAGGCTGTTACAGAGAGTAGCAATCGAAGAGTCTCAATGAGGGCTTATCAAGCTCTTCTCGTAGACACCGCTGTTCGTGGCAGCGATAGAGAATGCTTTATTGCAAAGCTGGAAAGAGTCACAAAGCAATGCGCGGCATGGGATGAGCGTTGCCAAGTGCTGAAGGAAATGGTTGCCTCTGTGGAGGCACAAGTCAAAGATGTGTGCAATCGTAAGCGCAGCACCATGTTATGTTCAGTTTTGTACGACACTAATCTTCACTAGGCACTGACCCAAATGCACTCTCGGAAGCATTCGAGTACAATGCAACGGAGAGAGAAGATGAACTCCGGCAAATATGGCGCAAGGCTGCGAAGAGTGAGGTTGATGGCGGATTCGTTCTCTTCTGTTCAGAGGATCCCACATGCGAGCTGTCATTCAAGGATATAGACCGCTCCAATATTCCGGCGACCGCAGACACGCTGGTGAGCGATGGGATTGGCCTCCAAGTATTTCTCAAAGCTGGCAAAGATTCCCAGAGGCTGCCAAATACGTCAGTAGGTGACCGGACTGGCCCATCTATCATGAGTTATGGTCGCGCTATTGAGATGTTCGGTGTGCCAGATGGGCCTGGGAACGACTGGCGCCAAGCAAGCGAGCCAAGTACAGAGCCTGTGGTAAGGGAGGCACTGGCGCAGGTCGATATCACGGAAATAACATCAAAAGCCGAGAAGCAAGAGGCAAGAACCGAGTACGATTACCGGAGACTGTGCGATTGGCAACCCCCAACCACTCCGTTGTTGTCAGAAGACCAACAATGGGCTCTTTTCGGCAGCAAGAAGCATATGGCAGATGCGGCTATCCTTGCTCGTCAATATGCTAAGCTAGTGGCCGAAAAAGAGCGCAAGAAGAGCACAAAACGAGAGGGGGTCAAGCAGGTCAAGAACGGCAGTCAAGACGACGGGAGCTCAATGGCAAGTCCTGTAACATCAGAGAATCCTATCGAGACTACAACAAATAGTGGATGGCCACCAGTTGAACAACTCGATTGGGCGGGATTCACAAACTGGTTATCCCGCTGCAAACAGGTGGACAAAGCCTTCGGAAGAGAGACTCTCCCGTCTTGGAACAAGCAACGAGAGCAACGCCGAGCCACGGTAGTAGCCCAACTCAAGGCATGGGTGCCTCCCGAAGGATTCGATGACGGTTCGTCGAGCCACCAGCTCCCGTTCTACAACGGCCCACCTCGTTGCATCCTCGATGCAAAGAAACTTGGCTTGAACTTGCAACCCGCCAAACGCTAGGCTCTACCTGCGATCCTTTCAACTACCTACTATTGATTAATTTCTCTAGCTCCTCTCAACTACTTGCTATTGACTCAGTTCTCTAGCCTTTCCATACCTGCTATTGATTAAGTTCTCTAGTGTCACTTAGATACCTACTCTTAATTTAGTTTTCTAGCTTTGTACTATATTTAGCCTACTAATAGGTTATTTTAATAAAAATAGAGTAATATACAGTTCCGTAGTGCATATTTCAGTTCTAACCAAAGAGAATATCACCAAGACGAATCGATACTGTCTTGATCTGGAGGTAGTTGTCCAACGCTGCCTCGCCCAATTCGCGGCCAACGCCAGACTCTCTATACCCCCCGAAGGGCAATTGCCAATGGATAGTGTTGTAGGTGTTGACCCAGACGGTACCAGCGCGGAGCGCATTGGCAACCTCGATGGCGGTGGTGAGGTTGGTGGTGTGGACAGCAGCGGCGAGACCGTATGAGCTGTTGTTGGCAATCTTGATGACGTCGGCCTTGGTCTTGAATTTGGAGATTGTGCACACGGGGCCGAAGATCTCTTCTTGCTGGATCTTCATATCCTCGGTGACGTTGGAGAAGATGGTTGGCTCAATGAAGTAGCCCTTGGTGCCCTTGCGATTGCCGCCGGTCTCGACGGTGGCACCGTCCTTCTTGCCCTCCTCGATGTAGCTGGAAATAGGGATTAGCGAGAAGCCACGACGAAGATGAGGTGGAACTTACTGCATGATACGGTCAAACTGGAGTTGTGATACCTGGGGACCCTGGAACGTCTCCTGGGCGAATGGGTCACCGACGTTGTTCGCGGCAGCACGTTCCCTGAATCGTGCGAGGAACTTGTCATAAATGGGTTCCTCGACGTAAATGCGCGAACCGGCACAGCAGCACTGTCCGTGGTTGAAGTAGATACCAAAGTTGACCCAGTCGATGGCCTCCTCGAGATCGGCGTCGGCGAAGACAATGTTGGGGCTCTTGCCTCCAAGCTCGAGAGTTACCTTCTTCAAGTTGGAGCCAGCGGCAGCCTTCATGATTTGGCGGCCGACAACGGTTGAACCAGTGAAGGCAATCTTGTCGATGCCCATGTGCGATGACATGGCGGCACCAGCAATCTTGCCAAATCCGGAGATGACGTTGATAACACCTGGTGGGAAGCCGGCCTCCTTGATGAGATTGCACACAATGTATGCGGAGAGAGGGGTCTGCTCAGCAGTCTTGATGACGACCGTGTTACCGGTGGCAATGGCAGGGCCAATCTTCCATGAAAACATGAGCAGAGGGAAGTTCCAGGGAATGATCTGACCGCAAACACCAATCTACGACTGTTAGTTGGCATATCGTGGGTGATGGTATGGGGATACTGACTGGCTCCTTCCTGATGTAGTTGAAGGTATCGGGTGCCGTGTCGACGATCTTGCCCTCAATCTTGTCGGCCCAACCACCGTAGTACCTCAGGCAACCAGCGCAGCCGGGGACATCGACGTTCTTGGCCATGTTGAAGGCCTTGCCGTTGTCGAGCGCCTCGACAGCGGCGAGGAGGTCGGCATTCTTCTCGAAGAGCTCGGCCAGCTTGACGAGGAGCTTTCCACGGTTCTCTGGTGTCTCTTTCCTCCAGGGGCCGTCGAAAGCTTTGCGTGCGGCAGAGACGGCGATGTCGACGTCCTTTTCCGTGGCCTCTGCGACGGAGCAGATGACCTCTTCCGTGGACGGGTTGATGACCTCGAACGTCTTGCCGTCGACGGACTTTACGAACTCATTGTTGATGAATCTGGTCACATGTGTCAGCACGCTCTCTCAACGACCAGGGAGGGGAGAGTGGAGCGGCGTCACTTACAGGCCAGTGGGCTGGTCGTACTCGCCCGTCTGGGGCGTCTTGAGCTTGACTGAAACGTCCGACATGTTGGCAATGGCTATGGAAACAAACTGGGGGTATCAGAAGAAACAAAGACGGAGAGGAGAGAGGGTGGTTCAGGGTGAGGAGGGGTAGAGGGAGCGGGAAAAGACTTAAGTAGTCCTGGCGCCATGGGCAGCACGAAGGGAAGCAAAGACTCCACTCTCCACCCTTTAGAACATGGACCTCTGCGAGATCGCCCAGACAGCCTCGGCCATCAGGAGCCGCCTATCGCAGGGCGTGCGGAGCATAGTACAGTAGAAAGAGGGCGCTTGACACAACTGGGGACGAGGGCCTGCCCCGCTCGGCTGGCCAGTGACGAATTACCCCTCCCCCGCAGTGTGCTGCTCGAGCTGATGTCTTTTCAACCGCCGCCACCACCCTCGCCAATCATTCACATCTTACTTGGCTGTCGGATTTGGAATAAGCCGCCCTCTAGCCAGTCGATGATCGTCTCCCTCTGTCCATCTATGCGCCCTACTCTGTCAAACACGCGTCTCTCCAGCATCAGCATCAGCAAGCAACATCTGCTCCACGACGCTCAGGTTTCGGTACCCACCCTCTGCGCCACTGCACTAGCACCAAAGGGGCATTTCTCGCTCCTATCCCGGCCTCTTTCGGCTTCCTTTCGAGCGAGCACCGGCGCACACACTTGCCACAGCTCGAAAGCCTAATAGTAATCCAAGCGCGAGCTAGAGTAATGACCGGGTGCATAAATCTGTCCTAGGCCCCCACTGTCCAACAACTGATTCTTCTTCAAAAAAAGTCGAGCCTATCCGCTCCATGGGATACATCGGATGAGCGCTCCATTGCTCCAGTAAGACAAAGTCGGAAGCTGGAGCTGCCGTAAGCTTTCTAGTTAGCTCGTGCATTCATCGCGGGGAAGCGTCATGTTGAGCTAATCATACTGGCGTGAGTTCTCCGCACAAAGGGAGTCTATGGGCGCGAATGGGAGCCCTTCATGCTCTGGAGCCGTAACATAGCTGTAGATAGAAACTGCGGACTGACGGTGGTGTGACACATGTCCCTTACTGCGAAAGCCAAATCCTACATCAGCTCGACTACCAGAAGCGGATAGCCCAGTCTCTAAAGGAGAGACTAGGCATGGTGCATCTTCTGCGGCATCTTTCCGTGGCCTTGACATTTGGTCAGTCATGGAACCATTCCGAAAGTTCAAGGCAGTGCATCAGTTCCATCCCTTGGCTTCGAATATCACTTCTTGTATCGCGTCATTTGTCTGTGTCGTCCATCAACAGAAAGGCTAGTCATTCATTAGAGTGGGCGAGTCGTCCGTCTTGCAGAGAATTCACGTGGTAGAGACTCAGAGGCAACAAACAGTAGTCGTCGGAAATCGTGCCACCATGGCCAATCTTGATTTGAGCTACCTAGAGCGTGAAAAGCAATTTGTGAACCGAACCTCAGCCGTCCGTGAGTAGTGTACAAGTTTCGAGTCGCGTCCAGGGTCCACCTGCTTTGGCAGTAACCGGACTTCTTCGTAAAAGTATGGTTTTTAAGAAAAATGCGCTCCCAAGGAAATCAAGGAAATACTGAGCCCAGACCGACCCACTCTGAAATCCCACCCAATTTCGTTTCATGTCCAAATTAAAAAATAAAGGAGGAAGGACTGAGAAGATGGCGCGCTGATGCTACGGCGCTTAAAGCATCTCGTCGTCCATGGCAGTGTCGCCGCCGGCAGCTGCCTGAACAACCTCCGCACCGCTGGTGGCGTTGGTGGGCTCGCCGCCTGGGAAGTAATCCGCCATCTCGGCATCAAGCTCCTCGACTGTCTTCTTCTTGGGACGAGCTTCACGGCCACCGCGACCACGGCCACGGCCACGAGTTTGTCCACGTCCACGTCCAGCAGCGGGTGCAGCCTTCTCGGCGGTAGCCGGCTTAGGCTTGTCCTTCTTGGGTTGACTGAATACTATGAGCAAAGATTCATACCGTGACAATGGGGTCTACATACGTAACGCGCTCAGCCAGCGAAGGCTGACGAGCCGGAGGTGGGAGGTTTGCCGCGCTTACGAGCATCTCCACACGAACGGGGCGGCCGTCAATCTTGACACCGTTCAAAGCGGCGGTAGCCTTGACGGCTTGATCGTGCTTGTTGAAGATGATTGTGGCGCTTCCCAGGCTGCGACCGTTTGGTCCGTACTGCAAGAGGATCTTCTTGGGCCGACCTACGCCGACTGCTGAGATGAAGTAATCCTAAAGGCGCATTAGTTGTCGTGCCAGGTAATGGATTCGCAGTAGTAAAAGCAAGAACGAGCCCGTGTTCGGCCGAAGGTAGTCGTCAGATCCATATTCGCGCCGTCGTAGAACGCCGCTCAAAAAGTGGGATGCAATGTCCAGATGCAAGAAACGTTTCGTTTAGCAAGACGAGACCAACTCAGCGCTAGAGCATCATGCGCGAGTGATGTAGCGTATGGAAGACGCTGCGAACCAGTCTTGAGATTGTTTTGCCCATGCCCATCTTGTAATCTCAAGGCTTTCATGTGTCTGACATGTGGATCGCTTCTCGCTGCTCATTTTTCATGCTTGCGCCGCTGGGAGCATCTAGGAACGTGTCTCTAGTGCGCTGACATCTTTGCTTCCACTTCAGGAGTGGAGCTCATGGACATTGTTCTCCCACTTTCGTCACGGCGATACCTCGGAATGTTCGCATGCTGCAAGTCGTATACCAGTCGCGTGTGCCCAACGCGCATCATGGCGTGACTATATTGCAAGACATGGCTCAACACCCATACCAGGAGGCGAAGGAGAAAATTCGATTCGTCGGATTGGACTCGTGTTTGCTCGCAAGATGCGACGTAACAGTAGGTTCAAAGACCTGCATCGGTCTTACATACCTGAAGTTGGCCTTGCTCAACATCCAGTGGCTGCAGCGAGTTAGTGGGATGCTGCCATTACTCTTGTTGATAGACATACCAAGTTGGAAACCATAATCTTGGTCTCTCCGGCTGAGGCAGCAGGTCCGGTCGGGGTGGCCTTGGCTTGCCTGGCTGGCTTTGTCGACTTGGAAACTCCACCGATGGGGCCTGCAGAGGCAGGAGCGCGCCCAGCATTTGGTCGTCGCGCACCGCGGCCACGGCGGGTTGTCGACGACTTGTTCGCCTTCAGGATCTCGTCCAGGCTTTGCTCCATTTTGTTGGACATGTTGAGGACTTGAGGAGCGGTGATACTTGAGTGCAGAGTGTGGGTAAGAGCGCGCTGACTTCAGACAGGCGAGCAGAGTAGAGACAGAGGCGAGGTTTGAAGCTCGGTTGATGGAAGCGCGACTGGTATTGTAGTGCTGATGAAGATCAAAGGGGTGCGCTGTTTGGGGGCAGAGCGCGTCGCAGCTGTGGGAGACTCGTTGGGCGATGAGTCAAAGTGGGCTTGGGCTTAGATGTATGTAAAGTGTAAAGTGTAAAGTGGGTGGCGCAGCGGAGAAAGGTCGCACTGGCTGATGAAATGGCAGAAGTGGTGGTTGTAGGAAGCGTGGTGGTGAGATGAGGAAAGAAAAGGGAGGGCGCGCGAGGCAGCAGGCAATCAAAAGCGCCCGGGCAGAGCGAGCAGAGCTGTGCTGAGGCTTGGCGTGGTGCGCAGTGATTGGCTGGTACGCCACCGTGGAATCTTCACCCCACACATCGTCATTTGTGAACTTTGACACACACACAGCCCGGGTACCAGCCAGCGCTGCCAGGTACCACGATTGCGACGAGTAGCCACCTCCGGGCCCACGAAATTTGCGACTTCACTGTCATTTCTAACTACACACTCATTCAAGATGCCACCCAAAGGCAAGGGCGAGCAGCCCAAGGTGAAGAAGGTGGCTGTGGACAAAACCTTCGGCATGAAAAATAAAAAGGGAGGAGCAGCACAGAAGCAAATCGCCCAGATCAAAGCCACCGCCGCAGCTGGCGGCTCACCCGACGACAAGCGGAAGGCAGCCGAGAAATTACAGAAGGAAAAGGAAAAGGCGGCCGCAGAGCAGGCTCGCAGGGAAACCGCCGAGCTGTTCAAGCCCGTCCAAGTCCAGAAAGTCCCCTTTGGCGTCGACCCAAAGACTATACTGTGTCAGTTCTTCAAAAAGGGGAATTGCGAAAAGGGTAAAAAGTGCAAGTTCAGCCATGACCTGGCTATCGAGCGAAAGACGGAGAAGAGGAGTTTGTACACGGACTCGAGAGACCAGGAGAAGGAGGAAGAGGAGGACCGGAAGAAGAAGGACAACATAGACGACTGGGACGAGGAGAAGCTACGGCAGGTTGTCATGAGCAAGCACGGCAACCCCAAAACAACCACGGATAAAGTGTGCAAGTACTTCATCCAGGCCATTGAGGACCAGAAGTATGGATGGTTTTGGACGTGTCCGAATGGAGGCGACAAGTGCTTTTACAAGCACTCTCTACCACCTGGGTAAGTTGTGACACGACCCATCGTTACGATTGGATGCTAATCATCTCTAGATTCGTAATCAAGACCAAAGAACAGCGCGCCGCCGACAAAGCCCTCATGGCCAACTCGCCCCTCGCGACTCTTACCCTCGAAGACTTTCTCGAATCCGAGCGCCACAAACTCACCGGCACACTTACGCCCGTCACTGAAGAAACTTTTGCAAAGTGGAAGAAAGAGCGCCTGGACAAGAAACAAGCCGAGGACGAGGCGAAGAGGATGCGGGAAGCGACGGGCAGAGCCATGTTCGAGAAGGGCGATTGGCAAGTGGATAGCGATGCTGATAGTGATGACGAGGACGACGAAGGCACGTGGAACTTGGCGGCGATGAGGAGGGAGACGGAGGCAGCGAGAGTGAGGAAGGAAGAGGAGCGGCTGGCAACACAGATGGGGAACGTTACCGTGTCTTGAACACACCTCACTTCGATTGACTTCGACTTGGTGGGAGCAGAAGACCTGGAAAGGAGCATGCCGGGCGCGCCACACAATGCTGCAAAAGCTTGCGGGGCACTACCTGAGCCGTGCAAGAGATCACATATGGTGGAAGTACCAGATTGAGCACATCATGGACGGAGCAGCTGCTTGCTTGAATTTTAGCGTTACGCGACTGCATGACTCTCTATCGAGCCCTATGGCTCTAGGTGTCTGGCGTAGTGATTCTTGGCTCGGATATTACTGTGTATGCTATATATATGGACTATATGACATGAATTACGTGGACACGGCTGCTCAATGTCATACTTCTCACATCTTGCAGCAGTTTAGTTATAGACGTAGTGCAAAGATTGCGAACGAATTATTTCTTAGTATCATTCAAGATAAGCACTAACAAGTAGAGAGAAAATATGCCAGTAACACAATACGCTATGCAGCTTTAACGAAAGTCAAAGAACCCCCCCAAGCCCATACCCAATACAAGCATTCTACAAACTTGCTTTCTCACCGCCAAGCTTCTTCCCAGTAACGACCTCAAAGTACTTGTTCAGCGCCTCACACGTCCCTTTACCCTCTTCTAACTTGACCACTACGCCAACATACCCGTCAGGCCTGACGACCACGATACCGCCCTTCACCTCGTCGAGTCCCATCTTCGCGTGCGCCGCGGCCTTTGCATCCGGTACCCTCTGATCCCACACATCATCTGCGTAAATGTGGTCTGCGTACCGTGCAAACGTCTCTGGAAGCTGCTCGTCGATGTAGATCTTGGAGCGCGGCGAGTTGAAGACTAGAGCAAGCGAGAGGAAAGACGTGTGCGGGTTGTGATGCTCGTGGTAGCGATCCGCTGTGCTGAGGTCTTTGAAGAGGAAGGCTGAGAAGAAGGATGCTGGGGCACTCATATGGGAAGCTAGATCTCTCAGAGCCGTGGATGTCTTGGAAGGCTCGCCGCCGAAGATGAATATCCGGTATGAGCCGTTCAGTGGGATTTCTTGCTCCAAGTGCACAACGTTGGCGTCTACGACGCGTGTGACGGTTGCGGGTGTGAGAATTCTGCCTGTTCGTTGACTTGTGCCTTTCTCGTACTGAAGAATTAGGGGGTGTTGCGCGGGGTGCTCGGGGCCCCAGTTGATTTCGTTGGGGTTGTATGCTACGCCGTAGCCGGAAGTGAACTCGCAGGACGCCTTAAAGGTCTTCACAAATTCGTTCTCTTCTGACTCGTTTGATGAGGCGCCTGCAACTTCTCCTGCTGAAGGAATCCGCGCGGAGAATAGCTTAGCGTACTTGGCGTCGAAGCTGAGTAGATTCTCAGCGATGAGTTTGCGCTCTGATTCATATGTTGACAGTAGCGATCTCGGCGCCCACCCATTCTCAACGTGATGAATCTTCCAGGCAAAGTTTACTGCATCTAGGAACGCTGTGTTCATGCCTTGTCCTGCTTTTGGCGAGTGGGTGTGACATGCATCGCCTCCCATGAAGACGCGTTCGTCGAGTGTATAGCGCTCTGCAATGCCCTGGCCGATAGGGTAGACAGAGTACCACTCGACGCGGTCCCACGAGATGGTGTAAGGCTTGAGGATTTCTTGGGCTTTCAGTTGGACATCTTCTGCTGTCGCGCTCTTGCGAGGGTTCCAGTCTTTGTCTGTTGATGTCGCGACTTGAATGTACAGGCGGACCATGTTGTTCTCGCGAGGAATGATCATTATGCTACCAGCGTCGGAATGAATGGTGCATTTCATCTGTTCGAGTAGTTAGAAAGACAATAGGGGCAAGAAGCTTGAAGGAATGAGATAATCGTACCTTGATGTCAGGGAAGTTTGTTCGGACAACACCATCCATGACACCCCAGACATTTGCGATAGGGTCTTTGTATATCATATTGACGCCTAGCTGGTCTCGTACGAAACTCCTGGCGCCTTCTCCGCTGAATAGATACTTCGCCCGTACAGTTTCTGATAGAGTGCCGTCAACATGCGCCAGGTTGACTTCAATCGGATATGTGGAGTCATTTCCGTCATTCTTAAATCCGGTAATAGTCCACGGTCGTTGAACTTGTGTACCATTTTTTTCGACATCTTCAATGAATACCCTCTCAATCAAGCCCTGATGCAGAAGCGTCGTGAACGGGTACCGCGCATCGATGAACTTGGGACAACTAGCCCACGTTCCTGTCCGGTGAATACCCTTCGCCGCAGGGTCCCAGAATGCAACTTCGTACACTTTCGCAGGCTCATACTCCATAATTTTCCGCTTGAGGCCCATATTCCGCAGAAGGTCCAGCGAGCGGGGTTGAATGCCATCTGCTCGCCCTGTAGGTGTCGGCTCTGACCTATTGTCGATGTGCTTGATTTTGTAACCCCATCTCGACAAACATGTTGATAGACAAAGACCAACAGGTCCCGCACCAACAATGACAATATCGTAGTTTTCCACAGCCATGTCGTCCGGTTCAGAAGAAGATGTTAAGAGCTAAGTATATTATACGAGAAACACCCGTCTGAAGCTCACGCTTGTGAAAAAAAATTGTAGACGGAGAAGAAGTTCAGCCGTGATGCTGGATCAGCGACAAGAGCCACTTTAAGACAGCTCCAATGCTCGTAAGCTTGCCAATGCTAGTGTCGGTTGCTATGGACATGGCAGGCATTTCGGGAGTGCAGCTTGGCCGGCAATAAAATCGGTTGTAGAAAGCCTCGAGGCTATCAACTGGAAGAACGCCGGCAGACGTGCCGTCATGTTGCGGGGAGTGCGGGCGGAAGTGCTGAGCGGCAATTATTGCCAAGACCGCGGTTGTGCCCTTCTGGTTTGGGATTAGATGTGGCTTTGTGGAGCTACTCAAGAAGACCGATTACATCTTTGGAGTAGCTCGCTGCACCAGTGTTAAAGGAATCTCCACTACATCTACCGTGAATACTTTCCATCAAATTTTACCGTGTGACCGATGAAGTGTCTTCTAGACCTCGTACGAGATACATCGTCGTCATCATTGTCATTGACCATCTCAATGTGATCGTTGCCCGAGTAAATTCCTTATCTGCGATCTCTTACACACACGTATGTCTCTATTGCCCTAAGACAGCTATTTGACAAAGCAGCCAGGAGTTCAGATACTGGAAATTATGCCTATGTGAGGCAAGTGGGAACGACTCTAATATTTGCATTTTCGTAGAATCCTATTAGCTCAAGCACCTTCTTGCCACACAGCGTTAACATGTTGGATAGCTCTCTATGAATGTACGGCTCGCAACTGCGCCTTAGCCCAAAGCATGACACGAACGAACTCGATCTTCACTTTGGAGATACTGGAGCGTTTCAATCACATTTCTTGGGTTAGTATCTACAATTACTCGGTAGGCTGAAGACAGACTTGACTGAGCTTAAATATGTTTTCAAACTCCACAAATCGATAGTCATTGGGAGGGTTGAACTTATACTTGTAGCACTATCATGCGGGGACGACGTTATTGCCATCTCCAGTAGAAGACAGCTGGAGTTGGTTTTGCTGGTTTAGTGGAAAAGTTTCTTCGCTTCTAAACTCCGGCTTTAGGGGAAGGTGGGGTACCGAGGACTCATCTAGTCAATCAAACATGATTACAAGTCAAACATGCGACCAGTAGCTCAGTAGTAAGTTTCTTTACTTCGTCTTACACTGACCACTGTACTTAGTCAAGTGCGTCTCGATTCGTTTATACAACTCCTTCGTGGCTAAGTTGTAAATCTAGACATTAGCGAGCCTAGCATGTGAAGACCTCGATTTTCCACATGAGAACGGACTGGAGCTAGCCCTACCTGACTTCACATGTTTAGATCGAATCCTATACTGCTCAGCAGACGTGTTCGAATATTGAGGTGCCCGAACGTAACACCAATCTGTGGCTTTCAGTATCCCAGAGCTTTGATCCCATATTCGAGCGGTGTCGCCTCATCCACACTCTGCATTGGACCACCCCAATTCACAATTCCTCGTGCATCTACCGCATACGTGCCTCCAACTTGCCATCTACATCCCCCTTCTCCAACCTGCTGTCCCCTGAAGGTATCAAGTTAGCGTATGTCTAACATGCAGTTGGTACATGGAGATCTTACCACACCCCCTCCTTCTTGCCTAGGAGGATTTGATTATATCCATTCCTGGGGTGTAGTAGGTGTCCCCAGTTGGATATCCCCAAGCCCCATATTGCGTAAAGCTCTCGAGTCTGATCGACTATAACATCGACATGCCAGGCTCCGCCGAGCGTTCTCAGCCAGGCATCTGTTGCGGCTTGCGTGCAGTGAGACACGGCGACAAAGCGTATACTATTATATCGGTTCGCGAGGCTTCGAAGCTGGAGGAAGAGTTTCTCTGTGACTAGGAAATATTAGCACATGGTTACTAACGATTCGCATACAGTTGTGTGCCTATCACAAGTACTCACATGGACACCCGCAGTACCTTAAAAACAGCACAAAACAAGGCCGCCCATCGGCAGCGGGGAATGCGAGCTTTGCGTTCGTCGGCGCCTTCTCTCCAAGCATAGGTGCCGCTCTCACGGTAGTCTCAGGCGGTGGAGGGGTTGTCCATGATGCGAAAGCCTTGGGCACGCCCCATTGCACGTTTGCGAAGGGATTAGCGAAGCCTCCGTTTCCTCCTGCAGCACCGTCTTGTTGTGCGCCTTTCGTATTGCCACCGGCAAAAGGATTGTCTTTGGGGAGAGATAGGTTGCCCAACCCAGCTCGTTGCAGGGCGATTTTGGTGCCGAGCTTACTCAACATTTTGGCGGTAGTGGTAATGAACGCGCCCAGGATTGTTTAGAGTATGTGACGCGCTATCCCTGTAGATATCAACGATGCAGGTGGGCGTTGTGTAGAGGGCTAGAAAGCGAGGTAAAAGGCGAGTGGCGGAGCTCACGAGCGTTCGGACGTGCCGATATGAGACAGGAATGGCTAACCTCTATAGCCGAAAAGGCGTTGCGAACGTGCATGCAGCTGAAACATACGATGTTGCACGGACGCGATGGCTTGAGGTGGTGGAAACGAGACCCCTCGGCTGCTCGCCATTTCCTTCAAAGGAGTTCAGCTCCACGGTACCATGTGGACATATGGGTGAATAGAGTTATCGTTTGCAGAGGACCTCCACCATTTCAGCTTCGTGTAGGGGGAGTTTGTCCTCTGGTTTCAGTCGGGTTAGCGTCTCGCGTTATCACGTGCTTAGCGCAACACCATCACTTGAGGAAAACCGTCTACCTCAGCATTTGCGGGTGAGGGGCATTAATGGCGGTACCATATACATTGCGACATAGGAGACAAGGTCGACTGTGATCGCATCCTAAATTAAGAAAACTTTGATCAAAAGCGGATCGGGTATCCCATAATCAAATCATAAACGCAGCGGTTTTTCACGACACAACATCCTTCCAAGGTTTTCGTGATCACTATCACGACAACACCCCAAAGTGATCGCCAAAAGAAGACGGATGCCCTCTATCTCTTATACGCGAAGATCGCTCTGCACTCGAACACAGTTTGGCGGTCGAGACACTCTTGCACAATATCGCTGTCATCCCACCACCACCTGGATTCGTCCGGAACATCATCAACAAAACTGCCCCAGATATCTTTCCAAAGAGCGCGTCCAATGGTCGTCGAGAGCTCCTTGTCGACGTCATTGCAAGATGTGTCGAACGCGCACGGCAACGTCACATTTTGGTCCTCTTCCACGCGGGTCAGATCGAATCCAGCATCATTTAGCCATGTGGGGACAAGCAGACATGGCTTCGAGCATCGAAAGAGCCTCTCGAGATTGACGGACAGCCTGTCTTCGATCCACGTCCTCATTAGCGGACCAGCGGTTTTGCGCACAGGTGCTGCGTCCATGATCCTGATCTCCAACAGCCCGCCTGGAGCGAGCAGCTTGTAGCATTCACGGAACAGGTCAGGCAACTTGGCGGAAGGGACCAGCGATGGCAACGTCGATGCTCTTATATGAGAAAAGTAACCCTCGGGGTAGGGCAAGGGTACCACACCGGCCTCTCGCACGGTTAAGAACGAAACATTTCCAGGCAGTGGAATCAATCGCTGGGGCTTGGTGGTGAGGAAGTGCACAGTTTTTGACGGATGCATAGCCGACAGTTGGTACACCTCAGCTGATACTGACGGTTAGACGATGCACAACAGCGTTACTCAAGAACACGGCATGAACTCACAGAGGTTGCCATACAACTCCAGAAGCCGGCCTGTGTCGCAATCTGGTTTCGGGGCGATCCGATTTTTGCCCAGATTCTGCATCTGGAAACCTGTCAAGAGCCAGAGTTGCTTCTCGAGAGCCAACTGGAACGAAATCAGCGGGGGTCGCCGACAGATGCTTGGATCGGGACAGACCTCTTCATTTACATCTTCACTAACGGGCTCTTGCCATTCCTCTTTGAGTCGGTCGAGAACAACCTTCGGACCAGCGCTTTCCATTCTGCGAATGAAGCGTTGGAAGCGATTAAGCTCGGTTGTGCTGCTATGGCTAACAGCTACCTTGGTGGTAGTCGATTTAGGCAACAGGTGCATCTCCGTGGGTACTTTTCGTGGGGCAAGGCATTCCCATTGCGACAGCGGTCTACATGTGATCTTCGAGTCCGAACCGATGCTGTTTAATGAGGTACGCTCTATTTCTTCCGAGGTTCTGGATTCCTGGATGGCATCATGCAGTTTGAGTGCCTCTAAGCTTAGAGCTCCCTCGATTTTCACCGACTGTGGTCTTCTACAAACCGTGAGCAAGGTGAGGATTAAGCACAGTCAAAACTCACCTCTTTATCCGCGGCACAACAAGATCTGGAGCTGCCGCGCAGTCATCATTTTCAGTAGCTGCTGAACTCACCCTTGTCCTACTGGTGACAAAGGATCCTGGACTTGTTCGTTGCCGTTGGCTTTGGCTTATCTCATTGACGCTATCGGCATTCATGGGAGTCTTCACCTCCCACCGTCGGTCATCTGCTAGCCCGATTAGGACATACTAGATAACAATGCGAGAACATGGTACTTACTCGAGGAGCGAGGTCCGGTCGAGTCCGTACGTCGAGATGATGTATCGCCTTCCAGCTCTGGTACTTCGTACTCAGGTAAATCTAAAGATGCTCCGGATGGCAACATAGAAGAAAGCGTGCTTGAATACGTCCAGCCTGGTTGCAACATTGGGTCTTTGAACCCAGGTGCGAGTTTCTTGTCCAGCTTCCTAGGGATGACATGGACCGTCTTCTGAGAACTTGAACTACTTGAAGCTGGTCGCAACATGCTGGGCTTGAGACTCCTCGCCTTTTTCAGCCCCGAAGTCCACCATAGCTCTCGTTCGGCGGAGATGGAGCTCCTGGAACTTTTCGAAGTTTTGACGGAGGCTGCTGCTGTGGATCGCTCCCGAGCCTTTCGCTCTCTCCGCTCCCCAATTTTTTCAGTGTTAGGATCCGTCCAGGACAGGTCGGCAGAAAACATAGTCGATCGCTCCTAATAAACACTGTGGAATTGGCCGCCGTGCGAGAATCCAACGGTCCCTGGGGAACGAACAACTGGGGAAGTACCATGAACTTGACGCTCGGTACGTCAGGGTGCAGGAAGAGAGTCAGACACTGACTAGGGATTTGGGCGATCGTGTCGTAGCCGTGAAGCGGGTTGCGGGACGGTACCTTTTACCGCAGTACCTGGGCAACGAGGACTGTCGCACACCTGGCCGTGGCGTTATTGCCTAGGGAAGAGAGTTGTTGGGGCTTCACAAAACCAAATACAGGTACGAGATTACACTACTGCACTAGCTGTCGTGCTCTGATGCAGAGAGTCAAGGGCCATCATCCTACGCGCCAGGGCCATGCAGCGCGCCGTGAGCAATTGGAAACGGCACCCACACCGCTGGAGAACTATGAGCTTACACGTGGGTGAAGCGTGCGGGACATCTCAAATTGACAATACTTTGATCGAAAAAGAAAGGCCCAGGTGGTACAACAGGCACAAGTTGCTTCCCTTTACCCGTGACACCCCTGCCCAAGAATACGCCAGGGGGTCTTGTGGCTGGCTAACACTGGCGACAATGTAGATGCCAGCCAGCAGCCAGGCGGGCTGAGACCGCCAGACCTGCCCAGCGGGCACAACGAATCGTATCGGATGATCTGTGTGGCTATCTAAGTTTATCCTTTGCAGCAGTATCAACCAGCAAGCTAGCGAACACACTATACCGCTCATGATCAAACAACCGGCAATACTGACGAAACGACTCACATTGAAGGCTGCATGGATGGCTTGTGTGGTTGACTGAGACGCACAACTTTGCATGCGGGTGCCGTTGCGTAGATGGATGATTGAACCAGTCATGCTGCAGGCGGGACTGCATCGGCTGTTCCTGACGAGCATACCCAGGAAGGACTAGGAAGGACGGAGAATACCCCTAACTCGCTTCCACACGCCACCTTGGCGCAGGGCTAGACCGCAACGTCGAGTACGAATGCAGTACCTCCACTGCGCGACAACGCTTTGCCGTCGTGGAGATAGTTTGTGGCACACTGGATTTGGCGTTACTGGCACTATGCTATCATATCTGGTTGACAGCTCTGCTAGGGCAAACTTTGGGTCCCGAGGGGTTTTCGACCCTTGCCTGCTTGCTGTACCTGCCGATCCCCTCCTCACTCCGCCTGCATCTCAACCTTTTACCGGTCAGAGGTTGATCGAGTCTCGGATTTTCTTCTTGCACTACATTTGCAGTCCCCTCCTCCATGACTTGGCATGTGACATCTCGCATCATCGGCTTCCTTTTCCTGCATTGAGCCGGTTGCTTTGTCGTCGTCGGGCGTTCTCATCGGTTTGCTGCAACTTGTCGCCTTGGGACAGCTATATACCACCATAAAGCCAGATTTGGTCTACACTTCTCCCGTGTCTTGAAACTTTGCGACAATATCTAAACTCACTTCAAGAGTCCCCCATCACTTGGTCATCAACATGGAGGCCATCCGCAACTCGGTCGAGTCTTTCAATGTCTACATATGCCAGTCAACCTTTGGACGGGTCTTCCGCCTGGAAGGTTCTGGACATGTGAGCTCCAAAATTGCCGCAACATTCCAATCATCTCTCTAATGCATATTGTAGGAGAAGGAGATTAAGAACACAAAGTTCACAACAGAGCTTCGTGCAGGGCTGACTACCTTCTTCACCATGGCCTATATCATTGCAGTTAATGCAAGTAGTCAGGTTGGTCTCATTACGGACTCGTTGCTAATAATCAAAGGCCAGGATCCTTTCCGACACTGGTGGTAATTGCATATGTAACGACGTGAACGACCCACTATGTAAAGTCAATGTCGAGTACGCTGTTTGCGTGCAAGGTATGTCATGTATGCCTAGTCAAGTGGCATAAGCTGATTTGACATTAGACCTCAACCGAAACCTCATTACCGCAACAGCAGCCGTTGCAGGCTTTTCTTCGTTCCTCTTCGGCTTCCTCACCAATATGCCCGTGTGTCTTGCCCCTGGTATGGGTTTAAACGCCTACTTCGCCTATCAGATCGTAGGATACCACGGAAGTGGCCTCATTTCATACAACCTCGCTCTCACCGCTGTGTTTTTCGAGGGCTTCATTTTCATATTCCTGTCTTTGATCGGCATGCGTCAGTGGCTTGTTAAGGTTATTCCTGTCTCACTCAAAATTGCCGCGGCTTGCGGTATTGGACTATTCCTCGCCGAGGTAGGTCTAAGTAGCTCTACAGGTATTGGAGTGATCAGCGGTGCGACATCAACTCCGCTTGAGATTGGTGGTTGTCCAGAACAGTACAAGGATGAGTTGACCGGGCGTTGCTTGAGTCACAAAATGACTTCACCCACCGTAAGTTGATAGGAAGCTGAATGTTCTTTGGACTTTAACTGAACATGATAGATGTGGCTCGGTATCATGTGTGGTGGTATCATCACAGCCTACCTGATGACATACAAAGTCAAGAGCGCTATGATCGCGGGCATCCTTCTCGTCTCAATTATCTCATGGCCGTATGCTCAAAAACCTCTCCGAAAAGAAATCAATAAGCTAACCTGATCGTAGTCGAGGGACACCTGTAACGTTTTTCCCAGACAACGAGCGTGGTAATGATCGCTGGAACTTCTTCAAGAAAGTCGTTGACTTCCATCCCATAAATCATACACTCAACGTTCTTGACTGGAAGATCAACGCGGCCCCTGGGCACTTTGCTCTCGCCCTCTTCACTTTTCTCTATGTCGATATCATCGATTGTACAGCTACCTTGTACAGCATGGCTCGATTCTCAGGCGTGGTAGACCCAGAGACAGGAGATTTTCCTCGATCAACACTGGCTTATTGTACAGACGCGTTCTGCATCTCTATTGGCGCACTCCTCGGTACCTCTCCCGTTACAGCATTTATTGAGTCTGGAGCTGGTATTGCGGAAGGTGGAAAAACTGGCTTGACGGCTATGACGTGCGGTATCTGCTTCATCATCTCCATGTTCTTCGCTCCAATCTTCGCCTCTATACCACCATGGGCAACGGGATGCACTCTAATCCTGGTCAGCCTCACTCTTTGTTCGTGCCGATGCTCGCTAACGTAGCCCTAGGTCGGTTGTCTAATGATGCGCCAAATCGTCTCAATCAACTGGCGCTACATCGGCGATGCTGTTCCTGCATTCGTCACCGTGATGTTTATTCCCTTCGGCTACAGTGCAGCATATGGCCTCATCGCCGGCCTGATGGTCTACACCGCGCTCAATGGCTTGGTGTATATTACCAAGCTTGTGTCTGGCGGTCGCATCGTACCCGACGATGAAGATTCCCGCGAGTTTTGGAATAGTAAGTTTGATTGATCTAGCATGGGTATTTTATAGCGCCCACAACTAACGCTATTAATAGTTAAACCACACGGGAAACTGCCATGGTTCATCACGGCAGGTCAAGCACTAGCAGACCGCTTGAGTCATGGCAGCAGCAAAAACAAGAACGATAATACATCCGTCCGGAGCGGTGAGTCCAGTTGGAAATACCACAACCGACTCAACTCAAAAGGGTCGAATCGCGAGCTCAACACAGTCGTTGTGCATCCGCTTCCAACTGACCCAAGTCAGGAAAAGGTGCTGAGAAAGATGTGAGGCGGTTACGCGGCAGGTGTTTTTGGATGGTTTTCATGGAGGGCTTTTGGATATCGCACTGGCATTAAAAGCATCGCTGGTGGCTTTAGAAAGTTTTGGTGGCTTTGCCCGTTTGAGGCCTTGTGACTATATTTTCGTCATTGTCTCGCATATATAAGTTTACGTCAACTAGAGTCTTCCTATCTGCGCGTGAACCTTAGTTTCAACGTCGAGATGATCTTTGCTCCAGCTATCGCTCTCTATACCACTTGCAACTTAGCTGTTTCCCCCCTCAAGCTGTCTCTGTCCTGAGAACCAGGAACCTGCGTCACGCTAACGAAATCCCCCGGTGCCCCGTTACTGGCAGCTAAAGCAAGTCTAATAGCCGACAGCGAGGAAACCCCTCACCCACACTTTTGCAAGTTAGGAACGAAACTAGGATGTTGAGTTTCCCCTTGCGTGCTGCTGAATGCCCCTTGCGATCGTTCTTCCTGCTACCTTTCATTATGCCTTGCATTGCAGAGTTCGAAACTCTCTGAACCAGAACATTGCCGAACATGTCGAAACTCGAACCAATCGTACTGTCGACCTCTACATCCCTTGAAACTGCCGGTGCTGTGATGGTGGGATCTATCTTTCCTAGTTAGTCTTTTGACTTTCAAGCCCTGGCCCATAATGTGCCCCATCATGGGCCACCTTATCATACCTTCCGCAAGTATCCGGGGTTGCGTACAGCGCGAGTAAGAATGCTTGCAGCAGCTCTAACGCCAGCCATTCCAAGTCTCCCCGCCAACTAGCCACCAAACCTAAAATCAAGGAAATAACCTTGTTTACCAGGCTACCGTTTTGACTCGGTAGCTTGACCCCACCGAGCCCGCATCTTGCATTCTCAATTCTTGCAATATGAAACTTGGATCAGTAGATCGTTCTGTTATCAACCTGATACACGCTACCAGTCGTATAGCTGCTTGCTGCTCAGAAAGGTACTCGTGAGCTTGGCTCCCTTTTCTGCACGAGCGCGGTAGCCTGCGTCGTTCGGCAATTCGATCGGGAGCCTATGGCAAGCTTGTGCATGAGGGGTGTGACAACGAAGCCGCTACAGGGAAGCGTTTGGTTCTCGTATAAGGTTCGGAAGGTCAAGGTCCGTCAAGCTTAGAAAGATCAGGCGAAAACCAACCCCAGCTTATCTCGTCGGTGGCTGAAAATGCCCGAAGAAAAGGAAAAAGATAGACCAAAACGCATCTGAAGAGAAAGCAGGAAACAATAACGGGACATGCTCCCAACCGCACCTCCGATCTCAACCCCTAGTCCGTCCACAGTCTCGCAAGCGCTGACGCAAGAAAAGATAACACCCACGATGCAATGGCGATGCTTCAGATAGTATGGTCTACAGCTCCTGCATTGAGGACAACCAAACTTTTGCTTTTACAGTCCACGGCAATAGACCAAATCATCCCTTCCAATCAACTTCTCGTGTCCCCTCCCCATCTCAGACGCCCTCACCGTCAAGCAACCCCTTTCCAAACCTTCTTGTTTTCTCCTGCGCCTGTTGCACCATTATCCCTTTATCCCAGATATCAACCTACCCTGCATAGAGTTGCGCCGTTATCCGTAAAGCTTCTCGCCTGTCGCACAGTATCGCCACCCATGTCTGCTAGGGAGAGACACATCGTTTCGCACCAGGAGTACGAAGGTTGAACAACCGATGAGTGAAGCAGCGCTCTGGGCCTATGATCGTGAAGAGGAGGCAGATGACGCCGGAAGAAGGGATGGTCGGAGCAACCACGTTGAATGTCTCGGGTGACCTATCCCTTATGATCGCGTCAAGTCGCCACTTTCTCCATGTCTATTGGGTGAATGCAGGGACTCGAATGCGCCAGGCACCGTACTTTCTTTCTTACACTGAAGGGCGTATGTTGCGGGCTGTTCCACGACAGCAACGACTCGAGAATCAGGGGCAGAGAAACATTCCATTCACAACCGTCGATGCAGCAAGCAAGCCACCACGCAAGCCCGCGTCAAGGCCCCAACTCTTCGGACGAACTACCTGACAACGTATGTGCGGAAGTTGGGTACCACCTTTCTCGCAATTTTCCGGACAGCATTTCAACGTTACTTCCGTTATTCCAGTGACTTGGACTTGGAACTATGCCCTCACTGCACCCAATTATCCTTTTACAATGTGACTGCTCATCTCGGGCTTGCAGATCGGGCCTAATCATGCAAAAAGCGGCATCTTGCATGTCGTACTCAACACCAAGTAACGCTGTGCGACAAGCTGGCTGTACGAACATCACATTTCGGAAAGCGGCGAGAGCTTCTGCCACGTCATTGAATGAAGCCTAACAAGTCCGAGATGATACTACATTGTGGGGGTTTGACCTTAATTTGATGATCATCACTTCGTGGCTACTGGCTACTGCATTTCCACAAGATACAGACAGGACTGTTGCGAGTAGAGCGGATGCTGTCGCACCATTCATTTTCTCTCTGAAAGAAAGTTGAAGGCGAGAAGAATATAGAATTATACCAGTGCCTCGACTTAGTCTCCATTCTCTTCCTTTGGTGTCCATGCCTGGAAAAGGGCCAACTTTGAGAGCCACGAAATGATGAGAGGCCCCAAGTTGAGATAAATTCCAAACTACCTAGTATAAGGAGTCAAACGGCTCGAGAAAACAAATAACATAGTATACGACTGTTGGCACCTTAATCGTACCCCTTTTGCCAGCTTCACTCTGTCTCACTCTCTCTATTATCGCCCTTCTACAACACAGCACCCGCTAAAGCAGAAACAACAATCATACACATCACCCCCAAGCCCGCCTTGCTCACACTCTGCGGTGCAAAACCCGCCGGTGCAGCCCCGGTGCTTTTCGCAGGACCAGATGGGGTCGTAGTGCTTCCACTGCTTCCACCCCCACTTGCCCTCGATGCACCAGTCGTCGGACTCCCACTCCCACTCCTACTCGCACTACTACTCGGCTTCCCCGTCGCCGTCGCAGTATTATTCCCAGTACAAAACACCGTGCTCGGGCTCACGCCTCCTTCCACGAAGCACTTCTGCAAATCGGCAACGGACTGCTCGATGGACAGACAGTAGTATCCACATTCGCCATTGAATTGTTCGACGGGCGCGGATTTGCAGCACGAAGAGAGGATGGTCGAGGTATTCGATGGTATGCCGCTGATACTGCCAACGGCGCAGGCGGCGTCGTTGCCCGTGGGGAACTTGGTGAAGTCGGCGGTCGCGCAGGATGAGCTGCTGGGGGTGGCCAACGCGGAGGATACGGCTGAGGACATCTTGGTAGCTGTGCTTGGTGTATTGTGTCTGGTGGGAATTAGAATAAAGCTAAAAGTGGGAAGGTTGAGACACTTGCCTTCAATGCGATGCTAGCGAGTGGTTTCTTGAAGTCTGGTCGTGAACGTGATGTCTGTTTTCTGTTCTGCGTGAGGAGGTCAATTCAGAAAGTGAGGTTAGTTGAAGAACAAGTTCAGGACCGCAGAAGATCAGGATATAACATGTCGTATAGAGTTTTACTCCTGCATTAGTGCGCGCGACCTCATAATTGCAGCGAACGCCATCATCGTCAGTCAGCCTCAGCTGTGGTTGAGACCTGTGACGGTGCAATTGCGTGGCTCCACATTGTTGTCCAGGGGAGCCGCGGACCGTTCCCGTACTATTTTTGGGGCTGCGATGACAAAGGGCTCGCTTCGACGTGCAGGCCTAGAATCATACCTAACGATCCTCAGGAGAAGAGGCAATGGCACAGAGAGGGAGAAGCTTTGCTAAGATGTGTTTGACGATGGTTAAGGTGAGATAAGGTTGATTAGTGCATTTTCTGAAAAGGCAAAGCGCGATCGATGTGGGGTTGCGTTTCAGAGTAGGTAATTGAAAGGCACGACTCGTTCATCAAGATTGACAGCTTTTATGAGCCGGGCGACCCTCGTAGTATTTACAATGGCTTTCAGTTCCTTGATAGCATCGCCTAGAGTCTACAGTACGTCTCTAAGATGCTCCCAATTATAGGACCAAAACCTGAGGCACTCCCGGCTCCACCCAACAAATGGGACTGAAATAAAAATTAAACTCTAACAAATGCTGTCGACAAGTTTAACTCGATTACAACGCTTGAGCTAGTTCCACCTCCGTAGCAGCATACATGAACGGACCGGCGCCTTTTCCATCATTGATAGCCTTCTTGACGCCAACGTAGTACTACGCGCAACTGTTAGCATTTATCTTCAAACTTAAGCAGACCTGTCCTAACTTACATCGTATGACGCGTTTCCAGCTAGACTACCAACCTCGACAGTTCCGGTCCAGCTGAGTGTGCCGTTCTTCTCGTGCTGAACAAAGTCATCGATCATCAGATCCCACGCCTTTGAAGCAGTCGCGGTGTAAGACTGGTCCAACAGACCGAGTCTGATACCCTTCAAGTACGCATACGTGAACATGGCTGTGGCACTCGATTCGATGTAGTTACCCTTCATGCCTGGGTACGGCTCGTCCATAACCAGCCACTAGAGAGACTAAGTTAGTTTGTATCCCAAGCTTTTCAGACATGGAACAACTTACCCATCCACCGCTGGCATCTTGCGCCTTCTTCACTCCGTCCGCGAGAGTAGTCAAGTACTCAAGAAGACGGGCGTGACCAGGTAGGTTCGAAGGGTAAACCTCGAGGACTTCGACCAAGGCGACGAAATACCAGCCGACAGCGCGGTCCCAGACGTGTGGCGAGGCGCCAGTTACTGGGTTGGCCCAGACGGCTTTCTTATCCTCACTGTATCCGTGTTGCAGCAAGTTGGACGTCTTGTTGCGGCAGTGTTCCTCAATGAGGTCGAATTGCAGCGCAATATCGTTCCAGGCCGTCGTGTTCGTGGGCTCAAAGTACGATACGTACGTGGCGTAGAAAGTATCAGCCATGTAGATGCCATCAAGCCACATCTGGTTCTTGTAAATCGGATCGCGGTGGAAGAAGCCTCCCTTGGGAGTCCTGGGCCATCGGTTCAACTGCTCTCGTAGTCCCTTGGCGGCGATTTCGTACTTCTTTTCCTTGCGACCTTCTGAGTTCCAGAAGTAGAGGATGTTGTTGCCGATCCGGATATCGTCGAGAGTATAGAATGTCGGCCTCCAGCCTATCAAGGTACCATTTGGTGTGACAAGGGAAGACACGGCGTCTGAGGCGTAGGCGAGGAGTTTAGAGTCTTTTTGAGCCGTTGCGGCTTTCTGGATGCCCTCGTGTATGACCGAGGCTACATAGTGGTTGTTGATTTTCTGGCCTTTGGAGAGGAAGGATGAGGCCATCCATGTCGAGTATGGCTTTGTTGTGTTCGCCGCTGCGACTGATGTGCCTGCGCACGTAAGAAGTGCCAGGGTTAGGGCTGGGAAATGCATGATGGAAGAAGAGGTTCTGTAGACAAGCCTTCAGTAGCAGATGCAAGAGTGACAGAGAGTGCTGGATAACTGCTTAAATACATTGTATATACTTCTCTTACGAGCCGCCGCACCATTTTTTGCCTAACAGTTCGTCAATCATACCAAATCGGGGTTACTGCGGTTATTGCACTATCAATCCATGTCCTCGGCCCCCACAAGCGTTAGAATGTCAGAGTCGGTCCCCACGCATCGCTCCGTGGAAATTTCCGCCGCCGGAGATGAGAATGGTGAGGCTCTTGGCAGGTGTTCTTGGCAACTCTGGACGGAGAAATTGGTGATTGGCGGGCTGAGGGCTAGAACATGAGTTTGGCTATATGCAATTTAGGGAAGATGATAAAGGTTCGTCTAAAAGTGAATAGACTTGCATAATCGTGAGTAATTCACTGAGTGTGGCAAACAGTTCATGATAGACGCGGAAGTAGTGCCGGAAGGGTCCATAAAGTGAAACTCGTCCTAGCGCCAAAATAAGAGCCAGGAGACCTTTAGAATATGATCATGTTTATTCTTAGTCTAAAATGTGAGCCAGTATACACTCAGATACTCTTGAACATGCTTAATCAGATCGTAAACGCCCCTGAAGAGTTTCAAGCTATGCTATCAAGAAGGCCCATGGAGTGAAACATGTACTAGCGGACCCTACCTCTTTGGGAGATCAATCCAACTCACACCATCTACTGGGTCTATTCTCCCCCGAGATGTTCCTGAAAACTAAGATGCAGCTGGATGTACACGCGAACAGGTTTAATTCAAGTATAAACATAATCATCTCCATCATCATAGCTGTCACCTAAGACCCCTTCCTTCAGAGACCAAATAACTCCTGAAAATGCATCAACTCGCGTTGAACACAACAAAGCCGAAGCATATGTTGACGTTCTGGAAGTATATCCCGATATCGAACCACCCGTATTATCCACAATGAAGCGAACCCACAGCATCCCATCTTTGCTTCGTCATCATAGTAGCTGCCCGGCAATGCCCACGGCAACACCTGCTCCCATTATGTACCCGCCGCAACGCCCTCTCGCTGCAGCATTTCCTCCACCCGCGCCATCAAATCTCGCGCAAGCCTCGACTGTCAACTGGAAGCAGCCTTGGCTGCTCAAACTCGCACAAATGCTCTGCGCGCTTTGTAGCCCCAAGCTCGGTATCGCCGTAATGGTTGCGCCCCCGTTCGGCGCGCTGATGGTGACGCCTGCGGCGCCACTTGCTAGAGCAGCCGTACAGCTTGCAGCATCGCCCTGGCAGCTTGTATAAGCGGACGAGCAGGCAGCTGCATTCGTGTAAGTCGTTGGTATGTAGGGGAACGGAAAGAAGGCGTTTTGTACCGTGCTTCTTGCATTCGCACCGCCTGTTTGCTGTACGAAGGGATTCTGTGTTGTTGATGCGACTACGAAGGGGACGGTTGAGGAAGCGGTTGGGATTGCTGTAGTGGTTTGGACACCGCTGCCCCCGAGTGCGCCAGTGCAGGCGGCACCTATGGGACAGCATGCGACTTGTCCGCGCTGGTCGGCGGAGCAGACTGCGGATCGTGGACAGCATACGCCTAGGACGTTCAAGTTGGCGCAGGGAAAGTAGTTTGTCGCGCAGTTATTCTGACGCTTGAGGAGCTCGGGGCGGCCATCTTCGGTGAGAAGCTCAGTCTCGTTGTTTGTAGACGGTAGTTGTTGGAGAGCCGGCTCGAATTCAGCGAGGATGTCGGGCGCGGCCAGCACGGTGAGAGGAGCGAGGAGCAGTGGCGCCAGGAGCAACCTCATTTTCCAAAGGAGTTTATGTCTTTGATTGGGTTCGAGAAGGTGCGGAGAAGGTATGCGGTCCGCGCCGTGGAATGTTGCCGTGTAGTACTGAACCGAGTGGTTGGAAGGCTGGATGGGACTGTAAACAATTGTCAGGAACGGTCAAGTGAAGGGCCAATTGGTGACGTACAGTCCGGTTCGAAAGGCAGCAAACAGTAGTCACTACCAAACTTTATGGGCGTATAGTGTCTGTCGAAGACGTCAACAGGTGTGATTTGACGATGGGGAGCCCGCTCTGCGCCGAGCCATGTTGCGTTGGCAAGGGCAACGCGTACGGACATGGATGACGTAGCACCCGATTGGCTCAAACGTTTCCCAGTCCCGTACGCTCCACCTGCATGAACACCCTCTCCGCCGTCAAGCATGTGCATCAAAACCCTGATGAGAATCTTGATACTGTTGTAGTCGAGATCCATATCTTTCCTTACCTCCTCTGTTAGACGTTTCTTGCGTTCCCGCCAGCTACCGACCGGAACACCGTATTCTAAGAAACTTGACGTGCTGAATGTCTTCCTACGGGACTAGTGACTCTGTTGACTGCTCAGATAGCTTCAAACGTCTACAGATTGCTACAAGTGAAAGCCCAAACACTGACTAACTAGCCGTTGTGAAGACTCTTTGGTGACGCTTTCACAGCGTCGATGAGTCGAAGTGAGCAGCTACACTAGCCAACTTGCTACCTTACAAACAAAGATAGCTCCAAGGGCATAAAAAGACTCCATCGCACACTCGCAAACTACTCGGACTCAACTGTAACTGCAACATCAACCCGAGACCGCTCATTTCAGAATCAATAATCCTTTTGCTTCTCTACCGAGCCGATCTGGTTAGCGCCAAAATGCCGGCCACACGCGTCACAATCGCTTCAAACGCAAAGCAGTCTCAAAAGGCTCCGCTACTCATTCCTGCATCTGCTACCACTGACCCAGCCGCTGCGAGTTCGATCCGAGAGTTTGTGTTCAAGGCCGCCCAGTCCAAACTTCGCTTGAAGAAGCCCACGAGAATCTATGTTTCACCAACAGGACAAGAGCTGCTTACCGAAGAAGACTGGAAGAACAACATCAAAGATGACGTGATACTGTTGATCTCTGCTGGAGAAGAATATGTGGGTGCAAAGAAGGGTTCAAGCTCACATGGTAAGAGTCTTGCGGGGTTTGAGCACATTTGCGCTCAATGACCCCTGCCTTTCATGTCGACATGCTTGGCTAACACTCATAACAGTAGACGCAAACCCCGATTGTCCCGTCGAGGTTCTGGCATCCAAGGCACCCGTCGAGTCGCTCTCTGTTACTCAGCTCACCACTACCGCCCACACGCTTCCAGGCATCGTGTACGCCGTAGGCCAGCCGGATTTGCATCCAGGAACCAAATTTCCGATTGGAGCCGTCTTCGCGTCACGGAAATGGATCCATCCGCCTTTGATCGGGTCAGACATTGGCTGTGGAATGGCCTGGTATAAGACTACTTTACCACGAAGCCAGGTCGACGGCGACAAAGGTAGGAAAGTGGCCGAGAAACTGCGCGGCTTAGAGGGAGCATGGCGAACGCAGGCGCAACGAGAAGTCTGGTTGAGAAATCACGACGGTAGCTGCTCGGCAGGCGAACAATGGGACAGCGCACTCGGGACGATTGGTGCGGGTAACCACTTCGCGGAGATCCAGGTGGTGGAAAAGTCGTCTCTCGTCGAGGACAACGAACTAGGGCTGCGTCAAGACGACGTGATACTCCTAGTTCATTCCGGATCTCGAGGTTATGGCGGCAGCATCCTGAGGAAGTACACGACCGATTCGCATACCAGTTTTGAAGAAGGTAGCCCCGAGGCGACCGAGTACATGAAGGAGCACGACAAAGCCTGTCAGTGGGCTCAAGCAAATCGGGACCTTATTGCGCTGCGCTTTCTAGCCTGTCTGGAGCCTGGCAACGAGAATTGGCAGCTAGGTAGCTCCACGGCCGAAGACACTGACGATGTTGATGTTGCGACGGTTGAGCAGACCAAGAAGACACTGGGTAAGCGCAAAGTGGTCGATATCTGGCACAATAACGTCGAGCGTGTCGATTGGCCGCCTGCGTCGCCGTCATCTACCAAGGAAGAGGAAGACTCATTATCCACGTTAGCAGACGCAACAACCAAGTTGACATTCAACGATGACACGCTTCAGCAGGAGTATGTCTATATCCACCGAAAGGGCGCCGCGCCAACCTACAATCCCAATACCCAACTACCACTGCATCTCCTACCTCTTCCAGGCTCCCGTGGCACTCCGACATTGATTCTCAAACCAACCTTCTCGGCATCCACGTCCTGGGGTCTCCTCAACGCACTCTCGCTTGCCCACGGCGCTGGACGAGCCATGTCTCGCGCAAAGGCCCTGTCCTCATTGTCTCAAAAGTACAAGGGCCAAAATATTCTGGAGCCACGAGCAGCGGATGTCGAGGGTACTTGGGTCATCTGCGACGAAAAAGATCTTGTCTTCGAAGAAGCCCCGGATGCGTACAAGGATGTCGAAGCTGTTGGCCAAGACTTGGTGGATGCTGGTGTCGCCAGCATTGTTGGGTGGTGTAGAGCGCGAGTGAGCTACAAAGTGAGGAACGAGGCACGCTAAGAGGGTGTAGTGTTAAGAATAGCATCCATATGCTAGACATTATCCAGAAGGCTCGCTTGTTGCAACACAGCGTAATCCCAAGCATCAGCAGGCTTCACACTTATTGCGGTAGATTGTATTTACACTGCCAAACCGGGAGCCTTACGCGGCACCGTGGACCACTTCGCCTACATTCCTGGACTAGTATATTGGCCTGTGTCATTGACGTACACAAACCCCTGTCTCTTCTCACCGTCATCCTTTTTCAGCTCCACGATGCTAAAATCTTATCCGTCCTTTCATTTCAAAACACAGTTTATCACAGATTTCCTTTTCTCAGCTGCCAAAATATGATTCTCTTCTCGGCTTCTGGACAGCCGCGACAGCCGACTTCGGAACGCGCATTTGGAACAGTCGTGTCGATCGTATGAAACGGTGACGGTTCGAGCGACACTAACAACATGACAGGTTGGGCGGAATGCTATATTCGGCCCTAGGTGGTGTTGGCAAGCTTAGACAGCCAAACCGAGCCAGCCGCCTGGGGTAAATTTGGATCTGATCTGGATGCTAGCGGGTGCTAACCTGCAGTAGCCGAAGCTTAGCATGTTGGCACCTTTGGCACTTTGCCGACAGCTCAAAGTCGCACCAACAACGGCCAGGCTCGCCTCCAACCTTCTCTTACGCCGCCGCCTTGCATTCTCATCGCAGAAGACACAGCCAGCTTCTCTGCTCGTGGATACTGCATCGCCGCCAGCCTCGTCAGCCTTGCCATGTCTTTCGCAGAGACCAACCGTCTACGCCTCGCGTCTACAGTCTGACAGCGCAGACTCAGCCCTGGCCCACCAGGAACGAGGCCACCCCCCGCAGTGATTGGCAAAGCTAGCCCGCCAACTCCTGGGCGTTTCAAAACGGGCTCCGCCTTATTAGTAGCGCAGGAACACAAACAGAGCATGGGTTTGCATAGTACATCGCAATAAACATGTCCAAGTCATGCTCCCGGGCGGCCAATCGCACACCCAGGATGAATAGAGTGATCAGCCCTCGGAATGAAAAAAAGTCGCCTAGTACAGCCAGCAGAAGAGTCTGCACACGGCTGGGCCAGCAGCCGGCATGTGTGTCGTGGTGAATGTGGAGGTGATGGGTCATGGCATTGGTGTTACCTGACGCCCAGCCTCCCGTGCCCGCTGCAACTGCGCCTCTGTGATATATAGTGTTGGCGGCTGCCGCATTGTTGGGGGCGGCTAACGAGGAATCCCTTTTTCTAATATCTATCCCTCATTGTCCCTGCTGCTGGCGAGATTATTCCTTCTTCCTTCCCGCAATTCCTAATCAAACTTTAATCGGTGAGTCGAGTGTGAGATTCCGTTTGTTTCCTTTTGCTGCGTTCAGGTCAAGTGTCTACCCTTCCGTTTGTTGTGTGGAACGAGCACAGGACCCGAGTGACCCGCGCCTGCTGCTCTGAGCTTCAATCCAATTCCCTCCTTTGTATAAGTTCAGCTTGGCACTTGCTTTTACTATTTCTATCCGCGCAATCACTCCAGCTGTCTCTTACTCTTCACTTCTCTCTCCAATTGCTAAACAGCCTCCAGCACACACACACTTCTCAAACCACCCTACCACCAAGATGCTCGTCCAAATCGTCTCTCTCCTTGCCGCGGCGTCCATCGCCAGCGCCCAGTCAAGCGTCACGCCCGCCCCAGCAGTAGCCAGCAACCCTGCCGGCGCGAGCTATGTAGGCGTGCTCCCCGAGAAAGCCGGCAGCAACCTTCGTGGCTCCATCTCAGCAGTATCAGCCGCCGACGGCAAAGGCGTCAAGTTCTCCGTCTCCTTCTCTGGCCTCCCTGCCGAGGGCGGACCCTTCATGTACCACATCCACGAGAAGCCCGTGCCTGCCAACGGCAACTGCACGGGTACGGGTGCCCACTTGGATCCGTACAAGCGCGGCGAGGTGCCCATTTGCGATGCGAGTAAGCCTGAGACGTGCCAGACGGGTGATTTGAGCGGCAAGTATGGAAATATCACTGCTGGAGAGTGGAGTCAAGAGTATGTGTTCCTGCCTTTACCCCTGCCTTACCCTTCCTTTCTACAAACATATAAATGAGATGGTCAATGTACTAACACGAACAAATAGATACGTAGACCCCTACTCAGCCACCCGCGCCGACGACCCCGCCTTCTTCGGCAACCTTTCCTTCGTCGTCCACCTGTCTAACAAGACACGCATCGGGTGCGCAAACTTCACTGTAGGCGACGGATACAAGCCCGCCCCTTCGTCTAGCGGTGCCCCCAAGCCATCCCACAACGCATCTACGCCCGCTCCTACGGGTAGCGCCCCGGTTCCATCTGCGTCGTCTTCGACACCTGCTGAGTTCCCTGGCGCTGCTGCCAAGGTCGTTGCTGGCCCGGCTGCGTTGTTCGCTCTCGTGGCGGCTCTTGTGCTCTAGAAGATAGAACTGGATTGGTAATGTGGTGTGGAGGTCCTTGAATGAGTAGTGAGGACGAGGTGCATATTGGCGTTGTGTGTGTAATGGCTATTTGATACCACATGAGCATTACTTTTGGCTCCATGTTTGCCTTGCACTGCTGGAGGAATAATTTTGGGGACTTTTTTGGGGTTTGCTTCTTGTACATTATACATTGTCACCTCTTGATCAGATAATGTGAAATGGATATTATGTTCGATTTCCAGATTTTGAGCTTCAGTCTCATGCGTGTCCTCACGGCCTAGAACATGTAGAGTATCTAGCAGGTGAGCCTGGATGTCGTCAATGATCTCTGAGAGCTTGTTGTTCCATGTGAGGAAGTAGCCAGGATGCCTTCAAGGTACGAAGTGTCGACATAAATCAATCACAAACAAGGTTAGCCTGGACATGTTCAGTCAACTTCACAAGTACAAACTATAGGCACATGAGGTAATGAGGGTGTCCAGGCTGCTTCATTCTGCCTAGATATGCTGCTCAAATGCAGCTGTAGCCATCAGGCGTGTTCGTCGTGTTTATATAGTACAGGAGGGTATCAACTCAGAAGGCCACCAACTTCTTCCATCTCATCTCACCCCCGCCAGCACAAGCCATCTACGCCTTGGCAAGCTTCTCCAGCCTCTCCTCCTCCTCACTATCCGGCTCCTCGCCGCGAGCACTCTTCTTGAACCTCGGCTTGTCCTCGGCAAGCGTCGCCTCGAGGTTCCGCGACGCAAAGAGCCGGCCATGGCTGGCATCGCGGAACTTCTCGGCCGCCTCGAACTCGCGGAAGCGGACCGTGACGATGCCCGCCTCCTCCTTGTCGAACAGGTTCACGTTGGTCACGGAACCATGCTTCGCGGCTTCGTCGCGGATCTCCTCCTTGATCTCGAGGTATGCGGCGTCGTCTTCGTCGAGCTCCGCGATGGTGAAGGCGTACTTGAGGATGACGACTTTGGCCCACTTGTTCTTCTTTGGGGCAAAGGTCTCGGCAACTTCTTCCTCGTTGTCGGACCACTCTGCAAGCTTGCTATAAAGGTTTTAGAACCGATCATCAGAAGCGGTGAAGCAGAAAAGACTTACCGGTTGAGGTCTGCACGGTTGCGATCCGAAGCCTTCTTGTCCTTGCGCGTGAGCTTCGACGCGATCTGGTCACCATCCTTGTTGCGCTTGTACGAGAAGTCGGCCTCCTTGACGCGGATGGTACCCTGTGACTGGTCCTCGATGCGGAAGTAGTACTCATCCATCATCTTGATCGCCAGATCAATCGAGTCCTTCTTGAAGTAGACGATCAGAGCCTCGCCATTGAAGTTGCCCTCGTCGTCAGAGTACATCTTGATGCGCTTGTTGCCGTCAGCACCTTGGTCGATGATGCCATACTTCTTGAAAGTCTCCTCAATCTCTTCCTGAGTGGTGTCGCGAGGGAGGTTGGTCACGTAGATGGCCCGGTTCTCCTGGACCTTGGCCTTCTTGCTGGTCTACATAGTGTCAGTGATCATGTCGCAGTGAGTACATGGGTTGTACTCACTTCAGTCTCCTGTGCGATCTTGCGCTTCTTGCTCTGCGGGTCAGCCTGGGCATTCATGGGCGTCTCGGAGGCGGCATCGTGCTCCGTGATGAAGTCGTCGACGAGTTCGTTAGTCATGGTTGCTGCTCTGGAGGATAGAGAAAAGAGTGGAGAAAATGGATCCGGCAAGATGCAAGCAGAAAACAACCTCTCGTGATTGGAATAGGACGGTGCAGAAGCGACCGAGACGGGCTCCGTACCAAATCAACTCGAGATGCTTCCACAATCTTGTTGCGATCCAACAGCCTCAGCGCAGTGTTCACTAGCGTGCAGCGAGTCTCAGATAGCGGTAGACGTAACCTTGAGCTCTTCCAAGACAAACGGTGACTTTGGCAAGCTTTGTGAAATTGCGCGCAGCTGGAGTTGTATTGTTGTTGTGAGGCAGGTGAAGACGGAGCTTAAGGCGTCGGTGGCAGAAAAGGCAGGCGGTGTGTTGTGCGGTCAACGCGCTGGCGACGCGGTCCGGCGACGATGTTTTTCCGTGGCCGATGAAGGGAAGGTTGACGATGTCTGGTGATGCTTCAAGAGTCTGGGAGCGATGACAACAGCTGACAAGGCTGCTGTGGGAGAGGCCATAGTTCGTTAGTCTTTCTGAAGGGCATGCCTTCCAGTACCGCCATCTCGAGAGAGGGCGCGGATGGACCTACACAGCGCTTGGCGAGATGTAGTCAGACTCGGAATTGATAATGTACCGGTCGAGTCGCTGGTACGGATGAAGATGGTGGTGGTGGAAGATGTAGGATCGATAGAGTTGAGGCATCATGCAAGAACCCTCCAGCCTGCCGACGCGCTAAGCACGGGCAGGCAGGGCAGCAGCGATCGTCAGCCCCGTCAGCCCCGCTGTGTCGATCCAGGGATCAGGCATTGTGCGGCATCATCGACTTCCGAAGCACACACTTTACACCGAGGAGGAATGATGAAACCTTTCTGGCTCGTGGAGCCCCACGTAGGATCGTATAAAGGCAGAAGATGCGGAAACCCCCCTGAATGGCATATCTCTCCTTTCCTTCCAGTATGTCACACGCTTCATCGAACTGATACTATGACTCTAGTGGATCCTATCCCACCACCGTCTTTGCTCGTACAGCTCAGCGAACCACTAGCTGAAAAGTTGAGCTTGACGACCCTACCCTACCATGTCCACGAGATCCTTCTTGGCTTCCTTGGATACCATGTCATCCTCCATGTCCTCTCGCCCGCCATTTCGCAACTCGTGTGCCCCAAGACGTACCGAGGCTTCAACAAGCGCACGCGACTCAACTGGGATATACACTGGGTGTCTATGATACAAGCCCTCTTCATCAACACTGCCGCTTTGTGGGTTATATTCAAGGATGGAGAGAGACATGATATGGACTGGAGGGGCAGACTCTGGGGTTACACACCAGCGAGCGGTATGGTCCAAGGCTTCGCTGCTGGATACTTTCTGTGGGACCTCCAAGTATCTGCGCAGTACATCAGTATATCCGGTCTTAGTGCCTTGCTGCATGCAATTGGCGCATTGGCAGTGACTTGTATTGGCTTCGTAGGTCCCCTGATGGTGATAAAATGCCTTTTACTAACACTGCCCAGAAGCCATTCGGAAACTACTACGGCCTCTCCTTCGTATTGTACGAGCTATCGACGCCGTTTCTGAACATCCACTGGTTCTGCGACAAGCTGGGCATGACTGGCTCCACCCTCCAACTCTACAACGGCATCGCTCTCCTGGTTACGTTCTTCGGGTGCCGCATCGTATGGGGCACATATCAGTCCATCATGATCTACTCAGATATCTACAAGGGTCTTACAATGCCTTCCGCGGGACTTGCGAGCTCGCCCTTGACTGAGGGAAAGTGTGATGGCAATCCAGGGGGTTCCGGCTACGAACTACCTGGAAACTGTGAGGTTGGCGACCTACCTGTGTGGTTAGTCTGCGTGTATTTAGCTGGTAACACGGCATTGAGTCTGCTGAACTTTTACTGGTTCACGCAGATGGTTAAAGCTGTGAGGAAGAGATTCGTACCGCGCGAAGAGCGTGTGAAAAAGGCCCAGTGACCGGGTCACAGCAGACAGTTTAACTATCTGTAGGAGAAGAGTGTCAAGATGAACTTGTCATCGTTCCTTTCATGGAAAACTGCATCGTGATATTATGCATTCAAACAGCTTGTGTGCTATGTATTCGAGAGTTGAGTACCATGTTTGCTACCAAAAGCGCCGGACAGCGTCTTCCATGCCCAATGCTAAGCCAAATGCAATAAGAGTATTCAAGATTCCCAGGTATCAGGTGATATGCCCCTTTTTTCGCCGGTAGGCAAATTAATCGAATTCGCTATTTTCAAATCAAATCTACTCTTGCTCCCTATTGGCTAGTCCAAGTGTCTTTGTTTTCGTTTCGCGTCCACAAAGTCGCGGCACGAGTGCAAGCCAGCTCATAACCACAAGCTCTTTCTATCTCAAGTCTCTATCTCACATCTCTCAACCACTTCTTATGTCCGTGCTTGGCCTTCTCCTGCGACCTTCTTCTCTCCCTCATTGTTTACGCGTACCCATCACACCGCTCACTGCGCGCTCTTTCTCTATCTTCCGCAATCATGCAGCGCACGAGTGTGGGACCATTGCACCCACGCAGCAGAATGAACTATACGACCACTTTAACTACACTTCCGGAAGATGGCTATGGGGGGAAGAGGAACAATTGCGCGAACGCTATCGCGCGTTCAATGTTGCCGAACTTCAGAAGGTTGCCGTGGATACCGCAGGGTCCCAGAAGTGCGTATCTATGAACAAGATAGGCGAAGGAAATTTCAACAAAGTCTTCCGGCTCCAGATGGATGATGGTTCGGTCGTGATGGCTCGCATCCCTCATCCCAACTCAGGCCCTCCAAAGCACACGACCGCTTCAGAGGTTGCTACGATAGACTTTGTGAGTCAACCGCTCCCGTCCAGTCCTGGGTGTGTGCTTATGCATGCAGGCACATTCGATTCTTGACATACCTGTACCAAAGGTTCTGGCTTACTGTGCTACCGCCGATAACCCAGTTCAATCAGAATACATCATCATGGAGGAAGCCCGAGGCACGCAACTATCAGAGGTTTGGGATACAATGGATCTGAAAGATCAATTGGCAATTATAACTGAGCTTGTTACCATTGACCAGAAGTTTCTCTCCACACCATTAAACAGGTATGAAACCGCACTGGCCCACAAGTTCTCTATGATGACGCTTCTAATGGAACTGTGTAGAAATGGTGCGCTCTATTACAAGAAGGACAGCTTTCCCGGGTGTGAGGCCGCACAAGTCACTGCTAACGTTATGAAAAGGCTTGAGGAAAGACGTAGCAGAAAGGTTCGTTATTGGTCCCACAGTCGAGAGGGAGTTCTGGGAGAAACAGAGGGCAAACATGGCTATTGATCGCGGACCATGTATGTCAGCCTCCCCTATAATGATTTAGCAAGGCAATTGACTTCCACCAAAGGGACTAGTGCGCACGAATACGTGGAAGCGATCGGGCACTGCGAGATCGCTTGGCTACGTCGCTACGCTGAAGCAATACCGCTAACCATGGAGCGATGGGGCGCCTCCAAAGGCCAGAGCAGCCCGCAAGCCCACATTGACCTGCTTGAAAAATATCTCAGTGTTATTGCTCAATTACTCCCAAAACAACCTGAACTACTAACACCAATGCTATGGCATCGCGATCTTCACGCTGGTAACCTGTTCATTCATGAGGGGAAAATTTCCAGCGTCATTGACTGGCAGTCTTGCTGGGTGGGGCCTCTCATTCTTCGGGCCAGAGCACCACGGCTTCTCGACTATAACGGCGAAATCATGCTGAAACTACCACCGGACTATGAAGAGATGCCGGAAGATGAGCGACGCTTGATGGAGTGTAAAGTGCAGCAGTCAATCCAGGTTTACAGTTACGAACATAACACTGCCGGCCGAAACCCTCTCTTTGATAGGGTGCTAAGATACCCTCAAGGGAAAATGTTAAGTAACCTTGTGGGTTTTGCCTCCACTTCTTGGAACGGAGACATCCTGCCTCTTCGCGACTGCTTGATTCGAATTGAGAGGTATGAAACCCGGTCCGCACTATGCTAGTAATATATGGACACTGAAGACTGCCCTAGAGATTGGAAAGACTACGCTGACTCGAAGACCTCTTGCCCATACCATTTCTCTGTTGAAGAGGTTCTTGAAAGCCACCAAGATGCGGGTAGCTATAACGATGCGAGGGACTTTTGGGATGAATTGAAAGGCAGAGTAGACGATACCGGCTATACCACCCATGAGTTCTTTGACGAAGCCGTGGCTCTCTTCTCCAGCCTACGAGAAAACGGTCTGAAGACGTTGGAAGGCCAAGAGCTCAAAGATTTTGAGGAGCAGACGCGGTGGGTGCTTGATCATGTGAAGAATGATAGCAGCAACCTGCCAGCCGCCTAACATTGTTCATCGAAGACAATCTTCGCGTGATAGCTTTGATTGCCCATTCTTCCAGCCAACGATTAATGAGATAAGTCAACAGTGTGTCATGTTTTGGCAACTTTGGGGGGAGTGTTATCTGTATCATCGTGTTGTTCTGCCTCCTAACCCGGAAACCGAGAGTGAGATCAGGAGTAATGTAGAGGCTAAGCAGCGGATCCAGGAAACGTCGGAGGAGTGTACGACCAAAAAAGCTGCCATGGAACGGGAGCAGGGGCAACTCTTGCAAACTTGGGCTCAAATCGGCGTGTACCTAAGCATAGAATCCATCGGAGGCTCCTACAGTGGGGGCAACCTTGGTTACTACAAGCTCCGCATCGAGATGGGCCCGCGAGACGGCGGTAATCAACCAGCTAGAAGAGATGCCCATCTTCGGCAAGTATCTAAAGGTATGGGAGGAGATATCTTCTGTGTTGGGAGTTGGAAATATCGAAACCAAAGTGTGCAAAAGATTTGCTGAAGTGAGGGCACCAAAACTGGAGGGGAACTGGCACATGAGACAAAGAGCTAATAAGCTACGGAAGGTTTGTAATAGCCTGGAAATGAGAGCAGTTGGTCTTTGACACCTCATATCCATAAGAGCTGTTGGGGTCCAATTTCAGACCCTATTAATGCTACTCAGGGAGGAGATCAGGCAGAATCATGCTAGCTCATGTTAACTCGCAGCGAGCTCAGGCACAGCTCAAGCTGCTTACTTATTGCTCACATTACACCCTTGCGGAACTTGAAATCAAATGCAGAAAAAAGCTTTCTGTGAGAGTAGATTCACTTAGCTATTATCCGCTATTTCGCTAATGCATTACGGTCGCCGTATCATACACTACGCCAGCACTATCATCGACCAAGTCCAGCGGAGTCGACTGAATGCAACGTAAGTGGAGCTAGGCTTTCAATCTTCGCTCTTCACACCGCACACAGACGGGGTCCTGCGACTCGCCCCTGAGGAAATATCTTCCATCTTCAAAAGGACCGGTGCACACCTATAAGCTTGTCAGCATCAATTGTTCAAATCATTTTGGATGAACAACACTCACCACACAAACAAAGCACCCTGCATGCCACTCACTCCCCAGCGCCTTGACAACCATGTCTGTAACCGGCTTCCTGCACCCCTTGCACTTCGTACTGAACCGATGCGTGTGGCAGTTGACGCACCACGCGTACCCATCTTTTTCTACGAATGGGGTACTGCTGTCGAACGGGTCGCCGCACTGTGCACAGAAGAAATGGCCTGCGTGCCACTCCGCGCCGCACGCTACGATGACTTCGCCCTCGATGGGTGTTTTGCAAGATTTGCAGCGTGGGGAAAAGAGTTCGTGGAAATCCAGGTGACAAAAGAAGCGTGGGGATTCGTCGGTGCCGTCGTCGTGCTCAAGGCGCTGCATGTCGGATGGGGTGGGGTGTGTGGGTAGGAAAGCGATATCCTGACCGGAGAGACGGGCGCGGATTCGTTCGACGCGTTCAGCATACTTGTTTGACGGTTCGGGGTAGAAAGCTACGCATTCAAGGTGCTCACCGCATTGATAGCAAGCGAAACATTCGGGGTGGAAGCGGGAGCCTCCTGCGGAGACAATGCGACCTGCGATGGGTAGGGCACATTGGGTACAAAGAGCGCTTGTGCGTACGGTGGTCGGTGTCCAGTGTGGTCGCGGGGTCGCGGTACCGTTGTAACTATGAGACTTTCCAATGTGGTGTTTAGGGTTTGGCAATGGGCGTGTAGAGGTAGCTGGTCCAAACCCAGCCGCCCCATTGACGTTAATGGAAGGCACAGAAGGAGTGACTGATATTGAGGGGGCGTTGACTTTGGATCCCCGAGCTGGTGCTGGCGATTCGCTGACGGATATCATCGGGATATCAGGCGTAACTGAAATGGAGGGCGCTTTGGCGTGATTACGTCTATTTGGTGCGGGAGACTCATTGACGGAGATTCTCGGAATAGGCGGCGTAACTCCTATAGACGGCACGTTCACGCGGTTAACTCGAGCGGAGGCTTCACTGACCGAAATTGATGGTATCTCAGAGACAGAGATCGCGGGGATGGAAGGCGCTGAAGCTGGCTTGGAGCGCGCTGAAGAGGGCTGGTAGACATTTGCTGTTGGTATGGATTTTGCGGTGGGTTGATGAGGAGTGTTCATTTTCCTGAAAGGGCTGGCGTTGGGGAGTGGTCTTGCTGGAGGGTCCTCGTAAACACTAATGGTAGGCTTTTCAGGCCGACCAACTTTTGGAAATGGAGCTGGGGGGTTTGGAGAGACACTGATCCCAGGAACTGAGGGTGGTGACGGAGTCGTAGTCCGCTTGTGTGGTTCCGCTGGAAAGTTTATAGTAGGGACAACGGGGGCTGTTGCAGCTTTGGACAGCGGCCGGGGAACTGAAGCTGCCTGGCCCAAAGGACGTGACGCTGCGTTAGACTGAGAATCGACTTCTTCCTTTAATTCAACCACATTCCAGTCCTTCTTGAAGGAGACAATAGGTCGACCAGGTGCATCCGACACTGCTGTGGGAGTAGGTAACTTAGGGCTGCGGTCCCTAAGACGAAAACCGGTAGCAGCACGAATATCGTCACCTCGGATCTCTTTGCCCTCCTTCATCTTTAGCTCAGGTTCGTTCTCTGCGTCTGACTTTGTATCCTCAGCCGGCTTTGGAAGGACAGGCGGATTTAGTGTGTACGCAGCATTGCGTGACTGTGTAGGGGGATTCTTCTGGATTTCGTAGCGGTCGAGTCTCTTTGTGGCCATAACGGGATCTGTATTGGATCTTATCATGGGATTGCCTTTGATCGATTGGAAACGCATGAATGGGTTGCGTCGTACTCCCAATGGCAGCTTCTCAGGTTTCGGGGGTTCAGCGGCCACCGGGGTAGGTGCAGGAGCAATGGGGGTCTCTTCTTCGGGTTCCTCATAGATCTGATCGTTCGGGTTCTGGAATAAGCTACCACTGATTGTTCGCCGAGCTCCACTGCTTCTCCGTCGCTGCTTGAAGTCTGGCAGATCAGCTGACGCCTTTGCAAGTGCCGCTGACTCCCCTGGCTTGCTCTTGCTATCGAAGTTCTCCTTTGTAGGCGGCAAGGGATCCGAACTGTTAGCCGCCCCGTTGCTTTGCAAGCTGCTACTCCTGCTGCCCGAGGCGGCACTACCCATCGAATGTCGTTTCCTCAGCTTCGAATTGGCCCGCTGCAGATCCTGTTCCTTCGGCTCGACACTCCTACTCCTCTGTGCGCTGCCTTTCTTCGCCAAACCAGGATATGCATATGGCGCGTGAGGACTGGCTTCCTGTGCGTTCGGGCTGATGTGCTTCCATACAAGCTCCACGGCTTCGTCGCGCGCAGCCTGGAATAGCTTCTCCTCCTGTGCCAATTCTAGTTCTTCCATGGCTATGCGTAGAGCGTGGGCTTCCTCCTGCTCTGCCTGACGCTCTTGACTTTCGCGATATTGCACGCTGGGTGTTCGTGAGCTGTCTGTAGACCTCCTGAACACGTCTCGACCTCGCGGCGGCTGTACAAGTGGACGCCCAACACCAGCCATGACCCCATCTATGCTGACATTCGAAGTTCTTCGGGTATGGGATTTGGTTTCGTGCGAGGTGGATGGGCGGGCTTCGACGTCGGCGATAGGGTTGGTGAAGGTACGCTGCAGGGGCGATATAGCGGGCGAATCGGTAAGGTGATTGCTTGTCCTGCTGGACCAAGTATTGAAATGTGCGGGTGGAGGTCGAGAACCCGTGGGACGGGCTGGGCGGTTGGTACGGAGATCTTGCAGATAGCTTTCTTCATGCCAACAGTTAGTACAACGACGGCGAAGAATGCTCTGGTATTTGGCTTTCGTACTCATTTGCATGGGCGAATAATATGCACCCGGGCCTGGTGACGAGGCACCTTCCCTTTCCTTCGAGGTGTGCATTCCGGATACACGTAGCTAAGTGATGTTTACTGCCGTTTCTCCAGCCAAATGCAATCGCAACCGGGGAAGGGAGTTGCAATCTGTTATATCTCCAGAGTAAACGGATGCAGCTAACGCAGGAGGTCGCAAGCAGTACGACTTTGAGCTGCAGAATAGCGGTGTTGTCGTGGTTGAAGGCTTGACGTAGCGTATCGCTACTGGTTGGTTGCTGTGGAGATGGAAGGTGTGACGTCCAGACCGCCATGACCCCTGCCCGAACGCCCACTTGAACCCCGGACCTCCGCAATCGAGGCGACAGGAAAGCAAACATCAGAGACCTCATACGCCAAGTGACTTGTGGGAAATGGGGGGAATGGGTTGAAACACCCAATCTCTAACACCGGATGTTTGATTAAAGATGTTCTCGCAAGTTGCACTAAAATATGACCACCTCTTACAACGAAGGGAACACTTCAAGTTGGGAAGAAACTGATTGATTCTATAGCGTCCATTATACACAAGCGATGAGATGACTGCGCGCTATCTAGTTTACCTTCACAATAAATTACGACATGTGTATATGCATAGATCCCCTTTGCTCTATTCGAGCCACAGTCGAAGTGACTTGTACCACCGTTCATTGTACAAGAAGCCGACAACTAGTCCATCAAGGACGTCTTCCAAAAGAAAATCAGAACATGAAACGAAAGTGGGTATCCTGCTAAATAAATCCATGCATCCCCACTTGCGCCCTTGACCATTCATGGCAACCGCCTATGTCGAACCAGGTGCGTGATGACTGCTCGGAGGACCTACCGAGCCCCAACCCATTGTAACGCTTTCGAGCATAGAATCCCATGCCGAACTATCAGCCATAGGCGTCATACCGGTTCCCGTATTCAATGCCGTGTATTCCCACTCGTTGCCCACCAAGAACTCCTGTTGGAACCCATCATCGTTCATATCGCCAGACGTGCTGAATGTATTCGTGTACATCTCGCTGCTGGAGGCGAAGCTTGGAAAGGCGGTCGCAGCGCCGGCGCCGCCAGATGGAGCGCGCATCTGGCTTAGTGGCATCTTTGGAGACGCTCGGTAGGGAAGGTGGTGTTCGTTTTGCTGGCCGGGTGAGTATGAAGAATGCGACGTTGAGCCACCTCTTGATTGTGAGCTCATGGTTGCAGGACTGGGCTGGTCGACACTCCTGTCGCCGGAAACATCCATCTCGTTTCCATCGGGAATGGCGAACCCGGCAGGCACGAAGTCCTGGGAACTTGTGGACCTAGATTGGGATTGGAGGAAGCCTGGTGTTTGCGCATTCATATCGACATTGTTAACATTCGAGACGTGGAAGGGTGGGCCGGGTGTATTATTGGTAAACTGATGTGCGGCGGTTGCGGCGCCTGCGGCTCCGTTGCTGTTGCCAAACGTATTGATGGCCGCAGATGGATTTTGCGATTCGCGGATTACCACGAGGGGACTACATCTAACGCTATCAGAATTGACAGGAAAGACCGTGGACTAAAGAGGCACGGATTAGCATAGACTTACTCAGTGGAAGTATCAACAGCATGCTGGAAGTGGTTTCCAACGCTGTCGCTCAAGCCCTGCATGGGCTGCGTAGGTTGACTTACTCCTGTAGATAGAGGTAGGTAGGGCTTCTGCTGCATATTCAATATGCCGGCGCTCTCCAAATCCAGATCCAACTGGACTAGGAATGATTCCGTGAGTGGGTTCTTCCGGCGGAGGGCTTGCATTGCTTGCAAGAGGAATTGCAATGAAGAGTTCATTTGTTGGTCGTTCGGCCGCGTCTTGAGGTACTGAACGAATACTCGGGCAGCCACGTAGACACAGAAGGATATGAATGGGTTCATCTAATCTGGTTAGTTTCCGCCAAACTTCCTGTTAGAGTCAACTTACCACGCTTAGGTCCATGTGGCTGATCATCCGCATAATGGACGCTATTTCTGCTGCTGCTGTCACGCATCGGATCTTGCTCTCATTACTGACATGAACAGGCAATCGGTACTTGTCTGCTTTGAAAATTGCCGCTTGATGTAGGCAAATGGCTGATGTATGGATGCACATGTTTGCAAATACAACATTGGGATCCACAAGGCCGGCCGGTAAGCGCAAGTGATCTGGAAGACCTAACGATGTTTGGAGAAGGATCTGCTCAATCTGGCGATGCCGGGTCCAGAAGCCACCGTTGATATCGTCATCGTTGTCATCCGGTCCAGGTCGATGTAAATGCAGAAGGTTTCGGCCAAACATTGCCGCAGTCAAAACGATGCCGCCGAGTGGCTGGAGATTTGCGGCGCCATTGGGGTTCAGGACTTGGTCTAGAGAACCTGTAGGCATTGGCTTGCTCTTGTCAAATGCATCCTCGCTCGCTGGAAGATTTGTCATGATCTGATACCAAGTCAGCTTTGTCTGATCTCAACATGAGGCGATGCAGTGGCTTACGTCTTTTTCGTCGATTGTCATCGGCCAACCAGTCCCGATACTGGCATAACGATCAAGGCAAAATGACATCCAGAAAGTTCTTCTGCGCTCTTCCCGCTCGGTCCAATCTTTTGGCGGCGGAAGGCATTGCTTGACGTCCAGCCCGACTCCGTCCAAACGATGCAGCTGCATCATCTGGCCCAATCGCACAGCCCGACCCGCCGACAGCCATGCTCTTGGGAAGTACATGTGCTTGAACTCGTACGTGCATGTCAAGATCCAAAACTGACAATGTGCAAGTGTGATGGTGGATTCTCCGTGACCTTTCATTTCATCCATTTGAGCGTATTTTCTTGCGCGCTGGTAGAAGTGCTCTCGTAGTGCCTCATACTTGTCGGTAACGGTAGCGGCCAAAGTCCACATGATGTACCGTAGACATACTGGTGGTCGCATGTGAGGGGCAAGATTTAGAGCGGCCAGGAAGCGTGGTCTGTGGATGAGTGGTATCGATGGGTGTATCTTGGTAAAGTAGATGTGGTATCTGTGCGGCATATCAGTCGAGTCGTTTGTAACATAGATAGATTCACCCACAAGTCATCCATGACATCCTGAGGCGGTAAGGGTTCCTCTAGCCCAAGGCCTATCATTTCCCACGAGAAGTCTTGCTCTCCATTATTGCCACTTGCGCCTGTGTTCTGGAATGGTTCCACTCCAGGCGTCCGCGACTCCTGCGCTGCTCCTTGCGTCCGGTCCGAAGTATTCAGATAGTCGCCCGAATTCGGTAGCGATTGCTGTATCGTGTTCGCGACATATGCGGATGTAGAGTCCTGGCGCGTTGCAGCGTTATTACTCGAGTCGGTAGGATCTTGGTTCTTGAGCAGGGTCTCGACTTGTTCTATAGGGACCGCATTAGAAAGTACAGGGCATTAGCTGCTGTGGCGCCAACTTACGCAGACGTTGTTCAAGAAGCTTGACATAGCCTCTCTTAGGTCCACTCTTCTTGCGCACCTCATCGTAGGCACAATCGTGGGATAACCGCCTGCAGGTCGCGCAGGAAGGCCGCGCACCATCGCATCGCAGCTTCCTCTTCCTGCACAAAACGCAAGCTATCCTCTTAGGTCTGCTTGCGCTGTCAGCCTGCGCTTCCTGGCCGTTGGGATTGTTCGCATCGGGGCCTTGCTGGGACAGGTCGTTGAAAAAGCTCTCGTCTGGCGACTCAGATTCGACTCGAGTCATCTTCGCAAACACAGTATGCGACCCAGGCACAAAGAAGGTGCTTGAATCTCAAGTTAGGTCGGACTGGAGACCCCCGCGTAAGCGCGGCTGGGGCGGATTCGAGATCCTATAGGGACTATCCAAGAACTAGGCTGCCACTTTTGAACCTTCGATTGCGTAACTCCGTCTAGATTAGTTCGAGGGCAGATCGGGATGCAAGTCAATGGGCTGATATAGGTTTGATGGGGGTATGAGAATGGGCTTCAGCTGTTCAGCACGAGGAATACGGGCGTCGCATAGCGGTAACGTAGGCGTTGAAGCGAGAAGTCGAAAGAGAGCATGTCAGTGGACAGCCCTGGAGACGATGAAGGCACACATAGCTGAAGTTACGCCTTCTACATCGACTCTCATCATGCAAGCGTCCGCCAGGCGTGCTGCTTCCAGCGCGTCATGGTTGCACGTCGGACATCTGGACAAATTATGGCGGATCTCCCGCCATCGGCGTCACCGTTGCAGTCCCGCACCACTGGTTCAACAGTGCAGCCGCCACACCACTTTCAGAGAATGGCAAGCATCAGTACGCAGTGCAAAACTGGCCGGGTTTTCACATCTCGTCAGCTGTAGATATAGCTTCCCTCTCACTACTTGCATCCATACGTCTTTGTTCTTAGACAAGATACCGTCAATGCGGGGTTATCGCCGATCGGCACAGAGCATCTAGTGTCATCAACAACAGTTTGGTGGAGTGTGCAACAACTAGCGCATTCGATACGGACCTGTTGAGTGGAAAAGCCCATGACGATGACATTGGAAGCAATGAGTATGTAGTAGACTGTATATATCTGGGAAAAGGCGGAAATATGCCATGGGAGCGAGCACGCATGGCTATGTAGTCACAGAATTCCCTTTCAAGACCTCATCAATTGTCTTCCTACACGGAATGTAAGGAACCACAAGCATAGTAAATGCGTACAATATGGATTTTGGAGCAGCATGCAGCCATGACGCTATGCAAATATAGTACAGTATGCCCGATGGCGGACTTGTTCTTTCCTGTGGTATGCAAAGTATGGTACAGCTTGAAACGCAACACATATAGATACACTTACTTCGACCTACGCTTGCCTTGGTTGCGTGGTCGGTCTTGCACGAGGAAGGTGTGCTTGTTCCTCTTGTACCTCGTCTTGTATCCTCCTTTGGCCGGAGTGCCCCATGGACTGACAGGGTGCACGTTACCCTTTGATTTACCTCGACCACCACCGTGAGGATGATCAGCTGGGAATAGTTAGCTTCATGGACAATACGTGCGGGTAGGCTTCAAGAACTAACCTGCGTTCATCGCTAGACCACGGACCTCCGGCCGCTTCCCTAGCCATCGCGAACGTCCTGCTTTGCCGAGGGACTTGAAATGTGACTGAGGGTTGCTGGCAACACCAATTGTGCAGCATGCGTCTGCGCTGACCTTACGGATCTCGCCGCTCTGCATTCGAATGATAACGTGCTTGATCTCGGTGCCCTTGGCCTTTTCCACTTCTTCCTTGTTGACAATGATTGCGTACGTGCCTGCGCTGCGGCAGAAAACGCCTCCACCCTGTGTCTTGGACCCGACATTGAAGACTTGCGAACCGAGGGGGACCATGTGAATCGGGAGGCAGTTTCCTCGCGCTGCCGTCTTTGCGGCCAGCATACCAGGGTCAATGGCACCGCCCATGCTGGCGATCAAGTCTTTCGGAATACCAGTCCTGTAGCTCTCCACCTCATCGCCAGCCCGCATGCCATCCGCAGCAATAATGTACGATTTCTCGCCCGTCTCTACGCGGGTCACGAGGGCCAGATGCGAGCTGCGGTTCGGGTCGTATTCTATCCTGTCCACCACATGCTTGCCGGGCAGATAGCGCTTGTAGTCGACAATTCGAATCCTTCTCTTGTGTCCACCTCCCCTGTGCCGGACTGTGACCCTGCCTGTGTTGTTTCTCCCTCCCAGGTGCTGGCCCTTCCTCTCAATGGTGAGCTTGAGGTGTGGTCGTCCCTTCCACAGATGGTCGTTGACGGGCCGCTTGAGATGCCGCAGACCGGGCGTTCGAGGCTTGTAGGTTCGCAGGGGAATAAATTTGTCTTTTCGCGTGCCCTCGGACTTGACGGCCGCGTCGTCAGCGGCTATGGATGGCTGCAATGATGGTGGAGGCCTCAGGTCGATTGCTTGGGCTTGGGCATAGGTACGGGCGCACAGGAGCGCTTTGCCCAGGCGTGAGGGCTGGAAGCGACATATCCGCGGCTGCAGCATCGTGTGCTGATGGGAGCGAGGGCGAGAGGAGCTTCACTACGGTGCAATGGGCTGGTGCTCGATGGCCTGCATGTGCAGAGTTGGCCGGAGAGGTGACGAACAATTCTCAAAACTGGCTGTAATTGGTTAGCGCCAGGCAAAAGGTGGGTCGGCACGGCCTGTCCTTGCAGCGCGACCTGGCACTGGCCCAGCAACGTGTGTCTGCTGCTTTCTCTCCCTCACCAAAACAGCTCTTTCTTCGCTCTCGCACTGCTCTGCACCTTCTGCACGCCCTCTCTCCTCAACCCGCCATCTCCACGCCCGTCTATCTTCACGGCATCGGCATATCTACGCGTTGGGCTTCGGCGTTCTCCCAGGTACGTTTACTTACGCGCTGCGGTGGTGCGTGCACTCTACCAGCCTCGAAGCACGACTTTCGCGCGTTGGACGCCAAAAGGGCTGCACGTGACCAAGGGCGGTACCAAAACAAACCGTCCTCTTACACCCACTTCCATCAACACACACCTTGGTGCACCACCTCACTCGCCCTCCCCACCGACATTTCTCTACACATTGGAGCTGGACCTCGTCCCCGTCCCTTCGACCATCACAATCTTCACGCTCCAAGGGTTCGTCTCGCTCCTCCGCACGTCACAACACCATCGCTGCCGCACCCCCAGGTAGCGTGTCTAGTGTACCAATACTCGCGAGCATCGACCGTGGTTCTGCCCAGCGCACTCTCGCACGCTGGGCACACATTTCGATGCTCCTGTATTGTCGGGCTCCGCTCCTCTTACGCTCGTCATAACACGCTCAATCGAAGAATGCTAACGTCTGCAAACAGTGCATCAAAACAAGACCTGTATCCGCCATAACGCCCTAAAGCATACTCCAACTCTTCGAATACCTCTCTAGCCTTGATCAGCATACCTAATATTGCTTGCAATGCCTCCCGTAGTACGTTGTGGCCCCTCACCCTGCTGCCGTCTCGACTTGCCCACTTCATCTGGGCAATGTCCGCCTTCCATCTCAGCTCTCTAACACGTTCCTATAGGCTCGCTCCCTCCGGCAGCGTGCTGTCACCAACGAGAACGATGAAAATGCCAGTACGACACGCTTGACGCGCGCCAAGGCGGCGAATTTGGGCGCGAACGAGTCCGCTGCCGACGTGCCCAAGAAGGTCGTCCAGACGAAGAAGTCCACTGCCACGCTAGGAGCAAACGGTGTCGGTGGCCGAAAGCGTCCTGCGCTCGGTGATGTCAGCAATGTCGCGAAGCCCGAGCTTGGTGCTGGCGCGAAGGAGGGCAAGAAGCCTGTGGCCAGGAAAGGCGCGTTGTCCCAAGCTGCACAGCCTACCAAGATCCAGAAGCCTTCACAGGTCAACTCGACGCGCTCGAGACTGGAACCAAAGGACAAGACTACCGGTTCATCAGAGCTGAAGAAGCGCCCAGCTAGCGGGAATGGCATCACAGGGCAGCCGGCCAAGAAGCGCGTCGCGTCCAGCTCAAAGCCTCTGAAAGAGGAGGACTCGGAAGCAACTGAAAATGTTGTGCCCCAGGAGAACGTCACCCTGGAGACTGAAATCACAAAGGTGCACAGCACGAAGCACACAAAGGTACAGGTCCTTGAACAGGTTGAGGAAGTCTTCGATGAGGACGTGCCGGATCTAGACAAGGAGGATGTCGATGACCCATTAATGGTCTCAGAGTACGTCGTCGAGATCTTCGAGTACTTGAAGGAGCTAGAGATTGCGACCATGGCCAATCCCGAATACATGGACAGCCAAAATGAGCTTGAGTGGAAGATGCGCGGTATTCTCGTCGACTGGTTACTCGAAGTTCATACTCGCTTCCGCCTCCTTCCCGAGACTCTCTTCCTCGCAGTCAACATCATCGATCGCTTCCTCTCCGCCAAGATTGTCCAGCTAGACCGCCTTCAGCTGGTTGGTGTCACCGCCATGTTCATTGCCTCAAAGTACGAGGAGGTCCTTTCGCCCCATGTACAGAACTTCCGCCATGTCGCGGATGACGGCTTCACTGAGGATGAGATTCTTAGTGCAGAGCGCTTTGTCCTTGCTGCCTTGAACTACGACCTGAGCTATCCAAACCCCATGAACTTCCTCCGCCGGATATCAAAAGCCGACAACTACGATATCCAGACGCGTACTCTAGGCAAGTATCTCCTAGAGATTGGTTGCCTAGATCACCGCTTCCTGGCACACCCTCCAAGCCAAGTCGCTGCTGCTGCCATGTACTTGGCTCGCCTTGTTCTCGAGCGTGGCCCTTGGGTAAGTTTTCATAATTCTCGTCGTCCTGTTCACATTGCTTACTGTAATAGGATGCCACCCTTTCACACTACGCCGGTTACACTGAGGAGCAGATCCAGCCTGTCTTGCAGCTAATGATCGATTATCTCTCTGGCCCGGTGGTTCACGAGGCCTTCTTTAAGAAGTATGCCAGCAAGAAGTTCTTAAAAGGTTCGTACTACCCAATCGCGTCAACCCTACAGCCGCTAACACCGTCCAGCATCTATCCTTCTCCGAAAGTGGGCCAAAGACTACGTCGCTGCCTATGGCAACGTTCTTCAAGAGGAGACCCCCAAGCTTCGAAACAAGCATTAAGACGGTTGTTCCTTGACTCGTCGCTTCCAGTCCTGGTCTCAGTTCTCACGAGGCCCCGCTTTGCCGTCACACGCCGAACATGGGGCAAAAATGGTTCGGTAGTAGGTGACCATAGTGGTTCGGACCGGGAGCTATATCTTCACTTGCATCAAGCCAGCCCTTTTACGTTTGCATCTTGGCTATACCATCTTCCAGTCGGCGTTAATACATGGGATGCAATTGGCTCTTGAAGGCTTTTTCACGTGTTCTTTTGGTTCTTGTTGGTTTCTTCTTGATTTATTTTGGAATGGAGTCGGAGGCGTCAAATCTCTTCCCGATGGGGCATAAAGGATGCTTGTGTTTTGTTGCACGTAACTCTTATCTTCATTTCTCTGATAGCGGCTCTGGATACTCGCTCATAGCATTAGCGATCGATATACCATCACGGTGTGATACGAAAGGCTATTCTTGGTAGAAGTGTGGTGTGATGGCCATGATCATGATAGAGGTGGAAGTCTGTATGAGTAGTGTGGATGCGAACGCTTTGGCGTCGCAATGGAGTAAAGTTTCTAAAAAGTCTATGCCTTCTATCTACTACGTGTTCCCATGCTCGTGGTGCTATTGTCTCTTTTTGAATGTACTCCAGCGTAGCATTCTCACAACAGCGACAATGACACTGATATCGTTCCAAGGAGTACCCGACGCCCCGAATCGGGCAGACGCGTCGTATGAAACTCCCGTCTGCACGTCATGCGCGCGTCTCGCGTCATTTTCCAGCTCTCAGCCCGCGATGCGTAAACAAGCCACCCGTCGCGGTCGCGATCAGCCATCGCGCCAACCTGAACCTCGGCTCATCACGACATCAAACTCCACGCTAGCCTTCTTTGTTAGTCTTCACTCGACCTCCACCCCCGGGCCAGCCAGCACCACTCACATACCCTCATCCAATCGAGGGCCTCGGAAAACAAAATCATATAAACGATGCCCTCACCATGAACGAAGCAGACCTCCACTACCCGCCTGACGTCTGCCCCTTCTGTACCATTGCCGCCGCTTTCCCGTGTCCAGAGAACGCGCTATGGAGTTCACGGAAGGAGGCATTGGCGACCAGCGTGCCCAGTGAAGATGAGGCTGATCATGAAAAGACGAGTCCGAGTAGCTTTGTAGTGCTCAGGAGTAAGGATGTGGTTGCTTTTCTGGATATCTTGCCGATGACGGGAGGTAAGTAGGTTGAATTCGTTTGATCTGTTAAATTCTTTGGAAAGAAGCTGGGATCTTTGGGCTTGCTGGATAGCTTGGGGGGTTGGCTTCAGTGCTGTTAACGTTTGCGAAGGAGGCTGACTGGATCATTGGGGTTAGGTCATTTGCTTGTTACGACTCGGGAACATAAAGTCAAGGTTGCTGATATGGGCGCCACTGAGAGTCGAGAGATTGGTAAGTCTACATACTCTTTATGTATTGTGGTCGCTTTGTCAATTAGCGTGGAATAGAAAGCTGACCCGCTTGTTATAGGTTTCTGGTTACCGATACTGGCAAGAACAGTAGCTAAAGTAACAGGCGTCACAGACTACAATATCGTGCAAAATAACGGTTAGTACACGAGTCACCTTGATCTGGATATATTTCTACTTCTGCTACAACTTACTGATATTTTGCAGGTGCGCGGGCTGCACAGGTAGTACCCCATGTACACTTCCACATCATACCACGCCCAGAGACTATGCCAGAGATTAAGAGCAAGAGCTGGACGATGTTTGGACGGGGCCAACGCGACGACCTAGACGATGAAGAGGGGGCGAGGATAGCGAGCGAGATGAGGAAAGTGTTGAGAGATGAGGCGGAGAGGATGAGTAGTAGTGAGAGGGAGGCGAAATTATGACAGTCTATTTTTGACTCTTTCAGTGCATTAGACATTAATTATTACTACCAGGCATCTCCAATTCTCGAATCATGGTATTATACATCAACTTTGCTCTCTTGTCGCGTTATCACTTCCTCACCCTCCCCCTTCCACCAATATATTCTATCAAAATGCCCACGAGCACAATGATGAAGTTTACAAACATCAGCACCGCTGCTGCAGTAGCCCACCGACACCTCCTTTGCAAAAACCCATCGCCCTCGTCGTAACTAAGGCACTTGTAGAGGAGCTTCTCCGTTGGACAGTCGCCGTTGAGTAGAGAGATGTGGCTCAGCGTGTCCCGCATGTATTCCATAGTCTGGTTCATGCAATCGACGCCTTCAAGTTTGACCGCGAAGAGCTACAAAGACTTAACTCCTCGAATTCAAAGGAGACAACGGTGCGGTGAAGGACTTACGATACCTCCAGCAAGATTCAAAGCCAACACTACGGTGTCCGCGAGGAGTAAGATTAAGCCTTGTAATATCGGCAGCCAGAGTGCTAGTATGCCTAGTACCGCTCCGAGGAATGTCACGACGCCAACGGCGACACCGTACTTGAGCGCTGCATTTGCGCCGGGAGATTGGTCGGCGATCAGGACGGCAGCGAGGCCAATTGTTGACACGGCGAGGATGCCTTGTAGAGAGCGGGTCGTGTACGTGAGTTTCGCTGGGGATGATGACATGGTCGCTGGCCTGCAAAGGTGTGGTGCGTAATATTGAGGGAGAGACAGTATGAAATGTGATGATAATAGAGAATTCCAAAATCTGCGACACCAAGATCGAGTTAAATACCGAGTGTAGTCTATCAGTGTTGGGAGTTCAAAGTCGAAGATTGTTGCTTTGTTAGGTAATTTGGCGAAGGACCCGAGTCGAGCACAGCCTCGCACAGCCTCACGGCCTGTCGCGCAGTCCCACGTTTCTCGTCGCATACATCGCATTGTACAATGCCAAGCTCATTCCCAAGGCATACTTTTGTTGAAGCCCAGTTGCTTGCTGTCAAAGTGAAGGTACTTGAGAGGCGGCTTGGTGATCATGCGGCTGTGTGGTCTTGGGTGTCTCCACTTCTTCCGTACACCCCGTTCCTTCCTGAAAGAGCCTCCAAACGTCTTACGTCCGAAATAGAAGCTCGATGAGACTGAGGCGTTCATTGAGCGATCGAATTTTCGTCACTAACAGAAGATGATAATCACTCCTTCAATCAGAAGGGGCTAGAATGTAGAGTTTAGAGTACAGATTTCTAAAGCAAGAACACAAAAGTTTATTTATACACAAGCAAGCTTTGTAGCAAACTAGTAATAATAGCCTTTTTTCCAATAAGCATCTTTAAAGAAATTATTTCAAATGTACTAATCGTATTCTAACTATCTTTAAAGTCTGCTTTTTTAACCTGTAGCAGAACCAACGTACAAATCTAGCGTGTGACCTTCTTTATCTGTAGCATGTCAATACGATATCTATCATTTGGCGAAATAAAAAGATTGATCCTAGCTCAACCCTCCGAATTTTTGTCCGTGAAGGAGGACTGAGGTATAGTATTACCGTTACGATTGTTTGAAGAGGCAAGGCCCGAAAGCATTGCATCTTGCAAAAAGTAAATGCTCCCTGCCAGACTCAACTGGCAACCTTGGGATGACTCTAGCTTAGCTAGATCAAGGACATGAGACCCACGTTAACCAACTACACCAAGGAAGCTTGTGTTATTTGATGAATGAAATCCTGATAGAAATAACTATACAGTACATACAATGACCGCAAAGACTTTCAAAAAGGGGCTGTTAGCTTCGTTCTACTTCGCGCTATCGATATAACCGAAGAACGACCGGACGGAAGCCTCTGCTGGGGTCACTATAGATGGAGCTAAAAAACTACACTCTTCTCAAAACTTGTAGCTATTTCCTCTACTCTCGTTTAATCTGAGAACCTACGTTTCGTAACATCTGTATAGGGGTCGGTGCTGACGTTCGCCATCAGCGCGACTTGCTGGCGTATGGCACGTATCGATGCAGCATTCGTATGCCTTGCAGATTGAAGAAAAGAGAACGTAGAAACCGATTCAAATGACTAGAAGTCAAAGTCAAAGCTTTGGACGACGCTGAGCGGCGCTTCGTATGCGTGCCGCGTTGTCCGGATTCAGTCTATTTTTGGCCGCATCTGGATTTAGTTGACCGGTACCGTCGGGCTCCCCTTTACAAAATCATGAGAGCATCTTCGGCTTCGAGGCCTAGAATCGTTTGCATCAATTCATAACCACAGAGCCCAAGTAGTGATACACAGCATCTCCCTGGTCAGCGAGGATGTATATATGTGGTCGCTCTTGATGACGCGTGCGTCGAAGACACTCACGCTTGTGAGACACAGCTTTCAGTTTCAACGTCGTGGAGCCCCGTCGATGCTCGGGCAGGTATGCATTCCGGCGACCGCGGTTTCGGCTTTTCCTACGCTCTCTCCGACTGGAATTTATACAATCCCACGTGATCCATTTGAAGAAAATCCGGGGATATCATCAATCTCGCATCAACCCGCGACGCCGGAAACGGTAATCCTTTAGCCGTTATGACTGCTTAGCGAATCATGGGGCCATAAGGGGCTAGTTCAATAGTCTTGCAAGCCGAGAACCGTGCATGTGCTGGCTGCAAGCCGGAGTGGCCTCGCCCAAGGTTTCTCGTATAAGTGGGTGGATGGCCGCGGGGCTTGAGGCCGCTGTTGCCCTGCTCCTCTCTTTACAGACATTCCGCTTTACAGTCACTCCTTTTAATACTTGTTTCTTTGTCGCTGTTGAAGTAGTGTCCATTCTGAAGAACCTTGGAACAACTGTGGACACAATGAAATTCATTGCCTTTTTCGTGTTTGGGGCGGCCAGTGCACGTGCAGTTCACTCGCCGCAGCAACAGCAAGTTCCTATTTTGGGAGAAGCCGTAGAAGATGTTTCCTCTCAACCCTCAGAAGCCACAGAGGATGCTGCGCCCGGAATCGGAGTCCACTTTACGAATTCATACGCTATCGCTTCGGCTCGCTATCAAAACGGAACGACGAGAGACCTAGTCAAGGTAGAAGGAGATGCGCAATACATCGAATTAATGACACGATGGATGAACACACGACAAGGTTCGAGCCTACCAATTAGTCGCGACGCCGTCACTCTCTCCAACTTCCTACACACTCTGCAGATAGACGTTGAGGAAGTATTGGGTAGCCCAATGACCAACTTCGCGCCGGCCATTTTCCCACTAGACACGGCCAAGAAGCAATACTTCCAGGACGCACTAGATCTCGCCGGACTGTCCTCCACGCGCACGCGGACCGGAAACAACTTGGTTGTGTATGAGGATACGAACGCGGCCTATGCCGGCCTCGATTACGGGCTCTGTAAGAATTGGACAGAATACCAAGATTGCCTCGACGAACAGAGCAAACTCCCTTACCTCGACGTTCTATTCCTCTCTTTCGACAACGGTTCCTTCTCCGCAATCGTGAAGACCCTGCAAAGCGTGTTTCAAGAATGGCCGATACACAATCACGCTTTCAACCTCGATCTCGGCTGGTGGAACCTACCCATTCACGAAGTGCCGCGTGCAAAGTTCTGGGCAGACATCCACGAAATGGTCGTAGACAGCATTAGTTGGTTGTCAAGGCCACCTAGCAGAATTGTGTTGATGGGTGCCCATGGGGCAGATAAGGAGTTCTCGGCAGTTGTGGAAGCTGCGTTGTGGAGTGTGCTGGAGGTTGATGTGAATATGATGATGCAGGCTAACAAAGCAGAAGATAGTGCAAGCCTCGCTGCGAGAGGCGCGGCGGAGATGGCCTGGCGATCACAGTCTTGGAACAGAAAGAGTAGGGAAACAACGATAGCTGATGGTACACCTACTGAGCATCAGTAGAGAAGTGATGAACGGAAGTTAAAGATATGTGGCGGATATACCCATGAGATATAGTAGTGATAATTATTGATTAATAATATAATACCCTACCAAACGCAAAGTCGACTATCCATGTGGAGGGGTTCAAGAACTTATTGCGTGTTCACTCAGAAAAGGTCAGCATAGGAAACAGGAGGTAACTGGAGACATACATACCACTTAATTCGGGTAGTCCTTTCGCGACAGACAGGCGCTGGAGTGTTCATCGTACCTCAGCTTAGATGTATCTGAACATATTGTTCTTCACGCTCCTCTTCATTGATACCGGCTTCCCATCTTCATACTCCACACCGGCATCACCCCCATCACCAGATAGTCCCTGAAGCTTTAGCTGTAGCTCTTGGTCGAGTTCTGCTTGTGTCTTCTTCTTCGGTTTGGCTTCCTCTGACGGCTGGGCGGTCGACTTCTAGCTTCCCGTAAGATATTGTTTGTTATTAGGCTAGTGTTAGCAACATACCAGTACCTCCTCTTTAGCTGAACTTGAAGAACCCGTGCTTATATCTGAGTAACCTCGTTCTGTACGTAGTATTCGCAGTATTGGTGTTGTGAAAAAGCATAGGGTGAGAGAGGGTGTAGGAATCCGCCGAGCAATCTGCCGTGACGGTAACATTGAGCAGTAATTCAGTATAGATTTCAAAGTGAGGACTGGAAGCTATCTAATATGTGTTTGTGAAGTAAACCAAGGAGACGTCACAGTGACTGTTACGCCTGGTGCACGTGATGTTCGATGCCTGACTTTGCCAAGCGTGCTAGTCTCCGCGGTGCTTTGAACTTTCTGTTTCGCGACTGACCAGCCATTCAACTTCACGCGCCAACCCACCACCACGTCGACTACACTATCGAGTGCGGCACCTTCTTACGCCGTCGAAAGGTCTACTGCTCAAGGGTCCAGCGAGATGGTGGTAACGAAGGTCGGGCAGTGGTCCAATGTCGAGGACGAGGTCCTCAAGAGTGCCATCTCGAAATATGGCCTGAATCAGTGGGCGCGATGCGCCTCTCTTCTTGCGAAGAAGACGGCGAAGCAGTGCAAATCTAGATGGTCGGAATGGCTGGATCCAAGCATTCGGAAGACAGAGTGGTCGAGGGAGGAGGATGAGAAGTTGCTGACCATGGCAAAGCTGCTTCCTACGCAGTGGCGCACAATAGCACCCATTGTCGGACGGACTGCAACGCAGTGCTTGGAACGATACCAGAAGCTTTTGGACGATCAGGAGGCTAGAGAGGGTGGGGACCTGGGACTGGCTGGCCCTGAAGGCGGAGAATCAGCTGCACCGTCTGCAGAGGATGTTCGACGTTTACGCCCTGGCGAGGTTGACGCCTACAGTGAGAGTCGTCCCGCGAGACCGGACGCAGTAGATATGGACGAGGAAGACAAGGAGATGCTGTCCGAGGCGCGGGCGCGCTTAGCGAACGTCAGCGGAAAGAAGGCGAAGCGCAAGGCTCGTGAGCGGCAGTTGGAAGAGTCGCGGAGACTTGCACTGTTGCAAAAGCGACGAGAGCTCAAGGCCGCTGGTATCAACATCAAGATCACCCCGAAGAAGGGCAACCACATTGATTACAACGCCGACGTACCACTCGAGAAGGAAGTTCCCTCCGGATTCTTCGACACTACAGACGAGCTCGACCGCAACGAAAAACAGCGAGAGGCTTTTGACCCACGCAAGCAGCAGCTGGCGAACAAGCGCAAGATGGATCAGCAGGAAGAGGGAGGGGATAATAAGCGGAAGAAGAAAGACGAGAAGTCAGGAGGCCTTGCAGCATCATACGCCAAGGCTGCTCAGATGCAGAAGATACGGGAAGCGGAACAGAGCAGCAAGCGCCGCGCTCTCGTGCTTCCAACACCACAGGTTGGAGAAGCAGAGCTCGAAGATATCGTCAAGATGGGTCTGGCCGGGGAGCGGCTTTCTTCTAATGGTAGCGAGAACATTGCTACACAAGGTCTAGTGGGAAACTACTCGAACATCGTCGGCAGCACACCGATACGCACGCCTATGGCGCCGAAGGAAGAGGACTTCATCGCAAACGAAGTGCGCAACGCGCGACTAAGAACCGAGACACAGTCGGCCCTACTTGGTGGAGAGAACCCAGATCTCGTCGATGATGAAGCCCCAGCTTCGCTGTCTGCACCCGCTTCACGGCATCAGATCGTTACACCCAACCCCATGGCCACTCCCTTTCGACAGGCAAACGGCGGAGTTGGCGCTACGCCAACACATCAAGGACCTGGAGCGACCCCTATGCGAACACCTCGCGATACACTGCGCTTGAACGAGGGGGAGAGTGGTATGCAGCTGGTCGGACAAACACCTCGAGATATCAGAATGCGTGAGAACGCGAAGCGTCAGGATTTGAAGAGCAGGCTTGCGGCGCTACCAAAGCCCAAGGAAGAAAGCTGGGAGTTTGAACTACCAGAAGAGCAGGCAAATCAAATGGAAATAGAGATTAGTGAGGAAGATGCCGCTGAAATTGATCGAAGAAAGGAGGAAGCGCGGCAAGCTGCAGAAAGCGCTGAGTTCCGCCGACAAACCCAGGTCGTTCAGAGATTTCTCCCAAGACCATCTTTAGTTGACATTGATGCCATGATGAAGAGGGCACTGGATCTATCAGACCCTGTTGAGCGGGAAGTTGAGACCGAAATGGCACTCCTGATCGCGAACGATGTCCAGAAGTTTGGCGGAGGACGAGTCACAGGGTCTCTGCAACCAGTGGAGAAGATGCCTGACGATGCCCTTCGAGCAGCGAAGATGGAGCTAGCACTCGAGCTCGCCATGACGAGCGAGAAAGACAAGAAGTCGTTCCATTCAGAATTTGGCACCACCTGGACTAGCCTACACGGCTCAGCAATCCTTCCCGGCATCGCAGGTTATGAGGAAGATGAGATTGATGAGCACCAACTGCTAGTCGAAGCCTTTGACAACGCCCAAGAATTGATCATCGAGTCCGCGGAACAAGCTAACAAAATCGAGAAGAAGCTGACCGTTCACCACAAAGGCTACACCAACCGTGCTGCGCTTCTCAGTGAGAAGATTGGCGGTGCGTTTGGTGCGCTGGAGATGGCGAAGAGGGACCTCGAGGCTGCGAGGACCATGCAGTACTCCGAGCAGACGGCTATCGATCGGCGACTGGAGGGACTGCGCGCTGAGGTTCAATTTGTTACCAAGAGAGAGAGGGAGGCCCAAGAGCTGTATAGGACGAGGAGGGATGAGCTGGATAGCTTGCAGGCGCCTGTGAATGGGGTACACTGAGCGAGCTGATATTCATTTCATATCCATGTACTTTATTCATCACATATGCAACGGACGGACAGTTGCAAGGGAAGGCGTTAGATATTGCATAATTGAGCGGTGGCCGATTTGTCAGTAGGACATGCCTCAGTCGCTCCAAAGGAGATGATATATATGGTGAAGTGTAGGTGTGTATCTTCAGTGCCATAGACAGTGACAATCAGGTTCACAAAAATGCATTGAAGCCATTCTGGCTACCTTCACAAGTAGGATTTCTTCTGCGTTGAGGTGAACTGACTAGGTCCCGGCACATGTCCACAATACCGTATACCTGGCTTTTCTTGCCAGGCACTTTGCACAACAAAGACCCTTACATTTGTCATAAACATAAGTCAAGTGGCGGGTTGATGTGTAAAGCAGTCCAAATTGAGAGATGATATGTTCTAACTTCCATGATAATATCCACACCATCAAACCGAATGATATTCTTCAAGCTTGGTCTGCGGGGTATATGAAACCGAGCCTTCCACCAAGATAAGCGACGACATCGGGCTCATCTTGACACAACAAGAAGTGAAAAAGAAAGGAATGTACAAGGAAACCCCCATGTGACCCAGGATCAAAAGCGTGGACGAGAGACAAAAAGTTATACTGTCGTTTGGGAAAGGAAGAAAACCTGATGCGCCAATTGAAAAGTAGAAACCCCAAACGCCTCTTGAGCGTCATACATCATTTTCCAGTCCTATATCCCCCTCGTGGGGACCAGGAACAGCAGCAGTAGCAGAGACGCATTGCATGGCATGGCATCTAGCACGTCCCATCCAAGACCTCAAAGATGCCCACAACATGCACCTCACTCACACTCCTCCCACGAGCGTGACCATAGCTCAGACCAACACTCGGCCTAGGCTCCAACACATCCAACTCCTGTTCGAAGAGATGCTTCTCCTCCTCCATTTCGAACTCGAGCACACTGGGCTTGCGGCGCAGAGCGAGCATGTGGCGGATACTGGCAGCTGAAGAGCGGTAGCTGTGCGGTGACGAGTTCCGGGTCAGCGGCGATGTGGTCGATGTGCTGATGCTGGAGCTGGGGGATGTGGAGCGCTGGGAGCGGACGGGGGAGAAGGCGGTTTTCAGGCGGCGGAGGGAGCCGGTTGTGGAGCGGAGGGGGGTGAAGGACTGGAAGCGGTTGGTTCGGCTTGGGGATGGCATTTTGGTTTTTGTTGAGTGGTTGGCCGTTGTGGTGTAGTAGGTGTAGAGGAGATGGGTTGATTTTTGGTTGTGTGATTATTGTAGTTGTTGCGCAAGTGTGATTGCTGTTTTCAAGCAATGCAAGTAGGATCCCGTTCCGGTAGAAACAGTGTTGACGTTTGTCGAGTGTGGGGGAACAACAAGCACGTGGCCCGATAGTAGCGAAGGTAAGACGTGTGTTGACAAGTGTAGTCTTCCAAAGAGTGTTGGATTGAACTCGGCTCGCGAGGCAATCAGGATGGTAAAGTATAACTAACGTGCAAGGGACGCGCGGTAGAGAGGGCTCAGCTCAACAACAGCAACAAAGTCCGTAGCGTCGTCGTAGTATAAAAAGCAACTTCAAGTATATCTCAACTCCGAAGGACAGCTTCAAGCGACTCGATCGATGCAATCGTGAGGGGAAATGTGGCAAGTGAACAGAAAGCAAGAATCAATCGAGCAAAAAAACGAAGGTAAGGGATGGTATGGGAGTGAAGTGTAATAGAGCGAGACAAGAGACGAGACGAGACGAACGGACAGACGAGCGGATGTTTAAGGATGCGTGTCGTATGTCCAGTGCGTAATCTGTTCCAAGCACACCACCCAGGGAACTTCTAGTGCAGGAAACCCCCTGTCACAGAGGCCTTGCTGAGAGGGGGGAGAGGTCGCGACTAGGGCCGTTTGATCGCCGTCTGGAAACAAGCGAGCGGGAGCTGGAGGCTCGTGTTGTGCCGCGAAAAGATTGCATCTTGAAATGAGGAGCTTCCTGCTTTCATTTTGATTTGCAATGTGGGTGGGTATCATGACGATGAGTATATTAGAGCCCCGCGGCACATCAATCTGTACATACTTCCTTTGTTGGATCACGATCAAGATCAAGATGAAGATCCGCACCCTGTTTGCTGGCAGTCGTCCCGCTATCGTCACAAAGCGGAGAGACCCCCTTCGCACTGCAGCCCCCCGCCATCCAAACAACAGCACAGCAGCGAAACGAACGCACAGCACACCCAAACCTCCTCGCCCTCTAGATGCAGGCCCCGACGCGTTTTCAGCCGCGGTATCTCTCCCTGCCTGCATGAAAGTCACCCATGTTGCCTAATACAGGGCAGTCTTACACCCTCGTCCCCCAGCATCTGCAACCCTCAGTGTCTCCCATGTTCCAAGAGACCCTGTCTCAAGACACTGCTGCTGCGGTTGTAATGCACTAATCTGCGACAGACGAGCGTGTCTGCAAACGGGATAGCCTGTGTTGCCGACGTGTCTGAAAGCACCCCGGCGTTTCAGATGGCGGTCGTCACTCGCTCGTGACGAATGCATGGAGCTGGACATGGACAGCAGAGCAAATGGCCTGGAGCTGCGAAAGCGTTGGGTACGGTTGGGTAATGTACCAAAATACGTACACTCGACTGTATGGTTAGTTAATAGGAAGTAGAGGGCAATATAGCTTTGGCTTGTGAGTGTATGTTGTCAAATAGACTCAGGACATCCCGGTCACGTAGTATAGGCTCAGCTTCGAAACCTGTGTCAAAGATGGGTTGCGGCTGATGAGGTACCAAAATAGGCCTGGCCCGTTTGCTGGTGGCTGAATGGACGTTTCGGTTCTCGAACGACCTAGGTGCTCTTCCGAGGGGACAATCGTGGAACCGACGCATGAGTGCATGCCATTGAGAAGGACTCGGATCCAACAAGTCTATCATTATTCGCTCAACGCCGTCGCTATGCAATGTCTAATGTTCACAATCCCCCGCCGCCATCACCATAATTACATCCCCATACTCCTGTGCAACAAGTCCGGCCTCCGTCTAACCTGCATAGCATACTGGCTATAGCCTGTCTTCCGACAGACGTCAATGTCTCCCGTTCGTGTTGGGTTGATGCCAGTCCAACACCCCGCTCGGTCATTTCAGACATTCATGCAACCACCACCGTATCGTAAGCAAGCCCCTGTACCTGTACCTGGACGGTCCTATGCGCAGACTTGCTGCATCATACTGCCAAATCCTTCATATGTCCACACTACGCCCCTTTCGTCACCCTTCACATCGTCTTGCATACCATTCCCAGGCACCACACCATCTTCTTCCTACCTTCCCCACACTCCTGGTTACCAAAATAGGTCTTCGAGAATAGAATGTCTCAGCTCCTTCTCCGTGTCGTAAAACTTCTCCTAATACTCTCACCCCAAGCAGAATTATCAAGCACCTCGAGCACATCCGCCGCGCTAACCGCACTATTCGCCCTACTGCGTGCATCATTCGGGTTAAGATCCGCTTCCAGCGGGCTAGGCGGTCTGCTAAGAGCGGATGCAAACTGCCAATCGCCTTCAGAAGCAGGTGGAGAGAAGGGGGACATATGCGGGCTGCTTCGTGTTGGCGAACCCTGGGGTGTTTGTTGTATCGAGTTCGCTCTTCCTCTAGCACTAGCGTTGGCGAGTGATGTGTCGAGATGTGTTGGTTCTGGACCACGCCTGTCAGGGACGTAGAGGTCTTGGGGCGAGAAAAGGGGGCTGCCCGCTCGAGACGATTCGCCACGCTGCGCGTCGGTGATATCTTCGTCGTCAATAAAGATCTCTGGGACTGTGAACTGCGGGATTGTGGCCATACGGCCTTGCTTCTTCTGGTCCATAGCGCGGCGGAAGCGACGGGCCCAGTAGAGTGTATCGAAGAAGCCGACTACGACGTTTCGGCGAACAGCTTCTTCGACGCGTTGTAGGCGAGCTCGCCGTCGCAAGAACTCCTCTAACCTGTCGTCATGTTAGCATGCGTTGTGCAATGTGTAACTGAACGGCAACATACCTCAAGCTCTTGTTGTCGTTGATGACCTTGTGGTGAGCTAAGATCATCAGCAACGAGGTAAACTCAATGCCTCGATCGGGGTCGCTTGACACGAGTACCTCCTCGAAGAAAGTGTTCATGCGTCGTCGTCGGCGTCGTATCTCAGCAATCGGCAGCTCAGCTAGACGCCGATTGAGCTTTTCAATATCGATCTCTTGGGTTGGTTCACGCCCTGGCACAGGTAGGTTTGATTCACGGCGAGATGCTACGCCGCACTCTTCGATCAGCCGACCCACCGTAAAGTCACCATCGTAGATGCGCATTTCAAATATACCCGAAAGTTCCTGGTCCTGTCAGTAACGAGCTGTTCACGTACGCCAAGTAAACTTACACCAAGGAGTCGTGGAAACACCTCCCTCGAAATGTAGCCTGTCCCATTAGGGTCAAACTCTGCCCAGGCTTGCTTGAACCGACGGATCTCCTCTCGACTGATGACGGACAAGCCACTACTTCGTTGATACACGTAACTGAAACTCTCGTAGATCAACGAGACAAACAGATTGACAAAGATGTACATGCTTAGAATGTTCCAGGTAATGAAGAGAGCTCGCGCCCACTCAGGGCTGCCACAGTCGCTTTGGAAGTACCGCTCTCCTACTGTGCAAAAGGGTTTGTCGACATTGGCAAAGTCTTCCATAAGTTGGTTCCAGCCTTCGCCCATACTCATCGTGTACAGAAAGATCAGTGCTTTCGGGACAGTCCGAAAGTTGATATTTCCAGTTTCATTTTCGCCAAATCGAGTAAGACCAAAGGTTTGTGTAAGTGCGATGGCGTACACGAGGAAAAGCACGAACCATGTTGCGAGTAGGTTTGCGATCGCGGTCAGACTCGCTGCTGCTGTCTTGAACAGCTGGTCGAGTTGATTGTTCCGGGGAATAAGAAGAAGAGCAATGGAGACGAGGCAGAGCTTATGAAGTGGGACAAAGACCCTAGAGAAGTCTTTTACCAATACTAGAATCGAGGTGATGAATGTTCCTGTCACAGCGAAGATGGAGAAGACGTCCCAGGAGCTCTTCCGGAAGCGATGCCATGAGAGACCGATGATGCGGATGACTACATTGGCAATGAATACTATGGTTAGCGCAAGGAATATGTAGTCTGTAAGATGTCAGCGTTAAGCTCAAGATGTGTTACACTATGCTTACCTCTAGCTGTATCCCATGCACCATAACCTGGGTACCACTCTAAGCAAAGTAGTACTAGGTGTAGTATCAAAAGCCCAGTGATGAATCTCTGCCATCGCCCGGTCTTGCGAACAGCTCGGCGGTAACACCACTCTTCCCATGACTCTCGTTGCTTGGTGGAAGATGGTCGTTTCGACGGAGATATTTGCCGAAGTAGCTTACGAAGTTCCAGCCAAGAACGCTGGTCTGTTGTCAGGAAGGCGACTCCAGTCTGTTCCGTGTAATTGCGCATGAACACAGACACAAAGAGTGTCAACACGAAGACAGCTCCAAGCAAGTTGAAGATGATGAAGTAGACGGCGTTCCCCTGTGCTGCATACGGGGCAGGCTGTGTGTAAACTCCAGTGATACTCATTGCAGACCACATAACGTCGGTCCAACCTTCTTGTGATACAATCTGGAATAGTATGAAGAGGGAGTTCCCAAAATTATCAAAGTCGTAGTAGTCATTCGCGGCCTGACGTGGCGCTAAGACATCCCAATTGAATGGTGAGCTTGCATACTCGCCTACACAATCCTGGAGGTTCGTGATGTTGGACTTATCGTCGTTGCATTTCTGTAGCTGGCCAACGAAGAGGTTTAACCCGTAAATGGCAAACGGGATTAACAAGCTAAGGGACACAAAGGCAGCCTTTGAAGATTAGAGAGTGGTGATGGAGTGGTTGACGGCGACTTACAGAGAAGAGCTTCCACCAACCCCGAACTATCAATGAGTGAAAATGGTCTCGGGCACTATCGCTGACGTTGAGCAGTCGAAGGGCCCTCAAAGCTTTGAAGGCGCCTACGGTCCGAGTGATCTGGCCCTCATTCCAGAGCGAAGTGGCGACATTTACCCAAAGCGTGAGTAGCACGACGCCGTCAATAAAACCCCATGAGCCTCTGAAGTAAGCGTTGGGTGTCCAGAAGAATCCATCGGCAATAACCTTGATCAGCGCCTCTATCGTGAACAGTAAGGCGAAGCCCATGTCTACCCACACGAACCAGTTCTTGACACTGAAATTATGGGTATTAAAGTATTCGCGCTGGTATAGTGGCGTAGTGACACACGCCAAAAGCACCATGGCAATGATGGCGGCGTATATGAAGGCCGAAAAGGCGTACCAGACTGGGACAGAGGGTGCTACTCCTTCGATGCGATCACCACCACGGCCAGGACCGACAATGCGCTGGCAAATCTTGCGGATCGGGTTGTGAGGTCCGAAGATAAACAAAGAGACGTTGTATTTCGGATGATTTCGCAAGAACTCACGCTGCGCCTGCTTGCGCTTCTCTGTTGCCGTGACCACTTCTTTCGCCATTCTTCTGGGATCCAAATCTTCGTATGCGCGACCGAAATCCAGAGGGGCGTAAAACGGATTCGGCTCTCGATGAATGACTCGGCGTAAGAATCGTTGCCACATAGTAGACATAGCGCCCGAGCCGACGATAGTCTTAGCAGGACGTATACCAGGTGCAGGGGCGTCCTCCTCATTCAGACTGTTGTTGCCATCGCGCTCGTCAAGAAAGTCCCGAACAACAGCATCCTTGAGCAGCATCTCGGTAGCAGCGGAACCGTAGTCGAGTGGATCTCTGCGGCCTGCATGCCCTAGCTTGAAGATCGATGACAGCGACAAATTGCTAGAGAACGTGTAAGTTGTCAGTCTGGAAGGGGAGGTAGGCTTCAACTTACCCATAGGACGAACTGAGTCCTTGTTCTTTCTGCTGAAGGAACGCTTTGACTTGTTGTAGACGTTTCTCATCTTCCGAGACATCAAAATTCTCCTGGATAACAGCAATAAACATATTCATGACAATGACTTGATGAACATTAGCTATAACACGCACCGGAGGAAGGGCGAGGTAACTCACGGTTGGCAAAGATGAACCACAGAATGCAGAATGCAGCTCCTATCCAGGCTATGCCAAACTCTTTCTGAAAGCCTGTAACGTTGTACAAGATGGTGGTCCAATTCTCGCTAGAGAAGATCTGATACATTCCTAGAAAAGAATTGTAGATGTCGAAGAAGGGCACCCGGATGGTCTCGCCGTCTGCTTCTTCTGGTATCTCGCCGCGAAAGAGCTGAGAAGCGAAGATGGAAGCCAAGAAGGTCAAAAGAAACACAAAGAGAATCAGATTGAGTAGACCGCTGACATTGCCGAAAACGATCATCTAACATGATGTTAGCAGGCCCATGTAACGCGCAAGCAGTACTTACAATAAGGTCTCGTGTCATTGGAACGTACAAAACCACACGATACACACGAATGATTTGAAAGATTGTCAACCAAGCATAGGCTTTGCCACCATAGGCATGCTTGATAGCTGGTATCTGGATAATCGTCGTAATCAAGGCGATCATGAGATCCGTGATGTTTAGCTTGCCGCTGAAGAAATGTCGCCAATCGACAGCAAACCGTATTAGTATCTCCATAAGTAGAATGAGTGTTACGATGGTTTCCGATGTGTCGATGAAGGTTCGCCGAAAGTTGCTCATGCCAGCGCTCCTCATCATTTGGCTGACCAGTCCGTAGGCTATCACGATCACCCATATCCAGGAGGTTTTATCGTAGAGCTTTTTTAGACTACTGACACGTTGCTTCTCCTGCTCTTTCTCTGTGTCTTCTTCCTTGATCTCTTCTCCGGTGAAGGCGCTCGTCTTACTTTCCTCGCGGATAATTTGAAAAGAGGAAGTGATGACGGCGATTAACAAGGATATGAGCCACAAACTTAGAATGAGAATTCCAACAATGAAGAAAAGAGAGCTGATCAAATAATCGGTATCCGCCACGGTATAGAGCAAATCCGACCAGGTGTTAGAGGACATGACAACGAAGACCAGCTCGAGGGACTGAAGAATGTTATCGAAGCTTTTTGTGTCGTTGAACGGGTTACCATCTTCAATGCACAAAGAGCCTTTTGGGCATAGAAAACCCTTGCCATTGGCAGGGCCCGGTGGCCTACCAGGAGCAGGTATGTATCCTTGTGAGATATGTTCGGCGACATTTACTAGGTGCCCGCCGCAGAATTGGTCCGAATTCGTGTAGTTCGCGATGTTGTCTGGATCTTGCCAGACGCAGTTTCTCCGAAGACTCGACTTGAAGCTTTGCACGCCAACAATCGAGAACAGAAGCCAGAAGAAGCCAATCAAAAATGCCACGTTGACTAGCAAAGGGGCTGCTTTTTTCAGACTTCGAAGAATGACCTGGAAAGGAGTCAGTAGTGTTCATTAGTCTCTTCACATCGACTTACCGATGTACCGCTGGTGAGATTCAACAGACGGATTATGCGCAAGCAACTCAGCATCTCAAAGACAAGAATGACGCGGTTGTTGTTGAGATTGAAGAGATTCAATATGAAAGCAATCCAAAATGAATTGACGGCGAGAAAGTCGGTTCGATTGAACGAGTGCCGGAGATAGGCTCGGTGTGCCAAACGGACACGCTGCCGCTCTCTCGAGTCGCCAGGGCCAATGTCCGAGTGCATCTGGGCAGTGGTGAAGGTGCGAAGCACAGAAGGCTGTTGGGGGGCCTGAGTCGGGTCGCCGTTGGCACCACCACTGCGTCTCTGAGATGGCTGTCTCTGAGGCCCCCCAAAGAGCTGATTGAATTTGATCATGACGGCTTCTCGTAAGCCTACTTGTCTGTTGATGGTACTGTACTGAACGGGGTTGATGACGAAACCTGAGACGATGATACGGATGATGACTTCCACTGTATACACAATGAAAAGGCCCAGGAGAGCGTAGTCGATGCCGTTGAATTTGGAGAAGGATTTCTGCTGTCCAGGATCATAAGTGGCCTTGCTGCGGGCATCCACGGCTAGCAGGACAGTTTGAACAACAATCAGAACCAGGAGCAGTGGCTCGGTGGCGGGGTGAACGAGGAGGTCGCATAGTTTGATCCTTAATCTGCTGTCGGCAGGGAAGATGCCCAGACTCTTGCCGCGTAGGGGATTGGGAGGAGGTTGCCATTGCACGCTTGGCCTGCGTTGACGGATGACAGGTGATGGTGGTTTTTCGACAGGCGTGGATGGTGAGGGCGAGGAAGGACCATCAGTGGCATAGCCGGGTAATGCTGGCAAGGAGGGCGGTTCTGCGAGGCGTGCATGACGCAGCGTAGACTTCCTACGAATGGTGCGTTCGGCGATTTCAGAGTCGTTGCTGACGTTGACGACACGCTGTGATATGTTCCGCATTATGGTCCCCGCCCGATGCAAAGGTGACTCCAACTGCTGGCCCGGTGACAGTGACCGCTTCCTTCCTCTTGAATTTCTGGGGTCGCCTGCGGCAGCCTCTACTTGCCCAAGATGCTCGCCATGCCGCGCTATGGGCGAAGCATCCCCCGGACTCAGAAAGCGCACGCTCTGGAAGCTCGAGCGGTCCTGCTCGTATGGAGAAGAGGAGGCTGCGGCCCCGCTTATGGGCTGCAAATGGCGCGCATCGGTCAACCGCGCGGTATCGTCGTAGGTGGGGGGGAAGTAGCCATGGTCCTCTGACGTCGACCTGTCCGCATAGGGATCGCGGTCGTATGGATGGTAAGACAGCTCAGAGGAAGCGGGTGTAGTTATTGGCGGCGATGTCTCGCCCTGGAACTCCATGCCCATACCGAATCCAATAGCGGCCTGAAATGCGCCCGCGTCTATGGGCGAGCCCAGCTCATCGTCGTCTACTCTTCGGATGCCGCTCTGCGCAGGCGCAGCATTGGTGTTGAGACGCGGCGCACGTCGTGTAGGACTGGGCGACACCTCGGCAATGGGAGAGTACTGCGAATCTCTGAAATGCCCTCCTGTGGCGATTGCCCCGGTTTGTCGCAGCAGGTTTCGGCCGCGGTCACTGAGGGTTCGCCGGTGCAGGTGCGAATCTGGCGCATCTTGGTTGTAGTCGTCCGGCGGGCGATTGAGGTCTTGCAACGGTATTGACTGATGGGTGTGGCTTTGGCGGTGATTGGGGTCGGGGTAGGACATTGCATGCCACTGTGATGTCCCACGATGATGGTGCGCGGCGCTCAAGCGTACATTTGGCCGCAACTCGTCAGCTCAAGCAGCGTGCTATCGCGCGAACATGGACGGCTCGGACGGGCGGTAAGCGAGGGTGGAAATGGGGCGACGGCGACGGCGACAGAATAGACGGCGGCGCGAGCAAGATGCGAAGACGAGAGTCGTGTGTTTTTGGTTGTTAGGAGAGTTACAGGCGAAGAAGATGCGGCGGCATGGCGGAGGTGGATATGCGCATCCCCAAGAGCCACAGGCGCAGGGGACAGCCAGCCACGAATGGCTAAGACGTGATAGGACTGGAGGCCGCAGGAGAACTAGTTGACGGATTGAGGGCCTGTATTTTTATTTTGGTCCAACGTCGTGCTCTCTATCCTATCAATCATCTACCGGCTATCGTGATGATTACGCGTACGTATACGCGTGCTGCACTTCAATGCCCTTCCGCCATCTGATTAGACCATGTTCCTTGAGTACATATCTTATATCCTCTACTGCTGCTCTCAGGGTGCCAAAAGTTGACACAGCCACCAACAGGTCCTGAAACAGCTACGCTATCCATCTGGTTCATGCAGCCTGCAGATGCCCCTGTCTATCCTATCGTAGTCTCCCCTCAGCCACACTAAACACTGGCAATGTACAACCGACGGTGGGAGTTTGGCTAATTAATACTGCTGGAAACCTCGGAGAACATCTGAAAACTACGTGAGATTTGTCTCATAGTTCGTTGGACATGTCAATCGTTTTCTTTGTCGACTGTATACGAGCGCAACTAGCATTATGCGCAAGCAGGAGCAAACCTGCTGGTGGGATTCTATTCACAACTATATTGTCCTTTCCGCTACATCTCCAAGCCGACGACTCGCCAGTTATCATGAGCACATCTTCAAGCGGTAGCATACCATGTATAGTTCCAAGGTTAGCACACGGTGACATCTGCACTGACATAATACGCTAGTCCGCTTTCGCTGATATCCGCGGTGAAGCGTCGACAAAGCGCCGACAATTTGGCGACGCGACCTCATCGCTCCCTTCACCATCTCCACGAGCGCGCCCTCACCTCACCGCCCCAACCGCCACTTGGCCGTCTAAAATATACCTCTTTATACCATCATTGATTACCGCGACACGCTTCCCACCACTTTGACGCCCCACGACGGCCCCCGCCCGCAGCCTGCACGCGTCGCCTCACGGCACGTCTTATTTCATGCCTGCACGAAAACGCGCCGCCTCCGAGATGGAGGCGGAGGATTCGGTCGAAGAGCCCAGCACACTGCAAAAGCTGCGCAACATGTGGCAGTTTGCAAACCTAGCCCAATACATCAGTCTGTTCGGCGACGCGGTCAAGATCGACAAAGACTTTGACATCGAGGTACGCTCCGCTTGCGCCTGAAGATTGCGAATGCGCGGCACAATTTTTCAGCTGGATCATGGGCTGACACACGTACAGGAATTAGAGACGGAATGCCTGAAGCCACAGCCCTCCGAAAGGCTTGCCCAGATTGGCCTGGCATTACTGAAGCACGTCTCATCACACAAGGGCCTAACGTATGTTCTTGCTATTGAACCCCTCGCGCATGTACTAATGCGATACTAGACCCGATATTTTCGATGAATATACTCGCCGTCAGTTCGTCGCAAAGGCGCCAGCCCGCAATCCGTTCGGTACCGACGAAGAACCCAAAAAGTTCGATGATTTCGATGTCTTCACAAAGATTTGCGTACTACAACAGCTGTCGACATGGACTCTGAACAACCCAAACACGATTAGGGAAAGGCTAGCGGCCACAGATAGCGAGCAGACGCTTTGGGTGAGCATTGCCTTGTTTCATTGCAAGGTATAGCTAACGTTTGCATGCAGCGCATGGAGCCTACCGGGTGGGACTCACAAGAGAGAATGCTTTTCGTCTTGGATGACAATCGCATGTACCGGCAAACTGACCCGCCGCCACCGCCTGCGCCGCAGAAGGCCAAATCGAAAGCCAAATCAAAGAAGGCCAAAGGCAGAAGAGCCAGCAAGCGACAGAAGCAGACGACCCCAGAACCAGAGGAGCTTTCCGAGGTCGAGGAAGCGCCGTTGGATCAGCAAGCAGCTGAAGAGGTCGATGATGGCCTCGGTGGGAAGAAATGGGAATGTGTGTGCATCACCTTGCAAGACTACCAAGAGTATATGAGCAGCATTCGGAAGAGCCGCGACCCGAACGAAAAGATACTCTACAAGCGTTTACAAGAGGACGTGATGCCAGTTATGGAGGGCCTTGCAGAGGAGCAGGCCCGGAAGCAGGCCCGAAAAATGAGGGAGCTAGAGAATATGCAGAAGCTAGCAATGGCGAAGCGCTCCTCGAGAATCTCATCGCGACTCGAAAAGCAAAAGGAGGTCGAGGAAGTCGAGGCGGTGGAACGCAAGAGGCAGGCAGAGCTTGCCATGGCCAAGGCAGAACAAGACAGACAGAAGAAGCTGGAAGAGGCGCACGATTCCCGCAGAATGACGCGAGAGCAACGGCTCCGCGAACGCGAGACGGCCAAAATTCTCAAAGAAGAAGAGCTGCGTAGACTGCAGGAGAATGAGCAAAAGCTTGCCAACAACAATGCTAGGCTGTCTGAGCGCCATCTCAAGGCCATGATGAAGAAACACGAAAGCGACCTCAAGAAACTGAATGAAGAAGAGGATTGGTTCTTCGACTGCGAAAAATGCGGTACTTATGGTTCCAACCTTAACGACAATACTCCGCAGATATCGTGTGAGCAGTGTAACGTCTGGCAGCACATGAAGTGCCATGGCATCACAGAAGCACAGGCCGACGACTCTAAATTCGTCTTCGTCTGCACTTCGTGTAAGCGTAAAGAGCAGGATGCGAGCCAACCGAAGCTCCCACCTCTAAAGTTGCGGCTTACCTCCGCATCGCCTTCCTCTCGCACTGAGACGCAAGCGAACGGTGCTGCATCTCCAGTGTCCACAAGCCAATTAGAAGCCGTCAAGATACCACAACCTCGGCCATTCGTCCTACAAGCTAATGAACAGTCCGCCCCAGTGCAACCTTGGGTCGATGGACCGAGTCTGTCTCCGCGCGGTCAGGCTCTTGGCCCGCCTGGGATACAAAGATCAGAGGCCGCCTATGGATCGCCCTCCAAAGGCGCAAATGGCAGCTCGTCACCCATAATGGCACGCCCATATTCATCGGGGCAGCCTGTTGGAAGCTTCAAGCCTCTCAGCTTCCCAACATCATCACCTCCACCTTACAACCTACAGCAAATTCCTAGTAGCCCGAACAAGAGCTTCCACATACCCCCTCCCCAGCAGAATGGTAACTCCTTCGGCGCATCGAATCCATTCGGCTCATCAGCGCCGATCCCGTATACACAGAGCTTTAGTCGGCCTCCATCAGCTGCTGGGCCCGCCGGCTCTCCCGTAAAGCACTCACCAGCAGCCTCACCACGTCCGGCCAACGGCCTGCCGACTCACTACAATTTCAACAGTCCACATTCGTCCTTCCCTCCCAGCTCAGCTCATCGAACGTCCTTCTCGCCGACCAAGCATAGCTCGCCCGCCCCTTTGCCAGCGCACATGTCTTCGCCGGCACCCGCACCCTTGCGGATAGCCCCATCACCGTCACAGATGCCGGCCCAGATGTTACCTGATCCAATACCCGCGCCTTTAAAGCACGACGGTATGCGGCCCGTCTCCAGCCACGCAATGTCAGAAACGCCCATCTTTCCCCCAGTCAAGTCCCTGAGTCCTCAGAGGAACCCGCAGATCCTCGAACCGCCTACGAAGAAGCCAAGTCCGACGCCTGAGCGGTTTCACCTCGCGTCTGTTAGTCATAATGGATTAGGGAATGGCAGTAGCCAGTAGATGTGTACTTGCATGGAAAGATGCGTGGACACTTTCGCAAAATCAGGTGGTTTTTGATGGGCTCGTGTCCTAGTACCGGGCGTTATCACGATGGGCGACGTTTCACTTGAGCTAGGGATTTTGAATAATGACGAGGCGTTTGTGAGATAGAAGGATAGGTTCTTTCTTGTACATTTAGTCACAACATGGGGGTTGTTTGGCATGGCACGGCGTTTGGCAGATGTTTCATGACACCTACAGGATTGGTGGGGTCGTCTTACATTTCCTACTCTTGCGCCTTTGAGGCTGAGGTTGCATTGATTCATTCAGTTCAATCAGACACGTTTGTATTTCTTTCAATTCAACTACGTGAATTAGCTACATATTTCATTCCCATGGTGTATTTTCCAATCATGCAAGTGTTTTATTAATGGGCGCAGAACTCCGGTAACTGTTTATCTTGTAATGACCTGATACACCGCAAGAACCTTTGGCCTTGTGAAAGCAACGGCTGTTAGCTGCTTAGGAACATGCATCTCGAAATAGAACTCGACCGCCAGCGCTTACCTCGTAAATAACATATTACCTAAATGCAACTAGTCTACTGCATGACAGTTCCCGTGTAATCAAAGCTGCAGACGCGCGCGGGCTGAGTAAGCGAACGGAGTAACACCCGACGGGTAACATCATGCGTGAGTATTGCGGGAACGTAGCTGTATAGTTCATGGCCTATGATGTCAATGTGTCGCTCAAGGGCATTTGCTTTGAAATGCGAATGAGGGGTTAGAGCACTCAAAAGCAGTTCTCCCAGACCAACAACCACCTTCTACTCATCCAGACATCATTTCAAGCGTTTATTGCTTGTTTTACTTTCCGCACATCGACCTCCATCTTCCCTTATCTAGACACACCTCCATGATGGGCTCTGAATCTGTACCATACACCATCTCGGTGCCCGACTCTGCACTCGCAAAACTAAAAAGAAAACTCTCTGATGCCGACTACCCCGATGAACTTGACACGCTAGATCAGTGGCCGTATGGCTCGCCCCTCTCCGATATCAAACGCCTGGCAAAGTACTGGGAAACAGGCTTCGACTGGCGTAGAACCGAAGCAAAACTCAACGAGCTGCCTAATAATAGAAAGAAAGTCCAGGTTGAAGGCTACGGCGACATCGACATCCACTTTGTGTGGAAGAAGAACTCGAACCCAAACGCCATACCCCTACTATTCTGTCACGGATGGCCGGGCTCATTTGTCGAAGTAACAAAGATATTACCACTTCTTGAAGCGGGCGAGAAAGAAGGAAAGCCCGCATTCCACATAGTAGCCCCATCATTGCCAAACTTTGGATTCAGTCAGAAAATCACCAAGCCCGGATTCGCACTCTCGCAGTATGCCGAAACGTGCCATCGTCTGATGCAAGACCTAGGCTACGAAAAATACGTAACGCAAGGTGGCGATTGGGGCTTCTACATCACTCGATCAATGGGCGTCCTGTACCCATCCCACGTCCTAGCAAGCCACATTAACATGGTCCGCGCCCACGCACCGTCCTTCTCTTCGCAGCCTGCTCTCGCCCTCCAACACGCAATGACCGCATACACAGCCGCCGAGTCCGCCGGCCTCAAGCGCTCAGAATGGTTCCTCGACCAAGGCCAGGCATATCGCCAACTCCACGCTACCAAACCCCAAACCATATCCTACGCCTTTGCAGACAGCCCCGTCGCCCTGCTGGCCTGGATCTACGAGAAGCTCATTGACTGGACGGACGGGTATGCCTGGACGGACGATGAGATCCTTACGTGGATTAGTATCTACTGGTTTAGCACCTCAGGGCCCAATGCGCATGTGCGAATCTACTACGAAGCACAGCATAATCCCACGGATAAGATTCCAGATCGAGACCGCGCGAGCCAATGGGTTGATCGGGTGAAGTTGGGGCTTGCGCATTTTCCGAGGGAGATTACTGTTGTGCCGAGAATTTGGGGAAGGACGTTGGGTGAGTACTTTTATTTTTCATTCACGGTCATCTTGGTAGGGAAAGTTTACTAACACGGGTGCGCAGGTCCGGTGGTGCAGGAGTCTGATAATGATAAGGGAGGGCACTTTGCGGCGTGGGAGAGGCCGGATGTTATTGCAGGAGACTTGCAGAAGATGTTTGGAAAGAGCGGGCCGTGTTATGAGATTGTTCCTGGGAAATCTGGGTATTAGGCGTGTAGCTAAAACGTATGTTGTGGATATCTGTACTTGACCGGAGGTCGGAGGTTTGCCTATCTTGGCGGGGCTTTCAATCAACTAGACAGACTTTATAGAATCTCCTGAACCCGTTAAAAATAAGTTCGTAGGCTGCATAGACGACGCTAAAGCATAACAACAATCATACTTGCGACCAAAATCTATCGAGTCAGCAATGCCTGTGCAGCCGGACGACCTCCTGCTTTCTGTAAGTACGATTCTCAACGCACAACATCAAAGCTACTGGAGCGTCATCTGACCTCGTACAGCTGCAGTCATCTCTACGCAACGCACTCTCGACCTTCGGCCCTAACAGCTCTCAATATCGCAACATTCAGCTAATGGTCGATGAGCACATGGCGAAAACTGCACTTGCGAACCTCACAATATCATCACATGGGCCTCGGCAACAGGACGATCAGAAGGTGTAGATGGAGCAAAGATGGTCCTGCATTCTGGGCCAGTCTCCTACGATCTTAGGGCCCAACAGCTTCTGAAAATCAACAGTATAGGAAATCAGAGATCAGCTAAAGAGAAGAGTCTATATGTAGCTAGACGAAAGGAACAGCGAAGTTGACGTTAGGAAAGTAAGGAGAGTAGTAAATCTTATAATATCAACACTTGATCCTATTGGGAAGAATAGCCGCATGTCTATCGCACAAGCTTAAGAAAGTAACTGTCCTGTGAGCTGGCGTGCAGATGATTGTAGACAAGGCTGCTTAGATGAGAATATGTAGCAGCCGTAGGGAGCGACGGGAGTAGCCTTACAAATAAAGGGTAACAGAAAATCCGACGTCGCAATCGGCGTTGTAACACTTTGGCGTAGATGGCAAAGGATAACGCGCAGTTGGCAGTTTTGTCTTACATTGTGGATGAATAAGCAAAGCGCTATCGCCAAAGCTAACCTTGGGGAATAATAGCTTTAGGGCACCGTAGCCGGGGACATGTCGCGAGACTCCACTACACTAACCAAGGCCTAGACTCTTGGATGCTGTCATGTAAAGCTCTGCAAAAAATAAAGAGTGGTTGGGATATAGTACTACAAAACACAGAATTTTCCATCAAACATCACAAACTAGGTGAGGTGGCCGGTAAGTTTCCACAAAATCACACCTTTGGTTTCACGTCTAACTTTCCTCAGAGTGGTCTAAGGCGCTGCGTTTAGGTTCGTTCTAAACATCCTCCGCAGTCAGAAATGGCGTGGGTTCGAGTACGTTATATTCCATTCACATGAAAAAGATTAAAACTAATTCCTAATAGATCCCACCCTCATCAACATCTTTCTTTTTTGTTTTTTTTGTTTTTGCATTCTTTGCACCCTTTTACATCTTTTTTGCTTCCACCTATGCATATAACACATAATAGTAATTACACGGCAGGTAAGATAGACGGATATTATATATGCCAAATGCCAAATGCCTCAATACATTTAGGCCTTTCTTAGAAGACGGGCGGGAGAACTAACTACTGATGACACATATCGCGCGCGCGTTAGTCATATCCGACAGTCATATCTGAGTCATCATGCGAAGGAGTCAAGTCAGCGGCAAATTATGGAGTCAGTGTCACACGGAGTCACTGTTGAGAAGACAGGTATATAAAAGGAACTATCTCGGAGGCTTCAGCACGAAAGCACACCGCTACCACAAATAATCATTAAAACAGAACAGTGTTTACTGGAGCCATCAACAGCGCAATAGCGTCCACACCAGGTGGAGTCAATCAACCACAAGGGGAGACTACACACCGGTCCGCAAAACAAGAATCGAGAAATAAGATGCGAAGAATACTCCAACCATCGAAAAGGTAAGAAGCTAAAACGAAATCCAATAAACGCATTAGAAAGAAAGGAAACTTTTGCCGAAAGGCAAGGCTGGTGTCTTCACCAACTCCTTAAGACCACCGGGAACCATATTCGAAAGACGGGGACATTCATGATCCGTTGTATCCATGAGCAATAGCAATGCTCTTCCATTTCTCAATCTCAGCCTCAAGCTCAGAGTTGCGTCGCTCGAGATCGCTGACATGGTCGAACTTCCTTTGTCGAGACTCACGAGCGGCAAGGGTATTGCGTGCTCGCTTCAAGGCGACCTTGTCGCCTGGGTCGACGGAGATGACAGGGAGAGGACCTTTTCGGCGACGAGCCTTGCTGATGCCGTTTGTAGCAGGTGAGTTGGTGACCGAAGACTTCCGCCGAAACGAGCTGTCCAATACTAGAGGAGAATCGGTGCTCGAGGACCCAGATCGCTCCATAGACTGGCTGCTAATGGTGCGCTCCAGAGGGAGAGAGATGGCTGCATGAGCATAAGCAGGCTCAGCAGCCTTGGTCTCTTCTTCGGGAAACAGGGAGAACCAATCGCTGGTATTGGAGATGATTGGCTCTCCCTGGAACATGGGGGAGCACTCGAAGCTGTCGCTGATAAAGGGGGACTGGTCGATGTCGGGGGAAGTCAAGTTTGTGAACGCTGCAGATGGGGGAGCAGAGCCGAAGGCATCACTAAAGATGTCTTTGGGAGACACGGTGCGCGTGGACCCGGCACCAACGGAATGATCGTTGATGGCCGTGAACGCAGACACCTGGTCCATGGTGAAGCCTCCCGACTGGAAGCCGGCAATCAGGCTTGCGCCCGAGTCGAAGGAGTTGTTGCTGTGCAGGTCTACGGACAAGGTGAGCTTGCGATCAGTGGTGCGGTAAGCGGGTACCGTACCTGCCATGTTTGCGACGTTGTTCATGTGAGAAATGTTGTTGCTAGAGCTGGAAAACAATGGAACCGGGGGGCGTTGGCGTAACAGAGGCGTTTGGAATTCTGTGGTGGATGATGGGGCAGAATTTGCGTAAAAGTGCTGACTGTTGTTAAACGTAGGCCCAGGCTGAGGAGCGCTCGGTGCTCGCTGAGGTCGTTGGGAGACCTGAGCTGGCTGGTCGTAGAGCACAAAGTCCGTCTGAGGAAGCGCGAATGTGGGTGATGTCGTATTCAGTGGTTGCCGAGAGGCGTGGGGAGCTGGTGAAGAAAGCCATGGTGACTGGTGAGAAGCCGTGGTGGACGACGTGAAGTCGAACGGGAGGGAAGACGGCGAACTGAAGCTGCTTGAAGCGAGGCTAGAGTTCAGAGGTTCCTGGAAGGAAGGCTCTGAGGTTGGAGTTGAAGTGGGGAGTGGTGGTGGTGTTAGTGTTGAATCCAACGTGTCGGCTGTGAGTCGACTGGGAGACGCGCAAGAAAAGCTAGAAAGTAGCCATGGCGTTGACAGTCTTGGTATGTGTTTTCTTGTGTGTTGTGATATGAGGCGAGTTGGATGGGAAGGAGAAAATCAGGCAGCGAGGGATGTGGGGGATTTAAACAGAAACCATGGAACCAAGCGACACGCTAAGGTTTGGCAAGTGTGACTCACTCGACGTGCAGGAGCGACCCCAGCGCAGCACCGCCGGCGGGCCAATGTCCTTCACCAGCCGCCCATCAGCCATCAGCACTAGGCCCTCCCTGGCTACGAGAATATCACGTTCGCGCAGCCTCTCGCTCGCAACTTGCGCCGCATCTGAGATATATTCCCTCAAATTGCGGCGAGCTGCCTTTCCCCCACCATCTCGCACACTTGCAGCCCCATCTGGACCCATTCTGCGACCCTCGAAACCACGTCGTATCCCCCCTCTTGACGCGCACAACGAAGCCCACCACGCCTGGGCGACCTGCCAGCACGGAGGCCACGCAGAATCAGGCATCAGCTTTGTTATTGGCCTGTATCAGTAGGGCGTGCAGGCCCGAAGCATGGGATACCCTAGCAGCCGCACCGTCGATGGGCAACCGGTGGAGGTGCTTACCAAGACTAGCCCAAGACGGCAGAGGAGACGTCGTTTTCCGCTGGAAAAAGAGGGCGGAGCAGCACCGCCGCCTTTTTCATCAAAGACGATGCGCGGGCGCCATATTCTGCGTCTCCTTTGGTATGTTGTTTTATTATATTCGTGGCGTGTGACGACGTCCTACGTATCCTTGGCTGTCGAAGAGCGGTGAGCGAGCGCTCTTGTGGAACAGCGCAGTCCTCGCCCTCCAACATGCGACATTGCGGAGTGTTTCCAACGCTGATCCGGGGAGGCAACTTTGGCGGACGTCCGCGGCTGGCATCTTTTATTCGCAAATATCTGATTGGATGCCAGCAGCGTTCACGTGGCCCTTCACCCAAGTCCTTCAGCAGCAATGCGTACGGTTGTTATACGAGCCTTCGAATGATGTCCATGTTCCTGTGGTAGGCCGTCCGCGCGGCCGCGGATAGGTGCGTATACTTGCCCGTCCGTTTCGGTCGTGCACCAGCGTAGTAGACGTCGCGTTGCATACTGACCGCGCACGGAAACCTCCCTGTTGTCCCATCAGTGTGCATTTGGTTGCTCTGAAATTTGCGGTCAATCAACTACTAGATATTCTCGAGTACTCAACTCAACACGTGCTCATTGACGATTGCAAGAAATGGTGGCTCTGCGTGTGAGATGTGCAGTTCTCAAAAGGTAAAGCACTGAGGTTAAGAGACACGAAGACTTCGTTAAGGTCTACAGTAGCACATCATACATACTTGAACAATGAAATAAATTCAACTCTATCGAAAAGTCAAATTGCTGTGTTGAACAAGTACCATCGCCGCACGTGCATTAGGCGGCCAACCACCCGCCCCAGTCTTACGCCTTAGCGCCGATCAAACGCGATGCTGGAACCCGACTACACAACGTCTCCTAGCTCAAAAAGCTTGTAGACTTATTCAACCCGGTGTAGCATCTTCCGTCTTTGGAGTATAGGTCTCAAAAAGCCAGCGAAATGACCCAAATACTAGTGAATGAGAAGCTCCACACCGCATGTGACGGGTGCCGTAAGCGGGCATCACCCAACGCTACAAAGCAAAGTTGACCACTAGACAGGAACCAGAAAGCTGAAGTGCTCAGGCAATACGCCAGATTGTGTGCGATGCAAAAGGGAGAAGATAGCATGCGTCTACTCACCTCGGAAGCAAATGGGACGGCCAAGGAAGAGGAGAAGGGATGGGGAGGCCGACGAGCCTGCCACCATCTTGAACGAATCCCCTGTGATTTCCATCTTCTCAGACATCGGATTAATTTCTCCGCCACATCCACACGATGCCAACAACTCCAGTGGTACCACGGCAAACGTTGCACCATCACAGCATGACCTCAGTTTTCCAGAGTCCTTCAGATTATCACCTGTCTCAAATCTAGAGTAAGCTCTCTTCCATACCTACATATCCGCGATACTTATTTAATCACAGTTTCAACTTGGACCCTCCAATCGACCCTTCCTTATTTGATCTCCAACCCATCTCCCCGCCCAATGCAGTCGACGACCCATCCTCGAACCAGTCAAATATGGCCCCCTGCACATGTCTCTCCATCATGTACCTGACTCTCACAGAACTCCAATCTGTCCAGTCCTTCTCCTTTCCTCAAGTAATCGTGCCTCTCCGAAAAGCCATGTCCACCCTCTCCGACCTAATCTACTGCCCACAATGCCCCAAAGAAGCCTTCAGCGCAATTCAAAACATACAATCCATCGTCTCGCTCTTCAAAGCAATAGTCGAGCGTTTCAACAAAGTACTTCTAGAGGTCGATGCGGAAGCCGAGCGTCTCCAACAAAGTGGGCAGAAAAAACCGTACCGTGTTGGCGACAACAATCCCGCGCTGCATCACCTACATACTGGCACGCTGGACTGTCCTATGGGGTTTAACATCGAGCTAGAAGCGAGTGATTGGAGAAAAATCGTGAAGACGGCGTTGCGGACAGAGATTAGAGGTGGGGGGAGTAATCCGAGGCCTCTGATGGATCTGCTTGAAGAGATCGTAGCGAGACAAGAGAGGTGGCACGCCGAGAAGGAATTTTGGACTGAAGAAAGGCGGCACTTGTTTGGTGGTGGAGCGCATGAGTGTAATGAACCGAAGACATGTGAGACATTGGGGGCGGATCATATTCGACGGGCGATTGACCGTTTGAACTGGGAGTAAGTCAATGGTCAGGCTAGTGATCTGAACATGGCCGTGATTTAGGACCACAACTCATGACATGGCCTACGCTCTTATCTGCATGTCAAACTCTTTCTCATGGCATGATTGCTATGAACGTTGAGGTTCATCAAGCTTTGCTAAACTTCGACACCACCTATCCAGTAGGATCTTCCACGGAGCCTTGAACGAAATCTAGTCCTAAGATCTTGCCATTCTCCACCACCTTCCAAATCTCATGAAGCTCGTATCGTAGCCTTTCCACCAACAGAAGCCAAAGCAGATAGCCCAAGTCGAAGATAGAATGAGTGCCAGACCAACAAGATTTGATTCCTTCCAGTTCCAAGGTTTCTGCCCCTGGTCGTATATGTTAGTCGAAGATTCACAGTCCAGAGTGTTGAAACCTTACGCCAGGCTCGTTTAAATCGCCCTTCTCGCCCACGACGCCTTTCTCGGGGTCAGTAGACTGGGAGATGGCCTTGATAGACTTGATTTCAAGCGAGAAGTCGCCTTCCTGTTCGCCGAAGAAGCTAGTCATTATTAGCATGAGCAGTTGACTCCGTTCCGGGGAGAACGCAGATTTACCTCCTCATCATGATACTAAAGCGCTTCACACTCTTCGTATTTAGCGGCTTTGCGTCCTTTTTCTCCTTCCCTCGATACGTAGCCTTTAGCGCATGCCACGGGACATAGAGGCCCTCCGCGCTCGATGAGCTGAAGTCGTACTCGTAGCTGATAGTCGACTGCTCACGGCCATTTTCTGGATTTAACGGTAGAATTTCGTCTTTCAAGGTCAAGGTATACTTTTTGCCGTCGTATTCATCTACGCGGAGATGAATGCCAGCGTAATCGGACAGATCCCATGATCGATCATCGCCTGTTGTGCGTTGACTGGCGAAACCGGCGCCACCTAGCGTCTTGATGTCAAGGGTGCCGTGGAAATGGGCTGATGATCCTGAGGTGTCGAGGTAAGACTAGCGAGATATCAGATTTTGTGTTGTAAGAATTGTACAATTCATTACCTGCGACGATCCTCCTCGAACCCTGTCGTCACTTGCTGTCCAATCTTCGGCTTTCCAGCCTCTGCAGAAACTAATTAGCGCAGATCCATCACTAGCAGTAAGTAGCACTTACTTGCTGCCACCGAAGAGTTCGAGTTCCTTTTTATTTCCCATCTTTGTATTTCTGTGGAGGTACAGTTGTTCGTTTCACAGAACGGTTGAAGCAACAAGGAATCCGAATTAAGTAATGACCTCACAGCAACGGGTCCGTGCACACGGACGTGATACTGCACGCACCTGTCAACCATTACCCGTGGAGTCTTTATACGCATCCCCTGAAAATTAATTTCCTTATCAGTTTATGTTAGGAGCCATATCATGGACTTTAGAAGTCTCGATCGCATGGGCGAGTCGGACGATGCCATTTTAGACGAGCCCTACCGACCGTTCTACAATCCCTTCCGAAGCAAGCCTATCCTAGTCAAACAGTAGGGTTCCCTGCCAGATGGGTCTAATTTGGGCTGACAAGCCTACAGAGATAACGAGTACGATCGCACAGTCTTCGGGGAACGGCCTCTTCTTGGGGTCCTGCTGTTCGACAACGTCTCGTCCGATGCTCGAGATCATGCTGCGAACGAGAGAAGTACGCAATGGACTTGATTCAAGAACATAATTTGTTAGCTGATGAATCAAACAGCTTTCCTCGCATGGCTCAAGCTCAGTGTATACATGGCGATAGTATCCGTAGCCATCGTATTATCCTTTCATCTAAAGTCCAAGCCTTCGGCGCTAGGTAAACTCACCAGCTCACCTTTGCGATCTCGCCAAACGACTAACACAGCCTAGAAAAGAGATTTTCACTTCCGTTAGGCATCATCTTCTGGATTCTCTCTTTGGCATGTCTACTGTCTGGGCTTTCAAATTATATCAACACCGTGTCACGGTACAGCCAGCGTCAGGCATTGGTGCAATCGGGCTGGAAGACGCAGGTTGTATTCACAGTGGTGTCGACGTCTATTGTCGCAACTTGCGTTCTCTTTCTCTCTACGAGCGCGGAGAGACGGTAGATCTTGTCTACATAACATGTGGTAGATTCGTATACCACCCATGCGCCTCATGTCGGAGACATGGTTACATCGAATATCAGCTTCTCTACTGGTAGATCCCCACAATGTTGGCTCTGGCTTGCTCCTTATCCTACACATATTGTGGCCCGCCACCCACCATCAATGCTCAGGCTCCAGTATCGCCCAGGTCTGGTCGTCGACAGTCGTGTAGATTAAACCTGAATCCTGCAACTCGACTCCCGCCGCCGCTATGTCTGACATATCCATCTTGAGTTGGGCAGCAATCACCTGTTGATGTATACCTTCATTCGTTTGCGGCATCTCTCGTAGTTGTTGAAATACCTTCTTTGCCATAGGGCTACAGGTACGCAGGTCATAGTCACCGTGATTCCCACCTCCTGCCGCTTGTTGTTGCCCTGCGCCCCCATTGGTAGCGGCTGCGCCTGCATTGGCAGCGCCGGGCGCCGGGCGGGTGAAGTACAGATGGATTGCCGTAGCTTCGAGTAAATGGTATGAGACCTCGTTCATATCTTCGATTGGACGAATGATTTGCGATGCGACGTATCTTCGGTCATTCCAGTGATTCAGCTTTCCCCAGGCTCTGCAATAGGCGCCTTCAACGAGTTTCGCCTTGTTTGGGTTTGGCTGGTCTACTGCGTCCGAATCGATATATTGCTTCACTTCGACGCTACCGGTGCCGTCGTCGAGTTTATAGGTGGTATGCGTAGCTTGGGCCGAGATGTTGCATATCTGGCCGACAAAGGTGATCTACCATAGCAATTAGCAGAGGCTGCAGGGCCTGGACGCTCCAACGTACCTGAGAGACTACCGCGTTATCAATCTTGAACACATCGCCACTGTCAACCTGTGCCTCTTTTATTTGCTTAACCGTGACGGGGCGTAGGTTGTCTTTGGAGTAATCTCGTCGTCCTCCTGGACTCTGCTGGCTTCCCTCGCCGGGGACGAAGCCGCCTCCACCAGTGCCGCCACCTGCACCGTATGAAGTATTGTACCCTGTCTCGTAGCTGTTGTAGTCTATACACATCAGCCCATGATTACCAAAGTAGAAGTGGACTAGGTCGCATACTCATGTTGCCGTGGTTTGGTTGAAAGTGACGCGGTACAGGAAATGATGAGGACAAAACGCGTCAGACGCGACTGCATCAACGCGGGGCACGTGGAAGCCGCGCCCCAGCATACATCCGCCAAGATTTCGGTTGGCCCGAGCTCGAAATTTTCCAAATACCTGAACCAAGGACGTCAGACTCAGTCAAGTATCGCACGCGCTTACGAGTCCTGTACATACGACCCTCCGATTATGGCTCCTCGCGCGAGCTCCCCGGCGGTCTCCGAGAACGAGTTCGACGTCTTCGACGCTCTCGCTGGCGGCGACGATGTGCAGCAAGAGATAGGATTGACGCAAGACCTCGGAATAGATCTTGGTATTGGCAGCGAAGATGGATCAGATGATGAGGCATTTATTGCTGCGAAGCAAGCCGCATCGAACCGCAAATCCTCCAACCTGGGTAAATCGATCAAGAAAGGCGGAGGCTTCCAGGCAATGGGCTTGAACGCGGCCCTCCTGAAGGCTATAGTGCAGAAGGGCTTCAAGATACCGACCCCGATCCAGCGCAAGGCTGTGCCGCTCATGCTTCAAGGAGATGATGTCGTAGGCATGGCCAGGACTGGATCAGGCAAGACGGCTGCTTTCGTTATTCCCATGATCCAAAAGCTCAAGGCACACTCTGCTAAGGTGGGCGCTCGTGGCATCATCATGTCGCCATCTCGAGAGCTTGCGCTGCAGACATTGAAGGTAGTGAAGGAGTTTGGACGCGGGACAGATCTGAGGACTATACTGCTTGTCGGTGGTGACAGTCTTGAAGAACGTACGTACACGTGCAGTGTTATCTAACGATAACTTTGGCTAATGGTTTTACAGAATTCAGCTCTATGACAACGAATCCAGATATCATCATCGCGACCCCTGGTCGATTCCTCCATTTGAAGGTCGAGATGGGTCTCGACCTCTCCTCCGTGAGATACATAGTCTTTGACGAGGCAGACCGCCTGTTCGAAATGGGGTTTGCAGCACAATTATCGGAAATTCTACACGCTTTGCCCGCTTCAAGGCAGACGCTGTTGTTCAGTGCAACGTTACCGAAATCACTCGTAGAATTTGCAAGAGCTGGTTTGCAGGAGCCAAAGCTGATACGTTTGGATGCTGAGAGCAAGATTTCACCGGATCTAAAAAGTGCTTACTTTACCATCAAATCCGGGGATCGAGATGGAGCGCTGCTTCACCTTCTAGACAATGTCATCAAAGTGCCAGTGGGTGAGACTGAAGCAGCGAAGAAAGCCAAGGAAGACATGGAGAAGACTAGCACTGGTAAGAAGCGGAAGCGTAGTGATGGATTTGTTAAAGATGCTCCGATTGCTGAGTCGACGATCATCTTTGCTGCAACGAAGCATAGAGTGGAATATCTTGCTAGCTTACTTCGAGCTTCAGGTTATGCCGTATCTTATGGTAAGTTGTTACTGGTGAAGTCATCTGAAAAATGCTAACGTTGCTAGTGTACGGAAATCTTGACCAAATAGCCCGCAAAGAGCAGGTCCAGGACTTTCGTACTGGCATGACACGAATTCTCATCGTCACCGACGTCGCTGCTCGCGGTGTGGACATGCCTCATATCAATCACGTCATCAACTACGACTTCCCTTCACAGCCCAAAATCTTTGTGCATCGTGTGGGACGGACGGCTCGTGCTGGTCGGAAGGGTTGGTCGTACAGTCTGTGCAGACATGTCGATCTGCCGTACCTCATCGATCTACAGCTATTCCTCGGGAAACGACTCTTAGTTGGCCGAGCCAACAGTGAACCTGACTACGCCGAGGATTTTGTGGTCGGAAGTCTGGCCCCGTATCAGCTAGAGTCATCTGTTGAGGAAGTGAACAAGCAGCTAGTCAATGACGAAGACTTGGCATTGCTACTGAGTGTGGCTGAGAAGGGCGAGAAGCAGTATCAGAGGACGCGGAACCAAGCCAGTGCTCAGAGCGTTCACCGGGCGAAAGAGTTAGCAGCGTCACCACATTTTGCTGAGACTCACATGCTGTTCAGCGACGACAAGCACAATGCTCTGAGAGAGAAAGAGAAGATGTTGGAGAGAATTCAATCATTCAGACCGGCGGAGACAGTGTTTGAAATTGGGAGACGTGGCACTGGCAGCGAAACAGCTGAGATTATGCGCAAGCGAAGAGAACAAGTCGGAAGACAGAAGATGAAGCAACAGGCAAACAAGATGGTCAACGATCAGGTTAGCGAAAAGAAGACACCTGCAGACGATGCGGACGATATCGACATGGAATCAGATGACGACCACGAAGCTGCGAACGGCGCCTATGATTCGGATTCCGACGAGCTGGAAGTATCTGTTTCACAACCTAGCACAAAGAAGGCTACTCAAGATAGCTGGCGGAACGATGATTTCTTCATGTCTTATCTACCCAAGGAGAATATGGCAGAAGAGAAGGCTTACGGCGTGCGTGGAGGTGACGCTGGCAACACGAACTTCGTATCAGCGGCGCGAGCGGCAGAGATGTCACTAGTCAACGACGAGCTTCAAGGCTTCGCTGACGATAGCAAGCCTCGCATGCGATGGGACAAGAAGTCTAAGAAGTACGTCAACCGTACCAACGACGAGGATGGTTCCAAGGGTGTAAAGATGGTACGAGGCGAGAGCGGGCAAAAGATTGCAGCCAGTTTCCGCAGCGGCCGCTTCGACGACTGGCGCAAAACTAACAAGGTCAAGATGCCACGCGTGGGTGAGATGGAAGCGCCTAATCGCTCTGCATCCCACAATAACGCCCCTCGCTACAAGCACAAAGCGGAGAAGGCACCCAAGCAAGCTGACCGGTACCGCGACGACTACCATGTTCAAAAGCAGAAGGTGGCCGAAGCGAAGGAGAAACGTATCGGTGCATTCAGGGATGGTGGTGCCAAGAGCGAACTCAGGGATGTGGATACGGTGCGTAAGCAACGTAAGGTGCAAGAAAATAAGAAGGCGAAGAATGCTCGGCCGTCGAAGAAGCGCAAGTTTTGATTTGTTTGTTCTATACCTAGCACGGCATGTAGCACTTTGCATCAATACAGGAGTGTATAGGCGTGGGAGCCTACCCTCGGAGAGTTCGACTGAGTTGTCACTAGCACTGAATGTCACTGAACGTCGTGGCGCACAAAATCAAGTCTGGACGCCAGCCGTGTGTGAAGGGGTTGTCATGATCCACATGATCAGCCCATTTATTACTTGTCCAAAGCCACGCCGCAGTTAGTATTGTGCAACGCTTGATGCCGCAAGACTGTTAGTACATTTGCTGTGCCACATGCGTGCAGATACGGCCTTTTGTCAACGACGAGCGGCCATATTATTTCTTTACTAGATTAGGCCACCAACATGCCCTAGTCGGATAGCGCATGTATATCGGGGACTCAACAGTGGGCTTCGCTCATCACTACCCCAGGTCGAGGAGAATCGAAATCAATAATCAGAATTCCAGGCCACGACAGCGTCCCTTTGAGGTATTGGCCGTGCATTTGGGTTCGAGTGGCTGCGCTTCTGATTAGGATTGACAAAGGCTGCAAGAAAGTTTCCAGCCTGGACTCGCACGCACATGGTCGAGGCTGGAATAGAGTTTCCGGCTTTTAGCAAGTAGCGCTGGCACTGACAGGCGACCGCCGGACAGATGGTGGGTATCGAGTGACAGGCGCAACCCATCCCACACCATCCATGGATATTAGAGCCAGAGCAGGGTTCGGGGGCCTTTGGTGCATGGCCATGCAGGCACGTCATTCTCTCGAGGAGATTTATGAGCCGGACAATTGTCCGCGCTACCCGAACTCACCAGCCTGAGGGAGTCGCCAGGCCCTGCCTAGCGCCAGCGCCAAAGGACTTCAATAATCCTTCTGCATGCGCACATGCGGCTTACCTGACCTTCGAGAAGCCGCCTCAATATCTTCTGTGCCACCTGCTGCACGCGAGCCTGGTGGCCATGCGACGAGCAGCAGCTCAAACTGGGAACATCGCCTTGGGTACGCTCGCTGATCGGGGATGGGGTTGTGTCACGCAGCCCATTTCCCACAAACATGTCCCACACAACGGCTTTTTTTTGATGGTGAATGGCTATCACCAATACGCCCATATCGGAAGGGCAATCTCGCTATGAGATTTGTTCGGATTTCAATGAAAATCCTCCCTCCCAAACCAGTCATGGGCGCAGACACGACAGCGGAGTGGTTTCCTGGAGCGGCGTAGCCCAGGGCTTACGGCAGCGGGCTTGTGTAGACGCCAACGTAGTCTCACTCCTCCATCTCGGTAAACGGCTTGACATCAACACAGCACCTCACAGACGGAAATTTCTCGTTCCGTTGCGGGCCTGAAGAGACTACTCGCGAGCTGGCCGAATCCTGCAAGGTTCGCCTGTCATGCTCTTACGACATGTTGCAGGGAGCTAAGAGACTGCGCCGCATGTCAGATGCACACGAGGAAAGTCAGCTCTGATATCAATACTGGATATGCTGTTAAGACCCAACAAGGCCGCCTACTCGGCCCGTACCCAGTCGCATATCGAGGATGGACCCAGGACGGGCCTGCGCAAGGGTCCCAGCAAAAGGGCCAGGATACCGCAACCCCCTCCCTGGCTGAACTACTTTTGGCACAACGTGTCCAGAGGCCCAGGCACCGGTTCGTAGATCCCGCGGTTGAATCCGCGAGCCTGTCGTGACCTGGTATCCTTGCAAGCGATTCGAAGACTCACAGAACAAGCACACGATGCAGTCGAGCTACCTGCAATGCAGGGCTGGTGGTGCATACCCGTCAGTTCGCAGACATTCCAGCGGTGGTGCATAGCATGGAGCTCAATAGCAGCAACATCAAGAGTGACACAGCGGTAGTGTCCGCCACAGTAGGGTGAGAATCCCAGATCCCTGGACAGGCCGTTCGTTGTACATGCGGTAGCTTCGGAAAATCGTAATGAGAGATGAGCGCAATCTATAGGCGATATACCTTCTGTTATCGTCGATATTCCGTCGCCATATTTGGGGCGTAACCCACAGAGGCTAAATACCTGCTCCAAAAGGGCTGCCGCGTTGCATCCCGGTTGGATTAATATCTTCCGATGCTAGCCTAGTTCCTATACGCGACACGGAGTTGGTTGCATGATGCAATTCACAAATGGCGGTTTCTGCCTTCCGCAATAGCACTAGTCATGACCAGACCGGATGACTTGGCCCGCTGCGGAGCATGAAAGAAGAAACGCTCATGCAGGACGACTAAATCCTGCCCGCGGGTCGAATCTCGCCTACTTACCGCAAAGAAGCATAGCGGATAGCATGTGCCACACAGGGTGATGGACCGACCCTACAAGCGTATGGATCGTTGTCAATTGCGCAAAGTCTTCTACAAGTTACAGCTGAGCCTGAGAACAACTGCATACTTCCAACCTGGTCATGACAGTGATAGTGTGACCAGCGATAGACGACAGTATAGTACTGGTTGAGCTATACTTAGCCCCACGTTAATCTATTCACTCCTCGTGCCTAGCCGTGGGATCGATCTTGCGGCGCTCGGCTCAGCTTTCCGCCATTCCGTCTTTAGATCCTTATAAGTATCGTATCGGGAGCGCCGCAAAGCATGGACGGTGAGAATTGCCATGCGTTCTCGATGCATCGCTACTGGCCAGCCAACATCGACTTCTCAACCTTTGTTCAGAGGAATACGACACATGGTGCGGCGTCCAAGAACTGATTTGATCCATAATTCTCCACCTTATTCACTGCAGCATCTCAGGCATAAGCGTATCACCGCCGGCCCATGTTTTCGCCCCGCGTCATCAGCCGCACATGCCAATTAGTGCAAGGCAATCTCGGTGGTGATGCTCGGACAGTGTTCGGGCAGATCGTCGACGGCGGGTTTCGATCGACATCACCCACCGGAGTTTTTTGTTTGGCCATGTCAATAAAGCACCACGCCCCACACCTATAGCAGACAGCTAATATACATCTGGCTTGTTTTGACGACAGCACTATGCCTACCTTTGCGCAGTACATTGGACGCCACATCTAGCGCATGAAACCTGGGCGGTTGGAAAGACGGCTGCCCAGTAGACTTGCTGCATACCATGCAGCATCATTTCAACAACTGCAACGAGTCCTTCGTTTTGTTCCCTTTGCAGGCATTGCTCGTGTTCAGTAAGTTGTCTTCTGCCCTCTCGCCTTTCCCCGGAGCCGTGCAAACCCCTCTTGGCAGCAATTACAGGAGAAGATGTCATCAGATGTAGCTACCAGTGGTGTCTGCAATCAACTACCCACATGTCTATGCAGTTTCACGGCGCCGGCGCCTCGCGTGCGGCGTAGTCGGGCGTCACGTTCTCTTACGACAAAGCAAAACACACCAGGCGTCCACGAGTACGCATGCTTTTGGCACAGAATACGTGTCGCTATAGCTTTTGAAGTCAATAAACGCCTCGCGTCTCAGGCTCCGAGGGTAAATCTGACTCTGAGCAAACTCTCGAGGGCGATCTCTTGGTGAAGACGTGGCAGTGTCAAGCCATATCCGCAAGATAGCGTCGATCGTAACAGGAGATCGGTTTCGCCATCAGGGACCAGTAGTGCTATTGCGGGCAAAGGTTTATGCTCCAATAGTCAGTCGGTGCAGAGAGACCCGTCGAGGTGAATGACCGAAGTAGTGGTTGGAACTAAGGACTCGGAAGCGCGCGAGTGACACCACAAGCGTGACCCATAGTGGACCAAATTCGCGGACCTGTCAGTTGGAGGAGCCAGGTTTTTGCGTTTCGCACCACTTTGCTCCTGATGCAGATGCTCATGCTCATGCTCGCCTAGGAAATATACCGCCTCGACGTTGAGTTTCCAGAGGGCTCACCTAGCATAGTAGTATTAGGGACGCCTTGCCTTCCCTTTTGGCAGCGCCAGCGTTTCCGGGCCCACATATAAACGCAAGCTGCGCAGCAAGGGCGCCAACTCATTATGCTTTGCCTCGATCCATGGCTTGCTGGGGCGGGTGCGAGATAGTGGTGGATTAGCGCGCTTCTGGGCGAGCCATCGTTTTGCCCTGGCCCAGGACGGTTCGGAAGGCAGGGGGCTCGCCGCCTACAGGGCTCCCAAGTCAGCGCCAACCCGCTGTACCCATGCACACTCACTGGTAGCCGTGCATACTTCCGCGGCTGCATGGACCGTCCAGGAGAGTGGCCTAGCAGAATTGTCGAAGAACCATCAGCCGAACGAGGGCCAGCATGTCGTCCCCGAGAGGCATCCTTCCCTGCTCCCGTTGCCTGCCCGGAACTCATCGTGGCCCCCGTCTCAAGGATGTGGCCCGTCATCTGCACGACTTCACAGGGATTCGTAACATAAGATCTGTGAGCAGAACCTACATAACCAATTGTCGTTATTACTGGGCATTCTCCGCCGACTGGGCAGCAATCTGCTTTGCTCTTTTTCGCGACTTGTGCTGCTCATTGGCTCCCACCACACATACAACACCATCGCCTCGCCTCTCTTCCGCCCTCGCCCCATTACCTGCAGCTCTAGTGAAGGCACCTCATTCGACATTGGTCGAATACATCTCGTACCCTTCCGACGGTCCACTGGGAGGATTTGCAGGTCCAAGGTCCAATTGGAGGGCAATATCGAAAGGTATTTTGACACAACTCCTTTGCCCCTCCACCTTATCCTGCTTTCGGACTCTGTCGTGGATGCATGCTACAGATTCTTCGGAAATCGAGATCACGCGGGTGTTCGTCGGCATCTTCTTGTTGCTGTCCGATCTTTCCTGCATGTCCAATCCTTCGTCATCATTTTGATCATGTCCTCGCTTGTCTGTTAGCTTACCTTGATTGTCATGCCCGCCTGTCCATCTGCCATCCTAACATCCTCTTACAGAGCTTCTTCTTGCTCAATAGACACGAGCGCAGTCTACCCGGTAGCACATTTGTCTACAGCTCCAGCTGTACTCCCTGACCCTTGCGCTCCCGCTGCTGACACAGCGTTTGAGCGCTGCAGTGGTCAAGCTATGCAGAGTCTGGCCTTACCTCGTCCGACCTCGCTCTTTTCCACGCCATTGTTCGGGCGAGCTGCAGAGCCTCAAGACGGCCTGGCAAGATATCGTCCCAAGTTCAGTCCTAGCAGGCCTGAACAGCAGAGTTATCCATCACCTCCCATGTCAGAACCCCATTCCCCTCCTCGCCGTCTAGCCCAGACTATCGAATCCGGACACCTTTCCTACCCTCCAGCAGTTAGTGTACCCCAAAGATCCGACGCAGGTCTTCCACTACCACCGCCTTCGTCATCACTGTTCGATCCCCGGTCAGCATTGCCAGTCCAAAGTAATCTCCAGCAGCGGCCGCTATATCCTGGCGAGCCCCAACATAGAGTACAACCACTTCACTATCAGCATGGGCGTGTAGTCGAACATGCTTCGTACGGTAGTGTTCCACCTCCGCAGAATTACGGATATGGATATCCAAATGCCGGCGTGTCCCATTACGCTGGAGGTCGACACGTAGGTCCAATAGGGCAACAAGGTGGGATGATGGCACCACCACTACCCGGGAGGCCCATCAGGCCAGCAAGGAGAACCAAAGCGCATGTGGCGTCAGCTTGCGTCAACTGCAAAAAAGCGCATCTCAGCTGTGATGTCCAACGTCCATGTGGCCGTTGCGTCGCCTCTGGAAAACAGGTTAGTCTACAAAGCTGGACAGAAGCTTAAGAAATTACGCGTTCGTTTGGACGAGACTGACTTGAACGGTGACAGGACACATGTAAAGACGTACAGCACAAGAAGAGAGGAAGGCCTCGACTGCGAGACGATAGAGAGTTTCTGAGACCGGAGGAAGGAGGAAGACCACCTAGCCAGGTTTCAGGCGCATTACCTGCATCAGAAGCGCTCGCTCACCAGGCTCCCTTTCCAGCTTCGCATCCGCATCCCCCGTCCGACGCATCTCGAGTCATGGAAAGCAACATTGCTCAAATGAACCAGTCTTCCAACGGAGGTCAACCTAGTAGTCTCGGCAACTATGGTAGGATGTCGACTTCTCCGTATACTGCAGGGCCGAATTTGGCGGATCAAATATTGCCTGTCGCATATCTAGACTTGGATCTGGTAATCCAAAGGTCAAATCGGGCGTTCCAGGATCTGGTTGCCTTTCTGGGAGACATTAAGGGTAAACAGCTGGGAGACCTTCTCGAAACCCGCCAGAACGAGAGCCTGCAACGCCTGCGTAATGAGCTACGCGAAGAGCGAGACGAACGCGAACCGACATACATGCCCCCTATTACGCCAGTCGGGCAGGATCCGATGCGCGCGGTGATGGACTGTGTAGTAGATCAGGATATCGACCACATGAGCCAAGCCTTCACAGACAGACCCATGTTTTTGAGCTTTCGTCTTCCTAGTGGACAGTATCAATCTCTCCAGGTCCAGATCCGACTGGCAAAGACGTCACTCTACTTTGTCACCTTGGTCGTGCGATCACCACCAAGGCTCACCGGCCCTACTATTCTGACACAACAGCTTGCTCCTCCCACGCCTAGACGAACGTCGCAGACGATGTCCGCGCCAGTCATGGCGCCAACATCGCAATTCACACCACATCAAGCTCGACGTCCATCGTCGACGAGTTCGGCACCGAGCTCACCGTATTTCAATTTCGCGTCTGTTCGCACCTCGCTTCCGACGTTCAGTCCCAACTCTTACAGTAGCAGTTCGTCGTATGGCTACTCTCCGACTGCAGGTGCAGAGTCAGCTTACTTTCCGACAATTCAACCTCACTCACAGCCCGCAGCGTATTCTTCTCAATACGCGTCAGCTCCTCGCAACCCGTCTGCTACCTCTGAGTCGGTGGGGGAGCTAAATCGTCCAGAGCGCCTTGAAGGTCTACATCTCCCGCCAATTCGAATAGGACCAGCTCCTCTGGGTTCTCCCGTATTCCTCGAATCTGGCGGCCAAAGCACTATGCAGCGTGAGCACGAACGTGTGCGACAACTCGAGTCGCCGTCAAGCGCCGAACAGCGAAGACCCGAGACGCCTGAAACTGGCAAACGCCGTCGATTGAATATACATGAAGTGCTGGAGTAAGAGAGAGAGAAGAGAGTGTGGACTTGGAAGACTAGCAAAGCTTGTAGTTACTCCGCACAAACCCGGTTCCCCGCGTATGTGATTCAAACGTTGGTTAATACGTTACCGACAAGCAGGACCTTGTCCCTCTGAAACACGTCGCTACGGAACGTCGCATATGTCACACAACGGCCGGTCCCATACATCCCTTGCCTTTCGTTCATTCCGTATCCGGGGCTGCCATTCGCTATGGCAACATGAATATTCTTCTCTTCGCCACTAAAGCATTGCGATACCATCTTAGGTTCAGTACCTCGATTTGGGCTCCGGCTCCGCTTCCTTGTTAGCGATAGGAGTACAGTGTGTAGCGAACTCCCACGTCCACCTCACAGCGGACTAGGAAGCCTTTTTATATCATCACATCTACGTCTCCTCGCGGTTTATGTACAGCAAGACGGGCGTACGTGCGGGTGCAAAGGAGCGATCCGTGCTCCTGCGCTGGCGTTTCACCTACCAAGACGTCCCCTACTTTGGTAATTTCGTCGGCCAGTCCACGAGAAAGAACGGTGGTATTTGGACATGTACTGCATGTCAAATTTACCCGTAGTGCAAAGCAGAGGATGGGTTCGGCAAACCTCATTGGCTGATCGGAGAATTTTGAGCAGAATCGCGTATTGTTATGCAGGGCTGATGCAGGTTATGAGTTCGCTTGGGACGTTACGCATGCACACAAGTTGCAGATAAATGGGTTCAGGCCGCTTAGTTTTGCTGGTTTGTGTGACGAGGAGGCTGGGGGAGACTGTGATAGTACTGCGTAGAGGTTCATTTGGCGAAATCTGTCGAAACAGACGGAGACGCGACCGAAAAAGCTCTTTGAGGGCATTATATAAATTTGATTTAGGGGGAGTTATTGGGAAGCACAGATGGAAGAAAGACTAGTTTCCTTTTTTGGGCTCAGTTGGTGGATATACCCTTTTCTTAGAATGTTTGTAGAGTAGCTATCTCTGTACATATAATAAGACGATATGCACGTCCTTGGATATCATGATCTTGAACGTGAACTCCAGTCAAATAGCTCTTCAGCAGGTACGAGCTCTGCACTGGGGAGATTGCATCCATACCTGGCAGCCTAGCTTCGAAACTTGAAACCCTCCATTCCTTCTTAACGCCCATGGTCCAGAAAGCTGAACGGGAAATGAAGACCACGCTGCGAACCAGATGCTGCGGAATACAGGATGAGGCGAGATTGGAGATCATGCCGAAACCAGAATAGAAGTCGATATCGAGTGCGATATGCTCGAGAGATGCTGAAGAGGTGAGAATGGAGTCGAACTCTCCCGGCCATGAACGATGGAAGCTCAATGTCGCCGTGGGTTTCAACGCACGCTAAATGCTTTGAGAGCCTTCGGTACTTGCTGAATATAGAAAGATACACGGGTTTGGGGTAGCTTTCAATCTCAAGCACCTATCCACTGTGCCGTTCGAGAGTGCGAAAAAGCTCAGGGAGCAGCGGCACTGGTCCGCAACCTTTTCGCACTCATCCGAGAGCTTTCACCTTCTTCTTTTTCTTCTTCGCGCCCTCCCCAGTCGGCTCGGGCTTCTTCCCCTGCTGAAAGTCCCTCCAGCTATTGATGCGGGTATCCCTCGTCTTCTCCCACGCATCCTCGTGCTCCCTCTTCCTCTTCCGCTCCTTCAGCTCCTCGTCTTCCTTCTTCTGCGCCCTGCCCTCCTCCCGCATCTGCGCCTTCATCTGTCGCTGTTTCCTTAGCTCATTGTCACGTATCACCCATATGACTTTCTCTCTCCACTCCTTTGCGAACTCTTCACCACGAGTTTCTTCGTCGTCGGCCGTGAGCTTCTTTTCTCGCATGAGGAGCATGCGCGCGTCCGCGATGTTCTCGTCTAGTTCGGCGCGTAGTTTTTCGTCGAGAAGAACGGTCTGGGCTTTTTTAAGGCGATCAAAAGCATCGGGAGCGAGGGGATTTTTCGTCTTATCCGGATGGATGAGGAGGGATTTTGCGCGGTAGACTTTCTTGATATCGGATTCCGGGACGCCCGGTTGGAGGTCGAGGACAGCGTATGCGTTGAGGCTAAAGACGCTGCGTATACCTGTCCACGTCAGATGCTGTCTTGTGTTTGATACAGAGGTTGCGACTACGACTGCGACTTACGATCAATTTCCGCGTCCTGGGGAGTGGTTAGCTAAACTTAAGTATTGATTCGCAGCGACACTCACCTTGTCAAATTCCTTCCCAGCTGCCGTCAGCTCTGCATCGATATCGTCTGCCATCTTGATCTTCCACCCGGCTTATATCGAATGCTCTACGAATTGATCTGTTGATGGCTAAACTACGCCGGAATGACTTCGAGGCTTGTTACCGATAAGACTCGGCGGGCTTACGACTTCTTGAATTGAAGGTCTGCGAGTAGGTTAAGAGGCAATTGTTTGTCGTACGCGCGTGTGAGGTGAGTAAGTAGATGAGTACAGTGCACCAAGCTCGCGATAGGCGGCGATCCGCGCTAATGAACCCTGTAAGCGCCACATTTGCACGGCCACCCCTGCTCCACCAAAAAGTTTCTCTGGATGCGACCGTCCTCAACACCAATATCCCACGAGGACTCGACAATGCGCTGAGATGGTTGCACCTGGTATCACTGGTCACACGCGACCTACTAAGGTCAAGAAACGAGAGAATGTACAGAAGAGGAAGCGAGACGACGTTGATGTCGAGAAGCTGGAGCAGGCAGTCAAAGACCTTGTGAGTTCACCACTGTTGTTCTTCTCATCTGAGTATGCAAAGTCTAACAAACCTCACAGAACCCCAAGAATGGCTCCTACAAAGACTTCACCGACCTCCCCCTCTCCGACCCCACGAAACAAGGCCTCAAATCCTCCCATTTCGCCGTCATGACCGATATTCAAAGCAAAGCCATTCCTCTCGCGCTACAAGGCCACGATATACTCGGCGCAGCAAAGACCGGCAGCGGGAAGACGCTTTCGTTCATTATACCCGTGTTGGAAAACTTGTATCGCTTGCAACACATCGGTCCCGACGCAGGATTAGGCGCACTGATTCTATCGCCGACTCGAGAGCTAGCGATCCAAATATTCGATGTCCTACGCAAAATTGGAAAACATGGGCATATGTTTGCAGCTGGTCTCTTGATCGGAGGCAAGAGCTTAGAAGATGAGCGACAAGCTTTAACGAAAATGAACATACTGGTCGCAACGCCAGGTAGAATGCTGCAACATTTGTCGCAGACCGCAGCATTCAGTGTAGACGATCTGAAGATGCTGGTGCTAGATGAGGCGGACCGAATTCTCGATATGGGCTTCCAGCGAGATGTTGATGCCATCGTCGAATATTTACCCAAGGAACGACAAACCCTTCTATTCTCTGCGACGCAATCGAGAAAAGTCTCCGATCTGGCGCGCTTGAGTCTTCAGGATCCCGAATACGTGTCTGTGCATGCTGAGGATAAGAGCGCGACTCCGAAAGGACTTACGCAGAACTACATCGTTTGTCCTATCGAGGAAAAACTGGATACCCTATGGAGCTTCATACAAGCGAGCAAGAAGTCAAAGATCCTCTGCTTCTTCTCATCTGCTAAAACTGTCCGGTTCGTCTACGAATCCTTCCGCCATATGCAGCCTGGCATACCATTACTCCACATCCATGGGCGCCAGAAACAGGGCGCTCGTTTAGACACGACGGCGAAGTTCTCTTCGGCGAAACACTCATGTCTCTTTGCCACAGATGTCGCAGCCCGCGGTCTGGATTTCCCAGCTGTGGACTTTGTTATCCAGGTTGATTGCCCAGATGATGTCGATACCTATATTCACCGAGTTGGTAGAACTGCACGGTATAACAGAGAAGGACGAGGCGTCTTGTTTCTAGCACCAAGTGAAGAGGAAGGTATGCTGAAGCGACTCGAAGCCAAGAAGGTACCCGTTGAGGCTATCAACGTCCGACAAAAGAAGCGCCAATCGATCAGGGAGCAGCTGCAAAACATGTGCTTCCAAGATCCCGCCTTGAAGTATCTCGGTCAGAAGGCGTTTGTAACCCACGTCAAATCGATCTACCTCCAAAAGGATAAGGAGGTCTTCAAGCTCAAAGAGTATGACTTGGAAGCATACGCGACGAGCCTAGGTCTACCAGGAACGCCAAGGATCAAGTTCATGAAAGGCGATGACAGCAAACAGAAGAAACAAGCCTCGAGACAAACAATCGAGGTATCTGACTCATCTGAAGCTGAGGAAGAGACCACAAAGAAGACGAAGCAAGTGCGGACAAAGTATGACCGCATGTTTGAGAGGCAAAACCAGGACGTCTTGGCCGACCACTACAAGAAGCTGGTCAAGGATGGCTCGGGAGATGCTGCTTCACCTGCTAACGAGTTCACCGGGGAGGCTACTGCTAACGACGGCGCTGACGACGACTTCATGGCCGTCAAACGAAGAATACTTGCCGATGACGAGGATGAAGATTTCGGTGTTGATGATGATACTTCAACCACACCAGGCGGTCGCATCGTACACTTAGCAGGCGCCTCACAGCCCATCGTTATCGACAGCAACCGCCGTGAGAAACTCTTGACATCCAAGAAGAAACTTCTCGCATTTATGGACAAAGGCAAGAAGCTCATCTACGATGATGATGGCAATCCGCACGAAGTCTACGAGCTCGAAAATGAGGCGCAGTTCAAGGCTAAGGGATTACCTGAAGAGCAGCGGCAAAAGTTTATCGATGCTGCCAGAGAGGTTGTGCAAGAGGCCGATGTGGAGGACAAAGCTGCTGCAAAGGCGAAGAGAAAGGAAAAGTTGCAGAAGAGAAAGGAGCGTGAGCGAAATGAGAAGACCGAAAATGCCGAGCAGGGTGTCGAAGTTGAGGATGCTGGAGAAGATCTATTGGCGAACTTCAGGGCAGATGCGGAGTTTAGCGATGAGGATGAGGCAGATGAGCAACCGAAGAAGCAGAAGAAGAGGGAGAAGAAGTGGTTCGAGTCAGATTCTGAAGACGAAGAGAAGATTAAAAAGAAGAAGAAGAAGACCAAGCACGTGGTGGAAGAGCCAGAGACGCTGGAGGATATGGAGGCACTGGCCGCAGGGTTGCTGGGATAGTTTGAGTGAGGGGCTCGGGAGGGTTCAGCTGATGAATAATAGTTGGGAAGCACACACAATGCTACATTATATTCCTATTGATGTTAAGATTCGGTCACGTAGTTCTCACAATGCTCTGCTTCTCGTCGCGCAATGTTGTGTATTCAAGTTGCATTGGGCACAATACCAGCTCTGAACGGAAGCGAAATCGACAGGTAAAGCTATCTGAGCAATATCTCGTGGATCTTGCTAGCCCTTGGCCTCCTACCTACGGAGTTTCTAAACGCCAAATCGTATCTATGCCATTCTTACTCTAACAGCAGGCCGGAATAGTCTGCCACTAGAGGTCTGATTTGCCTTCTAGAAATCGGGGATGCGAGCTTAGCATTTAGACTCTGTAGGCTTCTTAACATAGTACCGTACTTTGTTAGCAGTATCTCAATTCTAGTTTCGTGATGCGTAAACGGCGTTAGACTAAGCGTGTATTTTGGGGCATTAGTTAATTATCATTCATAGTAGGTTATATTAATGGCCGAGTGGTCTAAGGCGCAGCGCTGCGTTTGGGTCGTTCTAAACATCCTCCGCAGTCAGAAATAGCGTGGGTTTGACTATTGTCATATCACAACTGCCTTTCCAACTTCACTACTAACAAAGTTCTGCTAGATCCCACTCTTGTCAATATTCTTTTTGCCTACGGTCCCGCATATTTTGCTTTTTATGCAAAAGGGGGGCAATGAAGCTAGCTACTTAGTAGCGTAATGGAAAGTATTAGCTTGAATTAAGGGAAGAACACCCTTATTTTTTGTCAAGCGCCAATTATAAGATCGTTATGTCAACTCTGCGGTGTAACCGTCCTGTGATAGTTACGCAGTGCCATGCCCCCTTATCCTGTTATAGCGTTAGTACACAGCGTGGCTTATTTTAGTAGCTGAGCTCGCTCCAGCCCCTGTGTCACCATTTGATCCCAGGCATAAAAGTTCCCAAGCGCCTACGCCCGTTAAGCTTCGCTGGTTTGGTACGGCATCCATGTGATATTTTGATTTGTCAGTGATGTGTGTCGAGGCCAACTATAAAAAGACACTAGTACATGAGATAGGTATCACCGTCGCGCCAAGTTGCCACGGCGCGATAGAACGTTTGGGAGTTCAGTCAATCCCTCTTACAACGTTGCATAACTTGCTCGGAAGCCTAGAACCGGTATGCACGTTCCAAATACCAACCCAACAAAACGGCGCCTCGGAAGCTATGCGCAGCCGTCTCGTCGCTAGACTTTCCCAGCTAGCTCGCAGATCCCGGGGCCTCCTCCGTCCTTGCCTGATTCGCCAAGTAAGCCACAGTTTGCGTTCTCCATTGTCCCCCCTTTTTGGTGGGGGCAAATGGTGTCCTGCTGGCTGACACCAATGCATGCTCAATGGCAATTGTGAGCTGATCACGAGTGCCAGCATTACTTATCAGCGTCTTGGTACCTAAACTTAAACCTCCCCGATAACGGTTTACCGCGGAAACTGCTCCGAACGATGACGACTCGATTCTCCCAGGCCCATGCGCAACGTCCTCGTACTCCATAGCCGTTCACAGCCCTGTTCGACTTTCCGTACATCACTTGGAGCGCCCTTCTATTCAAGCAGACCGAAAATCCACTCTCGGTCAATGTTTCAGCTCTCCGTTAAGGTAGTAGTTGCGCGTCGAAGTCCGCGAACTGTCGCACGGCCCAGCTCAGCAACACATATCTGTTTCTCCTAGGAAGCGTTGTGCGCAGAAGGAGATATGTCCCAGAAAGACAAAGGCAGGCAATTCTTCCAGCAGATGCAGCCGACCTTCTCAATAGAGCTCCCAAAGAATACCGTTACGAAGCTCGAATTTCTGGATCACTCTGACCCGGATAAAGACACGGTTGTAAGGAAGAAAGCGAGAGAATGGGTAAATAAGAATAAAGCCACCTCGAAGCACAACCGCCATGTGCAATGGTTATCAAGAGCCAAGATGATCAAAGGGGTGGCTAAGGAAGCAGACGAGACACGGGCGCAGCTAGAAATGATAAAGAGAGAAGAGTTTGTGATCGTACTTGACCCCCATTCAGCAGTCAACACGAAGTGCTTGGACCCATTTAATTTGCTACCGGACATCGGGCGGAATTACGATCATATCCTCCATTTCTTTCTGGCTTTATGCCCAGACGAGATCCCCTGCTCAGACGATAAATACTCGGACTTATCAAAGCACGCCTTAGTTCCCTTCTCAAGTGATAACACCGTATTGGGAAATATGGCAAAACACGAGGCTTCGTTCATCTTGTGGCTTTATGCGACTGCTCTAGTTCGTGCGGGAGTGTGGGGTCGCGCTAATACTGAGGAACTCAGGTGGTTCTACGGTAAGACGCTCACTGCCTTACAAGACGTCTTGAAGAAAGAGACGGAATCTGGGGAGTATTCGGATCATCTTCTGAATTGCCTGTCCTGTATCACAGCTACAGCGGTATGTGCCTTTCAAGTCTACATGTCAAGAACCATGATACACCTTTTTCTATTCGTTAAACTAACCTGTGTATAGTGCTGCTCCGGCATGTTCCAGACTGCGGAAGTGCACCGCGATGCGCTGATTAGAGTGCTTACATTACGCGGTGGGGGGGATATAGTAAAAGGGATACAATCAGCTACACCATGGACTTTTAAAGCTGTGCAATGGTTCGCATTTAGCTTCGCTATGTTTTATGCCTCAATATCTAACAACAATTAGGTGCGAAATTGTAGTTGCAGCGCAACTCGTCCAGGTTCCAAAGATCCCGTATCTTCCGTATGTGCCATCTAGCCCGGCCCCGAAACAAGCGGCCCTTGAAGCTGCTCGCCTTACGAGCATAACCCTCGCAAGCTTACCCCACCTCTCGGAACCACTTCACAAGATTATTCACTTATTACATCACCTTGGCATCGCTCACGCACGACCACCTGTCGGCAAAAAGATCGACACATATGTCATACAACCGCTGTACGACGCGGAGTATGCACTTTTACAAATTTTGGCTGCGCAAAAAATACCCGGACACGGTTTTTCAGTAACCGAGGTTCTGCTTGCGGAAGCCTTCCAGCTATACTTCTGGACTGGTCCGAGAACACTTCCCCTACAGACGAGAGTATGCGACCTCCTCTTATTGCGTACTAGGAGAGCATTGTTGCCACTTCTATGTGATTTTACACCAGATAGTAAGCTCGAGAACATGCCTACGACAACCTCAACGTTCGATCAAGTAACCCAGTTGATATTAGAAAACACCGAGACCTTCACTCCCCGCCCCTCTTATCATTCACAAGAGACTCAAAACGCCATTATCTGGAGCCTAGCTCTGGGTAGCGTAGTCTCCATATCATTCTACAAATCTGAATATTCTTGGTTCAAAGCACAGCTTTCACTGGAACTCCAGGCTGTAGGGCTAGATAAGAGCGAGCAAAGATATCAAGACTTTCTCAATCTCTTCCCCGCAACGGACGGCTTCCCTTCCATCGATCTGCGTACGTTGTATGCCGAATTCGACACAAAAAGATTGTGGGAATTAGAGGACTAAACAGCTTATCTACAACACTACTCGATGTATGTGGACAGACTGTGCCTGGGGTTCGAATTGTCTGCGGTGCAGAATTTCTTTTGGGGATTTTATCAAACTTGGGTCCTACGTCTACCATCACACATGGACAAATTGCACCTCACGAACCTCAACACCAACCATACTCATTGGACCATAAGCTACCAACCTTGATGGTCAACCGGATTGTAGAGCTTCGGATTGGCGAACACTTTCGTCGAAAATACCGACGCTGCCTATTCGCCAAACAGTCGCTACAATATTCTCTCCTTGTCCATACTTTCGGACCAATTCAACGCTAGCTGGCAAGGCGACAAAGAAGGAAAGATTATCTTCGATAGCACTGGCGCCTATTTTGCCTATGCACTTCGCAATAGCTAGCTGTATCCTCTTCAGCAGTTTCCATCTCATGTTTCCTTCTCCCTGCTGTCTTAGACATAGCAAGCATCTATCTCGCCCTTTCTATATTAGAATAGCTAGAGAGCTCGGAGACCTGTCGAACCACTTGATCCGGGCACAATTGCCCGCATTCCTTCGGGCATAAGAGTCTTGGGTGTTACCTGTTCGGTTCTCCTCAGATGTGCTTGAACCATCATACGGGTGCATGCATGGGCCGAACATTTTGGTGCACGCCCTTGAAGATGCCGAAGTATGGCTTAGTACCTACAAGGTTACTTGGTTGCCAAGTAAAAGCAAGAATAGAACCGTTTCGTCTTCAATGGCTGAAAATGCTCCACAGAGTATTGTACTGCCGGCTACAACTACGCGTTAGGTGTTGAGTGGCCTGTATCATCGGATATCGCATCCTCTTCATTTTCTTGAAGTCTGAGTTCGGACCCGTACCTAAGTCGTACCGTGAGCTCCCTGGCACATGGCTGTTCAGCTCTGAAGGGATTGAGAAGCGCTGGTCTTTGCGCGTTTTGGGGTTAGGTGTGGCGTCTACGGTTGGGTTTTCATCCGTAGTCGCTATCTGCAACTGTTGCTTAGGGAAGGGCGGGATTTCTTAAGTTGGCGTTGCTTTTGGCTTCTGAAATGCCATTGCTGGTGTACGGAGTTGGCGATACGTGCAATTCAACAGTGCACACGGTCGGAAGGAGTCTATACGCATTCGCGGGCGCGTTCAATAGTATGGCGAGGGCTAAGTATTTCCTTAAGTAATTATCTCATTTGTACCCGGTTCACTATACTGCTTTGTCATGCGGAATTGCTACGATCTCATGTATACCTATATTAGGCTATAAAGATCTATTCTAGATAAACTATTAATTTTGTTCAGATATCACTAGTGTAACAGGGTCAAAATGTGCTTCTCTAAGATGTGTAACATAGCCTTTTGCATGGCTATGATGAAAACAAACTTATCAATCATGATGATTTGTGTCCTTTTGCAATTCCTTCGTCGCGTTGGATCTCTTAACCCCGCAATTGCATGTCCCGTGTTTCTGGTTGTGCAATACCTTCGTTGGGCCAGGTTTCACCCATTAGCGGAACCACTACGTAGCAGGAATCCTTTTTGAAAGCATAGCGCATGTTCATTTTACAGGTTCAAGAAAGCAACTATTCTGTTACTCGTTAAGGATACTTACAAGCTGATAACAGCATAATAGAGATGGTGTACGTTAGTTAGTGACTACACTAGCTGCCTCCTTAGTGAATAACTGAAAGAGGTTGTAGGTTTAACTGTTGCTCTCTGCAACCCCCTCACTCCTGGCTAGAATGAGGGGCACTAATCGGTCTGATGATATCAATGATCCCAGGGGTGAATTCTGTGAAACATATCCGCACTCAAGGTAATTCCAATAGTTGGCGATTGCTCAATAGGTATTTTTGCCTGGGGCATAGGCGCCCTGTATTCATGTTTACTCTCAAGGTACTGTCATTTACAACTATTCCCGCACCTAAAGTACCTTTACAGAACCAAAAATAGCTCAACGAGGGCGTAGGTACTTTTGACGTCCTCCTTCTATATCGCTGTGAGAGTAAGACGAGCGCGGAAATGGGTGCATATTTCACCAGGAATGTTTCTAAAGATTAGACAGAGCGATCTACCTAGACACCTTGAACTAAGTAGGAAGAACCTAGGGTGGCTATGATATGCATGAAGAAAGCTAGGCATGTAGATTTCATTATCGTTCTAGAGGCTATTCGCATATATAGGTAACTTAAATCCAACAAAGGCAATCACCAACCACTATTTCCCTAATCAATACGCTGACGTTGACACAATAAATTTGCGCAGCAGCTTTCAAGACCCTTCCACCATGATATATATCAAATGTTTGCTTTGAATTTCACTACCATCCATAGATCACTAGACATTGTATATGACCCAACGTCTAGTACAATCAACCAACCCCCGAAAATAACAGTTCAAACCTAATGCTAATTATGTAGCACGAAGGCTGCGACATGCAAAAAAGAATAGCAAAACAAAAAGAGAGTATGCAAACATACAACAGCGGGGATTCGCCAGTGGTCACCCACCTGACTACTAATCCGCCGGTCGAAGGCTTAACGTGTGGAGAGCAAACGGGATCCGGTGTCTTCCTTCGCCTGTGGTCGTATGTGCCAGTTTCCAGCAAGTAAACTAGTTATATAGACAGACTGTTAGTGGGGAGGGATAAACGGGCGCTTTATGACTTATCGATTACGTTTGTGCTTATTCATGATGAACCTTGAGGCTTGCAACGCCGGTTAGTAGTCTGTTTCCAAGATTGTAAAGCAATAAATGTCAGCTTGCATGTTGGGAAGGCAATAATAGGCCCTGCTTATATGCAAATCCTATTTAATAATGCAGCAAGAAATAAAACAGCCGTTGGAAATCCAGGTAGTACCACCCAATGCAAGTCTATATCCCTATTATGCAGTTTTTGTACACTCATCTATAACATCCACCTTAGCCACGCATATACACAGCCCTCTGCTCAGCCCCGGTAATGACTCCATCTAGCACTTGAGCGAGTACTTGGTCTTGCGATCCGCAGTCATAGCGCCCCAAGTCGTCTCATCTGCGGCCTTTCCGTTGTCGCCAATCGACTTAGGCTTCCATGGCTCATCGAATGCCTCGAAGTAGAAAGCGTTGAAGCCGTAGTCGAGCAGCGAGCAGAAGCCGTTTTGGTAAAAATGTTCGGCGTTCTCGAGACCGCCCTCGGCTTGGCCATAGTCGGTTCCTACGGCTGTGGGCCAACCAGTCTCACCGGTCCTTGAATGGAGATTAGTTGTTGACAAGACTATAGGGAGAGTGAAAGGGAAAATGCAGTGTAGGAGCAGCAACGTACCAGACTTCAGGGGCCTTGTCCGCGCCTCCGGCGACCTTCTCGATGTGGGTAATGGCCTGGAACATATCGTCAAGGTATACGTGCGTAGCATTGTCCTTGGATGCGCCCTGCCAGAAGGCAAAGGCGTTGACTAGGAGAATATCCGCAGTGCCAATAAGGGCATCGCCTGTGCCATCAGCGAATTTGTTCCAGCTGTCGGCGGTGCCGACCTTGATGTCTGATGGCAACTGGGACTTGACGGTGTTGATCTTCTCCTTGAGCGTCTCGCCGGTGAAGTTGCCGCGGTAGAGGGTTTCGGAACCGACGGTTACGGCGTAGATCGTAGAGGCGTATTCCTGGGCAACATCGGTGATGGCCTTGAGATCCTTGTTGAAGGATTCCTCGACATCGGGCCTAATCATCACGGATCAGCAAATTGCTCAACGTCATACGATATGGTGTGCATCATACCAGATACCCAAGACGACTTTGAAACCCTTGCTTTTTGCAGCCGGCAGAGAGTTCTTCGCCATATCACAATCAGAGGCCGCATATCCGCGGACAATGGTAGCACCAGAGTTGCTCTTGATAGCATCGAAGTCATCCGCATAGTCCTGCTGGGTCTTGCATGCGCCACTAGCAAGCTTGGTGCCAAGAGAGAAACCTTGGCTACCCTTCGCTGCCGAGACGAGGGCTGGGGACGCTGCCAAGGCAGCTGCTACGGTAGAGAAACGCATGTCGGGTCTATGTACCCTAGGAATAAATTTGTTGAAGTAAGAATATGCTTCGGAAGCGTTGGAAACGTAGATAATAGATATATAAAGAGTGTAAAGTAAAGAAACAAAGAGTGACTGTGTAACAAGGACACTGACGTAGAGTCTTGGAATGAAGAAGGGAAGAACTGAGATCGTTGCGTGGTGTGGAAGCTTAACCAAGGGGCGCCACGCTAAACAGTCAGTTTCGTATCCGTGGGTCAGGTACACCAATCGTGGCTCACAGCCGCCACATCGCCACATGCTCGACCCACCATGAAGAGTGGGTCACCCGAGTTCCGTTTCGATAAATTCGTCAGCGCGCACAGATCGAGCTTCGGATGATGTTGTGAGTCTAGACATTGAACATGAGCTCATGTTGCGGATATACTTGTTCGCCAAACCTCACCCCCTGGATAACCGAAACGGATGCGCCTCAGTGTTCAATACAAAATCATCCAAGCTGATCAACTCCGTATCTGCAAAGCACAGATAAAAATACTTCAACGTCTCCGCCATCCAAAAGCTCTCCATATAGTCCTCCTGCCGTGATCCAACGACATTCACGTCCATGATTGCTGCATTCGCATACTGCGTGTCTGTTGCATTGGCTACTGCCTGGAACATCTCCCAGGCTGTCTCGCGCCAGACCGGATCACCTGTGATGCGCCAGAGAATGAAGACAGACTCAATAGCTTCGGGGCGAAGTAGGTAGCGAGGATCTTTGGCAGTTGTGAAGCCCTTTGGTAGGTCTGATTTGTACTGAGAACGCTTCGCGGCTTCTTCGGCATAGCGCACCTCATCCCAGGTGCAGGGTATCCGTCGATCTGGACCAGGGCAGAGGACCATGTTGTAGCGTTCTGGCATTATGCCCGTGGGGAAGGATTTGTAGGCGTATGCGCATCCGCGAGCCAGCTTTGCTCCAGTGTCGAGGTATTCGTCGCTGTTGAATAGGCGCCCTCCGAGTGCATAGAGACCTCCAATGAAGCACGAGAGATGTTCGCTTTCGGGGTCGAGCGTGGGACCGTCGGCTAGGACATCGACGTTTCCTGAGATGAGGATGTCTTCGCTTCCTGGTGTCATGGGTGCAAAGAACAGGTTGTTCATCGCAGTATCCATAAAGGCTCGAGACATGATCTCATACATCTTGGAGCTAGGATCCACTGAGCCTAGCAACGCATGGGCCTTTGGTAGATATTCATATAGCGAGTCTGCATTCCCTCCGATAGAGAATTGGTGCCCGGTGACGACATCTTTTTCGCTCATGGAAACGTACATTGGCCACATCCCCGGAAGTTCTGTATCATGCTGACCCTGGTGGAATACGTCCATCAGATGGGCTACCGCAGCGTAGTATTTGCCATCTCCTGTAATCTGGCTCAATCTGCTGAACTCTAGGGTGATCGTTCCAGGACTTGCGCTGACCACCTGGCCTTCCACCGTCAACCCTCCTCCTTTTTTCGCATCCTCAAAGTTCATAAAGTCAACTGGCATCCCATTCTTAGTGTTAAAACCAGCATACAGCAGATCTCCTATTTCGATCGCCTTCGTCTTCAATACCTCGTGTCCACTGAGATCGTACGCTGCAAGGAGCCCGCCCAGATATCGTATGCACGTCTCAAATGTGTTGACCGAGGGTGCCGTGGACTTTCCAAAGTCAATCGTGGCCACAGCCTCGACAGCCTCGTAGAAGTCATCGCGCATTCCCATCATCCATAACGTGTCCAAGCTGTCTACCAGCGTTGCTGCCCACCCAGAGAATTGGTCCACATACTCTCCACTTATAGGCTTTAAAGCGTCCTTCATCCATGCCTGACTCCTGTAACTTGTCCAGCTCTTCCGAAATACTCGTTTGACTTCTATCCGCCTTTGTTCTTGTACCGCGGCCACGGGGCGCGAATCTCGCTTGAAATTGTGTTGTATGCGCGGACGTTTCGTGAAAGGAGCAGGTAGCTTAGGCGTGAGTCTGGGTGGGTAGGTGAAGTTTACAGAGCTCCAGTCGAAGCTACTTTGCGTTGCGGTGATATGTGGGGGGTAATCGTTCATGTACCGTGCCAATGCCACTGCTGAGCCATGGGATCCTCTATGGCCGTAGTTGTGGACGTATGTGAGTGCTTCGTCTCTCGGGAGAAAGTAATAAATCCAGAGAACGATAAATGCGCAGATGGCTATGTGTCGAGTGCGTACACGTGGCATTGTTTCGGCCAGGAACCGCAGCTATAACAATATATATACAATTCCGGTAAAAGTAAGCTCCTCATCGCTGGATGTGACTGCATAGAGCGACGAGAAGCATGAGGGTAGTCGTGGTGGTAATGCATCTTGGGTTGAGTTAGCGATGTGTCCAAACGGTAGTGCTACACTGCCGGTCGCACTTTCTGCCCATAGTGCTCACCCCTGCTAGTCAGCCGCTGATCAACAATCGTCAGCATTTCTTACACTGGACTTCATTCGGAAATATTTTGTCGAAAATGTCTCAGAAATTATTGAGCTATAAGATGTGAAAGGGGTATAAAATGCGGATGCTTCCTGTTAGACTATCACCCTTTCCTACCACATGCTGATGCCAGAACGCTCACTTTTCGAACCAAAACTACAAGCTCCTCTCATCGTCGGACGCTAGCACCACTGGTTGCCCTCGGCCTTCCAACGAAGCTTTCCCTCGTATGCACACGATCAATCTCGTAAGGATTGTCGTAGAAGTCATCTTCCGCCCTTATGGTTCGCCTACTCCGCGTCGACCGTCCGGTCTGGACTTTCTTCAGGACCTCTCCATCTGACTCCTTCTCCGCCTTCAGTTCTGCGAACTGAGGTGCGCTCTCCTCGTGCACCTCGTGCTCGGCCTCCTCGGCCTGCAGAGTTGCCGCGCGAGAATCGTCAGGGGTGTCTTCGCCAGCAGCTTGTTGCTGTGCCTTGGCCGCCTTAGCCGCCTGCATACCGCGGACGCGCTGCATAAAGGCATCGGCTTGGGCAGCGTACTTGCACTTCTTGCGAATGGCGGCGCCGTACCTGTAGAAGATGAAGGGTAGCGGAATGCATGCGACGGCGAGGAAGGCTGGAATCGAAGACGCCCAGTGAATTCCGAGCCTGTCATACATTTGCTTGGTGAACAAGGGGAAGGCAGCACCGAATACCGATCGGATGATACCGTTGCCCGCAAGTACAGACGCAGCGAAGATCGTGTAAGAGTCGATGAGGTAGTTCATGATCGAGAGGAAAATGAGGACCAGGCCAAAGCCGAATGGAATCGCAGCCACCACACTGGCTGCCCATGGCACCGATGGCCCATTCGTCCACGCGAACCAGAAGAGACCGATGGGGAGGGCAATGCCACCCACGATGCACATGGGAAGCCGCGCCTCAGGAGTGGTGTAGCCAACGCCAGATGCCTTGACTCTCTTCATGTACTGTTTGTTGTCGAACAGAATGACGTAGGCGATGGCGAGCAATACACCGATGGCTACAGCCACAAAAGGCAGACCACTGATACCCTCGTTCCAGCCACGGCCGATACGGTACACAATGGGGAAAGCACCAAAGAGCATGTACAGGATACCGTAGATGATGGCATGGTACAGGGAAAGAAGCAGGACGATTGGCTCGCAGAAGAGGAGGATCCAGGGTCGCTTGAGGCCAGTCGAAAAAGCCTCTCCGAGTGTGACCTTGCCTTGATCGATATCAGTCCTGGACCGGTATACTTTCCCAGACAGCTTCGAAAGTCTCTCCGCACGTCTCCTTAGCAGTACCGGAGGATACGTCTCAGGGACTAGACAGACGGTGGCGATCAGGATACAACCGGACCAAATGGCCATCAGACCATTCACCCAACGCCAACCCTCGGTCATTCCTAGGAATCCACCGATGATCGGACCAAGGACAGGTCCCATGAACGGCGCAGCAGAGAAGATGCTCATGGCTAATCCACGCTCGTTCGCCGAGAACAGGTCAGCGATGACACCGCCCGCATTCGTAAGCGGACTGGATCCGAAAGCAGCGGCGAAGAATCGGAGCAGGAGGAGACCGTGGATATTTGGGGCACCAGCAGCACCGGCGTTGAAAGCGACGAAGGCAAGAAAGGTTCCGGTGAAGACGAGCTGCCTCCCGTATAGTTCAGAGAAGGGAGCCCAGAGTAGCGGACCAAGAGCGAAACCGAGGACGAAAAGCGATACACCAAGTGTGACCACTTCTTGGCTGACACTGAATTCTATCATGATCTGCGTAATACCTACTACTATTAGTCTTGCACTTTACTCCAATGACGGGCTCGACTTACCCCCAGAAAATGCGGACGAGCAGAAGGATACGATGAGAACCGAGTTCGCGACGGTAAGGGCCATGATCCACTTCTTCGTCTTCGCCCATGTCATAGGGTTCCTTGGGTCATTGTCTATCCATTCGACGACATACGGGTCATCCTCTGTGCCCTCACCCTCGTACTCCCAGTTCACAATATCATTTGTTACGACGCCTTGATCCGTGATCAGCTTCCAGTGTGAGATACCCTCCTTCCCAGACTCGATGTCCATAGTGCTCTTCCCACCAGCTCCGGTCTCTTTCTCCATGATGTGTGTGTTATATCGGTTCGGTTCGCTGTGTTGATGTTTGGAGAATAGTTGAATATGAAGCGAGGCCCGAGGCCTAGGATTAAAATGAGTTAATTAAGGGAGTGATAAGAACAACAGGCAAGAAAGACGACTATCACAACCAGGAGCGGGAACATGTCATATATAAAGCAACATTCCGTCGGACTAAAACCCTGCACAAGCGCGGCGCCCAATCTTCTGGAAATCTCCTATTTCCATCGCAAACTATGCGCCATACCACGGAAGGGTCCGCATGAGGATGACACCATGCTTTGGCCACACCAAAACTTCAGCAGCCTCGGCCGAAGCACACACGCTATTCCCGAAATGTGCCCAAGAACGCAAAATCGTGCCCTCGGCGCCAATCAAAGCACAGCCACGCCGCATCTTTATCGGGGCGCTCTCTGGAAATTGTGGACCAGCGACACGATGGCAAACAGATCCGACTCCGTGCGTCATGGAGCTAGTGCAGCTTATATGCCGAATGGCGTGGGTGCCGAGGTTACCGAGGCTGATGCACGAATAGGTTAGCGAGCTTGTCCTGCGACGAAATCCACCGGTGTTACGGGCGGAGCAAGACTGCACAGCGGAGGGTCGGACGTCAGACAAACACCAGAATTGGGGCATGGGAGGGGTAACATGGTGGTGAGTACGCGTGTCTATATGGAGAAGGCTGATAAATCAGCGTATGAGCGCCTGGTTTTGACAGACTTATGCGCCAACTGGATACCGGACACGGATTACTTGAAGTCCACAGTACCACGACAGCGCTATACCGACTCGTACTGCCTGACGGACGGGTCATCGAAGACGTGTCAGTTGCTCTTCTGGTGGTGGACACACATCATCACGACGAATTCCGAACTCCAACGCCGACCATATGCACCCATGACCTTTCTTCTTCAAGAACGCTGATCCATCCTAATAAACCTCAACACTATCATGATGTAGTTATATACGCTGTACTTACATGTCTTCTCTAATAGCAACTGCCGTACCCATCAGCCAAAAACTCTTTCCGCATCCTTGGCTCAGATTAAGCCTCCGTTAGGCTCCGCCAGGTGTGCAAGCCACCAGCGGACGGGGCTCCCGAGAAAGTGGGTCCGCTGTGATTTCAGGTGGATTCTAGAAAATGTCGTTGGGCCGTAAACGCGAGATTGCCATGCTCCGTGCTTTGGGGGAGCAATGTTTGCCGAAGTCTAGACACTTGACATTTACGATCTGGTAGATGGTGCACGGGCATGTTCAGAGAGACTTGTTAGCAAATATCTCCCGGGCCAAACTCTCCTGTTTTGAAGATATTGAGGCCGTCGAGAAAGATGTGTCAATATCGGAAGGATCATTCTAGCTCTATGCGGGTAGAATCCCTACTAACCCGCTCTTAACTGATTCGCAGACAGTGGATACCTTATAATAGTCTCCGTATTTGTTGTTTGTATTTGTGCATCGCATCTTGATAATTGTACATGTTTAACCTTTTTGATTCGTCTCTCATAATTCCTTCCTAAACATAACGCCCCGTCCAATGACCCTAGCGCATCTATCGTGCGCTATGTAAAGTTCCACCATGGCGGATATTTTCCAACCATCCTTTGCGAGATGTCTTTGAATCTGCCAATCTGTTCTACAACTTCCACTATCCAATCTCGGTTATAGTTAATCAAACCTCGTTGCTGGGGTATGCCACCTTCTCCGTGGGCAGGAACTCTTCCTTGACCGACCTCATATTCACAAATCTTGCCAACAAATTCGCGCTTCCAGCCTTATCGTTCGTTCCGCTGGCTCGGGATCCACCGAATGGCTGCTGTCCAACAACCGCGCCTGTGCATTTGCAGTTGATGTAAAAGTTTCCAGCGGTATCCCTAAGCTTGTCGGATGCAAACTTAATCACCTCGCGGTCTTTGGCAAAGACAGCGCCGGTCAACGCGTACTCGGAAGCCTCGTCAATGTTCTTGATGATGTTGGCGAATGAAGATGGCGTGCTGTCGTCGTAGACATATGTAACGAGAATGGGACCGAAGAGTTCGCGAGAGAGGAGGGGGTGGGTAGGATTCGAAGTGCGGTAGATGGTGGGGTGAATGTAATAGCCTTTGCTGCTATCGTACTTTCCACCGACCACGAGCTCAAGCTCGCTGTCGTTCTTTGCCTCATCAATGACACCGGAGAGTTTCTTGAAGGACGCTTCATGGATTACGGGGCCGATGAAGTTGGAGAAGTCGGATGGTTCGCCGATCTTCAGGGCTTCGGTTTCGGCAACAAGTATCTGCTTGAACTCCGGCCAGACGGACTCGGGGACGTAGAGACGTGAGCAGGCGCTGCATTTTTGGCCTTGGTATTCGAAAGCGCCACGGACAGTTTGGATCGCCGCGTTAGAGATATCCGCGTCCTTGTGAACGAGATGGAAGTTCTTGCCTCCAGTCTCGCCAACAATTCTGGGGTAGCCCTGATACTTGCCCTCCGTAACACCTTCTGCGATCTTGCCATACAAAGACCGGAAGACGGCTGTACTGCCAGTGTAGTGAAGCGCCGCAAACTGCCTGTGAGAGAGCACTTCCTGTGTCACTTCCACTGCATCACCGGGGACCCACTGGATCACGTTTGGTGGAAGACCAGCTTCGATGAGGATCTGGTAGAGTAGCCAGTTGGAGGCGATAGCAGACGGAGATGGCTTCCAGACTACAACGTTGCCCATTAAGGCTGGCGCTGCGGGCAGGTTGGCGCCGATGGCTGTGAAGTTGAATGGGGATACGGCGTATACGAAGCCTTCGAGAGGGCGGTACTCGACGCGACTATTGCAGTCAGCATATATATAGCAAGGGTCAGTTAAGGACAACGACATACTTCCATACTCCTGGTGAGTTGTGTACTGGTTGAGTTCCGTATGTATCTTCCGCATACTTGACGTTGAACCTTCCCAAGTCAGTCTCAAAACTTTGACACGCCTGTATTCCAAACCATACCTTAAAAAGTCACACAGTTCCGCCGCCGCATCAATTTCAGCTTGCCACGCATTCTTGCCTTGTCCCAGCATTGTTGCAGCCATTATCTCATATCGGTACTTTGTGGAGATCAAATCTGCCGCCTTGAGGAACACTGCGGCGCGTTCGGCAAACGGCAGTGCCTCCCATTCTGGCTTGGCTGCCAATGCCGCCTTTATGGCCTTCTTGACATCGGCCGGGCTGGCGTTGGAGTATTTGGCGACTACGTCGGCGTGTGAGGAGGGGTTGTGTTGTGTGAGAACGGAGGAGTTGTTGATCTAGACGGTGTTAGTGATCTGAGACTCATAATGAGAGGGGAGATTTGTCCTCACATATTTGCCTCCAACAGCCAAAGGTACTTGGACTGCACCTTTCTTCAGCGCCGCAAGCGCATCTTGGAGCTTCTGTCTGTCCACGGAGCCTTTGGTGTAGTGATGCTGGAAGGTACATGTTAGCTGATGAAAGTCATACACTGCACTGATGGCTCTCCCAACTCACATTGGGCTCATTGTTGACCGCAGGAATCTTGAAGTTTGCAATCGTGCCAGCATACCTTCTGGATGCGATTTGCGCACCAGCATATGCCGCGGGCAGAGCGTTGAGGGACTTGGAAACGGAGCACAGAGGCTGAAGGGTTTTCGAGGAAACCATTGTGAATGCCGTAGGAATTTCTTAGGGAATTTAGGACGCAATCGAAGAGCTGTGTGTCTATGGTTTTGTATCCAGAGCCTTGGGGCTTGGAATGACGGCGCTGTGGGGTTGAGCCGACGCAAGCCGCAGTGTGGAGCATACGAACGCGACTTCGCGACTGCTAAGAAAAGATAGCGGCTCTCAAATCCTCGCACCAGCATTTGTTGCGCCATTAGAGAACATTTCGTTGACAGCACGATCCGATGTCGCAGCGACTCTCATGCGGTCAGCTACGGTCCAGGGCTTGGGGATGGTTTTCGGGACTCAAAGTGGGGAGACAACATAGTAGCGTGCGCGAAGCAGAACAATCTATGGGGCACTCAGAACTGATATTCCGCATAATCATGATCCAGGCAGTTGTCATTGGTATCTTCGTGATATCTATCTGAATACTTGTCTGTAAAAAGTACACAGGCCCATCATTCAGCCCGTTGTCAAACGCCGATTCGCCGTCCTTTTTTAAGATGCTCTACATGTAGCAATATCTACATCTCCATCGCCTCAGGTGCATCGACGCCATTCGACTCATCGCCCCAGAGACCCTCCAACTTGAACTCTGCAGCCCACTCCTTCACAATCTCCTTCTGATCGCCGACAAGGCCCTTGGACTTGGAAGCAGGGGCTGTCTTCGTCGTTACGGGAGCAGCGGGGTCGTACTTCGGAGGGCTTGTCCAGCCTTGAATGCGCCCGTCTCTCCAGTCGTTGATAACAGTCTGTGCAGCGCTGTGGAGGTTGGGCACGCCGCCTCTGCCCAGTCGACCTCGCTTTCTCGCAACCTGGACCAAGAAATCGGTAGTCCTATCGTTGCCAACAGAATGTAGAGGAGGTAAATCGTAAACTTCCATGAGCTTAGAGAAAAGGTCCTCTGACGAAGACAGTCTCTTTAACAGGAGAGTCACGGCCGGAACAGGGTCATCAATCTCTTTCGGTGGAACAGCGTTCAGTAGGATGAGTCGTGCTTTCTGTTGTACCTTGCTTTCCTTGGATCCTTCCGAGCTGTTCGGGAACACAATACCAGGCGAATCGAGAAGCTTCAACTTGTTGTCCAGTTTGACTTCTCGCAGGCTGGTGGTAACGCCGGCTTCGGCACCAACTGGGCAGCCAGCAGGCCTGCCGCCCATCCTCGAACTCAAGGCATTGATGACAGAGGATTTGCCCACATTGGGATATCCGATGATGCCAACCTTGACTGAGCGCTTGAGTTGCCGTGATTCGGCAAATGTTTTGAGGGCCTTGAACAAAGTCTCGGAGGTTCCCTTAATGGTGAGATCCTTGTGCTCGAAGGTCTTCGCGCCTCCCGCCGGTTTCCCAGCACGGAGTGGAAGAGTAGGGAACGACCGCCGTAGATATATCAGCCATGCACGAAGAGCTGGCGGTGGTACAAGATCGATCTTGTTGAGGATAAAAATCAAGCGCTTGCTGCCTCCGTCGGCGGCCATGACCAGTTGTTCTACCTCTTTTGATCGTGTTGCTGTAGGATCTCGTGCATCAAGCACGTATAACACAACGTCTGCGGAGTCGACGACCTGTTTGTACACTTTGTCGAACTGCTTCCGTGAGGTGTCTTTGCGAACCTTGACTGCGCCGTCTTCGTCGGACTCTGAGTCTTCTGAATCGTCCTCCATGGCATCTTCGTCGTGCTCGTCCTTTTGTTCAAACGCGGCGGCGCGTGCTTTCGCGGAAGCTAAGAGTGCAGCCATGGGGTTTGCATTGTCCTGTATGTGTTTAGCGTCGTCGCAGAGTATAGCAACGCGGGTGAACTGACCACTTGCATGGAATCCTCATCTTCGCTGCCATCAAGCAGTTCGTTGTCCTCGACGTCGAACTCCTCGAACTCGACGTCGCCCTCCACAGCATCTGCTGCAGGTCCAACACCAAGTCTTTGTTGTTTTGCTAGTTCACGGCGGCGCGCATTCTCCTCCTCTTTTCTCCTGCGCGACTCCTCAACTTCAGCCAAGATCTTGTCCTTGTACGGGAAGAGGTTGGGAATGCCAGGGTCCTTCTTTGATTTCGATCGCCATTCTGGGTTCTGGTCTTATCAGCATGATTCTGTCTGGGTTGTACAGCATCCGTACCTTCTTAGCTAGCTTTTTGTCCTTCTTCTGCTTTGAGGCGGACCGCTTTTCGATCTTGTGTCGCAACCGCACGGGTTGGCGCTTCGATTTGGGCTCTTGATCGACGTCAGCGTGCCGCAAGATGACTTGGATATTAATAACTTACTTCCGACCTTCATCGTGTAATGTCGTTGTCAGGTGTGGCGGTCTGTTCGGATCACCGCAAAGGTAGTTCGAAATTTCGAAATCCGAGCCAAGATTTTGACAGGGATCCGTTGGCGGTGAGCGGCAGCATTTCGCACGTGCCCCTCCATTCCCCGCCGCAGCTCGACGCATCTTCGGCTTTTGCAGAGAGGTCAATTAGAGTCAAAAGTCTCCGACAAGGCACTTCAGCCGCATGGAATGATATTAAATGCTGTAGAAATCCTGAGAGATCGGATAGAGTTCCAGACTGAGGATGGCAGCTTCAGCATAAACTGCTGGTGCCTCTGTCATTGGCTGCATCATCAACAATTGGCGGCCCGGATACCTAATGCGGCTAGAACGTTCTTGCAACTCGACTCGTCAATGTTCTCTTTACTTACGCTGTCGCCTCTATTTAATAACGTGTAAGAACATGCAGAGAGAATAATTCCTTACTCGAAACACCAGCTCATCTTCCCCCCCGATTCCACGCTCACAATGACTGTCCCGGAACCTTCCTTCTCCGCGCCTGCCAAAACAGTCAGGTATCATGGCTTGGTCAGTCACACCCGACCACCCACAACAAAGACTGGCCCCTAACCATGTTCGTAGTTGTTTGATATGGAGTATGCGCCCTATGCAGCGTTACATGAGAATAGGTGGTACTGACCGTAGTAGTGGGACCATCATCGACTCCACAGACGCAGTAGTCAAGCATTGGCAGCAGTAAGTCGTCGATGCGATATCAAACACATGTGCTGGGCTCACCTCTTCAGGATAGGGAAAGAGATCGGCGTCAATCCCGAAGTGATACTTGCTACGTCACACGGACGAAGGTCGATTGATGTTCTCCAGATCTATGAGCCAAGACTCGCTAATTGGGACTGTAAGTGCATTCAGCATCATGGTTAGATGGACGCACTTTGCTGATGATGGGAGCTAGACATCAGCCATGCAGAAGGCCTGATCCCGAAAAGGTTTGGTCAGGATGCGACGGAAATCCCTGGGTCTCGAGCTATGCTGGAGAAGCTCGAACAACAGGCTGTTCCTTGGTGTATCGTCACTTCAGGGACACGACCGCTCGTGAGCGGCTGGCTTGATGTCATGAAACTGACCCACCCAAACAACATTGTCACGGCCGAAGATGTCCAGCATGGCAAACCTGATCCGGCATGCTATCAAATGGGAGAGAAGAAGTTGGGCCTTCAAGTAAAAGAACCTTCCATCGTCGTCTTCGAAGACGCGCCTGCGGGTGTCCGCTCAGGCAAAGCCGCCGGGTGTACAGTGGTTGCACTGTTCACGACTCACACGCTAGAGCAGCTCGTAGAAGCTGGCGCGGATTACATTGTCCGGGACATGCGAAGTGTCAGGCTCAAGTCATGGGATTGTACAACAGGCGAGGGACAACTCGAAATTGTGGATGCCTTGGTGGTGTAGGCAAACGCAACGACAGAATAAAATCTTTCTCACCAAAGTCCGGCTTATTTTCGCATGTACATGTACAGAATGACTTGCCGGAGTTGTTGCATGGATGAATCAGTTACTCAGTTACTCAGCTCCAGTCAGACAGGTGTGGTGGACATCGAGATAAGCTCTGCATCGACGTCTAGCTCCAAGTGGCTTTCAGTGTGAGCACAGCCCAGCTTGCACCGGGACTTGCCTTGCGGAGCATGTGGTCGCTTCGGCTTTCAGCGTCATCCCTACTCAAGTAAAGTCGCATGGTGTGTTGCATCGCATAGCGTTCGTCTTGGAGCCATCTGAGCCACACCAAGTGTTTTCTAGAACGTTAACAGATTACCGGATACGACTACGTCAGGACGGAATGACCTCGGGCACTTTGCTTGTTTGAGAGCATCGCCGCAGTGGTGCGACACCAGACTGCTTGATGTCGTGCGCGCAGCGTGTTGAGTGCAGGCCCAAGTTGCTGCGCTGCCCATCCGAGGGACGCCCTTGCTGCTGGAGAGTCTGACTTTGTTCAAGCAGCCCTTAGCGAGCTTCTGCAGCGGCCTCCCAAAAGTGAGTCCTGAGAGCTACGGCCGGGTTCAACGTTACCCGAGTCGGACGACACACGAACGTTGTAGGACAAGCCAGGCCGTATTTGAGTTGCTCAAGTCGCACCAAGGCCGAATTGGTGTGAGGGCTGCAAGGTACGCTCGACAAGTGCTGCCAAAACATGTGCTCCCAACATCCGCGAGCCAGACGAGGCGCAGAGATACCCCTGGGCCATGCAGCGTTCTGAGGACAAGGTTGTCACACAAATGCTCGTCTGGACCGGAAGCGGTTACTGGGGAGGTCCTACTCGGCGACTCGTGAGAGGGCAGAAGAGCGCCAGCAACCAAGCGAGAGTGTGCCAATGCGCAGTGGAGGAGAAGCGCGAGGTTGAAGCTGACATAACAGAGGCGCTTCGCGGGTTGAAATCACAGGAAATGGGCGAGGTCGAGCGGCTCTCGTGTAGGCCAGACGCTACACGGTGATTCAACTTGGTTCAGGTCTCGACTAGCAGACCAGCTTGGAGCCTTTCGAGACGGGGGTCCGTTCAACAACCTGGAGACGCCCTCCGACGAGGTATTCTCCGAGCGGGCGCGGGGCCCAAGCTGCAATCTCATCTCCAAGGCCCTCCCTATGCACTCGTCTCGGTAAATGACGATGGACGAAGCCAGTGTCATCGTTCCGAAGGGACATGATCAATGCCTCCTCGTCAAAGCCAGGCTCCCGCGGGCAGGCGGCGGATCAGCCGCGACCGCAGTTCCCTCCGCGGCCCGTCCAATAGGCGGCCTGGAGTAGAGTGCCCCTGTGCGCAACAAGCCGCTGCGCGCCTCGGACTGTTGACCTGGCTGTCGAGTGCTGGCGGTTCTGCTTGACAAGCGTGTGCGTGACGGCCTTCACGCTGCATCAGGGCGAGCAGAGCGAGCAGGTGGCCAAGGGCGAAAGCCTCGAATCACCAGCCGACACCCTGCTCCAGCGCAGCCTGCGTGCTGAGCAGAGACGGCCAGTGTCACGAACAATGCAAGTTATTTTTGTGCCGGAGAGCATGCAGATGGGGGGAAAGTGGCTTAGCCCTCCAGCCAACCACGGCCCGCTTGCCAACCAACTCCTGATATCCCCGGGCGTCCCTGCTCCTCTTCTACCGCCTTCCCACGCTCGCTTCGTGCCCTCCAGCGCTGCCGTCGCGCCGAACACTCTCGTTCCTGTGATGCTCCTCATCGTCGCTCGCTACCGCTACGCTGCGCATAATAAAACAGTATAATATCCCTCGCCCACCGCGGCCCTCGACTCTCCGTGCGCCCTAGGCCCGTACTACGCATCATCGCCTGAACCTTGGACGGCTGTTGCTGTCAATAGCTGCCACCATACCACCGTCGTTCAACAAACCGCACTACCCAGCCCTCCGTCGAGCTATCAATACTGCCCAACCCCGTCTGAGACGACTTTGTCGCTGTTCGCGGCGCGTCGAGTATGGATCCGTCCGACTCGCAACCGCAGAGCAGCGGGGCCTCCAAGTCTAGCACGACAGCTGCACCTGCGCAGAAACAGCCCGGCTGCGATGTCAAGCCGCGCCTCACCAAAGACCAGCACGATGTTCTCGAGCAGCACTTCTTGGCGCAGCACAAGCCGAGCACCAACGTGAAGAAGGACTTCGCCCTGAAGCTGGGCGTGCCGTTGGACAAGATCAATGTTAGCACTCGTTCCCCTGCCTACAGCCCATCATGATGCTAACTGAACTTGCAGAACTGGTTTCAGAACCGCAGAGCCAAGGTCAAGCAGGATCGCAAGAAGATGATGAACCAGTACAACATGCAAGTGGGCGTGTCGTACGGGCACCCGCATATGCCAGTCATGCCCAGCCAATTCACGCACCATCAAGAGCAACAACACGCGCAAATACCCATGCATCAAGACTTCTACCCTAGGACCGCTGACGTCAGCCCTCCAAGCCTCCCCGTCCAAAGCGCCGAAGGGCCGTCAGCCCTAGACCTAGGCCCCCAGATCTCACTGCAGCAGCAGTACGACATGCAGCATTCTCTGCGATCGATCCCAGAGGCTGACCGGACTACATCCTATCATCCAAATGCCGTCATGCACTCTATCATGGCTGCAACCAACGGGGCTTACATGCACAACAATGGCATGCCCATCAACGCGCAAGAACCAGCCTTCTCATACGACACAAGCGGACTACCCGATGCCTATTCGAATGACCTGGCTTTCAACGGATCCTTGTCCAACGACCTCGCACCGTCACACCCGGCCTTTACCTTTGCCGACTTCGGAATCGATTACTCCACGCTCACTGCTACCGAAACCAACACCTCAAGCTCAGCTGATGTCCATCACAGCACAGGGTCCATTTCTTCAGAGCCGTCACCCTTCTCTGGTGGCCAATCCACTGGAGCTACCCAGTCGCCCAACGGCCCAACTCCTCCTTCAGTCCCGTCAGTCACTTCTCTTTATACTGGGTGGACAGAGGATCAAACTCAAGTAGCGCAACCCAAGCAGGATGACGAGGTTAATGACCAGTTTGCCACACCTTACACACTCACCCAGGCGTCCGCTTCGGAGCAGACACTTCCATTCTGGGGTCAAGATCCACGCACTCAGGCCTTCCCACAGTCGAGTTTCTATCAGCAGCAGAACCTATCTGCGCAGGCCGTCTTTTCCTCGCCTGGGCAAGACCATGCACGGAAGCTCAGTGCGGCTCCTTCAGACTTCGACTTCCCTCCAGTTTTCCATGAGGATGCGTATGCGCGAAGGAACTCTTCAACGAGCAATCTAGCGAACAATATGGACGCAATACACATCCGAAACGGCACGCCAGATGAGTTCAAACAGCCCAATCAGCCTTCTAGTATTGCTGCGAGAAGACAGAAGCGACCAGTTGCTTTGAACTCAACGGCAATTAGGAGTGCGTCTTACTCTGCTCCGATGCCTTCTCCTGGTGGCAACAACGATCATGCTTTACGAAGAATTCGTTCAAGTGGAATTGGGAATGCTGCGGGTCGTATCCAGAAATCTCAGCCAGGCTCAGCACAACGCTCGCCTATGGCAATGAGCTTCTCGGACGCTGCTGCTTCGCCCAAGTTTGCAAGAACGTTTTCCTCTTCGAGTGCTACTACCATTGGACAGGGCGGTAGTCTAGCACCGCCAACCCCACTCACTCCTCAGGATTTCGGAAACTATTGGCAGAGTAGTACCGTCATCAGGCCACATTCGGTTATGCCTGAGCACAACAGTCCAGAAAGCATGCACACTTGCTGGTCTGTTGACCAACCTGGAACTTTACTTGGGAAGAGCAACTCCCCGCAGTCTACGTCTTTAGACTTGCAGGCACGATTTGCCAATGACGCTATGTATCGCGACACGCCTCCGCAGTCAGCACCTGCCACACAGCAAACCTTTCCAAGGACCGCGTACACGCACCGTCCCCAGATGCGAGCGGGCTTCCACTCAACTACCGACCTCACCATAGAGCAGCCCAAGCCATCACACTTCCGGAGACCTTCGCTTCCGGATACTGCGCAAACTCAAGTTGAAGAGGGCAACATGCAGTATCTTCAGAGCGGCAACATCAACTACAATGACTACAAAGACATTTCACTGAATAGCATCCACCACAACATTCCCTTTGCTCCGCCGGTCTCGTCCATGCCAGATTTTCTTGTCCATCAGTACACACCACCAGACGGCACAGATCCGCATGGCAATCTCATACGACGAGCGACAGAAGCCCAACCTAAAAGCTTCATCTTTGCGAATCAAGGGCCTAGCGACTTCAGGGCACAATAGGACCCGTGAAGCGTCATAGGCTCCACATCAAATTTACTCACGCCCTTTTCGATATTTTCTTGATTATACCCAGTTTCGCTCAAATTAGGCGATAGGCTGGAGAAGCCGCGCCTCATCTCTATCACCATCATCTCATAACTTCATTTTGTCACTATTCTTTGATCATCACTGTCCATGAAGAGGCGGCACACGATTCATATCACCTTGCACCCTGTCTCTTCTTTAGCATGTCCATGTGGTACGCAACGCGAGGTCTGGAGGATAGCCTCTTGGTAATGGTAATATAGTGTCTGGTGGTCACATACCTTGGCGCAGGCGTTTGAAAAGAAGTGAAAACTTCTTCATTTGGATATCTTGCACTGGATGAGCTGGATTCACGAAACGTTTTCTTAGCGTACATTTTTTTATCTCATAAAGTTACAGGAGCGAAGCCTTCGGGCTGATTAGTTCTTTGCCATGTTCCTATCAGTTTTCATACGGGTTGAGGGAGGAAGGACGATGGAGCAATGATGGGCCGGTCATGGTGCCTGGATGCAGTGCAGGAGACCCCCGGAATGCATAATTCGAAATGAGAGTGATTTGCCGCTCAACGGCCATCCGTTCACGTCTCTCACCATTGCTTTACTGTGGAACTGTCCGCGTGATCGACTAGCATGCTGTGTGTCACTCTGCATGCATCGGTCAGAAATGGAGATGACACCGTTCAACCCAACTAGACTCAACAACCCACAGCCTTGACTCGCAATGAAGCAAGCGGCGTATATGCATCCTTCATCTCCACTATCTCAACAACGCATTTTTCTTTTCTCCCCTGCATGTAGGCACATGCTCTCCCTTCCTCCATGGCGATCCCACCTCTCCGACGCGAAGGCCCCGATCTCGCTGCAATATCGCAACGTCCGGGGCGGACCGCAGAGGGACCGCAGAGGAGGCTGATTGGACTGGATGCCACACCACACATATACACACACACACGCACGCTCATTGCTTTTGATGAGCCACCCGGTCGTTCGCACATCGAACTACTAACGTTGCTTTTTCTTCGAGCGACGGCACGCCATGCAGACCCTGCGTCGGACTAAGTGACCCCTCTGTTGGACGGACTAGTCTAGTGTTGGTTGTTTCATGTGTTGAGAGAATTTGCTATACTGTCGGCGTGAATGGCGATACTCAAATGAGTAAAAGCATGCAGTCAACGCTATCATTTGCCTTGCTAGTATAAAAAAACCGAAAGTAGAAAGGTATATGCCGCCCTGCAGGAACCTTTTGGTCTAGATCCCTGTTTCTTTTGCAGATCAAGATTTTCCTAATGTGATCGGAAGAAACGAGTAGTCGGTAAAAGAAAGAATAAACTTTACATCCCCACTTATGGCTGTTTGTCCCGAGCTCGAGCTAAGTTTCAGCTGCACATGGCCACAGCCACTGCGTTGTTGATCATTCTACTAAGGGGGTGGGAACCTCTTGAGAGTTTGGGCTCATTGTTACACCTTCTGGTTTCTCTCTAGAACGTTTTACTTCCACTTTGTCTTTAACAGATATAAAACTCAAAGAAGATGATTATACATATAGATTCTCCAAAAGGCCTAGGTGACAAGAAAGTTGAATCTGTTCGTCTGCAGTTCTGAAGAGTCTCGGAACTTTGAACCGGCCGAGGTGTGCTCGATCTGCAGGCCAGTGGGGTGATATCGGGCACTGGAGTCTGGTTGGTGGGTACGTTTGTTTGGTAGCGACGGCTGATCGGGAGTGTATTCAGGCGAGTTGAAGGGGAAAGTCGGATTCGGAGTAAGAACAGCCAAGTTTGATTGGAGTTCACTTCCCGTCAACAGTGGTACCGTGCACTTGGAGTACGTACCCATATCACGCGAGACAAATGGTAGTGAGAGATGAGATTCTAAGAACGCCAAGGATTCACACTTTTGTTTTGTGGGTCGGAAGATACGGTCGCTATCGTAGCAATGAAGATACGCACATGAGCCTCTATGATGATTTTTCTTTTCTGTCTAGAGTCATTTTCCCCAGTGAATTTCACGAAACCTGCTCCACTTCCACGTATAACTCCTTTGCCCTTATCTTGGTCTCTATCCCTCCACCCGCTCGAGAACCAATTGTTCAACCTCCCTCGAGGGTGGCGTTGATACCGCCGAACTCAACGCACTCGCGCTAGAAAACAAACTCGAACTTCGAGATGGTGGCAATGCCATGGAATTCTCACTCGAAGTCGTCCTTGAAAGCGCATATATAGACTCGTAGTCCGGCGCAAATTCCTTGGACGGTTCCCTCGGCACATACAGTGGCAAAGGATCAACATCGTCGCCGTCCTCCAGTGGCGATGGTAGCTCGCGAGGCATGCGAGGCAGGATTTCGAGTGGTGTGGTGGACTTGACGGTGAAGTGTTGGTCATTGAATTTGATGCCGATGGACACGGTTAGGGCGTATCGGCGTGTAATTGTGTAGGTTTTGAAGGTTGGTACGCATTCCGCGTCGTCGACAAGGCGGAAGTTGGATGTAAGTGACACCATTTTGCCGAATGGGAGAGACTTGTTCATGCTGGTGCGTGCTATACAAGTAACATGTTTCGAGACAATGTCCTCGGGTTCCGTCATGTGATGCCCACACATACTCGTGGAGTAGGTAGAAATAGTGACCGATAGAGAATCCAAGATGCATTCTCCTTTGGCCTCATTGAATGGATCTCTTGTATTCACTAGGCTTATGGAGAGGGGTATGTGTTGTCCTGGGGCTATTGACTCGGGGTGCCAAAGACTTGGTAAAATTCGCGGATTGCTATTCGAAGAACGGCGCAAGAACACCTTATCGACTGCCGTTCGAGTGTTTTCTTTCTCTTTTGCCGGTTTCCATCTTTGACCGTATAGCAAAGCCGAAGTGATCTTGGCCTCTCGTGGTACCTCTCCTTGTGGTGTTGGATGGTATCGCAGCATATGTTTGCATCTTTTCGTGCCTCTTGAGTCAGCAAAGACTAGCCTGGCCTGAACGAAGTAGGAGATATGTGCTGCTCCACCTGGCGTATTGGTCTTGAGTTGAAGGGTTGGCGGAAGTGGGTGCGGTTCTCTGAGGTAGTTGGGGCCATGAATCAGTCGCTTGTATCTTTGCTCAGTCGATTCTGGAAATGTGAATTCGAAAGTCCACGAGTACTTCTTCGGATCTAGCGTCGACCGCGGTATTATCTCTATTTCACGATTGAAAAGACGGATTTTCTCTTCGTAGTCCCGTCTTGGTGGGACGTCGTCGTCGTTTCCATAGATACGGTACGGTCGACTCGTCTTCGTAATGCAACTGCCGGCAAAAACCACCTTGAGTGACTCGATTTGTTCCTGCTCTTCCACTATCAGAATAATTCGTCCAGTGACTAGTTCTCCCTTTCTATACGTCTTGTTGCTGTCACCATCTACGATAACTCGCAACACTGGCTCTGTCATTTTGTACGTGGAATTGGGAGATCAGCAATGCAGGGACCGAGCTTGCATATAAGAAAGAACGAGTGATTTCGATGATTCGCCCGATGAGACACCCGGTTATCGGTGGTAGTCCCGACTAGGAGAACGTTTGCCGGGGTTATAGTCGGCGCCAAGTAATGTGGGTTGCGGCTGGGCATGCAACAGAGATAGGATAATGGAAGGTAGGAGGAGTAGTGCGTCTTGGGAAAAGAGGCTGAGTGCAGCGGGAATGTACTGCATTTCTTGCGCAAAACTGGGCGGCTTGAACACATAATACCGCCAAGTGTCCGACAAGAAAGCGGTAGGATCAATGTCCAACGGCTGCACTTACATACCTCGCACCGAGTGTTGTCCATGGCGCTATAGCTCCATGATAAAGAATGTTTGCGGTCGCCATGGCCACGAACCACGACGCCCGTTTCAGCTACCATTCGATCGTAATGACAACCTACCCAACGGCCCAATACACCTTTGACACCTTGTTCCAAGTCAGGCCTCAAAGATAATCCTTCGGTGGCATTCCACAAGTGCCAAAGAGCAGAATGCAGCCAAGGAGGCAAGGCCCTCTTGGCTGGGGTCTCGATCAGCCACGCGGAGACCCCAGGTTCCCCCGCTATCTGCGTTAAAGCCCACCAATATGGGACTGCAGGTAATCAAAGCAGTCCACAAACGATATGTGATTTTGAGATCTGGAGAATTGCAAGCCCAGTTGGGTGAATCATTTCAGATCGAGCAATCGGTTGCAGAATGGAAGTGAGTTCGAAGGGGGGAAGTCTCCTACGCCAAGCCACATGCACCAACGACGGCCGATTACGCGCTTTAAGACCTGATTGCGTTCACAAAGGTCTTGGATGGTGGCCAAGACCATCATCACGGACCGACTAGCCAGAAATGCCGGAGGAATAGGGAGACAAGGCCGCTCGCCATGCACACGAAGACTGCGACGGCTTGTTCGCAGCCCGGTACTCAAGCTCGACGCGCGTAGCTGCGTATTGAGCGATCTTGCAAGCGTAAAGCCGTTGGCAGGCGACGACGACGACGCCGCCCGTTGTCAGTCTTGAAAACAAACGCTGGTGTGCTGAGAGATAGGATTGGGATTTCTGATGGAGGTGCGACACAGCGATAGACGCTTCGTTCCACGAGCCAGATGATGTCGTGATTGCTAGATTGAATCCTTCGGAGGACTACAAAACGAGCATGCCTTAGTGGGCTTAGTCCTAACTATCATTATAAAACACTAGCCTTTCATAGCCATCAAACTTTTACAAGACGTCGACTACCATGAACGTCGTGTAAAAAGGCTTGACCAAAGCTGCAGCAATGAAAGTCTTCCAAAAGTGGTATACAGTTCGCGAATGGATCTAGGTCTTTTCAAGCTGGGGACGTTCAGAGACATTTTGTTTACCTCGTGCTCTTCTCAACGGTCCACAGAGAAGCGTGTGGTGAGGATGCTGAGTTCAGCTCAAGATGCAGAAGCGCATAGCCGATTTCGATCTTGAATACTGTATGCATCTAACAGAGTCAGCAGCAAGCCTACTATTTCTAGAAGAAGACGAAGAAACAATGCACAAATCATGAACTATGGCTGGCACTTGATGTCACACATCTTCGCAGCGAACTTAATGCTGGATGCACCCTGACTGGCGGCTTCCATGCTATTGCAATGTACCGGCTGGCCACATAACTTCAAAATACGTATATGTAGATGCTAGTGACTCAATTGGTGTTGCATAGTTGAAAACTGTATATCCTAAGCGAATCGCGAAATGACGCGCTCTCACGCGCCGGGTCCATGCAACGTGCTCAGCAACTCGATCGCCCTAGTATCTTCAATAAACACTCCCCGCAAAAACACATGCCCCAACCACAACGGTGACCTCCCCACGCTACTTCACACCATGCCAGCCAGAAAGAGCAATGCGTCAGCAGTATCAAACGAAGATACTCCGCCCGCGAAGTCCGCGTCAAAGGACAGAGACGATTCTTTAGGCGTCGAAGTATGCGCTCATACTTTCTACACTTCCAGCAGTGCTAACACTCGTAGGACCTCAACCTCCCCAAGTCGATAGTTCAGCGCCTCGGCAAAGGGGTCCTGCCGCCAAACACACAAATTCAAAAAGATGCGCTGCTTGCCATGTCCAAGAGCGCAACTGTCTTCGTCAACTACCTCACCTCATGGTACGCCCTCCCACCCTCTCCATAAACCACCCGTCATCCGAATGTTTCCTCTACATATTTGCCAGGGTTGGAAGCTAGAGCTAACTGCTGGCTGTCATATTGTAGTGCAGCCGAACACGCCCAGCGCAGCGGCAAGCGAACCATCATGCCACAGGACGTCTATGCCGCCATGACGGAACTAGAATTCGAATTCATGCTCCCCCGCCTCGAAGCCGAAGTAACGAAATTCACGAGCATACAAGCTGATAAGCGGAATACGTATCGGAAAAAGGTGCGCGAGGAGAAGAAGACTGTTCCTTCCACTCCATCAAAAACTGCCAACGAAGATGGAACAGGGGAGGCTGGTGTAGACGATACGGAGAGAGCGGCGAAACGCGCTAGGAGGAGCAGTGTTGGTGACGGAGGTGTTAGTGGAGAGGGGAGCGACGGGGAAGAGGTCGATGAGATGGTCGATGTAGAGGATGAGGAGGTCGAAGATGATGAGATTGAAGAGGAGGTTGTGGAGGAAGGGCTCACGGAAGACCCTCTTGAAGAACGGGTGGATAAAGACGAGGATGATGAGGATGAGGAGATGGGGGATGGTGATGAGAGTGACTAGGGGAGTTCTGGGAAAGGGATCATGTGGCTTTTGGAAGCGGGCAAGATATCAATGCATTGGACGGCGTTCAGGCTGGGATAGTTAGGGATCAAATATCCAGACAAGGCGCTACGGAGCTTTGAGAAGGGTTCCTTTTTCAAACGCCTGAAGAAATATCTGATCATAATACTGCATGTCATGAAGCTGCTGAGCTATCCATTCGCTTTGAATGAGTTTCAAACCCGTGAGTAGCTGTCCTAGTCCAGCCCACCCAGTCATTTCTACATGTTGGCCTCCTCTAGCATGTTATGTTTGCTGTGAGCCAAACTTCCAATCACTTAAACTAATTGGAAAACGCTCCTTGGGCCACAACCTAGCAGCCTAGGGACTATAGTCTTGACCCAACCCTTCATGCTGAGCCAGGAGCTCCGCCCACAGTCTCCTTCATTTGCTCTGTCACACACGCAAGGCATGTGGTAGCCTTGATGTATGGTAAGACCTCGACAGATCCGCGCAATCAACCACTCAGTCCCACGAACTCGCAAAGCTCGTCTTTGAGCTACCCTGCTCTTCCATTTCGAATTTCGCCTTGCCCTCCTCGACCCATGTCTCGAATCTAAAAACCCCAGCTTCTACGCTTCTGATCGGTGTGACCTTTACGCCTCCCAAATCCTTGCCTTCTTGCTCGTTCCTTCGTGTTCCGGCTTCTATTTCTTCCTCCTCGTCTTCATTCCTGCTGGTAGCCTTCCGTCCGGTCTTCTGCAGACTGGGCTGTACCGGTATCCACGGCTGCGGATGTCCAATTGGCGGATCCACGTCGCCCTCGTCCTTCAATTCCATACTGACGTTGAATGAGCAGTGTGGAGGGAGTGGTGCAAGCTGCGAGGTGCGTGTTGTAAGGGCGATGAGTGCGGCGCGAAATTGTTCAGACAGGTTGGTATCTACATCCACGTCAAGAGCTTTCTGCTTGCCCTTCATCCTCGCATTGCTGTCTTCGTTATCGGAGCCGGTTGGGGAGGGAGGGGAGGAAGAATTACGGTCCCATTCAATCCCCATATTCCGCTCGTTTTTTTCTACGACAGGGAAAGCGGATACGTCGAACATGTAGCGCTCCATTATCTTGGCGCTTCCCGTCTTGTCCTCGCCTCTGTAGCTGAATACTACGATTCCAATGCGTGCTACGGTGCCTTGAAGCAGCTCCTCACGCACAGCGGCAACGGCATCGCGTATCCATTCGCAGACGAGTGGATGTCGTGACTGATAGACGGAGGTGTTGTGGAAGCGTGAGTGGACGAAGGATGTTCGTGGGTAGAGTGTACGTAGGTAGAGCAGCGTGTGGGTGTAGGCGGTTAGGAAAGTGGTGAACGCGCTGAGGGTTTCGAGGTATGTTGGCGCCATTGTCGCGGCTGTGCGTGCGGTGAGGTGTAATTATACCGTGTGCATGCGATGAGTACAATTAGTAGCTCGAAGTATCAAGTGAAAGGACGTTGTCTGTTTTGTCGAGTTCCTGCTGTATAGCTCGGCGCGTCGCGTCGCGTGCTGAGCCCCCAGAAAGCTGGCTGCTACATAGCTTAGGATCGTATTAGGATCGAAATCGGTACCGACTGTGAGGCGAGAATTCTGTATACGGTATGCCTCGCATACTTTACGTTTGCAATATGGTGGACCGATGTTGCAGGAGGAAAGATGGGTTCTCGCATTTATCAGGATCGGAACTATAAGCACTATCTTCGACGACCATTAACCGGAGCATTGGATCGTCATTGGCTCACCAACACTTCTGTCGCTACTCATTCCTCTCTCCCTCTACCTGATAATCCCATCTCTCTAGTATCCGTTCATCGTGTAAATATTATCTTGTTCATTGCTTCCGCTCGTGCACCCCCACTTCGGCGAGGCTTCACGGCGGTGCCCCGCATCTCCGAGCGCGCTTCTTTTCCACCGTGCTGTGTTTGACCGCCTAGGGACACAACAACAAACGCGTCAAAATCCGGCCCATATCGTCTGCCAGTCTGATCGGGCAACGCTAGACGTGGTGACCTCGGGACTAGCTCTATACGCGCATGCCCCACGCCCACCACCATGGAGGACCAACTAGTGCAGCTGCTCTCAGCTACCCAAACCGCCCAAGAGGGTCCGCGCAAACAAGCAGAACTACAACTCCTCTCGTTCTACGGTCACCAAGAGCTGCCCCTCGGCCTCGTCGGAATAGCCTGTCACGACAGCGTACCGCTCAACATCCGGCAGGCTGCCCTGCTGTCACTCAAGAATTTTGTCTTGGCAGGATGGAGTAATAGCTTCGATGAATTCAAGGGACAGGTCTTGGTTAGCGACGAGAACAAGGTCCAGCTACGGCAGCGCCTCCTTCAGCTCGCGACTACAGATCAGCTCGATCGCAAACTCAAGGCTGCCGCGGGCCTCGTCGTCAGCAAGATCGCCATTGCCGACTATCCAAATGAATGGCCAGACCTCCTCGATAACCTTCTAGAACTCATACCGAACGCGACCGATGGACAACTACACGGTGCCCTCAAAGTGCTTAGCGAGCTGGTCGAAGACTGTTTCAACGAAACCACCTTCTTTGGCGTGGCACCACGCCTTGTCAAGATCCTATATGATGTGGCAATCAACGAGCAGAGAAAGCCTACACTGAGGGCACTGGCCTGCAAAGTGTTCCACGGCTGCTTCGACATACTGGAAATGGTTATGGAGGACCATAAGACAACTGTCAGGGGGTTCGCGGACGAGATACTGAAGGAATGGATCCCCTTCTTCATCAATGTCATGAACACGAGGTTACCAGACCCACCATCATTCCTGGAGGAAGAGAATGACGCACCAAATGCCGTCACCTACAAAGGGCATGTTGCTTTCAAGCTTCAGGTGGTCAAGGTAAGCAAGATTGGAGAAATTCGGGATGTCTGTTGGCAAAGCTAAGCAATTTAGGTACTCATGCGCATACGATCCGTCTTCCCTGCTATTCTCTCGCCCCAGAGCCTCGTTCTCTTCCAAGCAACTTGGGAAGAGTTGTCTTTACTACAACCGGCATACTCTCTTATGTACATACAAGAGGAGCGTCAGAGCAGGCTGGAAGACGCCGATGGACTGCCATATACGCTAGATTTCCTCGTTCTCGAAGAACTCGACTTCATGCAGGCGTGCCTTCGAGCACCCCCGGTCCGCGCACAGCTTGAGCAGGAGCTCCAGAACCAGACGCCAGAAAACTCATGGGTCACTCAGGTTATGAAGCTAGCCGTCGCCTATGCGCAGATCACCACGGAAGAAGAGGGACTCTGGGACATTGATGTGAATATCTTCCTTAGTGAAGAGACAAGCGTGACAGCCAACTACACACCCCGAACTGCCTGCGGCGACCTGGTCATCAAACTTGGCGAGTGGCTTACGGAGCCAACCATCAATGGTTTGCTGAGCTATACACGAGTTCTCTACTCCGAGTCCAAGGGCTGGAAAGCAGAGGAGGCTGCACTGTACGTACTGAATCAACTGCTCAGTGACTTCCAGGACGTCGAGAAACAAATCGCACCAGAAGCTGCGAGTGGGTACGTCGACTTCATCCGATATGCTATGCAACAACCAGATGCATTTCTGAGAGCACGTGGCTACCTCGTTGCTGGAAGTCTAACAAGGACATCCGGAGATGCTCTGCAACAGCTCGCCACTTCTTTCCTCGAGGCATGTCTGCAAGCTATACCACAAGACGAGTCCGATGTGGTTCAGGTCTCATGCATTCGCGCTATGCAATACTATCTTCAAGCTCTCCCACATGCCATCACACAGCCACTACAAACCAACATCATCACGGCCATAAGCAACTATCTTGCCGCGCAAGATCTCCAGGAGCTTGCCGATAGTGACGATCTCATGGTCACCCTGGTCGAAACTCTCAGAGACGCCATACTCATTGATACCCGGATATGCATCACCGCCAATGGCCTGGATACACTCTTTCAAGTTGCCAGTTACCAAGCCAACAACTTCCAATTGACAATGATGGTCGTCGAGACCTTCGAGGACGTGACTCAGTCCATTGCTCAGATGGGCGGAGACGCGTACATTCAATTGTGTACCAAGGTCCTTCCATCTCTCACTGGCGCTTTTGACGTTGGCAGCCTCACCGAAGAGAATGCTCTGTGCAACTTCGCTGCTGATCTTCTCGCTGTCCTCGCTGAGCATGGTCCCGAGCCGCTACCAACTGGCTTTGTTGCTACTACAATGCCAAAGCTTACTCGACTCCTTCTCGGCTCAACGGACGAGGAGCTGCTCAAATCTGCTACCATTGCCGTGAAGAATATTATCTCGCATGATCACCAACAGCTCTTCGAATGGCGAGACGACACCGGTAAGGCCGGTCTAGAGGTCGCACTAATCATTGTTTCTCGCCTGCTCTCATCGTGCAGCGATCACGCCGCTGGCGAAGTCGGTGCTCTTGCCGCTGAGGTAGTGGAGAAGGCTGGTCATGAACGACTAGGCCCGTATCTAGAGGAGCTTCTCCGGAGTGTTGCTGTACGGCTTGCAAAAGCGGAACATGCGCAGTTCATCCAGAGCTTAACACTCGTCTTTGCGCGGTTGAGTTTGAACCACGCTTCCGAAGTCGTGGAATTTCTGGCTCGGCAGGATATTGACGGCCAAAATGGTCTACAGGTCGTGCTTGCAAAGTGGCTCGAGAACTCGATAAACTTTGCTGGCTACGACGAGATTCGACAAAAGTACGTACAAATGCAGCGCATCCTTTACGGCGATAATTGTGACAAACTGGTCTATGAATGGCTTGCGTCAAATCTGATCTCGTTGTTTCCCCCAATCGCTATATCAAAGATGGTCCATGAAACTTTGCTAACTCTGGCAGTGTAATCGCCCTCTCGAAGTTATACGACTTGAAGGATCCTAGAGTCGCCCAAGTCTTGGTCAAAGGTGAGTTGATTCCTAACTCGGACGGTCGCATCATGACCCGGAGTCGTGCAAAAGCCAGTACGTGCATTCCACATAAGCTTCTATTGTTCTGCTTGGTTCAGAGTAGCGCCTCCATCATGAGTAGTGGGACCTCTTCACTAGTGCATCTATCTAATCTATGAGACAGACCCGGACGAATACACCATGGTCCCTGCACCTCTCAAGATCTTGAAGGTCCTAGTCGTCGAACTCCAGTCCGCCTCTGGCGCGCCCCTCGACGCAGCCGCAGCCGCCGAGCTGGCAGACGATGACTCCGACGATGGCGACTGGGAAGACGAGCCGAATCCTTTCGTTGATCTCGGCAGCGGCTTCAGCAGAGAACAACTCATGGCGTTCGCAGCTGAAGACGGGCCCGGCTCAAACCGCCAGCGGGATGACGAAACACAAGGATTCCTTGTTGAATTCTTCAAGCGTGCTGCTACCACACACGGCTTCTCAGATGAATTCAACCAACTGACTGAAGAGGAGAAGCAGAGGCTTATGGACAGCGCTGCGTAGTATGCAGTATGGTACATACTCTTTGCTCCCCCGACGACGGAACAGCTTCGATGACGAGGATAGAGGTGAGCCTGCTACATGTGACCCATCTTGAAGTGGACGAAGAGGAAGACACTATTAAGGAACATGCGATCATGTCTGGATGTCGCTTTCGGTTTGGACAGAAGGGATTACTGTGGATAGATAGACTGGAAACCTGCTTCTGGGTTACGAAGTACATGAAGGCATGAAAAGCCCATAAGATCAGTAGATCGATTGCATTCGTATAGCAATGTTATAGAGAATATATACATGGTTTTCACTGCGTTTTACCACCCCCCTACTACTAGATGACATGGAGCCTTCACTGCGTTACTACTTTGCCATCAGTCTTGGACGTAACTCCTAGTTTTTCAGTGCAATAGTGTCAAGCCCTCAAGCTCTCTCATAAACCCCATAATGGGTTAAACTAACTTTGACATATATAGCGATGCTCGAATTGTACGATCGCTTGGGGATATCGGCCCCTAACTTCTCTAGAGTAGTCAAACTTGTGTATGAAGACTACATCTGTCTTGTAGCCATTCAGACAGTCAAATTCCTTGAACCTTTCACCAGTTCTCGGATGTATTGATCCACCTTGTTCGGACACCAGCGTAGATAACATGTGTCCTATCTTGTCTCATCCAATTCCTTCAGGACTACACATGCAGAGTCCAATCTAGTCCAGCGCGTGCGATAGTGCTCCGAATCCGTCCACCATGCTCACCCCTCGGAGACTGTAAGAGCATCAGTCAGCATCTCAGTCCTCCATGATCATCTCACCTCTCAACTGCAGTGATTCTTTTCCGAACGAAAAAAACTACCCAATCACTCCCCTTCATCTTCAGCCCAAGCTCCCACCTTTTCCATAATCGACCAATAGCTTTATATTAGCCCATGTCGTGCAACCACACTCGCATCTACAATATACAGTAGTGGGAAATTCAATACATGTATGTAAGCTGCAGCCTCGTCCTACCACCCCACCATCTCTCGCCCTCCCATAAACCAAACTAATCATGCATCTCTACTTTCCAAAATAAGAACACGACTAGAGAGGAGTTCGCATGGCTCTGTATGCATACTAGAGCCAGACTAGTGGATTTCCAGTATCTAGGGGGAGTTCAGCTTCGCTCACCGAAGCGCTATCGATAATGCACGCTGTTTGCTCCGCCCCCCCCCCGCCAGCTCAGGTTTAGACGCTGGAATAGAGTAGGTGTGGGAGGTAGTTTTTTGTCTCTTTGTCTACCTCGATGAAGGTGGTGTTGGAATGGTTGCGGTGTGTTGGGCTTGCGGCCTCCGGGCGCTTATGCAAGTGACGACGATAGTGTTGGCGAGGGCCGCACACCACGTGGGTATAGATCATGACACCATCATATTGGTGAATCCCTGCTTGAACGGTTTGCGCCTACAGTAGACTTGCTCTGCGCTTTTGGCGTCGAGAACAGAGGATTACTATCCGTTCTATGTTGTGTCGACGTTGGGGGGTTTACACCTCATGGAGATCAAAAGCGATCGCGATGCAAGCCCGATTACCTACCTAGTAGCATGTACGATCTAGTAGACTATTACTAGCGGTCTTGTTGAGTTGGTGTGTCGATAGCACATGGCAGAAACTCCAGAGGAGGTGTTAGGTCGTCGAATGGAGCATCTGCATAGACGCTTTCCGCATACCGATACCACACACGTACTCTGACTACTACCACTATCTTGAGATACTCAGCCAGCCAATCCCGAATTACATTCGCAGCTAGGGTAGGCGCGTAGTATTCACCTCGGAACCCGAAGCAGCAAGCCCATATCTCCCATGCAAACAGCCCGTCCAGCTGACCACATCGGCAGCCCATAGGGGCTTCGGTTTCTTCTCATCAATTCGCATTCCACCCAGTGTAGGCTTTGTATAGACGTGGCCTTGTCTCTGGTCTTGTGTTAAAACTCCTCGGCCAGTTCCGAAGAATGCCATGCCGGGCTCCCTTTTTGAACGACATGGCTGGGACAACAAGGTCACCAGGCCATCGTCTGCCTGCCAATGCAACCAACGTACGAGGGTCCCAGCCATCTCGATTGTTTACGCTTGAATCACGACTCAGATGTGCTTTTACAGTCATGTAGGTTCAGCCGGCTCGCTCGGGATACTTGCTTGGACTGCGGGGTAAGAGAAGTGGGTTTGTGGATGCGAGGCTAGTAGGCAAGTGGAGAAGAACTGGAGGTTTGGCGTTCGTCATGCTGCTGCCGTCCTCCAACACCGGTAGGAACGGGGGGCCCATGTCTCTATGCATGCATGAGAGGGCACCGACCCAAACGTTTCCCGTTTCAAAACACTCGCGTCTCGCCATTGGCTCCGGTCTGAAGAGGTGCATGAACCGACGGTAGAGACGGCACAGTTCATCGTTTGTGAAGAAGTGTAGCCGCTTTTGCTGGGGGCAAGTGTTCACGAGGGACCACTGTTCCCCAGATTCCAAGCGCAATGCGACGCAATTCAGGCAAAGTGGTCGCCATATTGCTGTCGCTCCCTGGTTGCACAGAATGAACCCGACCTCGCGCAGCTTCCGGAGTAGGCCCAGAACTAGACAGATGTGCTGGGTCTGTGGAGGTCATCTGTCTTTGCGCGGTTGTGCCACGGTGGTGTTTGGGTGATACTTGCTCTGCTGCGGGGTTTGCATGAAGATGGAAGTACTTCAGCCGGCAGATGCGATGATTTGACAATGACTTCCAAGCCAATAATCGAGAGTGTTTGGAGAGGACCGAGTGCTTCGCTCAGCTCGTGTTACCTACCGTTATTATTGCCCACCGTATCGTCTCAGGAACACAGAGTCTATCGACGCAGCGGAATATAGCGTGTCCCTGCTAGCGGACTCGGTGAAACCACACTTCCATCCCATCTCAGTAAACCTCCGTGTTTGTACAACCTTCCACTCGTCCGCTAGTCCAGGCTGCCGTCCCGTCCCTGCCAATCTGGAACGCTAAGAAGCATTCAGATGATGCAGCATCAAACACTGCTGCCTAGCACTCCGTACACTCCGTATCACACCTCCAGGAGTAAGGACGGGCCTTGCAAAGGCAGCCCCCCAGTCCAATCACATAGCCATCACATCGTATACCCAGGGATGAAGTTGCAAAGGGCGTCCCGTGTCCAAGGGCAAACACAACGCCTCTTAATTTGGAAAGGTGCGCTAGGTCGGGAAGGAAGGGAGGCTGAAATGAGACTGACAGCGGGAACTTGCAAAGAGCCGCATATTGGCCGCCTTAAAGGCCCGTTGCGAGGCCCGATATGCTACTGATGGAACAAAGGGAGAACAATAATAAACATGTGATAAGCTGCGAGATGTTGATGAGATACCAAAATAATAATATGCGCGTACTGGAAGGGATGGATGATGGTGGTGGTGGTGCAGCGTTGGTGCCCGCCGCTTGTCCCGAAGACATGGAATTGCCAATCTCACCCACACCACAACAAAACCCACGCAAATAGAAGCTGCTACTAACCAACTTGCACCTCTCGCACGTGGGCAGCATCATTCACCGGTAGATAGCAAAAAAAGCGGACCAGATAAGCAACAACATCCAACCGCCTTGGAGGCCACCCTTCACTCCTGAACGGCCAAGTCGCATGCATGTCCCCTTTTATTGGATAGGTGCGTTCCCGCCTTCGCTACGGCCGAGCATCACCGCCACGCGCTGTGTGGGAAAAAGCAAACAGCATCGGGCCTTGCCTTTTTGGCCAGGCTTCCATACATGCAGCGAAGAAGCGCGCGTGGACTGACTGGTAAGGCTGAAGAAATAAGCGTGCTTTTATCGCGCACCGCCAATGAGGGTGTGGAGGGTGACATGCAAGCGCCCACTGGCTTTAGTCGATATATTCCGTCACGGTGATGGGGGGACGAGTCACAATGCACGGTGGTAGGGGGCTGAAATGGTGGTGTAGTGGCATGTGAAATCGCTGGGACCGGCACATTCTGTAGTGCGCAAAAGAGTCATTCTTGAACATCCGAGACTCGAGTGAGTCGCCATGGCTCTGGCGTGTGTCTCAGATGCCATGTGTGCAGCATGCAGGGGCTGTGGATCCTCAAGCATAGTTCCATAGCAAGGAGAAGGGACAAGTTAGAGGCTCGATGCGATAGCCAATGATATTGATAAATTGATAAGATGATACTAAGAGTGGTATAAGGCACACTGATTTTGACCGTGAGGTCCCGATCCCGATAGAGATACTGTTTAGAAGCAAACCAAATCTAGTTGCCAACCCAAAACCAAAAGATAGAAACCAAAGATAGAAACCAAAGTGGTATGAAGCCTGGTTATCCAGCCAGCCCGAAACACCATGCATGAAAAGCAGTAAGCAATAGACGACTGAAAATGGAAGGGGGGATATCATAGTGAAAGCCGACTTTTCCTGTGACCCGCCCAATGCAGTTCCCTTCCGCGCGACCTAGTAGTAGTAGTTGTTGTTACAGAGATGGATCGTCCAGAGCGAAAAGATGCAGCAGATTAACAATTACAAACAGCAAGAAAGGGTATCTCGCAGTAAATATCAGACGATGAGCAAAAGCAGTGACGGGAATGAAAAGTAATACCCAGACAAACGCCAGCGCCAAAGCGTCCAGGTATCGAGCGTGATGACATGCTAGGCCGAGGGATAGCGAAGGATGTCTTCACAGTTGGCATCAAAGCGCATAGACCAGAGGCGCATGCCGGTCATGAGCTTCTCCGTCTTCTCGAGCTCTCGGTCGCGGCCAAAGATGGATTCGACAAACTCGCGGCCGCTGTTCTTGCCCATGGACACGGGCTTCTTCTCGCCGCTCTCCTTCTTAGCGGCCTTCCACATGTAGTCCTCGCAGACTTTGAGGAGCTTGGCGAAGCGGATCCACAGACGCTCGCCGCTCTCGAGGAAGTCTTCCACCATTTCGTGGCTCTCCTTCTTGCGGATCTTGGGCATGGTCTCTTCGGCCCTCTTGACTTTGCCGGCGAGCTGGATGAGGAGGAGCCAGAGCTCGCCCGCCATCTCGGCGAGAGGGGTAGCTGGGCCGTAGTAGAAGACGGTCCAGTCGTAGATCCACTTGCCGAGTGAGTTTGCATCGAAGACGGATCCTAGGAGCATGATGGGTTCTTCAGTGGGGTCCCAGTTCTTGTACGAGTAGCCAGCGGGAATGCCGGCGCGGGCGGCATCTTCTTCGGTGGCCTTGGGAGACGACTTGGTGGCGGCAGGCTTCTTGGGGGTGGCGGCTGCTGGCTGGGATCGAGTCGAGTGGGAGGAGCGGCGCGGGCGGCTGGACTTGGGCTCTGATTCATAGATGGGGACCTGATCATAGCAAGAACGATCAGCATCCCGGTACATGTCGTGTCGCGCGTACTGTTGGTACGGTGGCGGCGGATAATCGTAAATGTCGTAGTCGCATTCGTAGCCGTAGCCGCGGTCGTCGTAGACAACTTTGGTGTGGACATTGCGCGCAGCCTGCGACGGACGCCGCTTCCTCTCGCGATTGCTGCGCTTGAGAGGAGGGGCGTCCGTGTCGCGACGAGGACGGCTTTGATGACTGTAACCAAAATAACTTACATATTCGGGCGTGCCTCGCGGCGTCGCGTATGTGCGTGGAGACGTAAAGTCCGCGCCATACTGAGGCATGGCACCTCCGCGAGGTGCGGCGTAGGCCGAATACTGTGGCGGGACGGCATGGGAGGCGCGTCGAGAGTGGCCCTGGACCTTGGGGCTGGTGCGAGGCGTCGTGACTTGGGGGCCATGGCGAGGGGAGTAGTAGTTGGCACCAGGGCCAGGAGACATGGGTGGCGTTGCGCGGTGGTGGTAGTCGTAGGCCATGCCGTAGCCTGGAGGCGGTGTTTGATATTGGGGAGCGTACATGTTGGCGACGGGTGTGGTGGTAAAGAAGTGAGGTTCTTCACAATGGGGGGGAGAGTGTAAGAGACTCGGGGTGTTGAGGAGGGATAGAGCCCAGGCCGGTGCCTGCTCACCGCGGAGTCTGCAAACCGAAAGTGTTTCTTCGTGCGCGATAGCAGCGGACGGTGGTGGAGGTGAGAGGAGGTGCAGCGACGGAGGAGAGGGAAAGGGAAGTCCGGCTCTGTCTACTACTGCACATTGAGTGGTGTGTGGTTTGGATGCTAGATGGTGCCAGAAGGATCCAGACTGAAGGATCCTGGAGTCGTGAAGAGGGTTGTTTAGACGTCAAAGTCTAGATGCTTGGTAATGGGGGGTGTGTGAGGTTCGAGTGCGCGAAAGAGGAAGCGACGGGCTGACGGCTGCTTTTGAGACGAGCCCTCTCCTACCGTGCGCGGACGGACCAAGGACGGCGCGCCCACTCTCCTCTCGTCTCGTCTCGTCTCCTCACTACTGTACGTACGCACCCACACAAAAACCCCCCCTGCACCGCCCATTCACCCACTAGCGGACAGCCCAAAAGGACCCCTGACAAGAGTACCCCCGGCATTCCTCATCTACGGGTCTGACTGTCATGCAGTGCCTCGTTGGGATATTACCCACGAGTATTCTAGGAAGCTAGCCCCCGATGACTGCTGCGATGCTCCCAGAAGGCCTCTGACTCTGAATAGCTCGCGACCCTCTCCGCTGCAAATGATTGATTGGGACCTGTCCTTTTGCCTCTGTCACTGTTGATGCCTGACGGGGCCAAGGCAGTCATTCTCTTCTCTGCCATTTTCCATTAGGGAGGGCCGAGTAGCCTTGCCCGTGGCTGTTATTTTCGGTCCTGTTTGGGTGGGTAATATTGGGAACAACATGCTCCCCTCCTATATAACTCTACCCAAGCTGGACAGCCTCTCACAAACCACGCGAGGCCCGGTAAAGCAGCTTCAGCAGCTCCACGCTGTACGCCCTCCCCTTTGCTGTGCCACACTCTTGTACCTGCTATCGAATCGAACAACAACTCGCCGTCACCGTCGCCGTCACCGTCTTCAGCCCGTTTCGTTTACTATTCGTTTACTATCCAAGCTCCACTCTCGGCAATCCCTCCAAGGTTGGGCAGGACTCGCGGCTCGCTGCAGCGCGGATGCAGAAGAACGGCCCACTCTACCTGTGCTTTCCAGCTGCGAGCACCCTTTGGCACCGGCGTACATGCTCCCACATGGGTGTCGTACACTGCCAAATCTGCGGCCAACATCCCGCCTGCCGAGAGAGCAGAGACGGAATCCTTGGTCTGTAGCCTACCATTCGACATGTCTCCCTTTTGTTCAGCTCGTCACAAATGACTTGCCTTGCTCTAAAATGGTACGCTATCCTTTTGCCTAGTCGTGACACTACACAAGAGCCGTCGTCGCGGCACACGGATAGCTTTGGCTGCATCTTCCATCCAAAACAGCGGTAAGGTCCACCAATTCAACGTCGTCCCGCCTCGCCTGCCATGGACGACAGTTGCTGGGGAGTGCCCTGTCACGTCCTCAGAGCCGCACTGTTTCGCTCGGATCTCTTGTCGAACTCTCCTTTCGCACACAGACGACAGTACGAAGTTTAATTTCCCAACCGTGAAAAATTTTCAAATGTCTTGCAGATTGTCCCGGTCGCTGTTTGGGTCATGCTGTTGTTTACCGCTACTTTCATCCTCTGCACTCCTCTTCCAAGGCACTCTCTACCGTCGTCAAAAGATCCACTACGGCTGCATACCGCTCCCGCGCCCCCAGTCTGATTCGACGGGGACTATCGACAACAGAGCAAAGACTCGCTTTTGCATGGATACGATCTCCCAGCTTGCAGCAACTACGGCTCGAAACAGCAAGTTCGCGCCGTAATTGTCTCTCGCGCTGATCATGACTGGCTCATACCCATCCTTTACCCGTGCTTTGCATAAAGCGTGCGCCCAGGTCACACACTGTCTCGATTTCTCCCATGAATACACTCCCTGCAATTTCTCGGCACACAGTTCTCATTGAATTTTGATACTGGCATTCGATCCCTATTGGGCCGCATCCTTGCCGCCGGGCGCATTCGATCCTACCGAAGCCCGCACATTTCAATTTTGAAGTCACCCTGTTCTCCACTTCGTTATCAGACAACTCATCCTGCGTTTCCTCTGCGCACCGCGTTGCTATGACTCCTCAGGGTGCCATCATAGTTGCTCCGCGCCCGAAAGTCATAGTTGCTATGGCATGGCTACTGGAACTGATATGGTACTCGATCAAGTCCTCTGGTAAGCACCCTGCCGTACGTGAAGTCTTCCTAGACGGGAAGTGTCTGGTCGGCCCTCGAGTTTGGTTTCGAGACAGGTCAGCCGTCTACCGACAGAAAATATGCAACGAATTCTGTTACTTCTCACATGACGCACTACTTGCTTTGGCGCAGCAACGCCAGCCCTATCGCGCGCAGAACAACACTGCAGCTTGGTGGGTTCATCGCGAGACCACGTTAGTATGCCACGACTGCAGGCTGAGCGCAGCAATGGACGTATGCGAGCTGTCTAGCTGCATGACCTACCTCCTAAAAATATGCCTAGCCCAACGAATCGCTCGTACATTCCTTCGATTAATACACTGGAATTGCAAGTATCAGCTTTGACGATGTGTGGCGGTGCACGTCTGGCATTGAGTCATCCCGGCTCACATGAAGCATACAATAGAAATTATGGCTGGGCCAAAATGGACGCTCCTTGCTAATCGATGATAGGTTCTGCTATGTGGCGAGCACCGCCCTAGAAAAACAAGCAATTCGTCGCAAACAACGCGCACTACATCACTAGCTAAAATCGGCGTCCGCGATACTTCGTCTGTTCGAATCATCCGCAAAGCCTGAGCTCATGTCTGATGGCACACGTCAACATCTTCTCGGATCCGCCTCGCTTCGTACTTCATCGCCTCAGACGAGACATGCGACTCGAGCCGGACATCTCTTCGATTCGATTCGACCCACTACCATCGACGATGGTCGAATAATGTCGAACGGTGACCTGACGTTTCTCTCACTCGTCCGCTCCAGCGTTGACTCTTCAACAGACGTCTTCCAGTTCCATCAGATGACCATATCCGCTGCTCCTTTCCAACCTATATCGTTCACGTATTCGCCCAAAAATCGCCATCGCTGAGGCCGCTCGCAGAGCTAGAGTCGCCAGTATCCTTGGATATCAAATATAATGAAGCTTGCGGTGAGTCATGCCATAGGGTGCAGATTGTTGCTTAGCGAGCCACAACGCAACAAGCTCTTCCTTGCCACGCTGGGCATTGACGACCTGTTTCCAAGTGGGTTGAGTCTCATGCGTCATAGCAACTATTCCCTGCATTGAATGCGACCAGGGATCAAGCATTGCAAGTGCATTGAGGCTCTGCGATATAACGGCCCAATCTTAACAGCCGTCCTGGATGCCACGAATATGGTCCAGGCAGCGAGTATGAGTCCCTCTCGCTATCGTCGATCGCCTGATTCTTACCATCGTATTTTACGCGTTTCCTTTGCCTCTTCCTCTGTTCCGTCAATGCACTTCCCCTTGTCACATGCGATTCTTCATCTCCAACCACAACCAATCCAGCATGCCTTCTCGGGGACTGCTTGCTCACAAGCGCCAATGGTCTAGCAGAACGCCCGCCCGCCACCATTTACCATGACATCGTTCGACCATCTTATCAACGATCATACGCGTATATCGGGATATCTTCCCATTTAGGCAGCTGGGCTAACAGAAGGACGGTGCCCTCGTCTCATCTTCGCTGCTGCCTAGAGCTTAATTCAACATCAGGCTACTAGCGATGACGAGGCTTACAACCATCGCGATGGGGGTGGAATAACATCCAGAAGTCCTCCAGATGATGAAGACGGTAAAACGATCTAGGCAACCATCTGGGCGAGAAGACGTATAGATGAGTGGAAATGAGCCGGAGAGCAGAAGGCGAGCAATCAATCCGTAGCGGCGTTGTACGGAAGCCCACTTCATCGTAATCGGTTCAGCTGCCGCTGCTCTTCTGCAAGTGGCAAGAGCTTTTTCCTCTTCGGCTGAGCGGGGGCTTGTCCTACCAAATGAGTAGATGAGGTGTTTAACGACATTGTCGTGGGTTTGCCATCGACAGAAGCTATGATCGCAGTCACAGTGAGTATATGCCGGCGTGTCTTTCGAGTTGTCAAGAGAGCTCGACTGAAAAGTCATATGTTAATCTACGTCCATGGTAGCTCAAAGATGATGGTGATGCAATATGGATGCATGCACTCGTCGCGTAGTTGATGGGGTATCGAAGACCCCTCAACCGTGTGAGCAATAGTCGACAAACCGTGGTTGAACCACAATCGTCCACCACACGATGGGTCAGTACCGCAGAAATCACAGTAATCCCCGCGTCAAACAACACTATAAAACCATAACATCATTTAACAACACGATGAATGCCCCGTTATTGCAAATACCCTTTTTCCCTCATCTTTTTGCAAGCTAGAACGCGTTCTCACATAGACATGCATGCCTCACGTCCTCCCACCTTTACAATGACGCCGCCCATCCCATCTACCGAACAAACACCACTCCTTGACGGAGCGGTGATGATCCCAATGCCCAATCAACAACTGCGCATACCGTCGCTGAAGTACGCTACTGTCTTGAACCTCCATTTGTACAGGCGGCGGCTGGATAAGTACGGCGATGCGCCGAGACGAGGTGAGGAACGCCCACAAGAGACATACACACCCAAATTAAACTAACTGGGAGATAAACATGCAGTAGTCGTTATCGAACACCTTGAACGAGTGCGGAGACATGTACTCCTTGGACTGCACGAGATTGAACAGCATCTACTGGAAGTAAGAGGAATCTTGGTGCAGAAGCGGTCATGGAAAATGTTCATCTGGCCCGCGGTGTACGTACTCTCTCTGTATTTCCGTTCATATCATGTTCTTCTCTTCTCTTCACTTCTTCCTCCGCTATCGAATCGCCTTTTCCACACCCTCTTCCAAATTCAATTCCCAACATCTATTCCCTTCAACTTTCCTACCTAAACGACAGCTCAACTTGGCCCCCTTACTCACCCCAACCCACAGCGCAATACCCCTCCTCCTCTTCATCGACACATACGCCCTCTTCCAATCTGAAGAAGGCCTTTTACCCGGTGCAATCATCCTCTTCACCGGCGTGTGTCTGACTGCTGTCTGGGCCACGTCCCGCATCTTGTGCCTTGAACATATGATTATGAAGACTGTGGAAGCGCGGATAAGGATACTGGAGATAGCTGCGCGCGTCCAGGGTAGGGAGGCTGTAAAGACTAGGGATGAGGAGTGGTTTGAGAGGAAGGCGTGGGGTGGTGTGTTTTGGGACTTCGGTGGGGTGTAGATGGGGGTGGGTGAGGAGGAGAGGGAGGATCTTGTGGTATTGATGGACTTTTACTATGGTTGCAATTTTATGATGTGCGCGTTGTCTCTATCTGAAAAGTTGGGTATGAGACTCCTCATATGCTATGTATCCTTTCTGTGTACCTGACTTCCACCTACTAGCTTGGAGCTTATTTTGAAGCTGAATAGCCATAATCTCGACCTGACGCGATGAGCACTCTTAACCTGTACTGAGTATAAATAAAGACCATGCTGTGCATAAAAATCTGTGCAAATAGTGCTTGTATTTAGCAAGGTGCTCATACCTAACCAATGGGACAAGAATACGCGCTAAATTAGAACCCGGTTCTGATGTCTTGGTATGCATACAAGCTGTACTATCATTCTCCCATGCTCCTCTGTAGACCACGATTGAAGAAGACCAGCTTCACCCCTAAACCCAACTGCCAATACGTCGCATCCCAAGTTTCCACGGCATTAAGTATCCTCAGCAAGACCAGGCTCGTCGTCGGATCCGAAGCAAGATATCTGAACTCTTCGGAACAGGGAACACGTACACTCCCGGGTTCTCTTCTGGTGGGCTTTTCGGCATAGAAGGTGGTATTTCAGGGCTGAGCGGGTGATATGTGCTCCAATCTCCGGGGTGAACGTCTCCTTGCTCAGCTAGCGTGCGTACTTTGAAGGTATCGCTTCTGATTTCTCGAATCGGATTACGAGACCAGTTGTTTAATGTTGGCGCTGTTAGGAGCGTTCTCTTCGGTTTGGTATATGTGCTCCAATTTTCTGGATGAAAACCTCCCTGCTCAGCTAGCGTGTGTACTTTGAAGGTATCGCTGGTAATTTCTCGCACCGGTTTGCGAGACCAGTTGCCTAGTGTTGACACGGCCAAGAGATTTCTCTTCGGTGTAGTATATATACTCCAGTCTTCCGGGTGTACATATCCTTGCTCAGCCATGGTGACAACAGAAGATGTATCCGCGGTTAGGTCTCGAACAGGGCGGCGTGACCAGTTTGCCGACAATGAAACTTCCTGTCTCGGTGGGACTGACGGCTCTTGATCAGTGCTCCAGTCCTCCGAATGGCAGTCTCCTTCGTCAGCCATAACGTAAAGTTCTTGGTGGAGGCTCCCATCGCTCGACGCGGACCCTGTACGCCGATTAACCACAAGTATGGGAAACAAAGCGTGCGCGACACAAGAGCCGCCGTGAGCATTGCAACACTCTGCTGCCCCGGGCTTAAGACCACGACCATATCACAGAGCTCTAGAGAGCTCATGATGACGGACCTGCCTGTACCCCACCTCCCCTCAACCCAAAACCACGCCCACCACCCCGTGCAGGCCCCTGAGGCTGACGAATAGGCTTTTCCTGCCCATTCGGCGTAGCGGGCCGACTTGAACCAGCTTCTTTTTTCTGGATATACACACTCCCCGGCTTCGGCGCGTACGTTGGATCGAAAAGCTGGCGAGCTGGAGCCGCCGCCGCCGCTCTTGCCGGTGATTGCTCGTTGCTCGATCTCGGCTGACTGTCCCTACCAGCGCGCCCTCGTCCCTTTCCGCGTGTAGCCTTGCCCGGCGAGTTACTGCGCGAGTCTTCTGTGGCAGAGGTAGCAGGTGAACCAAAGATTCTCTCACGGGCTTCTGCATATTTACGCTCTTTCTCTGCTCGTTCGCGCTGGGCACGGGCTTTGCGTTCTTCAAAGTCTGCAGCCGCCTTCTTTTGGCGCTCTTCTTCGCTGTCGTCGTCGTCGAGGCTCATGCCTGCCATATTACGGGAGAGGAGTTGCGGGGCGGGCTTGCGCGCGAGCATTGTGACTTTGGGCTTGAAGGTCGGTTCAACGGGGATGGGGTTGCGTGCTTGGGGATACCACTGAGGTTCTGGGTTCTCGCTTTGTCGAGCAAGTGGTTAGCTTTCAGCCTCGAAGCAATAGTTTGGAGACGTACGCCGACTCCCAGATCTGCTTATTCAGTTCGGCGTGTCTGGCTTTGAGTTGAGCCTTGGTCAGTTTGGGCTCGGGCTCAGGCTGGTTTCCATCTGGCCTGTCGTCTTCTTTCTGTGGAAAAAATGAGCAGTTGCGCGACGAAGTGGAGGGGCAGTTGTACATCGGCAATGGATTCCCAGTCGTCATCCCACGCGTCCGCAAGGGCGCCTTTCTTAGGGGGCATCTCACGTCTCTCTGTGGGTGTTCTGAGATACTGAGCAATACTCGTGGCCCAAAAGGTGCCTATAAAGTGCGAAGAGGGTTGGCGGGTAACAATGTCTCCCTCTCAGCTCGCCAAATTATCGAGGGTTCACTGCCGCTCCGTGGTCGAAGCGCACCTGCAGCGGGAGCTAAAACAACAACCCGCGATTAGGTAGCGCTTTGACTTTCACTGCTGCCTCCCGCGTCACCAAGCTGGACACAAACACTTCACCGCCGCTCAATCCTGCTCTTAAGGTACCGTCAAAATGTCTGGTAAGTTTCTCACCCTGAATCCCTACTGCCACCACCATGGTGAAGCACAAGCGACAGCTGCTAACTCCCGATTCTTTGAACTCAGACGTGGACGGCGACAGCACCATGCACTCCAGTCCGTCGCTCAACGGTAACGACGACGACGAAATGTTCCCCGACGAGGCTCTATCTCACAATCCCAACCCTAACCCCGACCCTTCCACACCACACCATCCCTCGATCAACCTCGCCTCCAGGGAACTGTCCCCACCTAATTCCCAGAGTCAACCCCGCGACCCCGCTAGCCTTACGCTAGGCGTCAACGCGAACGGGAAGCGTCCGCTATCCCAGGCCCAGACAGCTGGAATGCTAGGCGGAAGTCATCAAGACGCTGAGACGGGTTACCAGTGGTCCAAGCAGGAAGAGCAGCCTGGATACGAGTGGAAGAACACGAGGGCGAGGGAGGACGAGGCCAGGGCGCTGGAGAGCATTGTTGACAAGGGCAGTCAGATCAAGTGTGAGTATCGAGTACACGGGCTAGGACAAGATGTGAACATGGTACTAACGACTTGGTAGTGAGGTACGGAGATCCCTTGGATGCGAGTGTGGAGGCAAAGATGAAGCGTTGAGCAGGACTGAGTGAAGGGCTCATCAAGAGTCGGACAGCAAACATAGGAAGAAGGTTACATGATGGATACGGCCTACTTATACCTGAGCGAAATGGCTATCATAAGAGATTTGGACAGCCAGAACTTCGGAACAGCCAGCAGCGACTGCCAGAGAATTGCAGTTTACACGATGCAAACCAGAGGCCATAGCCATGCACATACCAAGGCGATTGCCTGCGCATGAATGCCATGACACTTGATAGTATCAATGAAAGTGGATTGTACTACCAAGACTGCCAAAATAGTTGATGTGAATGGCCATGACTTTGAAGACCTTTTGGGAAGTAATAATGCAGATAAACGTGTATTCGCGTTGGAAAGCACGCGATGGAGCCGAACGCTCTGCGGGTATCAAAGGTCCCCTATATCCTCCAAAATAGAATGAAATAAAATGCCTATGACAGTGAAAAAGTAAATGTCAATGTCATGCCCCATTAGTTACATAGAAAGAGGGCTGGAGGATGCTGAAATTGTGAAAAGTCGTAACTGTTGAACGCTGCCAAAATGACGCTCGTCACCTCCTGTTCGGCGGATACCCTATTTTCGTAAGAGCATGCTGCCTTTCTAGGAGGGCCTGGTGCGCATTTAACCTTTGTAGGGCGAGAATCCTCCTTTCTTGCCTCAGATTCTGCCCTTCGTCCGGTGCCTGCAGGGCATCGATACCATTTCGCCCATTCTCAAGCCTCTGCACTTCATTATGCTGTGTCCGGTTGATTGCCTGTTGCATCCTTGCCTGTGGGGTCGTTACCTGTCGATTCACGGTCTCTTGATTCAGCTCTGCATTCGCTTGTGGCTGTCGCTGCTGGCGTAGGCGGCGTACATTCACGTCTTGCACATCTTGAGGCTGTTGATGAAGTTGAGGCTGTTGATGAAGCTGAGGCGGTAAACGCTGTAAACGCTGTAAATGTCGTTGTCGCTGTCGTTGCTCTACTTGTTGGAGCTGCTGTGCATTTAGGTCGGCTACGTTGCCTATCCATTGTTGAACCCTACCGATATTGTCCATGGCCCCGAAGCCCTGAGGTCTAACAAAATTGGTTAGGCGGATGATACATATGACAACGTGGACATGGTGGTACAAATGGATGATGATAAACATACTGAAAAGGCAGCTGTTGTGGAGCAGGACCTAGGTAGCCGACAGGGTGGACAAATTGGATGGGATGAACGGGCTGAACGAAATCGGGGACGCGGGCAAATGCAAAGGGCTGTGGTCGTACGTACTGAGCTGCTGGTGGAACAAATTGAGGCACTCGGATGGGACCCCCCATACGTTGTTGGAAGACAACTGCATCGGCCCCTGCTCGAACTTTACGCGCATCTTCTGCTAGCTTAACTTGGTCCGACACTTTGACCATCAGGTCGGCGTCGGAGAGACCAGGGTTATCAGCTCGAACTTTAGCCATGGCCTCATCGGCTGCCCTCTGAACTTCTTGCTCGTGACGGTCTTCGATGTTTTCGTGTAGAGGACATTTCCCCTCTTGTGCCTCGCCGAAGTGTTTGTAGTCGGTTACGTTCTTGGAGCAAACATAGCTAATGTCTATGTCAGCAATCGTGCACAGAGACTAGTCTTACAGACTAGGATACTTACCATTGAAGGTTTTTGCAGTGCGTGCAAGTCATTTTATTGCAGCCAAAGTCCTTAATGAAGGGATGTTTGCAATTGTTGCATTGTCGAATCAAGGCGGCAGACATCGCTTCTTCTACAATGTGTCGCAATGTGAGCTGACCGTCCTTCTTGGCTTCTTCGCAGCTGATTGGAATGTGTGAATCTTTCTGGCACAGTCGGCAACTAGTCTTGCCACACTTCGTGTTCTGGCACCGGAACTCCTTGTCGATCTCGACTGGAGGACATTCCATCCTGAAGTCACAAAAGGGGCATTCCGATAGGAAGTCAAGCCCTGCTGCTTTCAAATCCTCTAGCTGCTGCATGTGCTCCAGTCGTTCGAATGTCTTCTCGCTCAAGACTTGTTGCAGGAAGCGACGCGAAAAAGTACCATTGCAGTCGTCAACTCCAAAACACTTTGGACGGTAGCGGGACTGTCCCATTTGGGTCTCAATTTGCTGCCGAGGGCAGTTTGAGCAATAGAAGTGAACCGTGTCACCGTTGCAGCTTATCATGCGATTGAGGGGTACGTCGTTGAAGCAGCATGCGCATTCGCCCATCTCATTGTTCATCTGAGCTTGTTGTAAGTTGGCTTCTTCAGCCTGTTCAGCCTCGTCGGCTTTGCGACGTTTAGCTGGCAGTTGTTAGTATTTAGTCATCTTATGACAATAACCGTCAAAGGCCCCGAAAAGGTGCATGAAAAAGAGTTTAAATGTCTATAATCGACCTGGCGGTACTACTAGGCGTGTTGAAATGGTGGCTCTAGAGTACTAGGTTTTGTATGCTGCGTGTATTATGAGGAATCAAACTTACCAGCCTCGATCTCGATCTTCTTCCTTGCAGCGTTTAACTCTTTCGGAAGTTGACTTCCACGTTCGATCAATTTATGTTCGAAGTCGCGCTTGATGCGTGATTTGCCGGTGATTGTAAAAGGCGATGCCACTCGCCGGTAGTTGCGGACTTGTTCTTCTAGCACACCGTAGGCTTTGAAAAGAGTTTTGTTCAGTGCTAAGACGTTTGTGATATGTCGGATAGGCACGCTGAGAAACTCGTCTTTGAGGAGATCTGATCTGAATGAAGGTAACGTTAGTAGCAAGTAACGATCGCGGAAAAGGTAAAGACAAAGAGGGGTAGAGGCCGAGCGCGAAATGCAGCAAGTGAATATCGTGTGTCATATGAGGGCCCGATTCCATAGCCAGCGCTGCAGGTGGTGCTGGCGCTTTGCTGGCGTGGGTACGTAGTCTGGATGACAACAACGACCGCTTCACTCGCTTGCAGCATGTATCCAAGGTCATACTTGAATGCCACACTTGGAATGCTCCTAGTAATCACAAACTTCAAGAATTGTACTGGTAGCTACCTGCTGTCGAATCACAAGGCAGATATGTACGCTTGTGTTTGAAGATTCTGGGCTGGAATCCGGGTAGGTAGTGCAGATCAGTTCGACTGGCAGTAAATCACGAATACCATCTGACATGAATCGAACATTTACTTACGCCTGTTGTTCATATCCGGTCGCTTCGGGGTCTCGTTCACCCTTCTCATAATCGCTCAAATCGCCATCATCTTCCCTCTTCCTCTTCTTGTTCTTCGCCTCGTCCACCTCTTTTGGATACGCATCGCCGTCCAGAAGTTGAGTGACAACTTTCTCGCACAGTGCGATTGTACGTGTGGCATCTGTTGTCTTCTGGTGAATGACTTCGAGCGCATGGTCGACGGAGATATCCGGCAAGACACCCAGGACCATCTGCAAGCACGCGGCTTCGGTGACGAGTTGCGTATCACCGCCCCAGTCATTGGAATCCTCATTCGAATGTGATGTTTTGTCATCTATCATGAAAGGATCAGATGGCGGCACATCGATATCTGGGATGGCCGTTAGGTCGATCGTGTCGCGGTCTTCTAGGTCGAAATGCGCGTTCACATTGTAAACAGGGTCGTCCGGATTGGGCAACTTGTCTGCAGGTTCCACTTGGTCATCGTCCTCGCTATCAGATACTAGATCGATAACTTCGTGGCCGAGGTCGGCCCCTGATCGAGCCATTGCGTTTTTGTCGGCTTCTTGTGCTGTTGCAAGCGATGCCGTTGGGAGACAGCTCGAAGGTCTAGATCCTGCTAGTACCTTTACATAAGTTGAAGTTGAGGTCAGAATATATTATTCTGCTTCCCGTCGTTGGTGTGGGCAAAGGATTAAGTAGTGATAGCAAGAAGTTGCTGTCGGGAAAGCCTCCTCCTGGCGCTGCGGTCACGTAGCTCGAGCGGAGTCTGCCTAATGTGGAGAAAGTGGTCGATAGACATCAATTTGAACTTGGGGGCAACCAGTGAAAGAAGTAGAGAGGGCAAAGGGCAAATGCGAGATTCGGGCCAGCTCCATGTGTAGCTTGGTAGCCTCGTTGGTCCCCCACCAACGCTCGGCGGCCTCTCACGCAGTGTGTTGAATGTGTGTAAAGTGAGGAGTGAGAGAGTTAGAAGTAGAGAATATTGTGTCGGCACCGTAACCTGCGGTATTGGGTACCTAGGTATGTTTTGGCGCGCAGGTCGTGGTAAGGTCCAAGAGCTGTCTCCGTTCTTCACCCACCAATGAAACAAGCAAGCGCATCAAACAGTAAGTAAGAGAAGCGGCAGCGGCAGCGGCAGCGACGTGCCACAACAGCTCAAATGAACAAGAGAAGCGCCCCCAACTCGCAGCGAGTAGGAGTAGACTCGGAGTCGTCGAGGCGTGCGGCGGAGCAATCCACTACTGTCTCAGAGCGCTTCGCCCAGTCCAAAGTGCAGTCGCGGATGCGGTTAGACTAACTACAACTAGCTTTTGGTCGCGAGCTTACCGAAGGCACAGGGTTGGGAAGAAGCGAGTGCGACCTTTGGGGTTTGTCTCCAGTTGAGATGTAAGCCGTGAGCCGAATTCTTGCCTTGATGTTTGCCTTGATCATGTTTACTTTTATGTCATGGTGCACCAACGAGCCAGCTAGCCGCCACCTGACCCTCGTAAGCAGTGTCATCGCTCGCTTTCCAACGGCACACATCGGGAAGCCATGGAGACGCGAATCGGGGCATGTCTTTTGTGGAGACAAGCGACGGGAATGTAACCGGCTAGGGAGATCAATGGCACTTATATAGCGAAACGTGGGGTAATCGTTCGAACAAAGGCTCCTACAGTTCGACACACCTCCTTCATCAATCCGAGCATAACTGTGGCACGTATACTCCTGTAACCATCTCGTTCCTGAGTCATTAAGACTATCTTCTACTGCATCCGCCTCACAATCTTATTTCCGCAAGGGTGCTCTTGTCCACGCCCTACGACAAGTGTACAAAGAGCTAGTTTCAGAAGTGTCTACAAGAAGGCATCTGCTTCCCCCCTCAAGTCTACGAAGGATACAACACATTCATCTACCAAATTATAACCATGGACGTCAATGCGACCCCCAAGATGGGCGATTCTCCTGCAATCATACTCGTCCATCCCACCGAAGAGGAAAAGCTCATTCAGTTCAACCTCAACGGCGCGGAATGGCGGGGCGCGCTATCCTTAGAAGCCTACCTACGCCGCGAGACTGTACTCTCGCAGCAAACTCTCACAAAAGACGGCGGTATCACCTACTGGATCCTCATCGATACCTCATTACCCCACCAGTTGGGTCGACCAAAGTTGCCGCTAGCGAGCTGCGAGACGTATCGGAAGAAGGCGTTGGTGTGGCAGGACGGAAAACTGCAAGAGGTCATCTGCCATGGGATTGGAAGTGTATTCTGCGCGAGCCACTTGAGGAGAAGAGGGTATGCGCAAAGGCTGATGACAGAGTTGGGGAAGGCGTTGAGGACGTATCAGACGGACGAGAAGACTCAATCTCTGTTCTCCGTGCTGTACTCTGATATAGGCAAGGTGTGTGCCATTCCCCCCTCAGGATTGCTTCGTGTCGTTGACCATCAATAGAAATTTTACAAGGATTTTGGCTGGGAGCCATTTGACTCTTCACACGTCGCGCTCAACGCGGGCACGTCTGCGGATGCGAGCTCTCTACCCGCTGCTCGGCCATTGTACGCCGAAGACCTTGAAGAGCTTTGCGAGATCGACGTAGCTTCTGTAAGACGAAACCTTGAGTCGCGACCAAAGGGCAGCAAGACCGCAGTAGCGCTTCTGCCTGACATCGAGACAATCCGGTGGCATCACGCGCGGGAGAATTTCGTTGGCATGGAGCTCCATCGCAAGGCGCCCAATATCAAGGGTGCTATCGTAGGAACTGAAAAAGGAAAGCGAGTGTGGTGCTACTGGACTCGGATGTGGTATAACCAGAACCCTGCTGAGGCCAAAGGGAATACGATGCACATTCTGCGACTGGTCATCGAGGACGGCGTTTGGGGGGACACCGCTGCTAGCAACGTCAATGGAAACTCGGTGGACCACAGCCACGATGCTGCTATTGCGGCCTTGTTGGTGGTGGCACAACGTGAGGCAGAGGAGTGGAAGATGGAGCATGTAGAGATGTGGGCGCCCACGCCGGCCGCGCTGGCAGCTGCCCAGAGGCTGGATCCGAGTGCAAAGGTAGTCGCTCGGGATACTGAGAGCATTGCGAGTCTGCAGTGGTTCCCGGAACACGATGGGCCGGTCGCTGATAAGATTGACTGGATTGGCAACGAGAAGTACGGGTGGTGTTGAGCCTGAACATTACTAGCTGCCTCGACCTACAACACGTTTATAAGGTACTTTTAGACATACGAAAAGCTCCTGATGCTATCCTAGCTACACCAAACAAGAAGTCTCACGCAGCGTCCTACACTATGGGAGCTTTGTGGGTTGTACATGGTGAACATGAGGCAAGCACACCTCATCTCCCACAAACCTTTTCAGGTAGGCTCTAACGAGAAGACACTTTTTCATCCTGCACAAGCTCCAATGAGAACAGGGAAAACCTCTTCCTCGATCAACCGGCAAGCCAGAAGAGTCAATGAAAAAGAAAGGACCTGTCAGATTGCCATCAACGTCCTGCCTTCCAGCGCGACCGAAGTACGCAACCAGTTGGCTGAAGATCATCGCCACGCTCGCCGAAGCAAACGTAATAAGGCCTCACTCCGGGACATCGAGGCTGAATCTCATCAACCAGGGTGGAGATTCTGTGGCTTTTTTGAGAAGCTCAGAAGAGGACGTCTACTATAGCTTTTGTGGGGTTAGTGGGTGAAGGGCGCAACCTGATGGATTCAGGAATACATACAAATGATTCTTAGAAGTACTGCGGTGACGTTAGCAACAGGCAGAGGGGAGTAGGAGGCTGTAGGGGAGAACTCACTCGTCGACATAATTTGGAAAGAAGGGGCGGAGTGCGCAGCCATTAAATAGGTTGAGCGACGCGCTAATTTTCGCCTGACTAAGCGCCACCGTGCGCTCGGCTGGCAAAAACTTCGCTGCCGTTATTCAGCCGACGCCGACAACGCCGGCGCTAACAGGCTAGGCCAGGGCATATCGCGATCATAGCAACAGTCAAGTTCACAACTGTTCAGGTCCTGAGCAGAGCGTCTTGCATGAACCCGATTTTAAAGGTACAATCATCCACTTTCTCAGCCGCATACTCGCCGTACGAGCCCGTTAGCATGTTCGTCACGTAACGCAAAGGCTGGATATCTTCTGAAAGTTGGTTATGCTATCGCACAGCACCAACTAATCATGACGCGAAAACATTCAATCTACATTTGAACCTGCCAGTAGGGGACTGTAAGATCAGCCAAACAACTTCAATGAGAGCGAGCTGTGGTGTAGGGACACTGTGCAATCCACATGTGCTCCATTCAAATTTGCGGAGATTAGATCTCTTGCATAACTAGGCGTATAACCAAAGACGCCCTCAACTCCGTTCTTTCCGTGCATCAGTGAGCATCTTCTACCGTAGGCCGTGACTGCAAGCTTGCATATCTTTTTGTACTGTATTTGACTCTCCGCACCCAGCAAGTCGAAAGCACTGTCGAAATGTACCTCGTCCCATAGCCAAACCATGGACTTACAAATACGTGAAGAAAGCACGGCGTTGACAATGCCCAACATAGCCGATAAACGTCGCCCTGGTATAACAAGCATGCTATATCATGTGCTAGCCCTGTTCTTTCGGCTCTGCGTGTTCGCCAAAGGGAATGTTGCTGACATGGCCGATGCCGCCGCATAACATAGGAACAGCATGCTGATGGCGGGGCATGGAGATTTGTGCGTCGCGGGGCACCACTCGGCGTCTGTCTGCTCTTAAGATAACCTGGGTCGCTCTGCTGTGCCTTGCAGTTTGCAGTTGATGTTTTAGACGTTCTTGTAGACACAAGTCTTTCTAATTAATATCTGATGTCTTCCCGTGCATGTATTCGTGAGCCTGACTGGGCCGGACGCAGCTTGAGTCACTGCGATTCCGGAGCTACACCATTAATAATTCTCCCCACGGGGACCATCACTTTACTGCTATCTACCACGTCACCGCTTCTTGATCTTTTTCTTTTTGTCGCGCTTGATCATTGAATAGAGTTGTACATTATGTCGTCACACACCGCATCGCAACGCTACCTGAGCACCCGAGGAGGATCTTACGATGTGAGTGTATCCGCGCATTGAAGCTACACCAACGCCAGTTGACCACTCTAACACCTCACAGCTCTCTTTCGAGGAAGTCGTACTCAAGGGCCTCGCCCCGGATGGCGGTCTTTTTATCCCAGAGGAAATCCCTGCGCTGCCCGACGAGTGGGCGTCAAATTGGAAAGACCTCTCATTCGAAGACCTCGCTTTCGAGATATTCTCTCTCTACATCTCCCCCTCCGAGATCCCGCCAGCCGACCTGAAAGGCATCATACGCCGCAGCTATGCGACCTTCCGAGCGAAGGACATCACACCCACCGTCACACTCGACAAGGAGAAGAATATACATTTGCTAGAGCTGTTCCATGGCCCTACATTTGCGTTCAAAGATGTCGCGCTCCAATTCTTGGGCAACCTGTTCGAATACTTCCTCGTTCGCAGAAATCAGGGCAAAACGGGCCGTGACAGGGAACATTTGACTGTCGTTGGCGCGACAAGTGGTGATACTGGCTCAGCGGCCATCTACGGCTTGCGCGGAAAGAAGGATGTGTCCGTCTTCATCATGCACCCACACGGCAAGGTCAGCGCGGTTCAGGAAGCACAGATGACAACCGTCATGGACGCCAACGTGCACAATCTGGCGGTGGATGGCACATTCGACGACTGCCAGGTAAGCCGTACAATGATAAGCCCTCTAACACCAACATCTGACACTTCGTAGGACTTCGTCAAGGCTCTCTTCGCCGATCCTGAGATCAACGCGACGCACCGCCTCGCCGCTGTCAACTCCATCAACTGGGCCCGCATCCTCGCGCAGATCACCTACTTCTTCTACTCCTACTTCAACCTCATCAAATCCGACTCCTTCCTCCCGGCTTCTACCGTCCGCTTCGTCGTGCCGACGGGTAATTTCGGCGATATCTTGGCTGGCTTCTTTGCGAAGCGCATGGGCCTGCCGGCTGAGAAGCTGGTCATCGCAACAAACGAGAATGATATTCTACACCGATTCTGGGAGTCGGGTAAATATGAGAAGAAGTCTGTACATGGAAAAAAGGCCGAGGGCGGGCTTGTTGAGGATGGTGTCAAGGCGCACGAGAGTGGTGTCAAGGAGACACTGAGTCCAGCTATGGATATCCTTGTCTCGTCGAACTTCGAGCGGTTGCTTTGGTTCCTGGCATATGATGTCTACAGCACAAACTCAGATGCGGTTTCGCAGCGACGGAGTCAGGCTGGCGACCATGTGCGAGGATGGCTCAATGATCTAAAGTCGAAGGGTGGATTCAGTGTCGACCAGCAGATATTGAAGGCGGCACAGTCAGACTTCGCGTCGTATCGCGTCAGCGACGAAGAGACGATCGATACCATCAAGTACGTCTTCAGCGCGCCGTCTTCGAAGAGCTATGTCCTGGACCCACATTCAGCCATCGGTATCGCAGCAGCACTACGCTCCGCTGAAGTCGCGAAGCCGCCATCTGTACACCACATTGCGCTTGCAACAGCACATCCAGCCAAGTTCGCGAACGCAGTGGAGCTAGCACTGCCAGAGCAGAAAGCCTACTTCCAGGAGAAGGTGCTGCCGGTGGAGTTCAAGGGCTTGGAAGACAAGCCACGGCGAGTCAGCCACGTCCAAAGGTCGGACGGCTGGCAAGGTGTTCGCAAAGTCGTCATCGCGGAAGTTGAGGTTGAATTACAGGCCGCTGAAAGGGCAAGCAAATAGAAGATGCTGCGGAAAGAAAAGCATTTCACGGGTCAGATGTATCGGCTTGATTAGATAAAAAGGATACAGTTGCAAGTTTAGATCGTGCTTGAAATCAATAGACGCGTTCATTACTTCAATTCCTTGACTACACAAGTTTTTTCTTCTTCTACCTTGTTCTTACAAACGTAAGTAGCCAGCTCGTGGAAAAAGACCAAACCACCATGCTTACCAATCAGCCTCAATGGCCGTCATGGCGGTGGTTCTACACATTTCGTCGATAATCAAAGCTTTAGTTACGCGCCTTCAATAGCCGCTTCAACAACTACTTGCCTTATTCAAACTAGTGTGATGCTTCCTTCGCGCAGCTACATGACCCTGAGTCACCCCAAAGCTACAATTCAGCCCTTACTTTATCATTTCCGGTAGCTGTGTAAGACTTTGATACGACTTTGTTGTGATCACCCTGACTGCCCCCTCAAGATGTCTTCACCGGAACAGCTTCGCCTAGGGTGGATCGGTCTTGGATCGATGGGTCTGGCCATGGCTATCAACATACAGAAATATCTAGAAGAGAAAACACTTCCTCCACTAAAGTATTGGAATCGTACGCTATCACGCGGAGACGTTTTAAGAGAAAAGGGTGCCGTTCCAGGTCAATCAATCGCAGAACTAGTGCAGAGCTGTGATGTGATCTTCATCTCGGTGAGTGTTTTCCCTTGCGTTGAAGATAACTAGAGTTGCTAATGGAAAATCAGGTCAGTGACGATCAAGTTCTCAAAGGAGTCACCAACGAAGTGATTGAGAGCGGTCCTATCGACGAAAAGATTTTCGTTGATACTACGACCGTCCATCCATCAACCACAACATCCATCACCACCTTACTTCAAAACAAACAAGCATCATACATCGCTGCCCCTGTATTCGGCGCAACACCCCTCGCTCAATCCGGCACTCTCCTAATCGCCGTAGCCGGCTCCCATCAAGCCATCCAGGCCATCTCCCCCTTCCTAAAAGGCGTCCTAGCCCGCGCCGTCATCGTCGTAGGCTCCGAGCCCTCTCAGGCCCTCCTACTGAAAACAACGAGTAACTTCATCACTGCCGGCCTCATGTATCTCCTCTCGGAAGCACACACATTCGCTTCGAAAACCGGCCTACCAGCTGACGTGCTTGAATCCCTCATTGAACAGAACTTCGGCGCGTATGCGCACGGTGTGTCTAAGCGTCTCACGTCCGGCGCGTATTTCCCTGCGGAAGGGCAGGCACCGAGCTCAGGCCTTGAATTGGGCATCAAGGATGTAGGGCATGGTGTTAGTCTGGCGAGGGAGAAAGGAATGAAAGTGGAGGTTGGAGAGTTGTATCTTGGGGCTGCGGAGGAGGCGAAGGCGTTTGGGGACGAGAGGGGGAGGAAGTGTGATAGCAGTGCTGTGTTCGGGGTTGTGAGACAGAGGGCTGGTTTGGACTTTGAGAGTGAGGAAGTGAAAGAGAGGGATGCTGCGAGGAGAGTGTAAGAAACACGAGAAATATATGGAACTAGTAAGGACAACTCATACATAAAGTTAGAAATATTAAGCATAGCGAGACTCATGCACATAACAAGATGAGCAACACTAGCTTACCGTTATGTAGGACTATTTTCTTGCATTACGTGTGTATCACACACCGGTAAGCAACGCAACTACCGAATAAGACTGTGGCATCCGTGGCGCTGAATTGCCACAGTAATAGTAGCCGGCGAAGGCATACAAACAATAATACCATCGAATTTATGTTCTGTAAATGTTGTGGAGACTCTCTCTCGGTGTCAAGTTTCTCAAGCGGACAGTGACATCATGATGCCTCGGCACGTTCATTGTAGGGAAAGCGCGTCAGCATCCCATATACATGGATAGAGATCCCCTTTACCCTGACTTTCATACGCCTATCCCTCGAATTACCTCAAGGCACGCACCAAAAAATGACATCCCTCTTTGAAACTTACAATCCCTCGATCTTAGCGATCCCAGCATACTACATGCGTACGTACGCTAGTTGCCTGTGAGACATACACTGACCTTGTCTGGATCTATAGTCTCGGTTCTGCCTCACGGTTACGCCATCAATGTAGCTACGCAGGGGAAGCTCAATGCTTGGGATAACCGCAATCCGCGCTCCACCGACTTGAAAGCGAGCCTCAAACAGCGCCTACCTGCAGAAACCTTCGCCAAGTATGAACGGCTTGAGGCGTGCCATGCCAATGGAATGGAGGTTCGTCTTCATACCACCCTGATGTCCATCTCTGGGATTCAAAATGACTGTGATAGAACTTGCCTTTGTTCGCCTCGGCGGTCATCTTAGGCAACATGGCTGGACTGAAGAAGCAAGATCTTACTGCATTCGTCGGTACCTTCCTGGCCATTCGTATCGCATACACGGCAGTCTATGCTACCAATCAGACGCAGGGATTAGCGCTCATCCGTACTGGAATTTTCAATGCGGGTGTTTTGTTGTGCTTGCGGACGATCATTCAAGCTGCAAGGGCGCTTGGCGGCACCAGAGTCTAGGCAGTTATCTTATATAAGATCGAGACGGGTGATATAAATCTGACCGAGGATGTCCATATGTCTCGAGATCACGAAAGAACAGCGTAGTGCATACATCGAAGTGACTAATTGAGCTTTTCCACGGTCAAGATAAAGCAGTTGTATGGTAGCCTACTCGAATATGTGTTGTTGTCCTTTCCGAGCCTGTTGGAGCCTCCAGAGACACCGGATTTAAATGCCAGTGCACGTCTGAGACATGTTCCACGCACGGCTTGTCTGAACTAGTGAGGTTCACGTTTGATTGTGCGCTCGTAGATATCGCGTGAAAGAAGAGAGTTTTTGAGGATGCGAAACCCTTAAAGTTCGACTATACTGCCAATGATCGCACCAGACGTCAAATTGTACGATGAAAAGTGGTCCATTTGAAGCAGTAAATAGCGCGGTGGCAAGCTGTGGAGCAGCTCACGCAATCCCGGGGCAGCTACATGGTTCGCCCACAAATGGCTGCCTGCGCGCCCGCTTCTCCTAGTCAGGAGAGCCAAAACGTGTCCATATCACAGCAAAAGTCATAAAAAAGGCGTAAACGACAGGAGGCGAGAATCTCCGTCTCTTCCTCACCGCAACTCTCCCTCGAGACTCGATAAGCCTGTTGTGATAGCGATCACGTGCCTACCGCACCTGCCAGCTTACGGTCAGTGCCCTCGCCACGACAACGTCTCTTCAACCCAGCCCTTTCTGTGCATCAATTAGAGTACCTCCACCTCCACCCGCACCATCTCCAACCACACCTGGCTCTCTTGAACATCTCCCGTAAGTCAATCGCTGCCGGCCCGCGCACTCCCCTCTGGCTTTGTTCACCCCACGGTGGGTTCGTCGCCAGACCTCGCACGACCGTCCAACCCTCGATCTCGCACCTGGCGCCTCAATCTGCCTGCGGTCGCACATCACCCTCTACAACTTTCCCAACTATACATTCGTCATGACGCCATGATGTTATCTTCGCCCTTTTTCTAACTTTAGTCACTGCAGGTTCGAGAGTCTTTACACCGCCCTACCGCACACTTATTTACCCCATCACACGAATCCACCGCCAACATGGGTCTCACATTCTCGAAGCTCTTCGATAAGCTATGGGGAAAGAAGGAGATGCGCATTCTGATGGTTGGCTTGGACGCTGCAGGAAAGACCACAATTCTTTATAAGCTCAAGCTCGGTGAAATTGTCACCACCATCCCCACTATCGGTACGCTGCGCTCCAACAACCCCGCAACAATGAGGAAGATGCGCTGACAGTTGGATGTACAGGCTTCAACGTCGAGACCGTCGAGTACAAGAACATTCAGTTCACCGTGTGGGATGTCGGTGGTCAGGACAAGATCCGACCTCTGTGGAGGCATTACTTCCAGAACACCCAGGGTATCATCTTCGTCGTAGACAGCAACGATCGCGATCGTGTTGTTGAGGCACGTGAGGAGCTCCAGCGAATGCTGAATGAGGACGAGCTGCGGGACGCCATGCTTCTGGTCTTTGCCAACAAGCAGGATTTGCCTGTAAGCTGACTTGAACAAAACCACAAATGGAACAAGACGCTGACACTGCATTTACAGAATGCGATGAACGCTGCTGAGATCACTGACAAGCTTGGTCTCCACAGCCTCCGACAACGTGCTTGGGTACGTCAATGCTGACTTTCGCTCTCCTGTATCGCGCTAACACACCATCCAGTACATCCAGTCGACCTGCGCTACCTCCGGTGACGGTCTGTACGAGGGCCTCGAGTGGTTGAGCAACTCGCTCCGCAAGGCTGGCCACAACTAAGTATTGCGCACACGACTTACGTAGCGACCTGTCAATGGCAACGATTGCCAGCTTAGGCACATCGCGACCCAAATATCTTCCGGCTTGTCCCAGCCATATTTCTCTACAACCACGACCCAATAAATGTATGCATCGGTGTCTTTCAGATCGGATGGTGGAGCGGATATAGTTCCTTTTCACCATTGGAGTTTGTGTGAGGTGCTATGACTTGCGTTTCACGGACCGTTGGGAAACAGTCTCTGGTTACTTTACGTGGTACTATCATCCAATTTGAGCCTCTTCTTACTATAGATTGCATGTCGGTCCTCCGTCTTTATGTTTCGTGTGCTCTTCGAATCTAGCTCATGACTTCGCTATGAGCTTGGTTAGCCATGGCACACTCGAACGCATAGAAACGTTGTAGAAGCACGCTGATAACTAAGCTAGAGTAAATCCACATGTAGTAGGCTCGATGAATGTCCCCATGCGCAATCTTTCAACAGAGTTACAGCACCACGCCCGATCGGCTGCCAAGAGAACATGCCTAGTTGCGTTGCATGATTGAATGCTTGTCCAAGCCGACAAACGTCTACACGCATTTTCTGGAAAGTCTCAACCCATGAAAGAGATACTGAGCGGTTCAGGGCGAAAAGGGGGTCCTTGAACATTTCTCAGGGCTGTTCATGGGTCCTCACTTTTGTTTTGCTGCTACTGGTTAGGTGTTGGGTACGGGAAGACTATTGCTAGTATCATGAGTTGGACAAGCAGGAAGTGTTTACAGCGTCTAGGGAACGAGATCTGAAAACAGTAGGGTCTGGGTTTGGGAGTGAGCCATCTTATTACCAAATGGATTCAATTGGAAATTATTGTTCAAAAACCATGGGGTTCGTTTTCCTTTTTTCCTCAAAAGGGAACTGCGTCCTGACATGTCCTGACGATGCAAGATGCTCACCGCCACTAAACCCTAGTGAAAAGGAGAGAAGTCTAGTGACGCAAATGCTCGACTCGTACTACGATATCCAGCATCCAAGGACCGAAAGACTTTTCCAACCCAACTAATCCATACCGTTGATTTCGAGAAGACAAAACGCAGAGGCTAGTGGGAATGTGCTATGATGATCGAGAAGATGCCCCATGATAGTACACGCCATAGGTAATGTGGATAACTCCCGTTCCTTGACGCCGGGTTAGATTGGGGTGGGAAGTCTATTGAAATGATGAACCCCAGAAATAACATGAGAAAGTTGTAGATCATGGCGAGGGCGCTCGCACATGTACACCGGGTGTGGGATAGAAAACGAAGGACCGCTAGCAAGAGACCTCTTCATCTTCGCTATCGTCTGTGAGCTCGGGTTCAGGATCGACAGCCCAGAGAATAAAGGGTCCGTTATAGTCGTTCTATGATCTGTTAGCTCTCAGGAGAAAACACACATGGAAGTTATGGAGTCTCACGTTGAAATCAACCGGGTCGGAAGCAAACCACCATCGACCTAGAATGATCCGGCCACCGGGCAAGACCACACCTTCGTATGCCCAGAGGTTGTCGCGATCGACCTGGTCAAAATCGTCCATGAAGTGTTTCATGAACGTAATACGTTGCCAGCCCGGAATACCAGCCTGGGGAGGAAGTGGGTTCAGCCAGCCAATAGCGTTGAAATCGTCGTCAAGGTCATTACCATGGCCCACGAATTGAATATTCTTGAGCTTCGGATCTTCAGTAACCATCTTAGGTTTGCTTCGGCCTTGTGTTTTGACGGGAGGTGTGGTAGTGTCTCTTAACGAACGCAGGCGGTCCTCGAAAACCGTTGGCCATCTCAGCCGATGTCCGTCTTGCACAAAATCAAGCTCGAGAGACTACATGTTGTCAGCACTTTAGTATTGACGCTTTCAACAACACCTACCTGTATCTTGCCCTCTTCGACGTTCTTGTCGACGAAGAACTCGGCACCAACCTGATCTGGGTGCAGCTTTCGAATCTTTACAACCTCTTTAGCATCCAAGTAGGCATAAGTACCCTTCCAGTGCTTCCCTAATGGATATGCACCTCGTCGAAGAGGCTCTCGCCACGCGGAAGGCTTCTGTGTCACCGATAACGCGTTCATATTCTCGAACAGCGTGTCGACCTCCTCATTCATCATATGATGGCGGAAGAAATTCAAGCAATGAAGCACCCACTCCATGTTCACGTCTGTGAGATTGAGGCCTTGGTACATGGGAGCGGCGTTGGTCGAGAGGTAAACTGCACGCTGCGACTCCTCAATCGCGAAGACATCGTGCTTTGCCCCCTCTAACTCGAAGAGGAAGTGAGAACACATTAGCTTGATGGCAGCCAGCATGGGGTTGACATGAGCTGGCTCGCCTCGGGAGGGTTGTGGCGCGCGTCGATTGTTGAGAAGGATCTTGGAGTTGAGGACAAAGTTAATCAGACAAGTTTGGTTCTTGCAGAACGGCCGATCATACTCGTCGATCTCGAAAGGACCTTGGAATGTCTCTGTGCCATGTTAGTATAACGAGTGCAAAGTATATGCCCTGGGGAGGGATGAACAAATCACACTATAGATGGACTTACCGATGATGAGATCGCGCAGAACTTCTATGACATCTAATTCTCGCTTCTTATGACCACGGAAGAATCCGTATCCAGTACCCCGTCGAAGTTGCTTCGCCCGATTCTGATATAAACCCTGAAGCGAGGAGTTGGACGAGCCCTCCTTTAGCGCAAACTTCTCGCGGAACTTCGCACGCCAGAAGGACTTGTTATCAGCGTCGATCGCATCGTTCGTGGCTTGACATATGAGCCGGTAACTGGCGATGTCCTTGTCTGTATCGAGTTCGTGAGCGATGGCCTTGTTGAGCTGCGAGGAATGTCAGTCTACGCAATGCTTCATGCTCATGGATATCAAACTTGCCTCTATCGGAAGAGAGTTGAAGGCACCACTGGAGGAAGGTGGCCGGTGATCCACTGTCGGGCCAAGCGTCAATAGATGGTGGGCGAAAGGTAGCATCCTCTGGACGGGCTGTGTGTTTGCTTGGTTGAGCGAGAACTGAAAGTTAGATAGAAAGAAGTAGTATTATGAGCTCCGAAGGCAGATATAAGTAGGACAGATGCCCTAGAAAGCTACTAGTAAAGGCAATGCCACTGTTGCTTATATGCAGTGAAGGCAGCCACCGTTGGGAAAGGCGAGGCAAAAGACGACGTGACGTCGTAATGCTATCTGAGGTCTCCAATCTTGTAGCACCGAATGATCACCGGGGCCCTGTCTGGAGGCTTGAAGTGAGTTATGGAGCAACACTTTGCTGTGAAATTGCCGATGAGACGGCGGCGACTTGGGAAAGCACACGATAATCGTGGCTGCAGCGTCCGTTTGTCCACGATTGTGAAGTTCCAACTGAGAACGCGCAGGTTTGTGACACAAAAGTAAGAGGGCTCGTAGGCATTGTGAAAGTTTGGAGGTCGACGTTGATTTGGAGGGCCTATTTGTGGGGTGCGGTTGCCCTCGCATTTTACATGGCTCCAGGGAAAGAAGGGACCAATGATGCTGAGTTAGTTACCATATCATCTGCTTCTTCACGTACCTTCACGATACACATGTGCAGGCTCATAAAATTGATAAGTAGAAGCTGGAAATTCCTTGAATGCTCAGTGTGCTCGTGCAACGACTAGTAAGCAGCCAATGGCATAATGCCAATGCCAGCCTACAGGGAGGTCTTTGCTTTCTCTTCAACTTCTAGGAGACTTAGTTCAGACGCACTGGAGTTAATGAGCACGTCTTCGGGGAAGAAGAGAGAAAAACGGTAAACTTCAGCAAATAGGAAACTGATTTTGTTAGCCGGCCAAGGTCTAAGAAAAATGGTTGGGAATCGAGAACTCTTAATAGAAATACTAATTAAAGATATAAAGAAAGACACAGCTCTTTACCGCCGCAGAGCAGACACTTCGCCACGGTTCACAAACCCCGTTTGCTCGTCACTAGATCATCGGCAGCACACCAACAGCCGCCGCGCCTGCAACCCAATAGCCACCACTGGCAACTCTCCACCTCCTCACCGCCTTGCTCGTACCGCTACCAGTCGGCGACGGCGCACTTCCACTTCCTGAGGGGTTCGAATTTCCATTCGACGGTCTTTCATGTACATCAGCTACGCCCGTACCATCCAACTTTGTCACGACATAGATTTCGCCCGTGGAGTCGCTGCTCATGAACAGCCTACCTCGACTATCCCAAGCTAGGCCTACAGGACGGAAGCAGCCTCTAGGGCACTGGGATAGATCACGATTTGATACAATATCAACAGCGGCTGTCGTGCTGTTTGCGGGTGAGGTGGGCGAGCCGTTACCGTCAAACGACACGAGGCTGAGCTTGTAGCCGATGGGGGATTGCCGGTTCCTACATACAAGCTTAGAAAGATAACCAAAGAGAGATTGAAACACAATTACCATGATCCATGCATCGTGACCCAAGCACTAGTGCCTTTCGGGTTAAATGTGATATCGAGAGGAGCCATGTGGGCAGCAAACGTGATCCTCGGCGCGATTCGATCGTTCTGGCAGAAGTCGTCATTCACGGTAGCATTTTGGTCTCCAATAGCAAACTGTGAGCCAGTCGTGCCACGAAAGTTGGGAACCTCGGCAACGTTCCAGGCAGCGAAGCAGCTGGGATAGCCGTGGTTCCCACCTTGCCCCGCACTGCGAGTCCCGTTCAGGTAGCCGTGAAAGTTCATTTCCTCGCCGGGGTTGTTCTGGTTGAAGGTTACGCCGCTCCTCTGGATATTGTCGACGCTGTTTTCCACGGAATAGATACCACCTGAGATGGGATCTTCCGCTACACCTACCGAGTTCCTGAGACCCCATCCGAGCAACAGTCCGTCCGAGGGGTATTTGTATGCTGAGTTGGTAACGTTGTTAACATTGAATGCTTTGATTGTGGAAACTCCGGTGGTCACGTCCAATGCATCGAGGTCAAGGTTCGATTGGCTGCCACGGCTGACGAGTAGCAGATCGGGGACCTTTTTGGAAAGAAGCAGAGTGCGGGTGGTATGTCCTTCATCGGGTCCCATGTCTTGGATAATGTGTCGAGAATTAGACGTGGTGCGGCCTTGTGAAGCATTATAGTCCCATGCGAACACATCGCTGTGAGAGGAACCGTAAAGAGTGCGGCCATCCTGCGTCAGGGCAATGCCGTGGCTCAACTAACATCGTTAAACTCGGACTCATCTTGCATAGTTGTAGAGATGAGGTTTGCCAAAGGTGATTTCGTCCACTCACCGAACTATCTGCCACGACGCTCTGAACAGCGCCATCAACTCTCACACATGGCCCGTCCCCGGTCAGCCTCAGCCGACTAATCCCATGTCCCTGCTCCACCACCAAAAGCCCACCTTCCGAATCGAACAGAATGCCGCGCGGGGACCTCAGCCCGTTTGCCACAACCTCGACACGGAATCCCGGATATACCGAAGGAGCGCCATGTTGCGGAGCAATTGGGCTCTGGCACGCCGCTGCAGGAGTTTGAGCTTTGGCGGTCAGCACGGCGAACGTGAGAGCTAGTAAGTGTTTGAGCGCCATTATCAGCATGGATGACAGACGTAACAAGGCAACTGGATTGAGATTATTCCGGTGAGGAGGTGGAGAATGTGGTAAGCGAGGAGGCAAAAGCTGGATACGGCTATGCAGGTACAGATGAAGTCAATCAACGAGGACCGATACTTTGCACGGGTAGAAACTCGACGAGACGTAAGACCTGTGGTCGAGCCAGAGAGATCGCCGACGTGTTCGTGTCTTGCCGTATGGAAGAATGGAGATTCACATATACCCCTCGTCCAAGCGGTCCTGGTCGCGCATTCCTGGTGTCCCTTGGCTTGCGCTTTCCAAGAAACGCGGACGTCATCAATGTTCAAGGCCAAGGGGTCATCTGACCTCTTTCGACACTGCCAAACGTTCGTGGTCTCAAATACACGATTGCATTCATTGGCGATGCGATTGAAACCGATGAGTTGGTTGTATGCATGACTTGCGTGTCCACGGCGGCAAGTTTTGAGCGTTTGAGCCGGGGGTGGAGAAGCCTTGCTGAGCGGCGCTATTCTCGGCCCATGGAACGCGATGTCACGCTTAAAAGTAAACTAATGCTGGGGTTGCAACGCGAAAGTGGTTGTTTTTGTTTTTGTTGTTTATCAACACTTGGTAAGCAGTGCGGAGAAGACCAAACAGGAATATGCATCTTCATGACAATTTGCCGTGCAGATACGTGTTAGGCGTCCAGTGTCGGAGAACTTCGGTTCCGTGGCGCGAGAGGCTACCATTGCGTGATGATTACCGCTGTAGTGCTGGTGCCACAGATAGGAAGGTGGAAGGATAAGCACGGGATTTGCTCGATAGTTAAGCCTTTTCAACTTCAATCATAGATCGTGGCGTGAAGAGTTGACGCCCATTCTCTTGCCTCCTCGAATCGGAACCTAAGGCGAGCTGACGAAGATTTGTCTCGTTCGCATGTCATAGCATGCATAGTCGATCATAAAAGCGCCCCATGAACTGGGCCGCTGCCGGGCGTACTTGGCCAGATCGCCATGGAAATGGTATGCATTAGCCGAGTGTGATTCGGTTACGTGACTGCAGTAGTCAAGTTAGCAACAAGGGTTTGGAAGCTATGGTAGTTTCATAATAGAATACCTTCGATTTCGAGATAGTGGTCGACAGCTAAGGAAAGGCCTCGGAGTTACTCCGACATGAGTCCTTTCAGTCCAAGTTTGCTAGGGCACCACTTGAACTTTGGAAAGATACTATTAGCAAGGGTGGTTGATAGTCCCATAATAATCCGCATGAGTTAGTTCGGGGAAGTAGTTCATAACCTTGGGTTGCTTGCGTTTAGACATCACGTTGCATAAAAGACGACGCCGTTTAAGACATATTCAAAGGTTTGTGTATTCGCGTCTCGTGAGACAGAAGATGCCGGCCGTGGGTAATCAATGCTCTGACTTCAAGCGGACGCCCCTGGTAATTCAAAAAGAAATGAAAAGGCAAAGGAAAACAAAAAACGAAATCCAATCCGCTTTTTGTACATGACTCCGTGAGATAGGAAAGCGGCTCGCGAACTGCGCGGCCGGCCTTTTTCCAAGGGAGTATTATATGCCCACAGACCAAAGAAAATTCCCTTGATGCGCCGCTTCTTCGATTAAACAAAATAAAACATATGCATGCTCACATGCGCTTCGTGTCGCATGCCTCCTCTTTGTCCGCGTATCGTGGCCGGCAAGTATTGCAACCTATGCAAAAGGGAATCGCAAGAAATGCAGTCGCTCCAAATGCAGCAGCTGTCCTGACCTAGTGTAAGTAATACAAGGTGTTGGGTGACGATTCCGGAGTGATTCAATAATCGCTCCAACGCTTTGATCCAGAGACGGCGATATCCAGAAGAAAGCTTTGATCTCCGCCCAAACTCTTCCCTGGTAATCATGGCCAGCTTTAGATCAACATCCTTTATTCATACCAAGCGTCGTAACTCCTGAAGCTACATCACCGTCATGAGTTTCATTTGAGCCGCGAGCTCAGGATCCTGTTGGAAGATCCTACTGAACGGTGGCGCCTCGTAGTGTGGACTCGTACTTGGGCTGGAGTACAGCCCTTCTGCGTCTCTAATGGCATCTTTCACTTTGCGCGTCAAAGTGCTGACGTAGGGAACTATACGTCGCAAGGTTGCAGTGTCAAACGGCACTTTCTTGGAGGATGGAGTCGGCGGCGCGTCGGGAACAGGCTCGTAGGTGCTTTTCCTCTGTTGTAATGCTTCAATAACTGAACGTGCTTTGGCCTCGGAGTCCTTCCGGGGTCGTGTGATGATGGGTTTCTGGTCGGCTTTCGTAGGTGTCTCAAATCTAGACTTGGGTGGGATGGGGGATGATTGAGGAGCGAATATCCCGTAGTTTGGTGGGAGGATCGACTTTCGCCTTGGGCGAACAGGCTGAGCGGGGTTCCTACCGAGATCCTCGTTCGGAGACCCCGACTTGCGCCTTCCCCGACTATTGCTAGGACTAGCGCCAGCTGCATCTTCAAAGGCATCCTCATCGAACCCAGGGGATGATGGAGGGGACAAGCCGGGGACACCCTCATGGTCGGCCTCTTGATCAGCAAGATCTATCATCGCATCCACCTCCTCCCACATTCCCGAATGTGGACCTTCTACTATGTCGAGCGTAATGGCGCGTATCCTATGCTCTTTGAGTTCTTCAATGAGTAGGCCCCATTCGCGCAGTAGACCGATATTGGCTAAGACGTTGTTTTGCTGCTCCTGGATGGTCTTCGGCACCACCATAGCTATGCCACTGTCGATCCTTGGTGAATTGTTGGAACCCTCTGCGTCAGGGTCCTCCTTCAGTTCGGAAAAGTCAAAATCATCGTTCCAGTCTTCGGTCACACCTTTGCTTCCAACACCCCAGGTGCCGAACTTGTTTGTGACGACAGTGTTACGCTTACCAGCCGCATCTGGAACCACTGGGACACTTTGGCTGCGAGCGTGCAATCCGCTGGGCACGCGCCGACCAACGGATCGACTGCCTCTCCGGTCTGCGTCTTTCTTTCCGTGAACTGTTCGAGGACGTGGCGGCGAGCGATTGCCCGAGCTTTTATCAGCAGGTTGCTGTTCTGACCAATCAAAGATGCTACTGCGAGCGTCCCTATCGCCATGATCTGCGGTGAGGTGTTGGGACGTGGTTGGCTTTGGACTGGAGCCCGACGCGAGTAAGCGAGGGTTCTGGCGTAATAAAGGTACGGGCGTAGCTGTGGCCGTGTGGCTCGCTGTCGGCAGATCAACCCAAGGGTCCTCAACATCCTCTTCATCTCGTGACCACCTACTGCTATCCTCGTCATCTCCCACTCTCGAGTCCCATTCCAGTGTGCCAAGCGAGAGCGGCTTTGGCATGCTCGGGGGCGACGAAGTTATTAAATTAGGGAAAGAAGGTGCTGTGAGGGTTCGCGAGAAGCTGGGTGACTCCTGGAGGGAGCGCTCTGGGCGGACTGTTCGCACCGGTGTCGAGATACTCTCCTCTTCCTCGGCAATGCTCTGATGGCCGGCGGCACCATTGATGGTGTGCTCTCCAAACGAACCGGGAGGAAACAGGTCTCGCAGAGCGGTAACCTTGACCTTGGAAGGGGGCGACTCGTCAAATATGGTCTCAATGCGAGGCCCACGGGCGCCGCCTGAAGTGCTTCTAGTTGCGCCAGTGCGTAGCGAATCAAAGAGGGTTTCGCTCTGGAAGTCAGCATCGTCCTCGTCGCCCGAACCCAAACCACGAACTTCATTATCAGACGAGCCGACCAATGTCGATGCTTGCTCGGATGGGGCCATTGAATGACGCGACGGACGAACCCCCGATTGCGCTAGGGTAGGGGAGGGGGGCATCTGATTGGCGCCTGACACGGCTGAGGCAATCACCTCGAGCTGAGGCATGGGGGACGCCAAGGAGTCTCCCGGGACAGCGTGCGCGCCACGGACCGGTAATGCGGACAATGGCGACGATGAAGAGCCTCCAGCAGGTCCATAGCGAGTAAAGCTGCCTGATTCGCCAGCGGCGAGGCCGGCAGACGTGGCAATGTTGCGTCTCGCAAGCGCTGGGTCGGTCAAATCGCGCCGCGCTTCTCCATATGAGGTGCTGTTAGGTCGCTTGCCCATGGTATGGAGAAGGGGGGCAGAGCTGACCCGCTGGCTCGATCGGCGGGCAAGCTTGCTGCCAATCCGCTGCTTCTTGGCACCTGTTGCAGACGATAGCAAGTCAGTAATAGAGAAGGAGCGCCGGGGCCGTGTCGCATCGTCGCTGAGGTCTGTAGAGGGGCGGGGGCGGGAGGAGTGCAGATGCTCAGGTTTGGTAGCGATTACAGCCGTCATACTTAGTGGGGTGCCCGGCCTGCTCACGAAGAACATGCTTTCACCGTCTTCACTTGTCGACTCGTCCATGTCCTCTGCACCTGCCGTAACCGATCTGGCGAGCACGAGCGTAGGCTTGTGCTTCACATCGGGAAATATCCTTCTAAACCCATGTGCAGCAGTTGCCGACGAACCTCTCCTCTTCGCCAGTGTTCGCTCCTTTGTAATCTTGGCCGTGAAGAACTGGGCGTACTCGATTTCGCTGTCGGTATTGGCAGAGTGCAGTTGCTCGTCCATGGACGGAACTTCAGCAGTCCTTTCCAGCAGCGCGCCCTGGTACTGCAATGTTGCGGAGCGCTGGTGGCTAGTAGCCGGCCGGCGAAACGAGGGACGGAGAGTCACGGAGCTTGGGACAGGCGTCTCGTGAGGCATGCGTACTGACGAGGAGCGTTTTACGAGCTTGTTGGGGGGTAGCGGTGAAGGTGATCGTTTGTCTATTATGGGCGCGGTGGAGCCGTCATGGGAGGAGAAGGCCATGGAGCCATTGGAGCATGAGACGGAGGGCGACAGCGGAGCAGGACTGGGGTTCCTGCTCGAGGGCTGCGAGTTGGAGATGGCCGAGAGGCGCTTGATCCACGAGGGCCGTCGTGTCGGGACGTGCGTGGTGGTGGTGGCATCGGGCGCTGCCATGTCGAGGTCACTGGGGGCATAGCTAGTCACCACACTGTTCACCATACTGCTAGGCCGTTGCAGCGCTGCATCGCCGCTTGTCATCCTCCTTACAATGCGCCGCTGCGAGCGTCCATCCTGGCTGAGGCGGGTCACAATCGGCACGCGCGCAGCAGGAGCGACGGGTATAGGGGCACTGAAGGCAGGCGCGGTGGTTGTAGTCGCAGACGTCTGAAGGGCAGTAGGCATTGAAGCGTGGCCCGGCTCTCGGGCAGGGAGGGCCTTCTTCTTGTTCGAGGACGAGGACGACGAGTCGAAGGGGGCCTCTCGTCCAAAAGACAGACCGACCGCGGATGCACCAACGACAGTGGCAGTTGCACAAAGCTGTGTGACAAGAGTGCGTCAGTCATGGCACTCAGTGCGACTTGGATGTGAGGTATATCGAGGTAAGACAGGGCCAGGTGCCGCCGCTCTCGGAAGCAAAGGCAACAGAGGCGTCGAGACATATCAAAACAAAGCAAGGGCCGCCCTTGATGGGGGTCCCAGGCGGAGCAGAGTGTCTACACACAGAGAGAGATAGAGAGAGAGGAAACATGTGGTAGTTACCGTTGGAACCGTTTTCATTCTCGTTAGAAACCAAGCCGCCGGGGAGAGCTCACTCGTCGAAGCGCTTGTGACGACGCGGTGAGCATTATGGCCTGTCAAGGTGCCAGAAAACCACGGATCGCGAGAGGCACGATGGGACGGGTGGTGGAATGGAGAGAGGGGGGAGGGGGGGAGGCTCAATCAGATGGCTTGAGGCCGTGGCAGCATCACGGTGCAAGGCGAGGAAGGGCGGCAAATGCACCCGCAACGGGCTGGGGCAGAGAGGTGGAGCTTGGTCGAGGCAGCGGACGGAGGACTGAAGAAATCCATTGCTTTGTTGCTACTTTCTGGGATCTACCTACTTACAGGGCTACCCAGCCAGCCCACTTGGGATTAGCGACATGTCGCCGATGAATATTGGGCTGATGGCGGCATGTCAAGTCCAAACAACAACAGGGAGTCGAACACAACACAGACCTTGGTCTATTCTACGGCTGCACATGTAATCTGCTCAGGGCTGGGAGAGGTACTTCGGTGCGCGGGCCCAGCTGCACTATGGTATCACCACGTTGAGCGAGGCTTTTTTAATCGATGTAGCGCCAAGTCATCTCACCCATCAACAACAACAATCAGGGACGCAGTGCAGGGGCTAGCCACGGCGAAAGCACCCCAAAATAGTGTACCAGACAGACATTCCCGGGCACTCGTAACAGGGCGCGGTGATTCGCGAACGCTCCGCTGAACTGCTTGCGGGTACCCTGCAAGCGAGTGGAGAATGTTTGCTGATCGCGCCGTGCAGTACGTACATATACATACATACAACTAGACACAACCAAGATACATGCCAGCCGGTTTCTGGACATACAGTAGCGCGTCGGCCGTAAACGAACGCGTGCTCTAGCTGGCCGCGCCCACCACGGACCCGTCTGCGTCTTGCTACACAAGAGGCAGAAAGACACCCGACGGAACGAGGTAGGGCGACAGAGGGCCACAAAAACACAAATGCATGAGACGACGTGGTGGATATTGCCGCTTCGGCTGTTCTGCTCACCAATTGCAGCCGTAGGGAGCCTGCTCCTCGTCAACATCCCAGGTAGCCGAAACCAAGAGCACGTCAGCCCCAGGTCGGAGAAGCTGGCAACAGGCGGGAACAAGGGTCGAGGATAGGCCCAGCTAATTGCCATTTGGTCATGGCTCCGAGAGCACGCGGCGTGATGGCAATGTAGCCACCTGGAAATACAGTACAGACAATTGACCGCGGCTCAGCACTGGAAGACGTTACTGGAAGAGGCTACTGGGTGATGGATCAAGGCGGCCGGCGGGGAACACACAGTCGAGCGGCGGCGGCAGATGCGTGTAGCCGGGCATCCTGGAGCACATCGCAGCAAAGATGCGTCTCTCCAGACGCATCGTGCAGATCCGCCTCGCCTCGTCTGCAGACGCCTGGTGAGACGGGGCGCGTTGTGCGCCGTCGTTGGTTCGTGTCGCCGTGTCGTGTCGTGTAGTGTTGTGTTGTGTTTGATAGGCAAGCGGCTGCCCCGCCCTGATTGGCCGTCGGGGCATCCTTCCAGAACGACCGTCCACGCCACGGCTGGCATGGCTTTGCACGCCAAATTGATATTTGCTTTGGACGAGCGAGCGACCTGCCGTGCCACGCCAATTGTCGTGAGAAACGCCCACTGCCCCCGCCATTACACCCAATTTCTTCTAGTCAACCGCAGTCTGGTCAGCAAGACGTGTGTTCCTGCGCTCTCGCCCACCTCGCCAACCAGCGCCACCGTGCGAATTCGACTTCCAAGCCCCACAAAGGAACCACACATCAGCGTGCGTGGGACAAGCCCATCATCCTCGTATCTCACCCAAGTCAGCCACCATGGAAGCTGAAATCAGACGCCAAATCCCAAACATCGACCCTGTCCTGTCAGAGTACTCGGTGGGGTACCTGACCCATGCTGCAAATTCCTTTTCTTCCGATTCCGACCCCAATGCCCCCTCACCACTCGAGGAAGCTGCCGCAACCGTGAGCGCATTGCTCCTGTCCGCTTCTGGAGACCTCTCCAACCAGAACGAGACGAGCATCCAGAGTCTTGTTGACAAGTTCATTTCACGCCTCAATGCAGCAAATGACACGGAGGGCGCCGCTCGCCAGGTGGCTCCCTCGGCTAAGAAGCTGGAGCAGGCCATCCACGTAGGCTCAGCGAGGAACATATCCTCTACGCTAGGCCTAGCAGGCGCCGCCGTGGATCTGGAATCTGCCAATGCACGCAAAGTCGAGTCCAGAGTCGACCGCAAGAAACTGGAAAAGGCCGAGCGCAAGTTGCGTGCCAAACAGGATCGTAAAGAATTCAAAAACGTCGAGTATGAGGCCTCCAAGCTTCTCAACATACCAGATGAGCTGCAAAGTTATGAAGAGTTTTACATGGCTGTCAACCCATTGCAACTGGGCGACGCTGCCTCCAAGAGCAAAGACATCAAGATCGACAGCTTCGACATCTCCATTTCTGGCAAACGCATACTTACAGACAGCACACTCACCCTCTCCTTCGGCCGCAGATATGGTCTGGTTGGTCAGAACGGTATTGGTAAATCCACGTTGCTTCGGGCTCTCAGTCGCCGTGAAGTTTCGATTCCTACGCACATTTCAATTCTCCACGTGGAGCAGGAGATCACCGGTGATGACACGCCTGCCATCCAAGCCGTCTTGGATGCCGACGTTTGGCGGAAGCACCTTCTCAAGGAACAAGACAAAATCACAAAGGAACTTACCGAGCTGGAGGCAGAGCGTTCTACCTTGGCAGATACATCTGCGGATGCTGCAAAATTGGACACTCAGCGCGAGGGCCTCGACCAGACCCTGAGCGACGTTCACTCCAAGCTTGCTGAAATGGAATCCGACAAGGCTGAGCCCAGAGCAGCTAGTATCCTTGCTGGCCTGGGTTTCTCGACTGAGCGACAACAGTTTGCGACCAAGACCTTCTCCGGAGGATGGCGCATGAGATTGGCTCTGGCACGAGCTCTATTCTGTGAACCCGATCTCTTGCTTCTCGACGAGCCGTCGAACATGCTGGACGTTCCGTCCATTACCTTCTTGTCGAATTACCTCCAGGATTATCCCAGTACTGTGCTTGTCGTATCCCACGACAGAGCATTCCTGAATGAGGTTGCAACAGATATCATCCACCAGCATTCTGAGCGACTCGACTACTACAAGAGTTCCAACTTTGACTCCTTCTACGCAACCAAAGAAGAACGTCGAAAGACACTGGCGCGCGAGTACGAGAAGCAAATGGGCGAGCGTGCGCATTTGCAAGCCTTCATCGACAAATTCCGGTACAATGCTGCCAAGTCGTCGGAAGCTCAATCTAGGATCAAGAAGTTGGAGCGGATGCCCGTCCTGGCAGCACCCGAGGCGGAATATACGGTTCACTTCAAGTTCCCCGAGGTGGAGAAGCTATCGCCCCCTATCATTCAAATGAGTGGTGTTACATTTGGCTACACGCCAGACAATATCCTGCTCAAGCATGTCGATCTTGACGTACAGCTCGATTCACGTATCGGCATCGTGGGCCCCAACGGTGCCGGTAAGACAACGGCTTTGAAGCTTCTCATAGGCGCGCTCCAGCCCACGTCTGGTTTGATCTCACAAAACCCGCGCCTTCGAGTCGGCTTCTTTGCTCAACACCACGTCGATGCGTTGGACCTCAACGACAGCGCGGTAGGCTTCATGTCCAAACAGTACCATGGCAAGGCGGACGAGGAGTACCGCCGTCACCTTGGTGCGTTTGGTATTACGGGCATGACGGGACTGCAGAAAATGGAGCTATTGTCGGGAGGCCAGAAGTCGCGTGTTGCCTTTGCCTGTCTGGCTCTGACGAACCCGCACATTCTCGTTCTTGACGAGCCGTCCAATCACTTGGATATTGAGGCTATGGATGCGCTGTCAGAAGCGTTGCAAAAGTTCCAGGGTGGTGTGCTAATGGTCAGTCACGATGTCACAATGCTGCAGAACGTATGCACAAGCTTGTGGGTGTGCGACAACGGAACGATTGAGCACTTTGACGGCACTGTGAAGGATTATAAGCGAAGAATCACTGCGCAAGCAAACGAGGCTGGCGTGGTACGAAAGCACTAAGTGACCACTTATGAATGCAAGAAGGGTATATAGATATGCATGGAGGCCACCCGTCACAATAAATACAGTTGGAAAGCTTCGAGCTTCCCCACCATGACATCAAAGCAAACGTATACTCAACATTTGCGCCAATAATGTCCTCAAACATGCATTCTGATAATGACTTGGATTTGAAGTCACTCACTCCCGGCGTGGCAGAGCCTGGAGTGAAGCTCGATGGATGTTGTTGTTGTTGTGACCTCGGGATGAGGGCCTCGACTGTGACTTCCCGCTTCCAAGTGGGAAGGTACGCTAACCGTAAGTAGCGCTTGCTGGCTGAACCCCATGCCCCCCGTTCAAGCACGGCACCCACCTCACATCACACGCTCCAAGATCACGGCCACCAGCAGCACAGTACAGCAAACAATCCCCTTCCCGTCGACTGCTGCTCCACCCAATGCGCCTGGCGAGATTGTGATCTGGACGCGCACGCGATTAATTGACAGCGGCTGTTAGCGCCCTCGCCCCTTCGAGCCTCATCATCATCTACTTTGCGTCCAATACACGCAGCTACCGGCACCTTGTCGCGCACGCAGCCTCCTAGTACAGACGGCTTGTCCGTAGTCACTCCTTTGCCTCCGAATCCTAGCGATAGCGACACGCAGCGCCCGCCTTACACCGTCACAGCTCCCGCGAGCCTCAACGCTGTCTTGACCACGGCTAGCGACTCACCGTATCCCCCTCCCTTCTCCTCGCTCTACTTCCCGTCAAACGACACAGTCGAAGCGCGCAACAAGGCCTGCAATACTCCAGAAGACGAGTCGCCGCCTGCATTCGCTCCAGCGCCACCCTTCACCGAGTCTTCGTCCGCTGCCGCTGCTGCTGCTGCCGCTGCGACCAAAGCTGCCCTTCCGCGCGACAACAAAGACGCTTCCAGCAGCAAACATCCCGACGACGGAGAGCCGCCGCCTCCATACAGCGAAGGATCAAGCCCGCTCGAGTCGTTTGCGTACGTCATGGCATCCGCAGGAGGTCCCGCGAGCATCATCACCCAAGTGTCACAATCGAGTGCAGGGCCACCGATAAACACGCTAGGCGGATCTGATGAGAACATCACCTTGGAGCTGAGGTAAGGACATGCAAGACTCATTGGGCGTGATGGGCACAAAGCTAATGATACTGGCAGAGGATCGCGCTTCACGCTGTCGCGCGATGAGCTTCTAACTCTGCCCGAGTTCGTCCTCCTCTCACTCTTTCCTAATGGCCTACTCCCAGATGGCCACATGAACTCTTACCATGATGGAGATGTGTACCCAGTCGACGTCGGTAACCCCAACTCCTCTTCCCCTCCCCTTTCGTCTTCCCCGCCCATGGGTCCAATGGCCAAGATCGTGTACCACCTCTCCAACCCCGCATTATATTTATCTGACAATATGTATCCTTCACAGTACGATCCAAACTCCCTCCAGTACATGCTGGAGTTCTTCCGAACTGTAGCCCAGACGATCCCCGCATCTCCCCCTTCGCCAACTGCAGCCCCAGAGCATCCTGCCGAGGCTGTACCTATTGAGCCCATGCATGGCTCCGCTAGGGACATGCTGCAGGACCGCGCTGGTATAATCGTCCTCCGGGAGGACCTCGACTTCTATGCGATCCCGCCGCACCGCGATATTACCCAGCCCGAGATGATTGAAGTCAAACGAGCTGCGGGCGAGGCATTGCTGAGGCAGGATGGCATCTTCTCAGGTCTGCGAAAGAGCGAGGAGCCAGGAACGACCGAGCAGCACCTCATTGAGATGCTGACCGCCGGGTAAGGTCATCCAGTTTATGGCCCATGAGCTCCTGCTAACTAGCCACAGTGGCTTCAACCACCACGATCGCTGGGGTCACCGTGCCGGCGAGCCTAACAAAGCCGTCATCTGCAGTATCGCACTCGCGCGCCTGAGGACCGACATCAAAGGCAACGATCTTGCTAACAGCAACGCTGTCGGGATGGCGCAAAAGCTACTTCTCTTTTGGAGGAAACCTGCTCGCCGATGCTGGTGGGAAGGTGTTGAGCTTGAGAACGTCCGAGGTGTAGAGGGCAAGCTGAAGGTGTGGATAAGGCGAGTCTGGACGCTAGAGATGGTGAGTGAACCCTTGAGCTAAGCGCTATCTATCTACCCCATGCTTACACGTTCACAGAGCGTCATCGGTCTCCGTTAAGACCCTCGTTAGTGTTCCTTTTGTTGATTCGGCGATGTTTCCTTGCCTATTCCGCTTCTTTTGACATTCGACTCCGCATTGCGGCTTTGCGGCACCAAGACCGCGTACAAAAAGCATGGTCGGTTCGTCGAGGATTCATCTAGCGGGTTGTTTTTCTTTCCTCCGTTTTGATACCTCCCTACATGGTCCATTATTACATACAGGACGATGTTGATGTCAATTATCCATAGCAAGCGTTGGCATAGGTTCACATATTGTTTGAAATAGTTTCGGGCAAGACGTACATATGCTTTGTATAGCAGTAGTAGTAGTAGTAGCGAGTATCTAGGGTCGCAGTAAAATTGTAATACTATTTCTCATATCGGGGTACTCTTGGCCGCCTCTACATTCTATTTCAATCTTACGCTCAAATCCGGACCCTTCATACACCCACAATGTTCTTCCCCATTCCATCCACCGTGCACTCTCGAAGCGCCCTCCCTTACCTTACAAAACCCATTCTCGTCCCGCTGTCACCGTGACCCTATCCCCTCAACGCCTCCCCTTCCCCGTACCCGAACGACGCACAAACCTCCTGTCTCTGTCTCAAATGTCACGGTACGTACCTCGCGTGGCGCCGTTGCACGCCCCATTCCCATGCATCACCCATGATCCATGCATTGCATCGTCACATGAGCCCAAGACAACAAGAAACAATATACACAAGGGGGCAATGTCGTGGCCATGTTGAGCTCGCCACGGTACCCATGTTTCAAGCGAGGTTCCAAGTCATCGTCCCGGTAGCTGGGACACAGCATGGGAGGGAGGGGCAGGGGGGGGATACATATAGGTTAGGGAACATGCAAACGGTGAGTTTGAGTCGAGTTCGGGGAGGCTAGCTGGCTGGGGCTGAGAAGTGTGTACCTGCATGCGTTGCGGTTGTGTGTATGTGTGTTGTGGTGTGGTGTGTGGTGGGTCCAATAGAGATGGTGTTGTGGTACGTGAGATGGGGGGGGAGGGGGACAGGGATGAAGCTTCGGGCAGTCCTGAGGCAGTAAGTAGTAGTGGGGAAAACGGAGTTTCGTGGTACTACTGATCTTCTGCGTCTCCACTTCGAGCTGATAAACTATTTTGTTGTTGGGGACCGGTGAGCATCCCAGTCATCACGAATCGACCAAGTTTCATCCCTTGAGACATCGCCATGGATGTGCGAGCCTCAAAAGGGCAATGGATACGCGTGTCGAATGCGGCTCGCCGGTAGACGGAGCATCGGTACCACGATTTCGACCCGGATTTTGGGTACACTTGCAGCTATGATATCGTTGTGGCTGGGGATGCTATAGCAACGGCCGATTCATGAAGCAAGGCAGCTTCTTCAACCAGACGATCAAGGAGAGAGCTCCGCATCCTACCCGCGCTATTATCGTCTTCTGCGAGGGCTTGCATTCTGAGTAAGGCAGAGCCCAGTACCACGCTTAGGCGTAACGGGCCGATGCTTGTACATATGTCGAGCGGGAAGTATCTGTGGTGGCTTGCATGTTGAAGCGGCCGGTAAGCACATCAACGATAACGACGGTGACGTGCGGGCACAGGATGCAATGACGCGAGCTTCGGAGACATGTACGGTTAGCTACACACGTTAATGTCAAGAAGAAAAAGAAATTCGTGCATGCCCCCGTAGCTCAAGATTATGGGCTTACGCCTGGCGGGAAACGTTCGGGAAGACTTGCAGATATTGGCGGTGAGTCGTCATGAAGAGAGATGCTCAGTTCGGAATGGTAGAGTTCGACACATCGAAGCGGGTGTGGAGACCCGCTAACACTGTTGATTCTCCGGTCTACTGTTGTGGTAGAGACCGATTACTATATGCCATACTGCGTGTGAGGGCGCAGCCTGTTCCTCCATATCACACCTCCTTTTTACATAGGGTATCAACTCTAATCTTGACCATGGTTGAAGGGCCAAGTAGATGATATGCAAAACAACGCCTTTAAACGACCAGACCCCGCGAGTCCCGGACTCGATGCTATGCCGTTGAAGACAAATGACTTTTCGAAGTGGTATCATGCCAGTTCATAACGTCGTGTTGAAACATCCCAAGCTCAAAATGAAAAAATCTAGTAACGGTAGATATCGGCCTTGAAAGGACCATCAACAGGGAGGCCAAGGTACTCAGCCTGGACCTCGGTGAGCTTGGAGAGCTCAACGTTGACGTGTGCGAGATGGAGAAGAGCGACTTGCTCATCGAGAATCTTGGGCAGAACATAGACACCAACATCGAGCTTGCCAGTCTTGCCGAACTCGACGTACTTCTTGCCAAACGCCTCATCGGAGGCCTTGAACAGCATGATCTGGGCAAGGACCTGGTTGGTGAAAGAGCAAGACATGACGAACGAGGAGTGACCGGTAGCACATCCCAAGTTAACGAGACGGCCCTCGGCAAGGAGGATGATGTGACGGCCGCTGGGCATGAGATAGCGGTCGACCTGGGGCTTGATGTTGGAGACGGATTTGGCGTTCTTCTTGAGCCACGCAACGTCGATTTCGATATCGAAGTGACCGATGTTGCAAACGATGGCGTCGTTGGGCATGGCCTCGAAGTGGGCGCCAGTAAGGATGTCACGGCAGCCGGTGGTGGTGACGAAAATCTGACCCTGGGAAGCAGCCTTCTCCATGGTGGTGACCTGGAAGCCGGAGACGGCAGCCTGGAGAGCGTTGATGGGGTCGATCTCGGTGACGATGACGCGGGCACCCATGCTGTGGAGAGCCTGAGCGCAGCCCTTGCCGACATCACCGAAACCGGCGACAACGGCGACCTTGCCAGCAATCATGACATCGGTGGCACGCTTGATGCCGTCGACGAGGGACTCACGGCAGCCGTACAAGTTGTCGAACTTGGACTTTGTGACGGAGTCGTTGACGTTGATGGCGGGGACGAGGAGGCCCTTGCCCTTCAACATACGGTAGAGGTGGTGCACACCGGTGGTGGTCTCCTCAGAGACGCCATAGCAGTCCTTGAGCATCTCGGGGTACTTCTTGTGGACGAGCGAGGTGAGGTCACCACCGTCATCGAGGATCAAGTTCAGGCTCTTGCCGTCCTTGAAGGCAGTGAGCTGCTGCTCGAGGCACCACTCGTACTCCTCCTCGGTCTCGCCCTTCCAGGCGAAGACGGGCACACCGGCGGCGGCAATGGCGGCAGCGGCGTGGTCCTGGGTGGAGAAGATGTTGCAGGAGGTCCAGGTAAGCTCAGCACCGAGGGACTTGAGCGTCTCGATGAGGACAGCGGTTTGGATGGCTGGAGCGGGGTCAGTCACGGATCTTCACGGGAACACTATATCGAATGACAACGTACTCATGTGCAGACATCCCGCAATACGGGCACCCTTCAATGGCTGGTCCTCGGCGTACTTCCTGCGGGTCTCCATCAGACCAGGCATCTCGTTCTCAGCGAGCTCAATCTCGCGGCGACCAAAGGCCGCGAGACTGATGTCAGCGACCTTGAACTTGTTGGCGGGAGCAGACATGTTGGCGGTTGTCTAGGAGTGATTGGGGGTTGTAGTAGAGAAGAGGGAGGGGAGGATGGGGGAGGAAGTTTTCACAGAATGGAGGGGAGGGTTGGTTTTTAGGATTGCCCCGCCCCCCGGTCTTGCCGCCGCTCACCGCCCGCTGGTTTCGTCGGGTTCGGCAGTTGCGCTTACCTAGGTAGTCTTCACCGCTCGCTTCAAAGAGCAATGCTATCATTCCAAGCAACCCTCGGTGCTTTTTCTTCAACCGTAATCCATACTGGTCGTACCTGAAAAAACCAAGTATATAACGATAGTAAGGTCACATTCTTCTCAGGACTTATTCGGGATACCTGAAGACTCTGTTGGGCTTGCTCCACCCTTCGCGCTGTACGTGTTTCAGTGAGTTTCGATGCTCGCCTATTCGGGCAAATCAAAAGCGTCTCGGGAATCCTTCAGACAGAGGGGCGTTGTCAGACTTGCAGAATGGTGAGCAAGCACTGCAGCTACTGTCAGGCTTCTTTGTCGTCGGTAAGGTGTACGCGAAGAAGCCGAGAGACTTGTATCTAACTGAGGATAAACAAGAGTAAGTCGCAGTATCTAGAATATCATACGCTAACAATCTTTCACTGAAGCCAAAGCCAGAAGACCATAGTTCTTAACTGTCTTCCTAGCACTCCCCCCTCAGCCGCTGCATCGTCTCCATCTTCCTTGATTGATGCCTCAGTATTGCCAGTACAGGTACAAAGCCCGAATGCTAACGTATATCAGAGAAAACGTAGAATTAGGGCAAGTGTAAATACGGATGTATCAGTAAGCACCAAGATAAGGACAAACATCGTTCGTGAACATGTCGCTAAAAGTACAAAATGTAAACCGCTCGTCATATTCAAACTCAAAGTACGTCCATAGCACCGACCATAGTTCAACAGGTAACACTGGGGCGTAGGCGCTTTTGGAATCTTCCTCCGTCATGTTTAGGTATAATGAGGCACCTGTCCCTTGTCTCCCTCCTTCCCTTCCACCAGCGGCTGCACCCCATTATCAATCTTCTTCGGCCCCGGCCTCTTGAAGTGTGCCTTTAACGGCTCCCAGCTCTCCGCATTGTAACCTTCCTGCAACTTGCGGCACTTCTTGAGGCCCCAATCTGTCACGCCGATCATGAGACAGCTCTCGAACATGAATGCCATGCTACCTTCGCCAACCTTATTTGGCTTCAAATCAACATTCGAAGCCTTCTCATGGGTGGCGGCATCCGGACCGTGCCCAGACATGATATTGTGCAGAGAAGCGCCAGCCGGTTGGAAGCCGCCGCCGGTTTTGGCATCGTACTGGCCTCCAATCAATCCCATGAATTCAGACATGGTGTTGCGGTGGTACCATGGCGGACGGAAAGTGTCCTCTGCGACCAGCCACCGCGGCGGGAAGATGACAAAGTCAGCGACTGCTGTTCCCGCTTGGGGTGATTGCGCAGTGAGCACGGTGTAGATTGACGGATCGGGATGGTCAAACGAGGTACTCCCTATTGTGTTGAAGCGTCCCAGGTCGTATTTATAGGGGTAGTAGAGGCCATGCCATGCGACTACGTCAAAGGGCGTCTGGCGTTGCTTAGCAGCGTACAAATGGCCGGCAAACTTTGCTAGAATCTGCCATTCTGACTCCGTGTCTTCGTCAAAGTCGGCTACTGGAGCTTGGAAGTCTCGCGCATTGGCAAGACCATTTGAGCCGATGGGGCCTAGTTCTGGAAGCGTGAAGTGGCCTTCATATAGCTCTAGAATGTAGCCTCGTACAGGGCCTTCAGGAAGTGTAACGCGATAGCGAATGCCACGCGGTATGATGCAGATTTCGTTTGGCCGCACGACCAGACGACCCAACTCAGTCTGGATGTCGAGTACACCATGCTGAGGTACGATCAAAAAGTCACCGTCAGCCGAGTAGAAGGCCTCCTTGGGGTCCATATCCTTCCCAGCAGCGTAGATAAAGTACCCCACTCCAGACTTCATCGTAGGGTCTCCAGCACCTGCAACTAGATGGAGAGAGTGTACCCAGTCTACTGTCTCGTCATGGTCAAAGGGGTCCCATCGTAGCTGATTGGGAATGAAGTGGATCTTTTCCCACGGCTTATTCTCAGGGTTTGTGTTGAACGTCTTCGATTCGCGGGCCTCAAAGTTGCTGTGCCCACAGGAAGGCAGGATACGGTAGAGCCATGTCTGCTGGTTCTCATTTCGAGGGGCTGTGAAGGCAGTGCCAGAGAGCTTCTCGGCGTACAGGCCATATGGAGGCTTTTGTGGGGAGTTTGTGCCGATTGGCAGCGCACCCTCTACTGCTTCAGTCCTAGGGACTTGTTAGTAGGATGTAACCATAGTAGTCAAAAAGATACTTACTCATGGTAGGAATTGAATCCGTTTTGATATCGATACTTTTCCTTGAATGCAAACTCGGTTGAAGGCATGGTGGATTGTAGTAAAGTCTAGATTGAGCCCTCTCCACAATAATGCGGGCTGGCGAACTGCGGTTTTCTTAAATACAGATCTTCACGGATGTTGCGGGGTGTAGGATTGTAGTAACCACCAGCGAGCTGCTGTTGGGCCATAGTTAGCTTCTGCGCAGTGCGGCAATATGCGGCTTCACATTCCGTGATTTATCGCGTTGCAAAGAAGAAAGCGGAGAATTGCCTGGTCGGCTATACCCCACACGAGGGATGGGCAGACCCCTCGTCTCGTTGGTTAGAGGCGGAATTTTTCCGAACTCCGCGTTCACCCTTTTCCGTCACAAGCCGAGAGCAAGCAGCAACAAGTGGCTCGGAACATATATTCCGAAATCGGATTATTACTATACATCAGCGAAACGGGCGAGCACACCAAGTATTACAGGGTCGCATATTGTCTGGTAGAATTCTGAAACCTGGTTACCAACGTTGCTGCTTGCATCACCCCAGGGTCTCTCAAAACATCAGTGGAATTAGGAAACATCACGTCAGGTCTTCCAGCATGACTTCACTTCGGTCCTGGTTCGCCATACCTCGAGGATCACACTTCTCATTAGCAAACATTCCTTTCGGCATCATCTCAACAGCCACGTCAACGTCTCCACGGGTGGCTGTGGCGATTGGTGACCATGCTTTGGATCTCGAGGCTTTTGCTGCGAACAATGGTTTCTCTGGTCTATCCACGATACAGCAACATCAAGCTGTCTTCTCACAGCCCTCATTGAATGCATTCGCAGCCCTTGGCAAGCCTCTTCACTCTGTTGTTCGCAAATACATCCAGAGTGTCTTTGCCGAAGACACCACCTTTCCAGATATCCTCAAGACCAACTCAACGCTTCAGAAGCAGGTACTAGTCCCGCTTAAGGACGTCCAGGCACATTTGCCTTTCAAGATTGGCGACTACACAGATTTCTTTGCTGGTGTTAACCATGCATACAACTGCGGCGTAATATTCCGAGGACCCCAGAACGCACTACAGCCCAACTACAAGCATCTTCCGGTCGGCTACCATGGCAGAGCATCTTCAGTCGTACCCTCAGGAACGCTAATCCGCCGTCCTAATGGACAGATTCTTCTCGATCCTACCGCCGAGAAGAAGGTCCCTACGTTCTCTCCCTGCAAGAAACTGGATATCGAACTTGAGCTAGGTGCCTTTGTGTGTGGATCAAACAAGCAGGGAGTGCCGATTCCAATCGACGAAGCAGAAGACAACCTGTTCGGGGTGGTACTCATGAATGATTGGTCAGCAAGAGATATACAAGCATGGGAATACGTACCCCTAGGTCCATTCAATGCGAAGAACTTTGGCACGACCATCAGCACTTGGGTTGTTCTAGCGGACGCACTTGAGCCTTTCAAGGCGAAAGCTCTGGAGAATGATTCCGAAGTGCTGCCTTACCTGAAAGAGAAAAACGACAAAACCGTCTATGACATAAATCTTCAGGTGGATGTCAAGAGTAAGTTTGTTCGCCGTGTTTTCTGAATAAAGTAGGCTGATCATGACTAGCATCATCCGGTAACAACACCACAATATCAAAAGTAAATGCCCGGAACTTGCTATGGTCCTTCCCCCAGATGCTGGCACATCACACTATTACCGGTTGCCCCTTTCAACCAGGCGATCTACTCGGATCAGGCACTATCAGTGGCAGCTCTCCAGCAGAATACGGAAGCTTTCTCGAGCAAAGCAACAATGGTAAGTCCGCTATCACGCTGGACGGTGGTGAAAAGCGGACATTCCTTGAGGACGGTGACGAGATCACGATCAAGGGGGTATGCGGTACAGACGAGGAGGCCCTGGTTGGGTTTGGAGAGTGCGTTGGGCGGATCGAGCCCGCACTGACACTGAGTTATGCTTGAAAAGGTCATACGTGGACTGACTAAAGTGGATAAATATCCACATTTCACAAGGCTATAGATACAGCTAGTAATTCTAGGGAGATGTTCTCAAGGGAACCATTCCAGTTTTTGAGAGGTCCGCTGCGTTTCCACGCCCAGGGATGAAATATTACATAGATGGATGGTTTTGATCACGATTTCCTCTCCAAAGACAAGTTTCAGCATCGGCAGACGTATCCTCGGATTCTCGTTTCAAGAGCAGGGTCAATAAAGTGAGGAACACTTCCGCTGTCATTGTCTCCACCTCACCCCCCAACAAGTGCATTCGGTTATCCAGAACTCATTTCGGGCAATTATCAATCCACCTACGTTGGCTCCTAGGTTTGCTAAGATAACCTTATGGTCTCTTGAAACGGCTAGGCAATGATCTCACTCCCCGCGCTTCTCCCCGCACCACGCTAAATGTAGTTTCAAAGAGCCACCATTTGCGGTCTAATTCCGCTACACGTCCAGAAACACCACGCCGGATGAGCACTTCACATGCCCCGCCCACTGCGCAGCAGTTTCCGGACCATGGCCAGTCAGGTACAGGCTAATCTTGCTGAGCCTGACGCCATGTCACCGTTAGCCTCTCGTGGAGGTGAATGCATGGCAGCCCGAAGGGAGCCGAAGGAGAACTGTGATATAAGTCTACCTGCTGCCCTCCAGACTGAGTAGCTGGTCAAGCTCCGGGAACTCCTTCCCGGCCTCAAAAAATCTACCGACCTTCAAGATCTGTCAGAATAATGACAATTCCTATCTATATTGCCGGCGGCCTTGTCCTCTCTTTCTTCCTGTACAAACTCCTCTACGGCACCGATACACCGAAAATCAAGGGCCTTCCGGAGATCCCAGGTCTTCCTCTGTTTGGAAGTCTGTTCGAGCTCGGGACCAACCACGCCAAAGTAGCGCAAGGATGGGCAAAGAAATACGGGCCAGTCTTCCAGGTGCGGATGGGCAATAGGGTAGGTTCTGAATATGTCCAAGCCTCTTATGGCAATTGAAGCTTCAAAGAGGCACAGAAGCTAATGCAAATGAACAGAGGATTGTATTCGCCAACTCCTTCGACTCTGTCCGCCATCTCTGGATCACGAATCAATCCGCTCTCATCTCGCGTCCTATGCTCCACACCTTCCACAACGTCATCTCTTCTTCACAGGGCTTCACAATTGGAACCTCGCCGTGGGATGAGTCCTGCAAGAATCGCCGAAAAGCTGCTGCTACCGCCCTTAACCGCCCCGCGGTTCAGTCCTACATGCCCCTCATAGACCTCGAGTCTACCGTCTCTATCAAAGAGCTGCTACATGATAGCAAAGGGGGAGAGATCGATCTCGACCCCCGAGCATACTGGCAGAGATACGCGTTGAACACGAGCTTGACCTTGAATTATGGATATCGTATCGATGGCAACAAGGATGCACCGCTACTAAAGGAGATTGTGGATGTGGAACGTGGAGTGGGCAATTTCAGGTCTACGAGTAATAACTGGCAAGACTATATTCCACTACTAAGACTATGGCCGAGTCAAAGTAATGAGGCGATTACCTTCAGGAAGAGGAGAGATGTGTACATGGACAGATTACTCAACACCCTAGAAGACAAGATCGAGAAAGGGACGGATAAGCCATGCATCACTGGAAACATCATCAAGGACCCAGAGGCAAAGCTGAACAGAGGTCCGTCAAACATGGCTCGACCATATACCCCTCATTTCCATGAGACATAGACACTGACTAACGCCCTGCAGCGGAAATAAAATCCATCTGTTTAACCATGGTATCCGCCGGTCTTGACACCGTCCCCGGCAACCTAATCATGGGCATTGCCTACCTCGCCACACCCGCAGGCCAGAAGATCCAAAGACGTGCCTACGAAGAAATCCAAAAAGTATACCCCGACAACGACGCCTGGGAGCGCTGTATCCACGAAGAGAGAGTACCCTACATCACGGCCCTGTACAAGGAGATCCTCCGGTACTGGTCCGTCATCCCCATCTGCCTGCCCAGAGTATCCATCAAAGACATCGAGTGGAACGGCGTGACCATCCCCGCAGGAACAACATTCTACATGAACGCCTACGCCGCAGACTACGACGCTGAGCACTTCCAGGATCCCCAGTCCTTCGATCCAGAGCGCTACCTCCACATCCCCGACGGAGCGGGGACGCCTCATTACGGGTACGGCGCGGGCTCGAGAATGTGCGTGGGATCCCACCTTGCTAACAGGGAGCTGTATACTGCGTTTGTACGGCTCATTTCTGCGTTTGAATTCTCGCCGCCCGTGGACCCGAGGGACGAGCCGATTATGGATTGTCTGGAGGCTAATTCTTTGCCGACGAGCTTGACTATGGAGCCCAAGTATTTCAAGGTTGGGTTTAAGCCCAGGAATAGGGAGCTGCTTGATCGGTGGATCAAGGAGAGCGAGGAGCGGACGAGGGACTTGATGTAGATGTGTTTATAACGCGAGGCCCATGGAAACTCCCAAGTGCCTCTCATGCTCAAGCTTTTACTGGAGAAATACCATCCTTCTCCAGGAACATTTAGAAATTATCTCTCGAGTACGTCAATTCTCAATGCGTTACTGCTCGAGCACCAAAGAATCAAGGAAAGAACCGCAAAATGCACCCAGGCTAGAGAGATACAATTGAAAGTTATGATTGCGATTCATATTTGGTTGATGGTGTATAGACGGGTTGAATATGACGGAACGCCAGGCTATGCCAGACTGAGCAAAAATAGTACCACCTTTTTGGCCCTGATATGATAGATGTGTGAAATCCCATGAGCTATTCAGCTGCCTGCGTGTACGAGTCTACTCTTCATCTTCGTCATCGTCGACCACCCTTCTCCGCTTCGTCCTACTGACCACAACCTCATCATGATCAGCATCATCGCCACCCCTCCCCCTCTTCGGACTTGCCATGATCCCATCGTCAAGGTCATCGTCATCATCCTCGACAATCTCGGGCTCCTCATCACTCGCCGCAATGAAGTCGTCCTCCTCGTCGTAGTCGTCTTCCCTATTCTTGCCGGGTCGTCCATAGTCGTCGTCATCACTCCAGTCCCGTCGGAGACCGCTCTTTTGTCGTGGTTTCCGTGGCCCGCGAGGAGCGCCCTCCAGGTCATCGATGTCGAGACCTCCGCCAGATGAACGGCCGCCGGGGCGGCCCATGGTGCGGTTTGCGCGTTCGGCCTGGCGTGCTTCGTGCTTTTCGCGAGCGCGGGCTTGTCGCTGCTTCTCTTTGAAGGTGGCCTCTTCGCGTTGGCGGCGGAGTTCGGGGTCTTCGTTCACGTCTACAAAGGAGATGGCATGGTCGGAATCGTCGCGGCCGCGTGTCGCTAGTTCGGCAAGGTCATTCTGGAGCTTTTCTAGGGCGGCGTCTTTGAGGTTCGCCGCGGGAACCACGTTGAGTGCGGTTGTGAGCTTGTTAGTTACGCGCATGACGTTTGCTTCCTCATAGGGCGCAACCAGGTACGTGTAGCTCTCCTTCTTTGAGCTTGTTTTATTGCCTGTCCTGTCTTCCTTGATGGCGGTTGGTGTGGGTATCTTTGGGTTGACCTGCGGCGGCGCAAGTGTATTCGCATCGATGTCAAATTGAGTCGTCGGATCGTTCGCAAACTGCAGAGTAAGAGAGCCGTCTGACCAGCGTAGAATACGAGCGTTGGACTGTAGTTCGGCGTTATTTGAGGGCGACCGCCGCCATCGGATGGTGGACATGGCGGTGTTGTATGCGGAGAACTGCTCTGACGCGGCAAGCTTCGAATGATGGTCTGTGATGGGAGGCTGGAAGGTTTTGTGGCTGAATGCGGTGGGTTCGAAGGATAGAAATCGCGGGACTTTGAGTAGATAGAGTTCCTTGTCGGTGGGTTCTGGGACGGCATGGCGCGCAAGGTCGGCGTCCATGAAGGCGAAGGTCTGTTGCTCGACTTCCTCGGCCGCGTCTGCCGCTCTGGCGCGATCTACTCGACCCTCATCGTCGCCCGAGTCGAGCTCTTCATCGTCGAGCTTGCGCTGATCGCTAGCAATATAGTTAGTTGTCGTACGTCCAAGTTCCTCGATAGCTGCTCACGCTGGCGCATCGTCTTCATCGCCGAACAGATCATCGACTTCCGCGTCTAGGCCGTCCTCTTCGACGGTGTGTCGCGGCGTGCCTTCTTCTCCATTCTCTGGCGGAGTCACTTCTCTTGCAGCCTCGTCATCTGAGAGTGTTGGGTCGTGAGCCGCGTCGGACATGGCTGTCGGTTGACCAGGGCTTCCAATGCGCAATTGACTGATTCTCGAGAATAGCGTAGGGCGAGGTAAGTAGACGAAGGGCGCGATCGAGGGCAGATCAGCGCAGGCAATCCAGATACGACGGCAGAGGTAAAGGCGCGTGCCAGGATGAATCCATTGCTGGCTGCAGTGAACAAAGTTCCGAGCACAATGAAGACGCGCTTGCCGAATCCGTGATAGCGCCCCGCCCCTTCTTCGATACCGCCTTGGAGGTGGGCCCAGAATCGCTGGCCGCTCGAGACGTATCACCAACAACCTCGCCCTCTATCGCTCTGCATACGCCCTCTGTCACCCTAACTAAGTGCATTCGCTGACCCCGCACTTCCTCTAAGACTCAGCATATCCCGAAAACGCAGATTATGGCGTCCTTCTTCTCCAGCGTGTGAGTGCTTGGCGCAGCTCCCTTCCCCCAATGCTCTTCGCTTTCTCCGCCCCCCCCCAGTCAAGACCCTGCTTTCGTACTTGTTTCAGTTGCTTTCCTGCGTCTTGTCTCACATTTCCAAACATCCTATATGCACGCCACTTGCAATATAGTCTCCTATCTCTTCTCTTCATAACTCGCCCAGTCTCGCTGCCTGAGGCTTCCTTTCCCTTCTCTGACATATTTCTGATAGACGCCAAGGACTGGCCGGGCGATCCAAGAGCAGCCAACAGCCAGGCAAAGGAAGCAGTCCCTCGCCCACGACTCCTTACTCTGCATCACCTACTTCTCAGCAACCCCCGAATGTACCGCCCATGCCAAGCTCACCTGCTTTATCTTCGGCCATGTCATTCGAAAGCCAGGGTCCTCTACCCGAAGGGCCACCTGGCTCCCGTCGACCACCTTTCTTCTTCCGTGAGGAGTATTCCAGCTTGATTGTCAAGGGTAACTTCATGACGTTGGCTGCCAAGCCATTACTTGTTGAGGAGGGCGAGTGGCTTGCACATCAAGGCATGTCTCCCCTTCATGTCAAAGCAGGGCCTTGTACTGATCGCGTGACCAGTTGTCGAACAGTATCGTCTACTTGAGCAAATGATCGAAATCATCAAAGTAGTAGATGACCGGACTAGCAAACCTATTTGTAACCCAGACGTCTGCCCTACCATGTCTGCTAGTGGCCACACATATACGTGGCTCGACAACAACAAGAAGCCCATCAAGATCCCCGCAATCCAGTACATCAATCTGGTTCAGAAGTGGATCGTCGGCAAGATCAACGACGCCAGCATCTTCCCGACTGACACTACCTCTGTCACTGCCGCAGCATCAACCTACGCCTCAGGCTCCGTAACACCCAGCGGATCTGCACCCCAACCTCTTGGACCTACCAGCCTTAATGCGCCGCTGTCGCAGCTCTCGGGTCGCGACTGGCTCGGCAAGTCGTCTGGCTTCCCGGAAAACTTCGAGGGTGACATCAAGAGCATCTACCGCCAGATGATGCGGTGCTACGCACACATCTACCACGGCCACTGGCTGGAGCCCTTCTGGAACGTGGGCGCATACAAAGAGCTCAACACATGCTTCATCCATTTCGTCAACGTGGGCAAGCTATTCAATCTCATCGGGGAGAAGGAGATTGAGCCCATGCAGCCTTTGGTAGATCTTTGGGCGGAGAAGGGCTTGCTTCCTGCAACTTCCAAAGAGAGTGCGCCGCCGAGGAGTTCTGGTGGTCAGCAAGCTGCTCCTGCGTCTTGAGCAGATCGACTGAAGAGGATCGAATCTGCGACACGCCTTTTGGTATGGTAGCATTGACTCCGCAACGGAGATATGTCGACATCTTTCGCCTTGCATACCTAAGATGGAATGAAATTTGATAGTGGTTGGGCGTTAGGAATCATTCTAGGAGTAAACCTGCTTATACATAGAGCAAATAACGCTTGATACGACCGATTGCAGTTTGGCTTCATTCCTCGTGATGTACAAGTGTGTGATGCCGATACCATGGTACTGGGTTAGACGAGAGAGCATTAGTGATGGGTGCCGAGCATTCCAATGTCGCTACCAGTCACAGACAGTCCAAACAAAGGCAAAATACACACAAGGTTATACAAAAAGACCGTTGCCATTGATTCTATATCATTCGTAATGTCATTACTGTCGTTTGAGCCGGAAGACCCGTGTGCATTCATGACCCCAATATGCCACCATGTGCTTGTAGGCCAGGGCCACAATAGGAAATGAATGATAAAGTCACGAGAAAAGCCGCCTGAAGCCAAAAGCGAGAACAAAGAAAAGAGCAGCTCTATCCGCACTACTCTGGTACCGAGAACCATACAAGCCCCTATTTCCGCCTCGCAACATAATAATAATTCTTCACTCCTTCCACCCAAAAAACCAGAGGACACGGAAAAGTCGTAAACAAAACAAAAGAAAGAAATGGGTCGAAAAGCTAGTACCGCGCCCCCATTGGCGGCGGCGGCATAGCACCGTACGGGTTGGCATCCGCATAGGACGTAGGATAGGACGGGTTGGCGACTACAGGATACGCATACGGATTAGCCATGGCTCCATTCATACCTCCCATCACGTTCTGCCGGGCTTCCTTTTCCCTCCTCTCGCGCTGCTTCCTCCTCTTGCGACGTCTGGTTTCAAGCTCCTTGACGCTATGGCGCTGCTCGTTCATTTCTTTCCACTCCGAATACGCAGACTTGATACCGAGGGCAGCAATACCCACGGCCGCAGCGTCTTGGAGCATGTTTTTGGACTTGCGTTTACGCGATTCCTCGGGCGACATTTCGCCTTCAGAAACGAGTTTGCGCCTCTTTTCTGAGGCTACCATGGACGAGTAGACGCCATGCGCCGCGTGGATGGTTGCCACCGTGGCCAGCCCGGCAGTGAGGAGTTCCTTACCTCTAAGCTTCTTGCGCTTTTGCTCCATATCGGTCGTAGAGTCAGAATCACTACTTGAATCTCGCTTGCCTCGATCGCCTCCACCCTGTGCTGTGAGAGCACCAGCGCCCGCTCCGCCTGCTGCCGCTAGTCTGCGATCTGGGTTAGCCCGTGAAGGAGCCTCGGAGTACTGGTCGTCCATACCGCGGCCTCGGCTGTACGAGCGATCGCGACGGTTGCCCCTCCGCGATGGTACGTAGCTGTCTGCACTGGAGGAGCGTGACCGCTCCTTCCGAGAGCGAGACTTGGAACGTACTCGGTCGTAGAGGGCCTTGCCTGCTGCGATGACAGCACCGGTACCAGCTACTTTGGCGAGTCCGTTGCCACCTTCGTGTTCACCATCACGGGATTGGGAGCGTCCACGGGAGCGAGAGCGTCCAAAGATTGACCTAGAGCGGGAGCGGGAGCGGGACCTAGAACCATCACGGCCGCGAACTCGAGAGTTGGAGCGGGAGCCGTTGGCAAGACGAGTTGCAACAAGTCCACCTAGAGCTGACTCGACAACATGTCGCTTCTCGTGCTTCTCGGGGTCTCTGTCAATGAGACCATCGATACCGGCAGCACCGAGAGCAGCAGTTGCGATTCGCTGGCCCTTTGCACCAGTCCAGGGGCCTGGAACATTGCGGCTGCGGAAGGCTTCAACAGCGCCGGCCACAATGGCGGCTTTGGCGGCTTGCTCCCACTTCTCAGACTTGCGGCCTCCACGGCTGCGGCTGCTGGACCTCGAGTCATGGCGGCGGTCTCGACGATCATCGTAGTAGCTGTTCTTGTCGCTATCATAGCCGCGGTCGTCGCGTCTGGGGCGTGAGCGGCTGCGGCCTGTGACTGCGCCGATGACGCCTCCAAGGCCTGCAGACTCGCCGAACTCTTTGACTTGCTCGACGATGGACTTGCGGCGCGAGGGCTTGGGTCGGCTCGAGACCTCGGAGTAATCATCGTCGTAGTCGCGGTCACGGCGGCCACGTCCACGGTCATGACGGCCGTAGTAGTCATCATCGTAGCCGCGATTCACCGAGCGAGTGCGACGTGGAGGGGCATACTCTTCGCGGTACTTGGTCTGCCTGTACTCGGCGCCTGGGGGAGGAAAGTCACGCGCAATGTCTTCGATGCTGTCCTCGCGTGCGGGGCGGTAGGCCAGGTCTCGCACAGGCGCTGCTCTGCCACCGCGCTCGATGTAGGTCGTCTCTGTGACATACTCGGGATCGCGGGTGCGGTGCCGACGGGGAATGTCGTAGCTGTACTCGGACATGGTGCTGCTCTATACCCAAAACGGGCGAAGAAGGTGGTTTCTCTCAGGGGTCCTGGACGAGGGAAAATGTCGGTTTGAGTCGGTCCTGGGCTAAGTTCCATGTAAGCGGATGCCTGAGGGGGAAGAAGAGACAGCGGGCCGTGACATACCGGATATTTTACCGCTTCAGAATGGAGTCACTTGGCTGCTGGCGCAAGTTTACAGTGTTCGAGGGCTGTCGCAACGAAGAAATGAGGGGTGCCTGTGAAGATACGGACAAAGGTGGGTAGGGGAGTGTACTGATGATCGGGAGTTGGCGGGGGCACAGGCAGGCAGTCGTATTTAACAAGATTTTTGCGGACGGGGAAGGTGGAAGGCTGATGACTGTCCGGTGGTCTTGGGACCCGACAGTGGTGGGGTTGCGCCGAAGATATTACCAGAAGATTGAGGCTGGGGGGGGGAGGGGAGAGAGAATTGACGTCACTGGGGCCAGCTTGGTTTGCACGACAGGCCATTCCACCACCATCTACCAGCGACTACGCCCACAATAATGCGCGCCTAAAGCGAAGACAGCGTCTCATGATACGCTCGCCCTGCACGCTCCTGACCGGCTGCTCTCACCGACGCATTCTTGCTGCGAACCATCTGCAAGCACAGCCCCTCCCCGGCCGCCTCCGAATTTTGACCGGTGCCTCACTTGGGGTCCGTCTCTCCCGCTGTCGCAAGGAGAATCCTTTTACAAACTATACACTGGTACTCCTCTCTATGTGTAGCAGTCGTTTCGCCCTGATTTACGGCCTGGTTCGAGCGCATTGCTCGTGGCGCATAGGGCCAGGTTTTCCTCCTGCACCCTGCCAACTCATGAACAAAACTTGATGACGAAGCCTGGGGAGCCATGTAAGGATATGTGTAAGACATCACGTGAGACGCTTCCAATTGGTACTATCCAGTCGAGCTTGCGAGGTTGAAGCCTGTTCTCACGACGTTCTTAGGCTAGCATGACCTTCAACACTGGTATTGGCCCAAGAATGGCGGGAACGAGTGATGCCTGACAAGAACTGAAGATGCCCAATAACGGGCCTTTCTGCTGCCCTCTACGTTATATACTCAAATGTAGGCTAACTATTGCTTTGGGGTGGTCTCGAGATTTTGCGAGTGGTAACATCTCCTTGCTCATTGTATTGCTGTACCCATGATTTTCCTTCAAACTCGACACACCACCCCCTTCAGACCAGCCGCCTCCTTCTCTCCTCCCGTCCTCCCTCCTCCAGCCTACTCTCACCACCCGTTTTCCTCTTCTGTCCAAGACTCAGCGTAGCCGTCATGTCCCCCATTTCACGCTCCAGTTCCTTTGTAAACTCTTGCAACGCAGGTATAATACCAAAATGGCCTTTGCTACTCTGTGCAAGAAGTTGAAAGCTGCGCCGTCCTGGCTCCGTGTATACAATAGCCCGGATGGTAAGGTACTCTTTATCGCGGCTGTGCTTCGAGACCACCTGCTCGCGCTCGAAATCGTGACGGCAGACCAAGATTGCGAATCCGTGGTTGGAGTGGTGTTTCGCAGTGTAGAGGATGTGAACGTACTCTCGGATGAGGTGAGCGAAAAGAAGGGAAGCGCGTGCGTGGAAAGCGGGAGAGGAGCGAAGAGCGACATACCAAGAATTACTTCTTTGAGCTCGCGCTGGAGACGCAGCTCATCCAGACGATTTATGTCTGTATCGCAGTGCTTGAGCATTGTTGCTAGATTTCTTCGAGAATGGGTGCGCGAGAAAGGGAGTGGTTAGATATTTGGAGGTGATGAGTGGATGAAAAAGGAAGCGGATGAGAGGGGGCGTGCATAAGAGAGGAAGTAAATGAGAAAGGAAGTAGTTATATACAAGCAGAAGGAGGTCTTCCTTGATTACGTTGGGTACCCTCACCTCACTGCCTCGCGCTTTCCTTCACCACGGCTCTCATGTGTCAACAGCATTTAGACCAGCATGTTCACCCCTGATCAGCTCTTAGTGATATATATCGTTCAGGAGCATTGTGGTCATTTTCTTCTTCAAGCTAGTCGGCTTACTTGATCTAGAGTGATCAGTTTCGAGATACATAGGTTCATGTGAAGAAGGGCAGACGGTGGTCCTTTCCGCAGCCCGAGACTTTACAGAGGGGTTTGATTAGGGCGGTGTCGTTTCCAGGGAGATTTGCATGCCAGGTTTCGCAGTGCTGATTACTGATGGTCGAGTTATGACGACGGCTGTTCTAGGGGAAAGCGTCAACTAACCCTACAACCTACAAACAGGCCTGCCAATAGGCAGAGTCAAAGAGGGTGCGGCTCTGAAATGCATATCTTACTTTACGGATGCCGATATTGTGAACTGTTTGTAATAGTCATCCAACATTTTAGATACCATGTGGTTGAAGTGAACATTCGTATGTTACATTATATCGAATATCCTCCACACCGTTCCCAATGCATATGATACAGCCCAATATACAAGATTCTCCATTCATAATTATGCCTTGATCGTAAATCGACTAGCCTCGTCACTGTGCACCACCTTATCCGTCCTCTTGTCTTCCCACAGATTCAATCTCGACATCTTCTCCAATTCCCGTTCTCTATTCAACCTCTTCTCTTCCTTTGCCTGCTCCGCTGGAGTAAGCTCCACACCTTCTGCTTTCTTCTTCTCGATCGCCTCATCTGCCAACGGCTCCCTCTTGTGTAACAGCATCTTGACCTGATCACTCAACTTTCTCGCAGCATTTCTTGCATCATTGGTGTCCAAAGCTCCATTGGCTCTCGCAGCATCCAGAACCTCCTGCTTCCTCTCCTTCTGGCCCCAAGGCTCGAGATCGGGGAGCTCAGGCCAGACGAACGGATCGTCCATCTCGACCGTCATGTACTTTTTCGACTCGGGACGGAACCAGTGCCGTGGCTGTTCGCGCGTGTCGCGCACCGGCATTTGCTTTACGTATGACCGAATGTTGAAGCATTTTACATTGTATGCGTGGTAGAGATAGTCGCGGAGGTCATATTTGGAGAAGTCGAGTGGGACGAGGAAGCGCGCGTGGTAGGGAGAGATGCTTGGTGTGCGAACAAGGGCAACTGTGAATTTGGGACTATAAGATGCTATTAGCATACGTTCCTATAATGTGCGGTGTGCAGATTCCTACAGGTATATTTTCTTGCTGCCAAATGCTATCAGCTTCTTCGTGATGGGTATGGCGTCCATGGCGAAATTCTGCGGAGCTGGTGGGAGGCGCGATGCCGATGATGCTTGACCAGGTGCGCAATTGAATGCCGAGAAATTTGATGGTCGGAACGGAAGAGCTGCTGTGTTCAATGGTCCCTGGAGCGCCGCGGTTCGTTGTCCTCTGAACCGCTTGGTGAGGCTCAGAAATCGATCGGAGGTCGCGCAAGACTCCCGCGTCACGTGCTGCCCTAGTTCATCAGTCAAACCTCAGAGCCTCCGTCCGTCTGGAATCATCACGACTCTCGACATTATTCCACGGCACAACTGACATACTCTCCCTCAAAGTCATTCCCGGCTTCATGGATGTTGAGGGCCTGAGTTGGTCTATAGGATTCGGCATGATGTACGCACTGAAGCCTCGAGCTCATTAGCTAACGAAGTCACGCAAATCTTAGGTTTGGAATGATTGAGCCTCATGTACTTATACTATTGTATCATGTGCAGAATTTTTAAGAATAGAGGAAGCAATCAGCACTGCTCCTAACCACGCTCCTTTGTAGAGAACATGCTTAGCCGTGCTGTAGTTCTCTCCTGACCATGTAATAGTAGGTGAGATTGTCAGTTGGCTGCTGTGGGACCTGCGTTCCCCAGTTGCTATTTGCAAGCCTCTCTCATGCCTTCTCTTTTCATCAGAACCTCCTTCACCTTCTCTGACAGCAAGTTCCAAGGTTTTCAAACTTCATCTCGGCATTGAGGTTTGCCACTTCTTGTTTTCTCTTTCCCCGTGGCTCATAAGCCATCACTACCTCAACTTGCCTGAAGTCACTTTAGTCACTAATCGGCCGTTACATTTCTTCGTACTTGCAACGAATGCAAAGTGCATATTCTATTAAAGACTCCAGGCAGGTGTTCTTTGCAAGCTGTTACGTCACCTCCCGGGCACTCTTTTCAAGGCGAGGTCACCTCGACTTCTTAGCTACCATCTCGTTGATTGCACCACCTGAAAATTTATCACTACCTAGCAAGCTAAACACCACGGATTCATAGCGATGACCGGCTGGGATGATACGGCCACGGCTTCGGCTGTGGATAAACATGTTTTCATCGGAAAGCCGAAGAAGATCGTCCCCGTTCCCCCCGAGTTCCGTCGCATCACGCATGCAGCGGAGCGCGACATGCTTGTCAACGATGTCAAGATTAAGACAGATTGTCTGGTGACTCCACACTGGAATCAGGGCAAGATATTCCAATTCGACATATACGGTTCCGGCGCCGGGCTCGAAAACGCCATTGCTCACCTTAACCATTGGATCTCGAATGCACACGTCAAGTCGAAAGACTCCTCGGCGTGGGGTAAAACACCCGCTTTCAACCCAAACCAGTGGTACTACGACCGAGTGGCAGAGCTGGAGGGCGATCGCAAGCAGGTGTTCAAGGGCCCGGCCCCAACATTTCCTCAAGATGCACCCAAGCTGCCTAGTGTGAGTCGTCTCCTGGCTTCCAAATGAGACTCAAGAGCTGATCTATCTAGGTTATTGTCGACTGGCCTGAGGTTCTCCGAAACCATTCCATCACTCCTCGAGATGCGTTCGACAACAAACTGGAAGTCCTGGATAGTCTTAGAATGCGTGATGAGGTCTTCATCACTCTTCTACCAAACAACAATGGACTTTGGCAGGTTGAGATCCTTGGCTTCGAGCTAAGCAGGGTTGAGCAAGCAGAGGCGCATTACCGTACCATGGTCGAGAGGGTTAAAACTGATACATTCAGCCTTCAGCATCCGCTTAATATGATACTTGATGGTGGAGAGGGCATCCATGTTGTCCTCGAGCAAGCCGATTACTGGTGGCCTCAACGCAATGACAGGATTGTGCCCCGGTTGCTTCCTTCTCCGATGATGGACAGCCCGGGGTGCTTTCGTGGAGAGGGATTACATTCCACGCAACTGGCGAGGATACAGAACGCAATCCAACAGGCCCTCGAAGATGCTCGATGCAAGAGAGGCTCTTACGACTTTGCTGTGCGCCTTGGATGTCTTGCTCTTGGTTCGCAGAAGATACCCGATGACCAGGTCGGACGAACTTTCCAGCAGGAGGAATTTCTGAGGGCCGTCGATTCTAGGATTGATCTCATGGTGAAGAGGTGGTCAGTAATCGTATCCTAAACCAGTTCATACAGTTGCTAACCGCTTAGGGTTGTCGACAATGAGCTTGGGTTGGAGATCCACCGCCAACTCGTCACTGCGGATCATCTGCTCGAACCAACAAAGTCTGCCGTCTACTATGGCCATACCCCCGCAACCCTGAACCAAACTCGGCCTATATTCCGGGGCACTTGGGTGTTTCGTGATCCTAATAGTTCTGTCAGCCAGCCTGCTGCACCCGTTCGCCATGTCGGAAGGCCCGCTCCTATGCAGCAGAACACACCTGCCCCTGCAGCCCCACCCAGTAGTCTTTTCGTCGTCCAAGTTGACTGGACAGATGATGAAGATGGTCTGTATGAGAAAACAGACACTAGGTTCTACAAGTTGGAGCCAGGCAAAGCCACACCTAAGGTCAACATGGATATAAACCTGATGGAACTGGGAGAGTAAGCTTTTACTTTCATTGATCAAGTATAAGAAGGCTAACCTTGATTAGGAGCAGAGGCTGGCATTTCGCCCTCGAATCAATGATTCCCGTGTCACGAACACTTGTTTCTCCTATACTGACCGACTTCGCCAAGGGCGTGGCAATGCGACCGAAATACAAAGTGCATTCTGCGGAGCTCTTTGCGCACTGGGACCAGACACCTTCCATTAAGAAAAACCTCCAACATGGTCGTCTCGACAAGATCTACTCTTTCGGAATCCAGAAGACTTGCTACAGGGTTGAGCTTACCGCGATGTGGTATCCACAACAGCAGATGCCGGTTTGGGGCCTCGGTGTTCGTCATTCGGAATGGGCGACTCATCTTGCTGAGTTGGAATGCCTGGATGTCGGCTGTCAAGCTACCTGGGGCAATACTATTTCCACTTTCCTACCCGACAATGGTCTCACATCAAGTGCGAGTACAAACGAGGAAGACCTTGGAATGAAGGCCCTGAACCTGGACGATAAGGATGAAGTGTCTCCTCGTGATGGTATCCGGATCTTGATGGAGAAACTGATGCAGCTTTCTGAGATCGTCAGCTCCGTCACTAAAGCTGAGGGAGGTGTGAGTATCTGATCCAAACAATGGGCATACCTCAGCCTTGCGAATACCATGAACTTTAGCTGGTATGGCTTCATCTGAAAGCATGTAGCTGGAATTCGATTCTCAGGTACATCATAGGGGATTAGCATTGCAATGCTACTGCCGTAAACCGATCAATGACGATGAATCCTACTAGACTTGGAAAATTGAGCTTGTCCAGCGATCGTGGTTTCACTTAGGGCATCCTCGACCGGTACTGGCATGCATAGTCATGGTCCCGATATGAATTGTATCTCTTTCTAAAAGTATCTCTGTAGATCTTTCGTGCCTTTTGATCTTGATTGACATGTTCTCACTGGTGAAACTTCCTGCAAGCACCGTCTCTTTAGCATTCTTCACGTCCGATTTTTCTTCGCGAAGCGCCAGCGGTTTCTCTGTGCCCAATCTCTAAGTGTCTTCTGCCCTCTCAGCATGGTGTGAATTGTGCGTCCTCACTACTCCATCATTGCTCAACTCTCTTTGCCTTCACCCTTGCTCTCCTGCTGGTTCATGACCTTGACCCTCATGACCTCCTCCACGACCCTAACATTCTGCGCCTTCCCCTGAATTACGCTCTCCAAGTCCTTCAAACTGTCGCCCAAATCCTTGACCTTCCGCTCATAAAAGTCCTTGGCGCCTGGTAAATCCTTCTCGACGAAGAAGCCCGTCCCCACGTCGACTAAAACATGCTCGTGGTCTGTGAGCTTGCCCGGCACGTATAGCGAGGAGGTGAGGGGCACCAGAAGGGGCTTTTGGGAAGTTGCGGTAGTCAGGCCGACAGCTATTGAAGTCAGACAGTCGCGGAACTTTGATTGTGCGGTGCGGAGCGACTGGAAGGAAGAAGAGAGGTGGGTGAGTTCAGCGTCGAGTTGGGTTTTCAATTCTTGGAGTCGGGGGATGGGGAGCGTTGTTATGTCGACTTGCTTCATGTTAGCTTCTCTTCACGCTCTCTACATGATTGATTGAAAGAAGTTTGGAGGGAGATGTACTTTGTCCCGGCTGCCCGCCTTGTGCTTGGCCTTGATTGGAGGCCATTGTGTTGTTGCGTGCGATATGGTGGTGTTTCGAAGCTTAGTGTTGCGAGACGTAAACTCTGAGATGGGAAGGTTTTGGCGGGGTTGGGGTAACGTGAGAGCGCGTTAAAGTGAAGCTTGGACGCATGTATCTCAGTTGTCAAGCTTCACTCTCAATGTTCCGAATATCTCAAGTACTACTCGCAACCTCGAAAAGACGACTGTACCCTACCAAAGCGCGGTTTTCGGAAGCGACAAGCTTGCATTATGACGGGAAGAGTACGGTAGAGGGGTTCAATGCGAACGAACCCGCAGTGTTCAGAGAGTCTTTCAAGGACAATCCTGCTATTGGAAAATGGTTTACACCATCTACAGCAAATCCAAGCTCCCATGAATTGAATGTTTCCTACCTCGAGCAATATGGCGACTCCATCGTCCCGTTAGAGCTCACGCGCTCCTCGCCCGACAATCCTCACACCACGACTTTCGAGCGCTTCGAAGCGCCCCTCTCCCTCCTACTCTCGCATATGACTGGTCCCAACACGCCATCTACACGTCTATACCTCGCCCAACACTCTCTCGTCGACCTCCCGTCCCCTTTGCAAGCCGACCTTTCAACCCCGACGCTCCTCTCCCATCTCGGTCGCGGCGACATCTATGCTTCAAGCCTGTGGATGGGTAGACCGCCTACCCGCACCCCACTGCACCGCGATCCAAATCCAAATCTCTTTGTGCAATTAGCGGGACATAAGGTTGTGCGTTTGACGAGGCCGGAGATTGGTAGGGCGGTGTATGAGAGGGTCAGGATGGAAGTGGGTAAGCAGGGTGGGAAGGCAAACATGAGAGGTGAGGAGATGATGGAGGGCAGTGAGATGGAGGGATTAGAGAGGGCGATTTGGGGTGATGAGCTAGATAGAGAGGGCGTGGCGGGTGTGGAGGCGGAGTTGGGGAGCGGGGACGGGATTTTCATTCCGTTAGGGTGGTGGCATTCTGTAAGGGGAATTGGGAGAGGTGCGAATACTTCGGTAAGTGTGCCCTGATGAGTTCGTGAGACTATATGCTGATGACTATTTGCAGGTCAATTGGTGGTTCCGATGAAGATCTACGCTCAAAGCAAGTCAAGCTGCTTTGATGAATGCTCGCTATGCTACGCTCAACCTAAATCACTTCCACCCTTACAGTGGCTTCTGTACCATCGATCCACGTTCCCACCGACCTAGTCCCGGGCATGATCTCAATCTCCCTCATCACCCTATCCATCCCAATCTCCGCCTCGCTATCATCCGAATCCCAGTCCTCATCGCCTATATCAGCCGTGGTCTTTCTCACTGACATCCAATCACCCGTCTCCCAGACCAGTCTGCACTTCATCGGCTTGACACCGAAGTGCTTGCAAGCAATACCAAGGACTGTATACGCCGTATAGTTCATCGGGATCTCGGTTTCGTACGCCGTCGATTTGGAGGTAGCGAGGTAAAACTTGATTCGCAGGAGACGAGCAGCGAGTGAGTTTGGATTCACAGCGTTGTCGGAGCGTTGAATGTCTGGCTCGCCGTACTCTTCGCAAAGCCAATTGTACCTCGGATGGGTTTCCAAGATCTGCTCGCGCAAGTTTTCGGGAGCGAATAAGACTTCCTTCGCGATGAGTGAGAGGTAGTACGACTCGGCGTTCAAGCGTTCCTTCGCATTGATGGGACTATGGTTCAGCGTCGTGAGGCTTCCGAGACGCGCTAGGGTGAGCATGTAGCCGTCGTCTGCAGTCAAGGCGCGGCCATCGGGAGCTTGGAGCACTTCGTAGAGCGGATTATGCGACACACGGAGGCTTTTCAGGCCGGGAAAGACGTGTGCTAGTTGCTCGATAAAATGCCAGTTTGATATTTCATTGAATGTAAGGTCGACTTCTTTTACGGTTGGGGAGAAGACAGGTATCGATGAGCCTGGAGTGGTGATTTCGGATATCTTGTTCGACTTTAGGATCAGACGCTGGAGGTTTGGCAGTCTAGTCAACGGTTCGAGAGCGGCTATAGAGACGATGAGGTTTTCTTCAAGGGTCAGGTCGGTTATCGTTGGATTTAGCGTATGTGATGTGAACGTTGAGTAGAGATTGCTGGACGCAGAGAATACCGACAGGGTAGGGAATAGATGCGTGATCCTGGTGAGATCTTCCCAAGGAAGAAGATTGTTTTCGAGCTTGAGCGACTTGATGTTCGCAAAGGCTTTTAGGCAGTGCTCTCGCTCGACATCGGTTAGTGACGTGTCTCTGAATCGAGTTCCACTGCATATAGTCATTAGTCCACGACCCATATTCTCAATGAATCCAATGCAACTCACTCGACCCTCAAGCTCTTCAACTTTTCCAATTGCCCACAAATTCCTACAATCTCCCTCCACTCTTCAAATAAGTTTCGGCTCAAGTCCAGTTCCACAGCCTTCGGGCACGCTTCTTTGACATCGTTCCCCTCTATCAACCCCTCTCCACGTTTACCTCCTTGCAAATCCCTAGCCTCCGGCCTCCACATACACAAACCATCCAGAATGATGATCTGGAGTTCAGATAGTTGAGCGAGTTGTTTGCGGATTTTGTCGAAGCCGATTTCTTCTGCAACTTTGCCACTGAACTTGATTGGTGTGTTCCCCTTAGCTCGAGGGTCCTTCTTACGGGGTTTTGGGTTGATGGTGGTGCCTTCTGCAGTGGAGACATAGACAATGTGGACATCAGGGTCTTCGAGATACTCGGATTCGGATTCGGATTCTGTTTCTGTTTCTGAAGCATACTTGGACTTGAGAGCTTGCACAAATGTACGGGGGGCGTCAGATTTGCGGGTTGTGCGGATGAAGGAGGCGGATGTTGAGGAGGGGTTGAGACCTGGTTCATGTCAGGTCAATCTTATGAGGGGAAGAGAGGAAGATGTATTTGGAAGAATAAGGCACTACATGTTCTGAATTAGTAACGATAGGGTTACATGCTTACATTCGAAATATCTGATGCCTTGGTGTTCACCAGAATGCTTTCCTCGTGTAGGATCATCCCACTCTACACCTAGCCACTCTCCTTTGGTTCCTGGCACTTCGCCGTGATACCGAACTGTGCATAGTTGCTTTTCAAACGACAGTCGCTTGCCCTTGTAGAATTGCGTAGCCATCAGTACAAATGGAGTGGAACTGTAGAGGCAGATGCTGCACGTGACGATCGATTAGATAAAGACACTAGCGGCGGTACCTGATCGCCGGCCCCAGAATTTCTAGCACGTACATCACCTCCGCGCAACATCATCACTCGCGTCCCACGCCTAGCCACGACCACTCACTACTTCACTATATCTGGAATCTACTCTACACAAAGAACAGTGATTCACTTTACGCGAATAGGCCGGGAAGATGGACTATCAGGCACGTTTAGTTCGCCAAAGTTGTCTGAGACCAGCTACTAACAATCACAGAATCGCGCAGGTTCCAAGTTCGGTGGCGGTGGTGTCGCCTCACAATCCGCAACTAACGCCGACCGACGAGAGCGTCTGCGAAAGCTTGCGCTAGAAACTATCGATCTCGACAAGGACCCATACTTCTTCAAGAACCATGTTGGAAGCTTCGAGTGCCGCCTATGTCTGACGGTTCATCAAAACGATGGCTCATATCTGGCTCACACACAAGGAAGGAAGCATCAGACCAATCTAGCCCGCCGTGCCGCGAAAGAGCAAAGAGAAGGAAAGAGGGACGATGTCGGCCAGCAGGGCCTGCTGGCGGGTGTGCAAGTCAAGAAGAACGTGATGAAGATTGGGCGCCCCGGCTACCGAATCACCAAAGTACGCGACCCGAACACTCGTCAGAACGGGCTATTATTCCAGTTCCAGTTTCCAGACCTCACGCCGGGTATCACTCCCAAAGTTCGGTTCATGAGCGCATATGAGCAGAAGATCGAGGAGCCCGATCCGAACTACCAGTACTTTATTGTCGCTGGAGAGCCCTATGAGACAGTCTCCGTCAAGCTACAGGCTCGCGAGGTGGATCGAAGGGAGGGCAAGTTCTGGACGTGGTTCGACGAGGACAACAAAGAGTTCTGGTGCCAGCTCCTCTTCAAGACCGAGCGCGACGAGCGCTTCAGTGCAGTGCCTGGCCTGGCCCCTGGTCGGAAATAAGGAGTAAACCGACTGTCAAGTGTGGTTGGGAAAGTCAGCGAGGCCTGAGTTTGTCTGTCAAGGATCTCACTTCAGTTCTGATCGTCCCAGGGCTTTCTCACGGCACTTCCTGATACGGAGATCATCGGCGTTTAAATGGCGTTTTGCGGCGAAGACCATGGTCTCGCCTAGGGATTCAACACTGTGTAGGTAGCCCCTCACTCAATATAATGCTTAGCCAATGTGACCTGATCGTGTAGGTCAAGGTGGCGAATATGCCCTGCCTAGCTTGATAGCACTGGTTTTCCTAAGCTTCCACTCGACGTAAGTGAGAGGGTGTAACTAACGGAATTAACCCGCAGAATTTGTTTCACCATGCCCTTGTAGCGGTGAACCACTTCCGCGATAACATTTCTGGTCGACGGAGTTGATCGGGGGTCGTCGTCACGATGATCTAGAGCATGAGTACGTTTGCTATGAGACTGCAATAGCATTCCAGCCACCTTTCCTCCAATCATTGCCTGGATCTCCTTTCTGGTCATCTGATGCTTATGAATAGTACGATATAGCTCCCGGGGCCTTGAAAGAATCCATGCAATCGCTATTCTCCGCCTGACCATCGCATACCTGGTAAGAGATGGATCAAGTTTGCCGATTGGTTACGACTATCTGAAAACTGGATATCACCCCTGCTGCAGCTTCACCACCGTTCTCCTATCTGGACGCAATCGGCACACCCTTTGGAGACGGTCAAACTCAGCTCATCGCCTGGCGCTTTATCTACGAGGCTGCAATTGCAAGGCTCCTCACTGTTTTCACGGGGGAGATTGTCTAGAACATCAGCTCACGTTGTAGTCCGAACCTTCGAGCAGACTAGCCGATATTGATCGAACAGGTGCCCTCACTCGCCATGATTAACTACTCTCATGAGGACGAATGCCACAGCCGTGGCCTAGCCACTTCTGAGCTAAAGCTTTTGGAGTGCACATTATATCATCCATGGTAATCTCACTGTACTCCACAGACAGTATCCTCGCTGCATGTGAGTCATGATGAAACGCCATGTCGGGCTTTTCCATCTTGCACAGTGGATTAGGGATCCTTCACCGCCGATACTGTACGACGACGGTATGCGCCCCTCCAAGACCAAAGCCAAACAGAGGATAGCCTGCTCCGAAGTCGAGGGATACCCGCGAAATGGCTGTGCAAGCATGGCCACTCATCCAGTGCGTAGCTCGGCACCAAGCCTCCCTCTCGGATTCTTGAAACGGGCTTTTTACGGCAAATCATTTTCGCATGCTATACGGCTACAAGCGACGTTTTGCCTCTATCTTTTCTATACGGCCAAGGTGGGATGGCTTCGCGGTCTAACCCTCCCCAAGGTCGCAATCCAGAGCAGTGGTTAGGAGGTCTGTCATATGATCACGCAGCCACCCTAGCTTAATGATAGTGCCGCGCCAAGGCGTAGATGGGGGATCCAAGATTTGCAATGGGCCGTTTCAACTGCCTGTCTATATTGATATGCAGCTATCATGACTGCTTTGCTTGGTGGCAAGAGAGGCGCGGTATCTATATTCATGGGACTTGACCTGCTATCCAGTCGAGTTGACAGGATGTCGAGCCGGAGGAGAGATGTACCATGTTTGTCTTCACAGTCGCCTGGGTATCTATCGCAGACAACATAAAAGGCCACCGGCGTCTAGACCAGGGATCCATACACCGCGGTTTCCTTGAAAGAACTAGGGGAGCAAAGCGGGAGCAAGCGATGGCGACTTTTTGCCGCACGCCATGATTCATAGCAAAGTCGGCAAGCCAAACTGACCAACATGACAGTGACCTAGCCAACTTTTCTCCACTATCAAGCTCTACTGTATACCCATTCGGACCGAGTAGGGTTTCAAAGAAGTCATTGACGAACAAAGAAAGGCAAAGTTGTTTATTTGGGTGGCTCGCGAGGCGGCTAATGACCCTGTCTCGAGAGAGAGCAGATGACAAAGGCCCCGCTGAGGGTCTAAGACATGGCCCATGGTGGCACAGCCTTCGGGAACGCGTCAAAAGAAAGAGACGCGCCAGCTGCAGGCCGGCTTCATTGAGATGCCGAAAGGGTTTGTACATGTCATGCAAGCAGAGCATGTAGGGTAGTCGGCGCGACTAAGGCAAGTCTCACCATCTCTATTTCCGTCTCCATTTTATCGAAATGCGAAGATTTAGCGTGGGTGGAGAAGAAGCCATGTCGTCTTCCAAACGCACAGACACAGTGTCAAAGAAGCGGTTGACAGAGTGCGTTTCAAGCCCCCGGCTAGGAGACAGTGGCGCGCGCTGCGGAAGGGATGTGCGATACAGGCAAGGTATGACGGTGGAGATCGATTGCAGCACGGGCAGCAGGCCAAGGGTATCGATGTGCGCCCTTGTCGGCGGGGAGCGGGACGACTTGTGGAACGGATCGTCAACTCAAAAGATGACGCTCCTGTCCACACGGAAGCGAGATAGCTGGCGGTATGGGTTCGAGCGCCGTCACTGGATGCTCATGGATGCTCATGCTACCTGAGAGGGGGACAGGCGCCGGAATGACGGGATCGCTTCAACCTGCCCTCAGCTTGCATGGTGCTGCCATAGGCTAGCGAGGACGGAGCGCGCTGAAGGCTTATTATTATTATTATTATTATTATTAGTGAATACACCAGAGGGAACATGAATTGCACATGGACCGCTTGGCCGATGGCGGCAAGTTCCAAGCAAGCGGAACGGCGGCGGGATACGAGCAGACCAGGCAGCAGCAGCAGAGACGTGTGTGATAAAGTTGGGCATGCATCTCTATTCGGCTGTTGCGGCAAGCATGCGGCGGCCAGATGAAGTTGTCACGGCCCTTGTCAGTCAGGCGATGCGGGTGGAATTGATAGAATGAGGATGGTAAATGCATGACGACTGCGGCCGCCAATGCATGTCCCGGCCAGTCTGTCTTGGGGGGGCGTCGTGCAGCAGGCTTCATGGGGCCTAGGGATGAATGATTCGATAGCAACCTGCTGACCCCGTCGCCTTGCTCAATCAGCGGCGCAGCTCTGCTCTGAGTGGTGGATATGGGACGAACTGCTCGCGAGGGCCCTGCACCTTGTCGCTGTTTCCGTGCAAAAGCGGCCGTGATAGGCAGCTCTGATGACCAGGCCAGCTCTGAAGGGGCCTAGGGCGCTGCGAAGCTGAGGGCGGCTGAGGAGGGGGAGGAGGAGGAGCAGGAGGAGGAGCAGGAGCAGGAGGAGTCGTTGCGGGCGCGGTCGGGATGAGGCATGGCGACCAAGCGCTGTGGAGCGAATATATCGAGATCCAAGCTAGCGGTCGCTATCTCATGCTGGCTGCAAGTAATACTGTACTGCCTGTGTGGGCTTCGGTGAAGGAAAAGCCACGGGCTCGTGCATAGTAGCGCCCGCCACGGAGAGTCCACTGGGCCATCCCATCACGCTGCAGCGCCTCCAATGCGTCGAGCTGGAGGCCGTGTCGTCATGCTTCTATTTGCTCCTGTACGCTATTCGCTATAACTCGCTAGACGAACGACGACGTCGTCCTCGGCCGTTAGCTCTGCCGTAACCTGAGCGGGCCGTCAGCTGCTGGGTTGGAAGTCCGCGTACGTGCTCGTGGGGTGCAGGGCAGCAGGGCAGGGCATACATATCATCAGATCGCTCAAATACGCAATATTCACGAGCCCCTCCCTCCCCCCCAGTCAGCCAGGCTACTGTAGTCATCCTTTCCATTGATTGATTGACTGGCTTGATTGAGAAGATTGACTAGCTTTTGTTGATTGCCTCCCCCCCCGACCGAACGCATAGTTGGACAGTGCATTTCCCCTTCCCGTCTGCTCCAGCCCTCTCCGGACTGAATAGCCGCGCCCGACCAACCAAGAAGACGACGACGACGACGACGCCGATTCGTACGTACATAGCCAGCCCCCCGATCGTCTGTCTGTCTGCTGTGAGACGAGTCGAGTCAAGCCAACAACAGGTCAGTTTCGTTTGTTTGTCCATTACTCGTTGTCGTCGTCGTTCTCTCTCGCGGCCTCGGGAATCTCGCAGCAGCCCCCAGTCCAGTCCCGTCCAGTCCAATCCAATCCAATCCAGTCCAGTCCAGTGCAGTACACAAGTCAACCAGGTTGCTCAAGACGAGGCACCCTTACAGCGGCTGCCCGCAGCGTCGTGCATCGGCGTCGCAGGCCTCACGTGGCGTTCCTTTACTCCACTGTCTGCTATTGCCATGGGCTTGACTGGCCTTTTTTGTTATTCGATCCCCATCCTAACTCCCTGCGGGTAGGCCTCTACCGTGGTAGTTTGGTTGTTGTATATCAGCGCCGCACCAGCATCCATCGCCTTGCCTCGCCTCGCCTCGCCTCGCGCGCGCCCACCACCACCACCACGTCTGGTAGCACCATCACAGGACAGACTGCCCCATCTGCGTCTACCCGCCCGCCGTCCCTTTCCTTGCACTACTTCCAGCACACTGCGCAAGACGGGGCCCTGGCCTGTTCTCCTCTCCGCGCCTTTTACTGGCCTGTTTCGCCTCTCCGCAGTGCCCCCAAGCCCACTTCCTTGGCGCAAGTACCCGAAGTTGCTGCGGGCGGACCATCGCGTCGACACGATCCCGCTCTCGCACCACGACTTCACCACAACCCACCTATGGTACGCCAACCCGTCGCGAACCATTACTGTCACAGCCTTGCGCGCCTGGCCCAACCCAGCGCCCCGCCGATTGGCCTTTTCCCACCCTTGACGACGCTCCTTCCTCGCGCTCGGTCGCTCTTGCGCCGCCTGGAATGTACTCAGTCCATCATCCCGTTCAGATGTCAAATGGTGGCATTGGGAACGGCATCATGGACCCGTCCGGCACCATTGACCCGTCGGCCCTCAATTCACAAGGTACGAAACATGGTCCTACCTGCAGTGGCGAGGCCTCTTGGGGCGTCTTGTCGCACAAGCCCATCGACCAGCAGGCGCGATCGCGACTCGTCGCAGCGACGGGCGCTGGCGCATCCGTTACATCCGCCGCAGCCCTCTCACTTGAAGCCCCAGCTAACTCAGTCCCAGGTGTGCTTGTAGGCCCGCCACAGCCAGTAGCACCGCAGCCGTCGAGAGGGCAGAAGCGCAGTCGCTCGCCAGAAAACAGCTATGGCGACGTACAGCACGGTGACGACGGTACGTTGGCCCCATTCGCGCAATCGCGACGACGACAGATGGCACCGACAGAAGACACTTGTCACACATGCATAGTCAACACCGCTGACCAAGCAGCTGCAGATGAAGGAAAACCACGGAAGCGCGGGCGCCCACCAAAGACAGGAAAGGTCGCGTTTGCTGGTAGCCCCAACCGCGGATCCCATCCGTCCACGCCCTCGCACGCTGCCGGTGCTCCTCCCGTGCAAACTCCCCAACTCCACAGCACGCCGCTGCCCCAGGGTTCGCCACCCCAAGTATCCCCCCCGACCAAGTCCACCCCGACCAAGCCTGCCGTAATCAAGGCACTGCCAACCGTCCGCGACCATACTACCGATCAGCTAAACCCCGAGGGCGACGAGTATATCCCCCGCGAAACCGATGACGCAGGAGAGCGAAAGGTCACACTGACAGGCCACCCGCTCGACGCACGCGAGTACCGCTGCCGCACCTTTTTCGTGCCCAACAGAGGAGACAAGCTGTTTATGCTGGCGACCGAGTGCGCGCGCGTGCTAGGCTACCGAGATTCGTACCTGCTTTTCAACAAGAACAGGTCCCTGTTCAAGATTATTGCTACTCAGGCGGAGAAGGACGACCTTATTCATCAAGAGATACTGCCCTATTCGTACAGATCCAGGCAGATTGCCATTGTGACCGCGCGGTCCATGTTCAGACAGTTTGGAAGCAGGCTGATAGTCAACGGAAGACGGGTACGCGACGACTACTGGGAGAGCAAAGCTAGGAAGCAAGGTTTCACCGAAGAAGACGCGGCGGGCGAGAAGAGACCGGGTGCTGCAAAGGCGCGGGAAGCGGCTGCAGCGGAAGCCAACCACGCCAGTGCCCTGGCCTTCAACCATCCAGGAGCATATGCGGGCAACAATCAAGACTACATGGGCGCTACGCTCAACCCTTCGCAGCCTTTCGGTGGCCTTAATCCGGCGCCAGGAAGCATGCCTGCAGGAAACTCGGACCCGTACAATCAGCGCACAACGACTGATTTGCAGCCTCGGGACTACAGTGGCGTTCAACGACCTCGACATGAGATGACGGGCCTGCCATATCAGGACATCACCAGACCAACCCCGTCAGGCGAGATCCTCAATCAAGCTGCCCAGACAGCTGAGCTCAACAAGCAGCTAGAGCAACAGCGCAAAGGCCGCAAGGATTATCTGAACGACGTCTGGACACGACCGCACGAGCCACCTGTGCAACCAAACCGCCCATCCACCGCAGAAGGAGAACATGTCCCGCAGGTTACGCAAGCCGTCCAATCCCCGCGTATCTCCTCATCAAACTCCGCCGTTCCCGCGAATCAGTATGGCATGGCCCAACAGACACCACAAAGACCGGGACAACAGATGGGAGCTGCTCAGTCCTATCGCCCGCAGTCTCTTCCTCAAAACAACATGGTGCCTTCTCCCATGGCTCAGCAGCACACTCCTCTTCGACCGGAGCAGATGCACCGTCGTCCACCGAGCATTGGCATGCCCCAAAACATGAATCCTACTGGAATGGGCCCGACGGGGATGCTCCCAGGTGTTCAGAACCCCGGCCATGGCTATCCTCCTTCCCACATGTGGCAAGGTCCTCCTCAGCCGTCACCCCTCTCGCAACAGCATAACATGCAACAGTACGCTCAACGGCCTCCGCAGCAATCGCCTCTCCCTCAGCAATCTCCCATGCACGCATCTCCGCAGCTACATCACGCTCAGAGCAGCGTTTCGATGCATGGCACGCCGGTACAACAATACCAGACCATGGGTGCCATGGGTGGCGATCCAGGATATCCACCCATGGGTCAGAATCCGTACCAGCCTAGCCCAAGCCCACATCAGTTCATGCAGCATCAAAGTGCTGCGGCACAGCAACCTGGAATGCCTGGGTGGGCTCCTCCACAGGGTCAGCAGCAACAAGGATGGCAATCATACTAGGAGCAATTGCATTCTAATCCCAATGCTACGCAAAACCTGCAGGCTTATGTCCAGAGACTGAACGCGGCTCGAGCAGCCTCACAGAAAGTGTAGTTGCGCTGCCAGTTCGTATTCGGTGTCGAATACATTACTGCGGGTCGAGCCGTCCCAGGGGGGTGTACTGGACACGAAGTTTGGGACGGTCAAGCGAAGCCGTTCGCTTCATGATGCTCTGCGTCATATCTCGTTTTCGTTACCTCCTGTACACTAAGTCATCTCATCTTGCTTTGCGTTGTAACGGCAACCCGGGTGTGCAGGACTTCACACCCTTTGGTCACCTACTACTCTACTCCCCGAGTCAGCAACGACGACGAATACACGAGACACGCGAGACGGTCTGCAACAACGAACACATCGAGCACGATGGAGTAGCTTGGATACTCGGATACACGGAAAGTTTTCCTTATCATCTCGGCTATTGTTTCTGATCGGTCCCTTTACTCGCACATTGCATTCGTCTATCATTTTGGAAGTCGGTTCACCTTGCCATGTCGTTGCATTGCACGGATACCTCTGGTCTTTTCTAGATTGATTGTATTGCATGGGTTTGCGGGACGATCAGATGTCTTCTTAAAGTTTTTGCATCACTGGTGGCGCTTCCGCTTCTCGCAGGATCAGATTGCTGTATGCTCTTTTTCTAATTTCCTTCTAATTTTCCTTTGGACTTTAGCTCCAGCCGTCCTCATTGGTGGTTCAGTCGGAAGGTCGTTAGCTTGCACAAGATTCCCCGGATTCCCCCCACGTGTTTTGCTTGCTTGCTTGCTTGTTTGCTTTGCTTTGCTCACGTTACATCATCTGCATATTGGGGTATCGGAAGGGCACACAGTGATGCTCCCCCCACTTTTTCTGGAGTGCTTTTGAGATATTTTGGGGGGCATGGTGGATATGCACAGGATACTTGCGGTACTGGGAACGCAAAGGAGGTTTTTCTTCTCCTATTTCCCTTAATATTAATATCACCCGTTTCGCGACTACTTGACACATGGTATCATTGCATTGCTTCTAGTGTCTGCACCAACCAGCATCTGACCAGCTATGGCACCAAGAACCAGGCAAGTGCACAAGACACGAGGTCGGTCATCTTCCCCAGGCCCACGCACAAATCAGGCCCTCCCGAATCCAAGGAACGTCCAAAAACGGTCAGGTAACGTCACATTGGGTCTTATTGGGGACCAAGCGTAATAAGCAAGCAAGCAGCAACGAACAAGGTACATGGGTTTTTGGTGATGTGACGGATCGTGGGACCAGATAGGCGCAGGTGCCGGAGCGAGATGTGTGTTTGATTGATTGACGATAATGCTGGGGCCACCACCCACCCACCATGACAGCACAGCACGCGCTGATGCCCGCCTCGCCAATCTGACTGCGCCGCTGGTCCGCCGCTCATCTACTGTCATCCATGGTTGCCTGCCTGTCTGCCTGTCTGCATGCTAGTACCCGATGAACGCAACCTTTCAGGCGCATGGGCATATTGCTGGGCGTAATCTTATTATTACATTGTGTCACCTTCTGGTTAGGGCTCCGTCTAACTCGCGTCTTGAAATCTTCAACTTTGCTTCTTCTCGTGAATTTGTAGAAGGCAGATTCAGTTGAGTTGGACGAGGTTGTGTATGTTAAAGACCGCTTGTGAACGGCCGTTGCTCTTTTCCTATTAGTATAGTAAATCAAAACGTGTTTGTTACTTGTTGTTGAAGTATTGATTTGTCCTGATGTGGACGCATAATAGGCTACTGTTGCAGGAGAACATGAATAAGTCGCTTACTGATATCATTGAAGATGTGTGTATGCCGATTCTGGCTTAGAATCTTCTTCGATCATCCTCGAGAACGGACTAGCATCTACTTCAAGTCATGGTAGTAGTTGTTCTACTTTTAGTCAATTGTCGGGCATGAACGAGGTGGCGTCTATAACTTTCCTTCTTCCTTTTCAATCATTTTTCCTTTTTCATACTGCTCTTCTGGTGGCTTGGACTTCTAATTATACACACATCCTGCCTTCAGTCAACCCCAACCCAACCCAACAGTAAGCCACCAGGCACAAATCCCAAGCCCCGTACCAATGGACTTCCACCAAAACTTTCCCCACCCCACACGCGTCACGTTATCCCCGCATCTTTTCTCCTCATATGCCCCATGTGCTCATTGGCCGGATAAAGTCGAGCTCAGATTTCCATATTACGACCGCAAGTCAATCAAGCGTTGCACAAAACTTCTGAAAACGGAAGATTGGCGTGAGACTAAAAAAGTAAAACCCGCCGTACTTAAGGTTTCGATAGTACATACAGGCTCCGACGACGGTTCCAACCGGGCTGTAGGGCGCCGATGGACGGTGTTCGGGCCTTATGGCCATGACAAGAGTGATGAACGCCCAATGTGATTGCGAGTTCAATCTGTACAAGTCTTGTCATGCCATGTTTGAAGGCTAGTGATGCCGTGCTACATTACGTTGCGCGTGCGTGAGATGGATAGCTTTGATGAATCCACGTTGGGCCATGGGTCGTATGTATGTACATGGGTGCAGAGCCTCATCTGTTCCTCAGGGAAGAGTGTCGCGCGGGCTGGGAATTGAGATAAATGAAGTGGCTCAAGCTCCACGGAACAGACTGCCGGCTCCAAACGTATGCACGTGAAGTATTGTCTCGCGAGACTTGCCGCAATCAGTGACATGGAAGTGGAGCCGAGTTATAGAGTTCGACATGGGATGATCGCTAGCCTTGGAAGGAGGTCTCTCTCGTGCTAGTACCGAATATCTCCTTACTTCTACAAATCTGAAAAGGCTGTTGACCAGGCGCTGGGCGGGAAGAGTAGGCAAGAGGATGAGAAAGAACCTTGCTTATTGTTGATGTACGCTTATGTGCATGATGTGGAGACGTCACGCCGGCAATGTACTGAAATATCCTAGCACTCTATGAGTGCGCTAATACGTACAGAAAGCACTTACACGCTCAAGTACTCAGACCGTCAGGTCCACTCATCTGGCTATCTTATCGGTAATTCACTCTTAGACTCGAAGCTGTACCGCAGCCATTCGCCCACGGCTCTCAGGCTCTCCCACCTGACGCTCTCATCCGGCTCTTGCATAAGCTCCATGACCCTGCCCTTCAGACCCAGCTTCTCGAGCTGTTGTCTCTTTTCGGGCACTTCCTTAACCAAGCATGCGACGTCGTTGCATCCAATGGCTAGCACCTGCTTGTCATTCTCCCAGTTCTTCGATAAGATCCCAGCAAGCTTTCGGGGTAACTCTCCCTTGTTCTCTTCGAGGATACGGCGCGCATTTTCGCGCCAGAAGGTGGGGTTGCGGTGAGGTGGGGACCAGCGAAGGTGACCGGACTGGATCTCGGCGGCGTACTCGTCGAACGTAGTTTGCGTCTTGGTGTACTCCTCTAGCAGGTCGTTCAGAGACTGTAGATCCTCGAGAGCGTCTTCATCTGTCAGATGGCGTGATTTTAGGCTGTTGAGAAGCGCCGGCAGGCGGGCAAGAACCGCTGTTGGTAGAAGCGTTTGTCGGTTTGCAGTCAGGAGGTTCAGAAGAGTTGATAGCAGGAGACGGGTGGTTTTCTCCTTGGGAGACACGCGCAAAAGCTGCGTGTACAGAATGACGATATCATGCTCACTACAAGTGGTCAGCAATTTACGCTCAAACATTGGCAGGATACACACTCTTGCAGGCCCTCGCCGATAAGCTCGCCCTCAAAGCTTAGCTGCCAAATAACAAGCAGTACATGGTATAGTAGCTGTAATCCTACACCACCAGAAAGCCCGCCATCTGGCGCACTACGAATGCTGCCATTGCCGCTGTAGAGTGTTGAGTCCGCGTCTTTGGCGGACCCTGCTGCTGCTCGCAGGATCGCAACTAGAGGGTCGAAAGTCTCCTTTCTTTGCTTCCAGAAGATATGCCGAGACTTGGTGCTGCGGAGGACCGCCGAGTATTCACGCACAGCAATATCCTGTAGACCAGCATCTGATGCCTTGGCAAGCGTGGAGAGGTAACTGAAGAGCTGGGGCAGAGCCTCGTCCAGCTGGGAGGTATTCTTCGAGGGTTGGACAACAGCGTAGGATAGCAGACCCGAGAGCACAGAGGACGTGAGCAAGGGGACGGGGTCTTCGTTGTTAGACGAAGCTTTCAGAAGGGGTAGAAAGGGCTTATAGGGGGCTTGATGCTGGACGAGCGCTGTTGTGAGAGCGGGAATATCTACTGAAGATTAGCTCCTTTGCCTCTCTTAGATAGGCATCTCAGTCTTGTACCATCAATCATGTCTCCGAGCAGCACCAGCATGTAATGGATGATATCCTGACGTTTCGCCGCCGCTTCGAAGATGCTCTGTGACCCATTTCCGCCCAATAACAGCGCTACAAAGCTGTCTACGTCCGACTCAATCGTCTGTTTCCGCTGCTCTTTGCGCACTTTGTCGATTGACTTGATCTTCTTGAGGTCTGCATCAGTGATGGTCTTGGCCCGCACTGCGCCTTCCCATGATATTGGCCGGGCGCGGATGTTGTTCTGGATCGAGGTGAGGTACGTCGGTGGGTCTAGCGATGTCATGGTGCTGAGGACTTCACAGTGCTATCACTGTGGGTGTAGAAGCTCTGATGCTGATGCTGGCGTCCTGGTGCTATCACGGCCCACCAAGCTGCAACCTCCGTGCCGTCATATGGCAGGAGCTTTGAGCACTGGCCACCGACCCGACCCTTGCAACTTTTGATGTCTTGGCATTGATGCACCTTTTCGAGCAAACACCAACGCTCCTCCAACCTTCGAAGGTTGCGCAAAGGATCCACACTTTTTACAAATGGAGTACTTCAGTCTCAAGCGATCGACAGCCGCCGAACGCGGTGATGCCAACCTCTCCAGCAAGGTCTATGTTCGATCAACGAAAAGTGGCAAGGTTCAAAAAATAGTGAGAGAGCTGTACCTACGACAAGACATTCCCTGCTCGTCGAACCTTTGCAGAGCATGTTTGGAGATTGCCCCGACTGATTACAAGAAGAAAGGTACGAACCCAAAACTCACGTGAGGGCCAAGGCTAATCTGGTATAGTTGCACCTTTCGTTCTATCAGACACGCCAGCAGGATCAAACGACTTCCCAAACGGCCAGTATCTTGTGCCGGATACCAATGCCTTTCTCACTGGAATGGATCTGTTCGAGGTTGAGACTGCGTTCCACGATGTCATCGTTCTTCAGACCGTCCTAGAGGAAGTCAAGAACCGCTCATTACCACTGTACCACCGCTTGGTTGCCCTGACCAAGAACGAAGGGAAGCGCTTCTATGTATTCTTCAATGAATTTCGGCAAGAGACGTACGTCTCGAGAGATGCCGGTGAAACCATCAATGACCGCAACGATCGAGCTGTGCGCAAAGCCGTGCAGTGGTACAATCACCACATCAAAGAGGCGGTTGCAGCGCGAAGCGCGAAGCAGAAGCGAATTCCTACCGTGGTGATGATCACAGATGACAGGGACAACTTACGAAAAGCAAAAGCCGAGAGTGTTCCTGGCAAGACATGTAAGTAATTCAAAAACCCTTGCGAACTATTGCTAATGCGTCTAGTGTCCGACTTTGTTTCTGGACTGGAGAATTCCGATGAGCTATTGGACATGATCAGCGCCGCACAAGAACAGAGAGAAGTTCGATCGAAGAAGGCAGAAGTGTTTTACTCAGAACACTATTCTGTATCAAAGATGATGACTGGTGTGAAAGCCACTACATTGCATCAGGGCATATTCAACGTCTCCCCGTACAACTACTTGGAAGGCTCCGTACACGTGCCAGCTTTTGACAAGTCGCTTCTTATCCTGGGGCGAGAGAACAGTAATCGAGCTGTGTCCGGCGATGTTGTGGTTGTGGAAGTGCTGCCGCAAGATCAATGGAAAGCGCCATCAACGAAGATCATCGAGGAAGAGACGGTAAACAAGAACGACAATGCTGAGGCTGAAGAGGGCGAAAACGTCATTCCAGAAAGGGAGCGACGAGCCCTGCAAGAGGAGGTTAAGCGGGTTCACGGTCAGAGCACAGAAGGCAGACCACAACCAACAGCGCGCGTTGTAGGCATCATTAAACGGAACTGGCGACAGTACGTCGGCCACATCGACCGCGACTCTGTTCGATCTGCGTCGAAATCTAGTAGACAGCAACAGACAGTGTTCCTGGTACCAATGGACAAGCGTATTCCGAAGATTCGCATACGGACACGGCAGGCTGGAGAGCTTCTGGGTCAGCGTATTCTGGCGACTATCGACTCTTGGGACAGAGATTCTCGGTACCCAGTGGGCCATTTCGTGCGATCACTTGGTGAGCTCGAGTCGAAAGGAGCAGAAACTGAGGCCTTACTTCTGGAGTGGGATGTGCAGTACAAGCCGTTCCCTAAAACAGTTTTGGACTGTTTACCAGCCGAAGGCCATGACTGGAAAGTACCCGCTAGTCTCGAGGATCCCGGTTGGACAGGAAGAAAGGACCTTCGGGACCTCTTGGTCTGCAGTATTGATCCTGTGGGCTGCGTCGATATCGATGACGCTCTTCACGCTCAGCAACTACCGAACGGAAACTTCGCAGTGGGCGTACACATCGCCGACGTGTCACACTTCGTCAAGCCGAACAACGCCATGGACAAGGAAGCTAGTCAACGTGGTACCACGGTGTATCTCGTTGACAAGCGCATCGACATGCTGCCGATGCTGTTAGGAACCGACCTTTGCTCGCTGAAACCATATGTTGAACGATATGCATTCTCAGTCTTGTGGGAAATAACACCGGATGCGGACATTGTGTCCTCTCAGTTCACGAAGTCGGTCATCCGTTCGCGAGAAGCTTTCAGCTACGAAGCAGCGCAGTTACGAATCGATGATAAGTCGCAACAGGATGATCTCACCAAAGGCATGCGGACACTACTCATGCTCTCGAAGAAATTGAAGCAGAAGCGAATGGACGCAGGAGCCCTGAATCTCTCTTCGCCAGAGGTCAAGGTGCGAAGTGAATCTGAGACATCGGATCCAGTCGATGTTCAGACCAAGAAGTTACTCGACACCAACTCACTCGTCGAGGAGTTCATGTTGTTAGCTAACATCAGCGTCGCGGCGAAGAACTACGAAGCATTCCCTCAAACCGCCCTCCTACGTCGCCACGCTCCACCACCTAAGACAAACTTCGAAGAGCTAGACAACCAGCTCAAAGTAAAAATGGGAATGGAGCTCAAGACTGATAGCTCTAAAGCCCTAGCCGACTCGCTCGACAAATGTGTCGATCCCAACAATCCCTTCTTCAATACGCTTGTCAGAATCATGGCAACGCGTTGTATGATGTCTGCCGAGTACTTCTGCGCCGGCACACAAGCATACCCGGAGTTCAGGCATTACGGTCTCGCCAGCGAAATCTACACGCACTTTACGTCTCCCATCCGCCGATACGCCGATCTTGAAGCACATCGCCAGCTCGCCGCTGCTATCGAGTACGAACAGCTCGACCCGAGCCTACAGTCCAAAGGCAAACTCGAGGCCGTTTGTAAGAACATCAACGTGCGCCATCGTAATGCGCAAATGGCTGGTCGCGCTTCGATCGAGTACTACGTCGGCCAAGCGCTCAAGGGCAAGGACATGAAGGAAGAAGGCTTCATCATGAAGATCTTCTCCAATGGCTTCGTTGTGTTTGTCCCAAGGTTCGGTATCGAGAGCTTGATCCGACTAAGGGATTTGGCCACGCCGGAGCCGGAAGCTGATTTTGATGCTGAGAATTACAGGCTGAGTATCAAAGGTGATGTAAAGAGGAGTATTGAGCTGTTTGAGAAGGTTACAGTGAGGATTACTGATGAGCTTGAGGATAGCACGGGGAAGAGAAAGGTGCGCTTGAGCTTGGTCTAGAGGAAAGGAACCATCACTGTTGCTACGGGCTTTCGCTCGGCTTCGTGAAAACGTAGAGTAAAGTATACCATTTCAGAATCGTGCAAGTTGAGACTTCTCATGTCCATATAATGGCCCAAAGGTTCTTATGGTGATATCCCCTTCGAAGAGCGGTGCATACGCCTGTGAACTTTTAGAATGATCGATGGCTGACAGTTGAAACTGCCTCTTGTCAAATCCAAATGAATCAATCATTTGTTTGAGCACAACAAGCTGGGATGCTTGCCTTGCACATATCCGAGGTATACACGGATGTTCACTTGCTCTTAGTGAGGATGGATAATATCTCATCCAATTCCTTAGCAATAGCGACGTTCCCTTTCCGATCTAGCATCTCAAATCGCAGACCGGGGGTCTAAAGGACCGGCCAATTTTCCTATGCAGCCGTAAGGAGAGAAATAAGCACCAGACGCCCATGATTACTATCAGTTCAAAGATTTAACACGCTTGTCTCGCGACATTCTCGGTACCGCCTTGATAATTAAGCTATCCAGGCCGCGTACTCTAGCCACCTAACTTTAGCTCTCACACTCAGAGAATGATCTAAGCGCACAGTTCACGCGGAATGCCCCACCGAGTGGGCGCCCGTTTTTCAACCGGCGATCGAAAAGTCGGTTCATGTTCGACGCCTTCTTCTCGCAACCACCCCAGCACAATCAATGCGTCATGATTATGTTCCAACAACCATGGATGGCCATCACGCTATCATCAGCCACGCTCCCATACCCCTTTTAGTCACTGCCATACCGTTCCAGCTCAGATCAGCCACCCACCCTCTTCGCCTCGACAAGGAGGGAAGGAGCCAGACGGGCCGAGCCCGACTATCATCCCAAACAATAACTTCTCGCTCGGCAGGCCGGCCAAAAGCGGCTTATAGGCCGAAAGTGTTCAGTCTTGGAGGGCCCCTCTTTACAAGAATGGCCAACTTCTCGCTGGATGCTTGCAATTGAGGCGCTCTTTTTACTGCATTTGCCCTTTATCGGTGCGTAACTCCGTTACGAATGTCCGGAGGAGCGCCGAAACGGTTTGCTCGGGTGTTGGAACAGGCCAATTAACTTGCATTGAGCTGCGTGAAAACCTGCGTGAACTTGGTTGAAACCTGCGCAAACCTGCGTTCGTAAGATTGTGGCATGCAGTATCGTGCATGTGAGGTTGAAGCTAAGTGGTTTCTTAGTAGAAGAGGGTGTTATGCAAAGTTTGGTACGATCCCTGCGCTACGATGGTAGCGTGGAGTTTATTCGAAAATCAAAGTTTGGGTTATCGGAAGAAACCAGTAATGCAGGTGAAAAGCTATACGGGAGGAATGCGAAGAGAACCAATTTCTTGGAACAAGGAGTGGGGACCTTGTGCGTGGTGCGGATGTTGTGAACAAAACGTTGCGGGTTAAACCTACCCCGAATCGTGACAATTCGGAGATTTGGTTGTAGTGCTTGAGAGTGACATAAACCCGTATGAACACCAGCAGTGTCGGACATGCAATTTGCATAGTTGCCGAAGTTGTATTTCCCGTAACGCCTTCGCCTGATCATTCCAGAAGCGAAGTGAGATTCATCTATAGAGACGATGATATTTCTTGCAGCGCTTACCGTGAGTGTGGACTGCAAGTATATAGTAATCACACTATTGCACATGGGCCCCCCACGAACTCAACCAGGGGGGCCGCGGGATATAGACAGACTGTTGTGACGTCCGTTCTACCGGCGAAGCGGAATTGCAGGAACATTCTACAACACGACTGTTGTAATAGCTGGCGATCGGTTGCATTCGTGCAATTTCGGCAGTTAAACAGACGAAGAATTGTAGCGAGCGGTGAAGCGCGAACCATGGAAGTTCGTAAACCGTTTTTCTAGGCTCATCAAGCTTATCGTTCACCAGCTGCGAACACGTCCAGCTGACCCATCCGACCCAGCCGGTCGACTCTCGGGATCGAATTTTCCCGCAACAAGCGACCCTCATTGACTGCGCATTCAATAGTTGCGATCTTATACGTTGGGATCGGTATCTCTAGCGCCACTAAACGGCAGCTCCGAATATGTGGCAGTTAGAAAAAGGTACAAGCCTAGCGGGAGGCGAAAATATAACACGGGATATTAAGGAAAGGAAACGAGGAGGAACGAGGGCTGATGCTGGTTGGCCGTTGGTCCTTTGCAAAGGGTCTGCTGATGCACAAGGCTGATGTTCGATAGCGTAGCCGTGCTGACTTGGCAACAAGTGAAGCTTCGTTTGAGGGCTCCTAGGGGGTTGAGATAGACGCCATCTCACGCTTGATTCCGGCGCTGAACCCCAAGAGAGAATAGGAGGTGTGCCAGTGCATTCTATACTTTCTCGAAGTATGCGAGATGGTGTTGACGTTGAAGCTGAACTCGCTGAAGTTGGTTTGCCATTTCACCCATCTGATTGGCCCCACTGAAATTTGTCGATGCAAGTTGTTCAAAGGTTCTCTTAACACCTTCTGTATTGGTCTTAACGGATAGCGATGCAAACCTGGAGCAAGCGAAACCTTTTCTTTCCCCAGAAACCGGAAGTGAACATCCCACCTGCGCATTACACGGCATGTGCAGCCAACACGAGAGTTAGAAACGCCACGAAAAGGGTGCTTCGTATTTCACATCGCTAGGTCGTTCGTCTGGGGCATTGGCGTTGAAGATCAGGTCCACGTGCAAGTGCGCACCTTAGTCTGCAGTGCAACCATGCGATTTCCTAGTAACGGACGTCTACGGAATGTACGGCAAAGCCGTGTTCTTGACCAAACTCTGGGCCCAAGGTCCCGTTGTTTAAATTTTTAATCAAGCGTTCTGGACTGTCGAGCCGTGATTCTGGTCTTGCCGCACAAGCGTCTTCTTGAAACGCACGATAGCGGTTAAACATCGATCCGCGGTGGGAATGAATCTTGGCTTCCTTTGTCATGACTTGCAGCAAGCTCTCATTTCGGTTGGGACGAGCGCGAAGATCATGACTTCGGAGGCAAGAAGATATGTCCGGTTCAACCGTGCTTGAGCGCATCCTTGGTGACGTGCTGCTAGCTGCACGACAGCTCTCGTCTTTGAAAGACTAACAAGCTCGATCTTCAGAACTTTGTCCAGATCCACCAATTGTGACATGCAAAAGTAATCGCAAAGCCTCTAGCCTAGGCGATGTGGCGATTCTGCGACTATCGGAGACGGCGATAGACATATTTTTCTCTGAAAGCGCAAGATGCGCTTCGGGGAATTTTCGAAATCCAGCTAGTTTTAAGACTCGTGGCATTAGTAGGGTCCAGATGATGCACTAGACGAAGACTAGGCGAATTGAGGTAGCCAGAGACGAACGAAAAGCGACGGCTCCATGTCGCTGTACCATGTCGCTGTATCGACAGTGGAGCGCTGCATTGTAGTCGTCATCACGCTGCAAGCCAGACCCATTTTTGATGTGTTTCATGTTCGACATATTGCCATTGTTCAGTTGGAGTGTTGCAGTTGCCATTGGTTGTTGGAGAGATGGCCCCATTGTGCAGCATCGGAGGCAGTAAGCAAGTCCTGAATGACCTGGCATGCTGGCGACCAAGCAACGGCTTGAGACTTGGAAACCTGTCGGTGCGACTTGATTTACCATCCGGGGTGCTGCATGAGCAGGCAGATGGTGCCAGGGTTTGATGCGATAGCCAGGAACGCTGCTCGGCTCGGCCTCCAGTACCGCGGCCAACGATGGGTGAAATGCTCTTATCGCGCATCCAACAGACGCCTCTTGCGCTCCAACTTGCATGCGTGATTTGATATTATACTAGTAGAAGGTGGCTCACCTCAGTACAAGCCTCAGGAAGCTGCCATCCGCATTCTGGAGGTGCTCCGTGAGGGGCTAAGATAGAACCCTCTGAAGGGAAGCTATCGCGGGACGCACCTAGAGCCCGCTATTGTGTGGACAGGATTGGCCAGTGCCACCATGGAAGCCAAACTCATAGAGTACTTGGCGCGTTTGGTAGATCGACGTCGTGTCAGGGCTCCGCTCGAAGCGAAGTTTCTCCCGCGTGAACACGCCCCCTTCTGCAACCTGAGCGTTTGCTTGTCTCATTTGGACTCATCCTCTGAAGAAGCAAGGAAATTGTCCACGAAGTAACGCTGAACGGGACTGGTGTGCTGCGAGCACCCGCAATTCGACCTTCATGTGTCAGTCTTGGAAGGCTGAAGTCGATGCTGCCCCTGGATTCGCCCCCAGGCTATGATGTGCTGTCAAGGCCGATGTCTTGCTGACCTCCACGACGCCACGTTGCCCAGCGTCTGACACCATCAGAGCACAGAGTGGACGGGAGTGACATCCCCTGCAGTGGTACGGCAGCAGCCACGGTGGAACTGCCTATCGTGGAATTTTGCGCCATCTCTAACGGCGGGGTGTGTTCCAAGGTTGTCGAAATTGGACTATCATGGATTGTCCCTTAGTGCCCTACTCACCGATATTTCATGACCGTCTGCCTACTAACAGACTTCGTAGCCCACCATCAGGTACGCTCTTGTACCTGCATGTCGCCGCTAGCCAAGCCTGTTCGTTACTATAACCCACCAGACTGCTCTCGCTCGGTCCTTCGCTGCCTACCTTGACCGAACGACTACTCTTTGTTCAGTATCGTTGTCCTGCTAGTTATATACTATATATTCCCTCTCACGGCGCTGTGGAGCGAGGCGGAACACGCATGACCCACGTCTCCGCTCCCTGAGCCCCTCCGCCTGTCCCGCAATACAGTACTTTACCCGCATCACCCTTCCAGGTTCACATCAGAAGTGGCTCCGACGACCATCGTCTATTCATTCGATTCCTTCGGATTGCAACTGCGATCAAACATGCATGTGGTTATGCTTGAGTAGCTCGTTGCTCTTTCTTACTCTTATCCGGGGGACTTGGTCAACCTTCCTTCCCACAACCACTGGCACTTTCCAAACACAAGTCTACGTCGTCGACTTCAAGCTTCTCGTCTGTCGCTCAATCATTTGAGTATACTGTCGCCGTGCGGCAGTCTCACCAATTCCTCCATTTATATATCACCACTGCCCTCGGACTACTCTAGCCTTATTAAGCATTCGTGCGTTACAACTACAACATGGACCAGTCATCAAAAGTCTGGATCATTCTCGGTGCCGTCCTGGGCACTCTCGTCCTGAGTGGAATCATTGTCGTTGTTCTATTCTGCTGGAAGCGGTCTAAGAGAAGGGTACGAGGTTTCTCGCTGCGGGCCGTAACGCCTCTGGACGATGCCGAGTTTGAATCATGGCGAAGACCTAGTCAATATACGAAGCGGTCGGAGAAGTACATCATTCGACCAACCGAGCCAGCTGTCGTACGAGAACGCGCTTCTCCCACACTATTCGAGAAGGAGCTCAGCACATACGAGTTCCCACGAACACCGTCACCTCACGATATCACTCCTCCAATGATGTCGCCATCTAGCTCAATTCAAAAACCAGGAAGAGTGCGGAGGAAGTCTAGTGTCGCGTCATCGATTGCTGACCGACCACCAACACCATATTCGCCTACTTCACCAAGTGGTGAGTTCTCACGAGGATCCACCTCCTCTCGCAGATCGCAGCCTCTAATCCACTATCCTTCCATGTCCGAGGCATCAGCGTTCCGTTTCGAACTCGAATCGGAATACGGCACAGTCCAAAAAGGGACTGGACGCTGGATATAAGACACAGCTTTTATTACAAGTCATAATGTGCTAGGGACAGAGCATACACGATTCAAAGTGAGGAAGATCGAGAGGTGGTTACCTATTTCATCTACAGCCTTCGTCGTACATCCGATTGACTGCGTCACATCGCACCGCTTCCTGCTGTGCGACCACCCAGGTTATCATAACTTGACATTTCGTTCTTCCCTTCTTACACATATTTTACGATTGCATACGACTTTTCATGGCGTTCGGCGGGATATTTGCATCTGTGATACCAGACTTCGTGTCAACTACATAGGCTGAGGCTCCTTTCCTTTTATTCAATCTCGTCGTTAGGAGACGATGCCATGATGGGCACAGATGGACGCAAGCTTGTGCCACAATGTGGTATGAAGGGAACAATGTATTTAGATATGCAATCCCTCTGCTAGAGGCTAGTCCTCTCAGAGATGAAGAACACATATACTCATCTTATCAAGCATCCTCTTAATCTGTCTCTTGATGTGATACACTGTCAATTGAATCTGTTTCTATGACATAACAACCAACCTTGTGCAGATTCGAGTTCTATTGTGCACCAGGTGTATAATACGCGCGCTATTGGTGTCTCCAAACGAAAGCCTCTCTCCGATTCCACGTTTGCGGCTCGGGGTCAGATTTTTCAAATCTCGGTCGTCGATGCTGAAATCCTCCGTATAGCGCGCTCTTCACCGCCAGTTCATCCCTCAGAACGATACCCGCAATACCCGCAATTGGAAACCTTGTCGCTAAACCATGTCGCCCGGACTCCACATGGCGGTATCGATTGACGATACTTGCGACTCATGCACAATACTGCGCGTTCTACGCAAGTCAGTCACCGCATCAGTAGCCAGGTACCGGTAACCCACGATGTCGTGCAGCCGTGACACAGCGTGGTCGTAAAGTCTCTTGTGTGTGAGTGGCGGGTGTTGGATGACTAAGGACATGACGCGCAGCTGAGACGTGAGCTGCATGTTGAACGCAAGCTAGAGCGGATCCAGTGGACAGCTGTCACCGCAACTGTGATACACAAACAACACAAAATTGAAAGAAAACTCTCGGCACCCCCCGTTCCCTGCTCTGATCAGGCTCCGCATAGCTTTCTTTCGACGTCCAACGCGCTCACAACTCAACCACACGCTCGACTCGCCCCGCAACGCGTTCACCGCGTCTCGCACACGCCACAGACTTGTACATAGCATTACACATTACACACCATGGACTTCATACAAGGTTCGCATCTCAAAAACCCATCTTTCACATACAGAGCCACTAACGCGACCCGCAATGTAGACTATGCATCCCTCCTCCCGCGCCTCCTACCCCCCTCCCTCTACAATCCGCTCTTCACCATTCTGACCACAACCTTCGGCCTCATGCGCACATTACAAACGCACCTCTCACCCCTCCTCACGCGCCTCGTCACACAACCCGACGTTGCCTCGATCCTCGCACTTCTCGCCATATTGTTCATTAGCCTCAAGATCCTCGACATGATGTACCGGGCGGTCATATTCTGGGTGAATATGGTGCTACGACTGGTGTTCTGGGGCTCAATCTTGTTGGTGGGGCTGTGGGTGTGGAATAGAGGCATGGACGGGTTTTTGGAAGATGTGCAAGGTTTGGGCGCGCATTGGATGGGAGAGTTTGAGAAATATAGTGGGGAGGTGAAGGAGTTCCAGAGGCAGAAGGAGGATCAGTTGCGGTTTCAGGCGGCGCAGAAGCAGAAAGGAAGGGGGTGGCGGTAAAGACGCCATTGAAGAGGCGACGGGATTGCGGAAGAGAAGGACTGTGTGAATGGAGAGAAGGGCAAGTTGACTGAAGCTTTGATGAACAAAATCTGAGCTGGTCAGCGGACATACTTGGGCACATATTGGTTTGCATTCACACGGCGTATGGGGTCTTTCCAAAAAGCGGGCGCATCGGTATATGCAGGATTGCAATAACGGCATGATTTGGACATTTAGCGAGTCCGGGTCCTTGACTTTGTAACCGTAGTCATTAGTACGAAGCCACGAATGATGAAACCTTTTAGATTATCCCCTGTTTTTTTCACAGGAGGCTCGTAATGCTAATGCTAGACAGATTTTGATGATGATGAAATGCGACAAAAACGGATAATCACCTGCAATGCAAGACACTGTACAGGGCATAGGCACCACCTAATCAGTACTTGCCACCCGAGAGTCTACAGATGATATGGCAACATACATCATTCCTCGACTACCCACTGCCTTCGTTTCTGCAGGATAGCAACGATATTCTAGTAGTGACCCCAAACTTCAGCAACCAACTTTCGCAGGATATGCCCTCCACGGATGTCAAAAGGATTTCCAACACTCTAACTCGCGCATTTTCTGGTGACTCACATTAGCCCACATTCAAAGACGCGAAAAAGATGATACGTAGAACTTCGGTTCCATGCTCTACTGTACTGTTGCCCGAGAACTCATCTTCTTACTCTTCGATATTGTGAACAGCTACTTCCGCTGGCTTAGACGCTCTATAGCAAGCCATCTGATTTCACATCAACTCACTCGAGCAACTGGGAGATGAAACAAGTTACTCTTGCGGAGCGTACGAAGAAGGCCATGCGCAGATATTTTAAATCTCGTTTCTGTTAAAGAGGTGGATGGTTGCTTCAATGGAAGAACAGGGGAATTGGGCAAATTCGGTCTTACATGCAGACCTGAGAGGACAGTTGCGTCCAAGAGCACCGCACACGTATGAGCTATCAGTCTCGACTAGTAGAGGGTTGAAGATCCCTGTATGATGAGGTCGCTACTCTTATGGATGCTCTCACGCAAGTCAGGCCAGAGGGCGAGGAGCTGTCCATTTTCACTGTTACACCGAGCGCGCTCCTACCTCAAAGCTTGTGTGCAATCGCTGAAGTCAGACAGGTCTCTTCCATTACTGAACGTTTTCACTTCAAGTCAGTTCGAGGAGGCACCAGCTCACGTTGAGCATGCATTAGGTGAAATACCAGCATGGGTGGCACAAAATCAGGACACAGAGCACGTTTGAAATCACGACTTGTACAACCAGGAGCCGCCGGTGCCTACGGCATTCTCCAAGTACCGCCTCTTCGGTGCGTTCGTTCGCTTCCGATACTGTCCCAATCGCCGTCAATCCAACTCAAACAACTGCTGCGTCCTCGAATTCCACGGCGATTGTACGTGGCTCTCAAACAAAGCATAGAGACACAGAATTTGAATCTGTGTCCTCGAGTACCGTGGTGAAATTCGACTTTGACGATCGCCGTTTCACTTTCTCTTTCCCCCGATAACAAGGTCTCTTGGGCCCTGCAAAATACATCAACCACCGCCGCGTCCAACCCTGCATCTCTTGAACCACCACTTTCTGCAAATCACCTCCTCACCAAACCCATTCAAGAATTGCCACCACTACTCAACACAAGCAAGGATGGCACCGCACATCCCACCCGAGATCCTCCAGACGATCTTCCGCAACCTCGGATTCTTCGACCGTAAGTATGCCCGCACGCAATTACAACCGTTAGGCGTTCCTGGAGCATCTCGTGTAGCTCTCACATTGCAGACGAATTGAGAAAGCTACGTGAGGTACTCTGGGGCCGTCTGAGACAAGCTTCGTTGTCGCTCGTTCTGTTTATGAGGAACACCGCTGACCGCGTCTAGTTCTCCGCTGCCAGCGCGTCTGCAAGGCTTGGGCCGGATACCTCCCCGGAGACGATCCCGAGCTTCACCGCAAGCTCTTCTCCAAGGCCGAATTCGCGGAACAGGAAGAAGAAGACGAAGAACCCCGCTTTTCCATCAAAATGAAGGCCCCCGTCGACGTGCTTAAAATTGAGGGTATGCTTCCCAAGCTGGCATTTGGCCTTGAGATCAAAGTCCGCTCCCCATCTGGCTTCGACGAGGACACCATCTTCCATCCCCTGGTTAGGAACCTGGCCGCGAACATGAACCTCATCAGCCCCGGATTCAAGCTTCCGAGGGGCGAGAGGTACAACTCGGATGGTGAGCTCTCGACTCCGTACTTCGCGTTCCGGACGTTCGAGGAGCTAAGGGAGAAGACGTGCATGCCCAAGGGGTACAAGTACAAGGATGGGTCATGGCGCAACATGTTGATGTGCGTCCCGGCGATCGAACAAGTTCAGGTGCATTTCGAGTGGCCTTTGAACGGATACCATCGGATGTACACCATTGAGAAGAGGCTGGCTAAGGGAGTCACGGTTAGACAGTTTGCGGGTGCAGTCAGGCGGATGCTGGCTCGCGCAGAGGACGACGTGACGCGCCTTTCTGGTCGGTTGTCCGTCTACTGCGAGAACTGCGGCATGAACGAAGATGCGGAGTGTGAGCTGAGCGACGATGACGATTATTCGGATTGGTGAGCTCAAGAACGCTGAACACGCTCAGTGAGGAAGAGTATCAACGGCATGTTATGCCCGAGAGTATAGGAGAGAAGGAGTGATGCCTGTACGAAATAACGGCTTCTTTAACAAATCAGAAGCAACATTCCCCAATGAATGGTCTTTCCTTAAGTCACTGATCGTGAGGTCAACTTGTTACATTCGACGTCGCTAACTTCCAGAGCACATGTAATTAATCAACTGAACGCGGACGAATTGAGAGTTGGGGAAAGCGCCCATATGGCAAACATCACAACGCCCGTTTCAAGAAGTCGAAACTGACCTCAAGATGCAACGCCCAGCTCCATGTTACAAGACTACTCGTAATGCGAGTGTCGTGGTCATGTACGTGTTAGAAGAAAGGAGAGTAGGGTGTTTATGATAAGCTTGTCTTTCTGTAGTTGCTTTACTATATAGTAGGGCAGCTAATCTTTTTTAGGGCATATGCCATATGCTAATGCAAGTGCTCTTTGAGTTCCTTAATCCTCGGGTATCATGCTCCTTCTTCCTCTACCACATCTCCCTATGCCTTTAGAAAAACTTGACTCCCTCACTCCCCTCGCTACCAAAAATCTGCGCTTTCCCCCTCTTCACACAAACCCCCAAACTCCTCTGCAGAAGCTCCATATCCATACCATAAAACTCCTCTCGCCGCGACGCATCCCCCTCGGCAATCTCATACAGCGTCAAAACCGTGCCCTTCTGCCCCGTCCGCTCGACCCATTCCTCCAGCGCAGCAGCCCACTCCTCGGGTCTGCGCCAGTAAATCCACGCCCTCCCGCCTTCGTCCTCCCCACCCCCGCTTTTACCACTCTTCTTCGTGCCCGTGCTGATGAATTCCGCCCTATTCCCGCCCTCGGGGCTCGCCATCCAGCTTATGATCGCTTTTGCATCGCGCAGGGTGAGGCGGCGGGATAGTTTTGCGTTGTTGAAGAGTGGTGTGTCGAGCGCGTCGATGAGCGAGAGGGTGAATATGCGGTTGTGGCGGCAGTAGGATTGGATTAAGGAGGACCAGGAGAGGAGTTGCGACGAGCGTGTTGAAGCGACGGGTTGGAGGGTGAAGAAGGGCGGGAAGAAGTAGTGGGGTGGGAACTGGAAGTCGGTCGTTGATGGGGGTTGTAAGGTTGTGGTTGTGGAGAGATTGCTTGGGAACGGAGAGGCGGTGGCCGTCATGGTTGGAGAGAGGTTGTGGTAGAACGATTCGAGAGATGTTGGTGGGGACTTGATGCTTGACGGGAGAGATGGAAGTTGCGGGGAATTTGGGACGTCATTGGCTACTTGGCATTGGACCTCTGATATTCTTTGGAACAACCTCTTCTCAGACATTACGTGCGTACATCGTCAAGATGCTATTTTGATTTCTACACAGATGTTGCACGCTTGAGGATATGGATTGTAGTGCTGCTAAAGTCAACCTGAGCCTAGCTTGGAACGCCTTTGAGATATATTCACAGTGGTGCCACGTCTACAAACTGGAGCTATAGCTATAGCTCAAAACACTGTCTGAAAGCCTTTGGGATTTCATCACGCACCGTACTCCTCCTCATCGGACTATTTCCATGAATAGTTATTCAAGTTTTAGTCCATTCGTCAAAGTTGCGTCGTATGCGAAGAAGGTCGGTAATGGAAGCTACAACGGAACTGCTCACGTTAAAGCTTAGTATGAGAGGTTGTTGAGCTCTTCATACTCACCCAGGTTGAGCTGTTACCTTGCCGTCGCATTCATAGGATGGGGTTGAATGACCTAGGGGCATTGAATGAGAACTGGCTACGGACGGGTAGTGAAGTCTCCGTAGTTGTTCGCGAGTACAACGAGGACGTAGTATTCGTTGAATCAAGCACATTCCAACAACGCTCGTGTGAGTACGGAACTGCTTTGCTGAATACACGTTTTACCGAATATCGGGAGTACTGACTAGCTAGTCCGCAAGTTCCTAGGATCTGGTTGTCGACGTGGCCAGCCTTGCATTGATGACAACCCACGGTAGCATTAGCCCAAACAGGTAGCGTCGGAAGTCCCACGGAAGCGGAGACAGAGCATCCAAGTGTTTTGCAAATAACGGTAGGAAACGTTGGCCAGACTGAGGGGTAATGGCGGAACTCATAAGAGGGGCATTAAGAGGTGATGATATCCGGGGCACTCGAGAGTGTGCAAATGACAATTGATGTTTGAAGTGGTGCCGCGAGTCGAGGTTCTACTAGGGTACAACATGAACAGACATTTCAAAGATGTCCGGCTGAAGTTACCGACACTATGCGATTGAGCGGAGTTGGACGTACCGTTTGTTCACATCATCGACCCTGGGCTTAGTCAGTGCGTTGTTCGTTGCTATTAGGAACAGATCATCGTATTGTGGAGCGCATGAAGATAGCACAACCATAAATCTGTACCACATTGCTGCCATGTCGCCTACAGGATATGCACAGTGTCGAAGTGAGTGCGATGGTGGGTTTTCAAATCGTTGACAGTGCTCGCGTAGAATGCCATTGCTCGAAGATGGGTTTAGATAGGAGTTGTGGCTGGAGACTCGCATAGTTTCAATAGGGGTGTTTTAGCCTGCTCGCCTTGACATGTTCCCCAGATGCTCGCCTTGTGAGGTTGTGCCAGGAGAGTGGTCTGCGTTTATGTGACCCAAATCTCCGATGTGAAGCTCGTCCCTTGCGATGCGCTGTGCATGCGATGGTGTTACAACAGATGGCGGACTTGCTCGCTTTGATGATAGTTTCATTCACTGACATGCGCACGACGTATGTCTTTGGCGGTGGTTACTGCTGAGCTAGAGAGATCGTCGCAGCGAAAAGAGTGGCTTGGGGTCCGGCCCGTAGCACGCTATCCAAACAGGCAAGCGTTGGTGGTGATCCGCGAATATCACTCGAACATGAGTCCGGCAGTGGCTTGCCAGCGGACAGCGGACTTGGAGATCAGTTGTCACGCGGCTAGTATACACGACGAAGCGAGGAGACAGATGCTACACGTCTGTACGTAAGGAGTCGAAGTCGCGCAACAGCGTTATGGCTCTGGCCTGATCCTGGCCAACAAGAGTTCCGCCATTATACACTAACACCCTGTTCGTAGCACCCCTAAGCCTATGTACCATCAACAGACTGTGGAGAACAACATCTGCCGTGAAGCGGACGAGAAACGAAGCGAACGGCGGTGCGGTGCGGCCGTCTGTCTCAGGCTCACATCCAACGTCATGCGCTGCAACAATGGTAGTGGTACTGTAGCAAAGTCGTGGTGCTGGGGAGAATGTGGAGAGGTGCATTCGTGTATGCAGGCAAGCGCTGGCCGTGTATAGCTGCGTGCGTGCAGCCTTCGCCTCAGCAAGGGCACTGCCAGCGGCCGTCGAGGGGTTATTAGCACACATGCATTGAACAAGTGGGTCTTTTGAGGCTGCCATCAATTCACCAGGACATGGCCAGAGAAGTGCGCAACAAGAGCCGCAAAAGCGATGATGGAAGCCGGGATCTGGGGCGACTTGAGACGGGGTGTGAAGCATTCGGAGAGATAATTTTAGCCCAGCAACCTCATTTCCCTTCGCCAGGGTCGGTCCAATCAAGCACCAGACGGCCAGGCCGCCCTGGTCCTTGCGCCCGCTTTAGCTTGTCCGTTGCCGACTAGCCTTCTGAGGGCGCTGCTCTCCTCGCGTCTGCAGCTGTCTGGTGTTGCTGCTGCTCCCCTACGGTGCCTTCCTCCTCACGGCCGTCGCAGCTTCCCACCCAATACGCTCTTTCCTCAGTTGCGCGACCGAGCCTGGCTCTTTCCCTTCTCAGACCGGCACATCTAATCGATACCCGTCTCCATTTTAATACTTACTCTTGCTTTCTCTATACAGCATCCCCCCCAATCCATGGACTCGTGAACCTGCGCGTCTGTTACTGGCCCGAACGCCGTCAACAATACTACTCCCCCCACGGCCTCGCTCTCGACCTGCTCCTATCGACACGGTCAATCAGTCAAACGCGAGCTTCAAATATAAACAAAGATGCGCCAATGTCTACGCAGCGACCGTCCTGGCGACCTACAACACCCTGACAACTGTGGCCGACCGAACCGTACATCTCGCCATAAGCAGCCACGCACCGCAAAGAAACATACCGTCGTCCTCTCCATCCTCGCCGCCTCTCTCCCCGTAGCAATGGCCCAGCAGAATTGCATATCGCTCCAAGGTTCCACCGCCTGCCCGGCTTTCAGCACGGCATCAATAAGCACTAATTTAACCGGCGACTTGTATGTGATACCCTCAGCCCATACAGCGATGGGAGTGCTAACAGGTGTTGCAACAGCTCTTTTCTATCCTTCGTGTCAGATGTAAAGTCCTTCGACGACAAGTTACGAAATTACATCGCAACCAGCTACTCGGAACGACAGTCAGTTTTCTCTCCACCTGCGTGCCACTGTTTCTGGATACTAACAAATTCGCAGGTATAAGAATATTCTGGGCTGTTCGAACGTTAACCTTACCAACACTACCAACCTTTACGCCCGCTATACCACCACGGTCCTCTGCAATGCCATTGTCCAGAACTCCAGGGTGCCATGTGGGCTAAGCAATACAAATGCAACGCCGCTGTGTGCCGGTGCCTGCGTACGTTTTCCCATTCTTCAAATCCCAACTCCAAGTCTTGTTTGACGAATGCTAATCCACCACAGGCTGATTTCGCCATCAGCGAGCAGGTAATAGTGTCAAGCCCAGAACTATGCGGCACTGCCGGTAACAATGCGGTTCCTCAAATTCGGTCAGATTTTGCTCGCTGTTCAAATCCGACCGAAGCGCTCAGTGGTCGTTGCATCGAAGCAGCGTCGAACGAAGGCTACGAGTGCGGCTATCAGGGAAATCTGCAGGGACTGTGTTCGTATTGCTCAGACAGCACGGTCAACTCCACAAACTCGTGCTGCATCAATGCGAACGTCAACTCGCGCTGCGTGGGCGTTGAACTCCCAACGACAGTGTCGATGCCACCTCTGTTCCCCTCGAGCACTTCGTCTGCCACACCATCTTCAACTTCAGCTGGAGCAGGGACAGGTCGTTCTGGATCCGGACTTTCTGGAGGTGCGATAGCAGGCATCGTCATCGGGTCGCTCGTCGGCGCGGCCCTTATTCTTGCAGCTGTCATTTTCTGCTGTCTTCACGCGCGCAAACAGAAAAATAGACGTCAGGCAGACAGCATCTTTAATACGCCGTCTCCACCGCGGCGTCAATCTCCAAAGGGGCCGCCAATGCCACCTATGAGTTATGCCGATGATGGTCTCGCCCCTCCCAGCATTCTGCCCGGGGCTCGCGTGCAACGCATGTCAGCCCTAGAAGGATCCAGATCGTCAGGAACTCACAGTGATGGAGCAGGTGTCCTGACAGCATTTGGGGACACGCATATTGGTGCTTACGATTCCCCCGAATCGATCCGCGGCCATCTAGCAAGTGCCCTACCAAAGCGCGGTGGTTCTCTGTCCAGCCGCTCTGCTCTTGACTCAAGTACGACATCGCCGCATTCTGGATCTGATCAAGCACGCAATTTCTCTAGCCCAGACGGTGTCGCTTCTGGCCAGTCCGAGCAACTGCAATTCTTCAAGGACTATTATTCCCAGGATGACATCCACCCGAACGATACAGTTGCCACACTCTGGGCGTATCAACCACGGGCTGGTGATGAGTTCGAACTAGAGCGGGGAGACATGCTCAAGGTCGTCGGCATCTGGGATGATGGGTGGGCGACAGGAATCAGACTCACTGAATCAGCAGAGCAGTGGGAATCACGGAAAGCCGAGCAACGTGACTCGGGTGTGAGCAATGGAAGTAGGCGATCACAGGTCGAGACCGATGGCGAGATTAAGGCTTTCCCGCTGGTGTGCGTGTGCTTACCACAACATTGGCGGAAGACGATTGAGGGCGACAGCACGGACACGCACGGGAGTGGAGGTGATCGACCACCTCCAAGCCCTTAACGATGCACCTCATCTCCAGTCCGTTAACGTTTCCTAGTTGTCTCCTCTACTTCTCTTTCATCGGATCCTTCTCCGCCCCAGGCGCGACGTGGGAACATGCAGAAAATGCGCGTCTCATCCGCGCCGCCGCTGTCAGCTCCGCTTCTTCTATCAGAGAGAAGATCAGTGACACGGCCTCTATTACCGAAGACGCTGGGCCTCAACTCCTCAGGCTCTAGCACGCTCATCAACTCTCCGCACAAATACTAATGTCGCTACGATGATGGCTGTTTATGCTACGCCGTTTTCCAATCTCCGTCCTGGCTCAACATTTCCAGCTCCTGAGACCTTGAAGATTGACTTGCTTGTCTATCACCACTCCAGGCTCGACACCCTGATCATGCTCTGAGGTCAACAAACAAAGCTACATACCACGGCCGAATTTTCTTTCTCGAACTTCCCTTGGGTCGATCCAACGAAAGACTGCCCCTAGTCTAGTGTCTAATACGCTCTTTTACCGACTCTTTGCGCAACATGGCGCATGTACACTCCTTGATATCGATACACTCACCACTATTGATCACGCCACACGCGTCCGGTACATACAACCCTACCTTGGCTGATTGAGTCTCTTCGTTCTATACCCCGCCGCATACTACTTGTGACGAATTGTTCTACTTCGGTTGTGTCTTGAGGAGCAACTGAAGCAAATTGTATATATGGCTTGCTTCAGGCTCCGGGGAAAAGGGTAATTACCATCTTGATACATTTCTATGATATCCCGCCTTTTTTTGGATAGCGGGCTTTTTTTTTGATACGAGCGAGGGATGTTGCTCGATGTTTGTCGTTGGGAAGGGAAATTTGCGGTACGCGGAAGTGATGAAGGAGAAGGAGAGAGAGGGTCGAGGGTGAAGATGGCGATGGAAATGCGTTTAGAATGATTAGGTTCAACTAGGGAAATGGAATATTGACAACATTGGTATCATTGCACTGATCAATTTGAGCGTGTTTTGAAGTAATCATCTTTGTTAGATGTTTATATAAATTCTGGTATTGCATGTGTGATTTCATCGACGGTCCATACCATTCACTAAAATGCTCCACGCCGGTATGGCACGTTGAGCTTTAGTTATACTATCCATCACGCCTTGCCTTTGCGACGAACCTTCTTGTTGACGCCACTATTCTCATTCCGTCTGTGCCAATCGTCAATCTCATGCCTGACATTCTCTCTATACGCCTTGTACTCTTCGCTAGCTTCAACGAGGAGCTGTGCACAATGGCCAGAGCGGCGCAGATGGCGCTTGAGATTCTCCCAGCGACAGTCTGGCTTGAAAGTGCAGTTTGGGTGTGGACATCTGTACGGACGGAGAGTCTGAAGCAGTGAGTTAGTACACGATGATAGGGGCGTGAGGAGGATGTAAATAAAGGCTTACCTGATGGGTCCGCTCGTGTTTACTCAGGTTACTCGAATCAGCACAGGTAAAGTCGCAGAAGCGGCACTTGTGAGGCTTTTTGCCTTCATGCAGAGCGCTAATGTGCGTTTGAAGCTGCGTATGTGTGGTTGTCGTGTAGCCACAGCGATCACAAACATACGGCCTCTCGCCGGTGTGGGTGCGCTCGTGGTTATCTTTCGCTTGATTCGTGGCGAACGTTTTGTCGCATCCTTCGTAGCTGCAAGCGTAGGGCCGGTAACCCGCGTGTCCGAGTAAGTGCCGTGATAGCTTCGAGCGCTGCTTGAAGTCCTTCGATGCAGCTTCACAGCCTTGCCATTGGCAGAGGCAGTGGGTGCAATTGTCTACATGGGTGGTTTTGATGTGTTTGTGTAGGGCTTCAGCGGAGTCAAAAGCTGCGAGGCAGAGCACGCCCGGGAGGTGTTCCCTATGCATACAGTTAGTAAACTATAGCCTGTTGAGTCGCCCAGGGGCGCTTTAGGTAGTAACCCAAACGCGAAGGGTGTTTGGAAAGCTACTAAGATATCTTAGCCATACGTACCATTTACATATACACTGTTGGGAGTCCAAGGCACCAGCTAGGGAGCCAGTGTCTGCGGACGTAGTTGTAGTTGTGCTGGGTCTTAAAAGGTCGTGTTGGACGGCAGATGCGAGAAAATCTAGCTTGGTGGCACTGACTGGTGCTGCTGGATATTTATTCGGAAAAGAAGAATCTGTAAGCATCCAGGAGTGATCGTTATAGTCTAACATAGAGTTGATAAGGCCGAACGAGGTTGAGCCGATCAAGTGTTGGTTACTGGACATGGGGCTGGTTGAATGGCTTGTGTCGAACCCAAAGTTCATGAAACTGTTGGCTAGACCATTCCCTTGTGTCATTGACGAGTTCCAGAGGTCCAACTCTTGCTGGGTAACACTTGAAAAGTCTCCACAGGCCCGTTTATCTCCATGACAACATGAATTGTCCATGTGGCAGTGATCAGAGGATATGTTGAGGTAGCAATTCGGGAAGTTTGCTTGGGTTGGCGCTGGCGAGGGCTCGCTAGTAAACGCACTCTCTAGGGATGTGAAGTTGCTATGCGAAAGTGCTGGTGTAGGGGCGCTCGAAGCGAGTGTGGTGGTGTCGTCGCCACCCGTGATTCTATGAGTGTGAGAGAAGCACGGATATGTTTCGAACGAGGCCAGGCCGTTGTTGTGGCCATGGTATCTTTCTTGGAAGTGACAAGGTGCATTGTCGTAGCAGTATATAGTACCGACTGGAGTAGGGCCAGTATGGGCAAAGTGACACTCATTGTTCAGCTCACCCAGCGGGCAAGGTAGAGCATCGCACTTTTGGCAGAAGCACGGTTCGTCCGGACATGCTGATTTTGTGCATTCGGGGTCTACACAGTGGTCTGTGCATTCTGGCGTCTTTTGGCGGCAGTGAGGGTCGAAGCATGCGTCGTCCTCGGGACAGTCGTCGCCAGGGCACGGCACTGTACAGTCTGGAGAACACGGCACCACGCATTCTGGAGAACACGGCACCGCACAGTCTACGATACAGGAGGCTTCTAGATTGCAATCCTGGCAGAATTTCTCGAAACAGTCGTCCGGGAACTGGCAGTCGGCATCGATGCTCGGGGGTTTGGCGGTGTTGTGATATTCACCAACCTTGAGAGCCGAAGCCCTCCGCTTGGATGGGCGCCCGTTACAAACCTCGGGACAGGGCCCCGGACAGTGGTTGCAACACAGGACTCGTGGATCGATGTGCCCATCATAGTGCTCCAATGTCAGACTATCTGCATCGCGCTTTGAGCCTGTGAGTGGCGCCACGGTATTGAACATTGAGTTGGAGGTGGTCCAAAGGGAGTCGTCGTCGCCAAAGGCCGAATCGTTATCTGAGTAGCCGTTAGCCATAGCGGCGTATCTGAGAAGCAGAGCCGTGGAAAGTTGGTGTTGTGAAAATCGAGGTGCAAATGACCAGGACATCAGGGTACTGTAGATCCAAAATCGGCAATCGACTTTCTGCGATGCCCCGAAAGGGTGAATGTAGGTGAAAGCTGGGATACGTACAATAACTCCATGTAGCGACTGTTATAGGCCTTCACCTAGGTCTTCGCGACGTCTGGGGACTTCACTTGGCCGCAAAATGGTGAAAGTGCCTTCGAAAAGTGAATTGCGACCGAAGCCCACCTTTGAACGACTAAGCGATTCTGCCACGGTCGTCATTGGCTGCGCCTGCCGAACCCATCAACCATGCTAGAAAGAACCTTCGCCGCTCCACACCATGGAGCCTGAATGTCCTCGCTATCTTTACCGTCCCTATCCAGCAACGTGTATAAGAAGTATGCGACGCCGTCTAACGTGTACTATGGGAGCTTGCGACGCGTCTTGAGCAATCTAGGACAAGCCGTCCCCCGCTTGTCAAACATGCCACTCGGCTAGCCTTTGTGTCATCGTTTGCGGCCTTTCGCCGTTTACATCTGAAACAAATAGACAGAGTATAAGAGGAAGAAAGCACAATGATAGCACCTTGTACTCCACCTCCAAATTCGCGTCTGCTTTTGACAGTCTTCACTTCGCTGCCGGTATCCGTCAACCAGGTATTTGGCGCGCCAACCCAGGGCTCGCGTGTGCACAGCCCCGCGAGCGAGGCTGATAACCCGAGGCGACTCTCGTCCCTCTCCACATCCCTTCACCTCCGCCATCTCCAATTCGCGGGGGCAGCCACACACCCTCACCACGCGCCTCTCAAGCCTGCCATACTACTACACACAATAGATACCCGACATAATTAATATCAATGGGCAATCTCTGCGGCAAGCAGTCCAAAGACAACTTCGACGGCCAAGGGCGCACACTTGGTTCTGCGCCTGCGCCTGCTACGAAAGCATCTGTGCCGAGCAATGTCGCGCCACCGAAGCCCAAGGTGGGAGGACCGCCTAGGACGTTAGGGGAGGGCAATAATGGGGATGATCCAAAGGCAGCGGCTGCCGCAGCTGCAGAGGTGCGTAACTAGGCCGCGTGTGTAGAATGCAAGAGAAGGCAGAGTAGCAGCGGTCAACCTGGACGGCGCATGGCAACTAGCCTGGCCTGGGCAGTTACCGAGGACAATCAGTGTCTTCACGCCACACAGAAGAATGCACAAGCAACTTGCAGCGTCCCTGTGCTAATGCTTGCAGCAGGCCCGCGCAAACAAGTCCACCTCTGGCGACCTGCAGAAGAAGCTCGACGCGCAGAAGCGACAGACACAAAACCAGACCCTGCAACAAGCCGCGAACGAGAACCGCTTAGCACGCGAAGCAGACCAAGTGAACGAGACGAGGACCTACAACTGAATGAAATGATGTCATGGGTATACTATGCTGTAGAGGATTGAGAGATATGTCACTGTTGTATATAGGTGCGCATATGGACGACGACTTTAGGAACTTTTAACAGGAGTGGTTTGGAGTTCTCTTCACTTTGCATAGACTGGCGTTCAAGGGAAGATTGAGAATTTGTCCGACTTTATTCGGGCACAGTCTTGGAGATGCCTGCTTCTTTGTCTAAACTTAGCACTAAAGGCAAGGCGTCTGTCTAGCAAATCCGTTCATGCGGCTCCCTCCAGGGGACGCCCAAAACCTCGAATATCTTCTTCTCACTCCTCCCCTCCACCAAAACCCCCTCGTTCAACTTCTCCCCCCGTCTACCCCTCTTGACATCCTTGTACAGCCCTCTCTGGTTGAGCCTCATATTCTTCTTCCTCGCCAATAGCCGTATACTCCGATTGAAAATGTCGTTTCCAGTAAAGTAAATCAGCGCCGCACCCATTTCTTCCTCTGGGACGAGCAAGAAATCCATACGACGCCAGACATTTGACAAAGGCAAACAAGAAGCTCCGTGCCACTTAGTCCCTGTCGGATCGTTGGAGCGTGATGTTGCGAGCGAAGCTTTGAGAAAGCCGGCTTTGTACAGTTGAGGGATGAGAACGTCAAAGACCACGGTGCGGAGTGTTGCAAGAGATGCGCCAGGCCGCGTGAGGATCATGTCGATGTCGCCTGAATCTCTCGCGCCTCTTCTATAACTGCCCATGACTGTGGCTTCGAATCGATCGTCAATCTTCCCTAACGTGCGTTTCACGATATCGCCATGAGCTTCGACTTCCGCGCGCGGGATCCGGCAGTTGAAGTCATCATAGTGCTCGATACCAATCTCGTGGCTCGCCGTGAGCTTTGCTTTCGTTTGGAGATCTTCGAGCGTCCGGTAGCCTGCTTGGATCCATTTATTCGCTTGGACTAGGCCCGCGCCGTAGATACCAAGGAAGAGGCGTAAGACTGCGTCCAAGGGGTCGTCCCGCGTATTATCCAACTTGCGGAGACGATCAGTGAGCACAATCTCTTCGATCTTGTCCGCGAGTCGAGAGCCAATAAAAGGTAATGCAGCAGCCTGTCTTGCAGTGGTGATCTTGGTGGTCTGCTTCTTCAATGTTGTGATGCCTTTGCGATAGGCCAGTGTGCGCCACGTGTCTTGCATCTTGTCGTAGTGCCTGCACATCTCGTCCAATATTTGAATCGTTCGAGCGTTTGGGTTTTGAGAAGTGTACCCGCCGGCCCCCGGGTCCATACATTGGAAGGCGTTCAGGTTAAGGGTGTTCTTGTCTCGTAGAGCGGATGCCTTTGAAACAACACTGAACTTCTTCCGAGGTTTGGGCGCCAACGTAAGAGGCTCCTCATCTGTTCCTGAATCGTCTCCGTCGTCCGCAGCACTTGCTGTGGGAGAGTCTGCATCCTCGTCATCATCGAGCGGAAGGTGTGCAAGGGCTTTCGCCTCTTGAATGGCCTGAGACAGGGCGTCGTTGAAGTGGTCCACAGCCTGTTCCGAAGAGGGCATCACAAAGCTGTCTTTGACTCTGTCTACTAATTTGCTATTGGAAGCTTCGACTTCGGGATGGGTCGTAGCCACGCTCTCTTCAGCCGGATGCGAGTCTGTCTTCTGTGATCCCTGAGCAGCGATTTGCCGTCCTGAACGCTTGATCTGAAGTGAGTTCTGCGACGGACCAGAAGATTGTGATGACTCTACTCCTTGACCAGGCTGAGTCCGTTGAGGTGCGCCCTTGACTAGAAAGCGTTGCGCACTTGGATCCAAGAGCGTTCCGAATTGGATGCATTGTGGTATATATGGGTCGAACTTGACCAGAACAACCTGTTTCTTGCTCGGTGTTAGCCTTGGTTGCGGGATAAATATAAGCACCTACCGGAAAGCCTGCTCGGTTCACGTGCCGTAGCAATTGATTGTAAGTATAACTGTCATCATCAAGCATGATGTGAGTTACATCGTCTCTCCACCTGTCGACCCATGCTGCTCCTAGCTGGATCGCCTTATGTATGCGCGTTCGTCGAACCATGCTTATATCATCGTTTGGGTAGAAGTAGACGATTTTACCTTGCAGCAACTGCTTGTGCTTCGGCTCTAGCTTGATGTTGTCTGCAGGCTTGACCTTTTTTCCATTCTTCAGCTCACGAGGAATGACTCCCACCTGCTTGTAGAATGGTATGAGGCTTTTGCCAGCGAGCTCCGGTAGTGATGACACTCTTTTCAGCCTTTTGCCATTGTCAACCACCGGGCCAGATGCTAGTCCACTTTGCGACTTAGTGACGGGGAAGCTTTTTGTGAATTCTGGTTCTGGCGCTGTTGACGTGCGGATTAGCTTATGACCCTCTTGTCGTGAAGCAGCACGCCGTCTATTGGTATGCGCGTCGAACTCTGCCTGCCTTTCTTTAGGCGTTGGTCCAAGGAAACTGCTTGTCTGCCTCAAGAGCTTCGGTGGCGGCATCGTTTTGGATTCTGCTAAAGCGCGCTCGAGAGTACCGAAGCTCTCGTCCGGGAGGTCTCGCTCGTCATCGGAAAGGTCAAGCAATGATTGCTCTTTGAAGTATGCCTCTTTGGCCGAGAGTTCTTGCTCTGACATCGCGCAGGTTGAGCCCAGGTAAGTCAGCTTGAACGCTGTTCATGTAATATGTTGAGTTAATCTGTGAGGGAACCGCGTGGAGAAAACTATACTGGGCTCGGTAGAATTAGTCATAACTGCGTTAGCCAGCAATGCGCCGAGTGAATTGGTTGTGGTATGTTGTCGAGGCAGCAGCGCGTCGAAGGTCATCTGCCGACACGAAAGCACGTGAAAGATTTATCGCTTTTACGCTAGTGGGAGCTCCATCTGAGATGTCGATTATTGAACTTCACCAGAAGATATAACGCCTCTAATCAACAATGTTACAGCCAAGGACAGCAGTAGCCTTACGGCGCGCTTTTCTTTATTCTCCATCGATCTGTCTGCGCTGTCAAACCCAAATAACAACTCGTTCGCTCGCACAATCCTCCGGTCGAACCTTCACCTCCGCGCCCGTTCTCCGCCGGCCAGCGACAGACCCCAAACCCCCCCTCACCGAACCCAATCCCGACCCAAAAGATGAAGACATATTCATTCCCAAACCGCTGGGTCGGCCGGTTGGCTTCAAATCGCCGCCACAAGCAGGTGAAAACGCCGGTAACATAAAAATTAAGAAAGATTATTCCGGCATGACACTGAAGCAACGGAACCTCGAAAAGCGCAAAGACCTCGTCGAGAAATGGGGCTCGAACTACTTCCGGGACTTCAAAAACATTCGCAAATACCGCTCTGGCAAGACTTTCATGGCAAACCCGCGCATATTCAAGAAAGAAGCAGCACTATACTTCCCCAACCTCCACGGCGAAACGCTCGCGGAAAAGAGCGCAGACACAACGCCTGTGCTGCAGGGGAAGATTACAGTGGTGAATGTATATAGTTCTCAATGGGGTGAGGCCCAAGCACAAACATTCACTGGGAAATCTGTCAACACCGAGCTTCACGACATCCTAGCGGAATACCCTGGGATCGCGCAGATGGTCGACGTCAATATCGAAGAGAACAGCATGAAAGCATGGATCATAGCGCTCTTCCAGTGGCGATTGCGGGCTGCGCGGCCAAAAGAAAACTGGGGGAAATACTTTTTGGTCAGGAAGGGAGTTACTGAGAGGATTAGGGAGACGATCGGGCTGTTGAATGGGAGGGTCGGGTACGTTTACTTGGTGGATGAAGAGTGTAAGATTAGATGGGCCGGGAGTGGGAATGCCGAGGGGACGGAAATGGAGGATATGAACAAGGGGTTTAAGAAGCTGGTCGCCGAGACATTGTGAGCTTTGGATATACGACGTCGCATGAATAGGCAGGAAGCCCCATGATGAGGAATATTGAAAGCCTCATTTGAGGAAGCTGTAACCATACTTGTACATTATGATCGGGGCCAAAAACGCCTTGCATTCAAGATACCCAATAGAATCAGGAGGATATCCAGCCCGCTTGAACGCCGAAAGAGAATAATCAAGCAAATGCCACAGAGAACAGAGACAGAGGAGCGAAGTCACCTAGGGCACACTCAACCTTGGGTCAGGTGTACTTCGAAACCACCTACTCGATTCAGGCGGCGGTGAAAAATACGTATGCTAGAGCTCACTGCCAATCCATAAACTCCATGTAAAGCGTTGTGTGGGTGATCATCGGAACCATAATACCATCAAGAAGCAGAAAGCAATGAAGCCACCTAATATGATTCCGTCCCTCCTCTTCTTTGTGCCAATTCTACCTATTAAGCTATTGATCCCCGGGACTTGGCTCGCGGCGCCCACTATTCTGCGATTGACGTTCGCTAGCGTTTCTCGTTGCAGCCCAAAGTTCTCTTGCACCGCATACGCTTGGCTCAGGACAGAGTCGGCAACGGTGTGTGAGTTATCGATACGCTGCCGCTCGTCGAGCATGTAGTCTGCTTCCGCCTGACCGGGGTTCGCCGAGCGGTATGCATCAATGTCTGAGCGGACGTTTGAAAGTAGGTTCGCTCTGTTGCGTGCATCGCTAATGGTAGACTTGAGGCGGGCGAGTTCGCGGCGGTGGTCTGATAGTATCTCACGATGTCTGGCGAGATTGTTCTGCTTTACAGCGGACGAGGAGTGTGCTGACTCGGAGTCGAGAAGTCGTGATAGCTGGCCGACGAGGGTGTCTCTCTGATGTCATGTTAGCCCACCAAAGGCAAGCTGAATCGCGTAAGGTACCTGTTCGAGGACTTCTTGTAACCGTGTCTCTACTCGCAGTTCCTCTTCTGATGGCTTTGCGGGAACGTTTGGCGTTGATCCGAACTGTGAATACGTATGAAACAGCGTTTCTGTCTGTCATCTCTCATTAGCACTGCGACAATGAAGCCGACTAAAGTCCGTTGAAGCAAAGGAATCGTACATACTTGTTGCTCAAGAGTGCGCGCTTGCTGGCGCAGTTGCGCCCATCCTCCACCGGTTGAAGACATATGAGAGATACGGCAAGGAGAAAATGTGAAGCAGCAGCAATGCTTCTCGAACTTCTGGCATCATGAGGTTGGTCGCACCTGCCCTGGCTACGCAATGCGTCGCCAAGACGCCATCCTTTCTGGGGCTAGTGCCCGGCGAAATCTGGAAGCGAGCTCCGACACACTCCCGCTCGAATTCGTCGAACACCACCAAAAAACCGCAGACGACACGCGAGACCCCATCTACACCACCGGTCAAACTAACAAACAGTCAAAATGGTACGTTCACGCTCTCAATTACTCCCCATCTATGAAGGCGATTGTGTCGCGCAGCTTTGGAGTCACAGGTGGACGAGGGGTCGAGCATTTCACCTTCGCCAGTGCTGCTGCCGCAAATTCGTGATCGCGATGTTTTGGATTAAGGAATCAAGTGCTAACTAAGTGTTTGCAGTCTGCCAAAGTCGTACGTTCTACTGCGCTCGCACAGCCCGCATCCCTCGATCCAATACTCACAACCGCTACAGAAGACCGCCCAGCTGTGGAACAAGTCCAAGGATGACCTCGCGAATCAGCTCACCGACCTCAAGTCGTGCGTAGCCCGATACCAAAAGACTAGAAGGGAGACAAAATGCTGACGGCAGTAAAGGGAGCTGATCTCGCTCAGGACCGCTAAGGTCGCTGGTGGTTCAAACACCAAGCTCACCCGCATCCATGATGTGCGCAAGGGCATCGCCAAGGTCCTCACTGTCATCAACGCCAACCAGAGGGCCCAGCTCAGGCTGTTCTACAAGGGCAAGAAGTGCGTTTAGGCCGAAACATATGCACCACGAAGCCATGTCTAATCCTATGCAGGTACACTCCCCTCGACCTCCGACCCAAGCAGACCCGCGCCATCCGCCGAAGACTCTCCAAGCACGAGGCGTCGCTCGTGACGGAGAAGCAGAAGAAGAAGAACACACACTTCCCCCAGCGAAAGTACGCCGTCAAGGCATAGGCGTGCATTAGCGGAGGTGTTATCTTTTCTTCCTTTGTCTCTCACGAAGCATTGCATTGCCGGGGCTTTTCCAGATAGCGACTCACCAATGTACCCTTAGTCCACGATATTAAAGAGGAGAGGGAGGTGATGTGGCGGGTCAGGAATGACGGGGCGATCTTCTAACGGAAATGGGGTTGGCGTCCATGTCAAGATCTAAATGAATCAAAAAGTTCAGACAAGCAAAGAATTGATTTTGCCCAGTTGTGAAGTGAAGTAGGGAACAGGACTTGTCTTGTCGAGATTTCTGGAGTGATTAGATATACGACATTAGGAATCTTCGGTATTGAACAGAGCACCGTTAACATACCAACGCTGTCTTTAGCCAGCACAAGCGACCGACCTGTTGCACCTGGATCGCTAGCTCGTGCCCTTATGCTCACTAGGTACTAGCTTACGGCTGAAGTGTCCTGGTACCTAGGTAGTACCTTTGCTTCTTCAATGCGTCTTATTTGACATGGTTGTTGAACTCTGATATTGATAATATGCAGATATTCGATTATTGCTCATACCCATATCGAAGTAACGAGCCAACTCATTGACAACTTTTGCTTCTGCGCGTGAGTACATACTGAAGGAATTATTAACAAAAACGATAGCGTGAACACCCCTCACTACGAGGTCGTCGGCCACTCCTTGTACAAGCTCAGTTCTTCCTTCCTAACACCGACCATTTCCTCTCTTACTCCGATGATGCCCACCTTTCCAATCTTCAGGCCCTCTTCCGAGTCTTCGGCTCTATACGAGGCTAACGACTTCCGAAGGGACGCAATCACCTCCTCTTTGTCTTGTACTAGCAGGACAACGGCATCGTATCCGCCTGCACCTGGGACGACGCCGCCAATGACGCCGTCTAGAGTCGAGCAATAATCCAGTAGCTGTGTCTGTTGTGGAGGCTCGATGGGAACACCTGACGCTTCGCCCATTTGGCGGATCAACCCACGATTCTTCTGGATGATGGCACGCAGCTTGTCGTTCCCCTCTCCAGCCGTCAAGTCCGCGCCAGCGAGACGAGTAAGTTCCGCCGCAAGCGCTTCGTTCCCTCGTTGCAGTTCGTTCCAAATCCGCTCCGCCTCTTCTTTATTCTCTTGTCGCCATGCAAGGACCTTCTTCACCATACTAGGAGTCTCGCTACCGCAGTCTACATCGCACATTACTAGCCGTAGGCCCTGGGGCATCTTGATTGCCGCTTTGCGGATCTCGGTGTCCCATGCATCGCCTTCGATGAGCGAGCGGAGCTGGTCAGCGAAGCCGGGACTGCTGGGTGGGGGGAGGGCATTGAGGAGGGAAGGGGAGAAGCGCTTGTAGAGACAAGATCCAAATACAGCACTCGCAATGTCGAAGCCTGAGCCTACTTTGCCCTGGGCGTGCGAGTGCGACGCCTGGGAGAGGTTGTGCAGGATTGTTTGGCCCTTGTCGCTCTGGAGATCGAATAGTGATTTGGGGAGGTAGAAGCTCAAGACTGCAGCGGTAAAGCTGGTTACTAGGGCGGCAGAAGAGCCGAGACCGGTCTTGTGTGCGTGTTTGAGGCTGACGTTGAAGTCTAGGAACCGACTATCGGCAGCGCGTCGAGTACCGGGGTTAGAGTAGTAGGCTTGGTCAGCTAGGATTCGGATGGAGCATGAGGCGATGCGCTGGTTGGGCTGGAGAGTCCATATGTAGGTTAGAGCAAAGGTGAGGGCTGTCTCGATGAAGGGGTTTTTCGAGGCGGAGATGGATTGTTCGTGGCCGCTGAGATTGGTTAGGAATCTATCTAAGCGTCTTCCTAATGAAGTTGTTTTCTTCCGTGTTTGAACCTTCTCATGAAACACCTTGTTCATTATCGTGTCATGAAATAGTGGTAGGTGATGAATTAAGTATTAAGTATTAAGAAGAGAAGGGATAGTATTCACAAATAGAAAGGGATGTAGACTCGAGATGAAGACCGTGGCTAGTGGAGTACCCCGATGGACCGAGGATGAAAGATGAATAGATGAACGAGGTACAAAAAGACCGAGATACGAGCATTAAGAGACAACGGACAGCGTGAGTTAAGAGATGAGTATAGAGAAGCACTTACACGCTCAATTGCGTCACGGCAATGCCGCCATCACCTTCTTGCGACCTATAGCCATACTCCCAAATGGCACCGTGAAACTGCGGACTCGTGACAACAATCTCACTAATGGAGACGCCAGCTGTAGTTTTGAGCGGCTCGACGACTGTGTGAATCCTCGCATCCAGGCCAAACACCAAGCCTGTGTATGCTCGGTCAAGCACGAGGTAGCCCCCCGCGACTAGCACCTTTGCCGGGCAAGAGACGGCGGTACGAGTCAACGGCTCGGACATGGTGGAAGTCGGACTTGTGTGGTAGCGCGAGATTAGAGCAATTGGATTTGTAAGGATTTTGATTCGGGGAAGGATGCGCGCGCAAGATTAGAGGGCGTGTATTAGATGGATGGTGATGGCGGTGATCTGTGCGAGAGGGCAGTTCCTCGCGAGGTGCGAAGCTTCACGACCAGCCCTTGTGGGTCGCTACTTCCGCAAAGCCGCGCAGGGCTGAAGAAGCTTTCCTTTGCATTCCCAGAGGAGCCTTGGAAGCCCCTTTCTCCTGGCAGATTTGACATGTCACCATGGCCTTTGCATATCACGTGCCAGGCTACGATTCGATTCCACATGCGCAGTCTATATGATGCAAACCACAGATTACTTTGCCGTCGTCGGCCACGCGGACATTCGGACTTTATTAGCCTCAGCGGGGTGCAGCCGTCTCTTTCTCGTCCATGTGACTGAGTCATCGAGTCGAGCAGCCTCTGCCTAGACCGGCTCAGTGCCAGCACTCTCGCCGCACACCGACAGGCTCGCAGCGACGTCTTCAATGGCAGCAGTTCCTATTGGTACGGAGGTCAAATCAAGCTCCCCGGGAGGACACGTCTATGGCTCAGCGGCTTACGCCTCTAACCAGAAACGGTGCTCGCGACGGAATGCGAGGATTTTTAGGAAACTTTAGCGTGCACCTTCATGACGACTACGAAGCGGTGCGCTCGAATCTTCCTTTTGAAATACCCGCTAACCAACTTGCCATCGCGGCTCACTATACCTCTCTCCAGGCCACCGCGAGCCTTTCCTTCATCTCTACTTGCTCTACTACGTCCAATACAAGTGCGACACCCTCGATCGACCTGATCCGGGAATAATACATACAAAGCTCCCTGAGCTTGCTCTAATCCCCCACCACCTACACTCTTTACCACCCTCTATCGCGCGTTTGTTTGGCGGTCGTCGTCAAATGAACCTGCAACGTCGCGGTGCGATCTCGAGAATCATAGTACGTACACCTCTCTTCGCCATACGTCAATGGCTTCGTCCCTGAAATCCACGCACGCGAGCCATGTAGCTGCTGCCTAATTTCTGGAACTTGGGTGCAAGACACAAACTTGCCACCAACTCAACAGGCTTTATCCGCTTCACATTGGCGCGTGTTTCTCGATCAGGAGCGCGTATGAGACATTCACGCACTGACGTCGCCCAGTCTCACCCTTCCCATCTGAAGGGTTGCTCCATTTCCTAAATGGTCTTTAAGAGCTTCCATCTCGCGCGCCAGAGTCTTGCGAAAGGCTTCACTCACGGTTATGCTCAATCAGTAGTCGCTGGTGTCTCGCAGAACAACCCACTCGCCTCCCTCCAACACGACCGATTTCGCAAGGGCATCAAGAACCAACATGTTTTTGCCTCTACCTCCACATCGAGTGTCATCAAGGCCCTCGCCGCAAGCGCACACGAACACTCAGACTCGGGTCTAGCCGCATACTACACCGCATGGCAGAAGCACCAACGAACCGAGGATAAGGAGTGGTCGCAATTCCAGTTCCGCAAGCTCATCGAGTGGGATCCGGCTGCCTCGAAAGCTGCGGCTGAAGCAAAGGAGAGCTATGTTGCGATCGAAGATGCAGTAGAGCCAGTTCCCGCGCGTGCCGGTGTCAATCGCGCCTACAGCACGAGCCAGGTAGATGACTTCAAGAAGGCCGTGGGCGGTGAAGAGGCGGAAAAGATTGCACTCGCGCAAGTAGACGAGGCGATCGCGCAAGAGGTAGCAAAGTTCAAAGCCGACAGTGAAGCTGCCGAGGTATTCGAGGAAGAGCTATCGTCAATTGAAGAAGCCCGGTCAGAGTCGCCTGCTACCGTCGCGGATACCCTTGTAAACTCAACGACTTTGAGCCGCACCGAATCAACCATTGCCGCCAGCCCTATCGAAGCACACGATGAGTACACAGTACAGCTCCAGAAGCTTGTCGAGAACCGCAACTATGCTGAGGTTCCCGCCATCTTCGAGGCCATGCTTCGTTCTAGCCTCCAGCCATCGGTTGCCGCATACAATGCTCTTTTGTCTGCTGCCATTCATCTGCCGCGGGCCCAACATCAAGTGGTCCCCAAGGCTTTGGATGTCTACTCTGATATGCTCCGCCGACGTGTCACTCCTGACACGGCCACGTACTCTACCCTCATCGAGCTTCTCTCCGTCCGGTCGCTAGAAGTGGTGTCCATGAAGCAGAACTTCGAGGAAAAGCGACTGCGTTATGGCGGGATGGAAGAGGAGGGCAGCTTCATGCTTCAATCGAACGAGACTGATGCCGCGATCCTGGCAGAGGATGGTTCGCTTTCAGTTGCCGTCAAGCTCTTTGATGCTGCCGTCAATGTCGAGTCCGGTCGATCATTCTCCGAGAAGACCTACCGATTGCTCGTCACCGCATGCGCCGAAGGTGAACGCGTGGAGGATATGGTGCGAATCTACTCACATATGGAGTCGCGGAGTGTGGTCCCCGCTGCAGATATGTTTGTTCCAATGATCCACGCTTTTGGCAAGTCTGGCGATCTCCGGAGCGCGGTCGAGTGCTACGATGAATACAAGGCACTCGCCATCTCAAATGACAATGGCGAAGTCGAGGTTGTCCGGAAAGACAACGATGTATATGCTGCCCTCGTTAAAGCGTATACCGTCTGCGACCGCATCGAAGGTGGACGAAAGTTCCTTTCCAAGATCGAGAGCTCTCTCCTCACCCCGCAAGACGTCACCTCTGTCCGCGACATTGTCAGTCTGAAAGCTTTCCTGCCCGAATGGTTGAAAAACGGTTCTTTCCGGGAAGCCTATCTGCACGCATCTGAGCACCTTACCCCACAAGCTCGTCACATTGCCATGGCTGCCATCTGTATCAAGGCTGCGGACCGCGATGCCATCGATGTTGCTACCGAGGCCTTCGATGACATCCCCGCAGAGGTCGATCTGTCACGGCCAGCTATGGCGATGGGAGCTATGCACATCCGCAATGGAAACATTGAGGCTGCCGAGGTCTTCTGGAGGATGCTCGAGCTCTCGCCTACCAAGCCCGAGTTCATTGAGCCCACTACCATGCACAGCATTGCATTGATTGGTAGTGGACATGCAGAGCGCGGCCTTCGTCAAGGCCGCCAGATGTTTGCTCGCATTCGCGACTCTCAATCTAGCTCTAATCAAACAAAGATGGAAACTGTTGAGCACATCGACGAGGCCATCGAGGTTATGGGACAGTTCATGATGAGGCGTGGCATCTTCCTTCCGCCGCGGGCTAGCATGGAACTGATGTGGTCGATGATTGAGAACGGTGGCCTAGTCACCCCAGTTGCTCTCCACCTGCTTGCTGGTATGGGACCTGAGGCCATCGCTCAACTCAGCTTCGAAGACATCACGCTCCTAATGCAAGTCCAATCTGGAATCATTCTCCAGGAGGCGGAAGCTGACGTTGCTCACTCTGCTCGGTTTGCCCACCTACTCGAAGTCATTACCTCCACTGGCACGCCAGTCAACAAGACTACATCCGGCCTTGTTGAGAAGGTCCTCGCCAAGCTTGACCGTGGCGATCTCCAGCACCGATGGTACAGCTACAAGCACCCTGCTCCAGAGGCGATGTACTCTCCAGCACCCTTCGCAACTTACCCCGTTCAAGCACCGGTAGCGCCTGCAGCTCCTACTTTCGAGGATCAGTACGACCCGTATGCCGCTTCCACCGACAACAAGGGCTCTGTTGCGATCACTGAGCTGCTCGAGAAGATGCATGGACGATCGTCATCTCACCTCAACGAGGCATTGATGAAGTTCAAGAACATGCGCAGAGCTGGCCGTCACCCTCGATTCTTCACCTATGCTAAGCTCATCACCGCTGCTGCAAAGGAAGACCGCTTGAACCTGGCCCATGACATTCTCAACCTTGCTAAACAGGATGTTCCTCTTGTGCCCCAGTACCGCATCGTAAGATACGGCTGGGTCACCATTCTAGACGCCATGGTTGCTGCTTGCCTTACTTGCAATCAGCGCGACCTTGCTGCTCGTTATCATCAGGACCTTCTCGACATGGGTGCTGCTCCCACAGCGAACACCTTTGGCCTCTACATCACAACCCTCAAGGAATCCACCAAGACTTTCGATGAAGCTACCGAGGCTGTCAAGATCTTCCTCCGTGCCAAGTCTGAAGGTGTTGAGCCATCCTCTTTCCTGTACAACGCTCTGATCGGCAAGCTCGGAAAGGCGCGACGCATCGACGACTGCCTCTTTTACTTCTCAGAGATGCGCAGCCTCGGTATCCGCCCTACCTCCGTTACCTATGGCACCATTGTCAATGCCCTGTGCCGTGTCAGCGACGAGAAGTTTGCCGAAGAGCTTTTCGAGGAGATGGAGAGCATGCCAAACTACAAGCCCCGTCCTGCGCCTTACCACAGCATGATGCAGTTCTTCCTCACCACCAAACGCGACCGTAGCAAGGTGCTCAACTACTACGAACGCATGCGTGCCAAGCGCATCGAACCTACCACGCACACGTACAAGCTTCTCATCGACACTTACGCCACGCTTGAGCCTGTTGACATGGAGGCTGCCGAAAAGGTGCTTGAGCAGGTTCGCAGCGCCGGCGCTGTCCCAGAGGCTGTACACTACTCGTCTTTGATCCACGCCAAGGGTTGCGTCCTGCACGACATGGAAGGTGCCCGTCAGCTCTTCGACACTGTTCTTGCCGATACCCGTATCCGTCCTCAAGCCTGTCTCTACCAAGCACTGTTCGAGGCCATGGTCGCCAACCACCAGATTGCTGATACTGAGGCTGTGCTCCAGAACATGCGCGCTCGCCGTGTAGAGATGACGCCCTATATCGCGAACTCGCTCATTCATGGCTGGGCCCTTGCACATAACATCGAAAAGGCGAGAGCCATCTACGAGTCGGTGCCTGAGAGCAGGCGCGAACCCAGCACTTACGAGGCCATGACTCGCGCCTATATGGCTGTCGAGAACCGTGCTGCCGCCATGACCGTCGTCAACGAGGGATTGTCTCGCGGTTACCCTGCTGCCGTTGCTGGCAAGATCCTCGAGCTTGTCGGCGGTGGGCGTGCGCCTGTTGTTGAGATCGCTGCTTAAGCGTACTACATGCGGCAACTTTTTCAGTTCACTTGACATTTCCTCTTGGTTCAAATGGGTACAAGATTAATTTTTCAGTAATCTCGCGACGGCCGAAACAAAAAGAATTTCCTAAAACGCCCCTGCACGTCTCGGATATACATGGTCCGACAGCGCGGCTGGGCCCCCTTTTTCCAACAAATGTTTCTCATGTCGCTTTTTTACATGTTTCTCTGTTTTTTCCCCAATGTAAAAGCGACGGCGTTCAGTCTGGTTTAAGCGAGCGAAGATATCCCGCAATCGCAAGGGAGCTGGTGGTCGGACTGGGTTGGAAGGGAAAGGGCGTATCTAATGGCGGCGGTCCAGCCCCTGATCGGCGGCGACCCATTGTGGTTTTGGGAACTACTTTGCTGGGCATGGTGTCTTCCTGTGGCATTGCATCTATCTGCGCGGTCGTTTTGCTGGACTGTACAATACCCTGGATATACCATCTCCTCTCTAGAACGGTCGGTTGGGTTCGGCGGATTTGATACACTTGAGATGAGAGTGTATAGCGATGAATGATAAACGTATAATATCAACGCTGCGTGCTCAGACTGTGACTTTTGTTGCCTGCTTGTATGCGTGACCTATCATGATGCAAAAGTCTTCCCTCTGCGTTGATCATGTTTATGAATTTGCTTTTACCAGCCAGTCCTTGTCACTAAATAAGTAAGATCCACAATACATATTCATTAAGCATTAAGCTACTAAATGAAGGATGCAAGGCTTCGTACAGTGTCGATTTACAGATGTTACTTGGGACTATACTAATATATCAGGGAGTTGGCTGTAGTGAGGACGGAATAGAATGGGATAGAACCGTGTCAAAGGTATAAGAAGGAAAATCAAGAGTAAAGAAAAGAATAGTGTGTATATTTTTTATTTATTTTTAGTTAGCTGTGAGATAGTGCTCGTTCTCGTTCTCGTGCCGTGTCCGTATTTACGTTCAAGTGTCATACCCCTTATCCACATACTTCCCGTATTTCTTGAACGCAGACCGTTGTCATCGGCGCTATAGCACGCAATATAAGCAAATCAAAGCACCATACCACCCCAAGAAGCACTCCCCGATAAAACACAAAAAACCCTTTCCTGCCCCAGGTATACTCCACATCCAGCCTCTTGAATGTTTCCTGACCCGTCCGTTCCCACGGCATCGCACGTAAAACCCGCAGAAACCAAGCAGCCTCACCGGAAAACCCCCCCGCCCTCAGTGGGCATAGAGTACCAGCGAATAGCGTCGCGCTTGCAATTCGATCTATGATACGTGTTGCACGTAGGCCGCGCCATGCTCTCCAGGCTAGGAAAGAGTTCGAGTGCGCGCGTGTACACTTCCGTCTGAGCACTATCGTCGTGGACAGCAGCAGCAGCAGACGACGTGAAATTCGTAGAAGAAGAGGAACCAGTGCTACCAAAGTCCTTCTTCTGGTACTTCTGGTGCCAGGTTATGCTGATGAGGCCCTGGCCCGCGTAGTCCAAAGGAATGTTCTCGACTAGGTGGAGGTGGATGCCGAGGCCGTAGCAGACGGTTGGGAACCATTTGAGAGAGTCGTATTGTGTGAAGATGTCTGCGCGTGGGATGGGTAGGACGAGCTTTGACGTGAAGGTTGGGGCGGAGGAGGGTGATGATGATGATGAGGCCAGGGGGGTGAATGTTGATGTTAGCTTTCGTAGTGCTATGAACATCTTCAGCTCCTCGATGCCGCCGGCACAATATTGCGGGTGGTCTATGAGGGATTGGAAACTTGAGCCGATTAGGTACGAACACGTGCGCGTGGATGGCTGTCCCGCTTCTGTTGGGGCGTGAGTCCTAAGGATGCTTCTAGACTCATCGTCGATTTCTGCCAAGGTAAGCCACTTTCCCGCAGCTGCGCTTTTATGCTTCACCCTCTCTTTTGTCCTGAGGCCACTGAGAAATTCCGCCTCATACGCGTCTGCCTCCTTGATGTACTGGTTCATTCCGCGCAGTATGCCGCCTGCTCTCATCTCCCTCCGCATGGGAATGTCAAATCGAACATGGCGAATCAAGTGGAACCGACCCAGATGCTCAAGTCGATCAAAGTAAGTGACCGTGTCACTGCCAACCTGGAAGGTATTTGCAGAATAGAACATGGGTAGGGCCTCGTTGCGGACCTTCTTTGAAACCTTGGTGATACCCAAAAGTCTATTAGTAGCATCATGCTGCTGTTGATTGTCGTCGTGGAATTTTAGCGTGCGGTCGCAGAGGTGAGGCAGGATCGGTCGCTCGCTCGCCAGCGCGAAGTCGTAAATCCGCTCCCGTAGCTCGGGCGCGAGCTCCATAAACCGATGGAACTTGGCTGATCGGACCTTAGCTGATAGGAATGTACAATCTTGCGCGCTGTAGTGCCCCTCCTTCCCGCAGATGTAACAAATGTGAGTACTCTGAGGAGCAGATTCAACATTTTGGGATTTAGCCGGCCCCAAGACAACAATTGGCTGCTCACGCTGCCCCGAGAGACTATTATGGGCGTGCAGCGATTCGAGCTGCTTAGTAGGACGAGTCGTAATTCTGCTCGGTAGAACGGCCGAGCGAACAGCTCGAATACGAGTAGCCACATCATCTTCAATGGACACGTCTTGACCCGCCGATGAACTTGCCGGTGTCCAGAGCTTAGTACCATCGAATCTAGACAATGCTCCCATGTATAATGAAGAAGGGTATCTCGAATGACTGATTTGTCGTTTGAACCAACGAGGAGTTCCGCTGAGCCCATCTCCGCAGCTGTAACAGCAAATGCTACCGCTCTCATCATAAAGGTTGGGGGCTTCGCAGCATTTGCGCGTTAGTGGTGTCGTTGATGCCATACTGTCGCCAAGCACTTCTACTTTGGTACTTCCAGTCCGTGGCAGGTCGTGTGAAAGGCTGAAGTCTTGATTCAAGTCGCTTGGTAGTGGTGCATTTGGTGATGGTGAGCCGCAAGTTGTTCGATGACGTATCGGTGCAAGAGCGTCAACGGTCAACCTCGTGTGCTTCCTACGCTTGGAGACGGTGTTCTCCCAGATTGGGATGGTGGTTGACTTTTTCGGATTCATGCTAGCTGTACGTACTGTGCTGCCTGAACTGCAGTCTAGGTGATAGTGTTGCGGGGTGTAGATTGGTCGTGTGGTATTTCAAGGTGATGGTGATGGTGATGGTGATGGCGATGTCATGTGAAGGCATGTGGTTATAAGGCTAAACCTGTTGTAAAACTCAAAATATTGACTGTTGCCCGGGCGTGGATTGACTAATAGAATTATTAGTGATTGGCTAGTTTTAGGTATTATTGGGAGTGGAAAGCGGTAGCGAGGCAACAATTCGCTCCATTTGTCTCTTACCCATGGGTCACAAAAAAGAATAGAGGTAGAGTTGAAGCTACTCACAAGATAGCTGTATGTACAAAAGATTCAGCACGCCATGAGTCGCCCAGTTGAAATCACCATTGCTTCCCTTCATCACCACTAAAATCCCTGCCCTGTCTTTCCCGCTCAAGTCTTGCATCAAACTCTTGCTGTGCGCGCTCCCTCTCCCTTTTCTTTTCTTCGTCGCCCTCGACGAAGGTGTACGAATCGCCTAATGTAGATCCATCATTTTGCTCCTTACGCTCAGGTTCCGCTCGCCGTGATAGTTGCTGCGGTCGCTGAAGTGGGGCTGGAGCACCGCCGCGGCGAAGACGGTCCCAAGTTGACTCACCAGGCCTGTTTTGTGGTTGGGCTTGAGACTGTGTATTGTTCACCTCGTCTTGAAAGAGGCCGCCAGTGGGAGAGGCGTCGTCATCGAAGGGCAAAGACTGAGACTGTGATTGAGTAGACTGTCTTTGTGGTGGTGATGGACCGGGTTGTCGCTCTGGTGTCGGCTGTGAAGTACTATTTGAAAAACTCTCCCACGACTCTGTAGAAGCACTCTTAGCTCCCCAGAGCTCGTTCCCAGCAGTCGGACTCATATCATCACCTGAGTCCTCGCTCTGCTTCGGTGCCTGCTTGCCCCACCTAGCCTGCGGCGACGGACCTCCGCCCTCGCGGTTCCTCACTTGCTCCTGGAAGTCTCTCCTCCTGTTTTGAATTTCCTGTCCTTGTTGTGCGTTCCTTTGGTCATCCGCATGCGCCGCAGCCTTAAGCTCGTTGCCAAACTGCTCCAGCTTCGGGTCCTTGGATGTATTCACCGCAGCAAGCGGTTGTGCAATAAGTTGACCAATTATATTACCCATTTGTCCCGCGACCAAGACGTATAGCGAGAATCGCCAAGTGTGCCTTGCGAACTGCGCCATCGGGCCTCGAACGAAGGCGAATTTATTCGGGTTGATGTCCTCGATTTTGGGCTGGTAAAACGGATACCGCATTCTATCCCACGTAGTATACCATCTCCACGTTCCAGCCGCAGCCCCCGTTGCCGCAAAATAGCTCTTCGTTTGCTCGAGCTGGTAGATGTGGTAGGCGAGGGCTTGCGATTCGTCTGGGTATAGAGTACGCCCGAGCTTGTGTTCGGCAAACTTGAGCGTTGTTTCGGTCTTGAAGCGTACCGCACTATCGGAGAAGCCCATGAAGTAGCCTACAATTGGGAGTGGTTGTGGTAAAGCGCTCGGATCGAAGCGGACACCGGGGGAGGATGAGGAAGGAGAGCCATATTGATCGTTCTCGGAGGGGTATGGGTTGTCATTAAAACTGTCAGGAGTACTGTTTTCAACGTCTTGTAATACCATCTTGAAGTGTGTGTACTACAATTGAGGGGGCGGATATGGTGTTGGATGCGCTACTGAAGCTTGATGCTGAGAGCAGCTCTGTACAGACGGGGTTGATGAGCTAAGCGATGACGGCATGCAACCGACACGGTCCAAGCTCTAACGCTCATACATGATGCGGCATATAATAAGCTATGCTGAACTAACGAGCTCAATTTGGCCTTAAGTTCGCAAATTCGCCGTAAATTTCCTGTATTCATGACACGTGGAATGGGCAGAATCATTGGACACTGTCCAATGGACGTCTATTCCCTGAACCGTCTAAAAACTGCAATATGTATGTTCCTCCCCGGAGGCGTACTTGTACACCTGATATTATAATAACAAACGCCGAGTCTCCGATTAGACCGAACTACTACAGGGCCCATATGCACATAGGAAGAAAAGGTACAAATGAAAAGAGAATATCGCTGACTGCCGAACCAATCCTTGACAAACCACCACTCAAGCCTTAGGTGTCTTCGCCAGTGCAGTTCCCGGTTCGAAGGCGCACATGATACTCAACAATGGCGTGCCTCGTGAAATAGCGTATTCGAAATGTCGATGTGCTGAAACAGGTATAGACGCTGCTTGCCAGATACTCAAGCGATACCAAACCTGCCGTGGATGCCTGGGCCGCCCGTCTTGGTTGACGTCGCAAGGAGATACACCGTGGAGCCGGTATTTGAATGACTAGCAAATGCTTCTATAGGATGACGCAACGACAGCCGGCTGTAGGCTCATCTTCGCCGTCTCTTCGATTCGCGCCTTTCCCGGTCTTTGCGTTTTCTTCCTCATCAACCACCTCTTGAGGCTTCACAGTCATGTGAACAACGTTCGGATTGTCTATTTGGAACCGACAGTCTGCCAGAAGTTAGCAACTATACGTCAAGGCTCGTTGTTCATCTGCAGGACGAGAGCCGATTCGATTGACCAATAGACATTGCCCAGCAATCGGACAGTCCATGCCAAGAAATGCGTGATGATCTAGATTCGAGGTGCTTACCTTTTAGTGGCGATTTGTCGTCCAACATGCGACCGAAATGGATCAATCGTATTGAACTTGGTGAGGTAGGCCGAGTTTCCCATTCTATAACAATTCAAGTTAGTCTTCGTGTACATGATGTAACGCAGTGTGGCTGAGTATATGAAAAACATTGCCGGAGACGGCAAAAACTGCAAAGAGATCATATGTCATCCGATGTGCTTCATCCGCTGCTCCGAGCAAATTTGTTGCCCACTCAGCCACATTGCTCCCGAATCATGTGTAAGCCCTATGATGTACACCGCTCGCCAACTCTTGTTCGCCATAACCAGGAAATAAATGTGCCTAACGTACCTTCCCGCCAGTCTCGCCATATTAACTCCTTGAGTGTATAGACGCTGATGTTGTATGGGTCCATTGCCTCCACCGCAACATTACGCTTCTTCAAATATTTCTCGTCAATCTTATACGGGTGTCTCGCACCAGTTGTAAGGAGCAGCATTATCACCAGTACCGGGCCATTTGAGTTATCGGGAGCTGCAGCGGGCGTATCTGTGGAAGGGCCAATGGCTTCAGTCTCTGCGCGAGTTAGGTTGGTGGGAGCTGGGAGCTTTGCGGATGACGATGTAGCGGGCTGCGCACTTTCAGACGACTTGTTATCCGTAGAAAGCGATGTGGAGGTTTCGGTTTGGGCGGTAATGGGCGTTTCTGACAGTTGCGACGTGGTATTTGCGGGTGCTGGAGTGGCGGCAGATGCTTGGAGCGTCCTCATCTCTACCGGGCTCGACGATAGCGCTTCGTGACTGCTTCCTGGCCGCGACCCTGAACCGGCATGTTGTGGAGTGCTCTGTACTGCCGTCGAGGGCGGATCTACGGTTGAAGCCATGCTGCACGAGGATACCTCGCAACGTAGGCGGCGTGATGAAGCGATTGCGGACGGCCAAGCGTGCGTGAATGGCGAGAGGAAAAGAATACGCTGTAGGAAACAGTCGCTAGCTATCGCAGCGAGGGAAGAGTGGTGGTGGACGGGTTCGCCCAAGATGTCTCACAGTAGTTGGATGATGGTGGCTCGGTTGAGAAGTGGCAGATGGCGCCTTGTTCTCCGCAATTCGCAAACGGGACAAGAACGATCCGTCGTCTCCACAAGAACCAAGCAATTAGTGACCGGTCAACGCCTAGCCGGGAACGCCGCCACTAAATTTTGCGACTTTGCTGGTTCGAAGGAATATGTAAAGTGTCACTGACGTGCTCTTTGTCCTCTTCATCTATAGTTCGCCCGGGTCCCAAATGCACTAGGCACGTAACGCGCCAGGTTTTGAAGCCTCAGGCACAGGCGCCCCTGCATCCTCCCCTGACGATAACTGGTGGGACCACAGAACATGCCATGCGTGCATTCACCCTTGCCTAGCACAGACTAAGAGTTTACTGGAATCCACTCTTCACAAGTTCAACATTGAGCGTACATAGCAACCATTGTGAGCATCTTCACATGTCGAATCTGGAGATTAGATCGCAATATCAGATCCTGAAATAGGCACGTGGGATTAATCATATTCGGATCAGACCAACAGCTAATAAGGACGACTGAGTTTGGTGCGATTGGCTCATTTCATCGAGAATGCAAATTGCACAGCTTGACACTTGAATGATTGTCATTTCCTTCGTGACCGATGCTCCTGGCCTAACGCCATGCATTGTGCAAGCGCACTGACCAGACGTGCATACCCAGGGCCGATGCAAGAGGCTACTGCTGCTCAGAATCTTGTCTTTTTTCTTTGGACTTGAAGCGCTCTTCTGCCAGGTCAGATCTCTACCAGTTCATCTTCATCTTGTGCTCGATCTCGGTATGGAAGTCGGGTACTTCGCGGAGCTCGTTGCCTACACGTATATTCATTAGCAGTTGCTTTGGACCAGAGTGATCGTTGCAAGTGAAGGCATTGGCTTACCAGTGAACACATCCTCCCAGCCCACCTCGCAATCCCTCCCCTCAAGAATATCTTTATGCACCCCACTACTCCCGCCCAGCGCAGCTGGCCTCCACTCGCCCGCTGCCGCAATCTTGAGCTCCATTCCGCGCCTTACTGGTTCCGCAATACCAAACTGTCGCCTCAGCATCTCCATCTTCAGGCGGTCCTGCGTAGTGCGCCATTGGACGAGGCGGGCCTCGAGCGGATGGGCAGACTGGAGGGCGACGGGAGCGGTTGATGAGGAGCCGGATAAGGTTGGTGCTGTGGAGGTTTGTGCGAGGCGCGAACGCAGCGTGTCGTGAACGCCGGGGGCGGAGGGAGCAGACGTCTCGAGGGCGCTTTGGGTGGGGTGGGCCTTTGTGGGGACGATGCGAAGAGACTGAGACTTGGTTAGATTGCGTCCGCTGCATGTTGAAGACGGCCTGCGAGCTGTCAAGGTATCTTACCATGTTGAATCGACTTGCAACTGGGTCGAGCGTGGGAGGCGGCAACTTTTCAGTGAACACTACAAGACACCGTAGGCTCGTCTGTGTGTATAATATCGTGTAATAGGTCGAGAGGGAGAGGAGTAGCTTTTGGTATTGCGGTGGAAGATGCACGAAAGCGGGATGTCTAGAGCAGTTGTCGGAGCTCCAGGCGACGAGGTGACGCGCCGCTTTAGCGCGTCTTGGCACGTCCAGCTCCAAATGTAGAAAGTCACTTGAAGTAACATTGAATTACGACGATGCATTCGAGACTGATAACATGATGATATTGCTGTTGATACGCTCGCTAATTAAGCTCCAATGATGCTACTATAAGGCAGATCCCATACTACACATGCACCCAGCATAGCTCCCAGACTGACTAAAGCTGCCATGAGAATATTCACAGCATTGTTGTCCAGTATGTCACTGCCAACCTCAATTTTTCGGCTCTCATGATGTCCATCAGAGATAGAGGTGCCGCTTGCTCCAGCTCTCTGCATCGTATCCGAAGCTTTGATAGATGATGCAACGTCAACCCCGCTGGTCTTTGCGATGCCGTCTTTGCCTTCCTCATAGCCGATTACTTTACTTCGAGCTTGCCCTATCTTGCTTAGATGCAGCGGGTTGCTACTGTGTATGAGAACCTTCTTGCCTCCCTCTCCTTCTACCACCTTGCCGGAGTGGATGTCGATTACACTCGCTTGGAAGAGTGCACCGAGTAGAGAATCAAGAAGTGTTCCGCAAAAGCCAGCGGCTGTTAGCGCAAGGGTGTATTTGGTTTTCTCTATCAAGTCCCAATCTTTACAGAACGGCAGCAAGAGCGTTGAAGTAGCCGAGAGAATGAAGGCGCCGAGGAAGCCTGCTCCAAGCCCAGTTGTAGTCACCCCGCCATTGGTGCCAGGAGGAACGATTCGCCAGGGAGCGGTTATAAGGCGCGGTTTTGACTTGGAGAGGATGCCAAGTTCGGACGAGAAAGTGTCAGCTGCGACAGCGGCATAGTTGCTGAGCTCGTTAGCAACTTGAAGACAAGCGGGGGATGTTGACGTACGCGACAATGCCCACTACTAACGCATCAGTGCTTTTACTCCAACAAAGGTTCTTGTCCTCATATCTCCCCTCCCTCTTAAGCTGCAGAAAGTGAAGTAGTATTAATATCGAGGCCACACCCGAGTTGGCGATGACTTGGATATGGCTGCGTGATCCTTCTCCTCCAGCTGCGCCGGTAGCAGATTGCGTCAGCTTTGCCTTGATGTTGTGTTTCACCTACAGTTATGTTAGCTAGAGCACACGGCGTTACACATTAAACATACCTTAGTCACAGTAGTGCCCGCTAAGAAGAAGACGGCTAGTAGCGCAAAGAATACACTCCACGGATGGATGGCATGTATAAGTGCCGTTGCGAAGGCCGTGAGAATGCCCACAGGAGTAAGAGACTTTCTTGAATATGCGCGATAGACAAGTGCAGCAATCGCTGGAATCGCTATGAAAGGCTTCATTGTGGCTGGATGTGCGGGGGATGTGGGAGGGTTTTGAACCTCGTGGGGTTGCGTCACACAAACGGACCCTCTTTCTCTTGGCAGGAACCGTATCGCAACTTTCTTCAGAAAAATAAACTTCAGGTGATAGGAATCATCAATTCCTATCGTTCGGAGCAGCACGCAATCTTCGTAGAGGGATTTAGGAAGCGGGCACCAGTTGAGGTCTTAAAGTTTAAAATTGCGGGTCGCTTTATCCCACGCCAGCTCCTTGACAACGATACGGAACTCTGACATCAGCGATACGCAATATCATAGGACGCTTTTCTTGGGAGCATCTTTCAATGTATTGATGCATACGTAAACCTCAGTCAATGCACACCCCCATTGAAGGGAGTCTGCATTCGACGAAGTGAAGTAAAAGTTGTTCTAAACTTATACGATATTGAGAAATTAAAGTCTAGAAATTAGGGCCTTTACTAGTAGCAATATGAGATGGAATGTAATAACAAACATGAAGTTTTTCGAGACTAACATTGTTCAGTTACAACTTGAGCACCCTGAACGAGAGACCGGGATATCATCCATTATAATTATAGACAGTAACTTTTGAGGTATAGAGCTCCAATTGTCATTTGTAACACAGGGCTATTAAACGAATTGCCCAAGGCACCTTGTGAAAGGGTTCGTTTAGGCTATCTATACACATGAAACTGCCTTGCTTGGACACTTGTCCCCTCTCTATGGAGTATGATAGTACTCTGTTGCGTACCCGACATACCAATTCATCTCCGGCGGATACGTATCTGCGGGCCTCAACGGCTTCATAACGTTGACCTTCAAGCCATGCTCCGTCTTCTTCCCCTCGAACCGATCCCTGATCCAATCCAGCCATAGACGCTGCGAGACCCAGTTGGCCGGCACGTGGCTGATGTTGGGATACTGGTGGTACTCAATGGACGCGTGCGGAGCCACCTTGACCGTCTCCTCGGCAGCGGCCCTCACGACGGGGAAGGAGATGAGCGGGTCGTTCTCACCCTGAATCAGGAGCATGGGGCCGGCGATGGGGCGGCCGCCACCGTGAACGAGTGCATTGAAGCGCTGGACGTACTCGTTGTCCTCCCAGTCGGGGACGAAGAGGTCGGCGCCAAAGTACAAGTTCTTTGTGATGCCAATGTTGCCGCCGATGGCCTTGTCGGCTTGCATGCGCTCCTTGCCGACCTCGGTCAGGATCGTGTTCATGTCGAAGTCTGGGAAGATGTTTTGCATGCCCCAGAGGGCGCCTGCGGTGAGGATGGCACGCATGGGCATGGGCTCGCTGAGGATGTTGGTTACGGGCGAGATGGGGATGCTGCCCAGGTAGCCGGCCACTGGGTGCGTGTGCATGCGCTCTGCGAAACTCCAGACAACGCCGCCGCCCTGCGAGTGGCCCATGACGACGAAGCTGGCGCCGAGCTCGGGGAAGGCCGCTCGCGCAGCCTTGAAGCCGTACTCCAGGTCCTTGGCCGCGGCGGGGTTGGCGAGGTATTCATGCACGATGGGCTTGCCTTGGCCGTCGATGCTCACGCCCAGGCCGGCATAGTCGGGCATGACGACGATGTAGCCGTTCAGTGCCAGCGGGAAGGGCCCGATGTGGTGCTGCCAGAGATTGCGGAGGTGCGAGGGTGCTGCATTGGCATAGAGACCTGAGGTGCCATGCGCCCATACCACGACCGTGTTGGCCCCGTCCTTGGACTTTAGCGGCGTGTACGGGAACAGAATCGCGCCCGAGGTTGGCGTCTTGCTGCCGTTGAAATTCTCGCTCTGGTACAGGATGCGTACGCCTGCGACGCCTGGAGGCAGCGTGTACTCGGACGTGTTCATGGGCTCGACGCGGAACACGGTCCCAGGCTCGCTGTCGTGCCACTCGGCGTCAACAGTGGAAAAGGCATCTGAGGTGACTGGTCCAGTGGCGTATCCCGCTCGCTCGAAGTCGAGTGCAGGCGCAAACTGCGCGGTCAAGTTGGTCGATTCTGCCATGGCTGCTGGCAACTGGGTGTGAGAGAGGGACAGCAATGGGGTCATATAATAAAGAAAGGCGCGGAGTCGCAGGGCTGGCTGAGCAAATTGCATCAGGTGCTGCTTGGCCGCACCGTCGTGCGCCGTGTACGTGGTTCGAGGTTACTCGTATGGTTGCCTTGTACGGATGCCTCGTAGGGGAGGGGGGGTTACCCCGGCACCGCGTCTAGAGATGAATTAAATGCGCATGGTGCAACAATACCATAGGCAAGCAGCCGTCTTGTCGGTCTCCGAGCCATGACCCCCACGGCGCCGTGAATGCGCGTCCGGGTATTAATGTACACGACACAGCAGTGTGGTTGTGTATGCACGTCGACATGTTGGGTGAGCGCATGTGCTGATGCGACGTTATTGCACCTCTGTTGAGCCATGAGCCCCGGCGAGTCGGGCTTGTCGGGGGACTACCACTACATGGAACGGCTCGGCTTATCGTTGCCCATTACTGCGCCTATGCAGCACAGGTTCGTTTTGGTGTTGGTTCTCACATGCATTCACCCCTTTGCCCCTTAGTCAGCTGTCGGAAGGAACTGACCCCGGGGCCAATCACACGGGCAGGAGCTAGCGTTGGAGCAGCACTAACGCGGGCCATACCGAGGTTGACGACCTCGGGACGACGTAACGCCCAACCTTGGAATCGTCCCGTACAACAACCAAACTTCAAAACCACGCGTAACTCTACTAATACAGGTTGAATTAAGGCTGCGCTTGCAGCTACAGAATCCCCCGCCGGCCTTCCTCCATTTGTCATCAGTTGTTCAACTTGCACGCAGAACCGAACTCGCAGACCAATATCACTGGCTGGCAATACCCTCAGCTCGTCCAAACAATATGAATCACACAGCCTTCTCAGCCGTCCGGCTTACGTCCGTCATTTCCACGCTTGTAACAAACTCCAAGCGCGAAGGCTTCGACGCCAGGGTCCTCTCTCCACTCGTCTTCCCCACAGAGCCAGAGTTCGCCTTGACCAAGGTGCCTGAATCCACCGCATGCTGTGGGAGGCCATGGAAGATCCTCGGTGTCCAGCTGTTGGCGGATCGTGAATGCGTTGCTAGATAGTCGTTGAAGCGCTTCTGCCACGCCTTCGGTACCACGGCCACAATAGCCGGTTTGGATGCGATTAGGGAAGTGCAGAGCACCGTGACGCTCGCCTCGATGGTGGACAGGATGCCGAGGTTGTAGATGTCCCATGTGGCGTCTTCTTTAATGAGGAAAATCTGGCCGTACCGAATGGCACTCACAATGCAGGTACTGTAACCCAATGTCAGTCTTGTCGCGAGCATATTCGGCTGTGGACACATACAAGCTACCCAAGAGGAACAAGCCGATGAGCGCAACCTTCTCCGCATACCGGATGTTCAGCCTCTTCAGCCAGGGAAGCGGCGCGAGCAGCACCACAAAGTCGGTAACAACCCATGGCACGGGTGCTGCCCGATTGAGGTCCCATCGATCGAGACACTTTCCCGTCACAGTGAGGTCCCAGTTTGCGGCTATCGGCGTGCATAGGAATATCGTCATGAAGAGGATGATGATGTACCAGATGGAGACCATGGCGAGGAGGACATAATTGATGATGCGGAAGCTGGTGATAGAGAAGAGGCGGTGGTACAAGATGAGCAGAGAAAGCTTTGCCAGGGCGAGGCAGGTCGGTAGCAGCACGCCACTGGCGAAAAGCTCCTAATGTTCTCATCAGCGTGCTGCCGCGTGCGTGCAAGGAGACGAGGCACCTTTTGAAATGCTTGAATGTTCTCCATCGACATTTCAGCAACATGTTGGCCTGTCCGACCCTTCGCAGCAGCTGCGAGCCTACGTCAGTCAGCCTTCTAGCAAGGTCGTGAGCTAGACCTACAGTTTGCAAGCATGCCATTCTCCCCAACGCAAAACACCTGCAACGCTCAGTACTAGTAATGCCACGCCAAGTATGAGGGATTTTACCAATGATGCTATCAGAAGAAAATCATCGAGCGCAAGCCGAACGTGTTTCAGCCTTCTCGACACCAGGCGCGCAACAAGTCCCACAGAGGCAAGCACCGTGAAGCACACCGCAACCGCAACAAACTCGTGTCGTCGATGATTGTTCACCATGATTGAAGAAATCGGCGCAGGATGCTCACAATATCACGGACAAGACAGGTTTGCTAGACAGGAGTGGCCAGCGTGTTGCGTCGTCTGAACAGGGTTTGGACGCTCTTAAAAGCTGCCCCATAATCAAGTGTAACACACACTTGCTAGCACATTCAGTCATATGTCGGCTAACAAGACTGCCTATGCTCTGTGGAAGCTGCCTGGGGCCAAAACAGCTGCAACTAGAATAAACGGGATTCGCCGGTCAAATAGCCACAGATCAACAACGCAGATCGCTCGACAGCAAGACAGCGGGGGGGGGGGGGGGGGGGGGGGGGGGGGGGGCCGAAGTACGCCATGCATGTGCTCTATAGATAGGGAATCGCGCACCTACTGTTGCCCTTGTTTGGTAGGCTGGGCACGAGCTGCTCTGGTGCGAATCCGGCTCGCGCTGCGATCAACCCCCAGTGCAACAATAAGCTCCCAAGGAGATCTACATGAACGCCTCGGGTAGTACGGTTTTGTATGTGATGGCAGAATCAATTAGCTGATGGCTGCTTCGGGTCGTACGGTTCGGTATGGGACATGTACGTCGTAAGCGTGGAAGAAACATTTCGGCAAGGATCCAATCGCCAGTACCGGTATCCTCTTGGATGAGGTCGACCTCGGTTTTCGCACTGATTCTGAGCAATCATTTATTGCTCTTCGTTTCAGCCTCGTAGACCAGCTGAAAGTCGGCTGGCACACTGAATCGACAGGCATATCTCCGCTGAAGCAATTGGTTACCGTTTGTAAAAATGTCTCCGTATGATTGAGCACGAATGCTTGGCCGGTAGCAGGCTACATGGTGAGATTGAGCAGCCTGGACGTTTGAACGCCGGTTGATAACAAATGCACCTGTGTCGTAAATACAAAAGAATTTCCTGCCACGAGGAAAATGACGGCACAAACCACCGTCCGCAGGCTATTCAACATCCCAGTAACCCTATTCTAGCTTCTTGTCTGTGGCGCGTATTCTCGTGTAGATCTGATTACCTACAATGAATTCTTACCATCAAGACGATATCGCCATCATCGGAATTGGCTGCCGATTCCCCGGCGGGGCCAACGATGTCGAGGCCTACTGGCGCCTTCTTGCGGACGGTCGAAGCGCATGGAGCGAAGTCCCAGAGAATCGATTCAACTGGAAATCGTTCCATCACCCTAGCCCAGGCGATGGAAACATACCCGCCACCAATCATCGTGGCGGACACTTTCTAAATGTTGACATCTCCAAGTTTGATGCTGGCTTCTTCGGCATATCCCCCCAGGAAGCTGCCATCCTGGATCCACAGCACCGGCTGCAACTCGAAACAGCATACGAAGCCATCGAGAACGCTGGAATCCCGCTACAGACACTGAAGAACTCGCGGACTGGTGTCTACATGGCGATGCTGTTTCGGGACTGGGACCGCATGATGTGGAAAGACCCGAGTGACATCTCGTCTTATCATGTGACTGGCACCGGCGAGGCCTTGCTGTCCAACCGCATCTCGTACACCTTCGACCTCCGCGGTCCTTCGTTCACCGTGGACACGGGGTGCTCCGGCAGTGTCGTTGCGCTCCACCAGGCATGTCTCAGTCTCAGAAGCCGCGAGACGAGCATGGCATTGGTGGGCGGGACCAACATGATCCTCAGTCCAGATCAGATGATACCCATGAGCTATATGGGGTGAGACTCCACTTTGCTGGCAGCTCTCGTGCTATATTGACATCGCGTTAGGTTCTGCAACTCTGATGGTCGATCATATAGCTTTGACGATAGGGGATCAGGTTATGGAAGAGGGGAAGGCGCCGCGACGTTGGTGCTAAAGCGGCTGAGCGATGCCATCTCGGCTGGCGATCCTATCCGGTCAATAATCAAACACTCGGCCATCAACCAGGACGGCCGCACCGTCGGCATCACGACACCCAGCCAGTCAGCCCAGGAGAATCTCGCTCGCTCTCTGCTCGATACGTCAGGCATCGATCCAGCTTCCATCGATTTCATCGAAGCCCACGGCACGGGTACGCAGGTTGGCGATCTCACCGAGCTCCAGGCTATCGCCAACGTCTTCTGTCAAGGCCAAAGAAACCGCCCTCTGACCATTGGCTCTTGCAAGGCCAACATCGGCCATCTCGAGGCCGCCAGTGGGGTTGCTGGAGTCGTTAAATGCGTCCTCGCTCTCGAAAAGGGCGAGTTGCCTCCCCAGCCCAACTTTGAGGTACCCAAACCCGGTCTGCGGCTCGATCAATGGGGTCTGGAAGTTCCCCGGCAGAAACGTCCATGGCCACATTTCGGCACCCGCCGAGCCATCGTCAATAGCTTTGGCTACGGAGGGACGAACTGCATGACGCTCCTGGAAAGCGTACCTGCTTGGCTGCAGTCATCAAGGGTCGCGATAAACCTGCCTAGGCAGATTAATGTCCCATCTCACTCGATCGAGTGGCTCTCTGAACATCCTGGCTCCTCGGACGGCGCCCATGGAGACCATGACATCCTTTTGACGCCCGCCATCTGCATACAAACCTCGGATGGAAACAGTGACGACGGGTCCTCGCTCTCTCTAGACGCAAGCTCCCCATATACTTCGCACTATAGTTCGGTGGCTGGCGATGAGGCAGTTTCGGAGGCCGGTGGTGCTCGCTATCTTTTCGTACTCTCGGCCAAGTCTATGGCGTCTCTGGCTCAGCACAAGCATCAACTGAAGCGTTGGCTTCAGTCGCAGAGGCATCGACCCCACTTGCTCAGTGATCTTGCCTTCACACTTGGTTCTCGCCGGACAAGACATCTGTATCGGCGATGCTTCGCTGTGTCATCTAGGAAGGAGGTACTCGCCGCGTTGGACGAGGAGACTGATGCTACATCGACCACAGTCATCCCATGCCGCATCGCCTTTGTCTTCACCGGTCAAGGAGCGCAGTGGCACGCCATGGGTCGAGAGCTCTTATTCAACGAAACGAAATTTGCCACGTCAATCCGCACCTCTGACCGCATGCTCAGGACCTTGGGAGCCGAGTGGAGTTTGACACACGAATTGGCACAGTCGAAAGCTACGTCGAGGATCCACCAAGCAGAAATAGGCCAGCCGGCATGCACTGCTGTTCAGATCGCGATCGTTGACATGCTCCAACATTGGGGGGTTGCGCCGAGCACCGTCATCGGACATTCGAGCGGAGAGATTGCGGCTGCGTACGCCGTCGGCGCACTGTCCCATGAAGATGCTCTTCGTGTGTCTTTCCATCGTGGCTCGCTATCCCGGCTGAGTAGGTCACGTCTTGGGAATGGGAATGGTGCCATGCTGGCAGTTGGAATGGGCGAGGCAGAAGCATCGGAGGTTCTTAGCACTCTTCAAGCTGGACGTGTTGTGGTCGCTTGTGCCAACAGCCCTTCCAGCACGACCCTGTCCGGGGACGAACCGGCGATTGACGAAGTACGGGTGCTCCTCGATAGAAAAGGCATCTCCGCTAGAAAACTTCGCGTGGATACGGCCTACCACTCGCATCATATGGAAGCAGTGTCGTCGGATTATGTTAAGCTGATGCAGCAGGTTGAAGAACGAAAGCCGCTGCCTGCCATCCGATACATCTCGTCCGTCACAGCGAATGAGAAACACGATGGCTTCGGACCCGAGTACTGGGCAGAGAATCTTGTTTCGCGGGTGCGTTTCGCAGATGCAGTACAGACGTTGGTACATGCTGAGGTGCCCACTGGCGGTCGCCTCTTGTTCGTCGAAATTGGCCCACACAGCGTCCTCGGGGCTCCTTTGCGCGAAATTCTACAGGATCAATCTCTCCGCTTGCCGTTCACTTTCCAATACATCACATCACTAGTCCGTGACAAGCATGCCGATGCTACGCTCCTTGACACGGCAGCCCAACTTTGCGCAAACGGAGTTGACATCAATGTGCGGAACGTGAACACCACCAGCGATACCCAGCATCAACCACATGTAATCACAGATTTAGCTCCTTACCCGTGGGATCACTCGACTTCATACTGGCATGAGCCTCGCATCAGCCGAGAGTATCGCTTTCGAAAACACGCCCACCATGAACTGCTCGGAGTTCGGGATGTATCAACGCCACACCATGTACCCTCGTGGCGATCCTTCATCAGCAGACAGACACTACCCTGGCTCAAGGATCATGTTGTTCAGGGGTTGAATGTTTTCCCGGGTGCTGGATTTCTGTGCATGGTCATGGAAGCTGTACTACAGCTGGCGGACAGTCCACACCCCATCACTGGTTTTCATGCAAGGCGTGTTGACTTCCTTGAGGCCTTGATGCTCACCGATGATTCTCAGCGGGTAGAGATGCATACGAACCTCCGCCTTCAGCCTCACGCATCTGAGCCCCGATACGAATTTGTCGTCTCTTCCTACGGTAGTGACAACACATGGCAGCAGAACTGTACAGGTACGATCGAACCCATCTTTGCTTCCCAAGCCTCCGAACACGACACAAAAGAACAGCTTGCAAAAGCCAGAACGAGTTGTGCCAATTGGATCAATGGCGACGAACTGTACGCTCAATTGAGGAAGAGGGGCAATAACTACGGTAACACTTTTGCACTGCTCCATACAATGTTCATTGGGAAAAACATTGGCGTTGGCTGTACAGAAAAGGTTCGGTCAAGTTTGAGCTCCACCGAATCGCTATCACCGTACACGATCCACCCAACTTTGCTTGACGCAATCTTCCATTCAGTCATGCCCTTGCAGTGGAGCACGCATCCGCAAGAGTCATGTCTTATTCTTCAGTCCATTGACGACATGATTGTGTCATGTACAGATGGGGTCGATTCTGATGAACTTACCTTGCTAACAGAGATCCCGTCCGTCTCTTCGTCTGTGGGGGGCTGCAATGTCCTAGCCGTGCAAGAGCAGTCTGATGGGAATACCCTTGCTGTCGCCGAAGTTTCTGGGATCGCTTTTCACTATGCGGTTCCTCGGTTCTCCGACACAGAAATACAGTCAGCGAGTGACGTGGTCTATGAACTGAGGTGGGATACAGACGTCGACTTGGCCCCTGGAACTACCCTCGAATCATTGGTCAAGACGACAGGCGAAGCTCAGTCGGATTACTCGCTGCATAAGGAAGGATACTTTGCAGAAGCATCCGTATTTTACATTCATCGTTGTCTTCAGCAACTAGAAGAGAGCAAGTCCAAGGTTTCTCAGCTGCATTACGAGCATCTAGTGGCCTGGATGCACAGGTTCATGCGTAGTATGGCCGCGGAGAAGCATCTGTCGGCACTCGATGGCTCAGACCCTGCACGATATTCAAATCTGCCTCAGCTCGGAATCCTTGGAGAAGCTCTTAAACGAAACGGGGAGGCACTCTACGATATCTTGCTCGGACGCATCGACCCTCTCGCACACCTGTTGGAAGACAACCTCCTCTACCGCTTGTACAATGAGGATTCCTTCCGGGGATGCAACGAGTACCTTCGCACTTACCTCGCTCCACTCATCTTCAAGGACCCCAACATGAACGTGCTGGAGATCGGGGCGGGAACAGGGTCGACGGCTATCCCTCTATTCAACCAACTCAGCCCTAACGGGGAACGCATTTTCAATCGCTACGACTTTACCGACATATCGCCGGGCTTCTTCGAGAACGGGCGCGAGAAATTGAGCAGCTGGCGAGAGATGGTGTCGTTCCGAGTATTCAATCTGGATGTGGATGCGGAAAAGCAGGGGTTCCAAGGAGGTGATTACGACCTGGTCATTGCTGCCAACGTCGTCCATGCCACGAAGAGCATCAACGATACATTGCGCAGCATTCGAAGACTGCTCAAACCAACGGGCAAGATCATGCTAATCGAGATTGTCGAATCAGTGCCAATGCTCAACATCATGTTTGGAGTGCTCGAGGGTTGGTGGGCTGGCATTGACGAGGGAAGAACTGACACTCCGTTGCGCTCCATCAACCAATGGCGGGACCACTTCTCTGCATGCGGTTTTGGTCATATCCAGGCAGCTACAAATGACTTCCACGCATTGATGCTGGCTGACGCTGTCCCACAGCCCCCACAACAGCCCGAAGTTCAGATCGTAAACTATGACCCTGCACAGCACTCGGAGTTTGACCATGCGATCAGAGAGAGCCTGGAAGAGAAGAATTTTACTGTCACCACTTTAAATCAAGCGAACATGCCAATCGATGAGGATAAACTGTACCTGGTTATCGACGGCGAACAAGGCTCCAGTCTCCTCCGCGAAGGTAGCTTCAGACAGATGTGCAACATGATCACGCATGCCGCTTGTATCCTGTGGATTGTTTTGCCTTCCGCACCTGAGCTGCGCGACTCATATGCAGGTACCGTCACGGGCTTTGCTCGTGTCGCCAGATCAGAGAATAGTCGGCTGAGACTCGTCACGATCGATATCCAGGACGACCCTACGCTCAACGTTCAGGCTGTGGTCTCCTCCGTCCTTCGAATAGCTTCTAGTATGCTTTCCCAAGTCACGGGTAGTCGTATTGTGGACATGGACTATGTCTTCCGAAAGGGCGCCGTGCACATACCGCGACTCCTTCATAGCTCTGATATATTGAAGTACAACGACACAGCACGGTCACGGAAGCTCACACTATCAACTTCCGCATTTGAAGATGTTGCACTACAGCCTGATGAGATTGTATTTGACGTGAAGGCATTTGGCATGGAAGCAACAGGTCTATCCGCAGATCACAATACTTCGATGAGCGGATGCTCGGGCCTCGTGACGGCTGTTGGAACTGATCTCGCGTCCACGTTCGAAGTTGGCGATGAAGTCTACGCTCATGAGACCACATCAATTGCCTCCAAAGTACGGGTCAAGGGAAGCCTGGCTGTGAAGCTGCCCAGCTCCAGCAACCTCTCTGCCGGCGTTTCATCGATACCACCATTTGCCACCGCATACTACAGCCTGATTGAAATCGCACGACTTAGACATGGTCAATCCGCTTTGATCCATGATGCAGAAAACCTTGTAGGCAAAGCTGCCGTTCAACTATGTCAGCATTTGGGTGTAGACGTTATCGCGACCGTCAATAGCAACGAGGAGAGGGATCAAATCGCAACTTCTAGTGGCATATCTCGGACACGCATACTCCTTCTCAGTTCGAGCCGATTCAAGCACGACGTCCTTCGCCTGACCGGCAAGGGTGGTATCGATGTTGTTCTGAGCTATGAGAACCTCGACGTCCGAGAAAAGACGTTGGAGTGCCTTGCCCCAATGGCTACATATGTTGAAATCAAGATGGAAATGCCCGGCAACCCACGCCGACCAGTCTTCTTCCCGAGAGGGAACTTATCACTCCACGTGGTTGACCTTCGGGCTCTTGCGACTCATCGACCGGGTCTTCTACTGAACGTTCTTCGTAGTGTCGTTGATTTGATGGCAACCAACGTCCTGAAACCCTTAAACGTGCCTGTCCTACCTGTAGGCTCTGTCGACTTGGCTACATTCCCTGCTGAGTCAAGGGCACGTGTAGGAAGGGTCGTGTTCGAAATTGAAAACACAGAAACCATCGCAGCGACGCCACCGCCATCACATCTAGAAGGCGGAACGTTTGTTATCGCCGGTGGCCTCGGTAGCTTTGGCCAACAGCTCTGCTCGTACCTGGCGATGAGGGGGGTGAAACACATGGCCATCTTGACTCGCCGCAACCTCGCACCAGACCAACACGAGGCCCTCCAAAAGAGTCTTGGGGGTCAAGAGGCACGTGTCAAGATTTTACAATGTGATATTTGTGAGATGGCAAACGTCGAGTGGGCAATAGCACAGATCACTGCAAGTATGCCGCCGATCAGAGCTGTGGTACAAGCAGCCATGTTGCTAAAGGTATGTAAAAGGAGTGCTGATGATTCAAACGCTGACCTGGATTAGGCTTGCGCAATTGAGAGGATGACCTTTGAGGACTTTGCAATGACCATGCGGCCGAAGACGACCGGAACCCAAAACCTTATTCAGGCTCTCCAGGAAGTTCGCCTAGACACCTTCCTCATGCTTTCCAGTTGCGTAACCGTTGTCGGCGGAGAAGGACAAGCAAGTTACAGTGCCGGCAACGGATGTCTGGACTCAATCGCCCAGAATCCGCCCCAAAGCGGTACACGCTTCATCTCACTCAGCCTTGGTATGGTAGATGGCACGAAACACACATCAGACATGTCGTCTCGTCGGAAACTCGCGCGCCAGGGTGTCGGAGTGGTGAGCGTCGATAAGGCGCTGCAGCTGATCGATTACGCCCTCAGTCCGCAGTGCGCCAAAGAAGGCTACAAGCAACTCGTCTTCGGACTAGACACCAAAGTGCTTCCGAACTGGATACTGTCTCTCTCTGCAGGCAACGCCCTCTTCAGCCACACCCTTTCAGCCACTGGCTCCAACTCCGTCGCCATCAACACCGAATCGGACGACTTCATAAAGCAGTTGCCGTCCGTGGCCCGCGAACGCAACGTCTTGTGCTCCGTAATTGTCAAAGCGCTGGCTAAGAAAATCGCATCGCTCGTCTCCATAAACGCGCCAAATATCAAGGACGGCTCTCTCGTCGCGGATCTAGGCCTCGACTCTCTCGTCACCATCCAGCTACGCAACTGGATCCGAGCCACGTTTGAGGCCTTTCTCCAGCCGGGGGATATCGTTAAGGCGGGAACGGTGGGCAGCTTGGCTGGCCTTGTCTATGACGGTTCCGAGGTGGTGAAGAGGTTGGTTAGCTGCGACAAGGATGTGGAGGCGAAGGGCGTACTTTCACAGAACCAGCGGTAACTCAACTAGGGCGTAGGCGCTTTGGAAATCCTTTTAGGCGTGGTCGCGTCTTTAACGGGAGAGTCGTATTTTCCTGTGTAGGTCTGTTATATTATAATAAGCTATTATTTTATAATAAACTGCTCCCGTCAATTAATACCTGCTTTCATCCTTCCTACCATCCACATTTGCCCAAGTCGACACTAATGCTTTAGATGCGGCATCATCCGTCGTAATGTTGTCAAGCTCGGGGTAAGTTCCGGGTATAAGTTCCGGGTATAAGCCCCTGTGGAGCCGGACAAGCTCAGCCTCGTAGGTGGACCTGGCACCGAGTATGGCACAAGAAGTGCTTGGCCATGCTTAGCCGTGCTTGAACGTCCTCGCTACTGGGGAGCTATGCACACCTGCAGGACCGTTTGTGGAGGCTTGACCGACTTTGAGAGGCCTGTGTTGAGCTGGCGGACAGCGCAGCGGTTGGCCAGGTCAAGGTCTTGCCCTAGGGTCGAAGACCATGACTTTGGGTTCGGATGGCATTTTCTTTGTAGACAAAGTCCCAGTTAGAAATAAACATTACGGCCGAAAGGAGTTCTCTCCCCTTGGACGGCTCCTTCGTAATTTTCGTAACCGGACCCGCTTCAAGAGCTAGCAACTTTTGTTGACCGGTCGAAGGATCGTGACCTCGAAAGCGTTCTGCATTGCGATTGGCCCGCACAGCTGGCCCAAATAAGCCTAGTGCATCTCTTTGACACAGCCTCCCTCGACCCCAGCACGTTGGTAAGGCAGATGGTGAATAGACACCTTGACATGCTCAAGCGAAGGGGCGCAAACTGACAAGATTGGTCGATGCGCCTTAGGTAGTCTTTATTGTTACTGAAGGTGGGCCTTATCAGCCACGATGATCACTCTCCCCTGTGCTATCCTATTTAGGTTCGCTTTCCGCCAGTAGACATCGAAAAGATATAAGGCGCCGTATATTTCTGAGAGATGTCGGAATTCCCCTCATTTCCAGTTACCCTTAGGTTGCTGTACTATCCCACTTTCTTTTCATTTACCAAAATCTCCTTCCCTACTCGTCAGGAATGGCCATCTTCCTATACAAATTCATTCGGGGAAAGATAAGAGAACGTGAAGCCCAGAAGAAAGCCGTCCCAACCACAGATGAACTCCATCTAGTACCACAGTATGCTCCAGGACAAGGACGTCGGGGGCCCAACGAGCACGACCATCAACCCAGAAATTCAGAGCTCACCACGTCAACGCAGACTCATGAAGACTCTCGCACTACCGAGGAGGCAGCACAGGACAAATCCAAAGCTCGGGAAAAGACCATTCGTCAGTGGAAGCTCGTTCTTGGATTAGCACTGGCCAACTTCCTGGCTGCTATTGATGTTACCATCGTCGCTCCTGCTATACCAGAGATTTCATCGCATTTCAGTATGTTATTTTCTTCTTCCAGTCATCTCATCATCATTGAATACTAACAGCCCTTCCTAGATCGACTGTCGGGTAGCTTCAATTGGATCGTTGCTGCATATACTCTGACCTTCACGGCCTTTGTACCAGCTTCCAGCCAACTCGCCGATATCTTTGGCCGGCACTTTGCTCTCCAATTCGAATTGTTCTGGATCATGATCGGTAGTGTCCTGTGTGCGGCCGCTCAGAGCTGGGGCATGTTGCTCCTGGGAAGAGCACTTCAAGGCTTGGGTGCTGCAGGCATTATGAGCTTAAGTCGCATCATTATGTCGGACGGATTGACGCTTGCAGAAAGCTCGAGGAACAACTCGCTGCTTTCCCTCGTCAGTGGTCTCAGGTAAGCTTAACAATTCTTCATAGAAACCGAAAGTGGCTAACTTCAACCCTCTAGTTACTCCGTTGGCCCCGTCGTCGGTGGTTACCTTGCAGATGCCGGCTGGCGCTACCTCTTCGTCCTCCCGGCTGGTATCGCCGTCCTGGCAATGATTTACATCTTCTTTCTGATGCGCAAAGAGCTTGCTCAAGGCCGCGTTGCCGTTGAAGCAGTCGAGTCGCGACGCCTAGGCTATGTCAGAGGTCTGACTATTATTGATTGGCCAGGCATAGTCATGTTCATCCTTGGTATTGGATGCCTCATCCTTGCAATACAATGGGGCGGTACGCAATATGCCTGGAGCTCCGCACCCGTCGTTGCTCCTTTGGTTGTAGCAGCAGTGCTGTGCATTGCGTTCTTTGGATACGAATACCTCCTTGGACCCGGCCGCGCTGTTGCGAGACTGTTTCCAAGGCAAGTTCCTATGATTCCTTCAACACTATTCCGGAAGAAGGACACATCACTTCTCATGGTCATCAACTTCTCCGCCGGTATCTCGCTCGTCTCAGCCTTTTACTTCATCTCATATTACTGGCAGCTCGCGGAAGGTTACTCTCCCAGCAAAGCCGGTATTCAATTACTCTATTACACACCTGGTCTTGGTATAGGTGTGTACACAGCAATGATTCTGTGCAACGTCTGGCCGCGCCAGACTTTCCCCCCCTTATTCTATGGATCCATTGTCGAAGCCGTCGGTCTCGCACTACTCGCATACTCTATCTCAATCCGCCACCAGACCATGGTCAAAGTATTCCTCGCCGTTGCTGGTGCTGGAACGGGTCTGCGCTTCATGCCAGTTGTGCTACATGCAGCGGGTACTTGGTCGACGCGCATTCCGGCTATGCAAGGCTTGCTATCCTTCATGCTCCCGCTAGGCGAGACTATTGCCATCTCGATGATGGGATCCGTCTTCTCGAACAAACTAAATACTTTCCTATCCCGTATCCATGATCCAGCAAACGGCGTCTCGCTTCCTTCTTCCGGACCGCCGAGTCTCGATCTCCTCAACAATCTCCCACCAGCCGCCAAGACAGCAGTTCAACAAGCCGCAGCCAGGGCTGTTATGTGGTCACTGATCTCCGTCTTGCCCTTTGTTGGCTTGTCAGTCATTGCCTCGGCCTTCCTAGGCAATATCTGGATTGGCAGGGGTGCGAAGAAGGCTAAGAATGGTAAGCCAGCCCAACAAGAGGAAAGGGGGAAGGTGATGTACTCGTCATATCTGCTCGCGCTTTTCACTGGTAGTATCAAAGCACATAAGCAGGATTTGGACGTCAATTCAGGACACGAAGAAGCGGAAGCGATGGTGCAGGACGCTGAGACCAAGGGTGTGACATCGCCGGAGAGTGCGCATGTAACGGCTGACAGGCGAGTGTAACACCCGATCAGTATGTGAGTTGTAGACTGGTGCTTTTGTTTTAAGAAGACTTTCGTTGTACTACTAGAAATACCCTTCGCGTTGTTGAGAAAATGCAATTAGATAGACGAAACAATCCCGAATCTTAAGTTTTTAGATCTTAATACATTCAACCCTCTATACCTGCTTCTTAAGTTTATCTCGATTTGCAACAGTTTGGGTTGAGTGCCTTCATCAGTATGCCGAAATTGTTTGGCTATGTCGCTAGTTACGACCTTTCAGAGAAGTATAGACTTACATGTTGAGCATAAAGTTATTGCTTCGAAATGCTGGGAAAGTAATGAGGATGTAGAGCGTGGGCTGGCACCTTCGAGCTCAAGTGGCAGCCCATCTTAGGCCCTACGGGCGTTGGCGTCCGACACCCTTGCGCTCCATGCATCAACGCAAGACTCTCACCGTTTGAACAAATGTATCTTGATGACGTCTGGTGAAACACAGATGACCTTGGGCAGCTAGTGTACTGCATACCAAATCAAAGACCTTCGCAGAGATCTGGTGTTTGTCGCTCGTGCCAGCGGACACTCCTTGAGTCTTGAGGGAATGCCTTGTAGCATACAGCGTACGTTGGATTGTGTAGCGGACTAGTGGTTCTATAGAAAAGTATGGTTTAACTGAATCCAGAGTTCGGCTATGTAGGAATAAAGCCGAACATGAAAATGCGGGGGTGGTGACGATCGCAGGGAGCTAATGCAATTCGCTGACTCGGGTACCAACGACAACCTCGGCGCTGGAGCTACCCCAACAGTGGAAACTATTGGCGTAGCCATGGGATTTCTCACTCTCTTATTGAATTTTTGCTCCAAAATCTGTCTGACGGATTCAGGCGGAATCGGCTGAATCTACTAGATTCATTCAATTGAGTAATTTCTCGACTCAAGACATCGTCATCTGAGGGTTGCGGACATGGCGTGTAAGTTTATATCTTCAATTGCAGTTCGGAGGATCAAAGTGTTGAGGTTACATAGTACCCATACTCGCCGGTGCAGCAGGAGTAACTGCCGTCGCTGCCTACCTTAACGCCAAATACCACATAGCCTACGACCTCGCCAATGCCCGCGGCGGTCTTGCCCCTTCCCCAGATGTCCTCGACTTCATGAGCGACCGTGTATCTCGCAGGCGCGTCCTCAACTACCACGTGTTCGAAGACCAGGTCCACAAACAGCCCAATCACCCCTTTCTCATATTCGAAGGCAAGACGTGGAGCTATAGGGAGTTCTTTGAGGCTATCATAAGAGTGGGTAACTGGTTGGTGAATGATTTGGGGATCGGCGTAGAGGAGGTTGTAGCTATTGATGGGGGAAACAGCCCAGAACATTTGATGCTTTGGTTGGCGCTTGATGCGGTGGGAGCAGTTACAAGTTATATCAATTGGAACTTGACGGGGACGGGGTTGGTACACTGCGCGAAAGTGAGTACAAATATGAAATTCGAGATTTGAGGGTGATGCTAATGATCACATTAGCTATGCAACACAAGATACTTGATCACTGATGCCGATGTCAAGAGCAACGTCGAACCATGTCGAACGGAACTTGAAGGGCTGGGCACCAAGATCCAATACTACGACCCAGTATTCATCGCGTCATTGTCCGACACTACGCCGATACCCGAGTCACGTCGTGAAAACATTAGTGTGGAATCAGTCCGAGGTCTCATCTATACCTCTGGGACTACTGGTCTGCCAAAAGCTGTCGTTATGGGCACTGGCCGCGAGCTTGTAACTGGTTATACCGTAGCAAAGTACCTAGGACTGAAGCCGGAAGATAGGATGTACACGTGTATGCCTCTTTACCACGGCGCTGCTCATGGTCTTTGCGCCGTGCCGACGATATACGCGGGTAGCACTATTGTATTGGGCCGAAAATTCTCGCACAAGACGTTCTGGCCGGAAGTGGCCACATCGGGTGCGACACACATCCAGTACGTTGGTGAGCTTTGTCGGTATTTACTCAACGGTCCCAAAAACCCGTACGAACAAAAACACAAAGTCAAGATGGCGTGGGGCAACGGCATGCGACCAGACGTATGGGAACCATTCCGTGAGCGATTCAATATCCCCGTGATTAACGAATTATACGCGGCAACTGATGGCCTTGGTGCGACCTTCAATCGCAACGCTGGGCCCTTCACCGCGCACACAGTCGGTCTTCGAGGGCTGCTTTGGAATTGGAAGTTCAGTGAGCAGGAGGTTCGGGTAAAGATGGATGTCGATACCGAAGACATAATGCGGGACGAGAATGGGTTCGCAATCAAATGCGGTGCTAATGAGCCGGGCCAAGTTCTCCATCGGTTGACTCCAGAGACGCTACCAGGAGCACCAGGCTACTACAAAAATGAGGGTGCGACGCAAAACCGGAGGATTACTGACGTGTTCAAGAAGGGCGATATGTGAGTTCTTCGCTCAACTTCATGTCGATAAGACATCAAACAAGCTGATGGCCTCTAGGTGGTTTAAATCTGGCGACATGATGCGACAGGATGCTGACGGCCGTGTCTTCTTCGTCGACCGCCTCGGCGACACATTTCGCTGGAAATCCGAAAATGTTTCCACCAACGAAGTCGCAGACATGATTGGGAAGTTTCCCCAAGTCGCTGAAGTAAACGCTTACGGCGTTCTCGTGCCTGGCTACGACGGCCGGGCAGGCGCCGCATCCATCGTCATGGCCGACGGTGTCACAGAGTCAACGTTTGATTTCCAAGGTTTGGCGAAGCATGCGAGAGCGGTATTACCGGGGTATGCCGTGCCGTTGTTCTTGCGGGTTACACCGGCGCTGGAGTATACGGGGACGTTGAAGATCCAGAAGGGTAGGCTAAAGAGTGAAGGGATTGATCCAGACAAAGTTACGGGCGAGGATAAGATCTACTGGCTGCCGCTGCATAGTGATAGGTATCTGCCATTCTCAAGGAAAGATTGGGAGGGGATCAAGGATAAGAGTTTGCGCCTGACGTGAGAGCGACAGTGGTAAGGGGCGTCTGCCAGTGCGAAATTAGATTACTTGCAATAGACGTACTAGTGTCAGCCTGTAACGTATGTCATATCAGCGAAAGGCGACCGAGGCCGTAGTGTAGTTGGCTATCAAATGCGAAGTGGAGTAGTGGAATGCAATGCGACCCTTGTTTTTGCCGCAGCCTAGCGCGAGTGGCGGTGGATCATCTACTAGGCCAGCCCTATGAGTTTCCCAACCTCAAACTTCGTCTTCCACCACTCTTAGCTACTGCACGACACCCACAACCAGCCAGTCTTTCACAACCAAACCACCCACGCGCACCGAGCGATATCAGTCACCGTGGCGCACAACTACTACGATGGGCAAAGCAGAGGTCGGCACTACAAAATGGGTCGCAAACCAGCAACGTAGTAAAGGGCTTCAACGACTACGTTGGTGGGTAAGTACAGGACCTTCGAGCATCATAGCGAACGCTGCTAACATTAATTTCAGTGTGAACCGTGTAGTAAACAGTGCAAGGATGCCAACGGCTTCAAATGCCACGTCCAGTCCGAGACACACGTCCGCCAGATGCAAGTCGTTGGCGAAGACCCGCGCAAATACATCAACAACTTCAGCAACGACTTCCAGCGGGATTTCGTTAGCCTACTACGAACGTCCCATGGCGAGAAGTGGATCAGCGCAAACAGATTCTACAATGAATATATCCGGGATAAGGAACATGTGCACATGAATTCCACAAAATGGAGTTCCCTGACAGAATTTACCAAACAGCTGGGGAGGGAGGGGATTTGTCATGTAAAAGAAGACGAGAAAGATGGCCTCATGATCGCATGGAGAGATACAAGTGTCGCAGCAGTCACCCGGAGAAATGAGATCGCTGAATTAGAAGCCGCCGAGGCGAGGAGTGGGGCGGGCGAGGACAAGATGCTGAAGAAGATGGCGAAGCGCGCACAGGAAGAGGCAGAAGCTAAGAAGGTGATCGAGGCGAAGCGGGCAGCAGCGGCTGCTTCAATGCAGAAGGAAGACACCACTCCCCCGGCTGATGGAGCGACTTTGAGCGAGAGCGCTGTGCCGACAGAGGACAAGAAAGCCGATTCACCCGTGGAGCAGAACAAGGAGGAACCCAAGGTGGAGTCAGCGCCAATCAAGCTAAGTTTTGGCTTAAAAGCTAAGGCTATACCACCGAACAAGGCTGGTCTCGGTCAGATGAAGAGCCAGAGTATCTTCAAGCGGAAGAAAGACGACACACTAGAGCAAAAGCCTGTCAAGAAGGTGAAGCTATGAGTGAGCTGATTGCGGTGGATTGGATTTTTTTATACATGCATAGCGCGGCGTCCTGGGATATCACATTAGGGAATGGGGGTGAAGAGCTCACCTGGTCTTGCGACGTGAACTTCAGCCTGCTAGAACCACTCCCATAGTATAATGCACAGCCATTATTTGAGTAGCGGAGTGTAATTTCTTTATATCAAGTCGGAGAAGAAGCAGGGCATATGAGCGCCACATTTTTACCCATTCAATAAGAACAAGACATGAGTACATGCTATCCATGCAAAGGACTACGGGTTAATACCCTTACCTACGCCAATTTTCAGAGAGAGTCTAGTGTGAAAAGAGAAGTGACTGACCCCCGTCAGCGTTGGTTGCTGTACTTTCCTACCGTGAGACCGAACGAAATGCAGCTGAGCAGAACCCCCACTAAGGATTCAGCGGTACATGGCATCCCTAGTACGTTAATTAGTTTAGGCATCACAGCTACACACAATATAAAAGATAATGGTATAGATAGAGAAGTTATCCAGCATTTGGGTATCAATTTCACCTAAAAATAAGCAGTCCTAGCCATTTATATTGACGGCAAGTCCCCCCAACCACCGCCACTTCAATAGTAGGCCACTAAACGTCCAGCTCTGCCCTGAGATTATGCCGTCCACGGGCAATAGCGTCACCTAGATCCATGTTCGACGCTTGGCCACGCACACTAGAGATGAGGCGCCGCCCTCCGTCCATGTTCTTCTTGTGTTTCTCCGCTTCTTCTGCGTCCTTCATCTCTTGATCGCGGACACGCTCCGCACGCTGCTCCTCGAGAGACGAGGCGGCAACTTGCATCTTAGCCAAACGCTCGGCCGCAGTCTCCGTTGGCCCCTCTTGCGCTTTTATCGAATGCGCAGGTCGCACGGGATGGTCTTCACCCCAGTTACGGCGAGGTTTATCATGTGAGTGTCGAGGTATGGGATCACGCCGCCGATAGCTATCGCGATCTTCCCGTCTATTAGGCGAGCGCGAGCGTGAGCGCCGTCTATTCTCGTCGCGGTGACTCCTGCGATATGGAGACCGTGATCGTGACTTTGATCGCCGTCGACGGCTATCTCGGCCATCTCTCTCGTCGCGATCATGTCTCCGATGCTTCCGCTCCCTCCTGTCTCGATCGCCATGCTCAGTAGATCTGGAGCGCGAGCGGTCTCGTCGACTACGGTGCTTGCTTTCCCGATCCTTACTCCGATTGTGCCGCCTCTCTCGTTCTTTCTCTTTTCCGCGCTTCTCTGCGTATTTGGCTTCCTTTGCCGCGTCTTTCGCGGCCTTCAATTGCATCTCCATCTTCTGCTTCTGAATTATAAGGAGTGGATCTTCTAGCACCTTCTTGTGTGTGTCGCGAGCGGTATTCGCATTCGTATCTCCAGCCGCATCAATACCGACAGCGGCGCCCTTCTGCAAGCCCTGTGTATCCGACTTTAGCAGCTCGTCGATCCGTCGCTTGCCAAGTAGATATCCCTCACGCTCTTCTGTTACGCCAGCGCCCTCGCCACTAGGACCTGCATACATCCAGTCCACGCGCTTCGTTACAACTTTGCCACCCGCGGAAGCCTGTAGATTCTGTAACTCCTCAATCTGCCGCTCTTCTTCCCGCTCTTTCTTGAGTCGATCGATTAATTTGCGCTCCTCGAGGGCGGACTTTTCTTCTTTCCATACTCTTTCTTGCTAATAAGTGTTAGTGGCCGCATGCCTACAAGACCATGTGGAAGTGGGGTGGTGACATACATTCTTTCGCAAATGCGGATGCCACGATTTCTTCAAGTTAAGGTCACCTTTTCGAACGCGGCGTCAGCTACATATTCAGTGTCAGGGACCTAATTAGACTCACCACCCATGATTGCGGCTTGATGACTGATCTGCCGACAAAGGCTCGACTTCTACAGAGAAACGGACAAGCGATAGAACAGAGAGTCCGGGCGTGATGAATGGCGGCGAAATGGTGAGGTTGTGGTACGTGGAGGCGCGAAAAGGCTCGACTTGAACTATGAACGACAGCCTGTGCCAAGCCTTACTAACCTAACACAGCCCCACTAAAACGTGCTCCTCCGCGACTCCTCCGCAAAAGTTTCGAATGTACGGCCTCACGAGCCAGATCCAAATCCAACGACAGCGAAGCGCGGATATCCTCTGAAACACCTAGAGAGCCAGCATTGCGCATTATATGCAGTATCGAAATATCTGAAACTGGAAGCAAGGCGACCACGCATCTAGAAATGGCGACGCGGAAGCGCAACGAATATCTCGATGTGGAGGACAGCGAGGACGAAGAGAGAGGTTATGATTCGGAAGAGGAGAGCAGGGCGCGTATGCTGCCAGCCTCAAAAAGGCTAAAGACTGAACACGACTCGGAAGACTCTGAAGGGGAAGAAGATCAAGAATTTGACGAGGAAGGAGACGAGGAAGTAGAAGACTTGGGTGATGACGACGAAGATCTGCCCTCATCCTATTCCAAAACTGCCGAATTAGCACACCTCGAAAAGCTCGCCGCTTCCCTCCCCTCCGATCTTAAACTCCAATCTACGAAGCTTGGCAAATCTCTTCCACCGCCCTCACTAAAGAAAGACAAATCCGGCGTAATATACCTATCCCGCGTTCCTCCTTTCATGAAGCCAACCGTCTTACGCTCCCTCTTAACTCCCTACGGCGCAATCGGGCGCATCTTTCTCACCCCCGAGCCCTCCACCTCCCGCACGCAACGCCTACGCTCCGGTGGCACGCGTAGGAAACTCTATCTCGACGGTTGGGTCGAATTTCTGCACAAACGGGATGCCAAGTTTTTCGCCGACAACCTCAACGCGCAAACTATGGGCGGCAAGAAACGGGGAAGGTGGCACGATGAAGTCTGGAACATCAAGTATCTGAGTGGAGTAAAGTGGAGTCATCTCGTAGAGCAGATTCAAAACGAGAACGCAGAGCGCGCGGCGAGACTGAGGTTTGAGATTCAGCAAGGGAAGAAGGAGAATAAGGCCTTTCTGGAAAACGTGGAGAGGGGCAAGGTTCACAGTGGTATTGAGGCGACAAGGAAGCGGAGGGGGGATGATGTGGATGTTGGGGCAACGAATGGTGACGGGAATGTCGGGGGCATTGTAAGGGAGAAAGAGACAAATGAGAAGCCAAAGAGACGAGGAAGGCTCGAGTTCACGCAGCATACGGCGACGAGCAAGGCGCTCAAAAAGCCTGAGCCGGGACAGGATGTGCATAGGGTTCTAAGTAGCATGATGTAGCGCGTGTATGATGTAAAATGATACCGAAGAATACTTTCAATTCGATTAAATCATTGTTCAAATAGAGCTTGTAGGCAGCAACGTGATGCTTATTAACACAATCATCAACGTTGATAGTCCCAAGTCCAAAGCCACCCAAACCAGCAACGCCATTTTACCACACAAAATGCAATACTAGGGTATAACCACTACTTTCATGCTCCTTTCCTTTCCCTTTCGCATCATTCCTGACTCTCGATGATTCATAACCCTTCCAAGGCTGTCGCCTATTTCGTCTCCGTGCCTAACGTAGGACTCGGCGCGTTCGATTTGCCTAGTGTTTAGTTGATATGGTTTACGTCCCTCCTCTGAGCTTATATCGCCGTTCCTCGCTCGAAGTTGTCCCGTATTTCGCTCGTATACTTGTTATAAAAGCGCGCCAGCTTATCGTTGAACTGCTTGTTCTTCTGGTTGATGTACGTAACATCGCCGACATCTTGCTCATCTCTGATCCCTCTGGCCGCGCGTGCCTTGAGCCGTGCTCGTTCGCCCTTCTCTAGATCTTCGACTAGCTTGTCGACAGCATCCTTGCTGGGCGTGTGGTCATGAGAGTATGCTTCGTCCACAGGGGTATTGATCCTGCCGAGAGTGTCTACTGTATATATCTCCCCAGATGGTGTTTCGACGAGTTGCAACAGCCCACTCGATACTTGAGACTGAAGCTTCTCCGCCTTCTGACTCGCATACGCTTCCTGGTCTACTTTCGACATCTGCTTGATTTGCCGCTTATAAACTTTATTCGCTTCGTTCCGATAATCCGCGAATGCGACGCCATCTCTGTTTCGTGATTTTTTCGCCATGCGCTTGTCCCAACTCTCGCTCTCTTCGACCGTGTAGTCCCAATTCCGTTTGCGCTCGAAGTCTGGGTCGTCATTCTTGAGTAATTTGTAGGATGCTTTGTCGTGGGCGTCTTGTAACTTCGATATTTGGGCCAGACGGGAAGAGCGGTCTTCGGCGTCACGAACTTCCTTTTCCGTTGCTTTGCGACCAGAGACTTTCTGGGCCTGGAGAGCTTTGAAGCGTGCCATGCGGGCGGCCAGGGCGGCTTTAGGGTCGTCTGTTGAGATTGCCTTGGTATCTCCTGGTGGCGAAGGTTCAGCCCTAGGGGGAGAATCGGGAGCATTCATAATGGAAGAGGTCTCTTCTTCTCGCTTCGTTGTGTCGGCCATGGTGGAGTGAGCATGTAGTTCTGTATAGCTGCTCTTTCCGGAGAAAGCTGGACTTCACGACTGCCAAGACGCTAGCACTAGCGTCACTTGTAGCCTCAGGACTGCCCTAAGTAACTTCACCAAGCTCACTATCTCTCTCAATATGGCAGATGTCAGGCACAGTTAGAAATCTGCCATAAATGGAATGGGCTCGAGTCAATGAAATTGTATTACTATTTTTCTACATATTTCTGCGATATTACTGCCACGCTACACCGCATCCTACTTGTTGTAGCTTGCTGGATTATCTCTATTCATCTACGATCCTAGCTCTATTGCAAGCGCTGCGTTTGAACGAACGCGCTATTCTAAAACCAGTCCAACCCTTCGAACGTGGCACTAAAAGGTTTTCTGTACTATCTCCGTTTCCTTCCCTTGTTTCCTTGGACTGAAGGTCGAGATATGTCTAATTGCGAATTTGCAGCCAACTTATTTTAAGACATGATGTTGATACCATAGCATCAGTTCGACCTAGGGTCTGCGTATCTTCTCCGACTGTATTTGACCCTCTATGCTCAGCAGTGGAGACTGTAAACGGATTCTTTGCCTTGGCTGCGATGAAATACTAACTAAGACGTGCCCAACAATGTCACTCCGAAAGTCACATTCGATAGCCGGGAGCAATGAGGAAGCAATCATACTGCATAGAGTATCCGCATCCTCTCCACGTCCCCCGCTCACCCCTATAACGGTTCTCTGCAGATGTTAGCCATTCAACGGCGGCACGTTGTCATTTGCGCAGGGGCGTTTGCTGCCGAACCTCATTGAGACAAGCGCTGTCTATTATCAGATCAGGGATATCAGTCAGTCCTAGTAGATCTAACGAGCCGGATCCGCATCCTTGCTTGTGCGGATCTACATCCTTGCTGTTGCGGCAACGTTTCAACACCTCACGCGTCGCGGCTTGTACCTACGACCAATGGTAGAATATGACCTTGTGAATGGAAACGACTAACATGGAGTCGATACCTATGTCAGTTCTTGTACTTGCGCCGCTATCTGCCATCACACTACACGAGCTTGTGTTACGACGGGTTGAGGTTGACCATCTGGCTTTGCCATTGATCGTAACCTCGAGCACGATTTACTGGGCACTAGTCTACTACATTGGTTTCTTTTCAGCAACCGTTGTAACGGCATCCTTCTGGATTCCGCTATGGCTGTATATTGCTACTTATCGTGCGTTTTTCCATCCGTTGAAGGACTATCCCGGTCCACTTGGAGCGAAATTGTCGAGTTGGTGGGCTGTCAAGCAGACTTGGGCCAGCAACTTCCATTACCACCGAGTACAACAGCAGTTACAGAAGGAGTATGGAGACTATGTCAGGACAGGTACGAACGTCAATCAAGCAATGTGTTTTGATCCCTATACAGGTCCTAACAAGATGCAGGTCCACGGGAGCTCTCAATATTCGACCCAGCGGCCGTCCAACCAATCATGGGCTTTCAGTCAAGGACCACAAAAGGCCCCTTCTACGATGTCATGGAGAAGTCGCTACATCTCAATCGCGACAAAGTATTTCACCGTCAGAGACGTCGAATCTGGGACAACGCCATGAAAACATCTCTATCCGACTTCGCTCCCCACATCGAGATGTTCACCGACCAACTAATCACGCGTCTTAGAGAGGAGGAGGGGAAGGCCGTACCACTTCTCGAGTATGTTACTTACTACTCCTACGACGTCATGGCTGCACTTGCGTTTGGAAAGCCGATGGGCTTTATCACGGGTCAATCGAGCGACGTTGCTGAAAGTATCTTGAGTACGTTCACAAGAGGGGTCAATGCTCTGGGGCTTATGTACCACATGCCTTGGCTCATGAATGCTCTTGGAGTGTTAACATCAATCGCTGGGCCCATGAGGGAGTGGAGAGACTTCTCTGTCAATCAGATGAAGGCTAGGATGGCAGTACGTCCAATGCCCGTGCATACATTTTTCGATCGTACTGACGCCTAGTAGCTCAAAGACGCGAGACCAGACCTCATATCTCACCTCATAAATAATACTGCTAATAACGAATCTGGCCACAATCTTCTGTATGGCGAGTCTCGTCTCATAATTAGCGCGGGCAGCGAGACAGTCTCCTCGGCCTTGACGTTCGTATTCATGCATCTCGCAGTGTACCCCTCGTACATGCATGCTATCCGCAAAGAATATCGCAAACACGAAGCGGAGTATAACTGCGAACGTCCGCTCCCACTCCTCGATGCTGTAATCCAAGAATCCATGCGTCTTTGGCCCTCGGTACTCTTCGCGTCTCAACGCGTCACGCCACCAGAAGGCCTCACGATAAACGGGCACTTTATACCGGGAAATATGATTATCAACATGCCGCCGTTCACTATATACCGAGATCCCCGCAATTTTGTTGATCCTGATTCCTTTATTCCTGAAAGATGGACAGATAGGCCAGATCTAGTACTCGATAAGAGTGCGTTCCATCCGTTTTCAACAGGGCCGTATAGTTGTGCAGGAAAGGGACTGGCGATGATGGAATTGAGGAGTGTGGTAGGGAGAGTGTTGGATGAATTTGATATTGTGCTTCCGGAGGGGTTTGTGTCGGAGCATTATTTTGAGGATATCAAGGAACACTTCACAGCGGGGCCACCGAGACTGCTGGTACAGTTTGTGAGTACGAAATAGTAGGTTAGGAACTATTTAGTTGGTTGGGAATAGAATGCTAATGATAAGTTTAAGAATCTGGTGGTCGCACTGTAAGATGTATATGTGGTGAAATGTATACGGCGAGAATTGCTAATTAATTAAGTTTTAAACTACCGCAGTATTGATCCCGAATACAGGAGATACATAAAACTAGTTTTTTTTTGACACTGTATGTGCAAGATGGGTTTGTTACCATCTACACTGCGTCTTAATGGACGCGATCTGGTTCGCGATGTTGAAGATGGCATGTCTGGCGACACGCTTCAGTATCCGCCAGGTCCACCACCACTTCCAGGCTCGCGTCGAGCAACAGTAAGCCAAACTTCAACCTTCACATAATTCACGCTTTAATATAAGAAGCAGTTGTTTGCACCTGATCCAAATAGCCAACTCGCGACTTTCCGCCACATGGTTGGCATCCACAGCACCAAAGAATTCGCGGCCCAAACCGCCAACCAAAAATCGCATTATATGCCAGATATCTCTCACAATGATCTTCACTTCGACGGCCGCGCCGTGCCAAACCTTGGCATGGTAAGTTACATCCGCTTACGAACCTCGTTTGATATAGACGAATCAACACCTACGCGATCATGTCAAGAGACAGTGAACATGCTAAAGTGAAGTTGAAGAAGAACTGTACTAATATCCAATTCCCGTGTCCAATATAACCGCGTCTGCCACCGCTCAGCCCAAGCAAAACGCGGCTACAAATTTGCCTCTGTGCTGATATAGTCCTGCCTAGGAATCCAAATCATCGTCGCCGCCGCACTCACCGCCATGGGCGCCGCAAACACAAACCACGTCAGTATAAACCGCCTTCGGCGCAACAAACACCGTAATCGCCGGCATTCTAATCTATCTGAAAGGCTCCAGTCTGCCCAACCGCATACGATGGTACGAGAACGAGTGGAAGAGAGTACATTGAGCAGCGCGAGCGGGACTTTTCAAGGCCGGAAAGTCGACTAAGTGTCGAGGAGGTGGTGAGCGTGGTAAAGCCAATGTACGAACAAGTCAAGGCGGATATCCAGACCAATACGCCAGAGATGTACATCTCCGTTAGCGACATTCGCGCCCACTCCGCCGCTGCAACCAACCCGCAAATTCCTAAAGCCCAGAATCTAATAGGCGGTGCGGGAGATCGCGGACGCAGCAAACTGGAAGAGCTGGAGCTCAAGTACGGCCACAAGGTTACGGATCTCTTAGAGGAATGGCACATAAGGAAGAGGAGGTGGAGAGCGAGGTTGAGAGTTCAAAGGCTAGGGCGCTTACGGCGTTGCAAAGTGAGAAGGACGGCGCGGTCAAAGGAGCGAGGGATTGGGACAAGGAGATAGAGGAACGGGGCGCAAGAGTTGCAGAGAGGGAACTAGAGCACGCGCGATCGAGCGTCGTACAAAGAGGAATGGAATTCGCAGGTGAAGTTGATGCCGCAAAGGCTGGAAGCATTTCACGGGATATTGATATCACTAAAGCAGACATCCTCCAGCGTGGCAACTCACTTTCTCGCGACCTTGACACCGCTAGAACTGCGGCCCTGCAACGTGGTAGAGATTACGAAAAGGACATCTAGGTAAAAGCCGCTCGTGTCGCGGAAGCAGAGCATGAGCTAGAAAGGGTGTTCGACCAAACAAAGAATGCTGCACAGCGGGCTGGTGAAGGCATACACAGAGCTAGAGATAGTTTCCAGAGGGCTGGGGAGAGCGTACAGAGGATTGTGAAAGCGGTTGTTGATGAAATACAACCTCATAGGCGGGACTGAGTGCTGGACCAGATTAGTTCTTGATGCGTACAGATTGTAGTGGGACGTGTTGGGCATGTGAGGAAGCAGTCATTTGGTTGATATATTAATACCCATATGTTGAAAGTAAACTTTGATTGAATATAGATGCATGTCTATGTTCTACACTGTGCCAAAAGATTACATCGTCAGGAAGGATCGTAGAAGTCTGTGCCTCCTCTATCTTTATTGACCCTCTCGTCGAAAATAATCATACACTATGCTCGTGAAATTCCATCTCTCATCACATCGATCTTTTTGGGCGGTCGTCCTCCGCTGCCATTCTTCAGATCGGCTCATCCCTGGGCTCGATAAGCACCTCGTTGACGGAAACATGCTCCGGCTGCTTAAGCGCATAGACAATACTATTCGCCACGTTCTCAGGATCCAGTACCTTCGCACCACTCGGCTCACCATACTTCTTCAATGCCTCTTGATCTGTGCTCATACCTAGTAGATCCGTCGCTACATTACCCGGCTGCACACTCGTCACCTTCAGTCCCGTGCCTGCCGTCTCGAGCCTCAAGCTCTGCAGCGTGGCCTCGACGAAAAACTTGGAGGCTGAGTAGACGCCTAGGCCGGGGAATACCTTGCGGCCTGCGTCAGATGAGATGGCGACTAGGTGGCCTTTGTTGCGCTTAAGCATTGATGGTACGACAGAGGAGATTACGTTGAGGAGACCTTTGCAGTTTACGTCGACAGTTTGGTTCCATTGATCGGTTTGCGTATTGGCCATCATGGTGAAGTACATAACACCAGAGACGGAGACGAAAATGTCCACGGGACCGAGTTGCTTCTCTGCTGCGGCAACGAGCGCTTCGACTTGCGCTTTGTCAGTCACGTCAGTCTTCTGGGTGATAATTTTGCCATCCAGAATGGCAAGGCGTTTCTTGAGGTCATCGAGTGCGTCGACACGGCGGGCTGCGAGGGCGACGTGGCAGCCTTCTCGCGCGAGAGCGGTAGCGGTAGCGGCACCGATGCCTGAGGAAGCACCCATTACAATGGCGACCTTTCCAAAGAGGGGACCGCGTCGAGGGAGCCTGGCTGATCCGCCTGCAGAATCTTGGCGAATGGGTGGATTTGGTAGCCAGCCTCGAGCATACCAATGGCGCGTGTAGGTTTCGAGAAGTACTTGGTCGACCTTTGGCCGCTCTACAGCTAGGCGTAGAGGCCTCGTCTTTGCATTATCGAGCACAACGACATCCCTCAGGAACTCGATACTAGGCATACCACTTCGGAGGATATCAACCGTGAAAGCACCGTCACCACCCTTAGCAGAGCCTCGCTTGTCGTCCCAGAGCGCAACCCACTTCTCAAATTCTGTTGGCTTCGTGGGGTAGCCTAAAGCGTTTAGGTCTTCGAAAACTTGGCTGATATCCACGGGATCAGGATCACCAATGTGGAACACAGTCTGCTCCGTCTCGGTCTGGTTGCTGAGGTGGAGTATAGCCTTGCTGACGAAGTCAACTGGTGTCATCTCGGCACGCCAACCCTTGACGTCCGGATAGTGACCGATCCTGACCGACTCAACAATCAAAGCCGTCAAGAGATCCCAAGCATTCGCGGCACCCGTCTCGCTATGGCCACTGATAGTGCCCAGACGATGTATCTTGATAGGAATACCCCTTCGCTGAGCTTCTAGCGCCAGCTGTTCGGCTACCCATTTCGTTTGCCCGTAACCATCTGCAAGCTTGATGACATCATCCACCTCGAGCACAGTGTCTTCTGACAATCCCTCGCGACCTGGTGCCGGAAGGAGCACTCCGTTGGTAGATATGTACTGCACTGTAGCGCCGCCTTGAGCAGCAAGACGCAAGATTTCTCGTGTACCGCCGACATTGGGCTTCTGCAGCGCAGCATAGGGATATACCAAGTTGACAGTCGCCGCCGCGTGAACGATCACGTCAAGGCGATCAGCTAACGTCTTGAAAGTGTCTGGCGCCAGACCAAATCGCTTTCGGGACAAATTTCCTGGCAGAATCTCCACGCGCTCCATGATGTTGTCGTTCCAGAGGTTGAAGTCCAACAGGTTTCTACGAATCCTTGCAATACCTGCAGGTATGTCATCCTGTGAAGAGTCCGCAAAACGGACCATGCAGATGATCTGAGCAGAGGTGGTTTCCAAGAGGTCTCGGAGAAGAAAGGCGCCCAAAAAGCCAGTAACACCGGTGAGAAGTACAGTCTTTGCATCCTTGAGAGCGCAAATCTTGGGATTTTGAGGCTGGATATCCTTATCCAGAACCGAGTCAGCGCGCAATACAGCCGGCAGATTGTCCTGTACCTCGGCGGTATGGCCGTCTCGAATAGCACGAACAGTGTCCAGATGCCCATTAAGCGTTGCTGGATTGGCGAGACGTGCAACTGGTACTCTGAAACCGAATGTATTGGACAATCGTGCGGCGAGATCAGCCAGTAGGAGTGAGTGCCCGCCAAGATCGAAGAAATTGTATTCAGGAGTGATGGAGCTGGCATTGACACCCAGAATTGAGGCCCAGCTTTCGGTGACTTGTTCGATGGTAATGGGGCTTTGCTCGAATTTGCGTGCACTGCCGGTAGGCGAGCTAGGTCTTGGTGGAGGGAGAGCTTTGAGGTTGACCTTTCCGGACACGTCGCTAGTCGGCAGCGTATCGAGTTCGACCCAAAGTGAGGGTATCATGTAATGTGCGAGGTATGGCATAAGCATGCGCCTCGCAGTCGCGCTACGGCCTGTCCGGTCAATCTCCACGACTGGGCGTTCTGCCGAGGAATCTTTGTCTCGAACAAAGTATGCCACCAATTGCCGATCAATACCTTCTCCAAAAGCCACCACAGCACAGTGGCTAGCAGCAAGATTTTGGACGATTGCGCTTTCGACTTTACCGGGAACGACTGAGTATCCTCGAATCTTGATCATAGCGCCAACGCGGCCGGTGATTTCGAGTAGTCCGTTGGGAAGAAGTCGTGCCTTGTCGCCAGTCCTATACATGCGAGCACCTATCTTCGAACTGTAAGGATTCCGAATGAAAGCTTTAGCAGTGGTCTCTGGGCGGTTGAGGTATCCTCGAGCAAGCAAGTGTCCGCCTACGAAGAGCTCGCCGTTCTCTCCTTCGTCAACTTTCTGGCCACTCTCGTTAAGGATGTAGATGTATTTGGTGTCGATAAGGGGGGGTCCAACTGGGCAGTATGGAGCATCTTTATCGAGTTTCTCAAGCATATCCTTGATGTCACCACAGGCAATCTCATGGGTCTCACAAGCACTGTACACGTTGAGCAAACGGGTGTTTGGTAGTGCTTTGATGCCTCGTCGTGCAAGATCGGTCGTGACTACCTCGCCATTGAGCCAAATGGTCTTGAGGTTTGGTAAGCGGGTGCTGAGAGATTGGTGGCGGGCGAGGACAGCAGAGAACAATGTAGGTGTAAAGAGAGTCTCGGTAATCTTCTTGGAGGCAAGTAGATCTACGAGCATTCGTGGGTCGTAGCTTGCTTCATCTGGAACAGCAACAACTGTGGCTCCTCGTAGGAGCGGGCGAATGATCTCCCATACGAAAAAGACATTGCAGGCCACTCGGTCGCCCGGCTGGAGATCTGAGAGTCCAAATCTGAGATTATACGAAAGGACTGCTGCTCTATGTGGGTTGGCGATACCCTTGGGCTTGCCAGTCGTTCCACTGGAATACGCAACAAACGACAAGCGGTCCAGATCGGTCTCTTCTGGTAGCGGCGGTAGTTCAGAATCTTCCACGTGACCATTGGTCGTCTGGTTTTGCTCATCCAGAACCACGAGCGGAGTACCTTCTCGGATCTTGCCGACTTCGGCGCTAGTTGTGACGACGACACTAGGCTGTGAATCTTCGAGGACGTCCGCGAGTAAATCTGGAGGATAGGCCAGTTCTAGCACTAAGAAGGCACCGCCCGCGCGCAGGGCTGCCAGACAGGCAATCACATAGTCGGCGGATCGCGGCAGCAGGACGCCAACTAAGCTGTCACGGCCCACGCCATGGCCCCGCAGTTGGTCTGCGAGGGCAGCAACCTTGTCGTGAAGTTGCTGGTACGTGTACGTATTCTTGTCATCTTCTAGGGCAATGGCATCGGGTGTAGCTTGGACCTGTTTTGTGAAGAGCGCTGACAGGTCTTTGGTAGTGTCGATGATAGACATGGTCCTGTTCTGTTGAGAGGAGGGGCTGGTGGGAGGGAGTTCGCAACGTACGGGTCGTTGACGTATCTATTTATTCAATTGCTATCCCCATACGCCGGGATCCGCAGCTACGGTAAGGTTGAGCAGGGTGTCAGAAAATTCGAAGGGTCGTTGGAGACTCGCTTATTATCCTACGCCTGTGGTTGGGATCCATTATGTTGTGCCGAGAGCGTGCCGATAACGTCATTTGGCTAGCGTCGACGGATGACCCCAGAACGCCCTTCTGATTGCTCAACCGCATCCTACGTTTCGATGCGGCTAGATGGCTGTCCGGAGTATCGCTACTGTTAGTGTGGTTTGTCGGCTGGTCGCTGGTGGCGTCCGCCTGGAACTGATGGAGATGCATCCCCAACTGCAAAGAAACTTTGTCAATATCGTTGTTGTCATCTCTGCGTTCCGTTTGGCGCTTGGGCTTTGCAAGCAATGTCGGTACTCGGAAGGATGCTCTATCAGATACGCAAGGCGGTGTAACTGAACAGCGCATCACCAGCGGAACGGCAACACACAGTCGCATGCTGGGGGTGAACAGAACGTCCTGTACCTCAGAGCCTCAAGTCACATTTGCCATTCACCAGAAGCGAGGCTAGCCGCTGCTGTTGCTGTTGGATTCGATACACGTTGCGGACAAGGTCTTCAAGCACAGTGATCGTCGCATTCAAGGAGTAGGTAGACAGGTCCAAGCATCGCTGTCGTTCAATTAAGCTCGGAACAAGGGGTATGTACTTGGGAGGATCCACTTTACCTAATGCTAGCTACTATGACAGTACCTCCCCCGACAGTACCGCTATCATGCCATGTCCAATCGGCATGCTTCGATTATCTCCTTCAAATATGGAGCCCAACGACCAACGGACCGACTCGCGTTGACGGTGTTCGACCCACTTCGTAGGTTCAGACCGAGGCGCAAACTGGTTGCCAAAGCCAACGGGCTGTTTTCGAAGAGGCATGACTGGTGCAGCCGCTTGGTTGCTACCTACGCTACGTATCTTTCTAGACGACGTCGTCGGACAGCTTCACCAAGTACCTGCCGTCTTATTTCGTCTCAAGCACCTGCAAACGAAGCAAGGCGCACTCTGCCATGGTCGGTAACGGACGCAATCACTCGCGTGCTGTATCGCGTGTCGATCATCGAGACGCTTAGGTAGGCGTGGATCAGAATTGCGATTTCGATTTCAACCTTGTGAGAACACCTGTGAAGTTTAATCAAACAAGCTGCTTGTGCAACAGATTGTGCGACAGCGAGTGCGATGGAGGAAAGCAGCATCTGACGGTGGAGACGCGGGGGAGGGGCCAAGATGACTAACCACACTTGGTTTCGTGTACTAGTTAGGTAGTGTAGGGAGGGTGATGGGATCGCCTTTGTAAGAAATATGAGCTTCTATCATAACATCATAAAACCCCCGTGGAGATAGTAGGTAAACAAGTTCAACGTCCGAATGAATTTTATTTATTCACTTCACTGTGTAAACTATCCATTACTAATCCGAATGCCACTCAGGGCACTTTTCACGGTCCGTCTCACTGTTCAAATTACAGCCTGAATGCGCTCAACCCTGCCACTTGGTCCGCCGCTGTCGAAACATGGAAACCATGCCGATCGGTAGCAGTCCGAAATCGACAACATTCAAGCCACCAAACTTTTCCGTCATCTCCGGGCCATACATCTGTGCGACCCACTTCCAATAAGCATCCATGGAACTCCAGTCAGAGGTGATACCACGCAAGTTGTTTTGACCCTGAAGCTGGTTCAGGGCCTGACGGACCTGTACGCTAATGTCGATAGGCTCTTCTGCCGGACGCTTGAGCAACTTGGCGTACGTGCTACGCAGCTTAGCCTTTCCAACACTGGCAAACTCTTCGCGATACGCAATAAACTCAGCAAAGGAAAAGAAAGTATCGGCGTCTTTGGGCTTCCAGTTCGGGTCCTCCGTGTTGTATCGCATGTTGCGGATGTCGCCCTTGTCGAACGTACGTTTAGCAGAAGCGTAATCGTCCCGCTCCTTCTCTTCATACTCGTCAAGAAGATCATAAGGGTTCTCGTTGACAGATTCTCGAATCTGAAGCAGCCCGACGAACGGCGACTTGAGATCTAGACCCCCGAGCTCAACGGGGAAAAAGAGAAAGCCATCGGGGACACTTGAGACGCAAAAACGCTCTTCAATCATCTTCTTGAGGTGTTGCACAATGTTGCTACCTGGAAAGATGCTCTCTTGGATGTGGCGATGCGTAGCGAGCATCTTGTCGACATGATCTCGACCAAAACAATTGGACGCTTTTCCAAAGTTTGAGCTGAAGAAGGTCGCTGCGTATGAGTTCTATTTCGATGATTAGTGAGTTGTGCAATCATGGAATAGCTATTACCTACCCAAGCTTGGATATAATCGATGACGCTTTTCGACTTGCCCTGCAACTGCTTGCGTAGTTCTTCCACGTGGCCATCTACCATCTTTTGGTCGACTTCAAATCGACCATTAGATGCCTTCAAAACAAGGAAGCCCCAACGGATTTCACCCTCAGGCAGATGCTCGTCGATACTAAGCTTCACGTCCTGAGAAATGCGAACGCTCCCGGTCTTTTTTTCGTCTAGCTGCAAGGATGTCAGAACATGGCCATGTAACGAATAATTTTGGTTTAGTCATTTACCTGGACTCCTGTGGCCTTCGTGAACTTGCGGATACATGCCCAGGCGCTGACGCACTTTTTGTAGTTCTTGTTGAAGAACCAGACATCGTCATAGAGACGATGCATGAGTGCGCCATCGGTGGCTTGGTTCACACCAAAGTCCAAGCAGAATAGCACTGTCTCGCCAAGCACATCACTCAGAGTGTACGACCCAGGCGTTCCGCGACGTCGAACACGTTGCTCAGACGACTGATCATCCGTGAACTTGAGAGGTGCTTGTAAGAACTTTTGGAAGAACTTCCTCCACTTCTCAGAAACACCAAGAAATTCGAGTATAGAGAGCACAGATTCATGCGGGAGAAGTGAATTCCAAGATTCGAAAACAGTGCGAAAGCAGGTGAGCTCGTTAGCAAGCCGCGTATTCACGATGATCTCGGTAGACACTAGGTGAAGAAGAGTCTGCTTCGCCTCCACTGGTCGTTTTGACTGTCGATCGTGCTCGTAGTCTTCGTCCTCTTCGCTGTCAATACCACCTCCATCTCGGTTAGTTGTTTGTTGCGTGTGCATGTGATGCATCCGCATTGAGTGTGACTGGTGTTGCATTGGCATCTGCACCGAACGCGATGCCATTTGCATTTGTACTGGTGGCGGCGCGATTGCGGACGAATATGAATTAGAGACCACGTCACGCTGCCGCTTTCGACGACGAGAAGTGTCCACGTACTCTCCGTACTCGGCTTCCTCCTCACCCTCATGGGTCTCAATCTTCTGAGTGTCGTGGTCCAATAGCTGGTGGGCAAAGTATCGGCTGCGATGAGTTTTTATGCGTCTATCTTCAAGATTGGGAGCCGCCGCTTGGCCACGGTCGCCTAGAAAATACGCGCGACGCATACGATCGATCTTTGGTACGCTATTGCGGCTACTCAACCAAGCGCTGTGATCGAGTGTAGCTAAGAATCCATTTTTGAAGAAGACAGACCACTTTATGCCAATGTAGTGTAAGAATATGGCCTGAAGAACATCGGAGTCCATGTGTATGGACCAAGAGCCGTTCATCTTCCGTCGTTGTTCGAGTGGAACGTACTCACCCCACGTCCAGCGATCAAGGGCTGACATGCGAACGTTGAGTATGTCGGCAATCTCCGCCAGAATTACATCATTGCTAAGGAAATCCTTGAGTGCTTCACGCTTCTCGTTGGACAGTAGATCTGAGTTTTGAAGTCCGTTTATGACCCAGCGAAGCGTGGATACACTGAACTGCGATGGGGCGTTGAGGCTGTTCTCGAAATCCATCACTTTATTACGCAACTCACGGATAGCGGCGACAGCGTCCTTCTTGTCCGTGATGAACATCTCATCAAGGTATGCCTTTAACGCTTGCACATCGACTTTGGCTGGCTCAAACACGTTCTTCTCCCACTCGGCTCGAGCAGCGAGCTTCTTGGCGCCCGGCAGTTCTTCAAAGCTCTCCGTCATCTCGATATCACCATCTACAGGCGAGTCTTTCTCCGACGAAAGCCACTCCGTCACCAGTTTCCCGTAGAGGTCGGCATATTGGTACTTTGTGGACTGAACTGAGAGGTACTGCAGCAGCGTCTTCTCCCAGCCCTCCAGTACTTTGGCTGACACGGAAGGATCAAAGCGAGCCTGCTCCAGGAAACGGTCGAGATTCTTGAGATCAATTTCAAGTGGCGTATTACCGCTGATGACACGACGACCGGACCGGCCATCTTTGCATCTTGTGCTACTAGTCTTGATGCCCAAGCACGACTTGGTTCCATCCACAAGGAGCAGCAAGCGCTTGAGTGGTTCTTTCTCGGCTTTGACTGTAGCCAGTAGCGCAGTGTACTCCTCTTCAAAGGCAATGCGCTGCTTTGCAAGCTCTTCGAGCTTGGTAGTGGTGATGGTCTGGAGTGTCTCGGAGAACACACTGCCCGATGAAGTCGCCATTGCGCTGACTTTGGTAAGTTCTCCACAAGGATCGGCTTTGTATATGATGCTTGAAGAGGAAGTGTAAAGTGAGGTTCGAGAATCTATACTTCGTGCGATCGTGGGTTACTGATCTACTGAAAGCGCTCGGTCCGCGCTGGTGGGGAGCTGGTCGTCTCGGGAAGGCTGAGGAGGGTTGGGTTTTCTGGTGAGGTCGTTGGGGCGAGTAGAGTGCGGGGAGGTTGTAGCTTGGCTAGAGATAGGTGCCCAGGTGAGTGCTTTATAGAAAGAAGTTGCACTGCTTCAGGCAGCAGGCACTAGACGCACAGACCGCGTGTGCAAAGTGCAGAAATGGTACGCCAATCGGATCTTTTGCCTGCTCTTACTCGCCAGTTTTACGCAAAGATTAATGGTCGAGAGCAGTGAACACGATGGTGGCAGTCACGGCTGAAAGCCGCATCAGGCTCGTGATACAGTCGGGTACGGGAAGAGAAAGCTTGTCATTGGTATAATCTACAACATGTGTCGTGTTTGTTGTCCTTTATTTTAGCTTCTAGGCCAGAGCTTTCTTAAAAATAGCCCTTAAAAAAAGCTTATAAGGCTTCAAGATGCAGGAGCTTATTAGCGGAATAACATGACAGAACGCACTTCGCAGATTCCGCCTCAAGTCAAGATACTGGCTCTGATTCATACCTACCCACGTCAAATCAGAACGCTGCCCATTCGCTGTCGAAGACACATGCCCAAGTTCTGCGTGTGCAAAGATGAAAGCCTTTGTTTGTTACCCGCTGGAAAGGGGAAAGCCCGACAGAAGTCATTCTCCGAGTGCCTTTCTGTACTCTTTCTTGAAGTCTAGCATGTAGCCTTCAGAGGACTAATACCGTAAAGGCAAAATGGACGTCTCGCTTCTTCTCAAACTCGGCTCCGAAATGAGGCAGTCAGCCAAGGCTGATACAAGTGCAAGAACCTCCAAATCGGCGTTCTACACGAGCTTGGAGAGGTCACAAAGTAGCTAAGCCCATGTATCGATGTTGACTGCGAGATTGTTACAAGGTGGATCTGCCAAGGACCAGGACGCAATGTGGTGACCTGAGAAGGGCGTAACAATTCCGTTCTCCTTAACCAGAATGTGTTTCAGCGAACCAAAGATGTCCCAACGCAGTCGGTTCAAAAGGTCATTGCGGAGTCGACCAGGCGTTTTCTCGTAAGGTATCACCGGGGGAAGGCTAGGCTCCATTGCGAATATGAGTGGGTAGGCAGAGATCAAGAGAAAGACAGGTGATGGTGGAGAGTTGAGGTTTCGGCGGGGCGAGGGCTGGGGCCAAGCCCGGGGTATTCGAGCGCTTGCCGCAATCCAGCTAGCGCACCGCCAGCCTCCGTTCCACGTCTGTGTGGAAGCCTATCATCTATAAGGAGTTTTCGAATGTCAAGTCGAAGGCCAAGTATTGCGTTTGCGTGGTTTGTTCATATCCGTACCTTTACGAAGAGACTGATACTGATCAAGCGGTTCATGTAGTCATTCCACAGCCCATAACCATCACCGGCTTATGCGGTCCGAAGTATGCCAACACTTCGTATATGATCGAAACAGACTTTCCATGCTGCAACGGCGAGACGTGGAAGTGCGGCAACTTATATGCGCACCTTCCTAGCCTTCCACACTGGAAAATTTCACGAGACTCATTCACGGAGGCTCGTGTCTCTCTGGAATATGCTCTTCCCGTGCCTGTTCGGGGCTTCCCTCTGAATAATCCATGGAGGAAAGGTATGCGTCAATACGGTCCTGATATGTGTACCGCTTACGCTCGATTGAATTGCACATAGTTCTCTTGCGACGCAAAGAAATTACCAAACTGGCCCATCAAAGCCACATCTCACGACCTTCTTGCCTGCCAGCAACTCTTGCAACTTGTCTTGTAAGCGTCCAAAGGTGACATTTCCATTTTTAGTCTGTCCTCATCGCTTTCCATCGCCTACTGGAATGTATGCACCTACAGAGCTCCTGCCAAATATTGGTTCACGGAAGAATTTCTCGTACTGTGATCGCCGAAGTCGAAATGCATTACCCAAAAACATACCACAATTCTTCCCATTCTTTCTAGAACATTTTCGCCGCGGTGCGAAAGCAAATCTAGATCTATCATTATCATCTTCTCTTGCCCGCTGCTGACTATGCGCGATGGCGTCATAGTATCCGAATTCTCAGTCCTTTCTGCGCAATGCGGTCCGCGCTCGCAGGTTCACTTCAAGATGTCACGAGAGAAACCATCAAATGAAGGTCTATAGCGAGCAGACTCATCCATGACGCGGAAATTGGACGCGCCTGCATCATTCGCGGGAAAATAGCCGTTCTACCGCCCACGAACCACAGTGCAGCTGACGACCCTTAATCCGCAACATTTTCCAGGCACGACCCCAGCTGTCAAGCTACCCCAAGCTTTATCCGAGGAAGCTTGGAAGGCTTGGGGTTAGAGCGCGGGGTCTCCGCAAACAATGTGGAGATGACCAACAGCAATGTCGATGAACCGCGTGCCATGGCGGAGAAACTTATGTCAACGCCAAGAGACCTGCAAATGTGTGTATCGCTGGAAAGAAGGAGATGAAAATTGAATGAACGTATTTAAGCCGCAGGGTAGGACCCCGATTACTAGCAACTCACAGGTTCAACCTCTTACCAGGTAGTCGGGACGCTCACAATGAAGTCCATTTCGTTGCTGCTCTCTTTCGCTGCCTCCCTGGCTTTGACTTCTGCGACTCCCTTCGACAACAATGCGATACCTGCAGGCGCATCCATCACCCTTCCTCGCTCCCTCTCTAGCTCTTCCAGCTTCTCTCCTTTAACGCGAAGCAACCATAAGAAGAAAGACAACTGGGGGAACGCTGTGGAAAAGGATCGCAAGAAGATCAAGATCCGCGCATCCAAGCATGACCGAGATGACATCAGCGATGACTTTCTGTGGGCGATCAAGAAGGCAAACCACGGCGGCCTGGTGCATTTGGAGAAGGGAAAGAAGTACGTGATTGGGAAGAAGCTAGACTTGACTTTCTTGAAAGACGTTTATGTGAAGCTTGATGGCGAGCTGAAGGTAAGTAAGGACTGTTTAGCAGTAAGGAAGCATGAGGGCTGACGATTCTCAGTTCACAAACGACATCGACTACTGGCAGAAGAACAACTTTTACTATCCTTTCCAGAAAAGCATTACATTCTGGGTTTGGGGTGGAAAGTAAGTCACTCAAACGCTATCGCTTCTCATGCGAGTACTAACAACGACTCAGAGACATCAAGATCTACGGAAAGGGTGTTATCAACGGTAATGGACAGGCTTGGTGGGATGGCTTCTCCGGTGCAGAGATCCTCGACCCGAAAAACAAGTTCTACCGACCGATTCTTTTCCTGACGGACAACGCTACCAACATCGAGATTGCTGGACTTCACCTCAAGGATTCGCCATGCTGGACCACTTTCCTCGTCCGCACCAAGAACGTTGTGTTTGACAATATCTACATTGACGCTGTCTCCACCAACGTATCTGTAAGCTGCCCTTTCCCCAATGTCCTTCTCACTCATGTACTCACATATTCAATAGTCCCTTCCCAAGAACACAGATGGTTTTGACTCCCTCAACGTCGACGGTCTTACCGTGACCAATACCCGCGTCAATGTCGGCGATGACTGTTTCAGCCCAAAGCCGAACACCACCAACATCTTCGTCAAGAACCTGTGGTGCAACGGTACCCACGGCGTCAGCATGGGCAGTATCGGCCAGTACCCCGGTGTCAAAGACTACATATCGAACGCCTGGCTCGAAAACATCACGCTTCTCAACGGCCAGAATGGAGCGCGCCTGAAAGCCTGGGCGGGTCCTAACGTAGGATACGGCTATATTGACAATATCACGTACAAGGATATCCACATTGAGAACACGGATGCTCCGGTCGTTCTGGATCAGTGCTACTTCAACATCAACAAGACGGCTTGCGCCGCGTATCCGAGTAACGTCAACATCACCAATGTCAAGTTCTTGAATGTCTACGGCACAAGCAGTGGGAAGAATGGTCGGGTAGTGGCGGATTTGAAGTGCAGTCCTGGCGCGACGTGCAGTGGAATCCACCTGGAAAATATCAACATTACCAGTCCCGCGGGAGCTCCACCGCAGATTGTGTGTGAGAATATCCAGGGCGATGTAGGTGTCACGTGCGTGAGCCCGAATGCGACACAAACTTGAGGAGTATATATGATGGAGAGTGTTAGATAATCTAGTAATCACTACTTGTATTCCAGTACCTATAGCTCAGCACAAGCTCCAGGATGATTTTGGCGACGTGCCCTCACGCAGCGGGCTCCAACACAAATGTCAGCATGCTACGCCCCGGGACCTGCGCACTAACACTCCCTCCATCCGCTGCCAGCGTCGCAGTTTGCTCTTCACAGTCATGGCTGTTATCCGTAATCCACGCCTTTGCCGCATTCGCCGTAAAGCCATTCACCTTAATCGTCACCGCACCAGGCCCGGTCCCGCCTTGGATCACCTGGATTGCAATCGTCCCATCCACGTTCTTGAACGCACTAACCTTGCTCCCATTCGGGCCACCACTCGCCGCTACCCTCACAGCACCTGGCTGTACATGTCTACTCCAATTGGCAAAGGCCCAGAGACGCTTGCTGGGTATGATTTGCTTCTTGTCATCAGAGATACGGATGAGCTTCGAGTTTGTGGCGCCGCCTTGCACTCCGATCCAGTACAGATAGGCTGATGCATTGGCACGAGTGACGGCGTCGTAGATTTTGTTCGCCCAATTTAAGCCTTCGCCGGCGCCGTTATTAGAGTAGAAAGCTGTTGCCCAAGGGCCTTGCAGGTCGGCGTTTTCGGTTTGCCAGACGCGGTGGGGGGTGTTTATTGGACTTCCAGGTTGGGAGGTGTAGGAGCTAAGGATGGTCAGTACTGCACGCCCAGAAGGGAGGCAAAGAGTTGAAAAATGACTCACTGCGCCGTGATTGTGCCTAGCATACTGCTCACGCCGCTCAAGGCAGACATCATTCCCTGTTGACTGCTCCAGCCTTCTGTATCACAACATGTGACTTTTACATTTGTGTAGTTTGCCTTGTCTATTGTTGGCCTCAATACCTTGACGAAGTCTGCCGCCTGTTGCCCATTGCTTCGCATACTCGCATAGCTTGTCGTCAAATCCGGCTCATTCAGAAACCCTACATGTGTGACCTCAACGCCTATCTCTTTGTAGTATGCAATATATTGGACTAGATAGTTCGCATACGCCTGCTTCCAGTCACCGCTTGAACAGCTTGCTCCGGACACCCCGCAGAGCGATCCTCCATTCGCGTCGTTGTTGTTCGTTTTCATGTACCCAGGTGCAGACCACGCGTTTGCGTAGACGGTTCTTACACCGTAGGTTTTGACTGCTTCAGTGGTAACCCACACTTGAGAGTTATCGTTGCCATCCCAAACGTATTTTGGCGCTGCATTTGGGCCTCCAGGATTCTTGGGCTGGATACTGACCATGTGGTCACTGCTTGAATCTGGGGACGAGCCGATGCCGTTCCTGAGTATAGAGAAGCCGGCGCCGGATGTGCGATTGAAGAGTAAGTCAAGCGCATAGCGTTGCAGAGGCTCCGAGAGAGCTTTCATCTGGTTGGCACGCTGGAAAGTCTCGCTCATACCAAAGCCATCCATGGTCTGGTACGTCTTCGTAAGGTCGACGGTTACGGTAGATGCCTGCCGTGTACCGAGAGTAATTCGCGTCTCCGCAACTGCCGCGTTAAACACAAGGAGCAAGTTCCATACTGTCATCCTGATTATTAAAGGGGTGATGGAGCCGGGCAACACCCCTTGAATTGCAAAGCGCGACTTTAGCGATTCTTTTCTACTCCTGAGCCATAAAAGTGAACGTTATAGACAATTTCACTAACCTCGTTTACTCACATTACCCAGATTAAGCCGGCAATTACAGTGCTGGCTATAACCCCGCAATATGCAACTAATCCACATTAGGTCTTATCACCATCACCACAGCAAGCTACCTTCTCTTCGTTCCCCATGTAGGTAAGCTCAAAGCTAAACTTGCATGATAATTGCCCTCTAGTTACCGATGCGTTGCTGAAGTATAACTATACTGTTCCTTGTTATGTCTAATATAGCCCTGCTAACCTCCTCCGCCCCTTCAACAGCGTCATAATGCGAGAGCGGTACGAGCGATACGTCTTTGACGGCGATGTCCATCTCGCGCATTGTGTGATAAACCGGGGATACTACGATCTCTCTGATATCATTGAAAATGATCTGAAGTTGTACGTAGAGCTTTCTCGCCATGACGTTATCGTAGCTGCAGAAGGCGAGTATATTCAGATGTGAAGATGCGTATGATAGCTCTTGGCTAGTTTCTTCTCCGGAGAGCTCGGCCAATCTCTGCGAAGCGCTGAATAAGAGTACTGCACAGCCAGTGAAGCTGGTATAGCTAGACTCGCCAACGTGCGTTAGCTTATAAATAGGTCATTATGGGAGTCGACTTACATAGAAACCCAGCAGTGCGATCGGATCAAACCGTTAGTCTGTAGTAGTGATGCCACCCGAGCGGATTGCCGTGCCGCCAAGACGCATTGCTCTTCAACGTGTTTTAGGGCGCCCAGGTCATTCGTGTCGATAGAGGTATTGCTTAAGCGGGACCTCCCAAGATCAACTAAACAAGTTCGAAAAGGCTCAACAAACACGCCTAGGAAGAGTATATGTAACTGCAACAGAGACCGCTGTGTATCCCAGTTCATAGTGAATGGATCTGCAAGACTGAGACGACTCAGTTGCATCGGCGGTGGAAGGGTACGGTGCCATTCGCTAAGGGACTCGAAATAAACCGAAGCTTGCACAGCCTTTGGCTGATTTGCAGTCTTCAAGTCAATCGCTATGTATGTGCCTAACCGGCCAAGTTCGCCAACGCATTCTTGAAGGAGTCCTTGTTTAGCGTGCGAAGGAGAGGAACGATATATCTATGCAGTGTTAGCAGGCGGCTCGAGACGAACAAAGACGAAGAGTACCCTGCTCAAAGAATTAACGGAACAAAATATACATGGGGTCGTACACTCAGATCTTAGCTTGTAACCCGTGAGTCGTGGCTAGTATTATATGCAAACCAGCTAAATGAATATTAGTGATCTGGAGACAGCCACTTTACTATATTGAGCGCGCAAACCTTTCTAGAAAGACGACACTTCGGAACACATTTCGCCAATAGTGTACTTTCTCTTCGGAGTGTTCTGCCTCAAACGATGGAGACGTAATCGTCTGCCTTCCCATACTGAGAGCTGAGACTGCTGGTTGTTAGTCTATTGTGTCCGAACTCGAAAATCATCAGTCGCTTACACATAAGTCTCCTAGCGCTTTGCACGCTATTAGTGAAACGACATACCGCTAGGCATGCAAAAAGCCGCATGCAGCGGAGTTCACACAGAGCTGAAGATGAGGACAGCATGTACAGGAAGAAATGGAGAAACTTCTCCTGGGCCAAATTTGTATGGCTCTCTGCATCACAATAGCTTCCTACTGCTGCCATTGCAAAGACTTCGGTCGCGTCCACTGGTTTTGAGTCGCTTTGTGGGTGGTAAACAGATCTAACAAGGTCGAAGGCTTCCTCCTGGTTCCAAAGGTAGAGAAGCGAACCTGTTCCAAAGACGAAGGCTTCAACGGCTTTGGTTGTCCTGTCTTCTGATGGAAATGCAGTAACTCTGGTCAAGTGAGGGTTGACACCGAGAGCTTTCGAAATATGGCGTACCTCTTCCATCGCATCCTCGGTGGGCGGTGCTTCATCTTCCGACTGACCTTCCAAATCTAGATCATCTATGTTTACGCTCTCTTGACGGGTAGCTTCGAGTCCTTCCTGCGGGCCAAGTAGCTGATCAAAAGATTCGAATTCGTGAATAGATGGGGGTTTGTTGCCCGGCGGAATTAATGTATCTGGATTTTGCCGTTTTTGCTTGAATTGCTCAAGATATGTTTGGTGGTTCTGGTAGTTCTCTGTTTGCTTGTAAAGCTCGAGCTCTCTTTTGTACTCTTGCAGCCTGTCAGCAACCGGTGTTTCCCAGATGCCCATCCGGTCTTCCTGAGGCAGTTCCCTCCAAGGTTTCCCAGTTTCCTTGGCGATTTCTGTAAAAGACGAATGACTGAGTGCAGGATCCTGCCGGACATACTCCCCGAAGAGCACATAAGCCGTTTTAGGCTTATGGGGGGCATTAGGATCTGGTCGCGGGTGCCGTCGATACAGTCTGGTAGTACGTGCTGCCTGCTGTGAGGATTGCGGCGTTATCTCGGAATGTCCCCCGGGGGCGGGTAGCCCTTGCGATGAACCGCTATACTCACGTATTGCATGTTGAAGTTTCCGGCGATCGCCCAGCCTGAAGTTCAATTCGGTCATGTCGGCTTCCGTGATCGCGGCCACAGTGCCCCAATCCTCAAAGCCGTTTTCTTGTAGGCGCTCCACATACTGGCTGAGTCCAAGCTGAGCGAGTGCCGTACTAAGGTCGAATGCATTGGTAGTGGGGTTCCCCGAATGTCCAAAACTCATCCTTTCTACAATCTCCTGTGGATTTTCGGCAAACGTCATTAAATTGGTGGATATGCTTCGGACTCAAAGCGTAACTATACCGGTGTAGGGACGTGTTTGCGGACTGAAGAGCGCTACGTGGCTAACAGCCCGCCTCTGGAGCTGACGTCACCCCAATAACCGGGTCGTCAAATCGATTCGAATTACTAAATTGGGCAACGCTAACAAGGATCATTACCGTAGGCCTTAAGCTTGACTTATCCTTGAAGATTAGACAAAGTACAAACATCTATACACATTGAGTACCTCTATGATTAGTAATAGCTTAGCAGGTAGTCCTGATGCGTGGGCGTGGGAAGTTCCTCGGAGGCGGCACCAGCGTTGCCGGCTGGGCACTGACTAAGTTAGGCCTGCGCATTAACTACCTAGGTAGCTAACAAGAACTAACGCTTTGTATAAACTTCTAGTAAGCTTCTTTATAAAATTACTAGCAAAAGGGTTTAACGTATTACACGGGCGAGTTAGTTGCCTAGTTAAGTCAGTTATAATACTAAAACCCTACCAAAATTAGTACTATGCACGATAGTATAGCACTATAGAAAATTATAATAATAAATTATAATAAATTAATTTATTTAAAAATTATTTTTACTTTTTACTTATATATTTGCGCATTATGCCTAGCTTTACTATAGTATTTATAGCGCTTTTAAAAAGGCTTATCTACTTTAATATACGCCTGCTTTTTTGCTTTTTTTTTATTATTATACGCCTTAAATTTTTTTAAAATTATTAATTAAAAACTATTTTTTACTATAAAAGTTTTTTTTTTTATATTTTTTTTTTTTTTATATAATTTTTATTATATAGCAGCTTTATTAGCTGCTTAAAATTTAGTAATTTTTTTTTATACTAATATAAACTTATGCGCAACTATAATTACACTTTTTAAAATTTTTTTAAAAATTTTAATTATTAAAGTAAAAAAACTATTTAAGTACTTTTAAATTTTTATTTTAATTAGTATTAATTAAAACTTAAATTTTAAAGTATTGCTTAGTATTTTTAACTCCTAAAAACTGTTTTTAATAATAAGTAGTAATAAAGTATATAATTAAATATTAAGCTTTAATATTACAGCTTTAAAGTTAAAAAAAACTAAACTAGCATTTTTAAAGCTACTTAAAATATTGCTTTTTATAATAGTAATATTAAAAGCTAGTTTAAAGCATAGTAAAAACTTAATTTTAGTAATATAATTAATACTATTGCGCATTAGCTTTTTAGCTTAGTACTTATATACTTTTTTTAAAAGCGCAAAATAACTTATATTAAGTAGCTATAGTAAGTGCAATAAATATAAAAGTATATAAAAAATAATAATTTTTTATTTTTTGCAGTACTACTAGAATTAGATTAATATATAATTTTTATAACTATTAATAATAAATAAATAATAAGTATTAATAATTTTTTTTTTAGTATATTTATTAAAGTGCTTTAATTACTTAAAAGTAAGCTTATTTATTATCTAGCTATTTTTAAAAACTGCAATAATTTAATTATAAAGCAGGCTATTTTTTTTATACTAGGCTAAAAAGTAGTTCTTATTTATAAAAATAATAAAAAGTAAAATAGTTTATTTTATTATATTAATGCTTTAAATTACTATTACTTATTTTTAATTACTTTGCTATACTATTTTCGGCTATTTTTAATAATTAGTACTTAAAATAATAGTTTTATATAATATTTAGCCTATTATAAAGCCTATTTTATTAAAATTATATATATTTTTATTTTAAATA